GACTCCTTCGGAACTTCTGTCACTTCTATCCCAGAAACTCCAGTGTCAACGGTGACCCACGTCGATACTACTATTGTCACCATCACTTCTTGTGGTGCAACTGGCTGCACTGATGTTCCCGTTACTACTGGTGTCACCACAATCAGCAGTGAAGGTACTATTTATACAACCTACTGTCCAATTTCTAGCACTGGTACACCAGGGACTACTACCACCAATTTCGGTACTCCTGAGACTCATGCTCCTGGTACTCCTGGAACTGCAGCTACCAATTTTGGTACCCCTGCAACCGTAGCTCCTGGAACTTCTGGAACTACAACCACCAATTTCGGTACTCCTGCAAGTGTTTCTCCTGGTACTCCGGGCACTCCTGGCACTCCGGGCATTCCGGGCACTCCTGCAACCGTTGCTCCTGGAACTCCTGGAACTACAACCACCAATTTCGGTACTCCTGCAACTGTTTCTCCTGGCACTCATGGTGTCACTGAGGCCACCGCTGGTACACCATTAACTACTGTTGAACACACTTCCACTTTAACTTCTTCCCCTGGAACCATTGGATCGACTCCAACTGTTCCTCCAAGTGAAGGCAAAGCTGCTAATAAAATTGCCAGTTTATTCGCCATTTTGGCCGGATTGAGTTCCTTCATCTTATAATTCCCCATTTTGGCCAGGTTGAGTACCTTTATCTTATAATTCTCCATTTCTTATTTTAAGTTTTCGCTTATACTTTATTTTTATTTGGTTACATAGCTTTAAGTTTTAATTAATTCTAATTTCGTTTGATTACGCAACATGTTGGAGAACTTCACTTACCAACTTATTGTCTTTGATCGAGTGTTTGAATTGTTCAGGTGCAGCCAACTCAATGTAGTCACCATCTTTTGGAACATTAAAGTTCAAAGCAGTGGTGGAGCTGGAGACTATTTGGATGTCTTTGTCAATACTATCTTGAGACAAGTAAAGGTCACCCTCATCACACTGATCAATACTGACATCTGCCACCGTACCCAAGATTTGTAACCCAAACTTATGACACTTGATCAATTCAAACCCAGAGATCAATGAGTCAATTATGAACACACACTTGGTGGTGTTGGAGACAGAAATAGCATTGGCCTTTCCCTTGACCAAAACAGTAACCTCTTCACAGTTTCCTACAAATATCGATTGGTGCATTTCCGCCTCTATAGTGATGCTTTGCACTTCATCACCTTTGAGGTCAGCTCTGGTATAGTTTTCAATGATCCATTTGGATCCGTCAATCAACTCTTTTCTGGCTGGCTTCTTCGCGGGCACTGATGAACCACTCGACAATGAAGACGGTTTCTTGGGAGGTGTTGGCTTTTTGGGCACCACAGGAGCCTGTTTTCTCAACTCAGGGTTCTTGTGTGTCATTTGGGACTTATCGACCTTCTTTAAGCCAGAGGTGATTGCTTCACCTTTATTGAGATCCGCAAACACTGCTTGCATTCCAGAAGCTGGGGCATTCAGAACCGACTTGGTTTCGGTTTCGTCAAAAAGACTGGCAGGTGGAGGTGGAGGAGGTGGTGGTGGTGGGGCTCCGCCAACAGCTGGGGCAGGGACTTTCGAGGCACCTGCCAAAACTTCACTCAAAGGCTTTCCGTTAGGGTTCCATTTAGGACCCTTCGTGTGGTACTCTTTGACGTAGTCCTTCAAAGGTTCAAATATCCCCAAAAATTCCTTGACCCAGTCCACTTGACTTTGGTCCTTGTCTCTGAATTCCTTCATTATTCTATTGGACCAGAATTGAGCAGAATCCTTGAAATCAGGAATGTATGAGACTGGGGTTGGACTAAGTATCCATCCTAATACCGGAGCACCTTCTGCAAGTGTATTCAAGTGGTTAAAAAACTTTGAAGAACGGTTGGAATCTTTGACAGATGAGATCTTTTGGATTTGGGTGTTTGTTGGGTTGACAGCATCAGCAAAAGCTGGGTCGGTCATCTCAGGCTTCTTGGATTTACTGGCAATCTCTAAGAACTTCGCCTGTTCCTGGAATGCCTCGTAAAATGCCTGGGCAGCCTCTCCAACCACCAGATCAAGTGACTTGGATCTGTTTACAAAAGCCTTAACGTGTTCTTCAATAAACTCCTCAAACACAACGGTGGACTTGGCCTTTTCCTCTGGTTCTTCTTCCTTGGCTTCTGCAGTGGGCTCCCACACAGCCAAGTCTGTGGGAGGAGCACCAATGGCGGCAGGAGCTGAAGGGAGTTGTGAAAGGGGTGGAGGCGCTCTGGGATCAGACTTGGAAGCCTGATCTTGGATCATGGTGATGTCTTCCAACCGAGACGTGGCGGTTTCCAATCGCTTGAGGATGGTGACGATGTTGTAACCCTGAACGTTCAATTGGTTTTCTTCGCTAGACATTATGTGTTGTGTTATTTGGATAAATCAGCTTAACGAACAAAGTGAAGTTTCGCGACTTGGATTGGCTCCGCGACACATCTTGAAAAGTTGGTAATAGTCAAATCGTTTTCAATAATGAGTCCTTCCAAAGAGTCCACTCAGGACACAGATGCGTACCCTCCGCAAGCCGTCTACTCATTAAGGGACTTCACATCCCCCGCCGCGCTGGAGCCGTTCTACCAGAATTATCAGTTTGGTGTACCAATCGCATTAGATATTGGTTCTTCACAAGTTAGAATCGGCTTGACTAATAGCACATTACCAAACAATGTGTTTCCATCAACCACAGCTCGTTATAAGGACAGAAAGACGGGGCAGATGCTCACGTTAGTAGGAAATGATGTCTACAGAGACCCATTGCTGAAGTCTTCCATTAGAACCATTTATGATGGAACGGTTATCACCAACTGGGACCATGTGGAATATTTGTTGGACTACTCGTTCGAACATTTGGGTGTTCATAGCGATAATGGAAGAGTGGACAACCCCATAATTATGACTGAACCGGTGACACTGACTGTGGCCCAAAGAAAAGGAATGTATGAGCTTCTCTTTGAAGTCTATCAAGCACCTAAAGTTACCTTCGGTATCGATTCTTTGTTTTCATATTACGCCAATTGTGATGGCAAACCCAATAACGGGTTGGTTGTTGGTGGCGGCAATGAACTGACTCATCTTTTCCCGGTTCTTGATGGTAGAGGCGTTTTGCTGCAAACCAAAAGAATTGATTGGGGTGGAAACCAGTCTCAACAGTTTTTACTGAAATTATTGGCATTAAAGTATCCTTATTTCCCATCTAAGTTGACTCCTGCTCAAACCACTCTTATGTTCCAAGATTTCAGCTATATTCTGGATGACTACCAGGAGGAGTTGAAGCACTTTTTGGATATGGATCAATTAGAAACTAAGGATGTGGTGATTCAAGCTCCAGTAGATTTAGGAACTCCAGAAAAGAAGAAAACAGAACAGGAATTGGCCCAGCAAGCTGAAAGAAGAAGAGAACAAGGAAGAAGGTTGCAAGAACAAGCTAGACAAAGAAGGGCAGAGAAATTGGTTCAGAAAGAAGAAGAATTGGCTTACTTTGTCCAATTGAAACAGGAATTCGAAGTATTATCTGAAGTCCAAATTCAAAAAAAATTAGAGGCAGAAAACTTCGAAGATATTAACGATTTCAACAAGTACATAACGGGCTTGGAAAAGTCTATCAAGAAGCAAAAATATGGTGAAGATGATGATAGCGATGATGAGATTGATCCTTTGACTGCCTGGCCCCTCGTGGACATTCCCGACGACCAATTAAGTCCAGAAAACATCAAAGAAAAGCGTAAACAGAGATTACATAAAGCCAACTTTGACGCCCGTCAAAAGAACATAGAGGCAAAGAAGCAAGAAGAGGAATTGAAGGCTCAATATGAAAAGGAACAAGCCGAATTCAGGGAAAAGGATTTGGAAGGCTGGTGCTCTACGAAGAGAATTGAGCTTGCTAAATTCATCAATAGAATCAAGGAAAGACAGAAAATTTTGGATTCGTTCAAAGACAGAAAATCTGTTGCAGCCCAACAGAGGATGAAAAATATTGCTGATTTGGCTAATGATGAAAGCGGCTCCACTAACGCTAACTCCAGAAAGAGGAGAAGGAATGCAACCTCCACCATCGACAATGATCCCAATGATACTTTTGGTGCTAATGATGATGATTGGAATCTATATCGGGACATTTCTAATGTTAACCTTGAGGAGGAACAAGCCGAAGACCATACTTCCGTTTTAGCCTTAGAAGCTGAACTTTTAGATCATGATCCAAACTTCCACCATGAAGACACTTTGGCTGCAACACTGACGTTCGACTGGAAGAACCTGGCTCTTCACAAGTTTATACATGGACCACGTCCCAACATTTCGCTTGCCATGCAAATCGAAGGGATTGACCCGGACGAAATAGCCACCAAGCCTGAAATCATCTTAAAGAATCATCAATTGCACTTGAATGTTGAAAGAATAAGGGTTCCTGAAATACTATTTGAGCCTCATATAGCTGGACTTGACCAGGCGGGAATCTCTGAAATTCTGCAAGACTTGTTTCTTAGAAGACTTGATGGTAATTTTAAGCCTGGTGGGCAGTCTTACAATGTGGTGCAAGACATTTTTATCACAGGTGGATTGAGTAGGTTGCCTAATTTTGATACCAGGATTGTCAAAGAGTTCACCAGTTTTTTACCTGTTGGAGCTCCTATCAGGGTTCGTAAAGCTAGAGACCCTACGGTAGATCCTTGGAAGGGAATGCAATTATGGTCTTCAACAAACGAATGTGAATCCAGTTATGTCACTAAAGCTGAATACGATGAATATGGACCTGAGTACATCAAGGAGCATGGACTCGGTAACGTTTCGTTGTTGTAATTTTTCACTTCATTTATTGAACCTTATATAATATACAAGAATTGGAAAAGGTCTTCATCATCCTACAAAGCCTTCGTACCACTAGGGTTGATACCCTTCTTCTTCATACTTCTCTTAATAGATTTTTGCATGAGATCAGCATCCTCATCATTGTCGAATTCAGCAAAGTCATCATTAATGATACCTTCCTCTTCAGCTTCAGCTCTGGCCAACAATTCTTTTTCGTTGGCTCCGGCCTTAGACACATCATGAGGAGATGGGGCAATTTTCTTGAACTTGGCAACATAAAACCCGTCAACATTATAAGTATGTGGGTAGTATCTTCTGGTTAATGACAAACTTGAATCAAAGTGCTTTCCTCTGTAAGAAACAAAACCGGGCTTACCAACTTGTAAGTGAGTTTCGACCAATTTGACATTGGGTCTCTTTCTTAAAGCATAGTCGACAACAGCTTCATTCTCTTCAATGGCAACAGAACAAGTGGAGTATACTATCACACCTCCGGTAGCAGAGTTAGCATCAACAGAGTCAATAGCAGATAAAATTAATTGCTTCTGTAAATGGGGGATTTGAATGAAATCCTTTTCGTTACGGTTGACTTTAACAGACTCATCCTTAGCAATAACACCAGTACCAGAACATGGAGCATCTAACAAGATTCTGTCGAACCCACCAATCACTTTAGGAAATTCTCTGGCATCGTAGTTACAAACAATTGTGTTTTTGCAACCCAATCTGTGAATATTGGCAATTAATGATTTGGTACGAGCTTTATTAGCATCATTAGCAAACACGCATCCGGTATTCTTCATCAATGCAGAGATATAAGTGGTTTTACCACCGGGAGCAGCGGCCATATCCAAGATTCGCTCGTTCTCTTGAGGATCTAATGCCATTACTGGCAAAAATGAAGACGCTGCCTGTAAAATATACTGACCTGCCAAGTACTCAGGAGTGGCACCGATCGGAACCTGGGAATCAAAGACTTGCAAACCCACTTTTGTCCATGTTCCAATAGGTTGTAAGTTAACACCTCTGTTGACCAAGGTTTGGGCCAATTCACGACGTCTAGTCTTCAAAGTGTTAGTTCTGATGGTAATTGGTCTGGCAATTTCATTGGCTTCAAAGAACTCCATAGCTTCTGAAGGCGAGAAGAGGTTGAAAAGCTTTTCAGCTAAGAATTCGCTGTATCCGAAGTATTCACAGATATCTTTGATCAATCTGGAGATGTAATCAGCTCTGGACTTACCCTCTTCAGATAATTCTTTGAAGTTTTCTAACACTTTCACCACTTCGATCATTCTGGTTCTCACCATTGTCACGTCCTGAGGCTTTCCATTAATTAATTCTTCTTCTTCTTCAGTAGGTAATACTTGAGCTCTTGGTTGAGCAGCTCCATGCAATAATTCCTCTTCAGCTTCTTCAGCTTCTAATTCTTCTTCTTCTTCTAATCTTCTAGATAACGCTTCCATGTTAGCAGCATTAAGGTTTTCGATGTCTTCATCTTCGTCATCCGAAAACATTGGTCTTTCTCTTCCTTCCTCATCTGAATCTACAAACTCATCTTCAGGGAACTCATCATCCTCAAGGTCGTCTAAGGTTTCGCCTTCAAGTTCGTCGTCGGAATCGTCAAATAAAGCCTTCTTTGCACTCTCAACTTCTTCATCTTGGTTCAAGTCGGCTTCCACAGGAGCAACAGGTTTTGATTCCACTGGTTTGGTGGGTTTGGACTTCTTGAAAGTTTTTTCAGGCTTGGGCTCTTCGACCAGCTCAACCTTTCTCTTCTGTAATTTCTTATCTCTCCTATCCTTCTTGGCTTGGAACTCTTCAAATGAAGGAGGAACCCCTTGTTTGTTTTTCGCTCTTCTACCCATGGTGTTTTATGCTAGGTGGATTGAACGCTCTGAAAATTTCGTATCAAATTTGTATCTCATCGCACAAGCTCATCTGGAAATTTTCAGAAAATTTAGTGTGCCAGATCCAACTACTAGAAACCACAAGAAACCAATGAAAGATAGAAGCACAATTACAGAGAACCATTATGTATTGGTGAGGCTTCCTTCCGCTGGTATGAAGGTGGTTGAGTTGAGGAAAGGTGGAAACATAGCGTTGGGCAAGTTTGGTGCTTTTAATGTTGACGATGTATTGGGGTACACCTACGGACAATCATTTGAAATCATCGACAACGATAAACTCCGACCAATTAAGAGCTTGTCTGAAGAGGTTGAGATGAAAGAGGAAAGTTCTGAAGATGTAGAGGCAGAAGGAGACGAAGAAATCATCAAAGATAGGTTAATCAAGATGCTCTCAAATAGCTCTGAAAATAACCAGAATATCATTAACATTGGCTCCAAGATCCAAAAGTTGACCAACGAAGAAATCGATGAGCTCAAGAAGTCTGGTGCGACTTCCAATATCGGTCAACTCATAATACAAAAGATGATTGAAGGACACGAAGGATTTGATAAGAAGACCATCTTCTCTCAACAGAAATACTTGAAAAGAAAGCAAGAGAAGTTCTTAAGACGATTCACCATAGACTATCTTGGTTCTTCACAAATGTTACAATACTACTTGGAAAAAGACTCTTCCAAGTTGTTGGATATGAGTGAAGAAACGTTAGGTCTGTTAATGACTTACTCCAACGTGAAACCTGGAGGGAAATATTTATTGATTGACGAAACTGGAGGGGTGATCTTATATTCCATGTTGGAAAGAATGAATTGTGAAGGTACGGTGGTGTTGATCCATGAGAATGAACACGCCAATTATAGTGCTTTAAAGCATTCGAATTTGTCTGATGATTTGATCAGAAGCAAAGTGAAGATGATCAACTGGTTGCAAATTTTGGAACCTGAAAACGAGAAAATTGATTTCCAATCGTTCAGTGAAGCTGAACTAAATGAAATGAAGGCTCCAAAGAGGTCTCAGTACTATAGGCGTCAAAAGAGGGCTAATGACATAAATGAAGTCATCGAAATGGTTCAACAAGGTAACTTTGATGCATTTATTTCGATAACAACCTTGGATCCTACCACCTACTTGCCATTTGTGATTCCGAAGGTCGGGGGTTCGAGACCCATTACCGTTTACAGCCAGTTCAAGGAGACATTACTCCAAACTCAGCATTTCTTGAGTTCCGATAAGAGAATATTGGCTCCTTCTATATTTGAAACGAGAGTCAGACCTTATCAAACCATTCCTGGTAGAATTCATCCATTGATGACAATGAGAGGTTATGGAGGTTATATCATGGTGGGTACCAGAGTGTTTCCCAAAGAATCTGTCCAGGCCGTTGGAAGAGGAATGGGAAGAAGGAAAACTCCTAAAAAAGATGAAAGTTCAATGGAGCCTGAAGATTCTCAGAGGGGAGAAACTCCCTACGTACCTGAAGATTCCCAGAAGGAAGACACTTCATTCGTACCTGAAGACTCTATGGAGTTGGAAAAATGATAGCTATTGTACATTATTTACACTATTTACATAATTGTATTGCATAGGCTTGTAAGGTTCAATTCCATGTTCTTGGACCCAATTACACACCGCAAGTTTCCAGCCGAATCGTTTAGTGTACCAACAGTCCACTCCAGACTGACGAGCCTCTTTACATGCTCGGCTTGTGTTTGGTACCCCAATTCAAAAATGAAGTTATCAGCATCACAGTCATCAACCGTGTGCACCAACTGCGTATAGAACTCCAAGTCACCAATAAGCGCCTCTTTTGGCTCATACCGTCTTACAGACTTCTCCACCTCAGTCGAAAGATAGTCCTTCATTGGAATGTACGGAGGGTTGGAAGTTACTAAGTCAAATGGTTCTGGTTTCAACGTGAAGAGATTTTGTTGTTCAAACTCCACTGTTGACAGATACTTGGTACTATTCTCATTTGCAATTTCAATTGCACGTGGCGATATATCTATGGCCTTGATGGTGTGAGGTATACCTGCCTTTTGGAGCTGACTATTCAATAATAGAGGGATACATCCTGTTCCAGTACAAGCATCGAGAATACGAATGTTATTAGCAGAGTTGCTAATCAAAAAGTCTAGCACTTTTACAGCCCACTCTTCGGTTTCCCAGCGTGGTATCAAAACACCTGGTTTGGTTATCAAGTCCATATCACCAAAAGGCTGAGTTCCAAGAATATACTGGAGAGGAGTGTGGTTCATTCTTTGTAAAACTGCATTTTTCCAAGCAGATTTCGGGAGTTCTCGTTTGATCCACAGAAGTTCTTGTGTAGCGACTTCCAAGGATCGCGTGGGTCTCAATAACGGCGGTAGAAGCCTCGAGATCTGTCGGGCTTCACGAATTGTCTTAGGTGATATTCTCATATTAGATCATGTTCGCGTTAGCCATCGCGAACTTTGGCTACTTTGTCTGCAAATGATGAAATATCCATTTCTATATATATATACAAGACGTTTTACATACCTTTTCGGGCGTAGAACATATAAGCTCTTTCGTGGATATCTGAAGGGAACGGAGAGATGACTTCAGAGTGACCGGGTCTAGCAACAGGATCTCTCAAGTAGATGGCATGGCATGTTGAAAAAGATATCTCGATATGTGAAGGTAAGATGGCAAAACAACCGATAAAAGGCCTTGGCGTCCAAGGAGTGAAGTACGGCTTGGAAGGGTCTATTCTTCCAAACAATGAAGACTGCCATGGTAAACTGACTTTGGCAGATGCTTCGTTTTCCTTGACCTTTTCCACATCCAACTTATCGTGAAACTTCAAGTTCGAACCGAAAGCTGGAGAATATGGTATATGCGTGGAGTCTTCGGGCAATTTGTTTTCGTTGGCTTCTACTCTCAAGAATTCTTGGTGAGTTTTCACCAACTCAGATAAAATTTGCTTGACAGACGAGACCAACTTGAATTCTTTGGCATCATCAAACTCATTGGACTTCTTGTTCACGTAGCTCTCGCATTGTTCAGCACCAAAGTTTTCTACTAATGGATGCTTGGAATCAAATAACAATTTGTATGCTTGGAGACACTTGGTAGCATTCTTTTCTCCGTACAAACTTTTGAAAACAGCAGTGTCAGTAACTTCTTGTTTGTTACCCTTGGCCAATATTTGACTCAACACAAACGGTCTGGTGGTTTGATTTTGCTTGAATTTCATTTGCTGTTCAAGTTTTTTGTTGTGAGCCTTAACCGAAGCTTTGATGTCAATTTTATTCAGAGGATCCAAAGATTCGGGTTTGGACACCTTCAATTCCCATACCTCCTTAGGATTCTCTTTGGCTGCCTTCACATACTTGTTCCATACTACAATCTGTTTGTTGTCAGTCTTAATGGCCTGATCCAAGCTTGGTTTGACTCTTCCCATAGCCAATAAAACCTTTTCTGGCTTAACGTTGAATACGTCTCCGCTTTGCAACGGGAACGAGGGATGTTTTATCGTAACACCATTCACCTGGACATGGCCTCCAAGAATAAACTGCCTGGCTTGTCTTATGGAAGATGCAAACATTGATCTGAACACAGCAAATTCCAATCTCTTTTCCAATACCGCATACGTTTGTAAAGCCATTGGAGTGGGTTTAACTCCAAGACCCTTCAAAGATGCATCCAACTGGGCGACCGATTGTAAGTTTGGGTCGAAAATGGTTTTCCACCGACTTTCTGTGAGATGTTCACCATGATAAGCTCTGGTTTCGGCTTTGGAGGTCCACTTCTGCTGAAACAAAGTCTTGGCTCTGGAGGTGAGGGCTGGCTTCTTGTACAAGTTAAATAAGTTATACTTGTTCATCGAAGAACGAACCCGCCCTCTACTTAGAGAGTTCATGTTCTGAGTTCTTCTCGGCATGATTCTTCTAGTTCTCTACCGACAGAAAATTTTCAATGTCTGAAAAGTTTTTTGGCAGTTCGCGCTCAGTCCCGCACGACCAAGTTTTGGCACATCAACAACATGAAAAGCTGGAAGCTTGAAGATGAAATCAAGCTCTTCCACTTGATCTGTGACTATTCACCGATCGGTGATGATAAGGACAAGAATCTTGCAGTGATTGTGGAGAAAATGAATGATAAAAAGCTCAAACTAGCCGATATTACCCAGAAGCTCGAAAGCCTATATAACATGAAGTGGTTCGAGGAAGACAGTGAAGACCAAAAAGTGAAAGAAAATACCAACGCCGTGGAGGATGACGAAGACGAAGATGAAGATGAAGATGATGACGACGACGAAGATGACGATAAAGATGAAGACCCCGAGAAGTCGTCCAAGCCGTCTCCACGAAAGTCCAAAAAGACCACCAATACACCTCCACCTCGAGCTCCGAAAAAGCGGACCCGTTCGGTGGTAAAAGTGGAAGAGGTTAAGAAGACGCCGTCTACAAGGCGAAGGACGCGCACCCAAGAGGACGAAAATGACGAGGAAGACGAAGACGAAGACGATAAGGACGATGCCGCAACCCCCACACCCACCCCCGAACCTGAACCCAAAAAACGTAAGAAGGACGAGTCGCCCAAGGCCACGCGGCGGTCAAGCAGAAAGGCTCAGCCCACACGGCGAAGCACACGAAAGAAATGAACGGCTCTATTACATGATTTATTAAGAAATTATAATATACACGAACTCATGACTGTATACGAATGGCTTGAATGGATGCAAATTCCATGCTTACGCAAGCACGGCCCAAATCTTCTCCCAGAGGTTGGTTGGTTCGGGCTCGACAAAGTACTCGTCGATTTCTCTGACTCCACTGTCAATGTCACATTCTTCCACGGGGATCCAGAAAGCTTCCTTGGAAAACGTGCGTTTGCCAAAGCCATTAAAGTAAAAGTGGAATGCGATGTAGGCCACCACAAATAAGATGACGGAGATGTACAGGGTGAAGAAGCCGGAGGCGGTAATGTTCCAGAAGCACGAGAATCCCTGGAGAAACACCAACACAAAAATGGTGATGGTGGCATATTGTGACAAGTAAGGCATGAGCACGGCCTTAAATGGCAACGAGTTTCTGGAGATACCTCTCTGCTTTAAGATGGCCATGAACTTCAAGTGGGTGACGGAAATCCATCCCCAGGAGATCAAACCCGCCACGGCGGTGATATTCAATAACCAGTCGAAAACAGTGCTTCCGTTTTCTGACAACACCAAGAACGCCAACAACCCAAACAACGAGGTGATGATGACTGCCACGTATGGCACTCCATGTTTGGTGGTCAAGGTAAAGAACTTGGGTCCCACACCGGCCTGGCCCAATCCGTACAAGATTCTGGATCCACAGTAAATGTTGGAGTTTCCAGCCGAAATAATGGTGATCAACAACACTCCGTTGAAGATATCTGGTAACACCTTGGTGCCGGCCAAGTCCATGGCAATCACAAATGGAGATGACACAGCATACCCATCCCCTCCTAACCGAGGGTTGGTGTAAGGAATCAATAATCCCATGAAGAACATCGATAAGAGGTAAAACACAATGATTCTGATGTAGATGGAGCGAATGGCCTTGGGCAACGATTTGGGCGACTTCATTTCACCCGAGGCAATACCAATCAACTCACAACCCTGAAAGGTGAAAGCTGCACTAATCAATGAGGATAACCATCCCAAAAACCGGGCGGTGTTGATGTTTTCCTCCAAGATCCCGGGTCCCCAAGGGCCGGGGTTTCTCCAGTATCTGAAGCCAATAGGCCCGGTTTTACCTGCCCCACAAACAATACAAAGAGCATAAATTAACCATCCAAACACGGCAATCACCTTCAAGAACGAGATCCAAAACTCGATTTCTCCATAGAACTTGACAGGGAACATATTGGCCGATGTCAAAATCACAAAGAAGATTCCAATCCATGCTCCCAATGGCACAGCATCGGTCCAGTAAAAGATAATCTGGCCCACCACCGACAATTCCAACGCATAGGTGATGGCCCACGAGAACCAGTAGCAGTAGCCGTTGGCGGCTCCCAACGCGGGAGAACACCACCGGGTGGTAAATTGGGTGAAAGAACCCGAAATTGGAATGTAGGTGGCCATTTCCCCCAAACCCTGAATCACCGCAAACACCAACGTACCTATAAAAATAAACGAAATCAACGATGACACAGGGCCGGCCTCGGCCAAGACTCCTCCTGTAGACACAAAAAGACCCGTACCGATGGTACCACCAATGGCGATCATGGAAATGTGTCTTGGTTTTAATTGCCTCTGGACTTGCTGGTGCTGAAAGTCTCCCAATAAGTTTTCATGAGAGTTGGTGGACACCACGTTAAGGTCCTTCTCACCTTGGTGGAACTTACCCGAAGGCGATCCAGTAGAAGTGATGAGATCTGGTCCTTTCTCGTAATCGGACATTATTAATAAAGTTGACACAGCAAAAAACTTTTGAAATGCTCCAGGTATTTATAAGAGGCTGTTGTGACAAATTAATTTTTTTAAGCAATTATTTTTGACCGAATGGGTAAAAACCAAAAAAGAAACCGCTGCAGCCATCAGAATATACATGGCATTTTGGGGTAACAGCTTATCGTCTTCACAAACAAGGGGAAGTGGTTATCAAGATCCGATATCGGCGGGGTCATCGGTCATCCCCCTACACCCATTCCCCTAACAGAAAGTGGTAGCAGAGTTGAGTATACGCGACGGCCCATGACTGCAAAGCCGTTAGGTACAAACGGGCCCTTACTTTTACAGAAACTGAAGGCGTTTTCTCGTTTAATTTTCTAAGTGCCGTATGCAAATTTTTCAGAAGCACACATCGCATCAGTTTCGGGTCCGTAATGCCCTTCGCGCACAATGAGTAATTGGCCCAGGTGGCAGGTGACGAGGGATGGTGGTAGTAGGTGCCCCGAAGCACCAATCCCCTGGCTCTATTTCAACTTTAGGAGCCTACACTAATATGGTAGCCACTAGCGAGAAAATATTAGCAGTTTGGATCTGTATTCCCTGCGTTAGCCTGCAGGTGAAACTACTTCTGCGTTTTGACTTTTGTAAACTGCAGTTGACAGGATGGTGATAGTCTGACCAGAGTCAGCCAGGAAGTTCTGACCCATAGAAGGTCCTGACCTTTCGGCATATTCTTTTGGCTATTGCAACTCCAAACTGAATTACCTGCACCTGTTGTTTGTGAGAAATGCAAGGTCCAGTCTGTTAATACACCAGAACCCATATTTTCACTATTTAAACACCACTCATCCTCTCCAATGGCCTAGCACAAACATGGCCAAGCATAAAGCTCCAGAAAATATTACGGTTTCAGAGAGGGTAACAAGATCTGTATCGGTGCATACGAAGTCTACCAAGGGACTTGAACAACTACCCAGTGAAATCATCAATATGGTGCTAGATCACTTGGATCAATGGACTTTGTGTACGGTTCTTAGGTTGAACTCATCCCTATACAAGATGGCAAAAAGAAGACAAATCGGCATATTCTTGTCTACAATCCAACAATGTTCACGCGTTTGAAGTTGGATAAACACTCTACAGGTTTGCTCCTGGATATTCTTCCAATAAATCCAGAGGGTTATACGGTCATTTCCTTGAGAAATTTTGAGGACTTTTGTACCAGATGGTCGGAAAATAGGGGCCTGGTGAAGATGGTGTGCTTTTACTACAATAACCTCCGCATAAGGTACTACTCATATTGTGTTTTACTTGGCTGCAAAATAAAGATTGTGGATGAGGACATTCTGTGCAACCAGGCCATCGTAGGTTGCCACTGTGAAATCAAAATAGAGGATACTATTGTTGAGATAGAGGGCAATATACCAAGGGTATTTGAGTGGTTACACTTCTCTTTTCCGGAACAGTTATCGCTTATTGTGTCTGTGAATGGTCTCAAAGTAGGCTCCTTCAAAACTTTTGAAAACTTTGTCCCGGACATCCTCAACACGATTGTATGGAATACTGATTTTGACTTGGGACATTATTTTGAGGTTAACGATATACGATTTCGTCCAAGGACATTGGGTTTGGATAGCGAGAGTTTCCCACACCAAACCGTCGACACTTCTAGAACCCGGCACCTAAGTTATAAGGCAAATGGTGGCCAGCTGAAAGTAAGATCGTCAGATTCTCGGATATATCGATCACGAAACCTCTTGGGAAATTTACCAGAGTTTTGGAAGCTGATCTCTGATCACCAGATGCAAAGCCTTAGCTTTGATTTGACAATACCTGGACTAAACTGCTTCACGAACTTAGTTTCTTTTAGGAAAGTCAAGTTTGCAACCCAAAAAACATCAAGTTCTACTCGCATGTATCTACTCAGGTTGAATACTACTTGTTGCGCAGACTTGCACAGAAAAGGAGTGTATACGAGAGCAGGGGAAGTAGTATTCAGAAACATCGCCAAATTGCCCAAGTTACAGTATGCTGCTATCTCAAATGAATATTACTGGGTGAAGCACACTAATAATAGAGTACTTTTCGTTCCTATATTTGATACGCACTTCCCAGACAAGGGAAGGTGCAGCGTCCCAAACAAAAGTAACTGAGAGGGATTGAAAGCCTCATTTTAATGTCTGTGTCACTGGGCGATGTGTATATCACCTGGCTGCGAAACTAACAATAATTTACATTTTTAAACACCTAAATATACAAAACAAACTTGGTTTTCGCAGAAGTAGCGCTTAGTTATACAAAACATACTTGGCCTTACCGGAAGTAACACCAACAGTACATCCATCAGTTCCATCTCCATTATACTTACCATTCTCGTACACACAAGATCCACTGACAGTAGAGTCTCCATCAGCAACAATCTTGACGTTAAAGTTGGCAGCATCAAGGTTATTTGGGTTAGGAATCAATGATAAGTAAGCAATACCTCCACTGGCACCAGCTCCAAAGTTCAAAGGAGCCCAGTTACCGTATCCACTTCCAGAAGAACCCCATGTACATCCAGTAGTCCAATCGACACCAGCATTGTTCACATAGAATTGAGCAGAAGTCTTTCCTCCTTGCCAAGTATAGTAAGAGTCTTGGTCAATAGTGGTCAAAGGTGAAGACGAACCTCCACTGACAACAGTTGGAATCACCATGTTTTCAGTACCTGGGTAATCAGTTTGACAAATAGCAACTGTCTTGTCAAGTTCAGATACAACAGAAGCCTTGTTTTCACCCCATTCACACAAGTAGTTGGAGTTGGAGTTGGACTTGTACAACTTTCCGTTCTTACATAATAAACCTCCCACAGAAACCCCGTTGGAAGGTTGTTCGGAAGGCCATTGAGTTTTGGCCATACCAGGCTGACAAGCATAAGAACAGTAAGAACCTTCCTTACAACTTCCGCCAGTGGAGGTGTCAGAGTTGTAAATTCCGGACCATCCTCCGAATCCTAAGTGGTCCAAGGCAACCACACCTTGGCCTGAAGGGAAATCACTACAGTCCAACACACCATCTTCAAACTCTTCAGTGGGGTCAGAGTAGGCAGACAAGTCACCACTTGAGCCACCACTTGAGCCACCACTCGAACTTGTTTCCACAGCAGCACTGGTGGTAGCACTGGTGGTAGTACCAGTACTGGTGGTACCGGTGCTGGTAGTACTGGTACTAGTAGTAGCAAAGCTACTAGAAGTAGTAGTAGTGGAAGGAGTGGTTGCAACTGCGGCAGAAGAGGAAGCTGCACCCACCAAATTTCCGCTTCCATCAACAGTAACGGTCACATACGCATAGTCATAAACAACATCTCTCTTGTGTTTGTGGTGAGCGTGAACTCTAACTTCGTCACAGTCTTCTAAAGGGGCAGCATTGACCAATACGGCCGATATGTTAAGTAGAATAGCCAAGCTAAAGAACTTCATCTAAAGAAGTGGTTAGTAAAATAAAACAGAAAACAAAATATATCCCAATGCAAGGGGGAAACGATTGTGTCAGAACACTGCCAAACAGTATCAAAGCCCTTCTGGGTGTTTTGGTCAAGGTGATGCGAAACCAGCTTATACCAAGGCGTTTGCTTGTTGCATAACCCCAAAAAGGGCTAACCTGCAAAACGCCCTCTGCAGCCAGCCCTGGTTTCGTGTCTGAAAACAAATACGCTGGCGCGCTCGCCTTATTGGGTAAGCTAAGCTCCCAATTGGGAGCACCTGCTCGCATCGGCCCCTAAACGAGCTGTCTTTGGGGAGTCGACGCGGCCTCATGTGCAGGTACGCACCAGCCGAGTCATTTGTAAACAGAGTTCGTATCTCGTCAATACACAAGTGCTAAGCTTAATTCACCTCCTGTGCGGGTTACCCACTCGTCACCGTGATTGACAACCACGGGGGTTGCCACCCTCTTCTTGGGTTCTTCACCATGGGTGTCCTTGGGAAAGCTTTCGGGGCAACTGTACTGAAGGGATTTGGAGGCCGAAGTGTGTCTGATTTTTACACACCAGTTTTTGAAACATGGCGTGTTTAGGCCAGTTATCTGGGAGATTTGGGATGGTTACAATCGTTTGCCGGTTGTGGGATATAATCAAGTCGTAATTCAAATGTACATACCTTGTTAAACGCAACAAATTAGTATAGGAATAAAGAAAAGGAATGACAGGTTAAACCAAAAAAACCAATTTCGTTGTAGTTTGAAGAAGCAAAAACACTTGGGGGTACTGAAGGTTTTATATTGTAAATCAGAAAATATCTGTTGCAGGGAGCCAGGACTGCTTGTTTCAGCTCAATCCTTGGAACCAGCATGCTTTTTCTTGACAACCTGCAATTTTCTCCTGGGGGCTTTGTTGGTCGTGCGCCCATGTACCGCGACTTTGATTTTAGATTTTGCATCTTCTGGTTACCCCCCTGATTTCAGGATTTATGTTGCATACTTGCGACCAGTGAGCCTGGGATGCCAAAAACTGTTGGATATCGTTAAATTTGTTCAGAACACCGATATAGCTGACAACTCTTTTACATGGATGATATCCCCCCGGCGCCTTTGATACCCGTCATGGCGGGCGGTTCAGAAGGGGCGGCTGACCCCCATCTTCTCCTTCATCGTCATTTCGCTTGTGTTGCCAAGCGCTCAGTAGATTGTTGCAGTTATTGTTCTTCCCAGTTTACGGTTTTACTGTTTTCGTGTCTATTAGGGGGGTTATCTACTCTCAGCATCGTAATGTTTTCGGTTGCAGGGTTCTTTTTCGTGTTTCCCTGGTCATCTCTTGTCTCCCGCTTGGTCAAGTTGGATACGAGTCTATATATTTCCGTTTCAGATTTGTACTTACGTGTTCATGGTTCCCATGACGTACCTGTATTATTGTGGTGGGCATTCTTTTGATTTCACAACAAAATTTCACTCCTTCTGTAGTAAACACCTTCACTCGGAATCGAGCAAATGTTTGAGGAGGTGATGCACAGGTTTCGCAATTGAATGCCAAAAAATAGTGCAAACCTTCGATGGCGTGTGGACCAGGATTCTCTTGTGGAGTTGGTACAACCCTGAGGTCATCACCGGCGGCAACTACCGTTAACCGATATCTTTGCACTGATTCTCGTGTTCTCGAGAACGGTTCTATTTGTAGTCGGTGCACGCCGCGTCTGGGGATTTTTCCTCGCGAGATGAGATGAAAAGTCCATATAAACTGACTATGGAAGATACAAGCACCAATGCACCAGAGGTGGTTAATGCTGAGGTTGTTACTGTTGAGGATCCAGGTATTGCTTCTTCCTCTCAAGTTGCGGCCACCGAGGTCAATTCGAAGCCTGCTTCTCCCCTTGAGGATCCTATTGCAGTTGTCGGGGAGGCTAATGGATCTGACAAACCAGATGAGGACACTGTCAACACCATACAAGTGGACCACGCTGTCGACCCAGAAATCACACAAGAAGACACCACGGCTGAACCTGATCACTCCAAAGACAACGAATCAATTCACTCCTTATCCGATGATGAAATCCAGATCGACTCTAACTCAGAATCAGAATCAGACTCATCTTCATCCTCTTCAGAGTCAGATTCAGACTCTGACTCTGACTCTGACGCCGCCGTCGATGGTGATGAAGTGTTATCCGACAACGAAGATGACAAGATCACAGGACCAATCATTTCCAAAAACGAGGTGATAAACGAAGTGGCTCCTTCACTTCCCGAAGACTATACCTTAGCTGATAAACCCATCGAGCCCATTGGGAAGATCACTGGGTTTGTGGACAATAGTGTAATCATCAAAGGGGACACCTCGGCCGAGTTCAGAGTATTGAAAGAAAAGTCTGTTTTGTGTTTGAAGGATAAAGTAATTGGACCGCTTTTCGAAATCTTTGGAAATCTCAAAATGCCTGTTTATCGAGTTAAGTTTAATGAACCCGACAAGGTCGAGGAGTTCAAGGCTCTTAAAGGAGAAGAAGTTTTCTATGTGGTACCCGATTCTGAATTCACTTTGACTGAAACCCTCAAGTCATTCAAGGGATCTGATGCTTCTAATTTCAATGATGAAGAGATCCCAGCAGAGGAACAAGAGTTTTCTGACGATGAGAAAGAAATGGCTGCGAAAAGAAAGAGAAAGGGTAAAAACCCAGATAAGGTGCAGAGTAAGAAGGAAAAGCCTTCGAGATCTTTACACAACCAAGGCAAGAGGACTTTCACTACCTACAACCAACCTCAACAATTCACTTCATATAATGCTCCTCAAGAGCCTTCTTTTCCTCAGCTGCCTCAGACCCAACCTCTGCTTTACGGACTGTCTCTCCCATATAAACCGCAGTTTGTAAATCAGACCAACAGATCTTCAATTAATGAGGCTTCTCCCTATGGAGTTCCTATGAACCTGTTCCAGCAGCCTTTTGCATCTCAACAGCACCAACCCCAACAACCATTCCCACATCAACAACCCCAACAACCATTCCCACATCAACAACCCCAACAACCATTCCCACATCAACAACCATCATCGCTTCCTCCAACTCCATCTTTTGCTCAACCTTATAGACAACCATACAATCAGCCACTTCAATATGGCCAACCAATGAATGATGGCCAACCATACGGACAGTATAATCCTACCCAATCTCAGCCTAATTCTAATCAAAACGACCAACTTACAAACGCTTTGGCAAACGCATCGCCGGAACAGTTGAAGTTGTTAGAACAGTTACTCAAGAGCCAGCTCAACAAATGAATGACCGTGTATAATACTTGTACTATATATTTGTTAATTGCATCTTCATCTAGAGAGCCTTGTATGCTTTATTAGCAATTTTCAAGCTATACTTGGGGAATCCTGCTAATTGTGCTACTTCTATAGCGTAACTTCTTTCACTGATTCCCTCTTCTAGCTTATGATTGATGGTCAAGTGGATTTGGTCCCCTTGCTTTTCCGTAACAACTCCAGTCTTGAAGAAACCAATGCTTTGCTTTGTAGTTGAGTCACTATCAAGTAGTTGCTTAATTTCATTGCCAAAATGAGTTGCAAAAAGAGTTCTGCATTTGTTAACTTTAATCAAACTCACTAATGTGGCATAAGCAATTGCTAATCCTTCTCTACCGCTTGTGCCCCTTCCCACCTCATCCACAATAGCTAGTGACTTTTTGGTGGCATTCTTCAAAATGTTGCTTACTTCCACCATCTCCACCATAAAAGTACTGAGATCATTAAACAAATCATCTGATGCTCCTATTCTGGTGAACAATTTATCAACCGTATCCATTTGGCATTTTGAAGCAGGCACGAAACACCCGATTTGAGCAAGAACCACAATGATAGCGTTTTGTCTCAAGAATGTACTCTTTCCTCCCATGTTAGGGCCTGTGATGATCCATTGTTTCAGATTCCTATTCAACTTGGTATTATTGCTTGTGAAGTTTGATCCGATATTTTTCAAACTTGACTCAACTACAATGTGCCTTCCTTCTTCTATTACAAGCTGGTTGCCTTGAATAAACTGTGGACAGCATAAGTTGAACTCATGGGACAATTTGGAGAAGGATAAAGTTACATCAAGAAAGTCAAGAAGTTTGCTTAATCTTCTAATCTCTACCACCTTTTGAACGGTCTTCTCCTTCAAGTTGTTGATGATTTGATTTTCTAATTCTTGGATCTTTTCCAACTGTTGGCTGATCTCAAATTGGAGAAACTTCCAGTCATTTGACTTGAATAGGACCATGTTTTTCCTCTTGTCCCTGATGTGTTCCTGAAACTCCTTGTTGATTAAATCAATCAGTTTGGACTTGCCATTCACGTATATCACATCGTAGAATTTGGCATGTTGCTGTTTTATCTGAACCGTTAGTTTGTCATCTATTTCAAGGAACTTGTCCCTGATAGAGGCAAAGAGAATGCTTTCTTTATCTTTCATTATTGCTAGACTCTCGTGCAACTCTTTCAATTCATCATTGTGGTCCTTTTTCACCATGAATTGGACCATGTCTTGGCTTCTTGAAGTGTTTGACTCTAGTTCAGTGATTGTATCTTCTTCCAACACTCCCTCTACTCCAGGCAACAGGACTACTTCAAACGTATCATTGATCTCGGTTGCTATCTCAGAGGGAACTTTGAACTCCATAAGGAAATTGTCGATCAAATCTTCGAATTCACTTGGACGATTAGACGTCAAAAACTGTTTCAACTCATCCGAAGTTTGCAACCCCAGAGATATAGACTTTAAGTTGCCGATTGTATCACCTGTTCCCAAAGTCAATCTCTGAGCACTCCGAACAAAATCATCAATGGAGTTCAATAGCTTCTCGATGATCGTGGCTTGATACTGATTGTTGAGGAAAAACTTGACAAACTCTTGTCTATGCTTGATTTCATCGATATCTAGTATGGGAGACTTAATCCATTCGGTTAATAGCCTGGTCCCAGAGGGTGTGACAGTTTTCTTGATGGTGTTTAGTAATGATCCCACAGTCAAAGATTTACCACTGGTCCCACTATTACGTTCAATCAACTCCAAAGCATCTCTGGTTCTAGAGTCCATTTGTAAATACTTCTCGTTCCAGTATTTCATAGGCAAGTCCAAAGAAGGGTTTCTTTCGGGCAAGTTCACATTTATATACGAAAGAACCATATTCATGGCTGCCTCCTCCCTAACCGAGAATGTCTCAATAAGTTTTCTTATGCCATTCAAGTTCGATTTAAACAGGAGCTTAAGATCATTATAAGCAGTTTTGTGATACCGTATAAAATACTTTCTTAAGTCGTGCAATCCTGAGTACCAAGCGGGTAGGTCTTCATTAATGAATTCTTTAGATATTATGATTTCACTGGGATTGACTCTTGAGATGTCTGAGATCAACTCCGAAAGTGAGGTCTGTTGAACGTAAAAGTCACCTACTGACAAGTCTATCCACGATATCCCCACTGGCATGTCGGGATCGTGGGGCTGTTTGTTGCACCCAGTTGGGAAAGAAATCGCCAAAAGATAGTTGTTTTCGTTGTAATTCATGAAGGTTTCGTCTACCAAGGTTCCGGGTGTGACGATTCTAGATACTTTCCTATGTATCATTTTATCTCCTATCGTCTCTTCTCCAGGAAATTGGTCTATAATGGCCACATTAACTTGCAAGTCTTGTACAAGGATTTTCACGTACTTTTGAAGCTGGATCACCGGGAATCCTGCCATAGGAACATTATGATTTGACGTTTTTCTTGTGGCTACCTTCAAGCCTAGTTTGGATCCATAAGTCTCCGCTTGTTCAAAATACAATTCGTAGAAACTTCCGACTTGTATCAAGCAGACAGCACCGGGATTGGCCTCAATATACTTTTTTGAAAGTGAGTACAATGGAGTCAAACTGTTCAGTTTGGTGTTTCCACCTCTGTCCCAATCAAACGATTTGGAATCGAACTGAGGAACGGGATCAGCATACTCAACAGACCCAGCGCTATATTCTCGGTATTTCCATGTGAAAGAGCTGGCTCTGTGGTCGAATGAGTAACGTAGTCGGGCGTACGGCTGTTTTTTAATATATTCCACACTCTTGACATCGCTAACCAGTATGAAAAATGCGGTCGCGTCTTGACAGAATGAGTTCTATACTATATTATTACTATAATTATAATTATACAGGGCTAGTTTAAGTAGCCTTTACAACCAGGGGCCCCACAGAGACACCTAATTCTCTCGCTATCATTTGTTTCCCTCTCGAACTTATAATCGTATGTCAATTCCTCATTGGCCTCAATGTCTCTCAATGCATAGATGACAATTCTCTTTTTACCATCGACTTTGATGATTTTGGCAGTACAACTGGGACTACAACAATGGTTGATAAATCTGGCAATACCTCCTTTCTTTGTGGCATCAATCACTGTGTTTTCATCAATCCTGAATAAGTAAGAAGAGCCAATTCCGGTTTTCAAATAGGATCTTTCGCGATGCTCTGCAACTTGTTGTCTGATACTTTCACCCACGTATTCAATAATCATTTCTTTGGCTGCAATTGGTTCCAAAGCGTACAATCCCCAGTTGTGGATGGCCGATCTTGCAAAAGAGACGGGCTTTTTCCGCTTGGCCAATGTGTTTAGACTCAAAATATCTGTTTCACTTCCTATGGCCTGTTTCTGAGCACTAATATCGGCAGCGAACCTTCTGTTGTTAGCTCTGTTGACTCTGGAACTGTGGATGTTGGAGCTCTGTTGGTTGGACTTCTCCATGTCATCATCATCATTCTGGATTGTCTTCAACGGTTTATCAACTTTACGACGATGAGGCAAGTATTCAATCTTATCCTGGTCGCTGATTTTCTTATATCCATCACTCTTGAAAGATCCGGTAGTGGATTCCAAACGGGAGTCCAAGGGAAGAATTAACTCTTCATCATCTTGAACAATATCTGGAATATTCCTAACTTCCTCTCTCATCTTCCAGGCCCAGTATTGGATGTTCTTGATATCTTTATTTGGCTCTTGTTCCAGTAAAACCTCTTTAAGCAATTCATAATCTTCTTCATCCTTGACCATATCTTTCAATTTTTCAATATCAAATTCGTCTTTAGGCAATGGATAGCGGGTTTCATACACGGGACGAGGGAAATCGAACGTTGGCTGATAAACTTCGTCCAATTGAGAGTAGTCCACATCATCTTTAGTTTCTTCAGATGATTCTTGTGCCTTTGCCTTCGCCTCTGTTTCGTCTCCGTCAACTTCCATGTCATCTTCAGAAGACTGGTAGAGAAAAGTTCTCTTTATTTTCTTGTGTTTGACGTCGTCTTTCTCGTCCTGGGCTTCTGTAGTCACGCTTATAGCGGAGCTGTGCTGTCTCTTTAGTCCAGGAACCGGAGTCATTGACCTACTCGACTCATCTTCCGACTCGTCCGAATCAACGTCGTAGTTGAGTGCATGCAGCATGGGAATAAGGGCTCTCTTTTTCGGTTGAGCTTTGGTAGTGGGAGGTTTCTTTCTAAAGCTTGGTAGAGGTAGGACCTGTGTTCTCTTAGAAGCCAAGAGCGACATGGCCTCCTGTCTGAGTAAGTTTGATGAGAATAGTGGGGCGGAATTCTCCTTCTTTTGAGCAGCTTCTTGAGCCTTCAATTCGGCCATTATGGTTGGATATTTATCATCTGATAACAAGTCGAGAATCACAGGAGCTATGATTCTTTCTCTGATATCTTTTGTCAAGTACGTTTCAAAGTCTTTGATTAACATATTAGCGGCTTCATTGACAACATCCGTAGCCCTTCCGATTTCATTGTTACTGTCACTGTAGAATCCTTCGGGGATACACATTTCCATAATCATCGAGTATTCATAGAACTTCACGCCGTCCTCTTTGTAGAAACACCTCTCACATTCCTTTAGTGAGTTAAAAACAATAAAGAAACCTTCTCTTTCACTTAACACTCTGGTCCAACTGTACTTATTTAATACTCTTTTGATGTCCAGAGAAGCGATTCTCTTCGTGGGGATGTACTTATCACGTATGAATATGAAGGGCCTATCTTTAATATACCGATTCAAATCAGTAGGTAAAAACACCCCTGATACCACTTTATTTTTGTGAACAATAGACGTAATAGTGATGTTGGACTTCTGTTTTTTAGGCTTGGTTGAAGGCTCTTTCTGAGTTGTGACTTGGAACAATTTGTTGGGCAGATGAGCCTTCTGTTGTTCCAACTTCTGTCTCTTTTGTTCTTCTGACTTCTGTCTCTTCTGTTCTTCCTCAAAAAGCTTAGCTCTCTTCTTCTTCTCCTCTTGCAACTTAAACAAAGAGGCCTTCAATTTGGCTTCAGCTGCTCTTATCTTACCATTCAAGAAGTTGCTATCATGGTCGTTTAAGCCGACTTTCACTTGCACACCGTCCATCTTAATTCCGCTTTCTTTCGAATCTTTTATCACTTTGTCAGCCAATCTAGCCGATTTCTCCAATTTTCCTTGAAACTCAAAAGTTGCAATTCCAAGCGGTACACCGTTCACCGAGTCATTAATGAACTTAAGGTCCTTGATGGCATTCCCATAGGTTTTGAAGTAATTGGACATGTAGATTTCGCTGACAGTGGTAGGTAACTCCCAAATAACAATTTCCGTCAAAGGAGCCGGTCCTAACGAATCTTTATTATAGACAAATTTTGTTTGGGGAAGTTGTTTGAAAGGAAACTTTTTGGATCTCTTATTTGGTTTGTTCAAGTATGAATCCAATCCTCCTTGAAAAGTCAATCTTGGGTCAAATGACTTGACGGTCTTGAGATCACGGAACTTCAATTTGGCATGCTTCAGTTTTTTCTCTGCTTTTGAAAGCGTCTTATCCAATTCAGGGTCGTATACCACTTTGAAAGTCTTGGAGCTATCCACTGGTGTCGAAAACTCAAGCTTACCCAAATAGTTACTGTGTATCATTAGTGTAGGAAACTTTTCATCGTGTGAGTTTATTCCAGTATCAACATCAGTTCCCAGCAACTCATTTTTTGCCACGTTCAACGATTTGGCAATGGGTAGCCGTTCATGTGCCACCGTCCGCGGGCTGTGAGATGCTGAAGTAGCTCTGGATGCAATGCTATTGGTTTGAGGAGATTGAGGAAATGGAGACCACGTAAAGGCTCTTCCGTTACCGGAGGAAGGTTTATTTTCCGGATGATAACTCAGACCGTATGACTTTTTTATGCTGTTGGGATGAGCTCCGTAGCCGTTTCCATTCTCTTGGGGCTTGTGTCGATGGCCGTAACCATAATTATAATTGTTGTAGGACATGGCCAGAATATAGCATAAAGACCAGGTAGAGACAGGTGGTTAAGTAAAGCCCAATCACGCGTCAAAAGGGGGTTGTGTAATGAAAACAATGAGAAGACACCCTTTATGGTCGGTGCAGGGTGGAATGTTTTACCGATATCAAAGTAACTGTTAAAAAAACCTTGTGGATATGGAATCTAAATATTCAAAATCAACGCTCCTCACTTGAAAGTGCGTACAGGAATTTCGAATGAGATGAGAAACATTGCAAGAAGATCTGAAAAAATGGGCGAAGAGATGCATTTTCTGACGAGGCCCGTACCGTGATGTGAAATTAGCCTCAAAGATTACCTCACTTGGCTTAAGTGGTTATTGGCGGCTGTGCTATGGATTAAAATGTTTACTTGGGGATTCTAGTTGGCTTCTATTCTGTTTATTAATATACACAACCGGGGCGATGGCAGAACAGATTTATATGAATATCAAGATGCAGTGTTCTTCGACTGGTGGGTTTGGTGGGGAGGATGAGTTTATTTGGTTCTGATATGCTTTAATGGGCCTGCAGAATGGTAGAAATTGGCAGAGTAGTCCTTCTTTCTGAACTTTCTTTCCTTGGGTTCATAGATATAATAGTCCCAACCCTGACCGTCAGCAAACCTGATGGCAGCCTCCTTATTGTCAAATCTGAGACTGGTGGCATTCATTACATCGGCAGTACCTTGGTACCCCATCAAATCGTTTTCCCACCGGTTGCTTTTGCCGACAATATCCCAGTCTATTCTCCAAGATCTACCATCGTTATTACTGGACTGGGTGGCAGCCTTGGCAGGTTTATAGATTCTTACTACTCTGCTGGTGACGGAGTCTGGAGCACCCGACACCACCTCTTTAGGAACTTGAGGATTATAGAGATCTGGAGTGAGTTTTCTGACGGGTGCTGACACCATGAACAGACGCACTCCGACGGACCGGCTGGAGCTGTTGACTAAAGTTCTGAACGAAATCATTATCCAGAAAAACCTGTGAATTACCAAATGTGTTTTTCTCACTTTCTGGTTGGTTCAAACCGAGCGAGCACAAACCGGCGTGTGCACACCATCCCACCCGTCCTACAATCAAAGAACGCGCTTCACCAAGCTCTTTACATATGAGTCTCCATGTTAAAACTGCCATTAAGAATGTGGCACTTGGTATCCTGGATCCAATCCCGGCCCAAGTGCTCTCCTACTGTGAGCGCCTCTACGGCCAGACTCTTCACAAACGTCTACCTAAGTCCTACGAAAGTGCTAGGTACCATATCTGTGCCTTCTTGTCAGTCGAAAAATACCTGAGCACATTCAATCTACCGTCTCCAGACTTTAAACGGATCCCCATCCCCCCAAAAAAGTGTCTCACTACATTAGAAGACTTTCGTTTGTATTTGGATTCGGTCAAGTCGGCTTTATCAACTCCCACAAAGCAATCACCACATTCATCGCCTTTAGCCAATTTGCCTATTCCTCAGTCTCCTTTTCAAGAAACATCCTCTGCTATGGGATACACATCAGTGCAGCTAAACGGGAGTCCGGTGAAGCTCTCACCGTCCCAGTCGGTCCCTCGTGGGCGTAAACGAGGTTCTCTTCACGAAACTTCTACACCCACCAGATCGTCTCCACTTAAAAAGTTAAGGGCCATTGCAAACGAAACGCCGTCGGCGGAACAAAGTCCAAGCATTGTTAGATCTATAGCGAGTCCTTTTCTTACGCCGAACTCGAAAGCGGTAAAACCGTTCAAAGTGACAGAAGATTCGGTGTCTATCGTGCAACTTATTCAACTTTGTAACACCTTCTACATGCCAGCTTCTGTCACCGTCAGTATCATCCAGGAGTTCATCAACCAGAGGCACAAATTTGTAAAGAAAAGTGACTGGTACCTCGCGTGTGGATTGATCTACGCTGCTTCGCTTCGTATAAACCATAGAATCATCAAAGATAAGCCAGACTACGGAGAGACGTTGGTTACACAATTCATACGACAGAGAAGTAAACTCAAAAAACCCAACTTGATCTACTGGAACACCTTGATCAACGAAGGGGTCAAGAATCAGCCCTGGATCATCGAAATTGAAAATACCTTTATGTTTGGGGTTCAAAGTCTGCAGGCTGAGAAGAAGGAAAACGACTATAGGCTTGGAATAGGCGCTGAAACATACGATAGACTAGGTATGATGAACAATTCCCATTCCAACATTCTATCCGACTCACAACAATCATACTACAATACCTGGTCATCTAATGTATTGCTGCAAATTGAGTAGGTCAGCTCTTTCGTGCACCGCAGCCTTTTTTTCGTGAATCGCATCTTCACATCAACATTTTAAGACCTTTTTTTTCACAGTTGCCAGTATACAAATTAATTTTATAGGGTATATCAGCACTAGAGCGGCTCGTATTACATATTTCCTCGTATTTTATACGTCCATAAGATCCATTTGACGCTCGTTCCCTAGACCTTGTTTTTCCCCGTCACTTTGCATATTTTTCACATCACTAATCATCCATCGATTCCCAGACAAGAATGACAAATCCAAGCCTTTCAACAAAGAGAAGAAGATCTGAAATCTCCACGGGCATACCATCCGAAACTGATCCAAAACGTTTCAATGGACAAATAAAGTCCGACATGGAAGAAGACACACAGTCGTACTATTCCGATACCGACTCCCAAATCCCAGTAGTATTCGAAAACGAAACAAATAATACCACGGTGTGGCAGTCGACTATAACCAAGGTGGTTAAATCAGTTGTTTCCATCCAGTTCAGTCATGTGGCCAATTTCGATACCGAAACAGCCATTGTTAGTGAAGCTACGGGTTTTGTGGTGGATAACCAGAGAGGTTTGATCTTAACCAATAGACATGTCGTAGGACCTGGCCCTTTTTGGGGTTATGCTGTGTTTGATAACCATGAAGAAGCAGTGGTTAAGCCAATTTACAGAGACCCAATCCATGACTTTGGATTTTTGCAATTCGACCCTTCTGACATTAAACATATGGAACTATCCCAGTTGGAGTTAAGACCCGACTTGGGAACTGTAGGGACCGAAATCAGAGTGGTCGGTAATGATGCGGGAGAAAAGTTGTCGATTTTATCTGGTTTTATCTCCAGGCTGGACAGAAATGCCCCTGACTATGGTTCGTTGACCTATAATGACTTTAATACCGAATATATTCAGGCTGCTGCTAGTGCAACTGGTGGTTCCTCGGGAAGTCCTGTTATCAACGAAGATGGGTATTCTATTGCCTTACAAGCAGGTGGGTCATCTCAAGCTTCGACCGATTTTTTTTACCTGTTTTCAGACCCTTGAGAGCATTGAAGTGCATCCAACAACAACTTCCAATCACCAGGGGAGATATTCAAGTCGAATGGCAATTGAAGCCTTATGATGAATGTCGTCGTTTGGGATTAACGCCAGAGGTTGAAGCCAAACAAAGAGAGCTTTTCCCTGAAAAAATTGGAATGCTTGTTGCTGAGTTAATATTACCAGAAGGGCCTGCAGATGGTCTCATTAAGGAAGGTGATACTTTAATCTCTATTAATGATGAACCTATCTGCACTTTCATTAAGGTGGACGAAATTCTTGACGAAAGTGTGGGTAAGGACTTGACGTTTGTCATCCAAAGAGGTGGTACCGAATTAACTCAAACCATCAAAATTGGTGATTTACATGCAATTACCCCAGATAGGTATGTGGAAGTCGCTGGAGCCTCGTTCAATACCCTTTCTTACCAAATTGCAAGATGCTACTGTATGCCTGTGAGAGGTGTCTACATCAACAATGCTTCCGGTTCGTTTGAATTGTCCCCATTCGAAAAGAATGGTTGGTTATTGGAATCTGTTGATGATAAGCCAACCCCGGATTTGGATACCTTTGTCGAGGTCATGAAGCTGATTCCAGATTTGGATAAAGTTGTCATTACTTACAGACATGTTTCAGACATGCACTCGGAGTTATTCAGAGTGGTTTATATCGATAGGCATTGGTGCTCAACGTTCAGACTCGCTCAAAGAAATGATGAGACGGGTCTCTGGGATTACAAAACTATTCAGGAAAATCCTATCCCACCAACTCAACCCACTCCAAAATATGCTAAGTTCATCGATATTCCGTTTATCGATGAGTCCAGATCGGAATGTTCTAAGATGGTCCGGTCCTTCGTCCAAATCAGTGCATATTGTCCAATTTCATTGGATTCTCATCCTTACAAGAAATTGATTGGTCATGGGGTTATTGTAGATGCCGCAAATGGATATGTGTTGGTTTCAAGAAGAAACATCCCTCATGACTTATGTGATGTGTTGATTATCTTTGCTGAGTCTATTGATGTGCCGGGTAAGGTGGTTTTCTTGCATCCCCATCAAAACTATGCTATTGTCAAATATGACCCATCTCTCATTACTGCTGATGTCAGAACCCCAAAGTTTGGCTCTAAGCCTTTAAAGAGAGGTGAAACCTCGTTGTTTGTGGGATACAACTACAACATGAGGCTCGTCACTGAAGATGTAAAAGTCAGTGGAGTTTCGTCATTAAACATTCCTGCTGCCGTATATTCACCTCGTTACAGAGGTACCAACTTGCAGTGTATTTTACTTGATAGTAAGTTGTCACAAGAATGCTACACTGGTATTTTGTGTGATGATGATGGTACAGTTCGAGCATTTTGGTTGACGTATCTTGGTGAAACCAATAGGGAAGTCGATGCTGACAAAACGTATAGAATGGGTTTGGATGTTACCGATGTGTTGGAAGTAATTGAATTGCTCCAGAAAAATGAGATTCCAAAGCACTTGAATATAATTGATGCTGAGTTTACTTCTGCCACCGTTTTCCAAGGAAGAACCAGAGGTATTTCTCAGGAGTGGATCACCAAGTTTGAAGAAGCCTGTGAAGATGAAATTTCCTTCTTAGTCGTTGATAGGATCGTTGCCTCACCTTTGGATCAAGCACCTATTCCTTTGAAGACTGGTGATGTACTTCTTTCCATCAACGATAAGCTTGTAAAGGAAATGAGAGACCTCAACATTATGTACGAATCTGATAATATCAAGTTTAAAGTTGTCAGACAGAAGAAAGAGATTGAGTTGGTTGTTCCTACCGTTGACACTGACGCTTTGAACACTACTCATGTGCTATTTTGGTGTGGTGCTTCAATTCAAGCCCCACATCATGGTGTTCGTCAACAGATGGAAAGGATTCCTTCAGAGGTCTATATCACCAGTAGAGGTAGTGGAGCACCTGCTCAACAGTACGACTTAGCACCTATCAGTTTCATTACCCATGTCAATGATAAAGAGACAAAAGACATGGTGTCTTTCATTAATGTAATCAAGGGTATTCCTGATCAAACCTACGTGAAAATTAGATTGGTTTCTTTTGACAATATTCCAATTGCAATCTCCATGAAAACCAATTACCACTATTTCCCCACCTCCGAGTTTAAGAAATTGGATAGTAAGTGGGAGTCTATAGAACATAATTAGAAGGTGAATTTAATATCTGCATTCTTTTATATCTTGTATTGACTTGGCTATTTACAAATGTCGTTTCTATAGTACAAATGGGATATGATCAGGGATTTTCAGAGGTATTGCTTCAACTTCTTCAAATGACCACCTTTGTTTGTAACTGGGACAAACGAGTCTAAATGGCTCAAGGTGTTAGAACTGAATCTACCATTTCCGTGGTTTCTACCAGCTTGCTTTCTCTTGAATCCATTACCAGTTTTAATGAATCTTTTGGCAGCTGCCTTGTGGGTTTTCATCTTATTTCTTGTTTGAATCAAGATGGTTGATATGGGATTTCTCTGAAACACCAACCTGCTAGTGCTACTGATTAACGAACCAATCATTCTTGATGACACAGCTTTTTATTGCACCAGATTTTTCATTTCCTCTTGAAAAGTTCTCACCGCGAGCAACAAACTTGTGCGTACACGACTCATGATAGTATCAAAGTTAGATGGACTTGAAGAGTTCACTCAGAATCACTTGAATACCCTTCAATAATTGATTTTGAAGTTTGTGTTGACTTTCCACTATTCGTGTTGATTTTATCATAGGTTTTAGGAGACGTATGTAGCATCTCTATGGTATTTTCTGGGTGATAATTGTCTTTAGCGGAGACAAACTCTCTAACTTCTTTGAGTTCGACACCTTGTAAAATCTTGGTCTTCTTCTTGAGTATATTATGTGTATCCTTCTTGCTGATTCTGGTGGTTTCAGAATTTTTACTGTATTTTTCGCCTACTATTTTCTTTTTGAGTTGAAACTTGGCTAGCTCTTCTTTTTCTGTTTCCTTTCGTATTCTTTCTTCCCTTCTTTCCTTTTCTCTTAGTTCATTATAATACTCAAGAGACTTCTCATCTAGCTTGTATGACGAATTTCTAGCTTCCAATTGCTTTCTGTATTCGATTTCTTTCAATTCTAGATATCTGCGTTAGTCTCACGCTGAACATACGGCATAACTGGATTCAACGTACCTTTACTTTCCCGGATTTGCTCAGCTAGTGTTTTCTTGGATACCCCTTCTTCATCGCTGAAGTTCTGGTTTCTATCTTGAGGAACATTGACTGAATCTCCCAATTTTACAAAATTTGGCATCCTGCTTCTCACATAAACAATCTTGGATCAAAACACATTTCTGTGAAATTCGCAATTTGCAGTTGGCTGCCAAAACATTAAAACAAATAACTTTTTTTATATTTCCGTACGTAAAAACCTATGAATAAGACCTTATTGTTGCTTAACCTGATCTTTATTTAAAGCAAAGTATCTTGGTTTTCTGAAGACATGATACTTGTGACCTCTAATTCCTCTACCTTTAAATTGGGAGGGCATCTTCAAATCATTAGGCACTTTCCTTTCATCAATGAAATGGTTTCCGTATAAGAAATCCTCGTCCATTTCTTCTTTCTCTTGTTCGCTCAACAACCTGAACTTTGCGACTTGTAACTCGGTGTCAGTGATGGTAGAACGAGATATTCTGGCATAAGCAACCTTCTTCAAGTCTCTGAACATGATATATTCACACCATCTGTCCCAATCAGTACTGTCAATATCATGCATTCTGGACTTCTCACTAGCATAAGTGAAATAGTTTCCTTTCAAAGGTTCTGTCACCAAGTAACTCAATAAAACCAATGGTCTGGTAGAGTTAGCCATGATTTCAGCCACTCCTAAACTTTGTAATCTTCTATCTTCAACATCTTCTTCTTGTCCCGAATGGAAGACAACAACATCGACCAATTCACCATAAATGTCCAACGTAGCTTCGATAGCTGGGGCCAATTCACCGACGGGGGAAGGTAATAAATGATGCTTGGAGCTAATAATAGGAAACTTCGATAATAAGGCAGCACCCCAGGTGTGTTTATGAGGCCCTGGACCATAGTCCACGTACATTCCCAAATCTTCGGCAATTTTTTGTGTAAAATCTCTGTTTCCACCAATTAATCTCTCGGAATCCGATTCCAATAACCCAACGATATCCAACTCAGCATCTTTAATTAAATCTCTCATTCTGTCATGACTTGACCACATATCGTTGTCCAAGCCAAAGTGGATACACCAGATACCAGCAGTGAAAGATTTCAGTCCAGAATTGTATGGTTTGATTGATGATGGTGGAGGTGGGTATCTTTGGAAAGTGACTGAAATACCCAAGGCCAATAAAACAGAAAGGACCGTAAATGCCTTGTAAAAAATAGATTTACTAACATAATTGAGTTTGGTAATGTTAGATGCTCTCGTTCTCAAGTTGTAGTTCAATACCCCGGCAAGAACGCATACGTAAGACCCAAACAAAACGATATCAGTTCTTTCTCTTAATACCTTTCCAACCGGAACAAAAGCATATGCGACGATCCAAACACTTGCTAAGCAGAATGCCACGCAGAAAAACAATCCCAAAGTGTACACCAGACCGGCGTTATAACCAAGAGTTCCTTGGAACACAATTGGTGTGATGGAGACCAAATAGAAAGAGAAGACAGTTGCACCTGCAAAACCATACCAGTCTTCGAAAAAGTATAACACACCACAGCTGACACCACCAATTAAAAGATTGTAGAAGAAGCTTCCTGTCCAATACGGATGAGCTTCAATGGAAAATAAAACACCCAAAGAGATGGCCAAGATGTTGAACAATGCGCCCGTAATAGGAGTAGGTCCTGTAATGGGGAAACCGCTCCAATTCCAAAACACAAGTACAGAAGTATCCGTCAAGTAAGCTAATAACGAGAATACCAATCCCCCAATTCCAATAGCCGACAAAAGTATAGATCCTCCTTTATAGGTAATTGGTTTGGTAGATGCAAGTTCTTCTCGTTTGTACCCTGGGGTAAGTAAACTTGCAGCCATTCCAACAAAAATTCCAATTTCATTTTTACCACCATTAGCTTCGTTCATAGAAGGCCAGATGGGGTTGTTCGTGTAGTACATGTATTTCAAGACAGAGCTCACCAACAATCCAACCACAAACCCAATGATATAAGTATTGAATTTTTTTGGTAAAGTAGACAAAGCTGTAATTTCTCCAACAAAAGATAAAACCGAAAAGAATGTTCCAATGGCAATAGACATCAATTTATCTTTGGGCTTGATACACTTGTAAGCACCAATGCCAAACAAAACCCCCAAAGACCTCGTTACCAAGGGAAATCTTTGTACAAACCTTTTCGCAGGAGGTATGAACATAAATGATGGAGCCAAGAATATGACAATGATGCAAGCCTCATATCCAGAAATCCCTAAATCCCACAACGGAAAGTACCATACACATAAGAACAAGGCAGTGATATTCGTCCAGACCACAAATGAATTGATGGTATGGACACAGAATTCAACAAATGAGAAATCATCATCGGGTTCCACTTCGGTGCTTAATTTTACCTTCAGTTTGGATGTCCCTATGGTATAGGACAAGGATGAATCCGAAATGGTGAAGGTCAATTGGTTGAAATCAAGGACAGACCATGTGTCGAAACCAATGTCCAAGATGATTAGCAGCCACTCAAAATAGGCGTAGATGGAGTATGCACCAGGTCTAACATGGACTTTATGCTGAATAAACCAGTAAACCAAAGGTATTAATGTGGCGAAGAATGTGATGGCTGTGACAGATCTTCCCTTACGAACTGAGGAATTTTTGGGTGAATAGTAACTCACACCAACGGTCCATGGAATTGTCAAAAGGATATAACTGATCATGAAAATATCGTGCCAGTCGTGATCATCTGTCGAAGTGATGTATACCCAGCCCCCACAAGTGAAAGTCCTGATGACCCCGGCTATAAGAGTGGATGAACTCTTGTTCAACAAATAGTTGCAAAAGAGTAAAAGAAATCTGGGTCCCGAGGTGACTGCAATTAAAATCTGGAAGATCGATCTTTCAGGATACCTATCACCAATTGTAGCAGAAACCGAAGGAAACCATTCATCTGGATACCCGAAGGATGAGTTTTTAACGATTTTATGATAGTGTAACCAAGAACCCACGATTAACGCTGAAAAAAAGGCACTAGATGCAAATATCCCATGGGCATATGCAATGTATTTGGCATTGAAACGAATGGGGCTGTTGGAGCCTTCGGAAGGCGAACTTGTAGACAGCGGTGCGGTTACCTCCACAGAAGGTGACTTTTTAGCTCCCATTATCTGTCTCAAACAGCAAATTCAATGTGATTTCAATATTCGATTTGACGCTCGCTTAGCAAACGCTCCTCCTCAATAGCCGTGCACCTACCACAAAAATTCTCACTGAGTGCGAGGAAAAAAAACTAGCCAACCAGTTAAATTCAAGTTAATTACTCTGTAAGCTTGGTTTACAATATAATAATGGGTATGTTTGAATTAGCGTGGAGTGATACAAGATCACTGGGCACACAAAGACTTTAAAGTACCTTCCCCACTCCTTTGTGAATCGCGGTAGGTGCGTGCGTCGAGTACACAACACAATACTAACTTGTTCAGGTGTGAGTAACTACGAAAGTCACAAAAGACCGGACTTGGTATCGTTTGACGATATCGACTACGAAAACTTCGCTGATGTCCAGAAGGCCAGGGACTCCATGACCAGAGAACAATGGATTAAGGTGTTTGAAATCAAAGTTACCCATGAAGCGTTGAGAAAGTGTAAGCGTTACCATGGAGAAGATGCACAAAGAAACTGTAGGCCTTTGATTTTGAAGTACATGAAGATGATAGAGAGAACCCCATTACAAGGATACTTGGGATACCAAAAGAACGATCCATCCCAATAATTTATGGGAGTTAGAGAGAAATCTATGAATTGACGAATCCGATAGATGAAAAATTACCAGAAAAAGAGCCGTGTAACCCAAGTCATTCCAAGGTCTATTTATTATGTATATTTACAACTTACATCCACCAACACGAACCTTTTTAGCATATAATATATATTAGAGAAAACTCGCCCTAGACATGGCGGAGAGCAGCGCGAGCGCTTCGCACCAAGTCCCACCAGCACCTTTCGCGACCTAAACCAACTCAGCGTGCGTATACCAACACCGAGAACCAATTAAATTTTGTTGTCACCGCACTGAATCCGAACCAACAACTATTGAAATTTTTCGATTCTTCAATATATTCGATAATTGAACCAAAATGTTTCGTTTAGGTGTTAATCAAATTGCCCGTCCTAACGGTGCAAGGTATGTACATAACTACACAAGTCACTAGTCCTGGGCTGATATTGCGAATCGTTCAAAGAAGACTCCGGCTGAATCCTCCTGTTCCGAACATCGCCAATGTTGAGTAAAAACACACATCTGTTCAGTATAGGCTATTTGCCGTCCCAATTGACTTTGCATAATTCTACATTGAACACAACGTACTAACAGCAATCTTATAGAAACTATGCCACTTTACGTGAAATCGAAATGAGACTCAAGTCCATTAAGAATATCGAAAAAATCACTAACACCATGAAAGTCGTTGCATCCACCAGATTGAACAAAGCCCAAAGAGCCATGCAAGCTTCCAGAGTTTATCACGAATCTGACAGTGAATTCTACAAGAATGCCGAATTGGAACAGCCAGAAACCGAAGGTAACACTTTGTTGATTGTCTGTTCTTCTGACAAAGGTTTGTGTGGATCTATTCACTCTCAAGTCGCCAAATACGCCAGAAAGAGAATCGAAGAGTTGGGTGGCAAGGTCGACGTTGTAGCTGTTGGTGAAAAGGTGAAGGCTCAGTTGTTGAGAACACACGATGACAAATTGAGATTAGCCTTCAACGGTATTGGAAAAGAAGCTCCAAACTTCCACGAAGTGTCCTTAATTGCCGATGAAATTGCAAAGTTGGGTAAGTTTGAAAACACCGAAATCTTATACAACAAGTTTGTAAACTCTGTTTCTTTTGAGCCATCTAACTTTAGTGTTTTCACCAGTGAAGCCATCGAAAAGGCTCCAGGTTTGTCCAAGTACGAATTAGAAAACGAAGAAACTACCGAGGCTTTTGCTGAATTCTCTTTGTCCAACTCGTTGTTGACTGCTTTGGCTGAAGGTTACGCTGCCGAAGTTTCTGCCAGAAGAAATGCTATGGATAACGCTTCCAAGAATGCTGGTGACATGATTAACCGTTACTCCATTTTATATAACAGAACCAGACAAGCTGTTATCACCAACGAATTGGTCGATATCATTACTGGTGCTTCTTCCTTAGATTAGAAAGTTAAATCCGAATTCCTTTAAATAAATACATTTTCTTATATTGGGTGACATTATTACGTTGTATATAATTCAAGCAGATATTTAATCTGCTTTCGTAGACGTAAGTAGTTTTTTGATGAACACCATCCCTGTGAGAACTGCTACCGAACCACCTGCTATTCCAATAAGCACTGATACCAAGGCCATATAGCCAAAGTATAGTAAAATACTTACAAAATCTTGAACATTCAAAAGACTGAAAAAGTAATAGATGGAGTAAGCATAGATGTATAGCCCAATACTTGAACCGATCCTGAAAGATAACCATTGCCAATTTGGATTATTTTCTATAACTAAGCTGATGTAAATTCCAATTATGGTGGATTCACTGACAATGATAATGAGACTCAAAGTAGTCAAAAACAAGAACCCGTACATGTAGTAGAAGGTGGTCTTTTCTAGCCATATCGAATTGAATATGAAGGACAATTCGACGTATACGATTCCAAATGGAATCAATCCATAGATGAGCATCACTATTGTTGAGTTCCTAATTACGGACATCAAGGCCCTTTTAGCAGTGGTTGACACATTGACTTGAGGGACAAAATTGGGAGAATCCTTTCCTTTTTCAGAGAAAAACATTATGGACTTCTTATTGAATTTCAACTTGTTTCCGTAATATCCACCTATCAAACCCAATGGTAAAACAATCAAGAAGAATAAAATCAAAAGAATCACTATGGATCCAAACGGCAATGCATTAGAGCTTTCTTTAGCAAACACAAAAAAGTTGAAAAACAACATGACTGACAACACCAAGCAAGGCAAGAATCCGCTGAATAAGATGGATAATTTGACAGCTTTTGCAGGAGGAATCTGTACGCTTAAGTTTTCGTTGTTGAAGATCTTGTACAACACGAACCCGAAGAACGATGGGAGAATACCAGACATTACAAAACAAGATAATGCCAATGAAGAGAAAGCCCCTTGGTAGTTACTGAATTCACCTCCTCTAGCTTTATTATAATCCAATTGAGACTTAATGATCACAGATAGTATGATGCCAACGGTTGCGATAATTAATTGAAGACCACTAGAAACTAACATGGATAACAACAAAGGGAAAACGGGCCGTTTGGTGACAGCTCCACCCAAGTTCTTCCAGGCAGCGTTTTTGGAAAAGGCATTGTCTATCTCAGCCGTCAATGCCAAATTTGGGGAGGAATCGGAGTTCTTCAGGTCAAGTCTATTTATTCTCACCAAGATTATCACCACTACCAAGGTCAACAAGGACACCAACACGACTGAGTTTAAAAACGAAAGCCAGTGGATCTTAGTGGATGCTGAATGAGTCTCATTTGCATAGTACAATTCCCATCTGTTGGCATAATCGATGGAATTATCCTCTCTCCAATACACAGAATAGGTGTATGGGATTCTCAACTTGGCAACCTTACCCTTTTTTCCTTCGGGCAACTTCAAGGCAAGGTTCTCATAGGACTTGGAAGAGCCAGGACATGTCTCATCTACTACTGATTTGGGATAGACTTCAAAGCCCACTATGGTGTGCATTCCTGGATGTTTTTTCTCAGAATGGTATCGTATAACCAACATAAAGTGATTATACAAGTAGCTGATGTCATCCTCAAAGAACCCTAGCGGGAACCCAGCCGCGTAGTATTTGGAATTTTTGTTGTTGGAAACAAATGTGGTAGCACCTGGTAAACCATCTATTGACCAATGCACCACGTAGCCTTGTTTAATTAACCTATCAGCAAAAGTAATCTGAGGAACTTTGGCAAGAAAATCACATAAACGGGCACAAGAAATATCCTTGCCAAACGCTAACTTAAAGTCACTTTCCCACAACCTATCACCTCTTAAGATCTCACCTAATGAGATATGCAATGGTTTCTTCTCTCTGGAAGCAGGACACACAAAGTTCAAGTCAAAGTATCCGAACGGGAGTTGGGTGTGATCACTCTCCACCTTATTGACTAGAAGGTCAACCTTTTGACCCTTCTTATAATACTTGGGTGATAGGCCCAAGTCCAATCCAAAGTTGAAGGACAGCACCTCAACAAATAAGGAAAACACCACCACAAAGAGGCACGTCCACGATTTCATCTTGTAGCTCTTTGGTGCACAGTTCTGGTGGAATCAGCTTACACGCTTTTCGAGTAAAGACCAATTTACACCAACAAAAACAATTGAACAGACGTTTATGTGTTGTTGAAAAACTAAAACTTACATCAAGTCAACACGATGCGCACCGTTGCTAAAAATTAGAAAATAATGAATGTTACCTGCGCACCGATTAAGGCAAAAAATATTAGGATAAGGGTCATGTGAGCGCTTGGCCCAAGATTACAGTGAATCATTGGCTATTGTTTCGGAATTTCATTACTGGTAGTAGCAACCCACTGTGCATTATTCCCTACGTTCGCCAGATGTTACACAAGCTTGGTTATTGTTTATTTTAAACGTGTCAGCAGGGATCTTACCCGGCGTTCACGTGAATTAAGGTTTTATTTTGTGGAATATTATTATTGATCCTATGATTTTTCCTGCAAAGATTCCATGGCTTCACGGATAAGATAGTTGCCCTTCGGGTCTAAGTTTAGGGCAATAGTGAATTCTTTGATGGCCTGGTGCTTGTTGTCTTGGATGTTGTACAATTGGCCTAGAAGAAAGTGAACCGATGCTTCATCGGGTGCCAAGTCCTTTAATACCTCAAATAACTGAAGTGACTGTTGGAATTGCTGCATCGTGAAAAGGAGTTGGGCCTTTTTGAAGATGGGCAACGGGTTCAATGGCTGCAATTTATTTGCCAATTCGTATTGTCGTAACGCAAGGTTCTTCTTACCCATTTTTTCTAGCACCATTCCCACGCAACAAATCAAAATGATGTTTATGGGGTTTATAGACACGGCTCTTCGAAAATGGTAATCGGCTTTTTGATAGTCACCGAGATTGATATATACCATGCCAATGCCGTACAAGGCATTATAGTGTCTCGGGTCAATCACCAAGCTTATTCGGAAGTTTTCGAGAGCCATCTCGTAATTGTCATTTCCGAAGTATTCGTGTCCTTTCAAGGTATAAGCATAGGAGAAATTCTCGTCAAATTTTACGGCCTTGGTAAAACATTTGATAGCCTCGTCAGGTTCACGGTTTAATGAGAACAAGTTTCCGATCACGCACCACGTTATGGCATTCTTTGAGTCCAAATCGAACAACTCGTTGGCAAGATACGTCAACTCAATTTTTTTGTGGAGATGCCATAATAAGGTTGAGTAGTATTCCATATCTTCCAATCGCGTTCTGTCCATCATCCGGAGCTTGACGAAGAATGCTTCACTTTGTTTGTAGTTGACAATCTCGTAATGTAACCGCCCCAATTTGCTCAAAACCCATGGAGAATTCTTTTCTGCCTCCGGCAACGACTCAAGAATTCTTATCGCTTTGTAGCAGTCGTATTTCGAGAAGCATTTGTAGCTTCGTGCAAGCACAACGTATAACTGTAACAAAAAGCTCTCCGAGCTTTCGATTTCTTTGGAGGTGAACACCGATTTGATGGTGCCAGGCTCCGAAACGAGACCACTGCTTTCGCCATTCGAGTGGATATTGGAGTTGGAATTATTCCGTTTGAGACTCGACCGCAATCTCTCCTTATCACTCGAAGTTGAAGCTGGTTGGGATATTAACCTCGAGGTAATTTTCGAGTATGTACTTTCCTTTTTCTTTTCAAGGGTGAGTTTGGGCTTTGTGAACTCGAATTTCGAAAGCCCTTCGGAATGATTATTGACTTGGTTGGTGTGTGATCCCACCAGTTTTCTTAATGGGGCATTAGGTATGGATGTGGTCTTCATTCTGGGAGTGGACAAATTGAATGAATCATCTGGGTGGATGGAGATACCACCGTTATTGACGGGTGTCTGGTGGATGGTGTTCTGGTTTTGAAAAGGACTTTGACCATCAAAGTTGGTTTGGCCCAAATCAAAGTCCACATTGAAGTTGGAGCTAGGTTTATAGAGGGCCTTGACCTTAACATTAACCCCCAATTTACACAACTTCTGAAACGCCTCAAAGTCGAATTGGTTAAATTTCAAGCAGTAACTGTAATTCAAAGAACTGTTTTTGATATCACCAGTCTTGTTATACAAATCCCCCAATAAGTGGTAAACACCAGAAGCATCTGGCAACACATTCCGGTTTGATTCATAGTTGAACCTGTTGAATGAAGAACTGAAGTGATGGACGTCGAAGCCACTCGTTTGGTGTGGTTTGAGGGTTGAATCATTGTACAAATAGTTCACCTTCATCAATTGATACACCCCTTCCTTATATTTTTTCAAGTGTAAACACAGCTTTCCAAAAAGATACGAACATCCCAAGTGATCTTCAAGGTTTATCAACCTATTGTAGCATGTTTTGTACTTTTTTTGATGGAACAACACCAAACAATACAAATAGATCGAGTCTAAATCTTCAGGATCCTGAGCCAATAATCGTTCCCCAGCAAACTCTGCATTCGTATAGTTGAATGTATCCAACGAGTGTATTATAATGGACCGCAAGTGCTGGATCACAAACGGTTGCTCTTGCATGACACACGGTGGAAGGTAGATATTATTTACAAAGATGTATTTGATATTTATCAGTTTATCGCGGCACCAAAACGCACACTTGAGTACAAATTATAATATAATACAAAGACTAGCAATACACAAAACTATTAAAGCTTCTACTGGGAGTATATCAACGCTTTTGTTTGATTACAAACGTGTGATTTCCAGATCCATCATTACTGTATGCCAACAACTTTTCAGAGTGACGCTTCTTTTTGTGGCCTGAACTTTGACTGATAGCACTCTTTACTCTACCATTTGAAGCAGGCAGCTTGGGAGTGGATCCGTTGGAGTCCAAGTCAGTAAAGTATTCACGTTTCTGATCGATTGGAGTCGTGGTGTTGGACGCTTTGGAATTGTTATAGGTATTACTAAATGAATTGCTTGTGGATGAAGCATCTTCATGGTTCATAGTTGGGGAGAAGTTAACATTACCGTTGTTCAGCTTGGGAGACAACAATCCCGAAGCCAACAAGTAAGGAGAAGCAAATCCTGTAGGATTAGAAAGCTGTGGAGTGGTGGGACCCTTAACAGACGGTTTTCCGGAAGTGTCAATACTCAAGTTTGGATGTTCACTTGGGGAACTGGTAGATTCTGAACCCTCTTCTAATGATTCTACCAAAGGACTGTTTTCACCCGATGTATTTGGATCCAAGGTGTAGTTACCAATGAACGAGGTCAATTGACTTTCACTAAATTCATCATCTCCAAAGTCGTTCAAGTCTCCAAGGAATCCATTGTTTCCTTGCATTGCTCTTTCTTCATCTTTCAACTTGGTTTCTTCTCTGGCTCTGGCTAATAGTTCTTGCGCCTTGGCCAAACTGACAGTTGGGGTCGAACAACTGCTAACAACGGGAACAGAATCATCAATATCAATGGTAGCAGTCATCAACGCCTTTATCCATCCTCTCATTTCGTCTTGGGTCTCAACTGCAAAAAAGTGGGTCTTAGGCTGAGTGAAGGTCAATCCCTTTTTGAAGCCTGGAGCTGGAGGAATCAATTTGAAGCAATACCTTCCAAACCCAGTAGAAGCGGCATACAAGGCAATATATTTATCTTCTCCATCTGTGTCGATAGGAATCACCTTATGGGCGGTGATGTCAATTAACCCTTTTTCTTTTTTATCCTTTAAGGAGGTGAAGTATGATAATCTGGTTCCATGAAGGGTGAAATACCTCGATCTCCAAGATAAGTTGTTACCCGTCCTCTTGGCCATGAATCCAGAATAATTGGCAGACTTGATAGCCTCGTCTGGAGTGATGCTTCTGATACCTTCTTGGAAAGCACTGGTTTTCAGCTTCTTAGAGCTCGTTAAGTTCTTAAAGTTAGTAGTCGAAGCCGTTCTTAAGGTCTTGAACCTTGAAATGGTACTAGTTCCGGGAGTAGAACTGGCAGAACTATTAAGAGTGGCAGTGGAATCAGAAACTGACCTTTTCTCATCTTTAAAGTCAAGTTTGCGGGGTTCGTCATACTTGTGGTTGATTGATTTCAGCTTTCTTGGAGAAAACTGAGTGGAGTCAATATCTATTTCTTCCAGATTATTGTGGATATCATGAGTGGGGGTAGAAACTTCAGGAAGACGTTCCTTCTTAATTTTTGCTGGAGAAATAAGCTTTTCTTGTTTTCTTCCTTGTTTTTCCAGGACCTTTTCTTTGACTTCTTTATATTTCTTGTTGTCGACTTCATCTTTATCTTTAGACATAAAAGAGAACATGGAACTGTTTCTCTTATGATTATTATTGGAGAGAATGACCGATGAGTTTCTTCTGTGGTTACCATAATAATCCGAAGTGCCTGAAATATTTCTGCTGTGATTTCTGCTATGAACAGATTGTTCATAGATAGAGGAAGCAGGCCTGCTTAACCGGTTCTTGATACCAGCTGATTCGGTAGGAGGATTCAAGACACTGGTGCTGACATTATTGTTGGACCCGTACATCTCCTTATTGGTAGCCTCACCGAATTTGTAGGCTTTATCCATTTTTGGACTAACAATCTTATTGGTGTCTCTCAACTCTTCATACGACTGAGACTTCTTTCTTTGATGACCATATTCCGATGGGCCTCTTGTTATTTTGGCTGAATCCAATAATTGGGGTTCCGAAGTCTTATTCTTGTCAGTATCAAGTTCCTTGTGGCCATCGACAATCTTCTTCAAGTTTTCAATTTCCTTGTAGATTTCAAACCTGGTGCCAAACGAGTCAATATCCAACTCTTTCAAATGAGCCAAGTCCAATTCGAACAAGATAGCCCCTGTAATTTTATGTCTAGCAAATTTTCCAGCCACACTAGTGTCGAAACCCAACCCCAACGCAAAATAGGACGTGACTTGTTTTGGAGTCCAGCTCATGGCATCCTTGGGATTGAGATCCTCTGTCAACGACATGTTAGAAGGAGCACGCTTGTGGCCAGTGTTGGTACTGTGGATGTACGAATCTGACTGTAACTCTTCCAACGCTTTGTCTATATCGTTCATGGTCTTGTTAACGCCAAACTCACGGTCTTCAGCGTCAATATTATCTTCATCATCGATGTCATCGAGGTGACTGTGGCCATTTGTGGTATTAAAAGTGTCGTTATTATCATTAAGGTCATGGGCTTCATCAAAGATTTTGGAGGTCTTTGGGTTAAAAAGAGAGGACGAGGATTTGGCGTGGGTAGTAGCGGTGGCAGTGGTACCGGGAGTCTTGTAGTTACCGTTGGCAGGACGCTTGATGGACAAGCTTTCAAAGTTAGACTTGAGCTTGGAAACTGGAGAGTCAGGTTTGGCGGATATGGGTGTAGTAGGAGAACTCAATCTCTTGGAACGAGACCGAGACCGAGACCGTAACAAGTTGTAGTCATCGGGGGTATCTTCCACCAACACCTGGGTGAAGCTTTTAGGGTACAACCCCACTTTCCCGGTGGATAGATTCTTTCCCATATACCACCCATCGTTGTACTCGCTGTCATCAGATAGAACTTGGATCTTATCACCAACCTTAAGGTTCAACTCATCACCCAAACGTGAGTTGAACTGCTTGATGCAAAGATATACGGAAGCGGTAGCACCACCACGCGAGCTTCCATCAATGTCGGATTCTTTCATGGTTGAATAAGCTACCTTTCGAATTTGTTTACTTGGCTGGTTTAGTTATCAAAATTTTATTTTTCCTCACTAAAATGAAAATACTAGGCTTCTCGATTTGCGAACACAAAACCAAAAAGGACAGACAGGCAAGAACCAGAGCAGGAAAAAATAAGTCTAGACAATGAGAAAAATTGTGTAGGTACGCTGTACGCGGGTAATTATATATATATGTTACAGAAGGGCTACAACATTGTACATGGGTGGGTGTAGACCAATTTGTTTTCCCAAGCTTTACATGAAACGAACCGCCATTTTGGCTGGCGACTTAGACGAATCACTGACGGCCCGCTTTCCTTCTGGCTACTCCACCGCCCACCGCGACCATTAGACGAGGTAGTGCCGCCATTGCTCACCCGCGCCGTGGCTCTACCACTTTCACCCCGTAACCTGTTGATGGGAATGTTGCGTTTGTGATGAAAATGTTAATGAGCTGTGGAACAGTTAAAACCAAAAAGAGTTTACACCTCTTTTAAACACGATTATGTCGTAGCGACATTTTAAATTCTCTTCTGGGGTTACTTGAAATCGCTCCTAGTAAGGCTTAAAATTCGTTATGTGGGATTAACAATATCGTCAATTAATGTAAATATACAATTTTGTAAATCTGGTTTGACCATCTCTGTATATATAATATTCCCTACGAATTTTTGGAAATTTTAGTAGGCACTTGTCTCTACTCTGATAGCCAATTAATACCTACACTTGAGCAAATTTTGGGTTGTGGGTTTGCGACATCCAGGTAGTAGAGGTGCATATTACACTGGATGTTAACTGTAGGTTCTGGTGGTCTTCATCACCGGTGTTTCAGAGTATGTCGTCTAGAGGTAGTGGGTACTTCAAATGATATAGAGCTATATGCACGCCCAACCCCACCCAGATGGTTCCAGATGCAAAAGTGTGACAGGGGGTGGAGGCCCTATAATGTAGTGGAGGCCCTGTAATGGAGAGGAGGTCCTGTGTTTATTTCAAAACTTTGTGGTGGCTCCACCAGTTCATCTGTTTGTGCATAGCATATCTGCAAATTGCAGTCGCAATCGCACTTTTCGTGTAAAGATAACCACAGCATATTCTACCAAAATAATGACACCCCGGCGAAGTGACCACCCTCACGGCGCCGACACACCCGTGGCTCACTGGTCGGCACTCGACCAGATTGTCCACACTCTAATCAACAGCTTGCCACAAGGAGAGACCAATCCTTCACTGCAACAAACTGCCTCCGCACCCGGATCTAATATCACCAGAAGAGCTAGTGAAAGCGATGTACTAGACCCCATTCTGTTCACAGATGCCCATATTCTCAGTGAGTACGACCGGCACGTGGCGCGACGGCTCGACGTGGGCTGGGGGTCTGGCCCGTCTCTGTCCCCCTATGATCAGATTGTTTCTGGTGCTACCCCGGTCCTGACATCTGGTAGCATCATGGTACCGAATTTGGGTGCCCGATCTCAGGAAGATAGGTCCACTACTGGGCGACTACACTCAGTAGGCGGCTTTTTCCACGGGATAGAGCACCAGTTTAGCCCAGAAGTGTCCTCTAGACCCACATCTTCCAGAGCCGTTGCTGGTCCCAGAAGAAGACCCCGTCGAAGTATCACCGAGAGCTTTGAACGGCGCCATCTCAGCGCCACAGAGAACCCCATCCTGTTGTTGGATAGTCGTCCACCGCCCGCAACCACCTCATTTGAGCTTATGAGACCCGATGCGTTTGATACGCTTTTGGGTTCAATCAACGACAATTGGGGTAATTCAGAGAGGCAGCATATCAATGATATCAACAGCCGTTCCATTGATGAGTTGACTCGGAGCGAGACCCGTAGAGCTGGCCTTAATCGCAGAAATGCCATCAGAAGAAGTGTCCCCCACATTGACCGGTTTAAAGATACCCTGAGAGCGTTTTTCAAGACCCATACAAAAGATTTGCTAAAGGTGCAAAAGGAGCTTCGAAGAGCCAACTTCAACAACCCGCTTCTCAGGTGCTTCAAGAACCATATGAACCAGCGGTTCTTAGGTAATAATTACGTGCTGAAGATGAACTCCACCCTTGCGAAGTCCCGTTCAGGTGTTCTTTTCACCACCAAAAAGAGAACCATTTCTGCCAAAAAAAATGTCAAGCGTCGTAGAACCAACACCGAAGCAACCTGGCCAGGTTCACATGTTGAAGAAGATGACGATGATAGTCTGATAGACAAAGAGTCCAATTCTGACCACCTCAAGCAGCATCTTTTGAATATCCCCTTCAATTCATACCTCAGTATAGGTTCCTCGTTCGACTTCCAATTCGGGGCCTCAGAGGCTAATATGTTTGTGTTGGACGTGAATTACCAAACCAAGGAAATCAGAATTCAAATTACAATCTTACCCAACCCTGAAACTTGTAGCTGGTATATTGGGGATATCACCAAGTTTTTGATGTTTTTTGCCATTCTGGAACTTGAAGAAAATTTGGAAATCAGAAAAAAACTTGATACTTTGCTTGATATATTACGGCAGATCTCACCGAACGACCTGGTGGTCCAAAAGATGAAATCGAACTTGTTCAAGTTCGAAGTATCAGGAAATTTGATTGACTTTAACCAGTACGATTTGAGAACAAGCAATAACTTGAGTTCTAATCGTCAACTTAACAAGTGGTTGACCATGCCACCTTTTCGATACTTGGTTATTCCTCATACCAAATCTATCATAGACTCATTTAATCCCAAGATTCGTTCGGAAGGAAACACAGAGAAGGAGTTCAAATTGATGTTCTCGGGTCTCTGCAACATAGTCGAGTATGGGCTTATTAAGTCCCCAAAAATTATGGCGTTGGCAAAGAGTATGGCGGATGAGATGGAAGGGTTTTGCAGACACTACACTGGAACAGACTTCAATATGATTTCCACCAGACGAACTTCCAGTTTATTGGATAAAGCAGTGAACCTCATCACCTGTAAGAATTGTTTGATACACTTACAAACTGCGTTTATTATGTTTAATCTTAGTCTTGACTTGTCTGAGATCTACAACACTCTTTACAGATACGTGGTGAATTTTCTACCACAAGAACTCAAGAAAAAAGAATGTGTAAATCAGTTCAAAAGTTCTTCCACCAACAACAAGTTCCTTATATTTTTGGGGTCTTTGAACCGAAAAAATGGTAACTTAAGTCTCTTGAAGACCAACATACTTTTGAACTCAAACAACACCAAACCAACGGATATCAACGGGGAAAGTGACCATGAAGTTACCTTAAGAGATACAATTCTGCACATTCTAGCTGGTGAAGCTGACTCAGAGTCATGTAGCGGAGTAGATGATTCAGATATGAGTGAAGATAACGAAACTGATAATGATGAGAACGACAACGACGATAAAGAAACAAAAGGATTAAATGATGACAACTACGATTATGACCGACTAAATGACCATACTGGTGATTTAATGACTGCCACCTTTACGAGACAGAACAAAAATCCATACTCCTCTGGAGGTGGACACCAAACATCAGCATTTTTATGATACTTTTTTAATTGTATATACAAACATCTTCATTATCATATATTTATTTACAAGAACCACTTTTCTCAATCCCAAAATCCCCATCCACCTTTCCCCTTCTGTCTATCTTCCTTCTTCTTTTTGAAAAAATCTCTCCGACATTCAGTGTATGCATCAAAAAATGCCTGACAAACAGAACGGTCGTCCTGATTTCTCAACACACAGTTAATTGACGCCTGTCTGCTTTGTTCACATGGGTCATAGAACTTAGAGGGCTCTTTGTTGACCCAATTATACTTATGGTGGTGGCTATTTGGGTTATCTGGGTAAAACTTGTAGTTGTCGACTCCTCCTTTTGTGAAATCGACTTTGTCTTTTCGAGTCTCCACGTAGTCATAAGAAGGCTTCTGTTCGCTGGAGTTGATGGTTTTGGGCTTGGTAGATTGGTTGGGTGCCTCTTTTGCTGTCTCTTTGGTGGGCTCAGGCATCGTATCAAGACAACGAGGAATAGAAAATCGCGACTCAAAATTGAACCTCATCTCCTTCGTAAAACATGTCTTTACAAATACTTACAGCAAAGATACCGTGTCAGAAGTGCGGAGAGGATGCCCTGGTGACAAACAGGAAGGAGGTAGTATGTAATGAATGTTTTAACATGTCCATGAGGGGCAGACTACGGAAACTGTTGAGAGCAGATATCTACAAGATCAACTCCAAGCATGGAGTCCATAAGGTTTTATTGGCATTTAAAGGGGACGTTAATAGTATAGTGTGCTTGGATATGATTATGCAACTTGTTTTGGAGCAAATAAACAACCATGGAAAGACCGGGTTCCAACTTCTTGTGTTGAATATCGATGAAAGAAATGGTATAGAGGAAAAGCTTCAACAGGTTAGGTCATTTTATGAGCAGAAAGGAACAATAATAAACTACAAGACGGTTCAAGTCAACTCTTATTTAACAGGGAAAAGCCTAAAGCGAATTGGAATCGATAAGAAGTTCAATATATTGGTGAAAGATGAAAGTAGCCATTCCATGGAAGATATCATCAATCTTATTCCCAACAAGTCAGCTGTGGAGGACTTCAAAGAAGTCATTTATGATCAGATACTATTAAAACAAGCAGAGATAGAAGGTTGTGGAACCATCCTCTACTGTAATTCCATGAACAAGTTGTCTTCATCGATTTTGGCCAATTTAATTAAGGGAAGAGGTTCGAACATGAACTTCAAGGTCAACGATACAGAAAAACAAGGCATTTACATCAAGAACCCTTTGAGGGAACTATTTGATAGCGAAATCGACTATTACTCAGAGGTAAATGAAATTGGCCAATTAAAATTCCAGAACAATGCAGTTATTTCCAATATCAATCGGAACATGACCATAAAACAAATCACTTCACGGTATTTGAACCAAATAGAGGCTAATGGATATGCGTCTACGATTCCGACGGTTGTCAAGATTACCGAAAAACTTGTGGAACCCACCAAGTTCAAACCCATAGGCAATTGCAAAATTTGTGATGAAGTTATTTACCAGAATCCCAAAACTTGGCTCAACAAAATCACACATAACGAATCAGCTCCATTGGTGGATGAGATTGAGAGAGATTATGCGGAGCAGTATCTTCAAGCATTCCCCCCGATTGAGGATCAACTTGATGTTTCAAACTATACCATTTGCTACGGGTGTATGGTGAGTATGAATGGCACAGAGTCCATAGTGTGGCCTACGGAGAGACAAAGAGATCAAAAGGTCCTTGAAGAATTTATAATTGATAGCGATGACGATGAGTAGGAATACCAATCATTGTATATACTTATATTAGCCCATGTACATTAAGCCATTTTGCACCCAAGATCGCGAACAAAAACAATTCTAAATTGTATAACTATGTATTCTCCCAGTTTCAATATCAACAGCTGTTATGAGTTATGGAGTGAGCAGAAATCGGAGTTCTACCAACTGCCACTAAACGCTTATCCAGCAGAATACCCTGGAATATCCAAATATCGGCAGATGAGCTCATTGTCATTAGCTACACAAATGAAGCTCAACAAGCTCAATTCTACCAAATACTATGGATACAATAGCCTTAAACCTATAGGGATCAACAAGACTATGGAGCAAATAGATCATGAAAACAACTTGGTGGTGGAGACCAACGTGACCAATACATTGGAAAACGATCTTGTGGAACAGAACCTTAATGTGGAGGTGGATTTGGATAACCAAGTACCTAATTTCGACAGTGATGGAGACAACAACGATGTCATTGATGCTCTAAACGATGAAGATGAAGGATTCATGGCGGAAGAGGTGGAATATCAAAACGACCACTCTTTGGGCACTAGTATAGTAGAACCGGTGAATACTGTTTCTCCCATCCGTATGCCACACGAGAGTTCCAGTCCCACCACCGGTACAATCAACACACCATTTCCCACGCTAGTGATGAGAGCAGAGCAAGACAATGAAGAGGATATGATACTAGACGACCTGAGTTGAAGAATGCTGAATATGATATGACAATACAACAGAGTACTATATGAATATGCAATAACTCCCTATACCTTTTGTTTATCCACTGGTGCAAGTTTGATGTAATCGACTTTCGACGTCAGTAAATGAAAAGACGGGATCACCCATGAACCACAGCTACACCTAGAGCCTTTCCAACTATATCCTCCCAATTTACTTTGACATTTGACACAGTGAAATTTTCCTTCAAGCTCTTCTTTAGGCAATTTCATCCACTTCAATGGATCTTTCAAGAAGTAATGGGAGCAGTCCGCCGAAGCCTCGAAACTTGAATGGATGTGATTGCCCATCTTCTTGTGGAACGTCGCATGCCGAGAAGATTCGTCAGGCTTAACGTGAGGCAATATCTGAGTTGATTTGGCAAGAATCTCCCGGCAGATTTTACACCTTAATACTCCGGAAGGTTCCTCCTCCTCTATCTGCTTTGAATCTGAATCGTTCTGAGTATGGAATTGGTTTAATGCTTCTTTGGAATCACCTTTGTTGAACTCAATCAAAAAGTCTCTGTAAGCATCACTGGTCAAGTCACCTTTGCAGGACTCAAACACCTCGATTTGTTTTAGAAATGACTCGTTGATGTTTATTTTATCTTCAAGTTTTCTTTGTATAGCATATATGGCTTGTTTCATCGATAGCTTATAGAATTTAATCAAATAGCACACCACTACGGTGGGGGCTCGACTCAATCCTTCGTGACAGTGGATTAAAATGGCGCCTTTATGGGGAAATCTAGGGCTTATGGAGGCAGATCCGGTCGTGTTGTACAAGCAGTTGTTGATGAAATCAAAGGATTCGGGCAAAATTGCCAAAATGTTTGAGGTCAAATCATCATTGATGGGGAGCTGAAGGCGAGTATATGAATGTATAGCTTTTGGAAGGGGCCCCGGGACCACCGAAAGTACATGAGAGATTCGGTGTGCCTGGAGATCTGTGTCGGCAAGTCCTTCAAAGGATGACAAGTAGATGTTGCCGATGATTCTATAAATCATGTGTGATGTGTTTGCGATGAGGTGAATGCGACATTCACCAAAACTCGGCCAATTGGGGCGAGAAGGGTGAATATTGGAAAGGACCTATTTGGGGCATAGATACATGAAAAAAAAACGGATTTCGAGTCTAAAAGAGTGGAATAACAAGGGGGTATGACTTCAGAAGCAGAATCGGACAAACATAAAAAACAACAACAGGGTTAAACACCTGAGGTAAGGCGGTACGAGATTTACGCAACAGCACCCCACACGCGCGTACACCACAATGCACCGCGTAGGCAGCACCACCGACGGCGCGGCCTCGGTTTGTGCGCTTACCGCTTCCCCGGCTATTAAGTTCCTCGGGTTTTCGACCCAGCTGTCCTCTGAAATATCCGAGCGCATCTTAAGGTCAAGGATGTCAAGTTCCGGATTACGTCATTTGCTATTGGTCAATTTTCTATCATCAACCACACTTCCTGAAAGGACATGAAGTTTAATAGAACCCCCATGGCCAGCTCAGTTTAATATCCTGCCAACCGAAACAAAAATGTTCGGTTTACCCTGGGCAAATAAAATAATTACGGTCAGATCTAACTCCGAAGCCATGCCGTAAATAAAATGTGGGCGATGGCACCATGCAATACGCCACCCGCACTGCTCGGTGGCATGGCGCGGTGGTGGTGCTAAGGTCCGTGCAGACCTGTGGACAGCTCGGCTGGAAGATCCGGAACTGGGATGGGATTGGCTACATATCAGATATCACTGTGGACGACCTATGTTATAGAGCAGGGAGACGACTATTGAAATAGAGCATCGGGGATACGGAATAATCATAAACACGATAATGTCTGACCCATTGTCATGTACAGTTATAAAGCCAAAAGCCAGAGTCGGAAAATCCTGTGATATTACAAGGTTATTAGCCAGTCACAATTGCATAGTAAAGTGGAAAAAAATAAAAAAATATGGTTTGCAGAGTCCACTCCGAAATCTGGGGATGAAAATTTTCGGTGACTGGGATCCTCAGTTATACCGATAGATAAAAACCCCATCTTTTTTGGGGGGAACAGACAAGGGATGGGCCTCGGAATAATCTCCCAAGTATATATATTCCAGTCCGAGGCCGCCAGTTTTGAGGAGGTGCCCATTAATATAGTGTCAAAAGTTCCAGTTAGGGATCCTACTAAACAACCGGGGGCGGCACACGACCGCACTCTTGCTCCGATCTGTTAAAAATCTGATTGGCTTAAATGCCGTTTCCTTAAGCTACAGAAAATTTTATATAAATACGTGAGTTTTTCCCTACCAGGTACCCGATTTTTTTCTGTAATCATCACTAAATATGTCATTGGTTAACTCTATCAAGAAATCTACTAAGTTACAATCCGCCTTATTCAACAGTTTGAGAAGTTACTCGACTGCTGAGCCAACTTTAAAGCAAAGATTGGCTGAAATTTTGCCAGAAAAGGCAGAAGAAGTCAAGCAATTAAAGAAGGAATATGGTAAGACCGTCATTGGTGAAGTGTTGTTGGAACAGGCTTATGGTGGTATGAGAGGTATCAAGGGTTTGGTCTGGGAAGGTTCCGTTTTGGACCCAATTGAAGGAATTAGATTCAGAGGTAGAACCATTCCTGATATCCAAAGTGAGTTACCAAAGGCTCCAGGTGGAAATGAACCTTTACCAGAAGCTTTGTTCTGGTTGTTGCTTACCGGTGAAGTTCCAACTGTCGAACAAACCAAGAAATTCTCCGAAGAATTGGCTGCTAGATCCGCTTTGCCAAAGCACGTTGAAGAATTGATCGACAGATCTCCTTCTAACTTGCACCCAATGGCCCAATTCTCCATTGCTGTCACCGCTTTAGAATCGGAATCCCAATTCGCTAAGGCTTACGCTCAAGGTGTCCACAAATCCAAATACTGGGAATACACCTACGAAGATTCGATCGAATTATTGGCTAAGTTGCCAAATATTGCTGCTAGAATCTATAGAAACGTTTTCCATGACGGTAAGTTGGGTAAAATCGATTCTTCTTTGGATTACTCCGCCAACTTGTCTAACTTGTTAGGTTTTGGTGAAAACAAGGAATTTGTTGAATTGATGAGATTATACTTGACTATCCACTCCGATCACGAAGGTGGTAACGTTTCAGCCCACACCACACACTTGGTTGGATCTGCTTTGTCTTCTCCATTCTTGTCTTTGGCTGCTGGTCTTAACGGTTTGGCTGGTCCATTACATGGTAGAGCCAATCAAGAAGTGTTGGAATGGTTGTTCAAGATGAGAGAAGAATTGAACGGTGATTACTCCAAGGAAAACATTGAGAAATACTTATGGGAAACTCTTAACGCCGGTAGAGTGGTTCCAGGTTACGGTCACGCTGTCTTGAGAAAGACCGACCCAAGATACACTGCCCAAAGAGAATTTGCTCTTAAGCACATGCCAGACTATGAATTATTCAAGTTGGTGTCTAACATCTATGAAGTTGCTCCAGGTGTTTTGACCAAGCACGGAAAGACCAAGAACCCATGGCCAAATGTGGACTCTCACTCCGGTGTGTTGTTGCAATACTATGGATTAACCGAAGAATCCTTCTACACCGTTTTGTTTGGTGTTTCCAGAGCCTTTGGTGTATTGCCTCAATTGATCTTGGACAGAGGTATTGGTTTGCCAATTGAACGTCCAAAGTCTTTCTCTACCGAAAAATACATTGAAATGGTTAAAAACATCGCTTAAGTCATTTAAAAGTTGCCATTCATTTTATATTCGGAAATGTCTATATAGTTATTTATTTTTTATTTATTGTGGTAAATGTCAAGCTTGTACAATTTTCAGTTTCGCAGCACTCGGATTTTTTTTCAAGTTAGATCGTAAGGCTTATTGGATATAGATGAGAAGCATAATACGCTTGAGGCGTTGTCATTCCACTTACTCGGGAACCCTACATCTCCCAAAGACAAACTTCAGCCCCAAGATTCCATCGGGCGAAGATGCTGCCAAAATTGACAAACTTGCTACCTCAAATCTCTACAAATGGCAGAAATCAAGATCTACTTCCAAGTTTATTTTACATGACGGGCCCCCCTATGCCAATGGTGACTTGCACTTGGGCCATGCACTCAATAAGGTTCTTAAGGATATGATGAACCGGTACGAAATGCTCTATAACAACAAGTCCATCGACTATGTTCCTGGATGGGATTGTCATGGATTGCCCATTGAATTAAAGGTCACCAAGCCAGGGTTAGACCCTGTTGAAATTAGACAAAAAAGTCGAGACTTGGCCAACAAGATGATCCTCAAACAAATGGAGCAGTTCAAGAAATTCAGTATCATGACAGACTGGTCCACCATATACAAAACCATGGACCATGAGTACGAGGTAAACCAGTTGAAGCTTTTCAAGACATTGATAAAAAATAAGCTTCTCAGCCGGCAAATGAAGCCAGTTTGGTACGGATGTGACACTAAGACGGCATTGGCCGAGGCGGAATTGGAGTACAGGAAACACAAGTCCATTGCTGTGTATGTGAAGTTCAAGTTGGTCGATGACCCAACCACGAGTCTATTGATTTGGACTTCGACCCCATGGACGTTATTGGGAAATAAGGCCATTTGTATCAATGAAAATCTCAACTACATCAAGTTAAGCAACGAGTCGGAGAGTTTAATTGTCCAAGAAGACATGGTACAATCCGTGCAAGCTCTCAACCTTTCATTTTCTCATGTCGAGCTGGTTGCAACCAACGATTTGCTCAAATTGAAATACTTGAACCTTTACAATGAACATTGCCCTGTTCTTCACGGAGACCACGTCAACAACGCTTCAGGGACTGGTTTGGTGCATACTGCCCCAGGTCATGGGATGGAAGATTATTTGATTGGGTTGAAACACAACTTGACAATCGACTCGATTGTAGACGATGAAGGAAGGTTGGTTGATCCAGGATACCCCAATGATCTCCCTGTTAATAGAGTGGAAACCATCAAAAAGTGCATCAAAATCTATAAGGATTTGGGAATACTTTACCATGTTGACTACAACTTTGTTCACAATTATCCCTATGATTGGAGATCCAAAAGCCCTGTTATTCAAAGAGCTACCCCTCAATGGTTTATTAGTGTCGATAAGATCAGGGATAACACCTTAGAGGCTTTGAGCAAGGTTGACTTTGTCCCAGAAATTGGTGTCAACAGATTGAAAGCCTTTATCTCCAACAGGACTGAATGGTGTATTTCCAGGCAAAGAGCATGGGGTGTTCCATTGCCAATTGTATACTATAAAGGAGAACCACTATACGAAGTGGTAGATCATGTGGTTGAAAAGTTCGACGAGTTTGGTACCGACGAATGGTTCGGTAATGATGATGTGCTCAAGTGGTTGCCTTCCAATTATGTTGAAGAAAACAGCTTAGATGTAAAACATTTGGTGCAGAGCAAAGATACCATGGATGTTTGGTTTGACTCAGGAACTAGCTGGTCCATTTTGAACGGACAAATTGCTGACGTTTACGTCGAAGGCTCTGATCAACATAGAGGATGGTTTCAAAGTTCTATCTTGAACAAAATCATCTCGACCGGAGAAAACTCCGAGTTCCAAAGTGTCAGTCCGTATAAAAAGATTGTCACCCATGGATTTATTTTGGACAAGAATAACGACAAAATGTCAAAGTCTCTTGGGAACATTATAGCACCAAGCGATTTAATTGACGGGAATATGAAAACCGGTGTACCAAGATTGGGAATTGATGGTTTGAGATTGTGGATCGCATCTTCCAACTACGTGAACGACATCTCTATCAGTAATGAGATCTTGAAGAGAGTTTTGGATAACTTGAAGAAATTCAGAGTGACATTCAAGTTCATGTTAGGTAACTTGAACGACTCTGAAAATATCCTGGCTAATTATGATACTTTGAGCGACCTTGACAAGTTTATCTTATCGAATTTGAAGAAATTACAACAAAACTGTGAAACTAACTTTAAGGAATACAACTTTCAAAAGGCCTTGAAAGATGTAAACAACCACATGAACAACGATTTGTCTTCTTTCTACTTTGATATATCCAAGGACTGTTTGTACACCGACTCAATCGATTCCATCAAGAGACAAAACATCCAATTTGTACTTAAACAGGTTTTGAAAACTTATACTGGGATACTATCTCCCATGTTGCCCAATTTGACTCAGGAATTATGGACCAATAGTAGAACTATCTTGAAACAAACGGAGATTTCACCATTCATGCTTCCTTATGACTATTACAAATTACCAGAAACATATAACGATCCCCAAATCGATTCTCAATTCCACAATTTGATGCAATTGAGAGAGAGTTTATTCAGCAGATTAGAAGCTTTAAGAAAAGAAGGTAAGTTCAAAAAGTCATTGGAATTGAACTTATACATCCAAACCAATGATGATTTCATCAAAAAGAATTCAGGTCTTCTCGATGATTTCTTCTTGGTTTCGAAGGTAGCTATCAACAACCTGATTCCACAAGATCCCTTGGATCATTTTGAACAGGACACCAATAAGATCTTCATAACACTTGCAGATGAACACAAATGTCCCAGATGTTGGAAATTCACTGCCACAGTTGAGGACGAGTTATGCCATAAATGTGCCAGCGTTGTCAATCCCCTGTAAATAGAGAATAGAACTATAGTTAGAACAACTCTAACACATCAAACATCGAACTACACACAAAATACTAACAATACTACTTATCTTTTGCCAGTCATCAATTGATTTAACAACTGGGAGCTGGAAGAATTGTTAACTAACCCAGGAGGAGCACCAGCCAGACCAACTCCAATGGGTTGAGGAATTGGACCGTTTTGTGATTGACCCTGCAGTCCTTGTGGAGGTGCCAGTTGGGGAATCTTTTGAGAAGTGATCTGTTGTTGGGGAACCTGTTGAGAATGAGGAGCCTGTTGGTTTTGAAGTTGTTGCAACAATAGCAATTGCTGTTGTTGCTGTTGGGCACTAGCACCTGGGTCCACGTTCAACTTTTGCTGTTGTTGCTGTTGTTGTAACAAGATTTGTTGTTGAATTATAGGGTGGTTTTGGTAAGCCAAATGGTAGTTCTTAATGGGTCTCAACAAATAGGTTTCTATGATTCTCTTGGAAGATGACTTTTCTTGACCATTATCCACCTTGCTCAAATCTTTTGGAAGATCCTTGTTAAAATGGAACAATGGCAAGAACGTGCCGGTGCTCTCAGTGAAATTTTCGAACTCTTCGTTGAACTTAACTACAAGCTTCTCTCCCTTGTGAGTCAAATTCTTCAAATTGGTGGTAATCTCGTCCAACACCTGCAAAGGAGCATAGGCTTCATCACTATCACTATCATCAGCTGCATCCTTCTTCTTTTTCTTTGAAGGCTTGGTTGGAGTTGTGGTTTGCTTTTGCTCTTTAAATATCTCTCCCAAAGTAGGGAATGCCGAAGGGTTTGCCAACGCAGCATTGTTATCAACAGCTGGAGATGAGGTGTTGGAGTTAGCTTTGGCCCAGTGAGCGGTTGCAGGTAACACGGCTGGCTCCTTTGCCTCTTCCTTAGGCTCTTCTTCTTCGTTCAGCTGGGAAGGTGCTACTCCCGTACTGGTGTCTTGAGATTCAAGATTTGATGAGCTTGAAACTCTATTCATAGTGCCCATTTTTATACCCTGTTGTGTAGACAAGTCTTTTCTAGTATAAGAATCGGCTTCTTCACCAGGCTCATGTAAAAACATGCAGTTGGGGTTTTGGCATGGGTGACCTCTCAAGTAACTGGAACAATACTTGGTAGTACCATGAGCAGCTCTCAAGATCTTTCCATCCAACAAAGATCCATCCATATCATTGATACACCTCAAGGCATCTTCCTTCTTCGCGAATGTTACATACACAACGAGACCGGGGTTTTGATGGTGGTGCACCGCTCCTGGAGCGTTTGGAGGTGCCTTTTTGTTGATGACAATCTTCAGGATCTTCCCGTATCTACCAAAGTATCTGTCGGACCTCAACACCGAATGCAAGTCTTCTGGATTACAGGGAGGATTTAAACCAGTGACATAGACCAAATTCTTTTGAACCACTCTGATTCCTGCCAAGTGTTTCTTGCTGGCCAACTCACTCTCCTTCTTTTCCTTTTCTTTTTGCTTCTTATCACGTTCTCTTCTATCACGCTTCATCTGTTGCATTTTGAACTCTTCAGCTGAAACGGATTTGTACTCGACAGTCGAATCTTCGTAAAGTCTCCTACAACCAGGGCATCTTCCATTTAACTCAGGAATCTGCTTGATATTGTTGTAACAAAACTGGCAAATCTGGTATCCGCATGGACATGGTTTGAAGTTCTTGTCGCTGATGTCCATCTCCTCCACACATAAGGGACAGAACTCTTCTTCTTCATCGCTGATGAATGAATCGTCGATTGATGACATATTGTGTACTGGGGTGATTTTGAATTGGGATTCACAGAAAAAATTCGCGACAATCTGGAAGTACCAAGAAGTATTGAGAACACAAGAACAATCCAATGTCATTCATCACAGAGCTATGGGAGTCAGTGTTCACGCCCGGCACCACGCCGGCTTTGATAAAGGCCACCCACGGGAGTTTTATAATGTTGATTTTGTCGCTTTGCTCCCTCGTGTTCATGACCAGATCCATCCACTTTGTTAACCTCTTGGTGATATCCATCTTACTATACGCTTCAGTGGTCTGGTTCATTCACGAGTTAAACCAAGCCAAATTGAAGGATAACCTCGAATTGGAGAAGGAGGTCGAAGAGGATACAACCTCGTCTGAGAAAGAAGTGTCTAAGGTAGAAGACGCCAAGCTGAGTGAAAAACTGTCTACTTCCGCCACAGCCAAGCCTTCTGCTAGCCCTAAAAAGAGAAAGGTATAACAAAGTTCGTGCTCAATCTTTGCATTCATGTTTTTACCTATGTTAAATGTATACTTGTATATCTTGACCCATTTATTTTACATACTGAACATACTGAATAATTGCGACACTGAAAAATACCTTCCTCATGAGCTTTGCAGATGCGTTTCAAACGTATATCAACAACCCCGAAATATGCAAGAAAATTACTCTTTATAACGATGACACGGTAATAATCATCAAGGACATGTTCCCCAAGTCGTTACGGCACTATTTAGTGATTCCCAAGTCCCCGGCAGTCACTCACGCGCATCCGCTTAAAGTGTTTAATGATAACGTGAAGTTATACGATATCCTCGAAGATTACGTGCAATTGACCAAACAGTACATTACTGACGACTTAGTAAAGTTTGGACTACTTGAAGATGATCCAGAAACGATCAAACAATTTAAACAAACGTTTATCCAGTGTGGAGTACACTCGATCCCATCACTCAATAATCTCCATATCCACGTGATGACCAGGGACTTCAATTCCCCTCGTCTAAAGCACAAGAAGCACTTCAACTCGTTTAATACTCGATTTTTTGTGGATTTTGAGGACTTGAATCCAATTGGCGAAAATAACAATACTGAATATTCCGACTCCAACTCAGAAAACTTACCTGACACTGAATATTCCAGTGGAAGTGACGATTCTCGCACCGAAATCTCCAACTACAAGTTTGAAATGAACCCCAAGAAGCTCCATGACTTAGTAAAAAGTACACCGCTAAAGTGTTGTTACTGTGGGCAATCTTTTGGTAACAGTTTCAGCCAACTCAAAAAGCATTTGACGGTGGAGTTCGCCAAGAAGTTTGACACTAGCAAAGATATTACTTGCAATGGAATGACATAATGCATAGAAATATTACAGGGGACTTCAAATCTTTGTTGGGGTAAAACCTGGGGAAGAGATGAGTTGAGATCAAGATGCCACAAAATGAACATATCCTTTCCAAAAAGCTACACTTGAGGAAATCATGGAGTATACACCCCACCGACCTGCAATTGCATCTTCCCGACTATTTGCACCCACTTACTGCCATTAGTTCGGACCGCGCACGACGGATCTAGCACTTCACACAGCCATCGTCCAAACACAAAAATTTTCAGTCTTCTGCTCACTGTACATTACTTGAATACATACAAAACAGATATATCTGACCTTAAAAGGAATTCAGAACTCGTAGAATACTGGGAATTATCATCACGTGCATGCCAACCCAAGATGTATGTGGTAAACGAATCCCAAACATTGAATTAGACGTCTGCAGAATGGCCAGTGATTATTAGTTTGCTGGCTAATTTTGATGATTTCTAACACCTCTAGTCACTCGTAAAGATCTCACCGACTTCAGACTTAAATATTCTAGCCTTGGTTCAAAAAGTTACTAAGTTTGTGTCCGAAGTATTTCATATCCTGGTTGGGAACTGAGCATTTAGTATTGAAATCGCAGTACTTGCACTTGCTCAAGTCATCTACAACTCTGGGACTCGAGGTACCATTCCAGAAATTCGATGACGATACAACTGAGTTTTCCAAGTCGTCTTTGTTGAATTTGTATTTGATGGTTTTGAAGTTAAACTTTGTTCTGACGTTGTGATACTCAATTGAGATCAAATCTGAGTTAAATGGTTTGAAAAGATTAAAGAATTGAGAGCTTCTGGCAGCAAAGTACCGTAAGGTCAAAGGACGTTCCCACTTGCGAAGGATATCGGTACTGAGGATCGACTTGTAGTTGAAGTCGTCAATTTGTTCAAGACTTTTTAAGATTTCTGGCGTGAGAATGTCAGTGAAATCATACCCATCAAATTCTTTAAACTCAGAACTATATGGTACATGTCCAATGGAGGACCCTTTTGCGATAGATTTGAAGTCATTGAGAAATAATTCAGGGTACTTTCGTAAGAGACTGAACAAAATGATTGGATGGAGTGGTTTGTCCAAATCGTGGTGTCGTATCATAGCATTAGTACACAACAGCTCGTAAGTATATTTTGAATCCTGTGATAGCCTCTCGAAGAACTCTTTATAGTAGGAAACTTGTAAGTACGCCGACTTCAAAACCGAGTCCTGGTTAGGAATTTTATTGAACCTTCTGGTTTTCACATCAGTTATCTGTAATTTGTATATCTCATTATAGCTCAGAAGAATGTTTTCTAAGCCTAGGAAGAGGGCATCCAAGTCCACGATTCCATTATCAAATTTCAAGTCAAGAAAAGCTTTGATTTCTTCAAACATCGAAAAATCTTGGGGATCTTTAACATTGACTAGCTTGAGATGATCGATTATGCCACTTATTAGCACTGAGTCGGGAGAGAGCCCCAACTTCTGGTGCGTGAGATCCAAGTAATCGTGAACAAGTAACTCCCTTGTTTCGGAGTTCAACATCAAACTATATAGCTTAAACATTATGCTCTCAGCCCAATCATAAGCTAACATATTTTCAGGCTCAAATGCTATTTCTGCAAGACCTGGGTCTTTGATACCACGAAAGCCAGGCTCGCATTGTTCAACAGGGAAGATTTCACTGAGCACCTTCTGGAACTCTCCAATACTGATGATCTCAAAAGATTCCATCTCAAGCTCTTCATGATACTTTGAACCAAGTGACTGTGCTTCCGACGAAGGCTCCATCACCGACCCCGAATATACTTCGTAGTAGTCTCGTAGCTCACACCAACTTTCTGTGAGAAGTTTCGTGACGCTTAGTCTGGGGTTGTTGACGTATGACTGGTTGCCATTGTAAGAGGAATGGAACTCAAACGGATTCTTATCAATAAAACTTGGCTTTTTAGTGGGTAAAAATTCATCATAGTTCAATTTGAACGTTTCAAACAACCGGAGAAGCTTGGGATTTGTTATGTTGACGGCCTTGGGGAGTATAATAAACTTTGAAATCAAATCATTAGTCGCTCTACTCATTGAAGGCTAATCACGAAATGAGTTAAATCGCGTCAAAACATTTGATTTTGCAGCTAACGAAAATGTTGAAATTGGATATAGTCTAAATAAAAAATAAAATATATATAATGTACAGAAAATGAATGGTGCACAGTTGGATCCACCAGATGAACACACTAAAGAATACCTCTCTTCAACCGCAATGAATCTCTCTTCTTTTCACTAAGACTGAGTTTGGTGGGAAGTATTCTTTCTTCACGCTCCTCAGCAATAGGACTTTGTGGTATTGACCCGTTGATAAAGGCATTTTGCATCAATGAAAAGTCGTCTGAGGGTGTCGTGGCTGACATGAAAGGAGAATCCAAGGTTTCTGTGTTACCATTCAATGAGTTCAATGCCTGTAAGTTGGCGTTGTCTGTGTTAATAGTCAAAGGCCTTGGGAACCCATTCAATCTTGGGTTGCTAGAAGACCTGGATCTCAGGCCAAAATTGAACTCATCATACTCTTGCAAATTGGGCACCGGTGCCGTAGTAGAGGTCGACACGGGATTTTGCACGATTTGAATGTTATGAAGAGGAGCACCCGGAGGAGTCGAAAAAGAGGACTTGTTGGATCCAGTGTTAGAACCCGGGGGAGTCTGATAGTCCATCATCATGTTGTTAAAGCTGAAAGCCAGACCGGTTGGAGTAGACATGTTTCCCAACGCACTGTTGCCGTTGGGGCTATTGCTGGTGCCGTTAGCAGACCTGTTGATAAATGGCTGAGGGACATAGTCTTGCATCGATTGTAGTGAGTCAGTAGACTCGTTGGGATGTCTGATTGTACTCAAGTTTCCCACATGGAGCCAATTACTAGTGGTGGTGCTATTGTAACTGTTATTTCTGGTCAATGACTGTTTTCTAAGATTTATACTGGAAGATCTTGATTTCCCTTGCTGAGCAGCCGCCTGTTGTTGTTCCTGATAATGGTTGATGTTCAACTCGGTCAATGACAAATTGGAAATGGAAGACTGTCTGGCGTTAGAAGCATAAATATTGGCATTACCCGAATAGTATGGATTATTACCAGTGGCATTGGAATTTTGCATGGAATTGATGCTGATCGACGTAGATAACGGCAATTTCGACAGGCTATTCTTGTGAGAGCACAATTCGATTAACCGTTTTCTTATGAGCAGCAAGAATATGGGTCTGTAGCTGTTGTTGGACAACATATCCTTATTGATGATCAGATGTTGGTCATATGAAGCACCGCTATTAACAGAAATGCTAGAAACCAAGTTATTCATAGTTTCGTTAGCCACGCGGCCCACCAACCCGCTGGGTGGAATGGTCCCCGAAAAAGGTGTTGTGGTGGGCAAAGACAAAATATGACTATAGACAGACATCACCAAATAGTCGAAATTGGATGTGAAATTCAAGGAGTAATTTTTGGCAGTCTTGATGCCCGATCCGTTGACATCGTCTGTGTCGGTGAGAATGTCATCAGAATCGTTATAAATGGGGTTTGAGTAGATTTGTTGTTGGTGAGGAGGTTGTGACTGTGGATGTGGGGGGTGTTGCGGCAAGTTATTGGGGAAGTTTTGGCCAAAGTAATTCTGATTCGGTGGATCGATAGGTGTCCTCAAAGTCTGATCCAAGGGTGTGTATGGCCCGTTGTCCAGAATCGATAACGGGTTGTTTATCTTTAACAGCAAATTATTATTTTTGTTCATCATCATATTTAATGGGGATGGCAGAAAAGGGTCCGATAAAATGGGGAGTTGATGAAGGATATGAGGAGATAAATGCAAGGGTATTTATACCAAAAACAAAACAAAGCAGGGGCTATCTTGAATGTACTAAAAAGGAGTTGGAAAAACTACCGATAACTTGCTTCCCGTAGTTCCTTTATATTTTGGGTGACTGGCAGCGGATTTTTAATCGAAACGAGACGCGATTCATTAACTCCTTTTATTCCTAATTGGGTCAAATTCTCATTTTCAATATGATTATTTGAAGATGTATAATAAGGGGACAACGGTCGTATACAATGGGGTGAATGGTATGTAATCCTATACAATGAATCTGGATCGGGAGTAATTTAGTTTGTTGGGTTCCAACTACTTTTCAGGCGGCTAGTGGGCTCGGTACTAGTTGGTGATTTGAGGGTCTCAAGCCTTTTCCTCGCTTAACAAGGGAACTGCCTTGTGTCCCGACTCCTGTGTTTTTGTGTTTCGTGTTTGGGGGCCAGGGCCTGCTTAGCGATGTGATTGTTGGGCCGGGTTCTGCAGTACGTGTAGCTGTACCGTGGTATACCTGCCGTACTTTATGTCCGTTTCCGATGGTTCCAGGCTTGCTGACCCCTGCCATCGTACTTTATTATATGGGATTGCGAATGCGCCCGTCGTACTTTATATCCAGTGCAATCATCACCGTCGTACTTAGGATCGGATTCCAAAGGCGCCGATCGTAATTATATCACCTCATCTTCGAACCGATCGTCATATTTTATGTTTATAGGAAGAAACTGGTTCACGTGGTCGGTCGAAGCTTCCACCAAGTAGTCTCCTGCGACACCATTGCCGGTAGAAACGGTAGGGCCCAAGCTGGTATCTTCAAACTTTTTGTTGCTGAACTTGCTGTCTTTTTCGATCAAGTAATCCACCCAGTTGATGTCGATATTCACCTCGTCATCATCGAAAGCCCCCATTCCATCTGCGTGGGTGTTATCATCAGCCTGTCCGAAGCTGTTGAAAAAATCCTGCTTTTTCTTCAATCTTCGGAGTTTTTCCTCTTCGTCGTTCATTTCGTCCTTGAAGTTTCGATTCTCTATTATCACTTTTTTGAGGTTACCAGGCACTTGATTGACTTGTTTACTGGTATTGAAGGTTAGCGACAGAAGCCAGTTCTTGAAGCTGTCAACACTCTTGGTGTTATACTTGGTGTTGTCACTGTTCTTGAGTAGACCTACCTCGAGCATGGCCTGAAGAATATCTATTGCTTTCATATCATCATTCCTGAGGTTGGAAAACCGAACCGCTTTGGTCACCAAAAGATCAAGCATGTTAACGTAAAGGTCTGTAACCACGTCGGCGGTGCTGGACTTGGACTTGTCAAAACCGTGGCTCTTGAGGAGCTGGATGATCGAGATCCGTAGTAATCGAAAATGGAAATCCTCTTCCATGTGGTGTTTGTTGTGCAAGAAAAAAAACTGGTGCGATTTGTGTAACTATTGACAAAATCCTATAAACTAAAACTATAACCCTTGTTGCAACCGCTCTCCGATCTTCTTGGAGGCAAACGACAATGCGTTCAAGAACCCTTTCTCGGAAATATCAATTTTGTTCAAGTTCAAGTCTTGGCCCAAACTGGCACCACTTGGAGGGTTGGTGACTCTTGACACCAAGACACTAGAATCGATTTCCAAAATCACCCCATCGTCAATGGCTTCATCCACACAGAGACTGACCATATCATACTTTTCTAAGATGGTCACTTTATCCAAGGTGTTGTCTAACAAGATATTCAAACTGTCGTTCAAATTGGACAACAACTGGTAAATCAACGACTCGTTTTCGTCCAAGTTGGCCACAATAATCAACAATACATCATTGACCTGTTTATATACCACCAAGTTGGAGTTGAATAACAAAATATCTTGGTTGACCCGATTTATTTTGTCAAAGATTTTCTTTTCAAACTCCACCTGTTGGGCAAGAGTGGTCAACTCGGGGTGTAAGGTTTGGGTCTGATAGTATTTCCCATACAACCGTTTACCATCCTTGTCCAATATTAGACACGATGTGATCGTGTATAATGAGATGTTGGTCATACTGTGAAAGAGTGGATTGTTGTTAAGTTCGTGTTGGAAAAAAGTGCGATCTGGAAGTGCGTGGACCTTACTCACTTTGAAACTATTAACAAGTATATCCCCATACAATTTCTGTGTTAAATGACACTTTGTAGGCTATACAGAGTTCCGAGAGCACTCCACAGGTTCTAACGTTCTATGCATTGAAGAATTAAAGCAGAATTAAAAACACTATATGCTAGAAAAGAGTTTCCACAATAAATTGGTGAATCTTGTGGTGGGTTGGGTACTCATTATAAAATTCCAAGGCTGCAGGCAGGCTGTAAACTCTCTTGAATCCGAACACAAAGTTGAAGATCAAAGCAAATACCAATCCTCCCGCAACAATCAAGGGTCCCACCATATTGTCCAAATGAGCCCCATCTCTTTCCATGATGATTTCTCTTCTTCTCATAAAGATATAGTAACCCCAGATTCCAGAGAATAAGGTCAAACCGAAATACACATACGCCAAATAGGTAGAAAGGTCATAGTCATTCGCCTTGTTGGCAGAAGAATAAATGATGAAGGTGACAGATGACAATAAGGTGGTGACTTGCAACCATCTGTTAAAAGTTCTTTCGTTGGCCAACCATACTTTAGGTTCGATTCTCAAAGGTCCAGCATTCTTGATATAGCTTTCAGGTTTGATGACACCTGGGGGTAATTCGATCTCTTCATCTTCTGAGTCGATGTCCAACTTGTTTTTCGAGGTATCCAAGTTAACAATGCTGTTTATTCTATCTCTGGGTACCAAGTCATCATCTAAGTCTTCAGAGCTTTCGTCGACCTCCGAACCATCTCCAGAATCATCGTTGTCGTAAGCGTATTTATTCAACATCCTGAAGGGAGTTTCACCATCCTGAAGTGGTTCATCCAACAACAATGCTCCACTGAAGGATTTTCTCAAGTTCAAGTTATTGGAGTTACTCACCATAGATTTGAACTTATTCAAGTTATCATCGTCATTCTCTTGCTTGATTGAATTGGAATGTTGTTTGAAGTACTGACCTGGACCGATTTTAATATCTTGTTCTAATTCGTTGTACCAGAATGGGATATTATCCAAATGGTCATCTTCTAAGAACAATGATGAGATTCCGTGAATAAACTTAGAAAAGTTGGGGATCTCCTTGACCAAATGAGAATTGATCAAGTCCTCAATCCATAAGATTTTCCTGTTGGAACTGAATCTTTTGATCTTGATTTCCATCACTGAATATGGAAATCTGTTGAATTCTCCCGTTCTAAGGTATTTCTCATAGTTAGGGTTAGAGTCGATGTCAGACCTGTGCCAGTCTGTAGGGTCTCTAATTGGTCTTTGTTTATCAAAAGAGTCTTCTCTGATAAACAATAAGTTTGAGTCGATGGTGATTCTGATCTTATCATCACCAGGGATTTGGAAAGCGGTTCTTTTGTAGACGGTTCTCAAAACCGGCTGCAACTCCTGTTCATAAATGAACTCGCCAAACTTCTTGAAGATTTCCACTTCATCGGTTTCCTTCTTTTTCAAAAAGTTGAGCCTATTGTTGATCAAAGAATTGATGTTCTTTGGCTTAATAGAAAGCTTCTCGTTGATATTGAAGTTCTCCGATGAGGGGTCAAAGTTCTTCTTTTCCATGGAAATCTTGGAGTGCTTGGCCAAATTTCCCAACCACTTCAATCTCAAGGTCGAGGAGTTGGGCAGCTTGGTCAACTTAGAGTTGTAGATGTCGAAGTGGGGGTTATCGAAGTAAAGACAGTTGATGATGGGATCATGTTTGTTGTTGTCGTTATCATCATCATACTCGTCATCATCATCGTCATCCGAGCCTCCAATCCCATTCGAGTTGAAAATCAACACCGGCAAATGTCTCAAGATGGTGGTTTTCACTTCCATCAAATTATCGGGGTGAATCCAGAACTTGAAACTCTGGTAGTTGGAAGTATCTGTGTCGTTAAAACTCGACAACTTGTTCAACGACTGGTTGATATCGTAGTTCTCTCTTAAGAACTGGAACAACGCACTGATCTTGTAGAGCAACGGACTGTAGTCCTCGGAGTGGAAGGGTAAGTCCTTCAACCGAACATTCAACAAGGGCTTGACACTAAATTGAGGGTGCAACCGATCATGTTTTTTGACAATCTTGATAAACCCGGTGTAGTTCAATCTCTGGAAATGGTCCAACTCCTGGGCCAAAGTCAACACCTCGTCCAAGCTGCTCAAAAATTGGTTCAAGTCAAACTTGTTATCAGGGGTCTGGATGGTGTGCTGCAAAGTGTTCAACTGGGTATTCAACTCATCGTATTTCTGATGTTGGAAAGAGTATACTTTCTCCAAGTTCTGGTCCAAGAACTTGACAAAACTCTGTTCATCCTTCTCACTCCAGTTGTCTTGTAAAATGACATTTTCCTTCAACAATCTCTTAAGTTGGGTGTAATCGATATAGTATTGTTTCCAAGGTCCGTATATCTCCTGGTCCAATTTGTTGCCGAATAACATTCTGGGCTTTGAATTCAACGGATTAGATACTTGTTCTTGCTGAGACATAACTAGGAACAATCTACTGGTCGAGTGAAGAAGATATGCTGAAGGTTCAAGCTGGCGTACGCAGCGCTTTTTTAAGGATAACTGCGATGAAGCCCACGTTCAGTGGGTGGCGCACGCACGCTCAAAACGTACAGTGGAACTGAAGATCTTGAAACAGATCTATGGGAGTGAGGAAGGTAGGCTTAGACCACAACAGTACGTGAGGTTGTTATTCAAGTAGTTGTGTGCTTATCGGTGTATTCGGTGTCTGTGTTGGTATCTTTCTATGTACTGGAATTTCATCTGCAGCGTTCTATTTGCAGTTTAGCGATTACTTAGTTCTCGGATTTGAGAACAATAGGGAGTGTAGGGCAGAGTTTTGAAAAATTCTACAAGCACTTTCAGTAACGGATGCAAAATCTTATATTAATATACAAAGACCTCAGCTATCGACCAACGTATCAATCAACACAAACTGGTTCATGAGCTCATCCAACTCGCCCTCATACTGATACTTGATCTTGTTTTCATTGATCAAGATGTCCTTTTTGATGATACTGTTTCTCAACTTGCCAAAGTGTGCAAGAAGTTCCTTTCCTTGGATTTTACTGGGTTTGTAGCTAGGACCCATAGATATCAATAACACCGAAATCAATTTAAACACCGGGAGGAGAAACTGAAAGTAGTTTATGAACGAGTAGTTGGAGTCCAACGATAAGTTGACCAGGTTGATTTCGTTGATACGGAGATTCATGCCTAAGTCGGGATCAACTTTGAGGATGTTGAGGTTCTTGATGATCAGGAACAACTCACTTTGGATCAAGTACGACGAGCCAAGTCTGCTTTGACCGATTCTGATCAACAAGTTGATGATCGAGTTGAAGTTGATCAACTCGTATAAAATTGTAGACACCTCTTTGAGCTCGTTGTCTAGGATTTCATCAATACGCTTGATGGACCTGATGATGAGCAACAACGAGTTATTCTTAGTCAATTGGTCGGTGATAAAACTGTTGTTGAAGTGGTTGAATAAATGGATGGTAGACTCGAGGAAGATCATCGATGTGATCCGAATGGATCCTTCGCTGACAATGGAATCGTTGCAGATGATTTCGAAAAACTTCACGTCTGTCTTCTCCAAAATATCTGTCAACTTTCTGAGAATTGTCTCGCTGTTGTTCTTGAAGCTCTTTTGTAAAAAGTTATTCATGATGATGTACAAATCATTTCTCAACTCAATGGTTGAATTAGAGCTGGCAATACCCTTGATACATGTCGAAAACAACAATAACAACCTCTCAATAAAAAGATTGTCTTCTTCATAGTAATCGAACAAAATCACACATAAGGATATCAACTCCTCACTAAACTTGATGTCTTTTTCAAAAAACTCATTGATCTTGGGTAAAATGCTCGACAAGATTTCCAAGATGAAATTCTGGTTTTGTTCTTTTGAAAGTTTACCATCATTGATAATGACCTCAATCAACTGAACCCAAGAATGTAAGTAATTCAATTGGAGGGCCTTCAAATCATCATTAACGATGAACTTCACTAAAAAGTCTTTCATGTCCAAGATTTCAACGTTATTAGTAATTGTTTCAAGCTTATCAAGAATATCAGTATTGAATATATTATCCTCGCTCTTGACTTCTTTGAACAATAAGCTCAAATTCCACTTGGAGAACTTCTGATAATTAAACTGTTCAAAGTTACTGAATTTAAAGTTCAACACATCGAGAAATTTCAATACTTGGTGTGATTCGTTCAAGAATTTGTCACCATTTATCAACTTATCCAAATATTGGTTCTTCTTATAGATGGATCCCTGTTGAGACAAGTGATGAAATTCGACAGTCAAATATTGAATCATGAGGTTTCTCATTTTGAAGAATTCAAAGAAGGTCAAAAGTGATTCCTTGTCCAAGATGAAATCATTCTCCTTGAGTAGGTCGTCGTTAAATCTGACGTTATACCATACAGTTGTGTGATCAATCTTTGTTTGGTAGCTGAGCAAGGTCTCAAAGAAGCTTACTTCTTCGTCACTTTCAAAGTCTCTCAATAGCTGTAAGGTAACCAACGAAGATACAGGGAAGTGGCACAATCTGTTAAGAATTTGTAACACTAATGAAGACATTCTTGTATAGTTGTACTCAATAATGTTGATTCCGTTGTTGAAATCGACACTGGAAACCATACTCAAGCTTAATACTAAGTGCTCCGTCAAGTTTCTGATAAATAATTTGGAATCATCTTCGTTTATAACCAAATAGTTACCTTTGACAGTGTACCCAAGTAGATGGTGAGCAAAACAAGGCGATCCTTTTGATATGGCTAGATCTTCAACCAAAAAATTCAAGATCTTGAACTTAATGTCTTCATCACCATCGGTGAACTGATTGATTATAGAATATCTCAACTGATTGGACTCTGGACCGCTTGCAAAAACAGTTAAAAGTTTATTCTTTATCAACAAAGTTTCGTCTTTATTCAAATCAAGAAATCTTCGGTTGACTTTGGTCAATAGATCTATGCATAAGCTAACAATCTTATTGTTGTCTGTGCCGATTAATAAACCAAATTTGGTAACCAATGCCACGTTAGAGCTCAATACCTTGAGGAAGTCGATAACATTGAAATTGGAAGGATAGTACGTGTTGAGAGCAGGAATCACCAGTAACAAGCTAGTACTTGGCAATGTTGGCTTGGGTTGTTCGTTTGCCTTTAATCTGGAGACCATGATTGCAAAAATATCCTGTAATTTAATCAATTTGTGTACAATTTTCAAAGAACTTAAAACCAAGGTATCATCCTCCTCCTTCAAGATTATTTCTATAATGGACTTATAGACTTTCTCGTCAAACACGTAGTTCATTACACCTATTGAATGATGCAACTTAATGAACTGATCATAAGTGAGCAGGGCATCAAATAGAGATTCAACTTTGAAATCTTGCGATACATTAGGAAGGATGTCATCCAAGAATTCCCAATCGACACTATTCAAAGAACCAAGCACAAGAGAGATCAAGTTGTTCTGTAAGTTCACCCTTGTCAAGCTGTGTTTGATTTTAGTTGACAGTCCCAAAACTTCTAATGTGATGAATTCAATATATGGCCAAATACCAGTTTGGTTGTTGAACCTATAACCATTTCCTAAGTTTGCAGGGTATAAAAGTTTCAGGTTAATCCTGGAGGGATTTTCAGGAGAGTTTAACAAGTTAGTGATTAACTCGATGAAGTTCAAGATATTCGGTAAATCCACCAAATTAGTTTTGAAAGCATTCTTGATACTGATTGTGTTTTTTTGGAGTCTGATCTTTTCCGATGGGCTTGGGTTATGGTGATCAATAACACCAGGGCTTCGAGAAGAAGAGTTGTTATCGATCAACTGATGGAACATCCACTTGTCCACAATATCCCAGATTTCGTAACGCAATTCAAGATCTTCAGCATGGGGGTCATTAAAACTGCTCAATAAATTGAGCATCAAGTTTATTAAGGTACTTCTGTTATTCTCATTCACCAAAATCAATGGGAAGTCATTGGATCCGATCAAGATTCTTGAATTCATAATCAAGTTATCAAACTTCAAAAACCCCAATATTATAGGTTTGAATCTGTTGAACATACTTTGGCGAATCTCCTTTGATCTTTCTGAATCGTCAGATAAATTGTCCACCAAAGACGAGATCAAGAGCACAAATCCAGAAATGAAAATCATTGAGTCTTCTGACAACTCTATCAAGATTTTATTTGAATTGTGATTATTGTTCAAAGCATTAGAAAGAAGGAACTCTTGACCTTTTTGCTTTTTCCTGATTTGATCATTCAAGTCGTTTTCAAAGTTTTCGTTCAATGAATTCAAATAATACTCCAAAGAATCAACAATTGAGTCCATGCTTATCTTGGAGTAATCGCTTTTCTTTAGATTGGAGTTGTTGTTAATCAAGTTCTCCCAAATCTTGATTGTCAGTAAGGCATCCTCTTTGCATGTCAAAGAGCTCAATAATAAACAGAATGTTGCAGTAATGAAAGGAGATGAGTTGTTGTTGACACCCCAGTTTATAAAACCAACTAATTCATTGTTGGTGTCTCCATCTTCCCAGATCAACGCACAAAGATTTGGTCTATTTTTATAAGTGTACACGAAAGAAAGGTAGAACCTCTCAAGATCTGCCCTTGTATACATATCTTCCATGTCTAGCTCAATGTTCTTTTCTAATGCCTGGGATGAGTCTTTGGAGCTCCCATCCACCAATTCATTATTGGAGTCCTTCTCTCCCTTATCTCTCACTCGTTGTCTTCTATTAATGGAAGACAATAAATAATCCTCTTCGCTATCCCTCAATTGAGTCAATACTATGGCTACATTCTTGATGAAGTTGGAGAAAAACTTATGCCAGTAGAATGGTAGTAAGTCTTCTTTGAATGTGGACGATACCTCGAGTTTTAAGTTGAATCTGGATTGGGCATTATTGTCATTCAATTTTGAGAATTTAAGAACCGATAATTCAGGGAAATTGGTCTGCAATAAGCTTCTGAACTCACACAAATTGTTGACTTCAAACAACTTGACAGTTTCAAGATTGGAGGTGGCGCTTGTGAATCTCAATAAGTTCTCCAACACACCATAATTCAAACATATTTGGATGTAGTTCAAGATATCTTCGTTGAAATGGAACATCTCTAGATTCCCTGTTTCTTTGCACCAAGGAATGAGGTTGGTTAAGAAGACAAAATCCATCAATATTTCGTAAGACTTCAACTTGGAATTCGACAAATCAATGAGATCGGGAGACAAAGAAATCAACTTGAAATCGTCTGTCAATGTATTGGTAACAGTTTTGTGCAATTCATTAACTGCTTGATCATTGAACTTGTCCAAAGAGTCAAAAATGGCAAATACTCCAGGAAGATAGTGTAATATTATCAGGTCATTATCATCAACGTTGGAGTTCAAGTGGGTCATTATTTGCTTGTAGAATTTTACAGTACCGTACTCTTCAAAGTAATACTGAATCATGTTGTATAATATTTGACCCAACAATTCGTGACAATTGAACAACTCAGTTTTGGTATATTCGATGGTTTGGATGAACACGTCATTCAAGGAGTTTGTAACGGTGTTTTTATTGATTAGGTCGTTCAAGTTATTTATGATTGAGTATATCTTCGAAAACGAATCAAGTACATTGGAACCGAAATTGTTGAAGTCGCTTGTTAGGAGATGTAATTGCCTAGATGTGATCAAGTACCCCAAGATGTTCAAAATATACTGGTATCTCTTGAAGAAGGCCAGTCTTCCCTGATCAATGAAACTGGCACCATTGTCAATACCATCTCTGGACGAGTAAAATAAGACCTCGGCGGTGGCCAACTCGTTAAGGCCCAACTCTTTTGACAAGAATATGGCATTCTCCACAAACATATCGTTGAGTTTGAGCTTGTCTCCATTTGTGAACTGTGTGGGAGACTTATTATCGATCAACTTCAGCTTGGAGGATTCATCATTGGGCGGCGTGACTAACACCAGATTCAAGTCATTCTGAATGGCTTTCACAAGCTGCTCGTCAATTCTGGAATGATCCTGATACTTAATTGAGTTATAACACTCAAGGAACGTATCATTTGACCAATTCAACATCGCCGATGTAAGATGTTTGGGATTGTTTTTGTTGCGCTAACAAAAAATTTTCAGAGACTAAATGAATGCGAAAAGAATCAACATTTGAATACACTATAAATAAATACATAAACCAAGAAGGTATGCTCAAGTCAAAGTGATATGACATCCGTCTTCGAGATTCACCGTCAACTGGGAGTTAAGTTTGGGTGGGTACTGCTCATCGAATGACTTCAAGCTACTAAACTCTTGTACTATTCTGGCCACCACATAAGAAGCCTCAGTAAGAGCAAACTGCTGTCCAAGACAGATTCTGGGACCCCCGTTGAAAGGTAAAAAGGCCCAGCCCAACTTCTTTGTTCCTTCATCAAACCATCTCTCTGGCCTAAACACCTCAGCATCCTTCCCGTAGAAGCGTTCGTGTCTGTGGGTAGCATATACCGAGTAGGCCACAGTAGAATGCCTAGGAATGAAAATTGGTGAAAGGCCGTCGGGACCACCGCCTCTTGGAAGTGTGGTGTTTTTGTTGGTTATTCTGAAGTTCTGGGGAACCGAAGGGTACATTCTCAATGCTTCATTGATGACGGCCTTCAAGTATTCACATTTTTTCAAGCTTTCAAAGGTGATATCGTCGATACGAGATTCAGCGCCAGCACCAAAAGTAGCATGGATTTCCTCCTTCAATTTGTCAAACATTTGGGGATTCCTGGCCAACTCAAAGAACGTGAAACTCAACAATCCAGCAGTTGTATCTCTTCCAGCCAATAAGATGTTCAAGGCCTGATCTCTCAAGATCTTGGGATCTCTTGTCTGCTTCACCAACTCAAACAAGAAAATATACCCACCCTTCAGCTTCTTTTCTAACTCGTCAGGAGAGGTGTTTAATGCCTGGTGAACGAAAAAGTCCGTCAAGCCGTGCACATCCTTACAGGCTTCCTTGAATCTGGTGGTGTTGACCAAAAAATATAACTGCTGCAACATGGCTCTGGTGGCCAACACCGTCTGTGCGTCGTTGAACGAGTCGGCAAACCGGGTCTTTAACCCCACATCACACTCGCCGGTGGGAACCATATTGATACTCTCGTCTCTCAAACTTTCCACCGACTCCCCAAACAAAAACTCGGTGGCAGAGTCCATTGTAAGCTTGAAGAAATACGTTTGGATATCAAACACCTGGCCCTGGTACTTGCGGATATGAGCAAACAAGTTTTGTACATGTGGTTCCAACATCTTGACATGGGCCACTTGTTCTCTGGCAAACTGAGGTCTCAACATGGCTCTGGAATTTTTCCAGCCTTTATGGTCCAAGGTAAAGATGCCGTCTCCCAATAACGGCAAAAACTGCTTGTACCGGATTCCCAAGTCGAAATCGTTGAACTGAGTTCCCAAAATAGCCTTGATGTTTTCCGGCTCTCTGGTGATAAACATAACGTTACCAGCCACTCGAAGAGAAATAGTGTCTCCAAACTGGTTAAATCTCTGAAGAGTAAAGTTGTTCAAAAATCCCAGTTTCTTGTTCTTAAGCATCTCACCGACGTTTCTAAATCCCAAGGCATAATCTTGGAGAAAGGTGGTGGGGGCTTTGCAACCCATTTTTTTGGCAAGTATCATATTCTGAACCGTGTAGGCGATTTTGTAAACCACCAACACTGCAATAAGCAATCCCACCCATGAGGTTGAGAACGCCGATATTTTTGCCTGTACTTCTTCTGTTGTTGGCATTGTAGAAAATGTGGGTTTAACAGCAATACCAGATGTATATCATTACTTATATATAGATTTTGCTCCTCATGTGAAATGATCTGAATGCGGTAAAAAAAAGCTTGAGGAGATGGGGGAAAATATTTACAGGTTATGTTGGACTTAAGACCCAAGGTTGGAAGAGTCTAACGACAATGGGGCTGCGGGTACCGGCACGGATGGGGGTACATTTGGGTGAAGACATGCTGGTGGCACGCATCTTTAGAGGGGTGGATAAGGACTGCCTAAGCCTTTTCCGAGTTAACCTGTAATTGATCATGTTTGCAACCATTTCGCATTTATGGGTGGTGAGTGAGTGAGTTTGGGGAGTTTCTACAGATTCTCATCGATCAGGTCACATCTACCGTTGTATATAAGCACTCGTACCCTTTTGTACCATCTGTCTTTAAGTGCTTTTTGGGTATGGGGGGACGTTGATATGAATTATAAGCCACATGATAGGTGGAGTAAAAGTCCGAATCGCGACGGATTGTTGATTTTTGGCCGGAGATAATATGTGGGGAGAGTACCTGAACGTGAAACCTCCGTTTTGCTGACGACGGATGACGGAGTTCAACTGACGGAGTTAGTAACTGGATACTCCCCATCAACCTCTCGGCCGTCTCTACTTGTCTCAAAAATGAATCCATTAATATTTACGTAAATGCTATACAACTGGACCAGCAGCTTTCACTTCAGTAGTGGCTTGGTCAGAGTACTTCTTAAAGTTTTCCACAAACTTAGTAGCTAATCCAGTCACTTCCTTAGCAAACGAAGCTTCGCCTTCGGTCCAAGCATTCGTAGGGTTCAAAATCTCAGCTGGAACACCAGGACACGATTTAGGCACCTTCAAGTTGAAAGTTGGGAAGTTTTCATATTCAACCTTGTTTAATTCACCAGAATGGATAGCATCCAAAATGGCTCTCGTGTACTTCAATGGACATCTTTTTCCACCTCTGGCAGCAGAAGCGCCAACCCAACCGGTGTTCAATAACCAGGCATTGGCATTGTGTTGCGAAATCTTGTCAGACAATTGTTGAGCATACTTCATTGGGTGCAAAACCAAAAATGGTTGACCGAAACAAGCGGAAAAGGTGGCTTGGGGTTCGGTGACACCTTCTTCGGTACCAGCCATCTTGGAGGTGTATCCACTGATAAAATGATACATGACTTGGGAGTTGTCCAACTTGGAAACTGGTGGTAACACTCCAGAAGCATCACATGTCAACAAGATAATGTTACTTGGGTGGGTGTCGGCCAAACAAGGGATTTTGGCGGATGGGATAAACTCAATTGGGTAAGCACATCTGGTGTTTTCAGTAATCGAAGCATTGTTGTAATCCACAACCTTGGTGAGTGGATCGTAGATGGCATTTTCCAAAATGGCTCCAAACTTGATGGAGTTGAAGATTTCAGGTTCCTTTTCAGCAGACAAGTCCAAACACTTGGCGTAACATCCACCTTCAATGTTGAAAACACCATTGTCAGACCAACAGTGTTCATCATCACCAATCAACTTTCTGTTAGGATCAGCTGACAAGGTGGTCTTACCGGTACCACTCAAACCAAAGAACAAAGTGACATCTCCAGTTTCAGTACCTTGGTTACAAGATGAGTGTAACGTCAACACCTTGTGTCTGATTGGCATCAAGTAGAACATCACGGTGAAAATCCCCTTCTTCATTTCTCCAGCGTATTCAGTACCCAAAATCACCATCTCCATATCTTTAAAGTTAATTTCCACAGAAGTGGCCGAAGTCATACCCTTGGTGTGAACATTGGCAGGGAATTGTCCAGCATTGTAAATGGTGAAGTCGGGTTCACCAAAGTTGGCCAACTCTTCTTCAGTTGGTCTAATCAACATATTCGTCATGAACAAAGCGTGGTAAGCTCTGGCACAAATAATTCTCACCTTAATTCTGTATCTTGGATCCCATCCAGCATATGCGTCCACCACAAACAACTTTTCTCTGGTTCTCAAGTAGTCCAAGGCTCTGGATCTACTGATCTTCCAGGTCAATTCGTCAACCTTCTTGTTGACAGGACCCCACCAAATGTGTTCAGATGAGGTTTCTTCATCGACAATTCTCTTGTCTTTTGGAGATCTACCAGTCTTCTTACCAGAGTAAGCCATCAAGGCTCCAGTGGAAGAAATAAGGGTACCCTTTTCTAACAAACCATCTTCGTACAAGGTTGGAGCTGGGGCATTATGACGGATAAGAACTTCATCACTCAAGGACAATTGGTCAATGACTGGATCTTGTGGAGTCTTGATGGAAGGATGATCAAAATTAATAATAGAAGCAACTGGAGGAACCATTTTTTTTTATTGGTTTACTTGAATCAAATGTCAGAGATTTATAATTCTGAAGAGTAGAAACATAAAGGGGATTCAGTGGATTTATATAGTTTTTGGGGTCCCAATAATGGTAACTTCCAGGCCCCGGGGAAGCGGAAGCAAACTTGTACTGAATTGGGAAATCCTGCAGGCCTTGTCGGGCCTGGCCAAAACCTGGGGAAATTGGAGAAACTCGGAACAGTTTGTATGGTAGAGTCGTCGTGTGCGCGCAGTTCCCGGGTGAATTTGGGACCGCGGGTGGTCGTGCATGGACGAATCCCCGGGCATATGGAAGCTACCCTGTACCCTGAGGTGCTAGTCACCCGTCCCGGTGCTTCGCCTCGGGGCAATTGACACCTCCTTTTCCCACCTCAGCAGGTGTTCCCTTTTGTCCCGGACGTTTATTATATTTATTTCTCCGTGGTAGAGCTGGTGTTTTCTATACAACTAATATCGGCTTGTTTCATAACCATTTCTCCGTTCAAATCATCATCTTCAACGTCTGTATGGTTCTGAATCATAAAGAATGCCAAAGGAAATGCGATCATCACGGACCCAGCACAAAGAGCCCAACAACTGGCAAACATGTTAATATAGGGGATTTCGTAGTAATCTAACCTCCACATAATAGCTGCACCTGCCAGCTGAATCGATTTATAAAAAGCTCCGTAAATGGCCGTTTTTTTGGGATTGTTACTGATTGCTCCGAGCAAGTAGTAGATGAAGTTCTGGAAGATTGCATCATACATCCCATAGAAAATGTACAAAAACATGGGCCCAATATATGCCCGGTGTTTGTAGTCGTAGAGTTCCATATGCATCACCGACTCACGCGTGTACTGCAATTGGAACTTCAACCCTCCACCCCAAATTGCCAAAGTGAGTGCCATAAGAATACCCCAAGCAATTTTGGTCCTCGTTTTACGGTTGAATCGCTCCCAGTCTAGCACTAAGCCAAAACCAAAGGCTCCAACCATCTGACTCAACCAGTAGAGTAATGAGTTGAGGGACCGGGTACGGATGTTGAACCGAGCAGCATTGACGTCGTTAAAATGGTAGGTATAGAACCAATTGGATGCGAAAAACATCGGGAACATTAAGTATATTTTAGGCTCTTTGTAGAGCATCCGAAACATCGACGCCAACTCGGATTTCCAGTGTGGATACTGGTACAGTACCACCCGTTCTTCTCCCACGTCGTATTTCCATACCTTATGAGCCGGGAGAATACCCAATGCAAAGAGGAGACCTGACCCCATTAATGCGATGAACACAGCGTAAGTGGAGTCGGTAGCTGTGCTCTCATTATTTTTCAAATTGTTTCCAAGACTGATGGCAGATCCGACAACCCCTCCCAAGTTGAAGATTACCCAGAAGATCATGATGGCTCTGCCTTTTTTCTCCTCCGGTGGATACGACATCATAATACTTCCTTGTGCACTCCTAGAACCAATGTGTTAGTAATTGTCAAATGGCTGCAACTTTTAATGAATGTTCTAAACGTACCATAATGTTCCAGCACAAGCTCCAAGAATGGCTGATGATGCATAGATGAATGCTTCTGCCCCACCGGGATTGGTTGCTGCATGTTTACTGTAGTAGACTAGATTTGTTAGTATACCACCCTCAACTCATGAAGAATGTTGAACTGTACATACATAATGCACCCGAGTACAAACAGTACCCACAAGAGCCAATGCACAAAGCAAGTTTGACGCCGATCATGTTACAAAGATATCCAGAAAAGAACCCCCAAACACAGAAGACAATATACAAAGCAGTGCTTCCATTGTTTGCAACACCGATGGTGATACCAGAGCCTCCGATACCTGTCAACGCGTTATACATCCCGGTGGTCATAAAACAAACCAACGACAATACGACTACCTGGAACATCGACAGGGAATAAGCGGGCATGAATGGAAGGATCTTCCTATCATACCATCTGAGTGACAGTTCTTGCTTGGACTCCAAATCTGACATGTTTGAATGAAAAAAAAAAAGAAGAAAGGAACGCCGACCCCACTATATATATAATGTTATAGCCCCAATTTTCTCCAGAAAGAAGATGTTATGCCCCAGTTTTTTCTTCGAGATTTTGGGTGTTGCATTCCAATTAGGTTGCATCAAGCGAGCGATGAGCATCGTTCAAAATGGAAAATTGCAACATAGCTCTTCCGAAAAACATTGGCATTCGGTACTCATCCAAACAGTATGCGTTCTCTAGTGACCCCAAACTACAGAGATATGTTCGTGAAAGCTTTTGATTACAATACTTGCGTTGTGCTTATATTACTAGTGCCGATGCGCATGAAGTTAAAAAAATACTCTATTATTAGCAAGCCAAATAAACTGCAACCTGAGTTGAGCAATCATTTATTGTTACATCTACTATATACATACTTGCAACCCTAATTCTGGTCAAACACCCCCACATCCGTGCGCTTGTCATAGTTTTCATAGTAGTACTTCCATTCTTGGAATCCGATCTCTTTGATTCCGTTAATGTTGTCGTTTATACCCATCATCAAGCACCGATTTATGGGTTCTTCATTGAAGCTGGATTTTAAAAGTGTGATTCCACTGCAAATTAATCCGTACTTGAATATTTCTGTCAAGCTGGAGTATGACAGGTCGATCACAGGAGCAACAAGTCCTCCTACAATTGGTGAAGAAGGGGAAGCCACAGGTGAACTTCTTTGGTCGTTGCCGGCCTCATCAATAAATGGATAGTATTTTGCCAATTGTGACTTGTTAGAGAAAAGTATGATGCTTCCAATAATAGTCTGATGAGAAGGTTCCAATGCGATGATAATTTTGACTCCTGAGTCTTCTTTCAAGTACTTTATGGTTTTCAAGTATAAGGACTTGGTGTGTTCTAGTTCATCCTTCAATGCTTCACGTCTCAACTGTTTGTCTTCTTTCTTATCCGAGTTCAGGTCCTGAACGTCCAAGTCCATCGTATCATGGTCGTTACTGTCCTTGTAGATTTCACTGATAGCAGCTTCATTGTTCTTGTTGATGAAATTCATCACTTTGTCGGCATCATTGCAAATATCGAATCTAACACCCACAATCATCAACTCCCTGAATATCTTTTTTGGAACCAGCCATCTTTCAAGATCATCCAACATCATAATATATCTTTTGTTGAGTCTGCTGATGGAAGGGTTCCATCCAAAACTGTTCATGAAAGAAATCACCCGACTGTTTGAAGCGGAGCCTAATAAGTTAGTCTCATTAGGGAATAAAACTAATGGCAAAGACACCCCCAAAGTAAGAGTTGCACACTTCTGTTCTCTAATGAGATACCTCATTGCTCTGTTGTGCAAGTTTTTCCCAATGCTTTCAACTCGTTTGGTTCTATCGACCAAAATGTACATGATGCTTCCAGTCTTGCTGGATCCAGCAACATGATCCACCCAAGTAAGTACCACTCCGTAAAGGATATTTAAAGACGAGTTTCTAATCACAAAATGTTTCTGTAAAGTCTTAGTGCTTTCGAGTAATTTATGGAAGTTCTTGTAGAACAGATCATCTTGGTAATTAATAGAAGTAAAATTGTCACTATTGCTGTGTGAATAATCACTCAATGGGCTTGTGGAGTTCTCAAAATTATTCTTCATGAGCGTAACCAACCCATCCCAATCTCTATCCAATACAAATTCATCAACTAACCATCTTCTAACTGGAATATTGTTTTTCTTTGGCCTTGGTGTAAGGTCCTTTGAGGCTTCTAGATAACTTCTCTTTTTAGTTCTTCCAATATACTTCTTTTCGCCTGGAATACAGCCTTCGGCTGTGACATCTCCCATTAACACTTTCACTAGTTGTTTCAATGCATTACTGGTGTAATCATAACAACATAAATAAGCACTCCCGATTGACTTGTTGTAAAAAAAATCATATGGAGAAGATGTGGCCACTAAAATCAACGGTTTAGCCAACTGAGTATATGTTTGGCCCCCGTTATTAAAGGAGGATGGATTGGCTCCGCAAAGCATTGAAACGTACTTAACAATTCCTATCTGGTACATGTTTCTAGAGGCTTCAGATGTCACCACAATAACAATCTTGGCATGCTCGATTAACGACTCATGGAGTGAAGTTAGTCCATTGGCAGTATAGGTGGTATGTAAAACATTGTATGGGTTTTTAAATCCCTTGTTAAACAGATGTTCAGCCAACATGTTTCCTAGCTCCTTGAAGACTTCTTCACCATTATACAATTGAGGATCAGGTGCTGAATGACTTCGGGGGATCGGATTAAGCAAGGGAGTCAATAAAAGAATGTTATTGGTATTATCTTGCAGTGAAGCGGATCCCTTTGTTTTGTTCAAAAACTTGGTGATGGGTAAGGCATCAGTATAATCCCTCACTAAGGTTATTGAACCTTTGTAAGCAGTCTCTGATAATCGTTGATGGGCCTCCCACAAGTCTTTGTGAGTATCTTTAAAAAGATTTAAATCTTCTGACTTAGCAGACTCTTCACCATTGGGGAATAATTGTTTCCAGGTGGATAACTTTTTTTGTAGCTTTTCGATTCTAGCTAACGAAGCCAACACGATTTCTTCGTCAAGATTACCATTTTGTAGGGCATTCTTCATGGATCCAACAGCTTCATCTTGCAATTTGACATCATGGCAAACCATTATCAAATCACAACCAGCATACAATGCCAATATCACCCCTTGACCCAATCCTATTGAGTGGTGGAGGGCGTCCATTTCAAGACATTCACTTATGACAACCCCCTTGAATCCAATTTCTTGTCTCAAAAGTTGATTCACCAACACAGGAGATAAACATGCATGAATTTCATCTGGACTTATGGTGGGCACCCCACAGCCAGCTGCACTAACCCCATCAAACATATCTTCTTTAATCAATTCTCGAAATGGAACTGCATTAAAATGTTTCACCTGCTCTAAAGAATCAGTTAGCATGGGCAATTCAAGTAACGAGTCCACACTAGCATTCCCAATTCCTGGGAAGTGTTTAGCAAAGGTAAATAATCCACCATCTCTAAACCCTCGTGCGCAGGCTCTTCCATTTTTCACCACATCTTCAATCGTGGTACCAAAACTTCGAACTCCTAGAAGCTGGTGTGAAAGCTTGGTAACCACATCGATCACAGGACCAAGCATGATCAGAAATCCGATCTGCTTTAATTCTAGGGCCAAAGCCTTCAGAACTTGATAAACAAGTTCTGTATCACCTATGGCTGATAAGGCCATTGCACCGGGAAACTGACTCAAGTACTCTGGATCAAATAACTGATTGATTATGCCTCCTTCTTGATCGATGGCAAACAAAAGTGGATACTTGTAGTTTGCTTCGGTGTAAGCGATGTATTGTAAGTCTCTGATCAATTTTGTCATTTGTTTGACACTGACGGAGTTCTTTTTGGACATGAGAATTGTTGACACTCGGTGTTCCACAATCAAATGATAAGCCTGTGACGTTACTCCCGTTCCTTCAAACCCACCACATAGAAGCTGGCCAACCGGTAAGTTGGATTTATCTCTGGAAGACATGAGGGACTCAGTACTGGTTCCAAGATGTTTTTCCTACTGGCTCTAGATTAAAACGCGATTTCCTTCCCCATATTCAAAATCCTCATCATGCCATTCTTCAGTAAGTGACCAGTGCATTTTATGTTTTAATAAATAAACTCCATACTAACATGAACGAAGTTCCATTCTCCATAAAGATGGCCATAACTGCCGGGGCTCTCCTTGGTGGTACCGTGGCCCTTGTAAATAATAAGGAAAGAGTACTCGAGTTTGGGGAGAAGTTGTTCCAGGGAGGAGCCGATTTCTGTAAAGAAAGCCTCGAAAAACACAAACAAGGAATAGTGTATGCAGCGGACCTTAGTGACGGCGAACTTGAAGACTACGACTCGGAGTCTGCTACTGACTTGGAAACCTTGTTTTCTAAAAGTGAAATGACCACACCAGACGCTTCTGACGTGGAATGGGAACACGATTTGGAGATCGACTTGGTCGATTGAATACCATAAACACGTCAAGGAAGGGTATGGATCAAAGTGTATACGGTTATATATTCGGGCAATAAAAACAATTCATAATCATAAATTCACAATCAAAAGGTCTAGCTCACCACCGCTAAAACTACCACCAATACAAATATACAAAGAGCAACTAGAAGAATGCAGCTCCATTTCCCCTTCTTTTTCTGGTACTCGTGAGCCTTTGTGAGCTCGTGTGATGCCTGTTGGGTGTTTTGTTGGAGGTCAGCAATGTTGTCTTCGACTAAATCTAGTTGTTCTCCCTGTTGATGGATTAATGCACCCAAGTCTTTGAATATCGTATTGACTTCCTGGATTCCTTCGGCCGCCTGTTCTATCTCCCGGTTTCTCTCTTCGGTCAAAAGCCGATGGTACTCGAGTTCAGTTTCTTGTATTATGTCTTGATCTTGCACCTGGAGCTGTTGTTGCTGTTGGCTGTGATACTGGGGTTGTGGGTTGTCTGGGAGTAGAGGCGTTGCCTCAGTCACCTTGAGCGGATACAAGCGCTTCTTGTCTGAATATTCCTTGAAAGATCTCGCATATTGTCTGTGGAGGTCATTATATTCGGTGACTAGTCTTTCTTTGATGATGATTTGACGGTTGGTTATTTCAAACTTACTATCTGTTTTTTCATCAGAATTTTTGGTGATTAAGGCGGCAAGGTTGGCCATAAGCTTCTTGATGGCTCGTTCTAGTCCGCTAAGTTTGACTGTGAGTGAGTCTAGCAGGCTTCTTAATTCGGTATTGTCTCGTTTAGATCCGACACTCCTCCGCTGAGACTCAAACTGAGAGATAAGGTTTCCAAATACTTGAAGCTGAGTAGAAGTACTGTCGATGATCTTGTCAAGTTCATTTTGGGAGATAGAGTGGTTCTCTTCGGTTATACGGCTGCCATTGGTGGACTTTTGCGCTTCTAGATCGAAGTTGGCAAAGGACATGATGTTGAGTCAGCTTTCCTAATTTGTTTTTAGGACTGCGAAGTGATGTTGTACTTTCCTCGTCTACCAAAATGCTCCATTTGTAGCCATATTGGAGTGGAGTAATTGGCTGGAAGTTCATGAATAAAGTAGAAATCCAATGGTATATAGTGGCTAGAGGAAAGTGCTAGACGTTCTTTGACCCTATATATGTAACTTTTTCAGCCTTTTTCTTATGTTGACTTCGCTCTGGGCATTAAATCCTGGACTACCTGCTGTAAACCCAAAATAGGACATTCCCATACCCCAACAGCCCTGTCTAATAGTTCCATTCTAACGTTCAATATGGGCAATTTTCAAGGTTTTTACCGTCACCTTGCAGGCTTCTGGTGGTATATAGGAAACCTTAGGTATTTCTTTTGCTTTTTGCAACTTTTGCGATTTCTATATAAACCTCAAAGTGGAACAGTATCCAAGAACTCTAAGTTAAAATGCGTTTCCCGAGATCTCTCCTACTCCCTATTTGCCTTGCCTTTGTTCAAGCCTATCCTACTCAGAACACAAACAACAGTTCTATTGTCTTGTCCGCCCAAGAACAAACTGAATTGTCACCGGTGATTGCTAGCTTGCAACAGTTTAACCAAGAACTTGGGTTTGAAAAAAGACATTTGTTTGATAAAAGATCAAACATCCCTGTGTTGGATAAGGTTTTGACATTATTGAACGATACCAACATTGCCAACATCGTTATTAATCATGTGTTGTTAAGTCCCACCTTATTGGACCTTTCTACTAACGCTACGATTTTCGTTTTGAGATTGAACTTGGTAAACTATGACAACTTGTTTATTGCAATTGAAAAGTCGGGCTTGGTCAACCAATTAATTTTGGCAGCCTTGGATAATCCTAATACTTTACCTGGTGTGCTTAGGCTCATCGATGACTTGTTGAAGGATAACGGTATTAATTTTTCTTCTTTGACTTCTCACAAAAGACAGTTGGACTTTGAAACCTTCGCACCTGTTGAGAGGAGAGAGAGCAAGACGTTGACCAAGAGAGAAAGTGAATTACTTGACGAATTGTTTACATCGCTCAGAGATTCTGGTTTGGTTGTGTCTGTGGTCCTGAACTTGTTGACCAACCCTGACTTGGCTGCACCATCGGCTCAATTCTTGACTGAAATCTTGAGGTCCGGAGCCATTTCTGTCCCTGAGGTTTTACAGGCTCTTATTGAATCTGGTGCCTTGATCAATATTCTCAAAGACGTGTTGACTGACCGTGCTATCTTGGAAAAAGTTGCTCAAATTGTGGTTGACAGAATTTCCAAAGGTATTATTCCCAAGAATTTGTCTGACCAAATTTTTCACCAGTAAATAATTGTTGTTTCCTATGTAGTTTTAATAAATGTTTAATAGCTAAAACACACGCTCGCAGATTCCCAATTTTGCAACCATTTTCGTGAAAACGCGTTTTTTTTGAATCGCGTACACTTCAAAACTACCTGTATTTTTTTTCTTCTTCCATTCGCTTGTGTTCAACTTTCGACCATGATGCTGTCCAAGAATGCTAGACGCGAGAAGTTGAAGCTTCTCAAACAGGCCAGAGAACTCGGAAGAAATGTCGAGCTTTCCGACCAAGAAGAAGAAGCAGGTGGGATTTATGATGAAGTTGACGAAGACACCTTTAGACAACACAAACGTAACCAGATGATGAATGATGACTTCATCGTGGACGATGACGGCGAAGGCTACGTCGACAATGGTGCCGATGAGTGGGATGATACCACCAGGCCCAATTATTATTCTGATGAAGAAGAAGATGTAGGCTCCAAAAGAAAGAGAACCAAGAAACCAGCCAAAGTCACCAAGACTTCTCAGATTAATAACTTCTTTAAACCCAAAGGGTTTGAAATTGCAAGCAAGCCAAAACCAAAGGTCGTGGAGGCCGATATTGATGATATTCTCAACGACTTCGACGACGTGGCGCCTGCTCCCAAGAAACCCAGAGTCAATGTCTTTGGAAGCACTTCTTCAGTGAACAGAAATAAGCCTGCTTCGAGAAACCCTTTCAACAGACCGGCTGCTACCTCCAGGAGAGCAGAGCCAACAACTGCTTCTGACGATTCTTCAGATGTGACCATCAGCATGAATGACCAACCATCGTCTCCGATTAAAACTGCCGTTCAGGAAGACGTGGACACATTTTCAAAGGATACCGATTCCATTGGAGACATAGACGATGAGTCGGATGAGGACGATATTATTGTCGCAAGAAGGCCCAGAGCATCTGCTGCCAACAGGCCTCAGATTTCAAATATATCCGCCATGAAAGCTGAGCGCTTGTCTTCTCCAGTGAGAAACACCACCTCGAATCCCGATGTTAGTTACGTCGACAAATTGAATGAAGAGGAGGTGTTTGGAGGTGACAACAAAGACTCATTCAAGATGTTCTGGATGGACCACTGTGAAGTCGATAACAGTTTGATTTTATTTGGAAAAGTTCAAACCAGGTCCGGCCAGTTTGTTTCTGGAGCAGTCCAAATTAACGGTTTAACCAGAGAGCTTTTCTTCCTACCCAGAAAATATAGAAAAGTTGGTGGTGAGGATGACACAGAAGACGAGGTTAGCCCACAAGATGTCCACGAAGAGATCATTCCCTTGTTGTTGGACAAGTATAAGTTGGACACCATTAGAGCCAAACCCGAAAAAATGAAGTATGCTTTTGAGTTGACCGGGGTTCCAAAAGAGTCCGACTACTTGAAGGTCTTATTACCATTCAAAACCCCAAAGAATAAGCATTTAATTATGCCTGCTGATTTGGAGGGTGAAACGTTTAGCCATGTGTTTGGAACTAATTCTAATATTTTTGAAGCATTTGTTGTGCAGAGGAACATCATGGGACCTTGTTGGTTAGAAATATCCAAAGGTGATTTCAATTCTATAAGGAATTCGACTCATTGTCAAGTTGAAGTCTCGGTTGACTCACCAAACTATATCAAACCACTCAATGAAAGAAACTTGCCTCCACCCAACTTAACTCTTATGTCCATTGCTATTCAAACCGTCATGAATGCCAAACAAAACAAGCAAGAAGTTGCTTCTGTTTCTATTGGAACATACAGAAATTTACCCCAAGATGCACCTATTGATGAGAATTTGAAACCAGATAATCTAGTAACCTTGGTAAGACCTGTGAATGCTCCCACATTTCCACCCGGTTTGAACCAGTTAGCTCAGAAACAAGGTCTTCAATTGAGAACATTCCCTAATGAAAAGGCATTATTGAACTGTTTGTCAGGAATGATCAAATCCCAAGATCCTGATATATTTATTGGCCACAGATTAGAAAACATTTCTTTGGATGTTTTGGTCCACAGGATGTATGATTTGAAAGTTTCAACTTGGTCGAATTTGGGTCGTAGAAACAGAAAAGCTTGGCCTGACAGATTTGGTAAAGGTAATGGTGGCTTCAATAACAATTTGCAGATTAGAGAAGTATTCCATGGGAGGTTACTCTGTGACATCGCCAACGAATTGGGTCAATCGTTAACCCCCAAGTGTCAATCATGGGACTTGCCTGAGATGTACGACATAGTCTGCCACAAAGAACATTCGTTCTTGGAAGTCAACTACAACAATAACAAATTCTTTGAAGACACCAGTTTCTTGCTAATGGCATTGAACGAAAATGCTTCTAGTTGTAAGATTGCAGCAGAAATAGCATTTTCGATTCAGATTTTGTCATTGTCGAAGCAGTTGACTAACCTTGCTGGTAACGCTTGGTCACAAACCTTGTATGGTACCAGAGCTGGTAGAAATGAGTACATTTTGTTGCATGAATTCCACAAGAATAAATTCATTTGCCCAGACAAAGAGGACAAGTACCACAAGAATACAAGCTATGCCCAACAAGCCAGATTGGAATCGACTGAAGATGATGCTACCAACGTTACTTCCAACAAGAAACCGAAATTTCAAGGTGGTTTGGTGTTTGAACCTGAAAAAGGTCTTCACAAGAACTGTATTTTGGTTATGGATTTCAACTCTTTGTACCCCAGTATCATTCAAGAATTCAACATTTGCTTTACTACAGTCGAAAGAGAAAGGTACAATATTACTCATGATGAAGACAAGGATTTACCCCTGTTGCCTGAAAATGACTTGCAACCCGGGGTATTACCCAAGTTGTTGAATACTTTAGTTAGCCGTCGTCGGGAGGTGAAAAAATTGTTAAAGGATCCTAAGAATACTCCAGTTGAAAGAGCTCAATATGACATCAAACAACAGGCTTTGAAGTTGACAGCCAACTCTATGTATGGTTGTTTGGGTTATGTTAACTCCAGATTCTATGCTAAACCTTTAGCTATGTTGGTTACCAATAAGGGTAGAGAGATTTTGATGGATACCCGACAATTGGCCGAATCCATTGGTTTAAGAGTTGTGTACGGTGACACCGATTCGGTTATGATTGACACCGGTGTCACTGAGTTGAAAGAAGCTATCAAGACCGGAAACGAGTTCAAAGCCAAGGTTAATGAAAGATATAAGATTTTGGAAATTGATATTGATAACACTTATAAAGCCATTTTATTGCATGCTAAAAAGAAGTATGCTGCTATGGACATTTCATTCGACAAGAGAACAGGTAAGGAAGTTACCAAGTTGGAAGTCAAAGGTCTTGATATGAGACGTCGTGAATATTGCCAGTTGTCCAAGGACATCTCAACGTTCATCTTGAACAAGGTTTTGTTAGACGCTGATTCTGAAAAGGCCTTATCAGAGATATATGAGTATTTGGAACAAATGGCCAATAGAATAAAGAACAATGAGATTCCTATGGATAAGTTCAAGATTAATACCAAATTGTCAAAGGACCCAACGCAATATCCGAATGCCAAATCAATGGCTCAAGTTCAAGTTGCCTTGAGAATGAGAGAACAAGGAAAAGTTGTTAAAGCCGGAAGTGTTATCACTTATGTTGTTACTGCACCTGTCAATGAAAGCGATACCAGTTCAGCCGTTGAAAGAGCAAGATCATTCCAAGAGACCATGAACAAAGCAGCGGGTTTGAGACCAGACCCTTCGTTTTACTTGGAAAAACAGATTTTTGCCCCAGTTGAAAGATTGTTGGAAAGAATCGACGGCATTGACATGGTCAGAGTAGCCGGCTGCTTGTCCATCGACACCTCGAAATATATTCTTCGGGTCAAAAATGGAGATGTGTTAAATGATATTGCCCCAATTGAATCGAGTATCGGTGACTCCGAGAGGTTCAGATCCGCTAGTCATTTGCTTTTGAAGTGCAAGTGTGGACACCAATTCAGATTCGGAGGAATCCAAGCTTCTCATGCTTACAAGATTACGTTCAAGGGTATTGCTTGTAATAAATGTCAATACACTTTTTCAGCCTTACGGATCAACTCGCAACTTGAAACGGCACTCAGAAACCATATTTCTACATACTATGGTGGTTGGTTAGTATGTGATGATGGTGCGTGTGGAATTACAACCAGACAGATTTCAGTATATGGGAAAAGATGTATTGGAAGCTCTGGAAAAGCCTACGGTTGTAAGGGTGTCATGAGATACAAGTACAGCGACAAAGCACTCTATAACCAGTTGTTATACTTTGATGCATTGTTTGACGTTGATAAAGCCAAAAACAACAAATTAAGACCTTTGTACGATGGAGTAGAAGATGGTAAAGTCCCAGCGGACATCCCAGCTGCCACTCTCAATGCTTTAACAGAGCAAAATAGAGACTTGTTTGGTTCGTGTCAACAGGTCGTTCAGAAATACTTGGAAGACTGTGGACGTCGTTATGTCGATATGGGCTCGATCTTCGACTTCATGAATGTGTCCAAGTTCTGAGTAATTTATATATTGTATAGTAGAGAATAAATTATATATTTAGTGCGCGGGCATGCATTCGCACTTTCTCGATAAACTTCATTTGCGTAAACGTCTGTCAAGTTCCCAACAACATCGATATATCATGAATTTCAATCAGCAAATGGGCAACAACAATGGCGGAGGGAACTCCCAGTACCCTGGACAGCCCAATACATTACAGTTTCTCGGCCAGCAGCAGCAGCAGAATTCTCAACAACCTCCTAACCAGCAACAAGTGAGAAACAACATGCCTATGCAATTACCACCTCAATTTGCAAACCTAAGCCCAGAGCAACTTCAGCAGCTCAGACAACAACCGCAGTTCCAACAAGTGCTTCGGAGCTATATGCAGCGGCAAATGTATCAACAACAGCAACAACAGCCTCAACCACAACAACCTAACTCAGCTCCTCCAATGCAAATGCATAACCAACAACGACAAATGATGGGTCAGGTCCCACTCCCACACTCGTTGCCAGGACTGGAACACTCCATTCCCGACCAATCTTCGATGGTAGGAGATATGTCTGGTCCTAACTCAGCAGGTTTTCAACAGCAGCAATACGCCCAAATGGCTGCCAGGCAACCAAGGGCCACCACAGGTCAACAGATGCCGGCAGTTCCACACCAGGGATTACCCCAGCAGGCCATCAAGACCTTGTCAGGTCGAAATGGACCAGGTTCTCACGCAGATATGGGTGTTGGCATTAATGGAGCCATCAACGGAGTGAAGCCAGAGCCTGTTCTCAACATACCCGCCCAAAGTTTCACACGCCATCCTCCTGTTGCTCCCGAGATAATGAGTCGAGTTTCATTTAAACCAATGGAGAAGACTACGTTGTGGTCCGATAAGCTCAAACAAGAAGGAAAAGAGGTTCCCGTGGACTTAAAGGTGTATGAATCGATGATTCAAAAGGACATCAAGTTTAGAGCTCGGAATGCCAGACAGATGGAGTTGAATAAGAAAATGACAGAAGACTTGCTACATGATGCCAGGTCGTATAATGAAATCAAACAGCTAAGAATGAACGCAATCTCATTATCACAAAAGGGGCAGTTTAACAACAGTATATGGGGAGAAGGTTATCAGGGATATGGCAACGGGATAACCAATGTATCGACCCAACTCCTCCTACCAGATGGAAGGAAACTTAATAAACGGGTTCCTGAGAGCCATAAAACCGAACGGGAGACTAACAAGGAGTTGCTCGATATGTTACTTAAAACTCCTAAGAGAAACTTGGTTCCTATAAGGCTTGATATTGGAGAACTGGAGAATAAATTCAAATTAAGAGATACGTTTTTGTGGGACTTGAACGAAAAGGATATCAATATAGATCAGTTTGTGGATGTCCTATTAGACGATTATAAATTTATTGATAGAAGTGTCGACTCTTTCATCGTCAAGAGCATTAAAGATCAGATTGAAGACTATAACAGAGAACCAGATAAAGCCATGGGAGAACTTAGAATCCCCATTAAGATCAATATCACCGTAAACAATACCCAGTACACCGATCAGTTCGAATGGGATATTTTGAACTTTGAAGATAATGATCCAGAAGAGTTCTCAGTTGTGTTATGTGATGAAATGAACTTGCCAGGAGAATTTGCAACGGCTATTTCCCACTCGATCAGAGAGCAAACCCAAATGTTCCACAAATCTTTGAATTTGGCTGGATATACATTTGATGGACTGCCAGTGAATGAAGATGAAATTAGAAACCATCTCCTTCCTCCCTTAAGACTTGTATCAAACGAGGGTGGTGGATTTGGCCCTTTAGTGGATGACTACTTTTCGATCCTTAGAAACCCCACCAATGTCAATGATTATACCCCATCTCTTATAAAGTTGACCCAATTGGAGATTGAGAGACTCGATAAAGAAATGGAGAGAGAAACCAGACACAAAAGACGACAAAACAATGAGCTTCAGAGTCTTTCAACTGGTGGTAGAGGCACTTCTAGAAGAGCCGCTTATGCTCCAAGAGGTGGACCTACTCTTCCTGATTTGTCAGACATCCCAAAGACATTCAGAACGGCCCAACCATCCAGTGTGTTGCCAGGAGGAGTAGATTTGGGGGTTCCTGACATCTTTGCGTACAATGAAGTGATTGTGCACAAAACCAATATTCCAAATCCTGATTATAAGGCTCCTCAGTCCAAAATACATAGAGTCGTTTTCAATCATGATGAGAACAACGGCCGATTCCTTGTGAAAATCAAGTTAGGGCCTCCACCAGGAGTAAATCCTTATCAAATGGCACCAGGCCAATATGGTGCCATGGGCCATCTCAATCAGACTAGACACCGTTAAACAGACCAAAATTGGTACTATTTATAATAAATTACATTCTCTTACCTCTTGATGTAACAATATTTCGAGCGTGTTGGGTTTCAGCGGACTTTGCAATCCAGGAATTCATACATTTGTTGTCCCTTATATAGAACCTTATTGTCTTTGTATAAGCATTTTCGCTCACCATTCAAATAAGTAATTGAAATAAAGGGCAATTTCTTGTGTAAATAAATGTGTAGATGAAACATGCTATGGTGAAAGGAAATTGACGCTTCTTATAGCTTTACGAATAGCTTAACGTTGAGAGCCGCACATGGAAATGGACAAAACCTTAAACAAGCCAAATATTGGTATTATAGTAGTTCAATACACCATCAATTGTATTTGGAAAAGGATCAATTCCTCCAATCACTGCTTTCACGACAAGCACCGTTCGAGGTGATTTTCATCTGCCATTCTTCGGCCGAGAAATCGCATCTGCATCTCATTTTGGATATTGCCTACTAGAACGAAATAGTTACTCAAATGAATCAAGTGGTCCTAACACTAGCCAAGGACAGACCCCATAACCCTCCTTCAATTACATTAGGCAATGGGGTACACAAAATAGCATCTGAATATATTAATGTAATCATAAGCGAAAAATGACAATAACCCCAGAAAATAGCTGCCCCGCGACTAGCACAATCATATGAAGACGAGAGTGGAATATAAAACACTTCTAATTTCCCGCAAATTGACGGGTATCTGACCAGAATAAAACATGTCAGAACAACAAAAATATGCTTTAGTCACCGGTGCTTCATCAGGAATTGGCTATGCCATGGCCAAAGTGTTGAGTAAAAAAGGCTACAAAGTATTTGGATGCTCACCAAAGCTGGACTCCTTCAAAATGAAACCATTAGCTGATGAGTTTGGGGTGGTTCCTTTTGACTGTGATATCAGTAAGTTGGAAGATATCAAGGCGTTAAGCAAATCCGTTGGTAAATTAACTGGTGGCAGATTGGACATTTTGTACAATAATGGAGGTATTGCAACCGGAGGTGCAGGCATCGAGATGGATGAGGAAGAAGTTAATAAGGTGTTTCAAATTAACGTCATTGGCCATATCAACATGACTAAGCACTTTGTTGATTATGTGATTGAAACCCAGGGAGCAGTGGTGTTTACGTCTTCGGTGGCCAGTATTATCCCATTGTCATGGACTTCAATATATTGTGCTACTAAGGCAGCAATCAACCTGTATGCCCGTGTTTTACACGCCGAACTCAAACCTTTTGATGTCAAGGTCTATTCAGTGATCACCGGTGGGGTGGATACTCCTATTGCCGATCACTTTGATTTGACTCAGGTTGAAAACTCTAGATATAATGTGGAGGGAGGCTATGAAAGTGTGGTGAAAGCTAAGGGAATGTCAAGAAATAAGTGGACCACCGAGGACCCCGAGGTGTATGCCGAAGGAGTGGCCCGGAAGGTCATTGGCAGAAGTAACTCGTTCAATCTTTACAAGGGAGGAATGGCTTACACGTTGTACTTGTTAACGATATGGGCTCCATTATGGCTTATGCAATGGTTTATTTCTTTCCATTTCAAACAGAATAAGGTGTTCCGGAACTTGAAGAAGGCCAACAAGGAGAAGATCAAGAGGAAGTTAACTCTGAAAAAGACCGCATAAGTATGTTTAGGTATAGAATGAATGAGATTTGAGGTTCAGATATTGTTAGTAGTATAAACACATGAAGAAATACTCTATAATGTGCATTCAAGGTCGTCTTTGGCGCTTTAAGTGGTTGTTGCCCATGGGTGCAAAACACGAAGTCTCGCGCGGGCTCTATCCTGCGCAGCTAAAATGTGCGAATAGGAGCAGGAAACTTTAATAAACATCGCCATCTTCTGTACAACTCAACCATGGGACACAAATATAATCAGGTATGTATCTCACGACCCCACCACCACCCATATATTACACACTGCCGTCTTAATAATGCCTGCTTGATAGGTCACTTATTTTCCCGCGGCTATTACGTATTTTCCTTATTGAACGTGTTACTAACTCCCGCTCTAGATTGAATCCCTGGAAGGACTCGAACTAAAAGACCTTGGAAACATCGAGAATCATGGACTTCTTGAATCTTTCAACCCTCCGTTGGAAGATGACTCACTGGTTTCAGATGCCGACGATGGTCGGTTGGTCAGCTCACACTCCTCACTGCCTCCCTCCACCGGGGCGTCCGAGATTGATAGAAATATCCATAACGCCATTCGAAACGAAGGGGCTTCTTCCCACTACGACGTGGCAGTCCTGGGCGAGGCTGCCCCTGAACATACCGCCGGCAGCAGCAGTAATAGCGGTGGTCTGGAGCCAGACTTGGAAAACCAGCTTCCACATATCAGGTTGACGAGAACCCAACGAGTGATGAATGTATTACAGCATCTTGTGCCAATAAAACTGACATATGATCGAATTTCCAATGGATTGGCCACTGGAAGAATGCAGCCTAATGTTCCAGGGAGGTTCATTGGTCAAGGTACTGATGGGGTGTTTAGGAACTTGATGGCCAAGCCCGATACCGAGTACAACGGAGCGAAGAATGAAACCAATCCTCCAACCTATGAAGAAGCAGCGGCCGATTCTACGCCCGAGTACTGGGAAACATCAGTGATTGCTCCTATATATGAAGATGAGGTGTTTGTAGAAGGCTTGCCAGTGGGAAATATCGCCAATTTTGTATGGAATATGTTGGTGACGGTTGCATTTCAATTTGTGGGATTCTTATTGTGTTATTTATTGCATACATCTCATGCTGCCAAGCATGGATCGAGGGCTGGGTTGGGAGTGGTGTTCATCTTCTACGGGTGGAATTTGGTACCCTCTAACTTTGGGAGTGCTGATAAGTTACCAGATAGGTATGAGCCTAAGAACCCCAATAACTATAACATCGATAAGAACACTGCCATTGATGATGCAGGCGTCGACAATTATGCCTCCGACTTATATCTGCATCAAGCTGATGAGACGGTATCTACTACCCCATATTTTGCCTATGGGTTAATTGCATTTGGGTTATTAGTGATTTGTAAAGCATTGGTGGACTACTATAGGGTCAAACAAATGGAGCAAGTGATCTTGCATCCCCCAGGATCAGAATATCAAACTAACACCATTACCTCCACTACCACTAATTATGAAAACGAGAACCACAACGATAATGAAATTGATGATAATGGCCCTACTTGGACCCAGTCTGAACTTTCTCCTCCTAGCTAATCTTTCTTGTTGATATTTTATATAAAACTATACTTTTAATGACTATGTTATTTCTAATTCAATACCACCAACATCTTTTCATAAATGGTGAATACAATTCCCCCACTCAACACCAATCTACCTAATCTGGGGGTAGCACCTTTCCAAAATGTCGATAAACCTTCTTCTCTAAAGATCCTGACAAAACAGTTTAACGTAGATGAGTACAATTTATCGGCACCCAACGCTTGCATTCTTGTTTTGACCGTATCAATGGGCATTGTGGTATAAACAGTGACGGTTCCAGCGATCGAACCCACTGCAAATGTAGCAGCTGAGTTCAATGGAACATCTGCAGGTGTGTTTGAAGCTTGTTGAATCATGGTTTTGATGGAATTATAGGAGCCCAATCTGACGGCTTGGTTGGCTGCTTGTCTCATAGAAACCGGCACCACTCCAGCGTAAATACCTTTAAATCCCATATCTCTACATAATTTGACACTACCAGAAATCAAGCCATTCTGATACTTTGGAGACTTGGTTTGTTTGTCATCGATCAATGCGGTTTTGATGGCCTCAAAAGGTGTCACAGCTACCACAGACTCCAATAAACCAGCTCCCAAACCTGCCAAAACACCCCTGGGACCGGATAATTTCCCATCTTTATCGGCCAATAAGGCCTTGATCGAGTCAAATCCCAAGAACCGGATTGACGCCTTGACAGTGTTCCCCACCACAAACGCAGGACATCCCACATATAAAGAGCTCACTCCCTGGGTTTTGGAGATGTTATAGATTAATACTAATGGATTTCTTGAAGCTTTGGACGATTTATCAACCAACTGAAGCCGGGTTTTTGCAAATTCGAAAGGATAGGTGATGACTCCTTCCACGGCACCAGCCACTCCACCAGCAACAAAGGACTTGAAAGGGTCGGTTTTCTAAACAAATTAGGGTTAGTATTACCGAGTATGGCGTGTTTAAATCTTATTAGTTTGCGTACCTTTTTAACACTAGACATGGCTGAAACTTTTTTTTGCGACTCGGTGATTGAAGTTTTATTTTTCATTGACTCATTATGTGGGGTGAAGAGATAAAACGAAAAGGAAAAGGAGAAGGAAAAGTATATGGAAGTAGCATTAGAAACAGTTGAATAGTCCTTGTAAACCTGTAAAGTACAGTCTCCCAGTACTTCCCTTACAAAAAACACAGAATTTTGTATATGCTATTTATGGTAAATCGATGCGATGCTGTTTATATATCCTCAAGGTCGTCGAAATCATCTTCATCGTCTTCATCTTCGTCATCGTCATCTTGTGCCTCTCTTGCAGCCAACTCGGCGTAATAGGCGGTCAATGCATCTTGAGCCTCTTTGTCCTTTAATTCAGAAGACATCTCAACCGGAGCTGGAGTCTCATCTGCAACTGCAGTACCACTGGAAGACTCGAATTCGGATTTGATGGGACCAGAAGCAGAAGCGATTTCGGGTTCCGATTTGAAAGATGGTGGTTCGGGGGTCTGATTGGCCGAAGGGGTCTCCTTTCCCACAGTAGAGGCAGAATGCCAGGCTGGTAACGCATTTTGTTGGATCTTCTGGATCTTTTCTTCTCTAATTTGTCTTTCTTTATCTTCATTTTCATCGACGGCAGTGATAGAAACATGTAAGGTTGCAGCCTGTGATTTCAAGTTGGCGGTCGAGTTTGCTGTCAATTTCGAGTTCTTGAATCTCGAAGGTAACGAGTACGAACCCAAAGAAGAAGATTGAGCAGGAATGGCATTGACCAATGCTGCTTCGAATGTATTATCTTCAACCACAGACTCATCAATTTTCTTCAAAAAGTCAATGATAGGGTCAATTTGGGTCCGTAGCTTTTCTAGCGACTCTTGCTTTATCGATGCCTGTTCATTAGAATCATCTTCCACCAAGCTAAACCCACAGTTATCACATACAAACAGGGATCTGTCAGAGCTCAACAACGCAATGGCATCCAATTGACTGAACTTCTTGGTACATCGCTTACAGATGTACCCATGGGGATTACCAAACTGGTTCATTTCCTGTTTGATTTTATTCACGACAAAATGGGCTCGCCATTTGATTGAATCAACCGCCTCGGTGATGTGAATATAGTAGTAGGTTCTTGAAATCTGCCGCAGTTGGGGATTCTCTTCTTTTTGGTACTGAGCCCCTAGTAACCTATCATCCACCAACTTGTTGCAGAACATACGAAGCTCTTTCCGCTGGATTCCCAAAAGATAAATAAGGTCATCTTCGGACAACACCGAGTGGATCAACACGGCATCCACAATTAGAATATACTCCTTGGAGTAGAAGCCTCGCACAACGAATCGTATCAACGACCTAATTGTATCATCCATGGTGGAGCTCGAGGTGACAAATTCGGTGGTTTCGCATTTTTCGCGGGTTGGGGGAACAGCACGAGCGAGACACAAAAATACGGCGCGGGTGCGTAAATGTAGGCCCATTGGCCAAGATGCCACCAGCGACGAATCCCGGCTGCTCAGGGGTAAGTGAGTGCACCAAAAACCCTGAGTTAACCGAAATTGGAAAGCCACATAGCGATATCACCTAAATGGATACCTCTTATCAAGACAGGCACGGTATTCCTGTTCAGGGATAAAACCAATTGCAGAGCAACAATACACGGTTGAAGTGACACTGAAACACAAAAATTCCATTCGTTAATCAATAACCCGAGACAATGCCTAAATGGCAGGAAATCACCAATTTCAAAAAAACGCGAAGACGAGAAATTCGCGTTACTGTTTATGGGAAGATCGAAAAAGTAAAATCGCGTTTCTTCACTTTAAAAATTTTCTCTACTTCAGATATATAGGGAACATCAAGACTTTCTAATATATTAGTCCTCAGGGTTTCTTTTTCTTTTCGGATCAAATCATCTTTTTTACTTCCAACTTCTTTAAAGTGGTGCTTTTTACCATCTATTCAACTTCCCTACAAGTGTCGCACCAGGCTGAAACTTTCCAGCTCACAAATAATCACGTATCCATCAAATTGGTGCCGTTCCATTAATTCTCAATAAATTATCCCCTGAAGTCGTTTTTCCAACACCACTTACTTCACCATGTCCGTTGATGGCTTCAGAATCCCCTTACAGGACCTGAAGATCGAAATAAACACGCCTTTACCCATGAAGTCAATCCACAATCAGAAAATTACCACTCCTCCTGGAAGTGTTTCGGGCATCAAGAAACAGGTTTCGGACGCGAATTCATCCCTCATCGAGACTCCCATCAAGAATTACGACAATGGCGAAGGTATCGACGGGTTGAACTTGAGCAAACACTTACTTTTGAGTCCTGCGTTTTCTTCTCCACAAAACCACTTGAAGTACAATTCCAATGCATCCTCGCAGTATCCGTACTTGAGACCGAGTCAGTCACAGGCGTATAATTCTTCTCCTCCTCCGGTCCCCTCCACCAACTTGTCCTCTTTCGATGATGAGTTTGACCAGGAAAAGCCAAAGAAGAAAAAGAAGAAAGACAAGAAAGCTTTTGACATTCAGTCTAATGATAAACCTCCCTACAGTTATGCCACATTGATTGGTATGTCTATTTTGTCCCACCCGGATAAGCGATTGACCTTGTCATCCATCTACCAGTGGATTTCGGAAACCTTCAAATATTACAAGAAGGAAGACGTGGGTTGGCAGAACTCCATTCGTCACAACTTGTCGTTGAACAAAGCCTTTATAAAAGGTGAGAAGTCAAAAGATGGCAAGGGCCACTTTTGGTGTATTGAAGCGGGCTGTGAAGACCAGTTTTTGAAACTGAGAAATAACAAGAAGGGTTCTTATCAAGAGATTATGGAACAGATCTATAATAGTTCGCAATCCAATCATCTCAATCAACAACTGGAGTTGCAACAAATGGCGAGCCAACAATTACTGCAAGAACCCCAGGGATTGGCTCGCTCCCGAAAGAGAACCATTGGCTCCATCCCTTCATCACCAAACTATTACGACTCTAATGAAGCTTCGTTCGCCGGCATGAACGAAGCCGCGGACTATCATCGCAAGAATGACAACCATTTTCATGAAGAAATGGATGAAGACGATGTAGGGTTCCACAAGAGACAAAAGGTATCTAATAGAAGTGACTTGGGTGCTCCATTTGATCAGAATTGGAGCTTGTCACCTCCACCGGCCAAAACCAATAATGGCACTCATTTTGACTTGATGAATACTCCCAAGGTGATTATCAGCCACAGCCCCAATAAGCCTTTGGTGGCAGGTAAGAACTTGACTTTCACCTCAAGCTTCAGCTGTAATTCAAACTTGGAGTTGAGTCCAATTAGACCCAATGAGACAGGACCTTTGTTACAACCCTTAACCCCTGGAAAGGTTTATAAAGCAGGCGCTATCAACCACCACATTCCAAACATCCAATACCAATCATCCCATGTATTCAGCAACAGCTCCAATACCAATTTAAATTCGGCACACTTCAATCCTTCCCAGTCAATTCTGAATGCCATTAATTCAACCTCTCAAACCACCAATCAACCTCAGAATCTTAAAACCACCAACACTCAACCAACCAGCCATCATGCTTCTCACACACGTTCTCATTCGTTCAATTTGGTTCATATGAAGACTCCCAAAGCTACTATCAAGACCCCAATAAGAATCTTGAAGACACCACAAACCAGTGCCAAAAAGCTTTGGAACTCCCCTGGTTATTTGGATGACTTCTACTACAGTCCGTTGATCACCAGTCAAAGTGCATTACATTCATATGATGACGATGACATGATCTTAAGGGCATTTGAGTCTCCTGCTAACAGCAGGAAGATTGGTAGTCAGTCGTCCATCGAGTCATCCAGAACCTTATTCAAAGAGGGAAGATTGAGCTCTTCAGTCAGCTCGGCTGATAAGTTGCACGATTAAACATTTAACGATTTAATGACAAAGTTGATGATTACGGTATTTATGATAATTGGGATGGGATGAAATGAGGACTTAGTTTGTGCCATTATGTATTATTAGCTCTATTTTTTTTAACTACTGTGTGTATTATTATAAGTAATTCCTTAATCTGTACTGGAACATCCTTTACACCCACACTTGACACACTCCACGGGTTTGTCATCTGAAAGATCCTGCTTCGGCACCCGACAAATGCACGATGAGCCAAAGTTGTTGTCTTCTTTTCGTATACAATTGAGACAGCAGAGCTTCTCGTAGCCCTGTTTCTTCCACTTGGCAATCAAGTTTGCGTCAACGTACTTCTGTTTGAGGAGCCACTCGTAGAGTGGTTTGTCTATGAGTTTTCTATTATAATGCATTGTGTAAACATAACGAGAGATCTGGTGATTGATCTGGATGATTTTCCATACCGAGTGCTTTTCGGTTTGGGTTTGGGCGTCTTTAAGTTTCTGGACGAGCTTGGATATCGTCGGCTCGATCTTGGTGTAGCCTTCTGGTGGTTTACCACCTCTTTTACTGGATTTGACTTTAGGCATCTTGTTGTGTAAATAAAAAAAAAATGAGAATGACGACATCAGCAGGATTCGAACCTGCGCGGGCGAAACCCAATGCATAACCCAAATATTCCGTTTCAGATGAAACACGATTCGAGTGCATCGCCTTAACCACTCGGCCACAATGCCGCGAACTCTGGAAAAAAAGTTTCCCATTGAACCACGACAAAACAGGTGAAATATCGACAAAAAAAGACCAAAAGACCATCATATGGTTCCAAACAGTACACACATGTTCGATTACATGTATGCAGTGGTGAATGATAACAAGACACAAAAAACTCTCTGCCACCACCGTTTCACCTCCTGCACAAAGCTGTCACCAGCCGTGCGCTAGCAATTAAAAATCCATCCGATCACGAACCTCTGCCCCGAAGGGGGAAATGGTTGCTCGAGCAAAAATATCACATTCATAGTTCTGCAGGATCTCAAGTGGCCAAACCCAACATCTGGCAACTAATACTTTTAGTGTTTTTGTCCTCGAAGGTTTTACATTTGCGCAACTGGTACCTTATATTTTGGCCCTGTGCACATTATTTGCAGGCATATAAACAAGCGAGCTTAGTTGAAAAAATTGTAACAAAACATCTTCAAATTGCTCACTGAAACATCATTTGAACAATAATGACAGATAGCAGATCCACCTCCACACTGGCGGTGGTATCGTCTTTGTTGGCCAACCTTGCCCTATTTGGTTGCTTTTTGGGTGGCTTCTTGCTCTTGAGGGTCAAGTTCAAGAGAATTTACAGTCCCAGATCATCCTTCAAAATCGGCCCCGAGGAGTCTCAACCCCCTGAACTATCAATTGATCCCATCTCGTGGATCTTCAAGTTGCTTTTCAGAACCCAGTCACAAGTCATTCAGTATGCTGGGTTGGATGGGTACTTTTTCTTGAGATACATTTTCATGATGATGGCCATCTTCTTTGGAGGTGTTTTCACGTATGTGATTTTATTACCGATAAATGCCACAAATGGAAACGGAAACGAGGGGTTCGACCAGCTATCAATTTCCAACGTCAAAGACCACAACCGGTACTATGCCCATGTACTTGTTGGATGGGTGTTCTATGGAGCGGTCATGGCGGTGATTTTTAGAGAACTATTCTTTTACAACTCCATAAGGTGTGCAGCTTTGGCGTCTCCCAAGTACGCAAAGAAGTTGTCGTCAAGAACCATTTTGTTCCAGTCGGTTCCGGATGCTTTGTTGGATGAAAAGCAGTTTTTCAAGATGTTTAACGGAGTGAAGAGAGTGTGGGTGGTGAGAAACTTGAGGAAGCTTGACGGCAAGATCAGAAGGAGAACCAACTTGGTTCATAAGTTGGAGGCAGCGGAAAACAGTTTGTTGGCGAAGGCCTACAAGAGGAAGTTGAAGAGCGAAAAGAAGAAGGTTTTGGTGGAAGACCCAGGAAACATCAACTCTTATGTTCCTGAGAAAAAGAGACCCCGGCACAGAGCCAATGGGCTTTTCAAGTCAAAAGTTGACACCATAGACTATTGCTTGGAAGAAATTCCCAAGGTTGACGCTGAAGTCAAAAAACTTCAGAAGGCCCATAAGACTTCTAAACCCAAAAACTCCATTTTCGTCGAGTTTGAAAACCAGTACACCGCCCAATTGGCGTTCCAGTCCACTATTCATCACAATCCCTTGAGAATGAAGGCGTGTGCCACCGGAATGGAGCCAGGAGACGTGATTTGGGCCAACTTGAGGTTGTTTTGGTGGGAAGCAAATGTGAGAACTTTGATTGCAATTGCTGCCGTAACGGCTGTGATCATTCTTTGGGCAGTTCCAGTGGCCTTTGTGGGTGTGATTTCAAACATCACCTACTTGACCAACAAATTGCCTTGGTTGAGGTGGATTTTGAAATTGAAAAAAAAGTTATTAGGGATTATCACAGGTCTTTTGCCAACCATCTTATTGAAGGTGTTGTTTGCAGTTTTACCTGTGTTTATTAGAGCTAACGGCCGAGTGGCGGGATGTGCTACTGTCCAACAGATTGAATTGTTTGCCCATGACACGTACTTTGGGTTCTTGATTGTCAACTCGTTCATCGTGGTAACCTTGGCCTCATCTGCCTCATCGGTGGTGACTCAGATTATTGATAACCCTACTTCGGCCATGCAGTTGTTGGCCAGTAATTTGCCAAAAGCATCGAACTTTTTCATTTCATATATTGTTTTACAAGGCTTCACCATCAGTGGTACTACCTTATTCCAGGTGGTTTCGCTATTTGTGTTTTACTTTTTGACCACATTGTTAGACAAAACCGTTCGGAAAAAACACACCCGGTATACAACCTTGGATGGAATGACATATGGGACCACATTCCCAGTGTATATCAACTTGGTGTGTATCACGTTGGCGTATGCCATCATCTCTCCCATGATTTTAATATTTGCATTTTTGGCGTTCCTTTTGGTGTTTCTCGCCTACAGTTATAACTTAACCTATATCATGCTTCCCGGCCCCGACGTGAGAGGTATGCACTATCCTAAAGCCTTGTTTCAAACCATCATTGGAATCTACTTGGGTCAAGTGTGTCTCTTGGGAATTTTTGTGGTTGGTAAAGGTTGGGGTCCTATTGTGCTCCAGGCCATTGGTATTGGGTTCACCGCATTCTGCCATTACACGTTGAACCAGAGCTTTGGGCACTTGTTGTCGGTTGTGCCAATCGATGTGATGAAGCCTCTTGATGGTGTTTCCGAGACTCCTTCCTACAATGGCCAAACTGACTATAAAACCAAGGTTTTGGACGTCAGAAGGTATAGGCACCACCAGTCTCAACCCGACAAGCACTTGGAAGCGGCCATTGCCAATGAGAACAAGGTTAATAGCCAGGTCAAACAAGACTTGATCAAGGAAGACGCTGAGATCAACCAGAACGAAACCGTCTACTCGGTGACACCAGTGTTGGCAGATAGAGACATGAAGAAGTTGGAAAGTACCAACTGGTTTGTGAGGTTCATCAGACCCGATGTGTTTGCCAACTACAGACACGCTCGTAGGTTATTACCGGCCAACTATAACGTTGAGCCGGACGAGGTCGATGATAGGCATGCCTATAGTTCTCCCAATGTTGCCCAGACGCTTCCCACCATCTGGATTCCTGAAGATCCAATGGGACTCTCGAAGATCGAGATCGAGAAGGCCAAAGCCAAAAGTGCCATCAGCATGTCAGACCAGAACGCTGGTTTTGACACCAAGGGAAACTTCGTATATACGGGACCTCCTCCAGCATAATTATTCATTGTGTCTATATAGGCTTTTTCGCAACTGTCAATAAAAGTCTCGTGAAAGAAGCTGCGAATTTTCCTCGGACGTAATGGAGGAGAAGCATGATTAGAATTCACAAGTTAAAACTTTTGAAAAAAATGGCTGCTGGCTACAAAACCCCCTGGAATATCGCCACCCAGCGCCTCCAACTCACATCCAATCACTTGACGGCACCGGTAAACTCCAGATCCCTCAGCTACTCCACCGTGGACCTGGGATCCAAGTATTCTGTCGACTACAAAAAGTACTTGACAGACACCAATGGAAACGTCAAGTCGTTCATGCATGACGTACCATTGGATCTAGATACCCGGAATGGCACCGCCACCATGGTGGTGGAGATTCCCCGGTGGTCGTATGCCAAGTTTGAAATCAACACAAAGCTCGAGGGAAATCCCATCACCCAGGACATAAAAAAGGGGAATGTACGGTTTGTTAAGAACTTATTCCCGTTTCATGGGTACGTTCATAACTACGGAGCATTGCCCCAGACGTGGGAAGATGCCACGAACTCGAACGGTTCGTTGGGGTTGTACGGTGATAATGATCCATTGGACGTGGTGGAAATCGGGTCGCAAGTATTGGACACCGGTGCCATTGAACGGGTCAAGGTGTTGGGGTCGTTAGCGTTGATTGACGACGGAGAGTTGGACTGGAAGGTGGTGGTGGTACGCACGGCGGACCAGTTGGCCCTGCAATTGCACGACATTGCCGATGTACAAACCATTTGTCCTGGCTTACTAGAGGCTACAAGAGAGTGGTTTCGAAATTACAAGATCCCCGATGGGAAACCTGCCAACCAATTTGCCTTCAACGGCGAGTTTAAGAACCGTGAAGAAACCATACGCCTAGTGCAAGAGAATCACGAGGCATGGGACAAGTTAGTCCATGGTCACATTAAGGCCGATGCTGCCAAATTGCCAAATATAGCCAACACGAGTGTTTCGGGGTCGCTAAAGTACCAGGAAGCCTATGACCACAAAACTCTCCTGTTAAACCCGTCAACACCTGACATGCCATTGCCTGAACACGTCGACCGCATGTACTATTGTGGAAGCAGTTAGTACCTCTTAATGTACAATTTCTAGTGCGCAAAATTTTTTTGAAAACAAACATCGACCTTGCAAATGCCTGAGTCAATAAAGGGAATCTCTGCCAAATTAAAACCTGGCCAACCCACCCAACTCTGGTCATTTGCCAACGCGGTGGCATTGTTGGATAACACGTTTGATCAGAACATTTCCGACTCGTTGAATGAGTTTTTGTTGTCCCACAAGTCGCTTTTGGCTGATTCCAACCCTTTGACCAAGAGTGACAGTGAGACCATCACCGCTGGTACCAAGGAAATTACCCTCAATGGAATCCTTTATACGGGAATTACCGACCAGAATGTGGCGGACTCCAAAAAACTTAGTGAAATACTCCAACTCGATCAGAAACACTGTTTGAGAATAATTTCTCAAGTGTCAAAGAGGTATCCAGAAACAAAGTTACAGGACTTGAAGTTGAATTCCAAAATCAAGTTTCTTGACGATAGAGAAACCCTAGCACAACAGGAGAGGTTGTACTTGTACAGCTCAAGTATATTGAGAGAGAGGAGAACCATTTTAGAGTGTTCATTGGAACTTTTGAGCCGAAAATTGGATACCTCCAGCTCCCTGACCATCCAAAATTTGGGAAGAGACTTGTTCTTGTCATCTGAATACTTTGATTCCACCATAAAAGGATTACAAGATCAGATAACTAGCTTGACTAGCAAAACTTACATCAGTGAGGTGCCTGAACAGATAAGCAGTCTCATTTATAAAGAGACCCTCCTCACGATTGTTACCTATTTGAAAATCCTTGTCGAGATGTCTATCAACAACAACAGTTTATCGACTAAATCTGTACTGGGTTGGTTCGACCTCATGCATTCCACGAACTTTACCGTCAGCTTGAACCCAATTATTAAAGAATCGGAATCGGAGTGTCTAAGTCTCATCAATTCCTTATCCAGCGTTGTTTGCATATCTCTCCTTGACTTGGACAAGAACTATGGGAGTGATTCTAGCGAAAGCTTGATGAACAACGCTGTTATATTCAAACAGATCAATGAGATCATCACCAGTCCAGACAACAAGAACGCCATTGCAATGTATGCATGGTCAATAATACTATTGAGAAAGAGCTATTTGTTAGAGGAGATTCCTAACAGCTCGTTTACCAATGTTCTTGGAGTAGAACTTATAGACAACTCAATCAATGACTTGAGCATAAGATGCCGAGACTTGAACGTGTTTCATGAGATTGCTACTGTCAACAACATCCTTAAGTTTGACAATTTGTATCCAACAATCTTGTCGTCATTGATTCTAGCATCTATGCCGTTGATTACCTTAAACCCTCAGATTGCCTCAACAATTTCAATGGTAATGAAAGCATGTCCGGATTTCATAGTAGAAAGATTTTTCGAAAACCAAGCCACTAACAATGCATTGATTCTTACACGGGCAAAGTTTCCTATCCAATTGAGTTCTTTCTTGAAATTGGCATCTATTAATGGGAACTTCGCCTTGAACGAGTTGAAAGAAATGAAATCGTATATGTGCCTGTTCCAAAAGTCAGAATTGAACTTGATGTCGGTGATTGATGATGAAAACACAGAGTTGATAAAGTTGACTAAATCAATTGACATATACCCTCCTTATGAAATCAACAATAGGTTATCATTGTTATTGGAAGTTAATACCAAGGGGAAAATACTCCCTGGCTCTAGTGATTCCGAAGATTTGGTGGCCTTTCTCTACAGGTTTAGCGGAATAGCCTTTTTAGGTCGGGTTTTACAGAACTTGTCTATTGTATTTGACCCTTTTGACGTCGAAAAGGTCGAACTTACTGTTGATATTTTTGTCTTATTGACCCAAATTTTAAAGGATGCAGAATCTACTGAAGGAATTTATTTAATTGAAACCATGTCTGCATACATGGATGGATCAGATGTGATTGAAATTATTCTCCGGCTATTGGAGCAAGGTTTACACTCCCGAAACGTCAAACTTTCCAAAGCAGTTTGTGACTTACTTTACTTTTTGAATCCGTTAGCAAGTGACAGAATATGGAGTTACTTGTCCAGTTCAATTCTATTATCAGATGGCGGAAAAGAAGGATTCGTTTCCACCATTTTCTCATCGATTGAAATGATCAATGGAAACTACGACTTTACGCTATCTTTTATAAAATTGACAGAAGTGCTTGCTCATGATAGTTTGCTGTCTTATTTCCAGCATTCAGTGGAGACTAAGTCGATGGTTTTATCCAAATGTATCAACCACTTGATCTTGGTTTTTGAGTCTTTTATCCACTGCAGATTCAATGACTCTTACCAGAAAATGGAGATAGGATCCTTAATTTTGGATACTTTTGCGAATGTCTTGAGTATGGTCTATGGATTACAGAATTCGTCTTCAAACAGCAAGATAAGTGAAGTCTTCAGATCCCCTGCAAAGTTGATTGTTGATTCATTCTTAATTGATAAGTCAGACTTCTCAAGAACTTGTTACCCATTGACATCATTGATTGAATCCTTGGAACAAGATATAATCGAGTACGAATTGAAGGATATCACCTCATCTTTATGTAAAACCTGGTTCTCAAGTGTATTGAAATTTTCTGAATTGATTGTATCCATAAGGACTTCTATTCATTATCGTCCTTCCACGTTTGAAGCTTCTTTATTTAACCAAGTTCCTAAGTTGGTCAAATGTTACGCCACTTTCGAACCATTGAGAAAGGATATTTTGACATTGTTGACCGCTCTTACTAATGGTGACTGGCCTCATGATATGAGACCTTCATTATTGTCTCATTTGGGTAGAAACAATACTCAGATTTTATTGATGTCTATTATTGCTGACCTAGAGAACGACTTTGATAATTATAATGTGAAGGTTGCCATCTACGATTTCATTTCTGCTGTTATGAGGGGGGACCAAGAAGGACTATGTGTGCTGTTGTTAGGAGTTAGGGACATTGTCAATAACTTGAAAGATAATGGAACGAAGTCACAAACTCACACTGACCACTCTTTGGTTAAAGTCTTAAGAAATAATATCAAGAACATCGAATACTTTCCTGATCCAGTGGCCCTCCACTTGGTAGACTCGATGGTCCTAGTAATCAACAATTGGAGTTCAATTAATTCCTCAACAGACATCAGTTCTGATGAAGACCATGCCTTTATCGATCAATTGATCACCAAAGTCAGCTCTCCTATCGTGACCTCAATGAAAACTGTTGATGAGTATGTTGCAAATTGCTACAAGTTGAAGTTGATATCCAAGATATTTGAGGTATTGGCGTTGTACTTATTTTCGACCAAAAATGACAAAACCAGAAACAAAATCACTCTGTTTTTGGCTTCTAAGGGATTTGAAGGGTCTCTCAGGTCATTTTTTACCATTAAATCGTATCACAGCTCTTTGCACAACGACCTTGAATTGGAATTTGAGAGAAACTTTAAGAACTTCAAGATCTCAGATTTTAGGTGTTCTTTGGTGAAGAGAAATAGGTTTGGTATCTCCACAGTCTATAATTTGACTGTCATGGATGGGATGTTTTCTTCCAAAGAAGCATGGCCTCAGTTAAATGAGAAGATCATTGCGTCTGAGGTTGAATTGCAATACTTGAGTGTTCAAGTCGATGTGGCCAAGTCTTTGGGGGCTTTGTTAACAGCCTTATGCAGAATGGATGCTCCTATCTTGAGTAACGACTTTATCAAATTCTGTACCCATTTACTAAGGACCAACATCGATGAAGGGCTACCAGCCGATTTCTTCTTTGAAATTTTTCATACCAGAATTCAAATTTGCTTTTACATTATCTACACGATTTACAATTCTCCGAAGGTTGAAAAGGATCCGAAGATTGTTTTTGACTTATTGAAGACTTCGGCTGAGCTTCTTGCTTCTGAAAGCATGTCATTCATTAAGAATTTAACCCAAAGTAATGGATACTACAGACCCTTATTGAGAGTCATATATTGTTCTTTGTCAATGATTCAAAATGAAACTGAACTTTTAGTTGAATATTTCAGTGTTGTGAGGGACTTGTTTGACTTGATTGTGAATAAGGCGACCAAGACGGTATTGGTGGAGATCCAGAACAGTGTTTACTTGTCAAAGACCAAGAAGGAGACTGAGATAGTGAAGATGGATGATAGAGTTGATGATGTTCTTTTGATATTGTCAACTTTGAAATTGTTTGTCGAAATCAAGGTATCACGCAATAACCAGTTCGAAATGGCTAAGGTAGTGGAGAGGAATGACTTGATTCGGTCATTACTAAACTTGTATTCCTTCTCCCATTTGATTGAAGTGAATGGTGATTATATGTTTGCTCAGTTGAGCTTGATGTTCATCCAGGAATTGATGAAGGTTGATGTTATCGCAAAAAGCTTCATCGACAACCGATTGTTTACCGTTTTGCAAGGAAGCACAATTTCAAATTCCATCAAGAATGTGGACTTGAATATTTCTTCTTCTCCACAACTTCATAGAATTTGGACAAATGGAATCTTACCAATTTTCTTGTTCTCATTAAGCAATATCGGTCCCTCTGTATTACCCGATATCTGCTTTGGGTTGACTACATTCAAAAAGCCAATTGAATCTTGTATCGAGAGTTGGGCCAAGGATTCATCCACAATCAAAATCACGTCTGCCAATATCAACGAAACCAGTCAGCTATTGTTGATATTCTTCTTGTTAAAGAAATACAACGTTGAGGGTTATTTTGGGGTTAATACCGTTGTGCAAGACTCCAATACCGTTGACGTTCCAGTATTGCCAGGGCTTGATTCAGAGGCCAAAAGAGAAGACTTTGTCGACTATATCAACAACTTGTTGAAACACCCTAAGTTCTTAACCTCAAGAATATCACCAAGCTCTGTAGAGGAACAACGAATCATTGAAGGTGGAGGTCAGCCTTTTGACTCGTTCGTCAAGAATTTGATCGAAGAGATCAGTTCGTTAAAGGACTATTTAGCATAGAATAAATGAGCGATTACGAGCTTAATCCACTCGTTTTCATGTACATTATAAAAGTTAATATTGGTAGTAACCTTAAGAACGAAACTTTATATAGGACTCCTCCCAGAAGTCTCTCCCTCTAATGAACCAGTCTGGAAGTTTATTGCTAGGGGGTAACCTCAACTTTATGTAACCAACATTGTCGAAGTTAACGTTGTACTTGTTCATGTTCTTATAATATTTGAATTCATATTTTCCCCTTAATCTCTTCTCCTCAAGGTCATTTATATCTTCCATTTTGATAGACTTTCTTTCACCTCTTGAAGCTCTCCTGAGATGCGGAGAGTTAATATTCTCAAAGGAAGACCGGGCTGACATCGGCAGTGGGAAACCACTGTTTGAGTAAGAGTTTCTGAACATGGAGTTGTGGATGGGACGGGTGATTTTGGCATCCAAAGATGGTTTTCTTTTATCCCAGTAGTGCTTTGCTGCTGTTGTCAATGCGTCCGTGCTCATGGGGCTGCAGTTGGCATTAGAAGCAATATGCCTGGGAGAAGTTCCTGGGGTTACCAGCTTATCATCATCACTGAGCTCAATCAGATTATTACGTTTCTTCTCAACAATTTTTAACAAATTGACTGGGATTTGAGGAGATGCAGATAGTAGATCATCATCAATATCATCATCGTCTATCAATTCTTTAGTGTCACCATCCCATAAATTTTCATCATCTCTAAATGAGAACAGACCCGAATGATTGAACGAGCCTGAACGAGCCAACTCAGGACTTTTAGAAATAAGGTCATCAGTCTTTTGTAACTGTTCTTGTTGCATCTTTAGAAACTGATTCAATTGGTCAATTTCAAAAGGCACCAATTCAATATCTATTAGTTCGAGAAAGTTTTCGGCATAATAGTTGCTCTTTGCACTCTGTCCATTGTAGATTCTGAATTCGTTGACAATAGAGTTGAAGTTCCATTTCTGGATTTTTCTCAAGATACTCACCAACGTAGATGTGCTGTCAACGATCAATAAATTGTACTTAGTGGTGTTTAATAAGATTTCAAATGCCTTTTTGATCAAGTTCTTCTCTATTAACATCCACTGATCGTTCTTTTTGGAAGCTACATTTAAGTTGATCATCTGTAGATTCGTTTCCTTAGGAAAGGTCCCCTGAGATAGTATAACTGGAGAGGTTGTCTCTGAACCTGATCTTGAACCATTTCTTGAATTTGAAGCCGAACTAGAATTGGAGTGGGTACCAGAGCCTCCATCTGGGAGTGAATTCTCATTATAGTTGGATTCTCTGTTTGTGACATTCCTGTTGTTATTTCCCGTATGATTATGGTTGGAAACCTTCAAGCCTCCTAAACTGACCAAGTCGATATTGTTGTTACTGATAAACGTTTTCAACGGCCTTGGAGGATTTTCTGCATCTAATAGTAAAATGGACTTCAAGTTTAACGTCTCTAAGAACGGAAAGTTGTCGGAGTCCAACTTAGAACAGCGATACAACCCGGGCTCAACTAATCCAAAGTTATCGGGTGGAACAAGCATATATGCGAATATAGTGACAGTTGGAAGCCTGTCGCGAACTTTTAGCACTCTCCTAAGAATAAATTATAATTGTCTAGACACTTATTAACCTCTAATTACTACATCGGTAGGAATACCGTCATACTCGCCATAGCCCAAGGTCAAGTTGATGTTCTGCAAACACTGGGTAGCAGCTCCTTTTAACAAGTTGTCTATGGTAGCAACCACCACCACTCTATCCTCTTTGGAGTTGACTGCAAATCCCCCAACAACCACACCATGTTTACCACTGATGTCTTTTACCACCGGCGCTTCTCCGCTGATGGTGATTAACTTCTCACCTTGGTATCTTTCCTGGTAGATATTTCTGATGTCTCTTGACGTCAAGGCCTTGGGTTGAATGGGAATGGAAATTGTGTGGGTGATTCCTTGGAACCATTGGGCAACGTGGGGCACAAAAGCCACTTGAATTCCCAACTGCTTACTCATTTCCTTTTCGTGGATGTGATCAGTTAAGGAGTAAGGAATCAAATTGTTGGACAAGTAGTTGACATCATTTTTGGGTGACGGTTTGGTACCTGCTCCAGAATATCCGCTAACACCAAAAATTGATGGAGTGGAGGTGATATATGGAACCAATGGAGAGATAGCAACCTGGCCAGCAGTGGCATAACATCCAGGATTCGAGATCTTCTTGGCGTTGATAATATCCTGTCTGTTGACCAATTCAGGTAATCCATAAACCCAGTCTCCAGTAGTATCAAATCTGTAGTCGGCAGACAAGTCGATGATCTTAGACTTGGAGTTAGGAATGGATTCAATGGCATCGACAAATGGTTTACACACCCCGTTGGGCAAAGCCATCACCCACATATCGATTTCCTGGTTTTCTTCGATTCTTTTGATATCTTCAACCTGCAAGTTCGAATACACAATGTTATCCTTATTGTAGCCAGCCAATTTCTGTCCATCCAACTCTCTGGAAGAGACGTATGCCAATTCCAAGCTGGGATGGTTGTCGATCAACTGAATCAAGTTTTGTCCAGTGTAACCTCTAGCTCCAATCAATGCAATTTTGGACTTGTTGGGGTTCGTACCAACGTCAACAGGTGGGTTGGGGTTAGTGGTTGTGTGGAGAGCTCTTCTGGTGTGGAACCCTCTCTTTTGAGTTGGCGAACTGAAAACTCCTGATTCTTCAGAAGACGATAACGAAGATTTAGAGCCAGAGTCAAATTTCTTGATCAATTTACTGGTGGTGTCGGTGTCTTTGATACCGTACCAGAATAATATCTCGCCATTCTTAGCAAAAGAACCATCAGACTTGGAAAAGTACCAGGACAAATTAGGATCGTTCTCGTTCACAATCCAGTATAAGGAAGTATAGTCTTTCTTGATGGCATTGAAAATATTGTCAGTCACATTATTCAACCAGCCGTTCTTGGAGGAAAGGAACTTGTCCAATTTAGGGATACTCAAATCATCTTCATTTTCCACCACCACCGCCAAAACCTCCAATGGCTCATCACCATAAGACTTGAACAGGGAGTTTTCCAAAAGCTTCAAGTAAGAAGCAACAGACAACTTTCCAGACTTGATTTCAGGGTCTCTCAACAAAGCAGATCTCAACAAATCTGGGTTTCCAAACTCAGACAATGAGTTTCTGCTGATCAACTTGTAGCCTCTTCTGATCAAGGTACCGGCACCGGAGTCGGTGAACAATTCCTTTTGCAAATCGTTCACGTCGATAATTGCCACCGAAGAAGATCTTGGTAAGTGTTGCAACAAGTCGTGGATTTCCTTTATCTTCAACTTGGTACCGTATTTGACCCAGCTTTGTTTCAACAAGTCTTCATATTCTTCGTCCAAGTTGATCGCACTGATTTTTTCACCGGTTTCACCATTAATGATTCCACCTTTTTCATTTAAGTAGACAATCTTCAAAGGTTCAAACTCTCTGGCCAATTCACCGGCAGCGACATCGGCATTGATGTTCAATAATTGTCCAGAAGAGGTTTCGGCCAAAGAGGTCAAGATTGGCAAGTATCCAGCCTCAATACTGGCTTCAATAGCTGACTTGTTGACAGAAGTGATCTTTCCCACCAATTGGTACTTGTCCTTGTCTAAGTAGTCCGCGTTGAAAACTCCAGCGGTGATAGGTCTGGCACGAACACCAGTCTTTTCCAAGGCAGTCACTAATCTCAAGTTCTGTTCCAAAAAACATGATCTAACCACCTTCATAGTTTCAGGATTCGTGATTCGAATCCCGTCAATGTACTCCGGTTCGATACCCTCGTTTTCTAACAACTCATTGATCTGAGGTCCGGTCCCGTGCAAGACAATGGGATATAATCCAACATGGTATAAGAATGCCAAACATGATGCCAACTCTGGCAATTGTTGGGTGATAATGGCACCTCCAACCTTGATGACAGCAAACTGTTGTTGGCTCACCGACGTGAAGTATTTCAAGTACTGTTCGACCTCTCTCTTGGAACCGATGTTGTTCAAAAGCTGAACGACGGTGGATCTAGTGGAATAGGATCTGGAGGAATAGGTGTAGATGGGTGAGGGTGCGGTGACCGTACCCGACGATTTCCACGAGGCAACGGCAGTGACAGTAGTGGTGAGTGCGCGGATGTGGTGCGAGGCCCGTGAGACCTTGGCTACCTTGACATAGTTTCCCCAGCCTTTGATCATACTTAACTGAAGGTTGTGGAAGAAGATGTTATGTAAAAATTTTAAATTTTTTCACCCATCACTTTTGACTCACCATTGGGGTAGTCTATCCACCAATTTGAGTAATTCTGTTTGGCTAAGCGCGGTGAAAGATCAGTAAAATTTCGTGGGGTTGCTAAACTATATAAACATAAAAACTAGAGTCCCAAGTCTTGGTAGATCCAGTTGAGAGTGGGGTGCAATATCCCATAGTAATATCTAAAAAGGCGGTGGAATGAGCGACAAAATCGCTCCATCTCGGCTCTCTGGGCATCGAAGATACCGTTTGCCGACCGCAGTAAGATGCCCTCAATAAACCTTGATGCTACCACCCTGTAGACCCGAGATTTGGGCCCACCATGGAGTTGGGTGAACTGCACGAGAGTCACATGACGCAGAAAACTGCTTGTTTGGCCGCGGTAGGCCGTGGCGAGTTGGTGGTGGACTACATTGTTGATGATGGCTTTCGCCTGTAGTTGGAACTCCTTTAAATGCTCCAACACGAGTGTATTGAGCTCGTCAACCACCAATTCTCCTTTTACAAGGTTGTGTAGAAATAACCGCGTGAAGAACTGCAATGTTTTAATCTGTTGAGTGCAAATGAAGCTGAGCATGGAAAACTTACATAAGTTAAGGTTGGTGAAACTAAACCGAACACCATTGGAAACAAGGAAATTGTAAAACCTTGGAAACCGTAGGCTAGGAGAAGCGGTGCCAAGCTCGGGGGTGTATTTGTCGTTATTCAAAAAGGGTAAGATGTTCTCGAACACTTGGAATTTCTCAAACAGAAATGAAAAGTGTTTGATCCAGTAGCTGAGAAGACTGATTTCAAAGCTGGAAAAGTCAAATATCGATGCCGGGTCGATGCTGAGATGCCCTACAGCAAGTATCAGTTGTTTGAGATCATCCACCTGGGAAATATCTTGAACGGGTTCCAACTGGCAACCTGTTACTAGCTGAAAGTTCTTTATGAATAAATTGAGACGAGAAACACTCAATTCAGAAGGAATTGTAACACTCTTCAACAAGTCGTAGTTATCTAGATTCTTGTTAGTGGAGGCCACTCGTCCAGTCTGAAACCTGAATTGGCTGTTCAGGGATATCCACTTATCGAAAAAGAACTGTCTCCAGCGCTTCAAAGCAACATACGGGGGAGTGACAATCTTATGGACATTAAAGGAAATCCAGCACACATGTAAGCTTTCAGGAATGTGGATATCGGAGCTGTATCGAAGGTGAATGGCTCCACGGATCTCACGTATACTAGAAAGCTTCTCGAGTGTCAGTGAACAAGCAGTCAAATCAAGATTGGGGGGACTCAAAGTTAATTGCTTCAACAAAAACTGCTTATGCTTCATCAATGTCTTATCATGAAAGATAACCAATTGCTGATTGACAATGTGTAAGGCATCTTTGAGGATTATGGACAAATTTTGGTAATGCAATAACCTGAATAAGTCGAAATAATGGTTGAACCAGTAGAAAGTCCTACTGAAGCGAAGCCTGAGCAAGTTCAATGGATCTAATAATTCCATGGGAGAGTTTCGGGAAACCATATTGTTGAAATCATTTTGGAGCTGAAGCGATAACTTGTAAAGAAGCAACGACAAATGGTTGACTTGCCGGTTAACGGTCTTATTGGTATGGTTGACATTCAAGCCCGAGTGAGTGTTATCCCTTATGGAATCGTACAAATCGGCCACTAAAAAATAAGTATAAGTGTAAACTCTAGGGTTCTTATAGCCCAACAATACAAGAATTGATTCCGTTGTCTTGAAAAACACATGTTCATGATTTTTGACGAGGTAGTGATATTGGTGTGATTCAAGTGGACATTGCTGCAAACGCACCAACCTCAACTTGACCAATACTGGGGTAATGGATTTGGTGATTGCATCTTTGTAAAGCCGGCGGTTCACCTGGAGGGAGGTCCTTCGGGCTTTGGATTGAAGCCTTTGTAGGTGTTCCAAGCGGTTTTGTTTGGCCGACTCCAATTTGTTAATTAGTTTCATTTTGTGCTGGGCATTGAGCATGGCTTGTTCGGCTTTTATCTTATCGATTTTGTTCTGGAGGGTTTGGGATTGTTCCTTTAGCTTCTGAGCTCTTGCTCTCACTGCCTTGTTCACCAGTGAGGCCATGGCGGAACAGTGAGATCAAGAGTGAATTAAAGAAGAATTTAAGATGTTTTTAAAAAAGGGGTTTGATGGCTGGCAATATTTGAGGGTGCTCAAAATAGAATCGCATCATTTTGACTGCAAAGTTACTGCGATAAAGAAGACTTCTATTATACACTATTATACAATGCTAAACCGAATTTTTATCGGAAAACTTGAACTTTTTACCATCATCTATAGGACTGGTGTTATGCGACGTATTAAGGGAGTTTGCAATCGAGGTGTTGGAAGAGCTGTTGGAGCTCTTGTTAAACTTCAAATGACTAAGTAAATTAGATAATGAGGTCCCAGAATGGCTGGGACTAGTATTACCGCTGGCAAGCAACGAATATGACTTTGTTTTCTTTCTATTCAACACCGAATTATGTGACTGGGGGGTCGAGTTGGTGGGCGTGATCAGGGCCGAGTTTATGGACAAGGGACTCGATGGTCGTGAGAACTTGAAAGGGTTGAGGGTGGGTGACTTTTTGAGAAATGGCTTCTTGACCGCCTGGGACTCTGGGTACAACGGCTGCACTTCTCGAGGACACTCTTCGGTGTGAGCCTCGGGCTGCAGTTGCATGCCACAGTTGCAGTCTTCACAGGGAACCTGGTTGTAGCTTTTGTATTCCTTAATGAAGCGGTGGAAGGCATTTTCTTCCAACAACTGCATCACTTCCTTCTTTGCTGCCACGAGCACCAAGGGACTGGGATACTTTTCCTTGATGGAAAGCAACTGTTTACAGGTGGAGTTCGACAAGTTCACCTGATACTTGGACGTGGGACAAATAAAGTTGTCCACAAGGTACTGCCACTGAGAACAAAGGGTGGTGGTAGCCGAACTATATGAGTCCATATCCTGGTCGTCTTCATCATCGTTGTCGTCTTCCAACTGCCTTTCCATGAACTCGGTCCAGCAATTTTCACCGGAAGCATCGATGTCATCGATGGTGGAGGCAAAATAGTTGATGGGTAAATTATCCAAGGTGTCGATGGACTCCACCGTCACCACGCTATTTCTATTAGGGTTTAATTGGGGAGCGGTGTTGAAGATTCTGTTGTAGGAAAACTCGTAGTGGTAAATGGACACGAGAAACTGCAAGTTTTCCAAGCAGTGCAAAGATGAGGTAAAGTGGTTGAAACGGTTAATAAAGTCGATTTTAGGTTGGGACTTTACCTGATTAATGGAGAAGAGAAATGCATCATTAAGAAACTGGTCTAGGGATGGAAGGTAATCATATTCGATGTTATCAAGAGTTGGATCATGGGGGTGCTTATCGCTTATGCTCATTTGATGCACAATACACAGATGGGAAATTATTCAAAACCGGGTGGGCCAATTTATATAAGACCCTGTAGAAAAACAAAAACCGTTGGAATTGGGGCCCGAAAAAGCAATTTATGTACTTGGGCGTAATTTCCCAATTGGGACCATCTGGCCTGGGTTCTCTGCAGCCGAGAGAGCAACAATCAGATCGCAAGGAAACAATAAGAGGGCAACACCATCCTAATGCAACCTTATTCACCCATATGTACCTAACCTTAAGTGACATTTTGTTGAGGGATCTACCATTTAATGAATTTTATTAACGCCCCAGGTGATAAATAGTAGTCGGCAGTAGTTAAGATTGTTATGATCGTCAAGGGCCCTCTCTAAAAAGCAATGCGATGTGGGAATGGGGTGATTTGGTACTGAGAGGTTTGAGTGACGATTGAATTTATGATGATGTGCGCAAACAAGGCAGGGCGGGTGCTTTTTTGGCGTGGGCCTACGTAACACCATCGTCAGGTGTTTTTGATTGCGGCGGTCCCATTGTCGGTTGACACAAGAGATAGAGGCGGGCAGTACCCAAACGCTGGTGAAACATATTCATGGTTGCATTGGGAACGTACATTAGATCTTCCCCTACGCCTGTTGATTTGCCTACAGGGAGCTCGGACTTGTTAACGTCTATTGTTTGCAGAAAATTTTTTGCGCTCTACACAAGTCATCGGCTTGGTTATGCAACAGAAAAAATTTTCATAGTTTACGAGCGAACCAGGGATATGTTTTCACGGGTGCGCGTCCAGGCTTATTGGCCGAACGGGCTGTGGTTGGCCAGGTGCGAGCTGCGTTTGAAACCCGGCTGCAGCGCAAATTTTCGACTTCAGCGAGGTGATTTGCGTGGAATTCCTGGGGATCGACACATCGTTAGAAAGATCACGCGGGAGGAGGCGGGTGGTAGATGATGGAGTGGGAAGATGGCGGGTGGAGGAGGCGGGTGGAAGCTGGTGTGTGGAAGAGGTGCGTGCGTGGAAGTTGGAACGTGGAAGAGGTCGAAGAGGTGGGTGTATGGTGAGACAGCGGTAGGCCATTGAGGCCGTCATGCCTCCTAACAGTGCGAAACTTTAAATGACTAACTGACCGTATAACCTGTTTATTTTCTAATTGGCTGCAAATCTTCGCGTTTCTTCAACTGATAACTCTTCCTTTGTTTCTGGCCACCCAAACTAACTTCAATCTCGTCTCATCACGTAGCCTCATCTTCAATCCCCTAGCTATGGGTCTTGCTTAATACATCCAGACGCAATTTCTAAGTACATCCCATCCACGAGCATAGACTTTATAACCCTCCAAGAAGTACGAATAGTGTACATTCTATCTAAAGTATACACAAGCAAATGACTGGAAGCACCATCAATTGCATAGCAGTTATGTGGCCGACACCAGAGTCAACCTCTGACGCATCTGAGTTGCTTGAAGATGTTGATTCTGTGGATGTTGATTCTGTGGATGTCGACTCTGTGGATGTCGACTCTGAATATGTCGATTCTGTGGATGTCGACTCTGATGATGTCGACGACCAAATGTCTGTGGATACTGAACTAGAAGCATCCTCATGGTTATTACCATGGTGCCCGGCCAAGGCCCCAGCACCGAGACCAGATCGGAAACCGCCTCTTCTTCTCCCCGAGGAACGAAAACGCTCAGTCACAGAATTGTTCAAAGTTTGGTTGAAGTCGAGGATAGCACCATTGGCAATAGCGAAATATAAAAAGTAGGCAGGTTTCATACACGTAAAGAGGCTTGACCCAGGACTCCTTATCGTTCTTATACTGCTTTCAAGGGGGCTGAAGGTGTGTTGACGTGACTATTCAAGTGTCACGGTTGAGATCATCAACGCTGACAAACGAGGCTTGAGATCTCAAGCCCGAGACTACATACAGGCGCGGGTGCACCCACCGGCAATAATTAACGAGCAGGTCACAGAGCACCCTTTTGACATAGGGGAGCCTACGTAGGCTACCCCACGTGAAATATTGTTCCCCCACTACGAGATATCGGGTTTCCATATATTTGCATCTATTTGAAAAAAGTATCAGGAATTGGCCGTTTCTCAGGAACACCGACGTAGCCATTAGCCTCCTTCAATCTGAACTGAACCACTGTCAATAACTTGAAGAGAAGATCCAAAATCGGAGTTTCCACCTTCAATTTTCTAGCCGTGTCCAATAAGTTGCCCAAGATAGCTTCCAATTCAATAGGGTTTCCTTTTTTGACGTCGACTCTCATGGACGGCTCGAAGTAGTCACCGTCATCGGCATGACATACTACATTGATCACATCGTCCGGGAGTTCAACACCATCGGCTTTGGCTACTCTAATTACCTCTTTCATAGCCGGTATGGCAATTGCTTCTAATCCGCCAGCAGCCTCAAGCCTTCCAGTATCAACGCCAGTAAGTGCACAGGTGGTGTTCAAACACGCATTATACACTAACTTCCGGTACCGGTACCACTTGGCACTGGCAAAATACACGCATTTGTTTATGTTGTTGGAGTACATCTCGATAAACCGGTTTGCAGCCGCGACCTGCGAATCGGCATCCACATTTGGATTTTCAAAAGCACTAATAACCAAGTGGTCACTTTGCATTTGGTGTATGTGGCCATTACGATTGTGCGAGCCGATGTGGCTGACACCCGAAAGCACAATATTTTGGGGGAATTTGGCAAATAGTGGCTTCTCGATTCCAAACCCATTTTGCACCAACACCACCACCGAGTGGGCACTCACTACTGGAGCTATTAACTCTTCAACCGGTACGATATCCTGGAGGTTTTTGGTGGAAACAGCAATATAGTCAAACTTTATACCCGATTTTGACGCTTCTTCGACGGAAGCAAAAACATTTTCGGGTTTCCACCCGTCTACCTTACCGTAGTCCACAGAATCGATGTGGTATCCGTGTTTTCTGACGGTTTCGTAGTCTCGTCTCACCACAATGGATACATTAGCAGTGTGGTTATAATTTATGGTAAAGGCAGCTATACAACCTACTCCACCAGGTCCAATCAACAAGAATTCTGGTTTCGTTGCCATGGATAAAGTTACAATTTCGCCGGTCCTTATCATTGTCGCACCCGAAATTGATAATGCAACACATATCGGTAATCACACGACATAACTCTTGTAACCAGTGCAGGGCTGTTGAGATGGGTCATCTGCGAGTCATCTAGCCAACTGTACCGAATATGTCTTAATCTTCCTCATATAGAATATATTATTGATTGACAAATATAGGGTTCTTGCGTGCTGCTGCTGCTGCGGCGCGATATAGCGACGTGGCTCTACCATGCACCCCGGATTAGCTGCTAAATCTCATGACCGATGAGGAGGGGCAGTTCTCCCCATTCACATGTCTAAACCCCGGCCCCCACTATCGGATAACCCACCAGTCACCCACAAGTTGGTAATAGTGGTGAAATGCGGCTCACGTGACCGTCTTCCGTAAATTTGTGTTCCCCCGTAGTGTACGCACCCGATAACAAATCAAGTCTGCTTCTCACACCCTTTTGCGATTCAGGGGATATACTCCAAATAGTTCAGTATATTTATTCATAAGTTATTGGGCTATTGTTTGCATCCCACCAATTTAGTCATATAGTGATCTACACGTGTCGGTCAATCCAGATTCGTTTTCTATTTCTAAAAAGTCCCGTTGTTCTTCTATATTTATCCCGTTCCCAAACCCTACCATGTTAAGATCTAGCTTTCTTTTGACTCCCAAAAGAGTAGCTTTGGCCGCCACCAAGTTGTCTGGATACAGCTTGTCACGTGCATACACTGCCAGCAATCACGTCGCCTTTTATGCCACCAGCTCCAATAACGAAGAGGTGGAGTACGAAATCGATATCATCACCTTAACTAAAACCCCCAAGAACAAACCAAGTAAGACATCGATAAATGATTTGGTTAACTTGAAATTGATCAATTCTTCCAACATTGACAAAGCCTTGGTCGAGCAGTCCATTAACCAGGTCAACCAACTGCTTGATGAGGATTTAAACAAGTTTGTGTTGCGGTACTCAGTCGAGTTAAATGATTTTTTGCAGTTCATCCGGTCTTCCTATGAAAACAAGATCCACAACTTCAACCAGTTGACATCAGTGGAGATTTTGAACTCCTTGTATATTTTCAAGGATTTTTACTTGAAGAATAAAATCCCCAAAATTACCAGGTACAACTACATCAGCTACAACTACATGTTTGACAACTTTTTAAAGTGCTTGAAAAAATTCCCCAACTTGCCTGAAATCTTGAATGACTTGCTTTTGCTCAACAACCAGGGAATCGACTTGTTAAATTTGGGTATCAGCAAGTACGTTGAAGATTTGGAGATTCTAAACAGGAGGCTCGACTTGTCAGACCATTCTCTCACGTTTGATGACTTTATTCGGGAGATTCAGAAAACCATCAACTTCTACGAGTTCAACTTGGACCTGTTTGGCCGCAGCAAGGTGTTTACTGAACCATTTTACGAAAGCTTCATTCAGGCTAATCGTTTGAAGAATTTGAAGTCGATCTTGACAAAAGTTCCCAACATCGAACCGGTTGATTTGGGGTGTTTGATTAAGAACAAGCACTTCTTGAAGATCGTCGAGTCATTGAATGCGGATGCAGCAAGCCTGCAATCTTCCAAGTCTGTAAACTTGAAGTTCTTGAAGTTCATCATTCCTGATTCAGATTCCAATTACTTGCAAATCATTTCTGCTTTGAACCAGTTGAAGAGTCAGAATGGTGCAAACAAGATCCCTTTAGTGGATACGATGCATAGTAGCTTGGTTGCCATGAGCTGTAGTGGCTCTATTTATCCTTATCATAAGCCATTGAACTTCCCTTTGACTCAATTCAAGATTTCCAATGATTTAGTCCGCAACTTTGAATTTTCCATGGTGTTCGACCATAAATTGTTCCTTTACATCGATGAGTTGAAGGCTTTGAACTCAATGGGAATTGACTTGTCGAGTGCCGATGCTGTTAATAAGATAGGAGGTTTGAAATTCAAGAGTGACTTGTTGGCGATGAACTTTAAGTCTTTGGCTACACAATTATCTGAATTTTTCAAATCTGTAACAACAGAAAACACTGATTGTTTGTTCAAACTCGTCGAAAACAAAAATTGGATGGACTGGTGTCAAGAGAATTATCACTCAAGAATCCCCAGATTATTGGTTGACTATTCAAATTTATCCGACTATCCTTACAAATCTATCAAGATCAGCACTGAATTATCGAGACTTTTACCAGCCTTGTCCAAGTTTTCTTTTGAAAACGATATCAATCTTTCGTGTTTAAGCTTGGATTACTTGTTGTCAATTTTCAAAGATTCTACTGTTGGCCTGGAAGTTTTGAGGAAATTGTATTTGAACCACGGGAATGTTTATTTGCAAAACTTGCAGGGATTATTAGAAGATTTCAATAATCTTCAATTCACTCTTCTCAAGTTTGATTTACCCAAAGTGAAGGCTACCGAGGGTAAAGATTTCAAAGACTTTACCCAATTTGAATTAGAAAAGCATTTTGGTTACATTCTGACTTTAATTAATGATCCTTTGATCTTGGACAACTTGGATCAGTTGTACAGGGAAAACTCTCCACTTAATTCAATTGATGCAAAACAGGTTTTAACTCAGTTATCCGCTTTCAAATATGAGTTAGAGATTTTGAAGGTTGATGAGCTTCAAAATAACTTTGCAAACATCACCAGTGATGAACTTTTGTTCAAGTTGGACAGGCGGATAAAGGAAATTTTGAGTAACTTGAACTCAAATCCACAATCGAGATTGGGACCCACAAACGTAATCAAGTTTATCGAATTGCAGAAATTATTAACCAAATTATTTACGGTTCAAGACGACTGCAGTGAATTAGATAAGTTCATTGAATACAGGCAGATCCCTGAAAGGTTTAACTTACATGATTCTTCGCCAGACTTGTTCAAAATTCATCAGTTTATTGGAAAGAACTATAAGGATTGCTCCATGGGCGAGATCTTGGAAGCAGTTAACAATTATACAGAAAGTCTTCCAGAACTGAGCACTTTTGACCGTCAAAGATTTTTCCGTTTGTCAATTAAAATGAAGCAATTATTCAGACTCACTGGCGGGTTCACTGATGTTTTGGACTCTATCATTGCTAACCAGGTTGAGTTTGAAAAGTTGGAAAGCAAATTGTTATCTTCGAAAAGAAGAAAATTTGAAGCCAAGCCATTAATTGTGAAGATAGTAAAGGATATCCCCGAACTGGCCAAGCCTAAAAAGACTTATGTTCAAATTCCAGACGATTTGAAGATCCACGAATTTGCCAAAGAATTGAACAGCTTGAAGGTGTTTGAATTTGAAGGTAAAGAGCTCGGTAGCTTTACTCCTTCTGAAATCCAAACTCTCTTGGATGAGAGAATTAACCAGTTCCTTGATGGCTCGGTATCACCAGACTGCTATATTAACGATAGCAATGTCGAATGTTATAGCAAGTTGTCCAGTAAATTGGGGCATTTGTTTGCAGTCAATGGAGGACACACTGATGTCTTAGATGCTATTATCAACAGTGAACTAGTGTTTGAGTCATTTGAAAAGCGTATGGCACGGAAAGAAAAAACCTACAGACCGTTGCCAGATGATTTCAGGTTGCAAGAATTCGTTCCTGAGATCCAACAAGTGCAAAGTGAGCTTGAGAAACAAACAAAAGCTCAGATTACAAACTTCAAGTTCTCCGAGGTCGATTCTTCTGAAGTGTTGAAGGCGCTTAGCCTGATGATTGAAAATGAAAAGAGGTTCAATCTCACCAAGCGTGAAAACTTTGCTAAGTTGTTGAAGAATTTGAAAGTCTTATTTAATTACAATGGTGACAATACTTCTGTTTTGGACAATATTTTGATAAACCACGAGGTATTGACTCAAGTTGCTTCCAAGCCAAAGGCTCAAGTCAAATCGGATATGCTGGCTTTTGTTGATTCGTATAAAGAATACTTACCACAATTCTTTGCCACAGGGTTCAAAAACTACGATTTGGTCAATTTCTATGATCTTTCAAGTGAAGATTTTTCAAATAAAGTCAAACTGTTTATCAGCCATATCAAAAAAGACTTTAAATACCAGTACCCAACCTACAAGGATTTCACAGAGAAGTTAGTGGCTTTATATGAACAAGATCCTATCAATTTGGCTATTTTGTTCAAGGTTAATGAAGCTGAAGGACATCCAGATATATACGCAGTCAAGAAGGAAGTCAGCACCTTTATGGATAAATTATCTAAGAACAAAGATTTGTACTCGAAAGAGGATCCAGAACCTGGGGTTCAATTCCAGAAAAGTACTGAAGTTCCGTACGAGAAGTTTAACATTCATGACTTTAAACTGAAATCAGAACCAAAGGTTCAGGAATTCAAGAGAAGTATTGAAGTTCCTGTTGAAAAGCTTGACACAAATGACTTGTACTTGAAAGATTCAGAATCCAATGTTCAACAAAAGAGCATCGAAGTCCCACTCGAAGAGTCATGCAACCACGACGTCAAGCTGACACCAGTGAATGGCGAAGACGTGAACTACAATCATGGAACAAGCAAGTTCAACATTAAGGAAAGTACTATGGAAGACTCTGAATTGTTTGTACGGAACCAGATTTTTCACCAGGTAGAGAATAAAACTGGTTCTGCAGGGGATTTTGAGGATTTGTTGAAGATGACTCCGGAAGAAATCAGATCCACTTACCACGCGAAAGCCAAGTTGGACAAATTAAACATCCAGAACTACTTGGAAAATGTAAACGAACAGAAGAAACTCAGAGACGAAGAAGAATTTAGACAATTGAAGGCATTTGAATGGAGTAACAATAAATCCAGGTCTTTGGACGCAAAAACCTTCTTTGACCCTTGGAGTGAAAGAAGCCAGGATCATTTGCAGTATCTTATTCTTACTATGGATGGAGAAAAGATCATCACCGAGGAAAATCCTTTGGGTAAAGAGCAATTTGAGGATTTACTTGCAGTGTTTGACAGATTCAACGAAGCTGAGATGAGTAAGTTTATCAAAAATATCAACAGATTGCAACAAAAGTCCTGGAAGTTGATAGGTGGAGGAGCTGGTAATTATGGCAAGATGTTGGTATTCACAAAATCTAAGTCCAAATCCTCTATGAGGGGGATCTTCAGGAAGATCCAAACGGTTTTGGCTGCAACTGGTGCTACCTTCATGGTTCTCATTGGTTTGAACTACTGGTTGGATGCACCACAAACTCAAACCATCTCCGTACCACCCAAGGAAGAGGTTGCAGAAAAAGTCATTGTTTCAGCAGAGCCATTGTCGCAGACTCAAGATGGAGTTGAATCCCAATCTCAAGCAGGCTGGTTTTGGAAATAAGTGTTGCTAATATGGGAAGTAAAGATCATTATAGTAAGATAAATAAAGGTTAATAAATGCTGTTTTTATATAAACGTCTCTAGTAATCATATCTGTTGCAAAATATACTCATTGCATTGTTTCTTCTTTGGTGGGGATCTGCTTCATATCTCTATACACATTTATGTATTTGAAAGCAGTGACTCCACCAATAGTTCCGTTCCATTTTCTCAACAAGTCTACTGTCAACTTGTCACTGAGATTAGGAACCTTAATCCCACTGACATAGTTAGATTTTTCTGATTGTATGAGCTGTTCCAATATCTGCTGTCTGGCACTAGCAGGTCTACCTGGTCTTCTCTCTCCTTGAAGTTGCTCCACCTCATCGTCGAACCTGGATAAGAAATTCTCAATGTAAGATTTCATCAGGTCAAGTCCAAAAACCTCCTGGTCGCTTGCTTGTTTGACCTCCTCTTGGATATATTTTATAATCATGAGCTCATTCTGTTTCTGTTCCAAGTGTTCTGCTTTCCGGTTCGTCAATTTCCGGTCTCTCAAGGTAGCTCTGTTGAGCTTCTTGAAATTCCTTCCTTTTATATGCACCGATCCCTTCGACAGAGCTACGCTCTTGGAGACCTTCTTTAAATTATGTGCTAACGGCATCGTTTTCAGGTAAATCACATCTCATCGCGCCGATTTATCGCAGGAAACAGTTGTGACGTGCCTCTACCATTCCCTCCAGGTAAAGCGCGAGTATAAAAATTTTCGGCCTCAGCATTAGGAGCTAGCCACACACAATGGTCAAATACACAGAAGAACAGCTAATTGAGATCAAGCCTGAAGCGTACACTCCTCAGCCAGAAATTTTGGATGAATTCAATAAATTGGTTGAATCTGTGACTCTTGAGTTTGCTGAAAAGGGAGCCAGAAGAAACCACAATGGTGACCTGTTCATTGATGAACATGGTAATGAAAGAACCTACAACTACTTGAACAGAAGAAGAGGTTCAAGATCCGGGGCCAGACCTTTGAAGAAGAAAGCCCAAGAAGTCGAAGTCGATGATGACGGATGGGCAACTTTGACCAAACACAAGAAGTCTTTTTCTGATGAAGCAGTTGATGAAAGAGACCAATTTAGAGAAGCCGTCAGAAGTGAACCAACAAAGGTGAAGATAAGCAACAAGAAAATGGGTTCTTCCAAGGCTGTTGACTCCAGAGATACGGTTGCTGACAAGCACACCAATACGTTTAATGCTTTCGAAGCCTTGGATGACTAGATGGATCCGTGTATATTAATAAATAAGCCTCAGACTTGTTGTAGATAGCAGTGGAGTAGCCTCTAAAGCATGGCTCAATGAATACAGTGCCGAAACATGCTTGAAAATTTTTGATTACTTTTACCACACAAGAAATTCATATCGGTATACTTTTATTAAATAATTGTATGTACTCCTGTTAAACAACAAACGACTCATCGTCATCAAGCCCATCAATAATTGAATCAAGATCGTGTGTAGCCATTTGCTTCGATAGCACACTTCCTGGGGTCACCGAGTTATCTTGCTTGAGCTGACCCGGTTTCTTCATACTACTTTTAAAGCTGCTTATCATCCCCTTTAAGTCGCTGACTTTTGGGGGGGTTAACTTATCGTTCGTCACTATCGAGCCGTTTGTGATGTCGAACGAGTTGTTGCTCAAAGTGCTATTAAAAGTGGTATTTCTCAAACCTGAATGAATGGATGCGATATCTGCAAGAGTTCCCAATCCCAAACCAGGCTTCACATCTGATACATCTGAATTTACAGTTAGAGGTGGGCCATCACTATCACGGGCATCGTGATACTCATTTATAGAGTGTCCATTTCCGTTAGAGACATCACCATTAGTATGAGACCCGTTGGTACCACCGTTTATTGATTCCCCCAAAACTTCATCGTGCAAGACACTGAGAATGAGAGGCTTTTGGGCATTCAACCACTCTGACAAAAACTTGTTTCCCTTGATGAATTCTCCCATATCGTTGGAGGTTAACCTCACAAAATTGGCAGGATAGTCAGAAGCACTGGAAGCGTCGAGGTCTGAGGCCCATAAGCTGTTTTTGATTTTATAGCTGATATTCTGGTCCAAGTTTTTGCTGAACTCGGACCTCTGCAGGTAACCTTCCAACTCGTGGCTATACTTCTTGTCAATAATCGTGATGCAATCTTTTAATAATGCCAGAGCAAAAGTGTCCTTGATGATATCAAACCTCAGAGCGTCCTCGAAATCGTTGACATACCAATGGAAGAAGAACGGGATATAATTGTTGAGGAAGTTGATTCCGAATACCCTAGCAATCTTCTTGGAGATCATTAGCAATTGCTGGACAATTGGCAAGCTGAGATTTTCGTTTTTGTTCAAATACTTGTCCAAGTATACCAAGTAGTGGGATAAGAAGTTTGTGGACTCGGTGATCAATTCCTTGTAGTCTGGAGTCAAAAAGTCATCTACATCGGGCTTACCACTGATTTGACTCGAATCGGGGCTAGTACCAGTGGTAAGCTCGTAGTCGACAAACTTGTCAAAGATTCTCAAATACACCATTTGGATTTGCTCCACTTGCTCTTCAGATAAGGAGTTGAAAATGGTCACCGCATGCTTTTGAGAAATTAAAGGTAAGCTTATCTGCCATTGATCCAAAGCCACATGGTTTCTGTTGATGACACTGTCAGAGGAGCTTGACTCGTGGAGTTTGACGAAAATGGCATCAATATCTGATAATAAGTTAATGACATAGTCGAATAATTTCGTAGTGTCTTGTTGGGGACTCAAATCCAATGTTGACTCAATCTTGAAAAAGATCTCGTACACGGAATCAGGAACCTGATCAGAGTAGTAGATGTGCGTTGACAAGTTGATGATGGACTTGGAGAAGATGTCGGAAAGATGGATTTTATCCTCTTCGCTGATTTTAGAATCGTCTTTGAAGTAAAGGCTCTCCTTCAACTCCAAGATACTCTGAATAAAGTCCGATATCGACAACCCAATCATATTGACGTTGGAAGAAACCAACCCAAAGATGTGAGAGGCATAATGCTGCTGGAGCTTGACATTTGACGAGACTTTCTTTAATCCAAACACCAAAGTGTCTAACAACACAAATCTCAATTGCACTGGTGCCCACGTAACGCACAACTCCAAAAACCGTTCTGACCATTCGGAGGTGATCCGTGAGTCTTGAAATGTATAACCCACCACCTCGTTGGTGGCCTCTATTAACTGACTTGTCAATGAAGTATTAAACACAGACTTCAATGCGGCTATCGACTCCATATACAAATCATTCTCATCAACGAGACCATTTTCCAAGTCTTCGGTGATACGTTTTGCAGACACAATGGTCTTGGAGGTATGAATCTTCGAGAGCTTCACACTTTCTCCATCAAGCGATAAGCTTCCACTCAAGATTCGTTCATGATCATTTTCGAAGAAAGTATCAATGAGAATCGGTATAATCTTGTGCAACATGGACTTCGAGATCTCAGGACTATTGCTCAAGCATCCCGACAAGTAGCGACACGCCAAAAGCGAGATCAACTTCCACTCCCACAGGTTGGGGCCGCCTTTGGCCGAACTTTTCATGGTGGTGTCGATGAGGGTCTGACTAAACCGACTAAACGAATTGACAAACTCCTTGTCACCCGCAAACAACCCCCGGTCGAGATTCTTACACAAGACGCCGTATGTGTCCAACACCGCTTTGGCCAAAGTCAAATCGTTGCCCTTTAGTGAAGAGTTTAAAATCGACACCGCCTGGAGAGCAAACACATTCAAATTATCCACACATTTTTCTATCAACGACAGCACGAGTGTAAGTGTCACCTGGATATTGCCAAAACGATTCCTATTGGAGTCACCAACAGTTTTTTTGTTTAAAAAAGTTATGACTTTCTCCAATTTAACACGTCTGGTGGAGGCATAGTAAAGTAAATAACTGAGTTCACTGGGATTGGGTTTCTTTTCCACCCCCTTTCCCGGAGGATAGCATTGTAAGATCAACTTTTGATGCTTCGGAAGAAAGAGTCCCGGCATTGCCAACTATTCACGACTGACAACAAAGAAATTGGAAGTTCAAGTTTCACAAGTCAATAAAGTTCCCGCTGAAAAAGTGGGTGGAGTGCAACCGCGATCTTTTGAGTATGAAAAATTAACTTAGATTGGTAAGATGCCACCAATTTACGTGAAAGGTGGGGTGTGGACCAATGTTGAGGATGAGATTCTCAAAGCAGCGGTCCAGAAGTATGGACTCAACCAATGGAACCGTGTGGGGTCGTTGCTCACCAAGAAGAACGCCAAACAGGCCAAAGCTCGATGGAACGAGTGGATAAGCCCTTCCATCAATAAGACCGAATGGACTCGAGAAGAGGATGAAAAACTTCTTAACCTCGTCAAGTTGCTTCCCAATCAATGGAGAAGCATAGCGCCCATCATGAATCGAACCGCCACCCACTGTGTTGAACGGTACCAGAAGTTACTTGACGATGATGATGAGCAGAGCGAAGATGACGAGAATGACTTGAGACTCGCGGCCGTGGGAGTGGAAGCGATGCCGGCAGCAGGCGGGCGTGTGGGGGACTTGAACCTCAACCCCGAAAGCAAACCAGCCAAACCAGATGACGAGGAGTTAGAGGATGCAGATAGAGAGATGCTCTTTGAGGCGCGAGCCAGATTGGCTAACACTAAGGGGAAAAAGGCCAAACGGAGACACAGAGAACGAATGCTCGAGGAGACCAAGCGGATCTCGTTGCTCCAGAAACGGCGGGAATTGAAGGCGGCCGGCATCAACGTGAGTTTGGTTTCCAAGAATAAAAAGAAGAGTAAGGAGTTTGACTACAATGCGGATATTCCATTTGAGCACCAGCCGCAAATTGGATTATATGATACTACCGAGGAGCATGAACGCAACGAGGAGCACAAGGCGAAGTTCAGCAAACAGGTGTCACGTGAAGGCTTGGAGTTGGAGAAGCTCAAGCAGAGCAAGAAGAGAAAGCAAGGGTCTCAAATTCAAGAGCCTCGCACCCAACTTGAAGGTGAGGCTAATGTGATTGAGCCAGCGCTTAAGCGAGGCAAGTTGAGCTTACCAGGTGTGGTGAATGTGGACGAACATGCTGAGTTCGAGCCTACCGAGCTCACGGGTGTTTTTGACCGTGCTGTTGTTGCTAGTGCTGAAGACGATATTGACCGTAGAATCGCCAATACCACCCATCACATAAAGGCCAACCAAGCAAAGCAGTCGGTGCTCTTGCGGACGGATCACGAAACCGATGAAGACGTTGCTGTGAAGAAGTGGAAACCGAAACACGAGAAAAAGGCGATTCAGGAGTTGGTCAAGGTCAATTTCAGTCGGTTGCCCGCCCCCAACAATGAGTACGAAGTTCTTCCCAAGTTCAACGACCAGGATGACTTTCAGTTGGTGAAAACAGCCGACTCTCATTCTGAAACACAACGGATCAAGCGGTTAGAGTTGTTGCGGCAAGTGGAGGAAGAGAAGGCCAAACTGCGCCGAAGCCAAGTGGTTCAGCGTGGGTTGGCCATCCCCAGCCCAAGTCTTCTCAAACCGATCGATACCACCCAACTACTGGAATTGGACCTGCAGGTGGCTGTCGAGTTCCATGCGTTGGTCAAGTCGGACTATAAGAAGTATGTGGATACTGAGTACAACGCTACAGAGATTCCTGAGTTGGATGAGCAGCTCTACAGCCAAGTGCACCGAGAAATCGATGAGATGAGATCAAAGAAAACCACTTTGCATCCGGCAGTGAAACGGTTCAGGTTGCCGGACCCAATCAGCTACAAGGATGAGATACTCTCTGTTCTTCAACATGCTCGACAGCAACACTTGGGACTTAAGGCTGATATTAATGCCCAGATCCCGTACTCATCGGCCCCAAGGGAAGTCGCACCGGCTGGCGAGCTCATCATCGAGCAGGAAAGAAGAGTGGAATTGTATACGCAAATTGCCCAGCAAGAAGAGGTAAGTATCGTGAACCGTTCAGCTACCCTTAAGGGCCTTGTTGACATGGTGGTAGCGAAGGAGGATCAGCTTATCGAGTATTTACGACAATAATGAATAGAAATGCCTTTGGTAACGTATTGGATGGCGCACGTACGCACGCCGCTTGTCGCGAACCTTGCAGGCCGCAACAAGACTAGTATCTGAAGACTGAATGCTCAGAATCAATATATGGCCAGCAATTTACTATACATTCCGTTTCGAAAGACCAAGGAGCTTAACTTGGGCGACGAGCTCAAGGCGGTCATCAAGCGGGACTATTTTCAATCGCCCCTGGTGTTCGAGAATGACCTTTCTCAGTTGACCAAAATACGTAAGAAGATCCGCCATTTGAAGGATGAAGCAGTTGACAAGTCCACCGAAATCATTGTACAACACTACTACATCCAGGTGGTGAATCTCACCAAGAAGTTTGCCGACGAGGTCATTGAATTTGTGTGGTATGGTACTTTGGGGTATAAACCTAGTGGACCCTATAAGGTGCGGTCGCTTCTGTTTGAACAGGACAATATCGTATACCAATTGGGGAGTTTGTACTCACAATTGGGGTGGAAGGAGTCGCGGTTCACTGATGAAGGGCTTAAGCGCTCGTGCAACTATTTCCAGATGGCTGCCGGGTGCTTTGAGTATCTCTGTGTCCAATGTCAGAAAGACTACAATACCAAATCTAATGACCTATCCGTCGATACCCTCCAGCACTTGAAATATATCATGTTGAGCCAGGGCCAGGAAAGCATCTGGCAAAAAGCAGTCAACTCCGATATGAAGAACTCGGTAATATCGAAGTTGTCCATGGACACTTCTAACTTGTACAAGCAAGCGGTGGAGCATGGCAATAAGTCGGATTTTATAAAGTTGGAATACGTCAACTACTGCTCTGTCAAGCAGTTTCATTTTGCTGCTGCCGCCCACTACCGCATGTCGTTGATACTGTTGGATAATCTGAAATATGGACAGCAAGTAGGTCATTTGAAGATAGCAGCGGAATTGGCCCACACGGGTATGAGACATAAAAGTTACGTGAAGAACTTGGTGGTAGAGGATTTGGGTGGGTTGCAGAAGATGATTGAAGATGCCCTTCGTGTGGCCGAACGAGAAAACGACCTCATCTACCTCAGGCCTGTTCCCGAGTTGAGCTCATTACGCATGAATGCAGGTGGGGTGTCGATGGTAAAGCCGGTGATAATCGAAGAACTAAGCGAGCCTCTAAACAGTGATCGGTTGTTCTTGAAAGAGCTACTACCGCATATCATCATCCAGATTTCTTTGGCCTATAAGGACCGACTGGACAATTTCATTATGAGAAAGATTTTGGAGCCGTTGCAAGCCCTCAACAAGATGATGAACCATTTCTTGACCCAAAGACAATTACCAGCATCGATAGACTCGATCCAGAAACCAGAGAACATCCCCGAGTCAATCATCCAGCATTCCCAAAATATCATCAGTTTTGGTGGAACCAAATTTATCGAAAGTCTCTACGATAATATTTTGCAGCTATCGTCTGAATGCCGAGATATCTACGAAGGGTGTCAGCAACGCTTAGTCATAGAACAGGAAGAAGACGACATATTCCGCGAACGGTTTGGCGGTTCGTGGAATCGGATTTCTTCAGAGGAGGCTTCTCGGGAGCTATGGGCGAAGGTTCATAGCATGGAGGAGTACTTGACCCAAGCAGACAAGGCTGACGATATCATACTAATGAGTTATCACGAAATCAAGGAGTATTTGGAAATCTACTGTGGGGGGTATGACTCGTTGACCAAGGTGATCCCCAACGCCGGGTATACCAAGCTTGACGACGATACTTCCATCATAGTGAACGATATTCGAGTGGCCTTGAATGCCACTGCGGAAATGGAAGAAAGCCGCAAGGATTTTTTGAAGCGGTTGGAAAACAAAAGCAGAGACAATAACATTCTTCCCAAGCTCATTGCTGAATACCGGGCACGATCAAGTTCTCCTGAGTTTGTCAACAATCTTGATGAAACCAGTTTTGAAGGAGCGTTTCATCAGCACATGAAGGTGTTCAATGAAGACTTGCAATTTGTTGAACTCCTGAAGAACACCCAGATGGTGTTGGAAAAGAAGATCGATGAGTTGAACTCGCGGTTCCTCGAGGTGTACAAAGACACCGAGTCGAACCCCAACCATGAACGCAAACACAGTCTACAAGCACTAGAAAACATCTACTCGCGGTACCTTCAGTTGATCACCAATATCAATGAGGCCCGCAAGTTCTACACTGATTTCAAAACACGAGGCCACCGAGTAATCGGTGAGTGTGACGAGTATTTGCAGAGTCGTCGGGCTGAGGCTCGGGACTTTGAGGACATCCAAACGAGAGATGATCAAAGTAGGACCCAACCAGGTGGCCTGCGCGTGGTTACGCCGGTGCCAGTGGTGGCAGCGCGCGCGCGCCTGCCGTAAATAGGCCTTCAATAAATGCGCGATGAGCTATGTTTCGATACTTGAGGTTTCTCAAGAACTCCATTATGACAACCCCCAAGAAATCCGTTGTGGCCATCGTCGGCACTACGGGCGTCGGCAAGTCCAAGGTACGTACAATCTCCACCCGTTTTCTCGAGGTCTCCTATTAACCCCATTAGTTCAGTATTGACTTGGCTCACGCCATCAACGGTGAGATCATCAACGCCGACTCCATGCAAGTGTACAAAAAACTTGACATTATCACCAACAAGCACCTGATGGCGGAACGGGAGGGTGTGGCTCATCACGTCATGGACCATGTCAACTGGAGTGAGGACTATTTTATCCATCGGTACGCACAGGAAGCTAACGAGGCGATAGAGCGGATTCACGCCATGGGAAAAATCCCAATCATCATCGGCGGCACCCACTACTATCTCCTGAAATTGTTGTTTAAGAACAAGACAGTGGAGGATGGCCACGCACAACCGCTCACGGCGGCGCAATTGGCGGTGTTGGATGGACCGGTAGAAAGAATTTTTGCTGAGCTCGAGCAGCACGACCCAGTAATAGCCCAAAAATTCCACCCCCAGGACCGACGGAAGCTACGGCGAGCGTTGGAGATCTGGTACACGTTGAATGAGAAGGCTAGTGACATTTATCGAGAGCAGAAACTCGAGGAATTAGAGGACTCTTCGCTAATGTATAGCACGCTCTTTTTCTGGGTGTACAGCGACCCGGACGTGCTACGGGACCGGCTCGACGTGCGCGTGGACCTGATGCTCGCGGCGGGCGCGGTGGACGAGATCCGCGAGCTCTTTAAGTTCTACCGTGCGCAGTCACCGCCGCCCACGCTAACGAGCGGCATATGGCAGGTGATTGGATTTAAGGAATTTTTGGGGTGGCTCGAAGCCCCCGATGGTGATACCACCGCCAAAATCAAGTTGTGGGAGGAGGCAGTCGAGCGGATGAAGATCCGCACACGCCAATACGCCAAATCCCAGGTCAAGTGGATCAAAAAGCTTCTCTCGGTTGAGCTCATGAAGGAACAGCGATTTGGGTTCAGGAATGGCGGCAAACTCTACTTGCTTGACGCGACCGACTTGTCGCAGTGGGGCGAGAGAGTGCAGTCGCGGGGCGTGGGTATCGCGCGGAAGTTTGTGGGCGGCGGGCCTGGTGCCGTAGACGTGGACCAGAAACCCGACACCATCCAAGAAGGGATCTTTCCAGAGGAGAAGGATACAGCCATCGTCAATAGCAACAAAAGGTTGGAATCAAGTAACAACTGGCAGCATTTTTCCTGTAATATTTGCAAAGATAAACTGGGAAACCCGGTGGTGGCGGTGGGAAAGGACAAATGGGAGCTCCATGTGAGCAGCAAACGCCACCGCCGGAATGCGACCCGCCCGCACAAGCGGCCGCGTGTGGGGAGCGAGCCCGTCTATGAAGGAGAGCCTAAGGACTCAAACCTTAATTAATAATTGATCCCCGTTTAAATCCTCAACTACCCACATCTCTTATTGCCCGTGTATTCTACATCCTTCTATAAGTACATTCTATAAATCATAATTCGTTAGCTTTAGTCAACTTTAAGTTGATTTCGTTCAACTTGGAGTCGATCTGGTTGAGCTGGCAGGTTTTTTGCAAACTCAAGTTGTTCAAGTCATCACTAGAACACCAACCACTTTTAACAAGCCGATTTCTCGTCAAGTTGAACGTCTCGCTGATGACGTTCTTCTCGTTCACCAAGTAGTTGAAGAAATTCATGAGGTTGGTATGGTCGTCATCACTGACGTATCCGTTGAGGTTGCCAAAGTAGTTTTGTTCAATCTTCATTAAGTAGTCGTCTTTGCTGCTACTCAATTTGTCCGACAACGTAATAATGGGCGATGAGAACGGAGGGGTTGTAGGCGTGTGACACTTGAGTTTTGAATCGTAGGTGGCGTTGGACCCGTTACTATCTTGGCTCAAGGTCTTGAAATGGCTCTGCAATGGATTCACCTGTGGTCTCTCGTGGGGCACTGTGACAGCGGCGGCGGGGGTGGTAGTGGCAGCGGTGGTACCAAAGAGCCCCGAGTTGATGGTGGTACTCGAAGTTATGGGTGCGGTGGCAGCGATATTGGTGGATGACTTCGACAAGGACAACTTTCTCATCGTCTGCTTGAAGCTCTTGAGACGGCGCAATGGTGAGGTGTTGTTACTGTTGTCCTTAGCACCCAGGTTGGAGGTGGAGTTGGTGGTGGAGTTGGAAATGGTGGGAAAAAGTTGGCTGTTGTCCAAGGTGATGCTGGGACTGTCCAACTCGTAAGTCGACAATGAACTGTGATAATTCTGATAGAAAAACTGGTTTTCTTCAAAGGTGCCGTTGTTCTCCAACGAGCCAGGCCCACCTTTGTCACTGGCGGAGTTTTCTGCGTCGTCCATGTCTTCGTCTTTGAGCGACCCCAGCGATGTCAACGACTCATTCAAATCATTTATGTCGGGCAATGGTGGCAACAATATCTCAGAGTTTTCGACCGCCCCGTACTCCCGGTGGGCGCCGGTGGCGGATTCCTCGAGTACAATACCCAATCCTGTCATGTTAAAGGTAGTTTATGTGGAAATGATATGTATAACTTTTGGCGCTGAAAAATAAAGTGGAATGATTTGGAATTATGGGTACACGATGAGTTACAATGGCGTGGATTTCGATGAATATGTTGTTGTTATGGATTGGAAAGGATAAGTAAGGGGTTGTATAAATACTGGTAAATTGAGAAAAGTATGAACTAAGGAAAGAAACGGATTGTTACTTATAAGACCAAATGCAACTGAGTGAAAAATATGTCCCCAAAAAAATATCAGCTTAATTCCCTGAAAATAAAATAAAATTAATAAAACCAAATTGGATAAAGGAGTGTTTTCTCATTTCATGTGAGCCAATAGCTACTTGAGCGAAACAAAGAATGCACATGGAAATAAAGTACAACTTTGATTCCTATGCCCAAGCAGACCGTTGTAAAATTTTCAAGTGGTAGATATAATATGGAATGACATATCATTCTGTTACATAGGTGAACCCATCAAATTGTAAGATGATGACTTGCAATATTGATGGCCATTGATGGTTGTCAGTGCCTCTCACAAACCGGCGTCAGAAAATGTAAAATAGTCGCATCCCCGGTCGAGATCTTCTGCTAAACTGCTAAGGAAACCGGCACCGGGGGGATGCATGGCCTGTACAACCGTCGTGAATTTCCTATATTATCCATGTGCTCCTGCATGATGCATAGTATATGCAATGAACGTAGGGCCCCCACCGTCGAGACTGCCCCTATGGCGCGGGAGGTTGCTGTACGTTTTTCTCCCGAGCATTGCCGACCTCACCACCTCCTTGCGTGGACGATCCCTCCCACCGGTTAGCCTATCCGTTTCGGACGCGCGCATGTACGCGAAATGCACTGGTTATAGGGCACCAATCCTTTTGGTACACACAGGCGTGCACCGTTTACGACACTTAGCCTCTTAACCCGAGGCCTTACAACCGTTGTTATGCGCCACCAGATATGGCCAGCCACGCTCATCTGGAAGCTCATGGATGCCCACACCTCCCTCGTCTCCTGGTGGCAAAACTCAGGATCGCGTTCATGTTATTGTTTCTACGCCTAAACGAGGAGAATATCTGATAACAAAGGAGAGCAACGGTTAACAATATGAAATGAAAGGAGAAATTGCTTGATCGAATAAAAGACTCCATCGGAAGAAGGCGACCCCAGTTCCGATTCTAGAACTCTTTTATTTTTTTTTTGTTTTGTCGTCGCAATTTTCCTGCAACGCGATTCGGCCGCACCACCGTATTCCTCCCAGTTTTAGAGATGGAAAATTAAAGGGGCATACAGCAGTGGCTAAATTTTAAGTATTGTTGACTGCATGTCGTAGACGCAGTTAAACATACATATCATACATATCATATATTTCATACACAATTCTACTGAAATACTTTCTTAGGTAGCAATCGGGGTTATACTTAAATTGCCGTCACTCATGTAGGATTTAAGTATAGACAACTGATGTTAGTAACCAAAAACTTTAAAAGACCAACTTAAACCCTAAGACGACTAATCAATTTATTGGCCTTGAAGGGCTCGCAAAATCATTCAGCCTCATTTGCTTTGCGAGCATTATCGATGTAAATCCCTAAAATTCTCCTTTTATTGTCAGCCCCTATTCGGACACATTGATACCAATTTGGAAGGCTCAAGTGGGAATGTTCAAGACGATCGTTAGGAAAGTGTAGGGGGCGTCCGTTTCAGTTGCCACAGATGAATCTTCAATTGTGCGTCATGGACCATTATCAACAAGAGTGCTTCACTGGGGAATTGAGATTCAGGGTGCAGACGGTGTAAGAAACCATTCATGCGAGACCCCGGTGTGTAGTAACAATTGGCGAACTTTGTAGCTTATTGGGAGCGACTTGGGGTGAAAGGCGGCATGGTATAGGCTCAAATTTCATGTACTGCAAGATTAGAACTGGTTTAGTTTCAGGTGTTGTGTTTCATGGGTATATATCATTATCTTGCCCTTATCACCCGGCTAGATTGACCACACTGGTTAGATTAGCATCGATTTCATGTACTGCCAGTAGTTCTTGCGGATTGGGTCGTACTTGGTGCTTAACAAGTCGTAGTAAAGAATTGACTTGTCATCATTATACACCTGTGCCAACACCTCCAAGGCATACGACGACTTGATGAGTTCTATCTCATCAGCAGAATCTGTCCCATCGTTGACAAACTGCTTGCAGAATCCTTCCAATGTCTGCAAGCTGATATTGAACTTGTTGCAAATTCCCAAGAGATAGTTCCAAGACGACTCGTTCTGAGGACTCACGGTAATTTTGTGCTTTACATATTCCAATTCTTCATCCACTACATCGCTCGTGGCGGCGTCGCCCTGCTCATGGCCAAACTTCAAATAAAATCGGTGGTTCCAAGCACTGTTGTTTCGAACATCTTGCTCAATCATGGCCTCCACAAACAGATTCTCCTTTTCATCAGCAAATAACCCAAATCTCGACACAACCCACTTGCGGTATGTCCAAACATGGTGGTTCTTGGCGTCTGAGCTGAGCATAGCCGCCATGATGGGGAATTCGCGGTGGTAGTTGTATTGGCCCGTAGTGCCGATAACCTGCTCAATTATCAACTGGCGATAATTCCAGATTTGATAGTTCTTTTCGTTGTCCAAAGATATGGTTTCCAACCAATCAAGCTCATCCACCAAGTCCTTGCCAATCTCACGGATTACATTGTAGCGGTAGATCCATATGGAATAGTGGGAGGGTAATATCTCAATTCCCAAGCCCGTGAGGGCAAGCGCCCGGTCGCTGTACTCGTTTTTCTTCATCAACGCCAAAAGCGTTCCCATCACAGACTTGAACTGGTCGGTGTAGAGAATCTGGCAGAGTTGTGGTTGCTCTTCATTCAAGGCCACCGGCTCGATATCATCATAGGTATATTCACTGTTCATTGTAGGATGTGGGAACAGGATATGGCAAAAAAAATCCCACATCTAAATCCCACACCGCGCGCTGACACTTGATTTTGCAAGTGGCATGAATGTTCATGACAGAGATCTTATTTTATCCACGTTATTCGGCACCAGCATCCTCTACCTCACCTTGAGTGCCCTATCCTCGAACAAGTTGTTCCCACTCCTTCTTGTGGTCTTCATTGCTGGTAATATGATCCCACGTCTCAGAAGCTTTGAATCCTTGATAGGCAAACTCAGGTCCTCCACCAACTCCGGCATCAATGCCGCCATTATCCCCACCACCTCGAAGCCCAACTCCGTGTTTCGCCAGTTGCCGTATCAAAAGCGTGAAGAGATTATCTCCGCCATCAAATCACTCCAATTGTACGCTACCAACAATATGAAGAGCGCTGACCGTCGCCGAAGATTGTTTAAAATGATGTCCTGGAGGCAGCAAAACTTGTGCAAACAGGCAGGATACTTGGAGAAGCTAGATATAATGGATGTACTTCTCAAGAAGAACCAATTGTTTCTCAACGAGGTGGTGGAGTCGTCTATTAATGCCTACGAGATCTCTTTTAGTGATTTTGATATCATCAAGAACTTCGTCGACTCCAGCAGCTACCGTGTCATCGAGTCGTTGACGCACTTCAACCGGGACTGGAACATGGACCAGTCCCATGACGAGTTTGAACTTGGGCCTGTTATTAAGTTTATTGAAACTCAATTGTCGCAGGTCATCCCCAATGCCGATAAGCCCAATACTTGTATAGTTGTGCCAGGATCGGGCTTGGGGCGCATCCCATACGAGTTGGCTCGCAAGGGCTACGGGCAGGTGCACTCGGTCGAATTTAGTGGTCTCATGTATCTTTTCAACCAGTTTGTCTACTCCAATAAGGAATCGCTGTTGGCGAATCTAGAAGTGTATCCGTATGTGCACACAAACTCAAATTTTGAGTCCATTGCCGACCAATCCCGGTCAATTCTCATTCCCCAATTGCAGCAGCCAACAAACCTCTCTATGCATCTTGAGGATTTCAACACCTTCGAGCTTCCTGACCCGGGCCAATGTAAGAATGTGGTGATCGTAACGGCATTTTTCATAGACACGGCCGAAAACTTGATGGACTACCTCGATTCGATCAACAGCTTGGTAAAGCCGTTCAGAAACAGCTACTGGATCAATATAGGACCGCTCAAGTATGGCAGCGCTCCGAAGGTGGAACTCAATATGGATGAGTTGGCCCACTTGCGCACGGCCCTAGGGTGGACAGATTTGACCACTATCAACACATTGAAACAGCCTATTCTGGAGGGCGAAAATGGGCTTTACTCGTATGCAACTGACAAACACAGTCTATGGCAGGGGTACTACGGGCTCACTGGATGGTGCTCAAAAAAATAGTTACTGCTTTATATATACGTCTATGAATCGCTACTTCATGAGATTGGATCCCTTGTTGATCTGCAACTTCTTGTCCAGACCCCCACTGATGATTCCGATCTCGTTGTCCCAACGCACGTCAAATATCTTGCTATTGGAATTTGGTTCGTTTCTGGTAATGGTGTACAACGGGTCGACAGACCTCACATCCCACACTTTGACCAACCCGTCGTGCGAAGCAGATGCAAACATGTTATCATTATATGGACAACCACTCAACCCCACCACAAAGTTGGTATGGCCTACGAGCTTGCTGACTGACAATTCCGTGTCATTTTCTTTGACTCTGGGATCGTGTAAGTTGATATGACGAGCAGATGACCCGGTCACCAATAAGCTCTTTGTAGGTAAATGCAACACCGAGAGTAACGAGAATCCGGTGGCTCTGGTATCAATACACCTGGACGTCACCAAATCCCACGTCTTGATGGTATGGTCTTGGGAAACCGAGTAGGCCACCGTGGAGTCGGTCAAATCGAAAGTAATGCCTTCCACTGGCTGTTTGTGACTTTGGAGCATCGACAATGGAGATCTTCTTCTTAAAGTCGAGTCTTGAACGGCCATTTTTCTTCTCTTTTTGGAAGATGACGAAAGCACATTGGCATCATAGTCCAAGGGCTGAATTTTGTCCATTTCTTTGTGGTTGGTGGACCAGAACCCCACTTCTCCATCATATCCAGCAGATAGGATTCTGTTGATTTTACTGTCAACTGCTAATGATACCACGGGACCTTTGTGACCTTCTAAGATAGCAATGGTAGTACCTTCTTCCGGGTCTTCATCGTCGGCTTTGTCGTCAATTTCACCTGCTTCTTTGTTCTTCCACAATCTTATTTGTCTGTCATTTCCACAGCTCACCACTCTGGTGGGAGAAACCCACTGAACGGCCCTGATGGAACCAGAGTGACCTGTAAACTGCTTTTCGATAACTCCTGACATGTTGTAGATTCTGACCACCCCGTCATACGCACCTGACAAGATCTTGGACTTTCCACTAAAGTTGATGGTATCCAACGAGGAAATCCAGTCATTATTGTTAAAGGAAGCCAAGTACGAAGGAGGCAAAACTGCGCGGGTATATTCCAACGTCAAGAACGTCTCACTGCTCAAGGCATTCTTCGTCAAATAGTCTTCCAACGACGTTCTTAACAACTTCCCATCAATCAAAAAGTCGAATGGGATGGGGTTCTCAGACTCGCTATCATTTGCCAATAAATGGTTCACCACTTCAGAAAGCCCGTATCTTTTTAAACTGATAGGCACATACAAGGGGGCCTCAGAAACTGCGAGAGACTCGTCCTCCTTAGTAATAAACTTGATCTTCACTTGGGACTTTTCTTCACTCATGGCCAGGATGTTTCTCATCTCATCTCAGTTTTCATTTTTTTCTGTGTGCGCGGTGCAGAGCCTGGTTGCAAAACAAGATTGAGGGAATGAGAATTTGGCAGTAGCTGAGTTATGTTTAGCAAGACCCTGTTGGTTTGTTACAAAAGTACCGTAGACATTGTTTGTTACATTTCTTCGAGTATTTCCTATTACTGCAAGGTGTATATTTGTACTCCTAACCGACTTTTCTCAAATTTCATTATTTTTGTGGATTCCACTAAATTTCATAATTCTTTTGTGCTTTAGTAAACTTCATTATTAAGATTTTTCTAAACTTCAGTGCTTTCGTAGTTACACATATGCCCAAAACACTCACGTGACCTGCTCTACTCAAAGCTGTACCGACACGTTCAACAGGTTACGAGAACCTGGACGCAAAAGTGGTACTGAAGCTCCCACGGCCCGGCCTACCAACGAGGCGGTGTGGAGACCGGTGCCCACCTTACGTCTCAAAATCGTCTCACTCTTGCTGAGTGTAGACCGACTGAGACGTGAGCTGAAATGCAGTTGCTTGATCTTGGAGATAATCTGAGACTTATTTCTATAAGCATGAGAAGCTGGGTCATGAATGCGGCCTTGGGTAAACAAAAGCTTTGCCGCCCTCTTGATACGGCACCAAATTCTCTTTCTGGTGACTCTTGGAGGAGGAAGCGATCTCATGGACCAAAAGACACAAAGGTTTCCGTGGGAAGCTGCGATTGTAATATTTTTGCAATCGCAGATGCGTCCAAAACCAACAACTCGGGATCTCCGCGGAAGTGCCATTTTATCGTCCCCGATTCTGATACCTGATAGGATCACTGCCATTTCACTGGCCCGGGTCGAATTAACATTATTAACAGCTCAAAAGGGTTCTAGCACACTATATATATCCTCAGGTTTACCCACACACTCGCAAAACTTTTGGTGTAAGTATTTTCACCCATAGTGCCAACCCGCCCCAAGCCAAATTCGTTTTGACTCTAACTTCTCATCTCATTTTCTCAAAGAAAAAAAAACTCATCCATCTATCTTTCACAAATGAGTTCTATCGAAGACGTTCCTATCGAAGTGTCCAAAGTGTTTGACACCATCTTGGTGCTCGACTTTGGCTCGCAATACTCCCACTTGATCACCCGTCGGTTAAGAGAGTTCAACATCTATGCTGAGATGTTGCCTTGCACTCAGAAGATCTCTGAGTTGTCTTGGAAGCCAAAGGGTGTCATTTTATCGGGAGGGCCATACTCGGTGTACGCCGACGACGCCCCTCATGTGGACCACGATGTGTTCAAGTTGGGTGTTCCAATCTTGGGGATCTGTTACGGAATGCAAGAATTGGCATGGATCAACGGTAAAGGTGTTGCCAGAGGTGAAAAGAGAGAATATGGACCTGCCACCATCGATGTCCAAGACAAGTCTTGTGCTTTATTCAAGGACATCGACCACTCGCAAGTGTGGATGTCTCACCACGACAAGTTGCACGCCTTACCAACTGGTTACAAGGTTGTGGCTACGTCTGGAAACTCTCCCTTTGCTGCTATTGCCAATGATACCGAACAAATCTACGGAATCCAATTCCACCCCGAAGTAACCCACACCACTCAAGGTAAAACCTTGTTGAGAAACTTTGCGGTAGAGATCTGTAAGGCCAACACCAACTGGTCAATGGAAAACTTTGTTGACACTGAAATCGCCAGAATCAAAAAGTTGGTGGGACCAACGGCTGAAGTCATTGGTGCTGTTTCTGGAGGTGTGGACTCAACTGTTGGAGCTAAGATCTTGCATGAAGCCATTGGTGAGCGTTTCCACGCCATCTACGTCGATAACGGATTGATGAGAAAGAACGAAACCGAACAGGTTTATCAGACTTTAACCGAAGGGTTGGGAATCAACTTGACAGTCGTGGATGCTACTGACAAGTTTTTGGACAGGTTGAAGGGTATCAAGGACCCAGAAAAGAAGAGAAAGATCATTGGTAACACCTTCATTCATGTATTTGAAGAAGAGGCTGCGAAAATCAAGCCTGCTTCGGGACAGGAAATTGAATATTTGTTGCAAGGAACTTTGTACCCCGATGTGATCGAGTCTATTTCTTTCAAAGGACCTTCACAAACCATTAAGACCCATCACAATGTTGGAGGATTGTTAGAAGACATGAAATTAAAGTTAATTGAACCTTTAAGAGAGCTCTTCAAAGACGAAGTTAGACATTTGGGTGAATTGTTGGGAGTTCCCCATGATTTGGTATGGAGACATCCCTTCCCTGGTCCCGGTTTGGCCATCAGAGTGTTGGGAGAAATCACCAGACCTCAATTGAAGATTGCCAGAGAAGCTGACCACATTTTCATTGAGGAAATCAAGAATGCTGGAATCTACAAGGAAATCTCCCAGGCATTCGCTGCCTTGTTGCCAGTGTTTTCAGTGGGTGTCATGGGAGACCAAAGAACTTACGAGCAGGTTATTGCCTTGAGAGCCATTGAGACGGTTGATTTTATGACTGCTGACTGGTATGTTTTTGAAGCGTCGTTCTTAAAGAGAGTGGCCTCGAGAATTGTTAATGAGGTCGACGGGGTTGCCAGAGTCACCTACGACATCACATCCAAGCCTCCTGCCACTGTTGAATGGGAATAAGCTTTTTGCTATTGTTTTGATAGATAAGTAGAACTGATATACTTGAGATTTCTATTTAGTGTAATATAATCGTCATCTGGAGTCCCTCATGTTCAAAAGTGACCAGATGCCTTCATAAGTAACTAACCTGCTGTCGTATCACCGACGCGATCAACACATCATCTTCGTGGCTAATACTAAGGAGGAACTCTTCATTGTTCTTGGAGTAAGTATCACTGCAAACCACTGGTTTGCCTCGTTCATCGTAGATTCGAAACCATTCCTTGAACGTGAATGATTTCTGATCCTGAGAGTCCAATGTCTTGTAGATGGCCTCCTTAATAGCCCAACTGCCGGCTAAGAAACTCATACTTTTGGAATGATTGGAGATCGAGAGCTGGGAGAATACTGGCATTTCGTGGTGGGGGTTCAAGATCCTCAGTGACATCTTCGCCATGAACCGCGACATGTTCCGACCCTCACGGGCTGCTATTGACTCGAATCTCGAGATCTTCACTATATCAACTCCATGTCCCAATACATTCGTCACTCGTATTCCAGGCATTAAGTTCCTCTGCTCCGCTGCGCGCGCGAAAGATGGATTTTTCACCTCCAACAATTATCAATCAACCATAATGGCATCTTCAGTTACCGGACCCGTGCCGTTGCCCGACTCCAGATATGACTTGTCCAGTTACTGGGGTAGGGTCAAGCACTGTGCAGAGATTTCTGATCCCACGATGTTGCTCAACACGTCAAGCGATATCAAAAGGGCCAAACTCATGATTTGGGAATACAGGAACGGTGTCAGACCCGAAATGACTCCTGAGTTGTGGAGAGCCAAAAAGGTATTGGACTCGGCAGTTCACCCCGATACCGGTGACACCGTGATGTTGCCGTTCAGAATGAGCTCGTGTGTATTGTCCAACTTGGTGGTTACGGCCGGAATGTTAACTCCTAACTTAGGCACGGCTGGAACTCTTTTCTGGCAAATCGCCAACCAGTCGTTGAATGTTGCCATAAATACCGCCAACGCCAACAAATCGCATCCCATGACCACCAAGCAGATTATCACCAACTATGGGTTGGCGGTATCGGCGTCTTGTTCGGTTGCGTTGGGATTGAACTCGTTGGTGCCCAAATTGAAGTCTTTACAACCAAACACCCGGATGATCATGGGGAGATTGGTACCATTTGCAGCAGTGGTTTCTGCCGGTATTGTGAACGTGTTCTTGATGAGAAGTGAGGAGATCAAGAAAGGAATCAGTGTGTTTGATAATGAAGGAAAAGAGGTAGGAACCTCCAAAACCGCTGCCTTGTACGCGGTAGGAGAAACAGCAGCCAGTAGAGTCATCAACGCTACACCTGTAATGGTGATCCCCCCGTTAGTTTTGGCCCTGTTACAAAAAACCCGGTTTTTAAAGGGTAAATCAAAAGCAGTGGAAATCTTGACCAACATCGGGTTGATCTTCTCCACCTCTTTGGTGGCTTTACCATTTGCGTTGGCGGTGTTCCCACAAAGAAGAACTATGGCGGTATCAAAACTCGAGCCCGAGTTCCACAACTTGAAGCTGGCCAATGGAGTGCCCGTTGAGACCTTACAGTTCAACAGAGGTATTTAGATTCTAATAGATTAATTAGGTTCTTCTTGTATATTTTAACTGTTACATTCACCAGAACTTCCAGTCTCCCACCACGTCGAAATGTAATGCCTGCTCTATGTCTGCTCTGGTGCCAAATTTAGCAAATGCGTCGGCTGCAAAAACCGCGTGGTTGCAATCGTCCATGAATAGAGCACCTACACCTTTTCCACCCAAGGACGTTTCATAGCATTCGAACCCCTTGGCCGTGTACTGCGAGATCACCTGTTGGATCTTTTCTTCAGCAACGCTATCATCTACCAACGTGATGGCACACCCTCCTCCTCCGGCCCCGGTCAACTTGGTGACGCCGATTTGTTCGATGTCTGCGATCATCTTCACCTGTTCCAAAGCAGGGTGCGACACTCCCAAGGCCACCAACAACCCGTGGTTGACACTGGCCAACTGCCGGAGCTTCTGTTTGTGGAGCTCATCGAAGTTGGGCTCGATCATCAACTGGTACGCAGTCGTGGAAATGCTTCCCATCGCATCCAAAATGGGCTCACAGATCTTGGAGTACTCGCTGTTGATCCTCGACACGTCACTCACCAAGTGGGCCGTACTCCGCGGAACCTTGGTGTTGGTGAGCAACATCTTCAAGGGTGGGAAGTTGCGCATGGTGGTTCTGACCGACGGCTGGGATGGGTTTGTCATTCTCTGGAACATCACTGCTCCGCCGTGGGTGGCCACCGCGTTGTCAATTCCTGACGGATTCCCGTGGAACATCTTCTCGCCGATGAATGACCACTGGTCAATAAAGTCCAACTCCTTAACGTCGGTGGCATCGGCCTTTTCCCTGAGTCCGAACGGAGGTTTGGTGATGTGGCCACCTATCATCGATAAAGCAGCGGCAAGACACACCGACACACACGCAGATGATCCTAACCCGGCACCAATTGGAACAGTGGACCGCACGGTCATGGTCACACCAGCAACATCTGCTCCACAGAGGTGTAAGTATAGGTACAAAAACGAAATACACGCTTTGTAGTGGAAAGTGTTATTCATATCCGCCAATAAAATACTTAGTTTGTCAACGATTTCAGGAATGAGTTCGGTGGAAACCTTGGGCAATCCTTCCTCGTACTGGATGAACGGCTTGGACTGCTCGAACGGTAATTCGGATTTTTTCCATGAGTGAGATAACTGGATGTCTGGGAAGTCCAATCGTATAGACTCGGGGTCCTGGTTGGGAGTCACAAGAAGATAAGTTCTCAAGCTCAAGGCAGCGGCTATGGCGGGCTTACCGTACACGGCAGAGTGTTCGCCAAAGAGAATGACTTTGCCTGGGGCACTTACAAAGAATGGCTTGTCCATAGATGGAGTAGAAATTTTTCGATCGCGATACGAGTTTTGTTTATGGTGTGAGATGATATATACTGAGCACCATGGTACAAATTCGTGGGGGTATGGGTCAGATCTGGTACAAACTCGTGGTACGTCTCGGACGTAGTTATGCTCTTAGGCTTCTTATTTTGCTAACGTCTTCCCCAGGTGGCCTTGGATCCGTTTGATCCTCCGCTGCCTCCATTATTTCCTTCACTTATCACGTTGTTCATTCCCGTCATGCTGGTGCTGTTCATCATTCTCTCTCTAAGTCTCGCTCCGGACGTGGAGCTGTTTGTTCGTGCCGGGGCCTGGTTCACAGTATTGTATCCTCCTCCCGGTACGTGTTGCTGCCGGGACTTGTTATACATGTCCTGCAACCGACTCGAGGACCGTGGTTTATACGCCGACTGGGCGGCTGGCGCCGGCTCGGCGTACTGAGATTGTGCTTGCGGCTGCTGTTGTGATGGTGGTTGCGGAGTATTGTAGTTCGAGTAAACAGGCTTATACTGACTACTGCTGACATTAGTATAGCCCAGCGGTGGACCGGCCCTCGCACTGGACCTGGCGGGGGCGGCCGGCACCCCAAGCCACTCGGGGTACGCCTGGTTCTGGGAATCAAAATACTTGACGAAAGCCTTGTGGATTAAGGTATCTGTTTCGGAGTTCCCATCTTTATCGACGTACGACGAAGCCTTTTGGATGCTGGATGTCAATGACAAGTTCCCGAACTTGGCACTGTAGTTGTCTTTGATCTTGGATAAGAAAGTTTTTTGCTCTTCGGCACTTCTGTTCTGGTACTGGTTCATGACGTGTTGTGGGAAACTACAATTTGGGAGCACCAAAAAAGAGTGCGAAATGAGGAATGGCTGCTAACTGAGAACGACAAGCACACTGATGAAGTTCAATATTTGCGCCGGGTGTGAACACATCCGAGCCAACCACTCTCTTTGGAGACGTTCTCTTGGTATATCTCTTACTTTCTCTGCCCGTTTCCCGCTTACCTCCACAAATACCCATTCACATCCTGTACGCACTAGATCTCTTAATGTGCGCTCTGCGAAAACTTTTCAAGACGATGAGTATAGCTATGAGAAGATTTATCCAAATAGCTAGAATCACCAACGTGTCTACTCGTCCCGCCTTGTTGGGCCAATATCGACTCTTCAGCAACACCTCCTTTAGATTCAACGTCCCTCAGGAAACTGTTGCTCCCAAGGAGTCTGATCCAGAAGGTACTCTCGTGAAATTGAGAGCTAATGAAAAAATTGACCCCGTCATCTCCGAAACCTTGAACAATTTGAACTTCAGAGCGTTGACAAAGGTGCAAGATGAGTCGATTGGTCCGGCTATCGATGAAGAAAACGGGCTTGTGGTCAGAGCCAAGACTGGGACCGGTAAGACATTGGCCTACCTTATCCCCATCTTAAACCAGTTGTATCCCAGCAGAAGCCATAGTTTGAAAAACAAGCACCGGGTGTTCCATTTGATCATTGTTCCCACCAGAGACTTGGCTCAGCAAATCGAAAGAGAGCTTACTTTGTTTTGTAAAGGTCATCCTGAGTTAAAAAAGATATTTTTAACCAGAGTTGACGTATTGACTGGGAGCGTGAGATCCCACTTGGAATCTCTTTTTAATCCTTCGATCGTTATTGCCACTCCAGGAAGATTGATCAGAACCTTGGAAGATAAGAAGAGATTTGGTATTCGGTTTAGAGACCTTCAAACCGTCACCTTGGATGAAGCTGACAGATTATTAGATGCTGGTTTCGGTAAAGATATCGACCGAATTCACGAATTGTTGACGGAGCTCAACGTTGGGCCCCAACGAGGTGTTGATGGTCTCACCTTCAAGTACTTGCTTTATAGTGCCACCATAGATAAGAATGTCAGTGAATTTGCCAAACAGAAAATCGGTGAAAACTTCAAGTACATCGACTGTGTGAATGAGGAAGACACTGAGGCCCACGAGAATATCAGACAAGTGTTGGTGCAAACCAAGAGCTTCAACGACTCTATACACGCAGCTTTGGCTCACTGTATCAGAAACATTGAGGACGAGGCGGACTTCAAAGGAGTGCTTTTCCTTCCCACTGTGAAAGCAGTGGAATGGGCTTATGATACTATTAAGTCATCTTGTTCCAGAATCAATGGAAGGCAGGTGTACAAAGTCAATGGACAAATGACCCAGGCTGCCAGAGACAGAAATCTCTTGCTCTTTAGAAGAAGTCAAAGAGGTGTCCTTGTTGCTACCGATGTGGCTGCAAGAGGATTGGATTTCCCAGACATCACCACTGTTCTTCAAGCGTCTGCCAGTTCTGAAATCGCTTCTTATATTCACAAGATTGGAAGAACCGGTAGGGCTGGTAAGACTGGTGAAGCGTTCCTTTTCTCCCACGAAGCTGAACTGAGGTTTGTGAAGCAGTTGCAAAAGGAAAAGCAAATCGAGTTCAATGAGACCATTACTTACGAAGACTTTCAGAAAGACAGGGAATTGTTCAAGTACTCGAGTCATGATGACGCTATTGTTGAAGCGGTTCAGAGTTTGTGTTTGTTCTATAGCCAAGCCAGTAACCAATATGGGTTCAGCACTTTCAAGTGTATGCAGCAGGTATTGGAGTTCTACCGGGAAATTACCGATCTGAACGAAAAACTTAACCTTGAGAGGAAGTACTTGAGTGTGCTTAATCTTCCAAGACACGAGGCTGAACAGGTGTTTGAGGTTCCCGATGACTATCGTCAAAATGGTAGAAGAGGTGGTTCTGGCAGCAGATTTAACAAGTTTGACGGACCAAAAACTGGTGGATATCAAAGAAACAACGGTAGAAACGATAGAGGTGGTTACAAGTCTGACTCCAGAGGTGGCTACGGAGGATCTCGTGATAGAGATAACTACAGAAGTAATAACAGAGACAACTACAGAAGTAATAGCAGAGATGGTTACAAGAGCAATAATAGAGACGGCTACAAAAGTAACAGAGACGGTTACAAAGGCAACAGAGACGGCTACAAAGGCAAGTCCGGTGGTTCCTCCAGTTATGAACGGGTCAAAGACTATGATTAGTCTTAACAATTAATGATTGAACAAGAAAACAAGCCATGCATGTGTTTTGCACCAGCTATTTGATTCTTTACGATTAATCCTTGTAACTAGCCAATTTCCTTTTTATCATGTATATAGTTAAATAAACTATTCTTTCAGAACCTGTACTTCAGTTTCTTCTTATACTTTTTCTTCGTAGACCCGACTTTAAACTGGTAGTTTCGAGGGATGGGGATTTCCACTGGTAAGTCTTTGGACAATAGCAAGAAGCAAACAAGTACCGTCAAAAGGACAAAGTTCACCAATAAAAGTTTTTTGTAGAACGAAAGGTCGTTTGCAAGGTTGGATATTACTTTATTAGACTCGAATAACTTGAATTGATTAAACTGGTTGATTTTGAGCATCTGTTGGTTGAAGGTTTGGTTGAAGTTCCACAAGAGCTTGTCGAGGTCATGTGACTGCTCCATCTGGAGCTTTCTGAATGAATCTGATAGGAGTCTGCTTTGCTCTTCGATGTAGAGAAGCGATAAACTCGCATTGGATTCAAGAAGCGAAAGCCGTTTGATGATGTTTTTGAAAATCGAGTCCTGTGGATTGTTGGTGGCTGTGGATTCCTCCTCCACCACTTCACAGTACTCAGGAATGCTGTTCAAAAATTCGTTCAATCCCAAATATGGTAAAGTAGAGTTGATTTTGCACTCATCGGTTTCAACACTTGGTTGTTCAATGGTTTGCTCCTTGAACTCCTCCAACATCGTCTTACCATAGACTTTGACCAAGGATATCGGACAGTAGAACTCGCTACCATAGTGCTCCAAAATCTCTATTTTGATGAACTTGGCCCAAATCAACGGATTGATGATCTTGAACTTCTGCAAGGTCCGGGAATTCGACGCCTCAAATTCCCCCAACAGCTTCCAATTGGTATCCTCATACCTCTCATTGACGCTAACTTTGAAGCGCTTGAAGTTGGAGCTGAAAAACTCAAAGTTCCCGATTTCGATCAAATCGATCAAAATATCCTGGCACAACTCGATGATGAGAAACTGGTCTTTTGTGGAGCATTTGTTGACAAGATAGCTGTCTTTGTTTTCCATCAAAATCGACTTGGACTCCTGGGCACCCTCGTTTGTCTTGACGACTTTGGCAGCACAGTCAATCGATGCAAAGTTGAATCTGTTCTCGTCATTCTTGACCGGCAGGATCTGAGAAGTGTTCTTGAGGGTGGGGTCACTTTTGATTTTCAACTTCTTCCAGCTCTCAAACGACATGAACTCAGTGCCATTATCACACATGGCCACTGTCGCCCACATGACCACTAGTAGTAGTGTGATGATATGTTTCATGGTTGGTGGATTGAGATTCGCAGCGACCAGTGAGGAACAGTGCGACTCCGAATTATCTCTTCTCCAACCGTGAAAAATGATCAGGACATTGCCGTTGACAGCCAGGGCACCGGTGGCATCGCTCAAGAAGCCCAAGGAACTCACCACTTACCGCCGAGATCTCAATGGCAACTATATTCATGACGATGAGGGCCACTCATACTTTTATTTCCCCGACTCGTACGTCGAACGAGGGTTCGACATGGCGGCTGGGTTCTCCAAGTTCAACAAAATCCCCGAGGCAAAGAACTTGGGCGACTTCCACGCGATCCTCGCGGCCCTCGTCAAGCACGAGCAGCTGGTGGGCGCCCGGGTCGAGTGTGACGTGATTGCATTCCGAGGAATTATGACCAAATTAATGACATTGCCCATCGCTCGCGACGACTTCAGTCTCAAGGTCCTCACATACGGCGGACACATCATGATTAAGAACAACGACGAGTTTGAGCTCACGCGGCGCACCGCCAACACACCCACCGATCTCGGACAGAGACTCGAGTACTCTGGGTACAAATTTGAAAAGTTGGTGATGCTCCCCAGGCCATGGAGCGAATGTTCGCGGGCCACCATCGAAAGCAGACCCACGCAAGAGGTCAACAACTACGAGCAACTCATCAGCGTGGTGCGCACGGGCATTGGCAAGACGCGCATGGTGTTGGCGGGTGAGGTGGATGGGATCTTTGACTACAAGCCGGTTTCAGACCTGAACTTGCCCCACTACATCGAGTTGAAAACCAACAACTTGATCACCAATGAGCACCAGATGAAACTGTTTGAAAAGAAGCTCTACAAAACATGGGCACAGTGTTTCTTGATGGGGATCAAGAACATCGGGGTCGGGTTCCGAGACGAGTCCCTTCACTTGAGAAACGTGGAAATCTATGAGGCGGACGAGATACCAGCCATGTTGAAGGACAAGATCAACTGTGTGAGCTCGTTGAAGTTTTTTGGGGCGTTGATGGAGTGGTTGAATGAGTTGGATAAGACCGTCACTAAGAGCTATACCATGAGTTTTGAGAGTGGGAAGGTGATGTTGATGGAAAGTCCGTTGTCGTTTGAAAGCGAGTTTTTGACGGAAGAGTTTAAGCGGTGGAGACAGTCTTTGGCGTAGCTTCGGCGGCAACTCCGCTACCAATAAGAATGGTACATTTATGCTTACCCATATTCATCGGCCACCCGGAACCAATGTCTCCACTCTGGCCCATTCCTCCCTGCAGTTTCCCCAGATTTCAGACGTTCATATGAAAATGCGCGGGCGTGAAAATCAGTAACGGCCACGGCCACAGACCCCAAACCCGACACCGCCCTAATCAGATCTCCTACAAGTATATCAAACCCACCAACAGCGGCATATTGTTACTTAGTCATCAATACCCGCTTGTCCCATTTTAGACCTTTTCCCCGATCCCACTAGTGGTTTTTACAGGTTCACTGGGGTTCCTCGGTTGAAGTGGCCAATTAGCGACTGCGAAAATTTCATTATTCATAGTCTGTAATCCCCTCTTACAATTGATATAAATACAACCTAATCCCCCTTAACTTCAAAAAACACCTTATTTATTTTGTTATCATGGCTCCTGTTTTCACCAATTCCAATGGATGTCCAATTCCTGACCCATTTGCTACCCAAAGAGTCGGCAAACACGGTCCCTTGTTATTACAAGACTTTAACTTGATTGATTCTTTGGCTCACTTTGACAGAGAAAGAATTCCTGAAAGAGTGGTTCACGCCAAAGGTTCGGGCGCTTACGGGGAGTTTGAGGTGACTGATGATATCACCGACGTGTGTGGAGCGGCGTTTTTGGACACCATCGGTAAGAAAACCCGGGTGTTCACCAGATTCTCCACTGTCGGGGGCGAGTTGGGCTCGGCTGATACCGCCAGAGACCCCAGAGGTTTTGCCACCAAGTTTTACACCGAAGAAGGTAACTTGGACTTGGTGTACAACAACACGCCTATTTTCTTTATCAGAGACCCCTCCAAGTTCCCCCACTTTATTCACACGCAAAAGAGAAACCCCCAAACTCATTTGAAGGATGCCAACATGTTTTGGGACTACTTAACCAGTAACCAGGAAGCCACCCACCAGGTGATGTTTTTGTTCTCAGACCGTGGAACCCCAGCCAGTTATAGGGAAATGAACGGGTACTCGGGCCACACCTATAAGTGGTCCAACAAAAAGGGCGAATGGTTCTACGTGCAAGTGCACTTTATTTCTGACCAAGGTATCAAGACTTTAAGCAATGAGGAAGCTGGTGCTTTAGCAGGTTCTAACCCCGACTATGCTCAAGAAGATTTGTTTAAGAATATTGCTGCCGGTAACGGTCCTTCCTGGACCTGTTATGTTCAGACCATGACTCAAGAACAGGCCAAGCAGGCACCATTTTCGGTGTTTGATTTGACCAAGGTCTGGCCTCATAAGGACTACCCCATGAGGAGATTCGGTAAGTTTACCTTGAACGAAAACCCCAAAAACTACTTTGCTGAAGTTGAACAAGCTGCCTTTTCTCCAGCTCACACCGTTCCTTACATGGAACCAAGTGCGGATCCAGTGTTACAATCAAGATTGTTTTCGTATGCTGACACTCACAGACACAGATTGGGAGTCAACTATACTCAGATCCCTGTTAACTGTCCTGTCACCGGTGCCGTGTTCAACCCACATATGAGAGATGGTACCATGAATGTGAATGGCAACTTGGGAGAACATCCAAACTACTTGGATACTTCCAAACCACTTGAATTCAAGCAATTTGGCTTACAAGAAGAGCAAGAGGTTTGGGAAGGTGCTGCTTGTCCATTCCACTGGAAATGTGAAGATGACAAGGACTTTACTCAAGCCACTGCTTTGTGGCATGTGTTGGCCAAATATCCTAATCAGCAGGCTCACTTGGCACATAATGTGGCTGTTCATGTTTGTGCAGCCGATGCCCATATTCAAGACAGAGTGTTTGAGATGTTTGGAAAAGTCCACCCAGACTTGGCCAATTTGATCAAGAAGGAGACCTTGGAGTTGGCCCCTAGAAAGTAGGAGTATTTAATAATATAACTGATACGAGTATATAAAAGCTGGGGATCGCGTAGATTTAATAATGATCTGAAAAGTTGCGAGGCACTTCATGAAATCGTACATTTAACTATCAAGTTGATCATAATTTGGTGGTGTTGCACGAGGCACACGAACAAGCGCTTCCGCACTTGCAGGAAGTTCCACAACACCCAGACGAGCTGGACGTTGAGCTGGAAGTGTTGGAGGAGGTGTTCTTTCCGCTCATAGTTGTAGTTGAAAACCTGAGAGAAATCATCGCACTTTTATAATTCGAGCCTCGCGGATCCAACTTCCGCATTGGGAACACACTACCGGTTATCAGCATTAGTGGGACGATGTGCCAAGGAGAAGTGACTAAAACTAAAATGTATAGAGTTTAAAGTGAATAGGTCATGTGATCACCAAAAGTAATTTGAATGTCACCACCTCCCTAATCATTCGTTGATCTTGACCCATTGAAAGAAAAGCGCTGTCTACTATCATTAGTTATCACCAATTGCAATCTAATTTCGTGTAGAGGTAATACTAAACCATTCGACGGCGCCGCCCTAAATATGTTCTCTTCGCGGTAGCGTCGTCTTAGCCAAAAATGAGAGTGCTCTCAATAATGAAAAGTTGATACTGGAGAAGGCACATTCACGAGGCGGTTATCCAGACGTTTTGTATATGCCTGTGCACGCCTCAAACGGTCCAGGTGAAAATGCAAATATAGAAGTCTCTACCCCAAAGCCCCAATTCAAGTCGAAGATCTCTTTAGGGGCTCTGGTGGTGGCGCACCGCCTTCTCGCACCGCCTTCAATGCACCGCGGCCACACACCGCCGAGGTCACGGTCAAAACGTGCCTTAGCCAAAACTGAGGCTGGACTTGGGGGATTGATGTCCTAAACATTCCACCAGCATCTGAGACCTCGTCAACAGCCCGGCCAACATTGACACACACCCAGGCCCAATGACGTCGAAGAATTTTGACAGATTTCCTGCACCTCCTCGTTGACGATCCAATACATTTCCCCTTTAGTACCAAATGTAAACCCAGCCCAGTTTTGATCTCTGCTGACTCCGTACTGCCCCTTAAACCAGCACTGATTATTTTGGCGGCTGGCGTCCAGCTCACTATTTTTATATTTAGAACCCTTTCATTGATTCGCTCGGGTATATAATAAGGTGGAAAGACTTTGATCTCACAAACTTAATTCCATCAACTTAAAATTAAAGAATGGTGAACGCTATCAATTACGCTGTTACTGATATTTCCGGAATAGCCTCTGCTGCTGCTGCTGCTGGTGAAGGTGTTGCCTCTGGTGCCGTTGCTGCTTTTACTGCCGCCACCTCGGCCGCGGTTGCGGCCGGTGAAGACGCTGCGTCCGCCGCTGTGAGCGTTGCTGGTGCTGTAACCTCCGGTGCTGCGGGTGCTGTCAAAACCGCCACCTCTGCTGGGGCCGCACTTGGTGAGGCCGCCGCCTCCGACGTCGCGAGCGCCGCCGAAGCAGGTGTCACCGACGCTGCCTCGTTGGCCAATGCCGCTACTGCCGCTGCTGCGTCCTTGGTGAGTGATGCTGTTTCCGGTTCTTCTGACGTTGACTCAGTGGTGGCCGACCTCACGTCTGCTGCCGAGTCTGCTAAAAAGTCGGCCGACCCCTCGTTGGACATTTCTGCCGATGTGGCCTCGGCTTCGTCGGTTTTTGCTACACACAGCACGAAGGTCGCTACTTCGTCGAAGCATAGTTCTTCATCTTCCACCGCGTCGTCATCTAATGCTGCTTCTCCTACACACATCGATGGGGGCAAGTGGAAGAGCGCTGCTGCCATCGCCGCCATTGTGGGCTTCAGTTTTGTCTTCAATGCTTTGTAATGAATATTATGTATGTATAAAAATGAACGTTTGGATTTATGGTAGACATTTTTTTGCAGTCGCGGGTCGCGAAATTTCTTAGCTAATATGAACCGACCAGCGAGAGTTCAGGTGGATCCAAGCTCGTTGCCCGATGATAGGCCACCACAGACTGGCAATGTGTTCAACGTATGGTACTTGAAGTGGTCGGGAGGTGATGGCAGTAAAAATTACGAGAAACTGCGCTTTCGAGTCGATATCACTCGAGACTCCGGCCGCACCAAAGCCAACAAGTCTTTGACCTCCACCATATGTTTGTACTTTGGGCGTGGCTGCTGCTACAGAGGCAAGTCATGTGACTTTCTCCATCGGTTGCCGTGTGAAACGGACTATTTCCCGCCCACCCAGGACTGTTTTGGTAGAGATAAGACGTTTGCTCATCGCGATGACATGGATGGCGTGGGAGCTTTGAACAAGATAAATGACACCATCTACGTAAGTGGGTTGCATCCCGGTGATCACACCGAGAGTGTGCTCCTGAGGCACTTTCTGGAGTTTGGCAGCATCGCCAAAATCAAGGTGTTATACAATAAGAGTTGTGCCTTCATAACATTTAAGCACGAGTTCGAGGCTCAGTTTGCAAAAGAAGCCATGCAATGTCAATCTTTGGACGATAATGAGGTGTTGATGATACGATGGGCAAACGATGATCCGGATCCCACCAGCCAGGTGGAAAAGAAGAGGAAACTCGAGGAGATCACTGTGAATACTGTGAAGAACTTGTTAAATCGTCAGCAGCAGGAGCATGAAGAATCAGAGACAGAGGATCCAGAGATCGTGGAGCCTGAAGAGCCTGCGAGTCCGGAGCATGAACCAGGGCAAAAACTACTTGAGCATTCTATATTCAACCAGAACTCATTGCTGGTGCTATCCAAGTTGAAAAAGAGAAAAATGGATATGAAACCTAAAGATCCTCCTAAAACACTTGACTTACTGGGGTACTCCAGTGATGAGGAATAGACACTAGTCTTTAATGGTCTGATTGCGATTCACAAGGAATGCAGGCAAATTCTTCTTGAGAAACCGTCTCAAATCAGGAAAGAGTGGCTCATCACCGTCCTCAATAAATGTATAACTATTACCCTTGGTACCGGCTCTTCCAGTTCTACCAATTCTGTGGATATACTCGTCCACCCGCTTGGTCATTTGGTAGTTCACTACTAACGACACATTTGCAATGTCAATTCCTCTTGCAGCCACATCGGTGGCTACTAGGATGCGGACTCGCCCATTTCTGAACTCATCAATGGACCTTTCTCTTGCCTGCTGGGACTTAGATCCGTGAATGGTGATATTCTTGTAGCCTTTTTCTGCCAACGAGTCGGAAAGCTCCTCGACCGTTTTGATGTAATTAGCAAATACAATAATCGAGTATACTTTGTTTCTTCTGGCGTGCTTGTTGATGACTTGGACCAACTTTTCAAACTTCGTATCCATGTACTTAGTCTGAATGAACTCAAATTCCTGGTTGATATTGTCGACCTTTTCGCCGATTTGGCCAATCACCAATTGCACCGGCTTTATAAGATACTTCTTTGTCATCGTATTTATGGAGTCCGAGAACGTCGCGGTGAACATCATAGTGATTCTTTTGTCTAACTTAAACGTTTGTCGGTCAGCTTCGTTGATCTCCGGCAAGTTCTCATAGATGGTGTTCAACGGCTTCTCAAAGCCCATATCTATCATTCTATCTGCTTCATCGAATATCACATAGTAGCACTTGCTCAAATTTATTATTTTCCTCTCAAGCGAGTCCACTAGTCGACCTGGAGTGGCAACAATGATATGAACGCCGTCTTTGATGGCCGATATCGTCTCTTCGTAGCTGTGTCCACCAATAATACTCACCGATGTGAGGTTTAACGCCAGGCAGAACCTAGTTAACTCAGTGGTGATTTGGTTAGCCAATTCTCTGGTGGGAGCCAAAATGACTCCAAGAGGTTTGTTCAAGTTGAACTCTTGAATATGTTCATACTTTAAGTAGTTTTCCTCGATAGAGAGGATGTAGTGCAAAAGGGGAAGCACGTATGCAAGGGTTTTACCGGACCCGGTTTCTGCAATTCCAATAATGTCTTGTTGGTGGGTTGCAATGGGGATGGAAGCTCTTTGGACGGGAGTAGGATCGGCGAACTTCAGCGTCTCGAGAATGTTCACGATGGACTTGTCGAGGACAGATTCACCCCACGACCTTATGGGATGGATCTTGGTGCCCTTGGTGATGATGTTGAACTCGTCTTTCAAATCTCTCCAGTCTGACTCAGACATCTCCTGTAAACTCTTTGCTGACCAGTGGACAGACGGTGGTGGAAGAGTGTCGTCAAAGTCGTCAAGCTCTAGTAGAGGTGTGTAACCGCGAGAGGTATCATCTGACTGGTCCCAGTCGAAATTGAACTGGGTTTTTATTGGTTTCTTGTTTTGGGTGATGATAGTTGGTTCAGGTGTAAGTTGGTCACTTTGAACCACCAGTTCGATTTTCTTTGGCTTCACCACAAGTTTGGCTTCCGGCTTCGACACTCGGTCGCGTTTCTTGATGAACCGTGGTGTGTCGTTTTTGACTAGCTCATCTATGGAAATAGGCCTCGTCATAAGTGTTTGTAAAATTCGCGATTCTATCTAAGATCTACTTGAATAGCGAATATACGCAAGAATTAAAAAGATCACAGCTGCACCAAGCCCGCAGGTGATAGAGAACGTCTCCGCGTAGCATCCCGATCCTTCGGTGCACACGTATTCACCCGCATCATTGTACTTTGAATGGGCATCATAAATGTGTCCGAACATCGAAGACATGAGGGTCAAGCCAAAGGCAGTGCTGGAGTACATCAAACCCCAGATGAAACTGTAGTTTTCCATGTTAAAAATGTCGGAGATGATCACCGGGTAGCAGGTGAAGCTGAACCCGTACGCGTAGCCGATAATGGACGATACCACCAGCAAAAACACATTGGCCCCCAGGAGCGAGGCCGCGAAATGGTCTAACTTGAGGGTGTTGAGAAGGTGTCCTACAAGCATAATGCACAAGCCCATCACCAAGTTCCAATGCCTTTGACAGTGTAACTTATGGACCAAGTAATCGCTCTGGGGCCCCGATGAAAGGCGGCCGAGGAACGAAAACACCGCTATAAGTGACACCTGAATCGCTTGCAAATGGTGCAAGTCGATCAGATCATCATCATAATAGTTGTACACGGCCTTGACCACAAACCCCACCTCGAAAATGTACATTTGTCCCAAGCCCTGAACAATGGAGAATACCACGAAATGGAACCAGAAGATTGGGTGTAACAAGGAGTGTTTTAAGTCCTGGTGCTTTAAATCTACTTTTGCAGCCACTTCGTCTGCTGACTCCGAAGGAATTAAATCAGGTGTTTGCATGAGACTCACCTCATCTTCCAGCTCGGACTTGGACTTGTAGTGGCCCTCTACCCGAACAAACAAAAACCCAATGAAAATCATGAGACCGGTGCTAATATGCAAATAGTTCAAGAAACTGGCGACATCTCCGTCAAACACGCGACTGGAAAGATACAGGTGAAGCAACGCTGAAATGGCAAACAGCGCTATGGTGATGCTCTGGGCCGTTCCCTTGAAGTTAGGGAACTCGATGGCCACCGCCTTGATGGCGCTGAAGTACCCGGCCGTCGATCCGATCCCTATTAAAAACATGGCTGTCACAAGGCTCGATACGGAACTATGTGCACCTGCCAAGTACAACTCATATAACCATTTATAACCCAGAAAAACACAGACACAGCTGATCAACATGGGGATCTGGGTACCGTAGGTGTCTGTCAAAATGCCGCCGAGAAGTCCTCCCACAGCAGATCCTATCACGGTACTGATATTCAAACTGGACGATTGGCTGGTGGTCAAATGGCACTGTTCTGCCAACTGGGTGGAGTATACAGAGTAGGCAAAAAGGGTACCGCACGCGAGTGCCACTGGTACAGAACAGATGAAAATGAGCCAGTGATTGGTGGCAGGGAGTCGTTTGTTAACAGCCACCAATACATCGTGGACAGCTCTCATGTTGATTGTAGATTAGATTAATTAGGTGCGCGAAGTGTGGAGCCGAGCGAGGGCCTCACTGTGGGACTCGCACGGATGGGGTTGGAGTCGTGTACAGACGAGTACAAATTTTTCGCAGTGCAGTGCAGTTTGAGTGAGTGAAAAATCTTCGACGAAACTCACCATATAGTAATACTATTAAATCAGTTCCAGCATGCCTATTGATCCCGAAAAATTAGCCAAGTTGCAAAAATCCTCGTCCAAGAAGGTCGGTGGTTCCAGAATCAAGGCCAAGAAGGTCATCAAGGAACAAGATGATGTCAAATTGATGGAAACCTTGGGAAAATTCAAGGCCACTAAGATCCAAAACGTCACCGAAGCTAACTTCTTCAAAGATGACGGTAAGGTTTTACACTTTAAGAGAGTTGGTGTCCAAGGTGCCAATGACTACAACACTTTTGCTTTCACTGGTTACCCACAAGAAGTTGAAGTTACTAAGTTGATTCCAGACATTTTGCCACAATTGGGAGCTGAAAACTTGGAAATCTTGAGTCAGTTGGCCAAGCAAATCCAAGAAGGAAGAACTCCTCAACTTGACAAGGAAGGAAACTTGGCTGCTGACGATGAAGAAATCCCAGACTTGACTGAAGGACAAAAGTTCGACGAAGTTGAGTAAGTTACGAATCATGTACTTGATTAATAGGATAATACATGTAGATAAGCTTTCTGAGTACAACCGTGTAGTGCCACCTCTAGCTTTTTATTGTTTGTGTGATTCCCCCTGTTTTAGTGGGTGTATGGGCCGGATACAGCAGATTTGCTCGCTCTCACAATTTGCTTTCTCGCAAACCTCCAATCATGGCCAGATCCTTCTACGAAGACGACGAGGTGGTCATTACCAAACCCGGCTACAATGCCGAGATCTCCAAGGACTTGAAACAACAACAAGGTGCCCATGGCGATGTTTCACTTGTCAAAGGTATGACTATTCGGACGGTACCCTATTTAGAGTCGCTGTTGAACAAAGCCAGATTATATTTACATGATAAACTCTCGGTAATTGAGGCCGAAATCGACACCCAAATCAGTGCCACCCGCAATGAACTCAATACCTTAAGCACCAAAGTCAGCACCCTGATCAAAGACCCGGTGTTGCCCAATATAATCTACATTTTGACCCTCACTTTGACTGGATCCATTTTGGCCAGTAAGTCTTCATTGCCCACCCGGTTTCTTGCACCTACATTGTTTGGAACGGCATCCTTTGCTTACTATATGCCCCAAACCTTCCAGGGAACCAAAGCAAAGCTAGTATATTTTGAGTCAGAAAAGTTTCCCGAAGTGTTTCAACAACAATCCAAGATCTTGAAGGAATTGGACAACCAGAAGACACAATTGGAGGCCACGTTGGCCAGTACTGAAACCAGTCTAACTACAGTGGTTCATGATGCTAGAGTATATATTTATGACTTGTTCAAGTAGCTCAGCTGGCTAAGATATCGTAGGTGGTATAGGATAATGCACACGCACCAATGACAAGGAGTCCGTAGTTCAGGTATGCCAAAACAATTCTCCGTCTGATCTCGGCGGGGGACAAGCCTTCGCCAATGACACAGCAGCTTCGCAAATGCAACATCGGAGGATACATGTACACCAACGGGATACAGGCAAAACATCCCACAAATGAAACAAACTTGTCCAAGTTCTTCCCACCATACAAGGCTATAATTGCGGTCCCAATAACAAAGGATGCTCTAAAAAGGTTCTTGAGCCATTTTATGGTCAACGAGTTCTTACCGGTTCTCACAAACAACTTCAGCTCGATCAACCGGATGGCCGGGAAGATCTGAAGTGGGGTGGACAACAAGATGGCCAACGAGTACAACAACTGGATGGAAATCACAAACACCGAGTCCTGCGGCAAGTTCAAGAGGATGACGGTCTCGATGTGCTGCCCGTATGTCACATAGCCCAAGGTCCCCACCCCAATCATGATAACGGATATGGTGAGGATGACTTGAAACAACACTTTGGGGAAATGGTTGGGGTAAATCATTGATTCCTGGATGGGAATAATCAAGCCGATTCCCTCGAATGCAAATATGGCGATTCCTATGAACATGGAAAATTCCTTCTTGTTGAAGAGGAACTGAATGCCGTCACCCACAGCACCACTGTTCTCAATGAACAAGTCAATCAAAATGAAATAAATAATCGTCACCAACCCAAACAATATAAGAAAGTTGGCCAACACTGCCACAAGCGACAACTTTGTGATGTCTCTAACCAACGAAAGTGGGATCAACACAAAGAGCTGCCCCAAAATAAACCACTTGATGTCCAAGTTGTCGAGTCCAATGGCATTTCGCAAGAACGCTTGGATATTTTGAGACGTGAACACAATGTACGTAGCGATAAATCCCACCTGGGAGATGACAATTGACGTGAAAATCAACTGCTGGAGCCATTCACCGTAGAGCTTGAGGCCCATATCTCCAAAACTAGGAAGTCGAGTCGCCTGTTTGCTGTGCACCAAGATCAAGTAACACCAGTACGACAAGACCCCGAAAAACATCAAGGTGACGATGGAAAATACCAATCCTCCGTTGCTGAATCCGCGGGGCAAAAACAACACGCCGGTGCCTACAAATGCCTTCACCAATAGAAAATAGGCCTTTGTGTCGGTAGCAGTGCCCTTTGGGTTGATTAAAGAGTACGACACACCATCGTCTTCATGTGAAAGTAGCGGTGCTTCTTCATCCACGCCCCGGTATTTTCGGGGCAAGTTGGGCTCGTAGTGGCATGCGATGTCGTCGTCGGACTCCAAGTCTTCACCGGCAAAATGGCCATATATGCTCAAAAACTCCACAAAGTTTCTCGTGAACAAGCTGGCCTGGCGGGTGTTTGCACTGTTCTTCTTGTTGAGAATGAACTCTCTTCTAAAGCCACCGGGGGTGTTGATAGACGAGGCCATGGATCCTCTGCGGCTAGTTTCAAGCTCAGTAGACGATAAACTCCTGGTTCTTCCCGGGCGCTGGGTCTTGTTGTCTACCAACTTGTAAATGTCTCTGGTAATATCGCCACCTTGAGACTGGATTTGGTCTGTGTGTAAGTAGCGGTTGATATGGCCAATGGTTTTAGAGTGGTCGTCATCGTCAGATTGAAGGAACACATCATCAGAAAGCTGTTTAAGACGGGGGCTTCCAGCGGTGTAAACCTTGTCGGTGAGATCATCCTTGGACGACGAGTGTGACGAGCCTGAGTCGACGGCGGAGTCTTCTGCACGTTTCATGAACTGAGCATTGGTAGAAAACGAGCTGGGACCTGAAGCAAAACGAGGTGATTGGGAAATAATCGGAGACGATGAGAGCGGTGACCTGGTCAACTTGGCGATGCTGCGTCTACGATTGGAGTCGGATATGGATCGCGGCAGTGACATATGCAATGGTGGTACTTTTGAAAACAAACAAGGAGTTGGAGCCGCTTTGTCTTGAGGGTTGATGCAGCTTTGCGCGCGCAGGGAGATAATCATTAGGCAGTAATTTTATCTATATATGAAGAGATGAGGATATGTAGAATTATGCTTGAACAGGGTCGCTGACGGCGGCGGCCTTCTGACACCAGTAAGTGGCTGGCTGGTTGCTGAGTCCAGCATCGGCGAGCTGAGCCATCTGGTAATAAGCATCAGGTGAGTTGGACTCTTTGATGGCTCTCTCGCACCATTTGAGAGCTCTTTCAGGATTCGGTTGTGGAATGTGCTTGCTCTCACCGTTGGATCCACTCAAGTACCACCTGCTCAAGCCTATCATAGCGTCTGGATTACGCCTGAATGGTAATGGCGAGCTGACAGCTTTCAAGTACCACTGGATGGATTTATGGGGGTTTTTGGTCCGGTTCAACTCACCAAACTCATACACCCGGCCAAGCTTTACGAGTCCCACGGGATAGTTGAGCTTGGCAGACTTGTTGTAGTATGACAACGCCTTACCGTAGTTGACGGGGACGATTTCCAAGCACTTTTGGATAAAGTCATCTTCAACCGTCAAGTCACCAGGGTATACCCCTTCATAAACCTTACCCAATTCGTACGAGGCAGAGGCAATGATCTCGGTCAACTCCTGCTTGTCGTCGTCGTCGAGCTCGGTTTTTTCCACCTCGATGTTGCACAAATCCCGTAAGATCTTTATGAACTTGTGGGATCTGATGGACGGAATATTCAAGTACATCAATGCCATCTTATAGATGGCCCTGTTATAGCCCAACTTGGCCGATTGCCGGTAGTAGATCAACGCCTGGTCGAAGCCATTGTTGACTTCGTACTCGTAAAGGTCTCCAAGAACATAGTGGGCTTTAAAGTTGCTGGGATTGAAGATAATGGCTCGTTCGTACCAGGCAATTGCTCCATCGATGTCCTTTTGCATGCCAAAACTTTGCTCGTAGAGAGTGTGGTAGTGGTGGGATAAAATGTTGGCGTACACTAAGCAGATGTCTGACCTGATGTCGTCAGTGAGCTTTTGGTTGGCAGAATCGACGTCTCGAATGAGCTTAACAATATGCTGACTGGCCGACTTGATGAATAACTCCTTGTTGGCGGTAGCATCACTGGATGCAATGGGTTCACCTTTGATGTTGATATAAACGTACAACCGATAGTTGGTAGCATTGATCAACATTTTGACCCACTTGAGTCTGTACTCGTAGGACTTGTTTCCCGACGCAATCACGGCTCTGAGATTGGTGAACAGCTGAATCTTGTGTTGGATCTCGGGGTCGTTGACTAGTGATCTTTGCATTCTCGGAGGGGCCAATCTACTGGTTCCCATTTGTTGTGGCATGTGTGCCGACTGGGGATTCAATGGAGGAGACATCAACATGGGGTTGGCCATCATCAAGTGCCGGTTATCGGCCATGCTGCCGGGCATGTTCATGTTCATGTTCATGTTGTTCATGTTCATGTTGTTCATGTTGTTCATACCGCTCATGTTCATATTGTTCATATTGATAGCATTCATGGGCATCATGTTGGGGTCTATGGGACCCATTATCGACTGGTGTTGGGGATTGGAGAATGGGGATTCAGGAAGTGGTATCTTGTGTTTCTTGGACTTTCTGGACTTGGACTTCTTAGGATTCTTGGTCTTTTCAGGAGTTTTAGGGGGGACTGGAGGTGCAAGGGGCGATGGAGTTCTTGCTTTGAATGAATCAGTGTTTTGTGGAATCACTTGTGTATCCATGTCTTCTGGTGTGTTCTTTTGTGGTGTACTCATCTTTTGCACTGGCTGCAAAATCATTTCTGGTGCCTGGATCTCTTTTCCCACTTCGCTCTGGATTGACTTGTTGGACTTGTGGCCAATACGGAAATTAGCAGACGAGCCTGAGGCAATGGAATCAAAAGACTTGGCCGAAGCACCCGAATCCTGGCGTTGTGGTGATTGTTCTGTTGGTTCTAACCCTTGCACATCCATCTCCTCAACGCCCTCGGTTTCGGAGTCGTCAACTTCGTTTTCATTGGGCTTGAAGTTGCAACCCAAAGAAACGTTTCTTCTGTGAGAGAACTCCTTCTGGAGCTCCTGTGAGGGTACAGAAGCGTACCGGTTGGATTTGATGGTAGACATGCGGGAGTTTTTGATTAATTGATGGCTGCTTTGAGAGAGTTTTGACAAGGTTCTTTCCAATGCTGCTTGGCGTTCGGAATTATCGAGGTTGATGGGGCTGATGTTTTCGGGGGATGTGGGCAGAGCTGGGAGTTCCGGTGGGGTGAGAACGGGTTCAGTGGTGGTATTGGGGTCGTTGTTTGTATTTGTTGTGTTGTTTGTGTTCATGTTCATGTTTCCCATCATGTTCATCATGTTCATCATCATGGCATTCATGTTTGGATTGTTCCCATTGTTGTTCACTCCATTGGAGTCCGTTGGTGTGTTCATTGGATTACACATGGCGTTCATCATCATCTGGTAAAACATTTGCATCTGTGGGTTCTGGCCCATTGTGTTCATTTGCACCGGGTTCATTTGGCTCATCGGGTTCATTCGCATCGGGTTCATTTGCATCGGGTTCATTTGCATGGGATTCATTTGCATCGGGTTCATTTGCATTGGATTCATTTGCACCGCATTCATATAAGGCATGTATCCGTACATGCCGCTGCGGTACATGTTAGCATAGTAATCCTGCCACTGACGATACACGTCCAGCTCATCGTCCGAGTCGGCCGAGTCGGAAGACTCTTCACTGCCATCACTATCACTATCTTCTTCCTCGCTCTCTTCCTCACTTTCCTCTTCTTCGCTACTTTCAGGTTTATACCACCTGGCCTGTTGCTGCTGGGCATACCAATTATAATAATTGGCCTGGTTCACAGGCAGAAATTCCATGGACCCGTGCTTGTTGAGACGGGCATCTGAAACATCTGTGTGGTTGGTTTTATAGCTTGCAGCCGAAAATTCACTGCCACTAACTGAGGACGTGGTGGTGAGTGGGGGGTCGGGGGCCTTAAACATCTGCTGAGATTTACCAAGAGGAAAAAAAACTGTATTTGAAGGTTTGGATGTGTGTGCACAAGCTATTTGCTATTTTAGTACAAACTATAATTATACTATTTGTATTGCCCTATTAGTTCGATATCTAAACAGACAAATTGCTGCGAAATTTTCTCACAATGCAGCAAACGCATTTAATATAAGCCATGCACTGGGTAATGGGGTGGACAATGGACGGGAAGGGACAGGCACTGTGGGAGGGGTGTATGGGTTATACACGTGCAAGTGGCGGTACGGTACCAGGTGGTGTGGGTACCAGGTGGTGTGGGTACCAGGTGGTGTGGGTACCAGGTGGTGTGGGTACCAGTTGGTGCCGGTGCCGGTGCCGGTGCCAAGGTGCCAGGGTGCCAGGGTGCGGGTGCTGGTGCAACCAACCTTCAATGCGCCCCAAAGTTATTTTGAGAGACTTGACGTATGCAACCGTACCCGTTGGTATTGCAGTAGATGCACCACACCTGTTGCTTAGCACAGGCCTACTATATCAAACGTCGTCTCTTCATATAATAAATACCCTAAATATGCTACATTCGTTAATCGTAAGCCTTTATAAGCCTATGTGGTGGGACCAAAGTCCAACCAGTTCCACTGCTTGTCGTGGGGATCAGTCATAATCTCGTCATGCATCTCCAACACCTCTGGCTTTCTGGCCCCGTCCTTGTCGAGGCCTATTGTAAAGTTGTCTGTTTGAAACAAGTTCATGTTGAGCAACCGGTCTATTTCGTCGTCCTTATCAAGATCCATGTCCGGATTCAAGTTCAAGTCGTTGAAAAGATTGGTGTTTGTGTTCAGAATCACCGAATCGTTACGGAATGATGGGAGCGACTGGGATAAGTGATCGTCATTAAAGTGATTGAAGCCTTGCGAAGGGTTCATGAGGGTGTTGCCAAAAGGATTGGAGGCCGAGAACGAATGCAAGTTTCCCGCATTGGTGGTGGGCGGCACCTGCTGGGCCTGGGGAGGTGGTCCCTTGGCGGCGTTTCCATGAAGGGTGTTGTATAAATTTGAGTGCTGCTGTGGGTGTATCGGTTGATTGGGGCTCTGCTTGGAGTTGGTATTCAACGGCCGCAACACCCCGTGCAACTTGTAAAAAAGCCCGCAGGCATTGCACAACAAGTCGCCGTTGTTGGACTTACGCCAGAGCGGGGTGGTTTTGGTTTGGCAATTAGAGCACTGAAGAAGCTTTTTAGGGCCGCCAAAGGCCACCTCTTCACCAGGTGACTTCTTCGACCCCACGCTCTTGGGTGGCGTGATGCTCTGGAAGCTGTTGGAGGTGGTGGAGGGGCCAGCGGCCGGGAACGCGCTACTGGCGGTGTCAAAGTCGTTGAGTTTATAGTCATTTTTCAACGAGCTTTCGAGCGAATTGATGTAGGACGACAAAAAGTTGCGGTTGGACTTGAGCGACTCGGGTGGGCTGTTCTTGAATGGTGGGGCCGCCGACACGGTGCCTGCGGACCCGGCGCTGGTGCTGAGAATCGACCCGCCATGGTTGGATCCGCCATGGGGGTAGGAAAGGCTGGGAGGAGACGGGTTGATGGGGCGGGCACCGGTGGTAGCAAACTCGTCGCGCTGGCCAATTCGACGGATGTGCGCCACGTAGTCGAAGTCTTCGCAAGTGGGATCAGATGGTCTACGAGAACTCAAAACTTTGCGGTTTTGGATCCGCCAGGCCATGTTGGAGATCCGCTTATTGTAGGGCAAATAGTGCTTCCGCTGGTACATCTTGAAGATGTTTATGGACGAGTTATCCATGTCATCGACAAGGTCCTTGACGTTAATGGACGAGTTCTTTTCCATTGGCTTATAGGTGAATTTACTCTTTGTGGGCATGTGAACTGAGCAAATGGGAAAGCCGAGGGAGGAGGAACAAGGGATATAATGGAAGTACGGGCTATGGGTACTGTTTGTGTCGGTATGTTAATGGGGTTGGAGGATATGGAATATTCAATAAGTTGTTCAAGGATTAGGGAAAAACACCGGTAAATTAATTTATTTTTTGTGCCCCCTTTGGGAACCAGTGAGTAATATAAGATTTTTGGTTGATGGTGGTGCGCGCACGCACGCCCACTCCGTATGTTTGCGGGTCGGGAGTTAGCAGCTGAGAGATTGCCGTTTAAGATGAGAGGGGTGGCGATGGAGATGTTGAGTTGCAGGTGGTTACGAGTATGGTAGGATAAGAGGGATGGAGTTAGGTCAAATTGGACCGTCATTGAACAGGTGTATGGTAGTTGAATGGGTGGGGTGCACAGGTAAGAGGCGGGTTACTTAGACTGTATAAGAAGATGAAATGCACAGACCAGACGGTTTTGAAGACCACTAGGAGTGCATACTATGTGCATGTTCCGCAGATCTTTGCCTTGGTCGACACGACGAGGGTAGGGGTTGGTGACAAGTATGGGTTAGAAGATGGAGGACAAAAGAGGGGGTTAAGAGTTGAATGGGTTGTATGGAAGTTATGAGTATCTATTACTGGTAGTGAAATTGCCGCATTCATATTTGATGGTGGGGCTCGCCTGGTTATGGTTCGCCTGCGACCGTTGAAACAAATGGTTGGCGGTCGGTTACTGATTACGGGGATACGAGGTATATGCAGGCTTGATGGCCTAATTGGGAAAAGCCCCCCGGTCCCGAACCGCCAGTTGTCATCTTCCGCTGCCGTGAATCCGCTGTTTTTGGGGCCCACAAGCTTTTTGAGGGTGGTAGGTGCACGTAGGGACAACAATTCCTGTCATCAAGGCTGGTAGGTGCACACTGGGACCAACAGGTCTCACTGTCTACACCATCTTTTAAATCGGCGCGATCAACTACTTCTTCTTCTTCGATGTCTGATAAAGTTAGAGACGCTAATCAATACACCTATTTAAAAACAAAGTACCAGGGGTTGGGAACGCCAGACCTGACCCGTGACCTGTTTGTTGCCACTGCCCGCAAAGACACTATCGGCGCCATCGTCCAGCACAAGCCCCTCTTGAACTACACATCGCTAGCGGCTAACAAACCCCCACAAACCCATCGTCAAGACCTCATTCGCAAGATGGCCGGTGCTGGCGCGCTCCCACACTAGTTTCCGCCCAAGAGCGGTGCGGTCGCCGACCCCACCGACTCCTCCTGCACCACGATCTGGTCTTTCAACTTGGGCTTGAGCAAAATGGTCCCCACGCTAATCACCAAAAGCAACCCACTGATAATAAACCCAAAGATCCACTGCAATGCCACAAACTTGGTGAATAACTGATTCAACGCCATTCCCAACACCAAGTAACTCAAGCTGAATCCAACCGTATAATCATTGAACAACGTCAAAAACACAACCCCAATGATCAAAAAGTCCCAGATAAAAATGTTGGCAAGCACCCGAGCCACAAAGCCGGTGGAGTGGACCATCAAGGCGCCGTTCCAGAAAAGCACAAAAAAAATCCACGACAATGGCAACGACCCGTTGGTCAAGTTGATCAACAAAAAGTTCTTCAACGGCTTGAACGCATATATTTTGTAGTTGAGGTAGTTGTTCAAAATCACAAACAACTCGATGATTACCACGATTTCACTAACCACATACCACCGGAACCGAAACAAAAGACTCCAGATGAACGTGAAGGTGTTGAAGGAAATCAAGTTATGGGTGATGGCAAGGGCATTGGTCTCACTGCTGTCGACATTGACACTGACCACCCGGTTAAGGTACACGAGCTGTACCAAGTAGTACACGGCCCAGTACACAATCATGAAGATAAGAAAGTTCAGGAACGGTGTGGTGCTGATTTCTCCGCTCAATTTGCCGTAGTTGAAGAGCAATTGAACGTTTCCATACGCTGAGAGAAGAAGTGAGCCAATGCTGACCACCCGGTGTTGATAAACATCATTGTTGGAACTCATAGTGGATGTCAAAGTAGTTTGGGGAATTTTTTTCTGGTGGAATGATTCTTTTGAACTTCATTGCTAATGTTCGTGACACAAAAGGATATTCTTGGGAGGGGCCGAGATTGAATTTTGGAATTTTTGGTGGGGACTTCCAGGATTTTATGACAATTCAATACTACAACTTCACACGTGTACACGGACTGACATCCTCTTTCTCAGAGTACGTCAAGTTACTCACTTATCACCTACCACATGCGTGGCTGCGCGTACGTCTCAGCCCGCGGTGCGCAGTCGTCAGTCCGCCCTTGTCGCGAGACCTCGGTCGTCCGTGCACCAAACTGAAAATTTTTCTACATTTCAATCCTTCTCACACACAAAAAAATTTTTCTACTCATACCAACAATGCCATTCGACAAGTTCCAAAAGTCCTCTGCTTACCACTCCAGATTCCAAACTCCCTTCAGAAGAAGAAGAGAAGGAAAGACCGACTACTACCAAAGAAAGAGATTGGTCACCCAACACAAGGCTAAGTACAACACTCCAAAGTACAGATTGGTTGTTAGATTCACCAACAAAGACATCATTGCCCAAATCGTGTCTTCTCAAATCACCGGAGATGTTGTGTTCACCGCTGCCTACGCCCACGAATTGCCAAAGTACGGAATTGAACACGGTTTGACCAACTGGTCTGCTGCTTATGCTACCGGTTTATTGGTTGCCAGAAGAGCCTTGCAAAAATTGGGCTTGGACGAAACCTACACTGGTGTCGAAGAAGTCGAAGGTGAATTTGAATTGACCGAAGCCGTTGAAGACGCCCCAAGACCTTTCAAGGTGTTTTTGGATATTGGTTTACAAAGAACCACCACCGGTGCCAGAGTGTTTGGTGTTTTGAAGGGTGCTTCCGACGGTGGATTGTATGTTCCTCACTCTCCAAACAGATTCCCAGGTTGGGATATCGAAGGTGAAGAGTTGGACGCTGAATTGTTGAGAAAGTACATCTTTGGTGGACACGTTGCTGAATACATGGAAGAATTGTTGGATGATGATGAAGAAAAGTTCAAGTCTTTGTTCAAGGGTTACTTGGCTGATGAAATCGAAGCCGATGACATTGAAGAAATCTACACCGAAGCCCATGAAAAAATCAGAGCTGACCCATCTTTCAAGCCAACTGAAAAGAAGTTCACCAAGGAACAATACGCTGCTGAATCTAAGAAATACAGACAAGTTAAGTTGACCAAGGCTGAAAGAGATGCCAAGGTTGCTGAAAAGATTGCTGCTTTCAAGGCTGAAAACTAATTTACCTAATTTTGTACAATGTATGAAGATTATCTAACAACTGTAGATATTTGTGTGCCTATACTTATCCTATGTATCCTACTTATTGGATCTGACTCTTTCGGCATCATTCAACAACTTGTCATAAACCTCATCCACAACAGCATTGACCTCATGTCCGCTTCCCATCGAGTCAATCGATTCGGCGTCATCTTCAACATCTGCTTGGCTCTTATGTTTCTCTTCTTCAAGACGAAGGCTTTCAAGCTGCCTTTCAATCTCCACCTGCTGGCTCTTGTCTGCCACCGAGTAAATCTTCTCCAAACTTACCCGATCGTCATTGATCTTATCGATCAACTCGGTGATAGACTCAATCCCCTTGGCTCGAATGATCGCATCTCGTAATTCTCCTCCTGAAGGTAAGACATTCAAGGTCGGCAACGACTTGTGATCTCTCTGGGGCTTCTTGGGCTCCTCTTTTGTTTGATTCTGTAAGTCGGTGCTGCTGTTGTTCCTTTGTTGCATGAAAAAACCCCATCGGTGGAATTCACCTTCTTCAAGTTCCTGCTCCTTTGCGTGAGTGGATGTCTGGGAGATGGACCTCATCAAAACTGGTCTTCCGGTTAGGTAGTCGATAGGGAACGTCTGGCCTTCAGAATCGGATTCCACCACCACTTGATGGGGCTGGAACGTTAAGGACTCGTTGTTGGATTGGAAGTATCCCAATTTGTTCAAGGTCTCGGTGTTACGAGGGGACAAAATAGGTCCACTGGTGATCAACTCGGTGGAACTCTGATGCATCAATTCCTTGTCACCCAAATCAATGGTGGGAAGACCGTCCTTCTTGCTCAATAAAGAGGTGGATTTGGACAATTTGGTGGTGGGGCTGGCGAGATCTTCGTCAACCGACGGCGATGGGCTCATTCCTTCGGCTCCAGACTTACTGGCTTGTTCCTCAAATAAATGAACTAGTTTCTCCAATGAGGCGTCCAATAAACAAAACCTCAACAAGCTTTCTTTGCCTTCGAGAGACAAAGTTCCGGTGTTTCGTTTGTCGAAAAGAGTATCGATAGTCTTGTGGATACCTTGTCTTAATTCTCTGGTTCTCTCGATTAAAGCGTTGGAAATGATGTTGTTCAATCGTATGTCCTCCACCTTGTTGGAACTGTTTTCATTTTCACTTAACAACCTTTCAGCCGTTTCCATCAATAAGGATCCGTCAAACATCAACTCTTCTTCCTCTTGGTCCTTGGGTCTTTGGTAGTCCTTGGATGTTCTTTGGCCAGTGGAAGGATCCACATTGATCAGATGATCCATGTTTCTCATGAGGTAGAACGCCATTCTCTGGTTGAGTTGGTCACTGATCAAGTCGTAATCGAGATCAAGAGCAAAAATCGAGTTGGACTTCTTGATAGCATTATATATGGATGCAGCCACCGAGTTGTTTAAGTTTCTATTTCCCAAGAGAGAGATGTGAAGCAACCCATTTACCTTGGGGAGTATTTCACTAATGGCAATCATCGACTGGCTGGTCAAGTCATTGAGGTCAAAATGGATTCTTTTCAAGTTTTCAAACTTGGGCAAATATGCATTTAGTTTGGAAATGATCCCTGGAAACAAGTCGGGTAAGGAAGACAAGTCCAAGAACCGAAGAGTCTTTATCTTTGTCAAAGCCTTTAGTAACTCCGCAGTTTCCTCAATATTGGACAAGTTGGTTTGGTACAATGAGAAGAATATCAACTTGACATTACTGTGGTTGAAACAGTCCGTAAAGTACTTCAATTGGCCCTGGCTAAGATCATTGAATGCAACGTCAACTCCCACACATTTGCAGTCTGGGCTCTTCAACCATTCACACACCAAATTGGTTTTGAAGCCATTAAGCTCACAACTGGCTATCCCGAGTCTAAAGGTCGATAAATACACAGCCTTCTCAACCAACTCCTTGAACACTTCGTCCGTCAACTTACACCCGTTGATCACCAACTCCTCCGTCCCTCCTCTCGTGACCAACGATTTGGTGAAAAGATCCCAGTTCATCGAGGACCGGATCAAAGAAGGCTTCAAGTCACTCTTGATTCTCTGCTGGCTGATATCGAGTTTCTTCACCGAGTGGTTTCTCGATAAGAAGCTACAGAGATACTTCCATCCGGTCTTATCGATGGGCACGTTCCTCAAGGAAAGCTTTTCGACCGACTTGTTATACGCCAACGACGCTAGAAGATGCTTGAGCATCTCGGTGGTCATCGTGACATTGTCAAAGATGACGGTGGTTATGGGCACAATGGCTATAAAGTCACTGAATGACAAGATATCAATGAGGGTAGGTTTGGGGTTCAAGAGCTTCAACACCGACAACGGCTTGGACTTGTTCTTCAACTGCTTCAAGGTAGCAGGAATCGGTAGGATTTCTCTCAAGTGGCAGCATCGAGTGTAAATCTGCTCCAACGTGAGGTTCGACACATCCAGGTGGTAGGTGTCTTCCTCGAAATGCTTTTCGTGCAAATGCAACGGTTTATCGATCTCGATATTCCTGGCATCTCCAAAATCCTGACCCTCTGACGATACTGGCTCCTCATCCAACTCGGAGGCCCCACCCACGGTTTCCTCGGTGGTTATTTGGCTGAGCCGGGGCTTAATTTTATACTGGCTCACCTCAAAAGCGATGCGTTTGGCAGAAATATGGGCCTCCTGGGCATGTTTTTCAGCCTCAATCAACGCTCTTCGCTGGGCCTCCACCGCCAACGTCAACTCCTTGTCGGAGAACTTGTTTTCACCCGCCTTGGTGCTGGAACAGTCATTGAGCGAGGTTCCCTGCAATAACCGCGGCGGTGGCGCCGTCAAGTCCTCAGGAATCAACACATTACCTTTCTTGGGCCGTCTCAGAGGAATCTGTTGTTGGGGGTCAAAAAGGAGTTTGTCGATGGCGAAGTTGACGCGCTTCAAGCTCACGCCCTCTAGTTCTTTAAGTGGACTCTTCTCCTTGTGGGGGTTCTTATTGAGCACCAAGCGCGACAGGCCCGGTGGACAGGTGCTGGACTGAGAGGTAGCAGATGAGGTGGAAGTCCGTCGTTTGAAGAACGAGTTGAACGAGTTGGCAGACGATGAGAGCTTATCGGCAGAGCTGGCCACCTGTTCCTGGACGGAGTTTTTGCGTTTAATGGGAATACCGCTCAACTCGGCTGGGGGTTTGGCGTGGAACTGAGAAATATCGTCTTTTCCGAAAAAGTTGGTATTGAGTTTGGGCAGCCCGTCGGAAGCAGGCACCTGCTCATGTGGGCCGACCAGCGTGGGTGACGACGGTGGTACCGATTTGAATTTGGACGAGAGTGAGCTGAAGAGCGACTTTTTGTCCTTTGAGGCGGCAGACGAATTGGATCCTACCGACAGCGACCGAGACCGGACACGTGGGGCGGCAGGCATGGTGGCGAGCGGGCTCACGGGTATCCCGGCGCCAAGCACTCCCGTGCTGGCGGTGTCCAAATAATTGTGTTCGAAACTTTGACTGTACAACGACGTCCCGTCGAACGAGGTACCAGAATAACTCATCAAATTGAACTTTTTTTCCTTGGGTTTTTCCTTGGGTTTTTCCTTCTTGTCGCCCTTGGTGAGCGAGCCTGAACGTGGGCGGAACAACTTGTTGAGTCGGGAACCCAGAGCGTCTGTGGGAGAAATGGCAGGATCTTGAGAAGGGTCTTGGGGAGAGTCCTGTGATGAAGGTGCGGTTGGTGGCAACGACTCAACTGGTTGTTTGGGAGAATCTGTTGCTCTGGAGGGCTCTGGAGGTACAGGCGTCGCTGGCGCCTTGGAGTCCTTAGAGTCTTTCGGGTCTTTTGTGTCCTTTTCGATGTCTTTGTTCAAGTTCATTTTCTTGGTGAGCTTCTTGGATTTGCCTCTGAAGAGCCAGTCCACATCACCATTGGTAACACCGGAGTCGTAGAGGTCGGGGTCATCGACCTTTCGGGCCAATTTATCGGTCGTCGACATGCTAAACCACCGCCGGAGTGTTAATAAGGGGACAGAAGACGATTCAACAGACGATCAGGTAATTTTAAATGCGAGTGCGAGTGCGACTGGAATGAGGTGAGCGGGCGATCCCGTGGGGAGTAGGAGAGGTAGTGGGTGGTGGTGGGTGGGAGGAGTACAGGGTAGGGATTTGTAGTTGAACAATTGATGACAGGTCTCCCACTTAAGTGTTGGTGTATCACTGGCTTAAGTGACAGTTATAAAAGGTCATATGATTGCACAGGATCTGATTGGAGATTACACCAGATAAGTGGGGGCCCCGACATCGCGACATGTCGTTCGCGTTGTGCTTTGGAGAATGGGTGTGCGGTTGGCGAAGACAGCCGCACCCTAAATTGATATTATAGGCAACTTGCATATGAGGGTATAGGTTGGGAGTATGAGTGTTTGGTGGGAGGAGATCCAGTTTAACAGAAGTGACTTCTTCAGTTAAGCCTCTCTCGGGTCGTGGGTTCGGACCGACTGTCATCCGCGCTGACGTAAGCGGTATCGATTCTGGCCCTGATTGCGCGCACTCACAGCTGACCCTGCTCGGCTCCGAGGCACGACCTCCTGCCAGGATCCTCATTACAAATGCACGAAATTTTATCAAACGGATTATTTTTCTCTTGCTATACACAAATGTTTTCAAGATCATTATTAAAAACCACCACGGCCGCCGTGGCCAGATCCTCCGGAGGTGCCTATGGGCTCAGTGCCGCTGCCGCCGGTGTTAGCGCCAGCAGATTCGCCGCACGCCTCCCCCAATTTACTGTTCCTTCCTCCACCCGATTCTACCATGATAACGTGCTTGATCACTACAATAACCCCCGTAACGTCGGAACCTTGAACAAAAACGACGCCGACGTGGGAACCGGGTTGGTGGGTGCGCCTGCTTGTGGAGATGTCATGAGGTTACAAATCAAGGTTGACGAAGAAACCGGAATTATCGAAGATGTCAAGTTCAAGACGTTTGGGTGTGGTTCTGCCATTGCTTCGTCGTCATACGTGACTGAGTTGATCAAGGGGAAGTCTCTCGATGAGGCTTTGAAGATCAAGAACACCGCCATTGCAAAGGAGTTGAGTTTACCCCCTGTTAAGTTACATTGTTCTATGTTGGCAGAAGATGCCATTAAGTCGGCTGTTAAGGATTATAGGAGCAAGAGAACGGCCGTCAAGCCCACCTTGGGTCCTGATGCCGTGGCCGCCCCGGTGTCCGCTTAGGTTATGTGGGAGTTGGGGCCTACAATGTATTCTAGTGCTATTGCTTATCGATTGTAAATAAATATTGAGTATTGAATGAAGGGTTGTAGAGGTGCGAGGTGTGTTGGTGTAGGAGTCAGCGCTTGGGTGTAGGAATCACAACTTGAGTCGTTCAGACCCATTCAGAGCCTCGTGTACTCCACATACTTCAAAAAACCCCTCTCCATGTATTCACTGTCGAAATCAAACCACCGCATCCGCATCAACGACACCATCGCCATCATCACCATCCCCCCAATCACACCATACCCTATTCTCTTGTACCGGCTGCTGTACCGTCTCGTATACCGTAGCATCCCACTCACTATATGGTAGCTCGACACCAGTACAAGCATCATCAACAACCCGGCATTGATATACGGCCCGTATCGCACCAACGACCGGTTCAACACCACCCCCACGTACTGGAGACTCACACCCGCCCGGTCACCATCTACAGCGATTGGTGCCTCTTTGAACTTAAACTTGTGCACCCACAATAACGGCATCAAAACGTACCCACTGAAACTGAGTGGACTCAACCCCGTCCATCTCGACACCGCCGACCGCCGCAGCCCGAGCCCAAGCAAACCTGTGAGGCCTCCCAAGCCGTAGTCCTGATCCAATTGGTCGCCCACCACCAAGTTGTTATTATTAATTCGCTTGGTTTTATTGGCTGTACGAGGCAGCACCATTCGTATGCCTATACCACACGCCACATGAGCCGCCACGGCCCCGGAAAAAAACGCCTCCACTGGCACACTTGTGTACAACAGTCTGGCGGCCTCAAACACCTCCTGGCATATTTCCATGGGGAAATTGAGTCCTGGGAACCCGATCACGGACGCCGTGTGAAGGCCATAAAACCCCAAAAACGAGTACGCACTATACTTTTGCACGGAGCGAAGGATCTTCACAAGGGTCTTTCGCCACAGGGTGTGGGGCACGGCCGTCTTCTCGAGCTCCTCTACCTCTGTTTCGGGAATTGGCTGTGGTTTCACAGGCGATAGCAGTTGTGTCAAGTCCATGAGTGCATCAGCAATGCGCGCACTTGTTTTTCATCCGTTAACCTTTTGCGCCAACATGTCTACGTTTACCCAGATCCGAAACCAGATCCTTGTGCTTGAGAAGCAAACAGACCTGTGGCTCACCAAGTACTCGGCGTACGAGAAGAACCTTCTGATCAAAGAAGATGTTGACCAAGAGTCCAACATCACCGCCCAATTGCATAATGGGTTCGCCCGCCGGGAGGAGTTGATTGATAAGTTGAACCGTATAAACGAGTTTGAAAACTTGTCGACGTCCAAACTACAACAGTTGACAAGACACAAGGAAATCTTGATTGATCACAAGCAAATTTTTGCCCGGTTGGCGGGTTCCATCCAAGAAATCAAAAATAAGAACAACTTGTTATTTTCCATTCGATCCGACTTGAACAGCCACAAGCAACGGTCTGACCAGCGAGCCAGTGCCCAGGATGTTGATGCCCACGACTATATTTTGGACGAGTCGGTTCGAGTGGGTGGGTTCAATGATATTGCCAATAACTTGTTGGCAAGTGCCTACCGCACTCGAGACGAGTTGATGAGCCAAAGAGGGTACCTTAACAGCGCTCAACTGCGGATGTCCAACACGCTTCAGCGAGTGCCAGGAATTGGGACATTGATATCAAGAATCAACACTCGAAGAAGAAGAGACACGTTTATCTTGGCTACGGTGATTGCCGCGTGCATTTTGCTCTTGTTCTTCGTGTAAGGACGGGAGCACCTGCCATGAGACTATGCCTCCTGAAGTGAACCTTCCCAGCCCCTAGTGGTATTATTCGTTCCAATTGGTGCAAATGTGGGATTTCGGCCTACCCAGCTTTTCGCGCTCAGGGGATCAAAAAGTCCCACATTTTGCAGTCATGGAAGACGACCTCAGATCCAAGATCCAGCAGATCAAGTTGCAGCGCATCCAAGAACTTAACTTGAAGTTGAAAGAAAGTCTTCTCAGACCGCGTGTGCCCACCTCCGAAGCCTCGCTCTCGTACGTACATCCTCCTTTTCTCAACCCCAGCCACCACACCTTAAGCTAACTCCACCTTTTCAGCATCATCAACTACACGCTCCAAATCCCTGACTACTTGATCCCCATCATGTGGAGCCTTTCTCCCGAACAAAACCGATTCCAACGGTTTCAAATCCATCAAAATACTCACAAACTGGCCTCCACCACCCTGGGGTGCTGCGTTATCATGTAAAGTACGTACATTTATATCAATTCATAACCTAACCCCCAAATTGCTCTTCCTCCTCTTCGATGTGCACCTCGTGCAAGTTGTTGACCGACTGGCCACCTAACGTCACGTCGATTTCCTGCTCATCGCTACCACACCCACAGTCGTAGTCCTCCAAAATCGTCGTACAATCAAACTCCGGCTTACCCAATCTCTCGTTCACCTTGTTGTGGACATGGCACCCCCAGATCGCAGCTGTCTTACGGTTAGTCACCTGTGGAGGATACTTTTTCAAAAGGCCTTGGAAGTGTCGAGCACAGTCTCCACAAGGATACACTTGTCCAAACAAATGAATATACTGCAATAAGGTGGTCTGTTCTTGCTTCGACGGCTTCTCGGGATAACGGGCCAAGATCGTATGGAGCAAGCGCCACGCTGCGTTTCCGAGTTGTGCTTTCAACGTCTCGTTAGCCATCTTGGGCATAAATGGCTGTTCAGTGATTTCCCCAAACATGGGCTGGGACTCAGGAATCACTTGTACCTGAAGCTGGGACTCTGGTACTGAGGCCATTTCGGAGGTGACTTCGCCTTGCTCGTTCGTGGAGAATTCCTTGTCGTCAACCAAAATACTCTCTTCCGAGTAACCGCTGTGTAAATTGACATTGGCAATAGCGTCCTGGTTGTTCAAATGGAATTGGTCGGGGGTCTTGTCTAAGTTGATGGGGGTGACACCTTCGACGGTATCATTGCTACCGGAGATGGTATATATCAATGCGATGACGACCAACATCGTCACCGTGAGGGTCAACGGTCTCCTAAAGTGTTTTGTCATATGAGGGGGATTATTTTGAGGTTAAAGTTTGGTGGTTTTTACAGTGCGCATTATCGATTGGGTGATTCTTTTGATCTATGAAAGTATTATTGAGTGGTGTCCAACACAGGAGGCAAGGGTTCGTTCCCGACAGAGACCAACAATTTGACCCCGTACACAAACATCACCAAGAGGGCCAATGACGACCATAACAATAAGTTGGCGGTGGTGGAAATGTCTCTCTTTGAGCAGTCAAAGCCCGACCAGTTGGTGGTTTTCGACAACGTCTGGTTGAAGGTCGCGGAGCACGCACATGACCAGCATCCTGTGGACACCTTGGTGCAAAGACCGTGCGAGTTGCAGTTGGATGTCTGCACCTGGCAAGTTTCTTCCTTATCGAAACATCCGTTAGTTTGAAGAGTAGCATCTCTAAACACCTTTTGCAACTGTTGGTTTCTCTTAGCCAACTGCAATGGGGCTGGTACCGCATTGTCAATGACGAGAATATCGAACTGTGACAACTTCAACAACGAGTTCAAAATGTTTTCACTCGATTGGTACGTCTGGCTGTCTTGTCCGATTTTACCAGACATCGAGTGAAGTGAGTTCAACTGCACTAACACCACGTCGTGAGGGCCGAAGGTGTGGTCATTCAAATGGACCAACTGGCTGATTTCGGTGATGAAGAACTTGTCGTTGACGTAGTTGATATCATTGGAGAAGATGTTCTGTTTGAAGTTGCTCCAAATCGACTGGAGCTTCACATCAAAGTACTTAAAGTGGTCTTTCAAGCCACTGACAGTGCTGGCGTCACTGGCCACTACGCTGATTTCCTCTGTTACCGGTACCGCCTTGGTGGCCGACTTGATCATCTGGTGGTACTGATTCCAGAACTTGTTGGGGTTGGAAATTTTGAAAGAAGGCTGTTCCGACAACTCGACGCCACTAAGTGACACCACCAACGTAGGCCTGTCATTTGGCGGGTTGATTTCGTTTTGTTGTTCGATGAACTCGATGGTTTCATGCTTGTTGTAGTCACTTAACTTAAACACATTGAGGTCAAGCTTATCGCTCAAATACATCAAGGCCTCCTCGGACGACACATAGGGAATTAGTGATGGCTTGGATAAGTCATTGAGGTGGTAGACGGCGATTTGCGACGTGGTGGCAATGGCCACCGTGAAGTATACGCAAGCAGCTAAGAATAATTTCATGTTGTAGCCGTAACCCTTAATTTTCGTTCACGCAAAGGCCCGAGAAGTGAGAAGAAGAATGGGCACGCACGCCTTTCGATGCAATCTAGGATACCATATACTGTAATGACTACACACGGCAATAAATACTTTAACGACTAATACGGCAATAAATACTGCAACGACTAATACTTAACGACTGATGAACATTGTCAACAGCATTAGTTCGTCTCGTCCAACGTGATGGTAGGTGAGGGCATCGAGCTCTGACAATGGAGATTCGTCTCTATCGACAATGGGGGCTTGAAAAGGGTCCTGGTCATAGACCGGGACCGGGCCATGCTGCTGCCATCACTAGCAGTGACAGCCTCGGCATCGGCCTCCTGTGGGTGCAACCCAAGCCTATGCATGGAGAAAACATCAAAAATCTGGGGTTTGGGTTCCTGGTACTTGGCCGTCTCCGACAGATGGGCTGCCTTGAACCGCTTTAACATGTTGACCGAAAGCGAGTCGTCATCGGCCGTACTACCGTCAAAACTTTTGGATCGTTGTAGTAGGTTCTCCTGGAGGGTCACTTTGACTCCGGGGTCGAGGTGATATTTGGAACGAATCTCCAGGTTGATATAGTGATAGAGCTGTTTGCTCGACTCTTCATCCTTGAGAATGATGATGACTCGGCTTAAAAACGGCAAGTTGGACCAGGTGGATATTTTGTTCAAATAGTAGTCTTCATCTCCCTGGTAATCTATGTTTAAGATCTCCAATTTGATTTGATCCACGAGGGACATGGGATGGTTGGTTTTTATAAAGTCCTGTCGGGAGAGTTCGGAGATGATAATGGAGGTGTTCATGGGATTTAGATTGGAGGAAACGTGATTGGGGAGAAGGTGTGATTAAGAAGGAAATGAATTTGAAGGCGTAATTGTGCGCAGAACAGGGACTTGGGGAGAACGAACCGAATGGAGCCACAAACGGCACGAGTGCGAAGCTTGTGCGCAGCGAGGGAGAGATGGGTAGGTACGAGTAGAGATGCCGGTAGAGGTGCGGGTAGACACTTTGGGATGTAGTGCTGGTAGAGTCCTGGGAGGCGGTGGTGTTGGATGCAATGGCAGACATCCATGTAAATTTGGGAAATGTTCTTAGTTCCCTGATAAGATTTCCTTGGCGTGTAAAAAGAGCAAATTCTGCATAATACAAAAAAGTTGGTCAAATGTTTTTGATAAAAATCTACCAAAACTCTAGCACAGCCCGGTAGACCATATGGTTGTATCCAGGAAGTGTTCGTTGCCAGACCCAAGCACAATTAGTGAATTTAAGGATATGCTGGAGAGAGAGTCGTGTGTGGCTGGGACTCTTCGCAGCCAAGGCTTAGAGATAGCAGATATGAGAACTGATAGAGGTGAACAGAGACATTTTCCAGAGGTTGGTGTAGAAGCCGGACGCGGACGTCAGGCTTGAGAGTCATTTATTCAGGCTATATCAATGGCGAGCACAGTAGATAGGAAGGCTGCCAGAGGTCCTCGTATGTGGTGGAGTGGGTAAACGGAGCAGAATTCATGGTCTGAGGGCACATTGCTCACAGAGGAAGCTTATAGTTTGAGTCATCTCGAGGTCACAAGCATTGTTTTGGACTCCATAGTAGTCCACTAATAATCCCTAGTTTCTCCATGTTCCTTCTCTTTTGTGCTAGCTCTCTGTTCTCAGCTCGTTGGTAAAGTAAATATCATAGTGAAGCTTGCACCCGGGATTGAACTGTCCTCCGCACGTCGGACACACAAGCGGCGAGTACTCCGCGAAAGTCAACTCCGTCTGACACCCGCCACAGAGCACCACAAGCTCGCTCGAGCCCATATCATATTTTTCAATGGGATGGCCAGCCAGCTCGTGGCACTGGTAACACGGATAATACGTCTCACAGCACCGGAACTTGATGGCAATAATATCCTGGGGGTCGTGGTAGTGCACACACCGCGTGTGCGAATCCATTAGTTCCCCAAGAAGCACTATACTATTGCCGTTCGTAGACTCTAACAGGGGCATTGGTTGACCAAACGAATCGATTTCCTGCTCGCGAATCTGGTCGCTTGGGGCTGGCACGAACCGGAGACGATTTGGGGCACGCTTTGGTCGGCACCCGCCGTGGAAAAACAAAACGTCGCACCAACCGCGCATCCCCAAGACCGGGGCGTGTTTCTGCAGGAACACCCAACCCCCGTCACAAACATCTGGTGAACCCACCGACCCTCAAACCCACGAACCTCAAACACAAAACTCCATCACAACTCACTCACAACTCACTTCAGCTAGTCACCGCCAGCGGCCCCGCGAAACTCTGTCTATTTGTTGTGTATACATGCAGGTGCAAAATTTGGTGTCGCATCTTAAACAATCGCGATTGTTTGTTTGAAACCTGAAATCACAAAAACAATTGGAAATCCACAAAAACACACCGGTCAACCCCAAACTTCCACAAAAGCCATCGTTGCCCCGATTGTTTTCATTTTCACTTTGTTGATTTTTGGGTTTTCTACAAGCTGTTGTTGAGATACTGTCTGTTTGATCCCCTACATCCCTTCTTCCACTTGGGCTCCTTTCTGTTCTAAACTCCCACTTTGTTTGAATTGCATCTATTCCATAACCCCCAAATTCCCTGACACTCGCTCCTTTTTTCTTATTTGCAATCTTCATGAACTCGTTTAGACCCGACAAACACCGTAAGGTGTTGAATGACTTGACCCTTAATGAAAACACAAAGTCCTATGAACGGTACGACAAAAAACCAAAGTTATTCAAAGACCATGTAAATACCGCCAGTACCTCGTCCTTGCTCGAAGACAAGGAAATCGAAGTTGACCATACCCAGATTGTTTCTGAGTTGGAAACCCAGCTATTACCATACTCTAACGAATTCCACATGGATGGCCCCATTCATCAATATGGTGAAAACGACCCCCAACAAGACGACGACGACGATATCGAGGGCCCCGACTACGTGCCGGAGTTCGACGATGATATCGATCTTTCTGAGCTTGAAGACATAGACGACGAAGCGGAAGATGCTGATGAAGATGAAAATAGTAACGAACCAGACCAAGAAAACATACCACCACCAGCCGACGTAGGTGTTTCACAAGCAGATGCTAGTTTCTCCAAACATGTGGCCATGGAGCCGCTATGGAACAAGGCCATTTTCGGCGAGTTGGAGGTAATCATGAAGAAGTACTCTTCTAAAACCCTAGACGAAAATGATGAGGACACTTATGATGTTACGATGGTAGCAGAGTATAGCCCTGAAATCTTCAACTACTTACACCAGTTGGAGTACAAGCTTGTGCCCGATCCCAACTATATGGATAAGCAAGACGAGTTGAAATGGGAAATGCGAAGTGTATTGATCGACTGGGTGGTGCAAGTCCACTCACGGTTCAACTTATTGCCTGAAACCTTGTACTTGACTGTTAACTACATCGACCGGTTCTTGAGTAAGCGCAAAGTCTCCTTATCCAGATTCCAGTTGGTGGGAGCCGTTGCATTATTTATTGCTGCCAAATACGAGGAAATCAACTGTCCTACCATCCAAGAAGTGGCATACATGGCCGACAATGCGTATTCCATCGACGACTTCTTGAAGGCCGAACGCTTCATGATCGACGTGTTGGAGTTCGATATGGGCTGGCCAGGTCCTATGTCATTTTTAAGAAGAACCTCAAAAGCTGACGACTATGATTATGAGACCAGAACCTTGGCCAAATACTTGTTGGAAATCACGGTGATGGACTCTCGCTTTGTGGCATCCCAGCCCAGCTGGTTGGCGGCGGGGGCCCACTATTTATCGAGAAAGCTACTTAATAGGGGCGGTTGGAGTGAACTTCACGTTTTTTACTCTGGCTATACCGAAGACCAATTGAAGCCTTTGGCGGCGGTGTTATTGCGAATCTGCGAGAACGCCGAGACCAACCATAAGGCCATCTTCGACAAATATCAGGAAAGAAAGTATAGAAGAAGTTCCACTTTTGTGCAAGAATGCTTGGAGTCCATGAGACATTGAGTTGGCCATATATCACATCATCAGGCATTTCTACCCCGGTACCTCACGATTCTTATCGTGTAGACAGGTATCACCAGCACCCTACGATTTATCGTTATAATACTTTGTACCATATCTTCACTTCATTTGCATTAAGTTAATATACATCTTTGAAGCAGCAAGTTGCAGCCAACTTTAAGAATCGCGCGATGATGAGAAGAAAATATCTTCAAATTTCTCCTCAAAATGCTTTCCAGATTATCCAGAACATCCAGATTACCCGTGAGATCAGTTCTCGGGTCTAGAACCTTGGCCCCCACCTTTCGTTCAAGCCCAATACTTGCGATGAGATATTACTCGTCACCAGACAAGGAATTGAAGCAGATTTTAAAGGAAGAAATTGACATTGTTAAGCAGATCCCAAATGAATTGGATAACTCATTTAAAGACTTTTTGATCGACAACAAGGTGGAAGTGACTGCCGTCGATGGAAGTTCCAATGTCGAATTGACCAAGCACCTTGCAAATGGTGAAATCTTGAAGGTTTTCTTTGACATTGATGAGGTGACCGATATCCCTGTTGACGAGTTGGCTAACGAAGAAGGAGAAGTCAAGGAAGTGGACTTTGACGAGTCCATTTCCAACGTCGATTCATTGTTATGCTCAATCAAGGTGTTGGTGGCCAAACCCACTGGAGAAGGATTGTTTTTGAACTTGTTTTTGCAATCGTCCGAGTCTGCGTTCTTGGTGGACTTTATCACCCACAAGCCAGACGCCTCCAAGTTTTTGGAAGAAGCCAGAAAGGGTGACTTCTTGGACAAGGTACAATACCAAGGTCCCAGATTCAGTGAATTGGATGAGAGCATTCAAATTGGCTTTGAAAACTATTTGGAATCAATTGGGGTCAACCATGAATTGGCTGACTTCATTCTCAGCTTTTCTGAGTTGAAAGAAGAGAACGAGTACAGACAATGGTTGGCCCGTGTCAGTAGTTTCTTTTAGGTTGTTTGGATGGTACGTATCTTGTAAATAGCGTGAATGTATGGTATCATCTAATTTGTTGCTGGGGAAGGTGAGGTGAGGGTGGGGCTGAAGCCCTATCACTAATAGTCCTGGCTCCCGCGCGCCCTCCAAGTGAAAAATTTATTTCCAAACCTCAAACTCTCCAACTATAATGTCTACTGAAGCTTCTATTTCATACGCTGCATTGATCTTGGCTGACGCCGGATTAGAAATCACCTCCGACAACTTGGTGTCCATCGCCAAGGCCGCCAAAGCCGATGTCGACTCTGTTTGGGCCGATGTCTTTGCTAAGGCTTTGGAAGGTAAGGACTTGAAGGATTTGTTGTTCTCCTTGGCCGCTGCTGCCCCAGCCTCCGGTTCCGCCCCAGCTGCTGCTGCTGGTGGAGCTGCTGAAGAAGCTGTCGCTGAAGTCGAAGAAGAAGCCCCAGAAGAATCCGATGATGACATGGGATTCGGTTTGTTCGATTAGATAACTTCTGTATAATTATTAATAAAAGCAACGATTAAAAGGTGTAGCAAGGTGTCAACAACACTAGTAAGAGTGATGTAAAGGTTGAGAGTTTGGAGTTACAGTCATTTCAAAGGTGTAACTACTCTGGTGAGACAACTTCGGTGGGTGTGTGGGTCAGAAGTGGAAGATAGTATGGGTCAGAACCAGTTGAAATCAGCTTCCCAAATTTGCAGATCCTTCTTCTTCTGCAACCTCGCTAGCTACGAACACCAGGAACAGGTCTCCCATACAACCAATGGTGGCGTTCTTCTCTCTCAGATGACACTTTCAATCTAATGTTCAAGCATTGCTGCAAAATACCATTTGTCGCTCGAAACGGTCAATTCGCTGTTTCCAGACGCTGATGGATCACATGATATGTATGCCAACAGGCTTCAAGCAGTGGGTGGAAAGGATTCTTGTTTATGAAAAATTTCGACTGCAGAACCAAATCTACAAAAGTTAACCTTAACTCACTCGCATTCAACATTCACGCCCAACAATTGATCGTATCATCTTTTTACAGATACCGGACTTCAACCGAAACTGCCAGTCCCGTCATGAAGATCTCTATCCTTACTGCAAGCGGCAGGAGTTGCACTCTCCTGAGCCATTTTCCATCGGATAGTCGTTTGCGCAGATCCAAGGCTTATCTAAGAAGCCTTACCTATGGTTCTGCCGTACAGTTGCCCGGTAAAGTGGAAGCCGATGGTAAAAAGATACGGCCTACCACCCCCGGTCGGCAACTAGACCGAATTCCATCAAGAAGAATGATTTACTAAGGTGACGCATTGTTGGGATTGCCCGGATAAGGGTTAAGTCAACTAGCCGATAGTCCTGGTAGTTATAGAGGATATTATCGGTGGTTGCTGCATTGCTGAAAGACCGGCAACGGCTCAGGACGGATAGCCATTTGTTGCCCGAAGGGTTTGATAACACGGGTAAGTAAGGGTACAAATCCGGGGGTGATTTGTTCCATTAACCGGGGCACACCCTGAGGTTTTGCCGCGTACGATTGAGCAATCGAGCCGCCGCTTACATAAGAATCCAACCTGTCTGAGAATCGACGGACCTGTGGCCGATACTCACATCCGTCATAAACCGCGCAAACCTGCAGGGAAAATATCTCGGGCCAGCTTCCGATTTAGGTAACCCCATGGTTGCCCATACGGAGGCTGGAACAGGGGCATGAACGGCCAAGTCATCCACGGGTGGCCACAAATGTATATTTCACAAACACCACCTTTCAGATGAGCTTAGAAGACAGGCTTACCTCTCACTTCAACAACTACCATCGGTTCTGTTCATCAATATCGTTTATTGTCCACAGTATTGATTTGTCAGACAATTTGTCAGCCGTACTTGTGTGACGGATATACCGTAGTGAGCAGAAAACCGTTGGGGTGAGCCCGTGTGCAGGACGACGTATACGTAGAATCAAAAAGAACTTGCGCGGCAAGCGGAAGAGTCGCGGAGCCGAGTAGCAGCCGTGGTCGGAACTAACTCCTTTTCGAGGGCCCCCCGTCCTAGAGCAAATATTTAACAGTAACTATTAGTAATTCTGTCAAATTACTAATTGAACAAGATTAGTCACGACAGAGCAACGACACAATCCAAACCTTAACCATGAAGGTCCCATCAGCTTATGATACTATCTGTTAATGGTCCCAGACACAAAATACCATGCCATCGGTATCCGGTGGTAATATGCCGGCAGGTATCAATCGGATGACTATCCACACCCGAACAGCTGAGGTTTCAAAAAGATCGGTTGCGGATGAGTTTTTTTTTTTCCCTCGTTTGGGCTTCCGGCTTTTATTTTATTTCCGAGTGCTTACTCAAATGTATTACTAAAGCAATTCTTTTTTTTTAACTTTCGATAATTTCTGCATCAATATAAATATAACTACAGATCCCCCAGATTTTTTTAGACTTATCAACAACCTAATTGTCAATCATGTCATCCTCTACTCAAATGTCTTTTGCCCAAACCTATGTATTGGCCTCCAAAGTGAGAGGCAAACTTACAAAGGATGCCTCCAATCCCAAAGTATCGTTAAGAAGCTTGGTGGTACAAGCCAACATGTTAGACAATTTGATGGACCATATCGCAAGTGAAAACTCCAAACGTCTAGACAAATTGAACAGAGTAAAGTTCGAACTTCCAAAGACTCAGCGTCAATCGGACACTTCATCGCCACAATATACCACTAGCATAAAAGAATATGAAGTGTCAAGTGATAGTGACTCAGACGTCGAATTGGATGACTACGATTCAGATTCGGACGACTACTACTACAGTTCCGAGGAAGAAGAAGAAGAGGAGGATGAACGTTCATACACGGCTGTTAAGGTGGATTTGTCCACACCCATGAAGCTTGGTACCATCCAAGAAGAGTCGGAAGTACCTGGGTTATCAATTTCCGACAGCGAAGAGAGTGACGACGAATTTGATGGCAGCCACTTCAAGGCGTCTCCCAGTGTGATCGACCACCATTCTTTGTTCCACAACAACAAGTTGCATCAACACCATCACCACAGAAATGATGCTATATATTCGATCAACGAAGTGTTTTAAAGCTCACTATTGTTGGTGATGATGACTACGACTGATTACGACCTTTTACGACCTTTATTTCTTGTACCTAGAATTTTTAATTACCACATATTTCGATAGAATGACTGAGTAGACAATTGATACACCTGGCTGAGCATGAAGAATATTCGAAAGAGACACGGGATTGGAGCGCGGACACGGACGGAGCTTGGGTAGTTACCGCATTAGGTGCTATTGCCGTGGGCTTTAGTGCGCTTTTGGGCGCAAGCGCGCTGACATAAGCGGAACTTAGGATTTGTTTTTGCTGCCGAATCAGCACCCGATGGTACGGGTGGTGGTGGTGGTGCGCTGAGATAAGCGGTGTTAATTTTGCTCAGCCCATAAACATCTGTTTTTTACACAATCATCTGACCATATGCAGTGGGAGGCTGGGGTCAGAAGATACATGCATATCAGCTACTATCTCCTCTTACAGCAAGCCTTGGATTGTGGACCCATACACACCCCACATCCCCAGAGTGTTCTAGTCTCACTTTAAGACTGTTTGCTTTTATAGCCGGCCCTCACCAGCTCTGGCCGTAGATACCTGCAGATAATCCCCTGCTCTTTAAACTAAACTTACTTGATTATCTATTGTCCTAACTAACCTAATACAAATGTCCCATTAATAAATATACCATGTAAATCAATACCACCAACTTGACCATACGGAGCTGATGATGCTGAAGCATCACTAATTTTTGGTTTCTCATCACCGCTCGATGTTTGGTGGACATCGAGTGGGGTTGATGCTTGCCCACGTCCGACTTGAACCGTGGGCGTGAAAAGTGAAGGCTTGGCACCTGGGATGGGGGTTGCACCTCACTGGCGGCGGTGGGAATTAGACTCTTAACACTCTCACTGACACCCGTGTCTTTGAGACTATCATTGCCCGTATCTGTAACTTTTAAACTCTCACCTCTATCACATTCATGGGGTGTACCCTCGGTAGATTCATCAATAATGTCCTGGAACTTTGGGAGGAGATCAAAGTCCTCATCCTTATCATCTATTATGCTGTTAAGGGTCTGTTTATCCTGAAAGTCGTATGCGCTGGTAAGACTTTGTGTTTCAAAACTCTGGATCTCGAGTTTCTTACTCTCAAGTACATCATCATATGATGGAGGACCTTTACGCCTACCACCATGAGTACCTACATGTCTATGTTTTATCCGCCGTATCTTGACCTTGACTTTTCCCGGTATTTGCATTAGTATCATTTGTATCGTTTCACCCGCTCAAAAAAAAATGTTGTGCTTATCTTGAGGCTGATTGCTTTTATTTATACGCATTGACACATTTAAAACTATTAGTATTCCATGCATCCGAGCCATTTGACCCGTCTGCACATGAATAGGTTTAAATTTAAGGTTGGCTAGTACTAGCGGTTCTCCACAATCATCAGACCCATCATCCCACATTCTTGGCCATCTAATCATATGGACTGGGCCCAGATCTTGTCTAGATCAAAACCTATTTGTCATCATACCATCGACTGTATCTAAACTCTAACAGTATTTGAAACACACACGGTGGTGCTGATTGACAGGGTGATTGTGTTTACGCCATTGTTTCAGGTGGTTGCGGTGTGTCAGTATGTGGTTGCGGTGAGTCACTTGGTGGATCGGAAGATTGCGCTGAGAGACCATAATTGCGCATGTCGGATCCTGACGCCACAGTACCCGATGCCATATTTGCTCTACTGTCCGATGGCTCATCTCGGGTATCTGAGACATCCACATACCCACCTTCTCCGTGGTAGGGAAACCCCTCGGAAGTGGTGGCTGGTATTTGAGCTGACATCCCATGGAATCCGTCAACCGGTTTTGGATGCAGGATCGGACAAACTATCCGAACTTTTAGACATCCGAGCATAGACATCGACCTCCACCTCAGACACTTGATGTCCGCTGCGGGCCCGAAACTGGACCATGCACTACTGGGCACTCCCACGATTCAGTGCCGGCGGCCACCAATTTTTCGGAAAAATGCCTCCTTAGCTTAGTGGTAGAGCGTTGCACTTGTAATGCAAAGGTCGCTAGTTCAATTCTGGCAGGAGGCATATATTTTTTTTTTTGCTTCAAGTTCACGCACCCTTTGCGATCACTAATAATCAATACTCAAAAATCATTAAATGAACCCATCGTGATGAATCGACTCAAGTTGTTTCGCTGCATCCATACAAATCGACGCGTGGGAATCGGCTTAGGAAACACCCATACCTTGCACCACGCCGTCCTTGGCCCCCGACTCGTGCCCACCAGCCCCTTGTTGTTTAGGCGTAATATCAACTTTAGCAAGCCGTTCATAAAACTAGTACGACTTCCCGGGTATATTGGCGGTACGATGGCGGCAGGAGGCTCATACGTTGCGTACAAGGTCGAACAAGCGTCCTCCTATACGCTGGACAAGTTTTCGTCGCTCAAGGACTTTACCACCAACTGGTTGGATAAATCGTCTGATTTCCTCAAGAATTTCCTGGACCAAAACACCACCAAGACGAGCGGTGATGAAGGTGGAGGTAACGGCGGTGACGGCGACACCACAACTGCGTTGGGTGCCACGGCGGCCGCCGTGGCCGTGTCATCAGATGAACAGGAAGATGAGGATGACGAAGGCGAGTTGGAAGAGTTTGAGTTAGACGAAGCCGACGAGGATGATACCAACTCCCAAATGCTTAATTTGACAAAACAAATGATCGAAATCAGGAATATTGTTTCGCAGGTTGATGACTCCAACCACTTGAAATTGCCTTCCATTGTGGTGATTGGATCTCAGTCAAGTGGTAAGTCTTCTGTGTTAGAAAGCATTGTGGGCCATGAGTTCTTACCCAAAGGTGATAATATGGTCACCAAGAGACCCATCGAATTGACTTTGGTAAACACTCCTGAGCTCAAGGACACCCAGGTGATTGAGTTTCCAGAGTTAAGATTGAAGTTTGATGATTTCAAACTGGTGCAGAAGATGTTAGTCGATTTGAACATGCAAGTTCCCAGCCATGAGTGTATAAGTGATGATCCCATCAATGTCACTATTAGGCTGGCAAGCATTCCGGACTTATCATTGGTTGATTTACCTGGTTATATCCAAGTGGAGAGCGCAGATCAACCCACAGAGTTGAAACAGAGAATCAGAGGTTTGTGCAACAAGTACTTGGAATCTCCCAATATAATATTGGCCATCAGTGCGGCCAATGTCGACTTGGCCAACTCGGCGGCGTTAAGAGCAGCTCGGTTGGCTGACCCAAAGGGTGAAAGAACTTTGGGAGTCATCACTAAGTTGGACTTGGTGGACCCCCTGTACGCCAATAAGATTTTGAATAACAAAAAGTATCCCTTGAGACTCGGGTACGTGGGTGTTATCACCAAGTTGCCCAAATCTTCCAGCCAATCGATCTTCAAGAAGAATCCATTGTCCAGCCACCAATCATATTTGAGTCAACAAAACCTCGAGATTACTTACTTCAACGAGCATAAGTCAGACTTCCTCAACTGCATTGTGTCGACTAAGAACTTGAAGAAGAAATTGATTAGGATCTTGGAGAAGACAATGACTCAGAACTTGAAACCTACTCACTTTGCCATCCAGAAAGAGTTTGAAGAAACAAACTACAAATTCAAGGTGGAGTTTAATGACTTGCCTTTGACTCCACAGATGTATCTAGCCAACAATCTTGACTTGTTGAAGTTGTCCATCAAAGAATTAAGCCACAACCTCTCCAAGAAGGAATTGAAGTCATTGATAAAGAACGAGTTGGATCAAAAGATCTTGAACCTACTTGCGAAAACTTACTGGACAATTGATGATGGCCACGAATTAAAAGAACTAAGCAATGCCAAAGAGCACGACCTTTATTGGGATCGAAGACTAGACATTATCAGCTCCAGTTTAACCAAATCAGGAATTGGAAGGTTAACCACCAACTTAATTACCAACGTGTTATTACAGGAAGTTGATAACTTGGTTAATAATACTCAATTAAAGAACCATCAGCACACCAAGAAACTCATCAGAGAGGTGGCTAATCAAGTATTGAGCTCTAAATACTATTCAACTGCCGACCAGGTGGAGAATTGTATTAAGCCCTTCAAGTATGAGATCGAAATTGAAGACAGGGAATGGTTGGCATCCAGAGAGAATGCCATCAGCTTGTTAAGAGAAGAGATCAAGAGTTGCGATGATTTGTTCCAGGATTTGAAAGCTCATATTGGCGGTAGAAAGTTAAACCAAGTGATGAAGTATTTAAATAATATGAAATCTGAAATCGATTTCAACCCAACCGAAGCTTTGGGATTCTCTACAACCTTGATAGAGAGAGGAAAGATGGCCAATTTCTTGCAGGATAGACTTTCTCTCTTGAAGATGAGATATCAATTCTTGAAGAACAACAATAAGTGTAAGGCAAAGGGAAACAAAGTCCAGTGTCCCGAAGTTTATCTTGATGTGATTAATACGAAATTGACTTCGACCTCGATTTTGTTCTTAAATGTTGAGTTATTGAATGATTTCTATTATAACTTCCCCAGAGAACTTGATGTCAAGTTCTTCAACAATTTGTCGATTGACCAAATTGAGCAGTTGGCCAAGGAGGATCCAAAAATCGAGCAGCACATCAACTTGCAGAAACGTAAGGACTTGTTGCAACTTGCCTTGAACAAGATCGAGTCCATTTTGGCCATCAAGAGACTTGAACATTGAAAGGTGATGGTGCTTGTATATAGTGATACCTATGCAAAAGAATACACAATTTGTATATATAATAGATTGTTATTTTACAATCTTAATGATTTTATCAAATAACGTATCCAAGTTGTCGGTTTCAAAGATATTATTAAATGAGTTCAAGTCGAATGTCTTAAATGAAAAGTTTTCAATCTCATCGGCTGGGACAGAGGAATTGGCTGCTGCTGCCGTTATGGATGTTCCGTTGATCTCAGACTCATCGGATTTTAATCTCAACTGGTTGGTAGAGATTATTCCGCTTCTTAACTCGTTGTCTACAAACAAGAACCCATCATTATAGGGAATTATACTGTTGACGTAGGTGCTGTGAATGGTTGCGAAAACTGGATGCAAATCATTGGGCTTGAATAACATCACTTTACACCTTTCTGAGTCTTGGATATTCAACGCCAAAGCTACTAGCTGGTTGTTGGTACAAAGATATGTCTTTCCCTGTGCGACAGCCACCTGAGCCATTAAACTGTTGAACTCAAACGTAACCAAGTTGAAAGACACAAGTTTGGTTTTACTCAATATGATCAAGTCTGTTCCCACCAACTCAATTGACCGGATATGAGACTCCACAAGAGACAACGGCTGCACCAACTTGAAGTTGGAGTTAACCATGTACACCACATTATCATGACTTACTACTATGACCGAGTTGTCTTCACTAATAGCCAAGTCCACAGACTTGGACTCTGGTTTCATCAAATCAAGAGTCTTTACCACCGCCCAGGACTTATTTCTTAACTTCCAGAACCGTAAGTTGGCACTCGCATCTGCTGTGATGAACCCGTTTTGATAGGGCATAACACTCAATACTTGAACCTTCAAGTGTGGGTCTATGATCTTGGTGACCAATTCCCAGCCGCTGGCACTGGCAGGTTTCCAAAACTTCAACGCATAGTTTTTATCATCCTGGCTCAACAAGTTTTCAATCTCATTGTTATTGACAATGTCCAAGGTGCACATCCACTCTCCATCGCTACTGAACTTCAATTGCGACACTGCTGGGTCCATCAACTTCAATTCAGATTTGACTTTACCGGTAGGTACTACCGAAGAAACCGTCTGGTGAAACAACTGTTCATTTTTCACCAAGTCAAACGCCTGAATAAACGAACCACTGGGCAAATACAAGTGGTTTGTCTTTGGGTTCGCTTCCACAATTGAGGTGGAGTTTTTGATGTTCAACTTCCTCTTTAAGTTGGGCCTGATGCTGTTCACAGACAACCTAGAAACCAAATCAACTGCGGACAACACCAACAATTCGTACTGACCATTGATATTTAAGGCTAAGTTGTAGTTGTCGGGTTTGTTGACATCGACGGAGATTTTATCTATGACACCGTTCAACCTAGGTAAAAATTGGGTCTTATCGTTATCAATTTGCCAAATAACAAGAACCTTTTCATCACCTCCCGATAACAAGAAGTTTTCATGAAAATGCAACGTCTTGGCAGGGCCGATATGCCACCTTAAGATCTTTTCGTTGTCGTTATCATCATTAAAAATTATTTGGATAGGACCCGCAACCGAGCCTAATGCTATAATATTGTCATTGTTCACGGCTATCGATATTATAGGAGACTTGTAGTTGAACGTCTTGATAGCCACCTCCAAGTCGTTAACGTCTGATGCAGGAGGATCAACCAAGAACCGTGCCAAGCTGATACTGATCACTTCTTTGTTCTCGTTCAATATGGCCAAATACTCGTTATTCAAGGATTTGGCATATTTAATAACTCCTGACGTTTCGTAGATGCGAGATATCACTCCTTCAGGGCTTCTATAGGTAACGTTGATGTTCTTTTCTCCACTGACAAAGAGAAGACCCCCGTCTTCAAATTGGTTAATCACAACACTGATAGCTTCCGTTACGGGGCCAAAAGATACCACTGGGTTCACCAACCGCTCTTTCCAGTTAACCTTGAGGATTTCATTCGTCTTGTACACGATGAGGTTGCTCAGATTCGAAGGGTCCAATTTAGCATCCACACAGTCGGACAAATCCAAATCTACTGTTCTGGTACACTGTCTAGTGGAAATAAAGTACACTCTGATTTGGTGGGATAAAATTGCAAGGAAGTATCTTCCATCCTCCGAGTAGATACCAGCCACGCCTGTACTCACAGGGAAGTCGAGGACCTTGCCTCCGTTGGTCATCGATATCGACCACTCCATTATTATCTATATTTGTGTAAGACAGTGGAGTTGATGAGATTGAAAATTTTAAAGGTCTTCGCGAAGTGCCACAACCAAACGGTGATGGCTAGTCGCACTCTTCCAACAGAAAACTTTTTTTCACAAACAGATAAAGCTCGCTTCACTAGAAGATGATCATTCCTATTCGTTGTTTTTCTTGTGGTAAAGTTGTCGGAGACAAGTGGGAGACCTACTTGGACTTGTTACAAGATGAAAACATCACTGAAGGTGATGCGTTGGATCAGTTAAAATTGAAGAGATACTGTTGCAGAAGAATGGTGTTGACCCATGTTGATTTGATCGAGAAGTTTTTGCGGTACAATCCATTGGAAAAGAAGGACATCAACTAGAACTGAGGTTCCTCAACTCCAAACACTGCCACCCGCAACTGCATCTCCCCCAAAATAACCAATTCTGTATTTATAAGCAAAGTTTCATGAAGGTTTCTGTATATTATTAATAAAATTCTATAATACATGTTTTAGTGTAACAAGTTCTTTAAGTAGTCTACTTGTGCTATGCTCTTTTTGAAGTCAGAGTAATCAACATTGGTTTGGATCTGTCTCATTCCAATACTCTTATTTGGGGTCAATGTTAATAATGATATCGATTCTAAGTTGGTTAAGATCTCCAAGAACTCGGACCTTTTCACCTTGACGATTTTCTTGGTGCCAAACTCCTTGTTTTTGTAGTAATCATAAAATGCGTTGATGGTCATGCTAGAGTCTTCTTCGCCTTCGAACCGGAATAGGTATATGATGATGATTTGCTGCAAATAATTCAACTTGCTTAAAATTGAGTTTCCATAACTCAAATTACAAACCTTGGCGATATGACTGATAGACACTTTTGGAGCGTCCACCAAGCCATACCGGGATGTGTCATCCATCTTTGCTTTGAGTTCCTGTTCCAACAACTCGATGCTTTTGTACAATACATCAAAGCATCTTCTCAAGTCACCAGTACTGGAGGATACTTTTTTGCAGCACAATAATATCGCCGACGAGTTGACTATAGGAACAAAGCTCTCGTCCAAGTTTTCCTTCTCCAACTCCACCAATTGTTTCAACTTCTCGGTGACTATCAGCCTCATTTTTTCAAACGTGTATGGCTTGAAGCTCACAGATTTGGGATTCAATTGATTCCGTTCCAATTTCGACAACAAGTTGGTTGTCAAGTCCAACGAGTTGGAAATGCCGATCATCACCAACTTGGTGGAGAAGCGAGAACTGAAGTGTGGGTCCGAGAGCTTGAACAACTTGAACAACACCTCCTGATCTCTTGTCAATAGATAGTCGATTTCATCCAATATCACCATGACCGACGAGTAGGATTTAATTCCACCCGCAAGCGCCTCGTGCAAGTCCCGTTGCTCGCCCAACTCCCGGCAGATTTGGGAGAAGATATCCTTGGGGTTCATCAACACCATACAGTTGATATTGACGACTTTGCAGGTGTGGGAGTTCAAGTGGATTTGTCCATGTTTGTTTGACATCTGTCCGAGGGATAATTCCAACTGGGCTGTCTTTCCGCACCCAGGAGGACCAGCGATGTATAAGCAGTTGCAGGTATTATCAGAGATACTCGATTTGATGAAGTTGTTGATGTAGGAGCCTTCGTGTTCCCTTCCTACCAAACAGCGGGAGTCGTCGATTCTGTGCTTGTGACCCCTCAGGAAGATGGCCTTGACCTGAGAGTACACGTCCGACTTCCGTTTGGTGGGTGTGGGGGGAGGAGTAGTAAAGAGTTTTTTGACAGCAGATTTGTCTTCATCTGGCTTGATGTCAAAGTTGATGATGCGGTTTTTCTCGGGGGTCACTGGCGGCGTGACGTTGGTGGAGTTGAACAAGATCTTTGATTTTTTCAAGCAGTTAAGCTCGCCAAAGGTGGAGGATCTTTTTCTAGACATGATGATGTGAATTGAAAAATGGATATGTAGAAGAATATATAGCTGGAAGCATTTTGCCCGATTAGGACAAATTGGGCGCGTCGCGAAATGCGAGGAATAAGGTGTCGCGATGAGAGGTGAACGCGTATGGTGCACCATGGGCATGGTGAACGATCTGGGAGGTGATCTGGGAGGTGATCTGGGAGGCGATATCTGGTAGCAGTTGGTTATTTGTGGCAGTTAACTATTGGTACCAGTAAACTATTTGTACCAGTAAACTATTTGTACCAGTTAACTATTTGTACCAGTTAACTATTTGTACCAGTTAACTATTTGTACCAGTTAACTATTTGTACTAGTGTTCTGGTATTTCAGTAGTCAACTCTGATGTAGCACTCAACTCGGATGAAGCACTCAACTCATCGGATATTCAAGTCGCATCCAAACGCCTTCTCGTACCTCTTCTATCTAAGATCCATCCTCTGAATCTGGTAATTCCATCACCCCTCCAACTTTCCTTCGTACTGGCGCAATATCTCCGCCAACGTCTCGTTCTTGCGCACCACCATATACATGTCTTCCGGCTTGATGGTGGTTCTGCCAGCATGGTGAGCAAAGGCCTCTAAATCCTCTCCCAAGTTCAAGAGCTGATTGGTCGTCAACTCCACCAACGACGCAGTGAACATGGGAGTCAGATGCACGCCAAGCCTGGCGACCTCCTGCTCCACGATTCGCAGCACCATGAGAAACACCGCCAGTTTCAACTGCGATTCGATCTCTTCTTTTGACATTGTGGAAGTGGTAGAGGACAAGAGCGCGAAAAGAAGGCCGATGGGTGCGACATCCACATGTTGAGTGTCGGGTGATGCGACATGAATTTCGGCCATGGGTCCATAGCAGCAACCGAGACGTATATGCACACCAAGGAAAGCATCAGCATCAACACCAACACAAATGCCAGCAGCACCGAACAGCACCAAACAGCACCAAACAGCACCAAACAGCACCAACACTAACACCAACCCACTGGCCCACCAATCCCGTTGGCCCACTACCACAACTCTCACCGGCACCCATTCCATCTCGTTTTTCATCTAATGCCGACAGCAAACGGCTTTAGCAGTCTTGCAGAATTACCTCATCAACGGCCGTCGGCAGTCGGCCTTGCTTGTATTAATAGCAGTTTCCGGAGATTCCTCATATCAAATGCAGCCCTGGTATATGTGTATTCCTAAGTGTTGCCGGCCGTTCCTCATCTCAAATGCAGCCCTGCTTACAAACTTGTTCTATTTTGCTAATCGCCACCCACCGATTCCAGGTGCCATCATGAGCAGTTTCCTATAAAAGTGGCAGCTACCACCATCCAATAATTACCACAAAATGTCTTCTTCAATACCATCAGAAATCACCGGATTCACAGTGCCAGACCAGTCCAAATGGGACCAGCCAGTGGTGCAAAAGTACCCTGCCAAAAAAATGCTTGAGCACGATGTGGTGATCAAAGTCCAGGTATGCTCAGTCTGTGGAACCGACCACCACACCACCTCCGGTGGATGGGGCCCCACCAAGAGAAAGGACCAGGTGGTGGGTCACGAGATTGTCGGTAAGGTGGTTGCTAAGGGTGACAAAGTTCCCTACAGCATCGGAGATTTGGTGGGGGTTGGGGCCCAAAGCAATTCCTGTGGTCAGTGCTCTCTTTGCTTGAGCGACAACGAGCAATACTGTACCAGGAGAGTGCAAACTTATAATTCCATCGATCCTTTCTCCGATAACTATGCCAACCAGGGAGGGTTTGCATCGCACATCATCGTCAACCACAGATTTGCATTTAAAATCCCCGACGGATTGACACCCGAGGAGGCCGCTCCTTTGTTTTGTGCTGGGTTGACCGTCTATTCCCCCTTGATTAGGAACTTGCGTGGTAAGAAGTCCCCGAAGGTGGGAATCGTGGGGATTGGAGGTTTGGGCCATTTGGCCCTTCAGTTTGCCAACAAAATGGGTGCACACGTAGTGGCCATCTCCCGGTCCTCGGCAAAGAAGGACGATGCCTCCAAGCTCGGTGCCCACGAGTTTGTGGCAACAAAGGAACTGGAAAATTGGCATGAAGAACATGCTCTGTCGTTTGACCTCATTTTGAACTGCGCAACCAGCTTCTCAGACCTTGATATTCCAGCTTTCTTTAACGTCGTCAAGCCAGATGGGAAGATCATCGGTGTGGGGTTGCCGGATGCAGACGAGACCATCACCTTGTCGGCCGTGGGATTGACCTTGAGTGGAAAATACATTGGTGGGTCTGTATTGGGATCCCCACAAGAAGCCGTCGAAATGTTGCAATTTGCAGTCGAGCACAATGTCCGTCCATGGATTGAAATCAAGCCTTTGTCCATAGCCAATTACGCCGACAGCTTGACCCGGATCAGCAAGAGTGACGCTCATTACCGATTGGTATTGAATAATTTTGAAAGCTTTTTCAGTTAAGGTTTACCGATAGTAGACAATGCTCATTGTTTTTTTCGCTAAGATTTAGGGTCTCGTACTTGATGCTATTTTAGGTGGACTGTACTTCATTGTTTGTACTTTATTAATAAACGTACTTTATTAATACACATACTTGTATACTTTGCACCTTTGTACCTTTGTCCATCTCATGCTTTTTGTTGGATATTTTGTTAATTTTACCATTTTTTGGTATCGTCCCGTAATAACTTTTCCCCTATTTCTCCACAATTGAGAACGTACCACCACCTACCAGATACCGCCAAGTTTGATGGTTCAATCCCAGCACAGAGCTGGGGGAGTCTTCTCTACAGTCCCGTCAACCATATTGCGTCGCACCGTGGCTCCATCTATCAATTGGCCCCACTTTTGTGGTTGCGCCAAATGCCCGGAAGATGGAGAAACGCGAGGAGTCAAAAATGTTGAGAATCTCACCGATTACATTTGTATGAAGTAGCATTGCACTTTCTTCTATCTGTTCACTTACTAGTTTTGGCCCGCACCACCCAGAGACCCCAGCTAGCTGACTTCAACAAGTGTCCGCAGCCGCTTCCATCGCTTCTCAACCATGACAGTCACCAGAATTAGAAAGGGGTTGTCTTACGTTATAGGCGAGTCTACCAATAATGAAAACCATATTCTTCCCATCAACTCCATCCAGTATTCGTCTCTTCACAAGAAGATGTTTACGGGTGGAAGAGATGGTGTTGTCAAAGTCTGGGATAGCCAGGTTCTGTCAGACGCCGTGGTACCTTCCAATGGCAAAAGCAAAGATGACGATACCAGACCCACCGATATGAATGAAACCTTATTAAAGCTAGAGACATGCATCTCCCTGAACGTCCTTTCCCATAACCAGTTAAATACGAGCTTCCAGGTGCTGGAAAACCACAATTTGCACTTTGATTGGATAAATGACATGCTCTTGATCAATAACGATGACAGTTTGGTCACTTGCTCCTCGGACTTGTCTTTGAAGCTTGTCAACCTCACTCCCGGTGTCCCCAAAGATAGCCAGATCCACAAGTTTGCCAACGTCCACACCGACTACGTCAAGAAGTTATCATCGTGTGAGAATCTGAATAACATCATCAGTGGTGGGTTGGACGGCAAAATCGTTATATGGGATTTGGACCGTTTGGCTCCGGTAAGGACCATCGACAATGACACACCTGGCTCCATTTCCCGGTCCATCTACTCGTTGTCCAATGACAATGCCAACTTGATTAGTTGTGGAGGTCCTAACAACACCATCAACATCTTTGACAAGAGGCTTGAGTCACCGTTCATCAAAAAGTTGATAGGTCACCAGGAGAATGTCCGGTGCATGTTGATGGATAACCACTATGTCTTATCGGGCTCATCCGATTGTACCATCAAGCTCTGGGACTTGAGAAACTATAAAATATGTAAGAGCTTTGATGTGCACGAAGACCCTATTTGGTGTTTGACATCCACAGCTCCCGATTTCAAGACGTTCTACTCGGCCGACAAGGTGGGAAACATCGTGAAGACCGACATGACCCATTTGAATACGATGCTGAATGACTTTGCCAACAATGCGTTGATCGAAAAAGTCGGGTTGTCGACTCTAATTGCCAAGTGTGATACTCCAGTCATGTCTTTGTGCATCGAGAGTGATGAGAATCACAATGAAATTTCATTGTTTGCCTCCACAAACATGAGTTTGAACCGATACTATGTTCCCAACACCCACGATTTGTCGCTCTACCAGTACCTTCGTAACTATCATGAATTCGATAGCCATCAACTGACAGATGACTTAACGAATGAAGCCAACAACGATAACGATATCAACTCCGATTTTTTTGATTTGGTGAGCCACTTTTCTATTGAAACCAATTTGGATATCCAATCAAACTTCTCGACGCCAAACAACATTTCCAATGCTGGAGATGAGGTTGACACGTCGGAATACGCATCAATGTTCTTTAATACCAGCGGTGGAGGACCATCTATGGAATTTGTGAACATAGACAAGAATAACGCCCGAAAACCAGATGAGTACATCAACAACATTCCCGTCGAAATATTGCTAAACCCCATCAACCCCGACCAAATCACGATGATTCCTTTCCATAAGGCTCCCATCAAACGCTACCCTTTTACCCCCAAAAGTATCATTGCAAAACGTCTCTTCAACAACAAAAGGTCCATGCTTGTATTATATTTGAATGGAGATATTTCGATCTGGGATATCTTCATTTGCAAAAAGACAAAAACATTCAAGTTCGAGTCCAGTTCCCCGGTGGAAATGACCAGTGAATTGCTCAAAAAGCGACTTAAGGATATGGATAATATCTTTCAAGAGTATCAAACAACAGACACCTTAAACAACTGGTGTGAAGTGGAAATAAAGTCCGGTAAACTTTTTGTAACCTTGAGTGAAACCACTTTCAACAATGTCGAGGTCTACTACGACGAGTTGATTGACACCTACCCATTCTTAAGCATTGAGTATGACGAGGATAGCAAGAAGCATTCGAGAGTTAAGATCACCAACGATGATAGAGTCCAACTCTCAAGGATCTTACTTAATTCCATGTTCCACATGTATGCCTTATATGAATGGGAATTTGATCAAGTAATGAGGGAGGAGTTGAAGAAGAAGAATGATATTCAGTCTCCACCCAAAGAGGCTTTCAACCGAATCAAGATGTTTTCCAGAAAATCCTCCTCAACCATTACCTCGATGCACATTGCATCCAATGGCAACTCGAGGCCTAGCAGTAACTCTAATAGTACCAATGTCAGTGTCCATGAACTTCTGTTGAGCACAAAGGATTCTGTTCAAGAGTTCATCGACTCTGAAGATGTTGACCAGTACGAGGACTCAATCAACTTCTTGCTCCATGACAACAAGGCCAAGTATTTGGAGACGTTGACAACCTCTAAGTCTAAGGTCCCTAAAACCGCTTTGAAATTCTACTCAAATGATGCCAAATATAGCCGCAGTGAGCTTTCCACCGAAGAATCCATCGCCTATAAACCACTAATAGACTTGAGCCATCTCCCCCAAGACCTTTTGATCATCATATTTGAAAACTCACCCAGTCTCGGTAACTTGAGAGACGTTTTCAGTTTTAGACTAAGTGAATTGAGCCATTTGAAGTATGCTCAAGAAGATTCTGATCAATTTGTCAACCATTTAAGAACTTATTTGCCTAAATGGATTGGTCAGCCGATCTTATATGATAGATTTCCAATTAAAGAAAGTCCTAAAATAGCCTTTCAATTGTTGGAATTGGACTACAACACTCTTCCCCCAGAAAAGAAGATCAATGGAAAAGCCCAACGGAAAATCAAGAGATTACCGGTGCTTGAATCTTCCATTAAGTTGACATCTCATAATATGTTGAGGGTCAGTAAGATTCTTGGATATCTAACAGAAAAGTTTGAGTCTAAGACCAGCGAAATGAAAGACAAGATCACCCCTACAGAGTGGCTTGTATTAGAATGTAGAGGCCAGGAATTGCTCCCCAGTATGACCTTACAAACTATCAAATCCAAAATTTGGAAATCGAGCTCAGATATCGAGTTGAGGTTTAGAAGAAAATTTGATAAATGATAAATATATAACGAACTTGATCCTTATGAATCAAAGAGTTGTAGTGATATAACGGGATACCATAAAGTTTAGACCTTTGATGATATTCTTTGTAACCACAGTTTATCTGTCCAACTTTTCATCAACATATAGTCCACAGTAGTCCAATTTCCATACCCACATTCCTATCACAAGACCCGTTGAAATAGCTCCCTAACTGAATAGGAGAACTAAAAGCCTTGTGAATTCCAAGATGACTTGGGCGAAATATGAATGCGTTCATCAGATCACTTAACTATCTGCCAAATTTCATTGGAGTCAACTTTCAAAGAAGTTTAATTTTTTTCCCCATCGCTTACTTTTATACTCGCGCACATCCGGGTTACCTGCTCATAGGCCATGTTTCACGAAATAGCTCAAAAATCTTGGATTTTGTAGATCTTAGTACCATATTCACCATAGAATAGAACTGATAGCTTTCTTATCGCTTGCAACTATCTGGAAACCTATATAATTCTATCAATTCTTCTCTTCTCCTTCGCTAATGATGTTCACGCGCACAGATCATTCTCAATCCACCAAAACTCACTCAAAACACACACCTAATCGCAATGTCTACCACTATTGTTGAGATGCTCGTACGAGTGGCATCGATTCTAATGACCACGACTATCTTTGTGATCAGCAACACCATCACCATAGTTCAGTATTCGAATGCTGAGTACCCACAGATAACACAACCAATTTTGGCATTGGTGGGACTCTATGTCAGCTACCGATTTACCAAAAGAATCATCACCTCATGGCTCAACATGGTGGTTTTCATGGTCAAGATGTTTTTGCTTTTGATCACCATCATCGTTGGGTTGGCGGCGTATCTTAGAGGAGAACGCTTCTTTAGTCAGGATATTCCTTTTTTGCAGCAAGCGATTCAAGAGTATAATGGAGAAGCGATCCAAGAGTTCGTGGGTGCCAAGATGAACCAGGCTATGTTCAGCAATCTTTTTAGTCTGTTTGGAGATTCTGAACCTGAGAAGAAGACGAAGACGAAGACCAAAAAACCAAAGGTGGATAAGGGCAAAAAGTTCCAGAAAAAGGCCAAGAGGGTGATGAAAGAACATGGTATTGAGATTGACAGCAGCTACTTGGACTATTTGAATGAGAACTTGGGGTATGGTGGGGATGAAAATATCTTGGATAACGTGGGAGCAGCTTTAGATGGGTTGGGTTTGGATGTCAGCGGGTTTATGGACCGGTTCCATGTATGAAGACCAAGTGCACTGGATGCACTAATTCTCCATGTTTGTATGACTCCAAATAAAGTCACTAATGTCTGTAGTCTCAAATCATATTAGTCTATGTATCTCTATTATATAAATAACACCTTTACACCTCACTCTCCTTCTCCTCCTTCTCGATCACCTCGTCAATACACCTCAAACCTCTGTCTTTTACAAAAAATGCACTGATGAAGCAAAAACCCATGAGGGGAATCGTCATATAAAAGTAGTTTCGAATCGCCTTCATGTACATCTTCTTCACCACCGTCACCTGACCATCCGTCAATCCTTGTACCAGAATCTTGTTATAGATATGTTCCTTCAAGTAAGTGAGATAGCCAACTGAAATATTGTCGTAATTGTCGGGGTTACTAAAAGCCTTATTGATCTCTGCCATCACTGTGTTGGTGACAATCAACGAGGCAACAGCAGTACCAATGGCGCCTCCGAGACACCGTACAACATTACGGGTGGAAATTACCACTGCCCGGTCGGCTTTTCTCGACTGGGCCTGTGCTGCCACCACCGATGGCTGAAACGTCCATCCCACCCCACATCCAATCACCAACAAAATCCCCACAATCTCCCCATCTGGAGTGTTGATATCAAAGAGCATAAGCAACCCAAGCCCAAGCAACCACAGACCATATCCTCCACATATCACGTACTTATAGTGGCCGCTTCGTGAGATGATCTGGCCGGCAATTGTCGACATCAACGCTTGGATTAACACCATCCCCACCTGCAACACCGCCGACTGCATTTCGGTTTTCCCCAACACAATCTGGAAGTAGTACGGAAGATAGTACTGGAACGAAAAGTAAATCAATCCATAAAAGAAGTTGGATGAGAAGATGAGGTTCAACAGAGTCGACTGGAATAAATTCAAGGGAATCATGGGCAACTTGGGGATTTTCCACTCGACGACAATAAACGCCACGGAGCAAAGCCCTCCTACCACAAACATCACGATCACCAACACACTGTTCCAACTATAGGTGGAGCCCCCGCCGTTTAATGGTACCAAGATCAACGTCAAGCCCGCAGTGCTGAAAAACATCCCGATGTAGTCAACCTTCATGAACTTCTCTTTTTTGGTCAACACTGAGTCCAAGTGCTTTTTGCGGTCCTCCACGAAGAAATAGGTGGTGGCCATCTGGATCGCCACAAGCCCTGGAAGCATATGGTAGAAATTTCTCCAGGACGAGCTCAGCACAAACGCAGACATCAAGAACGGGCCGCATGCATTGCCCAACCCGACATTGGCACCCAAAATTCCCTGGTAGTTCCCCCGCTGCTTCAACGTCACAATGTCGCTAATTAGCACCATCGTCATCGCCTGGATGCCTCCGGTCCCCACCCCAGCAAGTGCCCGGAAAATATAAAACTGGACCCCTGTCTGGGCGAACCCGCACGCCAAATCTGCTATTCCCAAGAATGCTAACGAGTATAGAAGCACCCCTTTGCGGCCAAAAATGTCTGCCAACCGTCCAAATAATACCTGGCACACACAGTTGGCCAAAAGAGAAGCAGTTCCGGCCCAGTTGATGGTCTTCTCTGCGTTTAATTCTTTCGCCAATGTGGGGAGAGCAATGGTCACTGCCGTTTGATCCACAAACGCGGTGAACACGTTGAATGCCATGATGAACATAATGGTGATGAGTTTCTTCCGAGGGAGAATGTTGAGGTGAGCGTCGCCCAACCGGTCGCTAAGATCTCGTTCTTTGTCTGGGGTAGTGGCAGCCGGGGGATCGGCTGGTGCTGTAGAATTGCCGTCATCCGATGAACACAACTCGGGGCCCAAGTGAGTGTGTTCGTTCAGATGGATATTTTTGATTTCGTCTTTCATGCTGCGATTTTTCGGGGAGCGGACTTGGACCCTATTTATAATGGGGAGGAGGAGAGAGGTGAGAATTTTGACAGATATGAGACGCGGAGCCGAGCTCCGAAATTGTCAAATTATAGAAAAAGCTTTGAGGAACCATTCGAAAATGGGTGTTTTGAGAACGTATCCATTGTGGTGGAGTTCCCACCAGGTGTATTTGTGTGCTCCGTCGGTGGGCCCATAGGAACTCATCGCATATGGTCCGCTCACCGCTGTATATGGCCGCTTATCGCCGTCAGCATTATTGTCGGTACAGAAGCTGGTAGAGCTACTGGTTGTGCGTGGCATTTACCACTCTTCATTTTCCTGGCTCATTTTCCATTCTGACTGTCCTCCTATATCGCTTTCAAATCACTTTCAATCTTATCAATTTCTCACGTTTCGACCTCACAATTTTCGATCTCATAAATGTCTCACAATTTCAAGCATGGCACACAAGAGACATAGAAACACTATAGTCTGCACCTTCTGCAAACGTAGAAAGAGAAAGTGCGATAGGTGCCAGCCGTGCTCCTCATGTGTCAAGTTCGGCAACCCTGAATGCACCTACGACGTCAAACTCTTGCCCTTGGTCTCAAAACCTCCAGTGTTTGACACCAGCCTCCGAAACGAACTTTGTCTGCTTTCCCGAAAACTCGCCGAACTCGAAAAGAAGCTAGATGGCCCTGAAAGCGAGTCTGCATTGCCACCTCCCACCCACCTGTTTGGTGACTATTTGGGATGCAACCCCATCAACAGCCATAAAGACATTCTCCAATTGTCCCAATACCTGACAACCCTTTTCGTAAAAACCGGTTTCCAACGCTCGACTCCTCCGTTGGCCACCTTGTCTATGCTCCGAGCAGATCCCATGGTTTCAGCCTTATTGGAGTATGCAAACCTGGTTCTTGTGGAAGATAAGACCTACCAACCGGTGCTAAACAGCAAGTACGCCGCCATCGAAAAAAAGTTCTTCACCCAAGACGACGTGCTAAACGGGATGACGGCGTCTGAGCCGTACAAAATTGGGGATAAAGGTCCAACGGTCTCTGTCGAGTCTGAAAAGACTGATGAGGTGAGTTTGACACATTTGGCGCTTGAGGTTCTCCCGGTGAGAAAGGCCATTTGGCGGTACATCAACGTGTTCTTCTCCAAAATCTACCCTTACTATCCTATTTTGGATCAGCGTGAGTTTATGGACAGCATCAACGAAATTCTTGGTAACTCGGAGCCCAATGAGACCCGCATAAAAGAGATTCACATCACCAAGAAAATTGATTTTGCCCATCTTGGTATCCTTCTACTCATACTACGGTTGAGCTATTTAGCCATCACGTCTCTTGCTTATAGAGCCAACGGCGACCTCGAACAACCTGGTTCAGAGCTTGCGTATTTAATGGACCACCCCATTGATGTCAAAGCGGTATCGGGGTCCAAGCGGTGTATGGATCTTTTCCCATTGTATTCCGCATGGAGTATCGCTGTGTTGCAGATGGCGTTTCTTCAAAGATTATACATCATCGTGGCTCCTGAAGAAGGAGATGCTATCCGAGACTATGAGGCATTTGTCTATGATGGGGTCATCAACAATATGGCCCAATCATTAGGTTTGAACCGAGATATGGTGTTCACGTTTGGCCAAGGCCCCGATTCCAGACATCGAAACTTGTGTCAAAAGATTTGGTTGAGTGTGATCAGATTGAATTCGGACCAGTGCCTACGAAATGGGTATCGTTTTCCCATTGATAGGGTTTCTTATGACACTTTACCACCCTCTGAAAGTGAGGTGACGAGCAGTTACGATACAGATTTGGAAAGAGCGGTGTTAAATAACCTTTCCAAAACCACAATTGAACCTGAAATCACTAGGATATTGGATTTGGTGTCCAATGTCCGTGATGGTATACCTTTAGTTGAGTTGTGTTCCTTATTGGAGTATTTTGAAAAGACCTATGTCAAAACTTATGGTGGTAAGAGAAGAGATCTCATACAAGAAAACTTCCCCAATGCAGTTGATAAAATGAATCTGACAGTACTGTACATCTCCATGATGGTGTTAGACTTGACCATGTTATTCTTCATTTACAACTATTACCTCCAAGGAGACAACACCGAGATTCAATCATTCTACGTAAATAAGTTGATTGTGACCGTTTGCTACGAATTTCTTCCGTTCTGCTGTGAGATCTTCCAAAATAGTGGGAAGATTTTCAAGGAATTTGGAGATATCATGATTTTGCCAGGGATGTTCAATTTGCTTTATAAGGCAGCTATTGTCCTTTGCAGCATCCACTTCAGAAACAAAAAGGCCTTGCTGACCTTCCGTGACGATGAAGAGGTATGTGATATTCTTACCCAAACCAATACGATTCTTCTCAAGAACCTCCGGAACATCACTGATATCTTCTTGTACTTTAGTCCATGGTATTTTTCTGCGTGGAGGTCCAGTAGGAATATGGTTATTGTTTATGACTTGATGACAGGAGAAGGTTTGTACGAGTTCCACTCCATGAGGAACGCCCATGGGTTTCTGTTCCCCAAACTGCATTTTAAAAAGACTCTCGATGTGTTACGAACTTCTTCTGAAGAATGGAATCAGTACAGAACCACCAACGAACAAGGAAAAGAGGTATTTACTTTTCAGACCAGAGCATTGGTCAACCCGACCGTCGAAGGCCCTTCTGAGGTATCTCCAGCGACTTTCTTGGATACACGAAAAGAGGTAGACTCTCGTTGGCATGAGACACTCGCTTCCAGGTCTGGAATGCAACCTCCTTCGGAAGACCGGTCAAAGTGGAGTGGAGAATTGCAAGACGAGCTCTTCGCTAATGACCTTTCACGTCTCTTTGACTCGGCGTTGGTTGATGATTTCTTCGCAACCTACTTGAACGATCAACCATAGAGACGTACGTAACATAAATATAATATAGTATGCATTTATGGAACGGCCAGATTCGTAAAGCTTTCTTGAATTCAAGAGACTATTAAGCGATTTGCACAGCGTAGAACAACTATTATCGTAAGTAATGACACTTCATAATCTCGGGTGATTTAATAATAGGGCTATAAATCTACTCACAGACCTTGGATCATCTAGTCGCGATATTCGCAGTCTGCAAAACTATGGCCCACAAAACTATGTCTCACAAGAGAAACAGAAGCACATTGGTCTGCAACCTCTGCAAACGAAGGAAGAGAAAGTGTGATCGTGCAATCCCTTGTTCCACATGTTGCAAGTTGGGTGTGGATTGCACCTACGATGTCAGTTCAACCCCAGCCGCAGTATCAAAACATACCTCCAAAGATAACAACCTTCGAAGTGAACTATCTCTGCTTTCAAGAAAACTTGCTCTCCTCGAGAAGAAGAGCGCCACCCCTATTTTGAAACCTCCAAGCGGCCTTCACGAATCGGCATCGCCGTTGTTAACATCGCCTCCCACGGTTTCACCCGATTTATCTTCTATCACATCATTTGACGACTACCTAGCATATAATCCAGTCAACAGCCCTGAAGATGCAATCAACTTCGCCGAGTATCTGACTACTCTCATGACATCGTCGGGCCTTCGCCGGTCGAACCCGCCGTTCAGTCCCTTGACCATTTGCAGGGCAGACCCCATGATTCTTGCGTTATTGGAATACACAGATCTGGTTTTGGTCCAAGAGAAATGGGACAATTCAGTGGTACTTAATAATGAGTACTCTGCCATTGAAAAGAAGTTTTCCACCAAGTCTGATATGCTAGACGGATTTGACGACGTTAAGCCCTATGAAACTTCCGAAAAGGAATCCTTCAAAATAGGTGGTGATTCTACCTCAGACGAAGCGGCCGTCAGTTTGGCTCGACTGAGCCTAGAGGTTCTCCCGGTTAGGAAGGCCATCTGGCGATATATTAACGTTTACTTCTCCAAAATCTATCCCTATTGTCCCACTATGGATCAACGTGCATTCATGGATACTATCACCAAAATCATTGGAACTGGTGAGCCAAATGAAACTCGAATAGAAACCCTCCACATCAACCGGCGAATTGATTTTGCCCATCTAGGAATCCTTCTAATCATGCTACGGTTGAGCTATTTAACTATCACATCACATTCCTTCAGAACTAATGGTGAGCTCCAACAACCAGGTTCTGATCTTGCGTATTTGGTCAACCACCCTATTGACATCAAAGTGGTTGCGGTGTCCAAGCGGTGTATGGACTGTTTCCACTTGTATTCAACAACAAGCATTCCGGTATTGCAATTGGTTTTACTTCACAGAGTATATTTCATCTTGGCTCCTGAAGAAGGTGATTCGGGTAGAGAGTCTGAAGTGTATACCTATAATAATGTCATCAACGGTATGACATACGCATTAGGTTTGAACCGAGAACTGGTGTTCACGTATAATACAGGGCCCGATTCCAGGCATAGAAACTTGTGCCGTAAAATTTGGTTGAGTGTATATGGTTTAAATGTTGGTCATTGCTTGAGAAACGGATACCGTCTTCCCATTGAACCCGATTCTTATGACACTTTACTACCCGATGCTGGGAGTGAGGTGACAAGTATCTACGATGCAGATTTGGAAAATGTAGTATTGGACGTCTTTTCCAGAAGCAAACTTGAACCTGAAGTTCCCAGGATATTAGAATTGGTGTCGAATGTTCGTAAAGGTGCACCCCTAGTTGAATTGTGTTCATTGTTGGAATACTTCGAGAGAACCTATCTCGAAAGTTATGGTGTTACAAGGAAGGAGATTATGGAAGGGTCTTTCCCTCATGAACTTGAGCGACTCTATCGAGCTCTGATATATCTTACAGCTATTGGGATGGATATAACTATTTTGATGATGGTGTTCAACTATTACATGAAAAAAGATGATATCGAGATTCAATCATTCTACTTAAATAAGTTGATAGTGACCGTGTGCTATGACTTTCTTCCATTCTGCTGTGAGATCTTTCAGAATGGTGGGAAGATTTTTAAGGAATTTGGAGATATCAGCATATTCCCCGTAATATTGAGCATGCTTTATAAAGCAGCTATTGTCCTTTGCAGCATCCACTTCAGAAACAAAAAGGCCTTGCTGACCTTCTGCAATGATGCCGAAGTGTGTGATATTCTTACCCAAACCAATACGATTCTTCTCAAGAACCTTCGGAACATCACTGATATCTTCTTATACTTTAGTCCATGGTATTTTTCTGCATGGAAATCAAGCAGAAACTTGGTTGTGGTCTACGACTTGATGACAGGAGAAGGTTTGTACGAGTTCCACTCCATGAGGAACGCCCATGGGTTTCTGTTCCCCAAACTGCATTTTAAAAAGACTCTCGATGTGTTACGAACTTCTTCTGAAGAATGGAATCAGTACAGAACCACCAACGAACAAGGAAAAGAGGTATTTACTTTTCAGACCAGAGCATTGGTCAACCCGACCGTCGAAGGCCCTTCTGAGGTATCTCCAGCAACCTTTTTGGATACACGAAAAGAGGTAGACTCTCGTTGGCATGAGACACTCGCTTCCAGGTCTGGAATGCAACCTCCTTCGGAAGACCGGTCAAAGTGGAGTGCAGAATTGCAAGACGAGCTCTTAGCTAATGATATTTCACGTCTCTTTGACTCAGCCTTGGTTGATGATTTCTTTGCCACCTACTTGAACGATCAGCCATAGACAATTTTCACTCACTCACATTAGCAGCCAGATATGAAGATGCGCACGATCAAAACAATTCCTCCGCCACCGCAGCGACTGAAACACCATGGTGAAAGACACACAATATTACGATCTTTTAGGCGTAGAAGCCACGGCCAGCGACCTTGAGTTGAAAAAAGCCTACCGAAAGCAAGCAATCAAGTTACATCCCGATAAAAATCCAGATGATCCCGAAGCTGCCAGTAAATTCCAGGAGTTGGGAGAAGCGTACGGAATCTTAAAAGACTCCGATAAAAGAGCACTTTACGACGAGTTGGGGGTGGAAGGTATGCAAGAGCGCCAGGTCAATAGCGAGGCTGCCGATATTGACCCGGCCGAATTCTTCTCGATGGTTTTCGGTGGAGACAGTTTCAAAGATTGGATAGGCGAGTTGAGCATGATCAATGATATCAGCAAGACGGCCGAGATCTTTGAGGATGAAGAGGCGGAAGTGGGTCAGGAGCTGGTCAGTGGCTCGGTGCCGGCTTCTGGCGATGTTGCCGTTAATGACAATAAATTGTCGAATACCGACAAAAAGGACGATGTGATGACCACCGAAGGTATCAATAGACGTAAAAACCAGAAAATGACCCCGGAGAAGCGGGAAAAGATCTTGGCGCTCCGAGAGGAAAGGAAGCAAAAGGAAGCCCAGCGAATTCAAGAATTGGTCGATAAGCTCATCAGTAAAATCGACAAGTACGACCTGGCCCAACATAATCCTGGAGCATTGGCGGACTTCAAAAAGCGCTTGGACACCGAATTTGAAGATATGAAGATAGAGAGCTTCGGAATTGAGTTGTTACATCTTATCGGTAAAATCTACAGGAACCAAGCGTCAGCCAGATTGCTGTCTTCCAAGACATTTGGAGTTTCGAAAATCTTTACCAATGCCAAGACCACTGCTGGCACGGTGAAGAACGGATATTCAATTCTCAAGACTGCATTGGATGCTCAGGCGTCCATGGAGCAAATGGTAGCAGAGCAAGAGCTTTTGCAACAAAAGGAGATATTAACCGATGCCGATCATATGCGCATGGCCGAAATGGAACGGTTGATCACCGGTAAATTTTTGGCCACTGCATGGGCGTCTACCAAATTCGAAGTAACGGGCATCCTTAATAAAGTGTGTCAAAAATTATTGAATGATAAGAGTCTTGCCAAGAAAGAGAAAAATAAACGTGCCAAAGCCCTTCACTTTATTGGTGAAATGATGGCCCGGGTAGAAAGATCTCCAGAGGAAGCAGAGGAGGCCCGTATATTTGAGGAGATGATGGCCGAAGCCAGCAATAAGAAGAAGAAGAACAATAATGCTTTTGATCAAAAGCACTTTGAAGACTATTTGGCCACCTTTGTAGACCAAAACCCAAACGAGGAACACGCAACAAACCGTGATTGAATTTATATCTAATTAACCCCTTCTTCTTAGTAATATAAAGTCTCCTTGCTCATCCTCCACTCAGATAAGCCCCTTTTATCTCTATTGTTGTTCAATTGTGGGTGCAACCAGGCGGATTGGCGGGTCGTGTCCCGGCCGTGTATTGCGCGCCTCCTCCAACATCCATCATCAAATATTTCATCGAGTGTCAATTCCTCCTACAACATGCCAAATCAGCAAGAAGTATTGGTTCTTTGTAAGGCCTTGTTGCGCAAGGCATACAAGTTTGACAACTACAACTTCCGCGAGTACAGCAAACGTAAGGTCATGGATGAATTCAGAGCTCACCGCAGCGTTTCCTCGCCTTCCGAAATTACCAAATTATACAACGAAGGCATCAACCAATTAGCCATGATTACCCGGCAAACCCACATTTCCCAAATGTACACGTTCGATAAATTGGTGGTGGAGCCTTTGAAAAAGCATCACTAGAGAATGATAAAAAATATTTTCCTACCGGGCCTGGTATGGATAAATGCGCCCACCTCGTTATTCACTGGTTGCTCCCCAATGGTTCTGCGTCCAAGGTGACGGCGCAGACACGAAGATCCTGAAACGGACATGCTATTTGTTGTAAATAGTTCCCGTCATGTACATACCCGCCAATATACAATATGATCCGGCACCGCTGGTTTCGGTAATGTCAAATACTGCTTCTGTAATGCTAAACCCGCCGGGCGGGCTCAAGTGCCAGTCCGACCCTGGCTCCGGCTCGGCACATGTAATGGTTCAGTAGATAATATCGACCAATTTACTGGCTAGGCCTAATTCCACATTGTTCTCGCACAATGCCCATGTACAAGGGTATTTTTAGCCCGCGCCAAGCCTGAGTTCTTCTCGTCGACAAGAAAAATTGCGCCAAATTTGACATTAATTTGACATATCCCAAGTCATTTCGCCAGGGCGCAACCAGACCACCACAGGTGCCGATAGAGTTTGCTTAAATAAACTTTGTATTGTTAAAAAACCTTGATAAACAGTGGCAGGAGCCTTCAGTAGTCCTTCGCCTGTCTACCTATACCACTACAAACCATGGTGAAAATATGCAGCCAATGACCGAGCGGCTTATTGCTAGCCTCGACCAATAAAGGAGAGGCTTGTTGTGAGCCCCGGGCCTGTCTATGCATGCTGCACCCGAAACAATAAGGCTTGTGCGCTGATGAATCAGATAAAAAAAAATATCTGGCACTACCCAAAACGGTATCCTTGTGACATCGGCTTGACCCATGGTACACAACGGAGTTCAACCTAGCCAATAGTTCATGAGGCGTTACAGGTGCTTGGTATGCAGTTAATTTCTGTGGTTTTTTTTTTTTACCCCTGCTACTATAAAAGACAATTACTGCCCTGTTGGATTTTGCCATATACTTGACAATGAAATTTTGGACTCCCTTGTTACTAGCAGTTCCGGCACTTTGTGACGATGTAAGTTTGTTCGAGTGGATTAGCAACTATGAAATTGCTCTTGAATCATGTCAGGCCCAGATAGACCTTACAGCTACCGTCTGTCTAATTCCTGAAACCGCTGCCAAGCGTGGCCTTGTGCGTCGGGATGATGACTTTGATCCCACTAGTTGTTATTGTACTATGGAAGCACCATTTGTCACCTTGATCGACTGTTTTGTTAAAGGTGAAGGAAATAAGACTCTGTACATGAACTCATTTATTGACAGTTGTAAAGGGTTGACGGACGAGCCCTTGACATTAGACTCGTTATATTCCACTTACTACTCCGGCTTGAAGCACATGAAAAACGTACTGACAGTGGAAAATTTCAGTTTGACAGAAGTCGTGGACTACCCTGTGTTGTTGGACTACAAACAGTATAAAATCAACCGGCAGTGGGAATGGATGGCAGAGAAGAACAAGAACTTGGGTCTGATCTTTGGTTTGTCTCTCATGGGCTACTGGGGTCTTGTGTTGTTGTTGGCAACTCTTGTCAACTGGACGATTTATTTATTCCCTGGGTTCACCGGTTTATTTGTGGGACCTTTGTCCAACATGTGGAGAAAGTACGTATCATTGCCAGCAGCCATCTCACGCAGAAAAACTCGTGCCGTCAGGTTTGGCTTGTTAGTTCCTTCTCGTATGGAATCGCTCATTATCTTTGTGTTTTTGTTTTTAACTGCGATGTTCTCAGGAATCAATATCCACCTGGTTCCTGGTAACGAGTTCAGTCAAGGAAACTATGTGGCACGGTTTGTGGCCATCAGAACGGGTATCATGGTTGGCTACATTTGCCCGCTCTTGGTTTTGTTCGCCGGCCGTAACAACTTTTTGCAATGGTTGACCAGATGGAATTTTGCAACCTTTATTACCTACCACCGGTGGGTGTCAAGAATCGTTGTCTTATTGGTGATTATCCACGCAATCGGTTTCACGGTATCGGATATCAGTAGAGACAAATATTCTGCCCGGGTGAAGGAAGGCTTCATCCAATGGGGGATCGTGGCATGTGTTTGTGGAGGAATCATTTTGGTGCAAGGATTGCTCGTGGTGAGAAGAAAGAGCTACGAAGCATTTTTGGTGATCCACATTTTGATGGCCATGTTCTTCGTTATTGGGGGTTACAAACACACACTCGGGTTTGGTTACCAACCATTATACTGGACATCCATCGCCGTATGGGCTATTGACCGGTTAATCAGGTTTACTCGTTTATTTGTTTTCGGAGCTCCAATGGCTACTGTCACTCTTTTGGCAGAAGAAACCTTGAGAGTGGTTATCCCCAAACCAAGTTTCTGGCATGCCACTCCTGGAGGACATGCCTTTGTACATTTTATTAGACCTTCGTGTTTCTGGCAATCTCATCCATTCACCTTCACTGATTCGTCTGAAGAGGGTAACTACATCGTCATGTACATCAAATTAAAGGGTGGTGTTACTCATGGGGTCTACAAGCACTTGGCCAATGCACCCGGAAAGAGTGCTAAAATCAGAGTTTTGGTGGAAGGACCTTATGGAGAAGACTCGTCTGCTCGTAAGTATAAGAACGCTGTGTTCATAGCTGGAGGTAACGGTATTCCTGGTATTTACTCGGAGTGTATCGACATTGCCAGAAAAACCGTTGATGGAAATGGTCCTCGGTTGAAGCTCATTTGGATCATTCGGGAATGGAAGTCGTTGGCTTGGTTCTACCAAGAGTTGAGAAACTTGAACAACACCAACATCGATACTACGGTGTTCGTGACCAAACCATTGTTGAATTTGGAAAATGGTTTGACCCATTTGAAGCCAATTCTCATAGACTCAGAATCTTCCTACTCGGACAAAGAAAAGACTAATTCGGATGTCAAAGACTCTAGTCTTCCATGTAACGATTCGGACCTGGAAGAAACTTCGATGGTGGCCTCCATCAAGAATGAGTTGTCACACATTTCTTTCCAAGAAGGAAGACCTGAAATTCACGACCTCATATGTAATGAGATTTCTCAAGCCGATGGGTCTTTGGCATTTGTCACCTGTGGTCACCCCCATATGGTTGATGAAGTTCGTTTTGAAGTATCACAGAATTTGCACCAGTCTAAGCACAGAATAGAGTATTTTGAGCAGTTACAGGTATGGGCCTAGTATATTTAATTTATTGTTTTTTTTCGTTAAGGTTATTTTTTTATAGAAATTTTTATCGATATTAAAGCTTGGTGCGATGTTGTGTCAAATTTGTTTCTTCCGGCCGATCTTTCCCAAAGCCTCTAAACTGTGCAGCACCCGGTAGGATAAAATTTTGCAACCTCAAAGAGTCTCCACTAATAGCCAAATAGAAGAATTTAAGAGACCAGATATTGTTAATAGGACAAATTAATGATCTAGAACTATGGAATTTTTTTCGCTACTAGTTCGAGGTATATCTGCGAGTTTGCAAAAAAACGACCCCGGTGAGGATCGAACTCACGATCTCAAGATTAACAGTCTTACGCCTTAGCCAGCTTGGCCACGGAGTCTTAATTTCACATTTGTTTCTACCAGCTGACCCGGTTTGGAATTTCAGATCCGGGTCTGTACTAGATGATCCCAGTGTAGCTAATCCAATTTTTGTTGATGCCTACTACTCGCTTTTGTTCACGGGGGGCAATGTTCGAAAATGTGGGTGGCTGCAAAAACGTGTAGATCATTGCATCACCTTCGCGACGGCTGACGCAAGAAAAGGACAACTTTTTGTCTTCATAAAATTGACTCGCTTTCATCTCATATCGTCTCGTATATTGCATATAAGAAAGAACCCAACGGTATCAAATCACTTAGAAGCCCTAGCGTTCTCATCTACCTAAAATGAAAACGTAATGTTATCGAGCTCCGGAACAACCAAAAGGGTCTCACAGCCATTTTTTATGGAAATGTCCATAGTGAGGTCTCTGCTATCGAGAAGCTTTATCAACAAACGAGGTAGACTCAATTTCCCAACAGTAAGAGGAATCAATACCAAATTGAACTTGTTGGTACTTTGGCTCTTACTGTCGATGCTGAATATCTTTTTCCTGAACCCGGAAATGAGCCAATTATCATCGTTAACTATACTAACCTGAAATCGTTCCTTACTTGGATAATCTTCCAATAATGAGGACTCGGCATTTATCGAAATGTCTTGTTCATCTTCAAGTATACGGTGCTTACTGGTCCATTTCAAACTCGATTCAATTGCCAATTCAACTGATATAGGCTCGCCCACAACGTACTTTTCTTTCTTGTTGAATTTGAACTCAACAATCTGTAGAATATCGATGTTGGACACAGGAACATAGATGTTCAAGCTGCGAAGCTTGAATGAGTCTTGGGTCGTGGTAGTTGAATGAGTGGAGTTGATGATGTTGATGATAGAATCTCTCACTTTAGTGCGTTCTTTTGGGGCCAAATATTGTACGATCCGATCTGTGAGAGTAGTGATTTCCAAAATATTCAAGATTGCAAGCTTTGAGTCTAGAAGATATGATTGATAGTCGAATCTTATTTTAGGCATTACCATGTCGTTAAAAGCATATGAGAAACTTTCAATTTCCAGGTGAACTAACCTGGCCATGATTTCTTCACATTCTTCGACAACTGAAGAATACACAACTGATAATTTGAATTCGTCGGTCGGTTTCACATGGTGTTTTTCGGTGAGCTCAATTTTGTAAAATGAAGTGTACATCTGCTCTCCGTACACAATGCAATTTTCAGAGGTTACCCTAGGAACCTTTATTGTGTATGCGGTGCCGCTATTCTCATCAGCATTAACTAATTGGGTCGATAATATCCTCACAGGAGACGATATGGCAGAACCAACTTGGAACCTTGAAAAGATCGATTCCGATTTGAAGATGTCTTGAACTGAAACACTTACTATAAGGTTTGTATCAATTATCTTTTCAGTCACGAATTCATAGGAAGTCTCGTTAGCATCGTACCTCACAAGCGTTTTCACCTTTAAGATTTTGTTGTCGGTGAGCAGTTGAATTGGCACTTCATGTAAATATTTCTCACCTGCTTCTAAATCGACTTTTCTTAACTCCAAGTTTTTCTTGTCATATTTGAAGTCTTCAAACGTTAAGAAATCCACCGAAACATTTTGGATGGGTGTTTCCCCATTCTTTAATGTAAGGATAATCGATGGTAATCCAAGAAGCAAATCTGAAGCCATCTTTATATCACAAGTGAAAACATCTCCACTAGGATAGAAATAAATCGAGTTAGTCTCCATTTCAGACTGTGCAGTTTGGTTATGGAAGATCATAGAATCATTTAAAATGGAGTGTTTTGGATCGTCTGGTACTTGGGTAAATGTATGGATCAATTTAAGTTTGGGGCTTAACCCTATTGTCAATTTTACAGGTTTGAAAAACCCCACAACAGCCCTTCGTGAGACTAACTTGACAGTTTGAAACTTCTCTTCTGATAACCGAACATCACCTACTTTGAAAGTCAAGCCTTTGGACAATTCAAGTTCAACATGTTCGAATTTGAACTCGATTTCATACAAGTTGGTGAGGTTCAACTCGAGGTAGTAGTTGTGACCATCATTTCTAATGTGAGGATCCAAGTCGACTTCAAATATTTTCTCAATGGGAAACTCAAAGCTTTCTTGGAGTGATTCTGAACCCTTTATGACATTTTGTGACAACTTTGATATTTGCTTTTGAGTCTTTATAAGGCGATAATTATTTATATCGACTTTCTCTGAGGTTGTTTTCAAGTTTGAGATGAGCTTTATATATGATTGTACTAACAAAGCAGGGTTGTTAATACTCAATTTCTCAATGCACTCGACGTATATCTCTAGAAGAATACCTCCCATATAGTTCCAATTGTTGTCAAGAAAGAATTGATATGAATCCTGCAAAATGTTCAAACTCTCTTTATAGTTTTGACGTTGATAGTTCAACAATGCTAAATCGATACTAAGGACATCGATGGTCTTTGTTCTGTTACATAAAACAAGATGTTGGATTATGGTTTCTGTAGCATTTTCAAAGTACTGAAGAAATGAGTCTTTGGACTTTAGTATTCTCAGTAGCTCTCCCACAAGCTCTATTTCCTTCTGTTTATCACCGTGATCATCTAAAGATACTTCATTGAATTCGTAGATTCGATAACCTCTCAAAGCTCCGAGTTTGACGAGACTTGATCTTTCAAACAACTTCAATTCTCCCATGAACTCGTGCAAATATGAGGTATCGACCTCTTCATGAGCTGGAGTATTTATGAAGTCTTTGATGACTTTGTGGCCCATGAAATACTCAATCAAGTGGTAGTTGAACTGCAAGACAGAATCACCAAAAAAAGAATTCAAGATATTCAAATAATCGATCATTTCCTGAAAAAGATTCGACACATATAGACATTGGATTGAAAACAAGTCTTCATCCTCCACCAACGTCAACAAAAGCTTGAACTTCCTGTTGAAGACAAAACTTATAATGTAGAAATAATTGGTCTCCAGTAGAATATCACACTCCTTAAAAACAGCCGTAACGTTCTTGTAGTCGATTTCAGGTAAGATGTTCTTGAAAGACGTTGGGCTCTTATGATAGTAGTTTTGGAGTAGAATAGTGGAGTCTTTCAATGTGTTCAACGAGTCTTTGAACAACCGTAAATTCTCAAAGGACATGGATTTCTTCAAGAGTAAGTTAACGAAAAATAAGTCCTTATCCTTAATGGTGCTCAACTGCTTGTCAATGGTCTCAAAATTGCGGAGACAAGATGCTAATATAAGATCCTTGATGAAATTGATCAAATCATTATAAACTTCCAATTTGTTCAAGTCATTATCATTGGGTTCTCTCAACCTGAAACACCTGTCTTTCGAGCCCCTGTTCACAGTCAAGGCACTCAAGTGTTTGCCATCCTTACCGAAATCTGCTTTTAGCTTTTCGAAAATTGACGTCTTGAAGGAATATTTATCTTTCTTGATAGGAGAGTACAACACAATTAACCATTCGACATCGTCGTTTACCGAATGCTTCAACCATTCCAAGATCAAGGGTCGTACCTGGGACTTATAAATCTCTATTGCGTTACATTGGATGAACATTAGCCTGACATGGATCAGATCATTGACTTTCTTGGGCACCTCTTCCACCAAGTCCACCGGCAATCGGGGTATTGACCGCAACGCCGACGAGTGGTTAAACCTCCAGTGGACGTTTGTCAATGGTAGTTTGGAGTCCAAGCTGGGTTTTATCAAAGGGAATACGTTGAATGGATCATAATATGCCAACTGAACACTCATGCTGTTTAATGGGAACAACTTTGAAAGAATCGCGTTTTTCACTGCTGCAAAATAAATCTCACAAATATTGCATTAATCCTACAAAATAAATATCATATCAAATTATACCTTTTCGACATTAGCCTCGATAGGTTTTGTGACAGAAAAGTTATCGTGGTCTTCATCAAGAGACTCCTCGTCCGACTTGATTCCATGATCATCAAACTCTTCAACATATTCATCACGATCAATATCGAAAGAAGCGTTTCTATTCTCAGGTCCAAATAAGGTTACAACAATCAAGTAACCCACTACGCATCCCAAGAATATCGCCATCACCTTGGCGTAATTGTAAGTAGGTGCACCGGATGGGGCAACGATAGGGAATCTTTCACCAATGGTAGACTCGATGGTGGAAGAAGCAGATGACACCAAATTACCCAACTGGTAACTCAAACCCACCACAAACGTTCTGTAGTCAGGGGGAGACAATTCAGACAAGTGGGAGGGAACCACCCCCCAAGCCCCTTGCACCCCAGCTTGAAGGAAAAAGGCGCCAGCGTTGATGCCAGAACCTTTAATGAAAGCCCATGGGTAAATCATTGCACCTGCTAACACAGCAGCAATGATAATGGAGATTCTTCTGCCGATGAAGTTGGAAACATGGCCAAAGATGAACCCTCCAAAAATGGCCCCCAAGTTGGCCACGCTGTTGGTGACGGTGGCTCTGTCGGTACCGTAACCCAATTGCACCTTCAAGAGAGTTGGGTAGATATCCTGTGACCCGTGTGAAAAAAAGTTGAACCCAGCCATCAAAAGAATCGTATAGAGGAACATCGCCCAGTAGGTCTTCAAGACCTTTTTTCCCAGGATAACGAATTCGGCAATCTCTTCTCTGACGGTTGGCTGAATGGGTCCAGCAGTTGGGTCCGCATTACCTTCGGCAATTTTCCTCTTCCTAAGCTCCATCTTGGCTCTCTTGATCAAATAGTCATCAGTTTCGGGTAACATCAATCTCCACACAATGAAAATGACTGGGGGCCCGGCAGAAAACCAGAAAATTGATCTCCAGGCCTGGTTGTGGTCGTTATTGACATTATCGACAATAGCTCTGTTAAACACCACCACCAAAAGGTATCCAAAGGCATAACCTTGTTGAAAGAGTCCCCCAAGGATACCACGGGCATTTTTGGAAATCCCCACCTCATCGTGGTTAATGGTGGAAAGATAGTCCTGGTTCAAATCTTTGACAGGCTCGGGGTTACACCCGTAGCAAGTGCCCAAAGCCACCGAATAAACCCCACCCATGGCAATTCCGAAAAGCGCTCGCACCCCTAAGAACTGTTTGTAGGTCTTGACAAACCCACAGCCAATTTGGAGCACCACCAACAAACCCAATGACACCACATACGGTAACTTGGTGCCGTACCTATCTCCGATCAACCCAAAAATAGCAGCTCCTACCGACCGCAACATAAGCACTAAAGTGATCCCCCAGGTGATATCTTTGACTTCTTTACCCAAATCGATAGCAATCGAGTCCACATTCAATGACACACTGAAAAAGTCAAATGCGTCCCAGGTCCAAGCAAAGTACCCAATGAAGAAATACATCCATTGTCGTCTGTTCAATTCACCCAACGGGCGAAAAGGGTTAAAGTATTGGCCCCAAGTATATGAGCTTCTTTCTTTCTTCGATGCCACCAATGTGGTGAACCGGGTTTTGAGATACTTTTTAATGGCTCTGGAGGTGAAGGTTGGTGGATGGACCACATGCTGATTATGGTCTTCCACCAACTGAGAGTGAATAGAAATTACACTGGTCATCTGACAAACAAATATGCAACGTGAAAATATAGCGGGTTGCTGTTTTTATACCCAAAGCTTATTCCTCCGATAAACTGTGGGGATGCCTTTTTCTTGACAGATTAGGCTTCGGAGTATTTAGCGGGATCGCTCCCTTTCCTGTACACATCTCGAGTTGACACCCCAAGTCCTGCGGTTGGCGCGCGGTTATGGGGCCAAGGTAGATGCCGCTTGAGGGGGGAAGATATGGTTATTGTTGGCCCCGTAGCAACGGGCAAATAAAGTTTAAGAGTGTTGGGTTAATATCATTTATTCATAATCAAGCAGAACCAGTCTAAATAGGTGTCAGACACACCCGAGTTTTTTTACCGGGGAAAATCACCCCAGGTTTGGGCCACATATCTACTCCCGTTTCTGACTACACACGAAGTGATACCACGTAGTCAGCGCTAACGGGCCGATGGTCACTCATGTAGAAATCGTACCAGTTGTGCAAAATAGCGAAATTCTTAATGCCTATCTGGTAGTACCTATGAAAGTCAAACTGGAAAAAATTCTTGTCCAGAGTTTCCACTTGTGATGGTTGCCGATTGCCGTTCAAGGCAAAATAGGGGGCCCAGATGTAGTCGATGATGGTGTTGACTTCTTCGTGGCGGTTAAACCCGGTGAACGTCAGGTGGAAGCCATAATGATGTAACTTGTCCACCAATGTGCGGCTGTCCTTGAATCCCAGGTCCTTCAAGATATGGTACGGTTCATCGGTGGGCTGGGTGTTGAAGTCACCACAGAGAAATGACGGGTAGTTGTTATAGTTCTTCATCTTTTCGACAATCAACTTACTGCTTTCTCTGCGAGCCATGACCCCGCGGTGGTCATAGTGGGTATTGAAGAAGTTTAACTTGATGAGCGGGTTCATTTTGGACTGTAACGTCACCATCGTCACGATCCGCTCCAAGGCAGCATCCCACCCGCGGCTGGGCACCTCGGGCGTCTCGCTCAACCAGAAGGTCTTGGTGTCAGCCACAATCCATTCCAGATGCTTAAAGAGAATAGGAGCATACTCTCCTGCCTGCTCTCCATCAGTACGGCCCACACCGTAGTACGACCAGTCACCTTCGGTCTGGTCGTTGTTCAATCCGTACATGATATCCTCTAGTTGGTTGTGTAACACCTCCTGGAGGCATACGACGTTTCCCTGGTCGGTGTTAAAGGTATTAAACTGGATCGACAGGGTGATCAAGGGTTTTCTATGGGACCAAGACCGTTCGTGTGGGTCCAAGTGTTTGTTGTCGTAGCGGATGTTGTTGGTGTATAATCTGACTGTCAAGGGTTTCAACAAGGTCGACCGATCGTACGAAAAGTCGGTATTTTGCCCTAGGTGGTGGAGGGTGAGGGTACCAATGGCTGCGGCGATCAACATACTGATGATGACGTGAGTGATTCTCGAGGGTTTGGGATGGGGTTCTTGGGGTGCGTTAGAGGGTGACTCCTGTTGGGGAATCAACGGGGATGTTTCGTCCATGGTGTCAATGTACTGATATGTTTGGAACAAGCCCCTGCAATGCAAATGCGTGGTAATTTAGTTTGCGTGCGAATTGCGGAGTATTATGTCACGGTTCGGCGGGTATGGCATGACGGGAGACCGCGTGGGCAAGTCGGGATGCCGCGTGGGTAAGACGATAGGGCCGCGTGGGTAAGACCACACATGACGACACATGACGACACATGACGGGACGCGCATCTGGATATAGTAAGGCCATTGTTGTTGTTTCTTCGCCTAGTACCGTGGTGCAAAGTGGGCGGTTACGCCGCTAATTTTACGGCTCCACCGCCAATGGTCCCGCCACGCGCCCGCAGTGAGCTCCACCGCCGCACCAGCACCACCGCCGCACCAGCACCACAACCTCCCTATACGATCTCCCTAACCACCTCTCCCTATATGATCTCCCTGACCACCTCTCCTTGACCACCTCTCTCTAACCTTCGCGTCTCCATCTCTTCTACCATCTCTCATCCCTTTTCTCCACCCCCGGTCTCTTTTATTCCCTGCTTTCCTTCGTTCCTTCTTTCCCTTCCTCCTCGTATTCTCCAGTGCGCACAAACCTCAACAAAAATCAACCATGGGAAAGAAGAAACAAGAGATGTCTCAAGTATACAACTCCAACAACGAGTTCATCTTTGGTGAAAAAGGCGGCAAAGGAAAGAACCTCTCCACTTTCCTCAAAAACCTCTCCTTAACCACTTCTCCCAGTCAACCCCAGTCAGAATTCAACGAAGCAAATTCCAACATATACGGATCCTTGTCATACTCAAATCCTAATACCAATGAAATCAGCCGGTCTAATCCCTCATTGGCCAGAAGGGCTTCGCCCAAACGGTCGCTCTCAGGGCCCACCAACATGTCGTTTGCCCATTCGCTCACTCCCACCGCTTCTGAAGCTTTGCGAACCAACTCGCCCACTCGCACCAAACGTGTTGTTAGTGCCAAGTACGCTGATCTCGACGACGACTGGGACGCAAACTTCGACGACGCTCGTGTAGACACCGACATGCCCAGTGTTCGCAGAGAAGGCTTTGGCAACACTTTTCTAGATCCCAGTCCCATGTTGGACTCACTTTATCCTGATCTCACAATTCCTGCGGGCACAAAAGAACCGGTGAAAGACTCAATTGACCTCGAGGACATGAAAATCAAGTTGGAAATCAACAAGTTGAACCAGCTCAACACCAAGTTCCTCAAGTTCAAGGCCCTTTTAACCCAATCATCCAATATAAACCTCCAGGAGCTTCGTAAACTCTCCTGGAATGGAATTCCTTCCAACTTACGGGCCATAAGTTGGCAGATTTTATTGGGTTACTTGCCGACAAACAAATCAAGACAATCTGCTACCCTCAAAATCAAGCGTCAGGAATACTTGGATGGCATCAAGTTGATGCAAAACTCGGTCAATTTCGATAATGATGATAGCAAAAGTATGAGCTCATCGTCGCTAAACTTGAACCGAGACAAGCAGATCTACCACCAAATTAAAATCGACGTCAAGAGAACAAACCCCACTGTCAAGCTATACGGTCACCCAGAAGTGCAGAAATCCTTGAGAAAAATCCTCTACTTCTGGGCCATCCGTCATCCAGCCTCCGGTTACGTCCAAGGTATAAACGACTTGGTGACACCGTTCTTCCAGATCTTCCTCACCAACTACATTTGGCAATTACAGCGTACGAGAACCCACGAAACCAGCCATAACCCTGAAGACGACGACTCAATGTTGTTCATTCCTGATGTACTTGATCCCCATGACCCCAAAGAACAAGCTCTCTTGAACGACCCCCAGCTTTTCAACTATAATCTTCATAATCTCGACCCCACGCAAATCAGTTCTCGAGTCTTATCCATCATCGAGGCTGATACCTACTGGTGTTTATCTCGACTTTTGGAAACCATCACCGACAATTACATCCACCAACAACCCGGTATTCTCAAGCAAGTATCGGATTTGAAAAACCTTATCAGCAAAATCGATATCGACCTCATCCATCACTTTGAGCAGGAGAATATCGAGTTCCTCCAATTTGCATTTCGGTGGATGAATTGTCTTTTGATGCGAGAGCTCTCGATCGACTTGATCATTCGGATGTGGGATACTTATCTAAGTGAATCGCCGTTGGGATTCAGTAACTTCCATATCTACGTGTGTGCGGCGTTCCTCATCAAGTTCAGCAGCGATTTAAAACAGAAGGATTTCCAGGAAATCATTCTCTTTTTACAAAACCCACCTACCTCACACTGGACAGACAAGGATATAGAGTTGATGTTGAGTGAAGCTTTTATATGGCTGAGCTTATACAAAAACGCATCTGCTCATTTAAGATGATGAGATACCAAAACGGAGTTTCTCCAGAGTCTCATCTCGCGGCAATTGACTTCTGTTAATTAAATACAGGGCCCTTTTATAGATCCTAATTTATCCACTCGTAACACACTTATTAGCTCAACCTAATTCCTCCCAGCCATGTCTGATGTTCCAGTTCAACCCCAACCTAAAAAACCGGCTGGTAGAACCATCTTGGCCTCTACCATCGCCAAAATCTATACCAGTGAAATAGCTGACAAGGTCAAATCCTTGGGATATGCCCCCAAAATCGTGGGGCTTTTGGCCAATGGCGACCCGGCCGCATTGATGTATGCCAACTGGACTAGCAAAACCTGTAATGAGTTGGGCTTCGACTACGAGTTGGTTCACTGTGATAAACAACAATTGGAAAACAAGTTGATCAAGGCCAACCAAGATAACTCCATCAATGGGATCATGGTATATTTCCCGGTGTTTGGAGACAACCAGGATCAGTACCTTCAGCAACTCATCAGTCCAGAGAAGGACGTGGAAGGGTTGAACTACTTGTACTATAAGAATTTGTATCATAATATCCGGTTCTTGGACCCTCCCACCAACCGCAAAAAATCCATTTTACCGTGTACTCCGTTAGCAATCGTCAAGATTTTGGAATACTTGGGTATCTACAACAAGATCTTACCGTACGGTAACCGGTTATACGGCAAGAAAATCATGGTGGTTAATCGGTCTGAAATTGTCGGTAGGCCATTGGCAGCGCTTTTGGCCAACGACGGGGCCACTGTCTACTCGGTGGATATCAATAATATCCAACAGTTTACTCGTGGTGACGATCTACTGGAACAAAAGCATAAGGTCATTGACTTGGACAGTGCCACCGCCAGTATCGACAATTTGGCCCCCACCTGTGATGTGATTATCACGGGAGTACCTTCTGACCACTATAAATTTGACAGCCAGTTGGTGACCAACGGCACCACGATTGTTAACTTCTCCAGTGCCCGAAACTTCAACGATGATATCAAGCTCAAGGCCGCTCTCTACGTGCCATCCATTGGTAAGGTCACCATTGCCATGCTTCTTCGAAACCTATTACGCTTAATCGAAAACAACCAAATATGAGGTGAAAATATACAATCATTTGTAACGGTTGGCGCGCGCCCGCCAGAAGTTTTGTTTTCTAATCCCCAAAGAACCCCAGCTCATCGAGTATATCACCTTCCCAAGGCCATTCCCCCAACCCACAATGGAACCCACCACGAAGAAGCTCGACAAAGTCGACCCCTTGTCGGTGGCCGAATCCTTGGGTATTCGTACCTATAGAAAGGTTTCTCGAAACACATGGACTCCTGATGATGATGCAGAACTCATAGGAACATTGAAACAGATCCTGGCGGTGGACCTTGGTGAAATCGACGCAGACACCATCGACTGGGACTTATTGGCGTCTAAGTTGACCCACCAGCACCGCAAACCCAAAGACTATAAGAAGAGATGGGTGACATCTCTTGATCCCAATGTACGCAAAGGCCGGTGGACCAAAGAAGAAGATGACCAGTTGATCGAAGCGTACGCCCGCTTCGGGCCCTCGTGGCAGAAGGTTGCATCTCACATACGAACACGTACCATGGATCAATGTGCCAAGCGGTATACCGAAGTGTTGGATCCTAAGACCAAAGACCGCTTAAACCCCTGGTCTCGCGAGGAAGAAATGCTACTTATCAAACAAATTGGTATCCACGGCACCAAATGGCGAAGTATTGCCAGTAACTTCAAGAACCGGCCGGCGTTGACGTGTAGAAATAAATGGAGAACCATTGCTTTGGGAGTGGCTAGAGGCAGAGCCCATCCCCACATAGCAGCTGAGGTGGAAAAAATCACCAGCAGAAAAGAGGTGTTGGATGCCACCGCTGACGTTTCACCGGCATCTACCTCGCCGGCGTCCACCGGAGCCCAGCCATTGGTCCCCCCGTCACAGTCTCAATTGCGTCACACCCTGGCAGAATGGCGGTATACCCTCACCCCCTCCGAATCGACACCAGCATCGTTTATGCCGCCTGCAAAAGATATGGGTGTCATCAAGGATGAGGCCACAGTGCGCCTCTTACTCGATTATGCCAACTCCTACGGCCTTAAACTTGACATTCACCAGCACACCCATCATCACTATGCCCCCCCTCCTCATCCGTTCAACCATATAGCAGCTTCTCCTCCAGACTTTGCAAATATCGGGGCCAGTCCGGGCTTGGGCCCAGTCCAGCCGTCCAACCGGTCCATATTTCTAGAGCCCGAAGCCCAGTTGCACCGTTTCCAACATTTCAACTACTTACCTCCTTTAACAGAGGTACCCAAGTTAACCTCGTCATCGTCACCGGTGATGACGGCCAGCGAACGTAACGGCCGTGATATTCGCCAAGCCCAGTCGCCTTCGGGCCTAACGCCGCTCACCCAAGCAGCAGAGCTTGCGGTGGGAGAAGTAGTGAGGAAAAGGAAGAATAATGACTATGGCCTAGACTCCACCGGCTCTAAGAAACTCAAATCCGAAGGCGATGGTGGTTTTTTTGAACAGATACGACACTTGACCGATATTCTGCAGTCTTCCCGTGGTGAACCTAAGTCCAACGGTGGTACCGATGGAGAGGGAAATATTTCTGGCCAACGGCCGGTTTCGCAGCACCACCCGTTACACTATTTCACGGGAGGTACAACTCCACAAGCAAATATACCCACTCCAGCGGCCCCTCGACCAACAAACCGAGATGAGGATGAGGAAGAGGATGAAGAGATGCGATCTTACGGGCTCTTCTACCAATCTTATCGGAAATCGAGATCCAATTCCCATTTTGAGCCTGGGGTACCGGTTCCCTCTACTGCGAACCCTACCGCGAACTCGGCCGCCCGTACCTCCAACCCTGCCACCAGAGCTCCCGCGACGCTGGCAGAGGCCCCCCCAACTGCTTCCCAGGAAAAGCACAGTCCCGGAAGCAGCAACCATGAAAACGATCATGATCACGATGGCTACAACTTTGTCTACGAAAATCTCCTAGGAAGCTTTGGCATGATGCCCTTTAACCCTTCATAATTGTAATATAGTAATTCCCATTGCAGCTACCGTCTGTGTGCAGCAGCAGTGCGAATTTGTACAAACATTTTAATACACATTAGAAACCACAAGCCTCCTTTCACCATTAAATGAACCCTGGCGAAAAGCCCAATGGCCACACCTCAAAAACCGTGGGGCCCAATGAAGTGAAGCGATACTATTACAAGCTAATCAACGAAGAGTTCCGAACTTTGCAATTGGACAAGAACTTGCGAAACAAATCGGTATTTGATTTGATCGATTACTGTGAAATGTTATATGAAAACCTGGCTGCTTCAGTCGATGGTGATGTGATGAGCCTCAAAAGTTATATCAAGGGGTACTTGATCTTCAATTATTTCATCAACAGTTTCATCATGTTGCATTTCGAAGGGTTTGACCAATTTATCAAGACAAACGAATATGATTTCATCATTTACCTAAATGTATTTGCATTCTATAATACGGATGAGTTGATCAGCAGCCAGGCGTATCAGTTCCCGCTACTGGAGCTAAGAAAATTGATTCTTGAATACTTGGGGGACCGAAACTTGTTGAAGTTCGATGTGAATGAGTTGTATGACTGGCTCTACGAGTATATTGACTACTTGAAGCAAAAGGATCACTATGAACGACGAGTACTTTCAAGCCCGGAGCCTGACTCACTTGAATCAGACCCCGAAGTCTCAGACCCTGAAGTCTCAGAGCCTGAGGTCTTGGAACCTGAGGACTTGGAACCAAAAGCTAAGAAGTTGGCTAGATCCTCCAATAGCTACAATCTCACTTCCAACTTAGACAAACTAGCCATTCACAATAACTCAGACGAGTCTTTGGAAGATAGATCCACTGATTCAATTAACGAGTTCACCACCAGGTTTCCCTCCATCAAGTTTTCACCGGAATCCACTATGACTGATCCTCTTAAGCATATAACTCCGGCCCCTAAACCCAATGGAACTACTAACAACACTGAAGTAGTAGTTAATGGAACCTCTCGACCCCCGATCCCCACTTCGCTACCTCCGGGTCTACCGCTTATTAATATGGATGAAAAGAAGAACAATTCGACCTCTTCAATCAGTTCACTGACTCCATATCCGTTGAAATCCGAAGTACATATAGAAGAACCTCCATACCCATTGGACAGGCGGCCCAATACCGATGATCTCTATTTCACAGAGAATCCCATCACAAAGCCAACACCACCATTAAAGACATATAGGACAGAGCCATATCAAGGTGCTTACCAGTACCTGAGACCTCCCCAGGTGCCTCCTCCACAAGTTCAACAAGCATACTCGCAACCACCACCTCTGCAAATGTTCCAGTACCAACATCAACCGCTTCCAATGGCTTTCAATACTCCACAGCTACAACCCACGGTTCCCCCTCCTCAAGTATATGCGAATCCTCGTCTCACTCAACAGCAGATGATCCATGAAGATCATGCTAGACAGAGACAACAACGACTCCAGTACATGAACGAGCTTTCAATATGTGGTCTAAAGAACTTTGGATCCTCGTGTTATATCAACTCTACCATCCAGACGTTGTTTGGGGTTGACCAGTTCAAACGTCTTTTCAGCAACCTGCAATACAACAAGTATATTAAAGACCCCAAGTTTATCACCGCTAAGAAGAATCCAAGGAACAACTCAAAGGATACAGTACTTCTAAGTGAGGCGATTTCTGGGCTCTTAAAGTCGTTTGGTATGCATGGTGGTGCTTCGATTGCACCCACCAAATTCATTCGAGTCTCGTCACTTTTGAAACCCGATTTGAACATTCCCTACGAGCAACAGGACTCTCAGGAGTTCCTCTTGTTCATTTTAGATAGACTTCATGAAGAACTCAGCAACAAATCCATGCCTAGTGAAGATTTGAATGTGCTTATATTCGAAAATTACATGAGGATGTGGAAAATCCACATCCCCAATAATGAGTTGGAAGGATATTTTAAGTGGTATAAGCTGTTGATAGAGTTTGAAGGTAGTTCTCCAATCCATGATATGTTTGAAGGACACTTGCAAAACAAGCTTGTGTGCAACAAGTGTAACTTTGAATCGATCAATTACTCACCCTTCACGATTCTTTCACTTCCTATTCCCAACAACAATCATCAGTCAGTGGACATTTCTGACTGTCTTAGATATTATACCCAGGATGAGATTTTAAGTGGTGATAATGCTTGGAACTGTCCCAAGTGCCATAAGACCGGAGGTTCTGATGTAGATCATAGTGTACTTGACACCCATCCAGTATTCACCAAAAGGCAAGGGATCTTCAGGCTCAGTAGGAGAAGCAAGTCCCCCACCAAAAGGGATAAGAGTTCCAAACTCATCAAGCATGGGGCATCATACTCTACAAAGAAACTAAACTTCATTAAGCTTCCTCCCGTGTTGTTCATCCATTTATCCCGATTTTCCATGCATAACTTAACCGACAAACTCGACACCGTCATCACGTACCCGCTCGAGCTCCGGTTCAACAACTATTCGGGTGAGGACTCGTTGATTGTGTATCGGTTGTGTGGGCTTATAAATCACTATGGGAATCTCAAGTCGGGTCATTACACAGCATTGGTGAACAAATCCACCACGGGACCGTACTGGTGCTACTTTGACGACGAGTCGGTACGGTTAAACATTGAGATGGCTCGCATCGCCAGCTCACGTGACGTGTATGTGTTGTGCTACCAAAGGGTTTAGTTGGGATTTATGGAGAAGCATCCACATTGTTTACAAATTTTTGGCGCGAGTCTATTTACAAAAGCCCGTCGCGTATTAAATCATAAATATATAATCCACACCTCAAACATACAATGACATCGCAAGAACTTGCCGAAGATGAAGATAATTCTGGTCCCTTGCTCATCGAGCAGTTGGAAGGTAACGGGATCACCATGAATGACATCAAAAAGTTAAAGGCAGAAGGGTACCACACCATTGAGAGTATCGCGTATACACCCAAGAAAGCTTTACTTTTAGTAAAAGGAATCAGTGAAGCCAAGGCCGACAAAATCGGCCAGGAGGCCGCCAAGGTAGTCCCCTTAGGATTCACCACCGCCTCGGAGTTCCACAGTCGTCGGTCCGAATTGATTTGTCTCACCACTGGATCCAAGCAATTAGACACTTTACTCGGTGGAGGCATCGAGACCGGATCCATCACCGAAGTTTTTGGTGAATTCAGAACTGGTAAATCCCAGTTGTGCCACACGTTGGCTGTCACGTGCCAGTTGCCCATTGACATGGGTGGAGGTGAAGGAAAGTGTCTTTACATCGATACAGAAGGAACCTTCCGGCCCGTCAGATTGGTGTCTATTGCCCAACGGTACGGGTTGAATCCTGATGACTGCTTGGATAACGTGGCATATGCCAGAGCTTATAATGCCGAACACCAGTTCCAGTTATTGAATCTCGCAGCCCAAATGATGGCTGAATCACGATTCAGTTTACTTATCGTGGACTCAATTATGAGCTTGTACCGTACCGATTACAGTGGTAGAGCTGAGTTGTCGGCTCGGCAAACCCATGTGGCCAAGTACATGAGAACGTTGCAACGGTTGGCCGACGAGTTTGGAATAGCAGTGGTGATCACCAATCAGGTAGTGGCTCAGGTCGATGGGTCAGCTTCTATGTTCAACCCCGACCCCAAAAAGCCTATCGGAGGTAACATTATTGCTCACTCTTCCACCACCCGATTATCCTTCAAAAAAGGTAGGGCTGAACAGAGAATCTGTAAGATTTATGACTCTCCGTGTTTGCCCGAAAGTGATTGTGTATTTGCCATCTATGAAGATGGCATTGGTGACCCCAAGGTGGAAGAAGAGGAGTAAATTTATGTATATGGTTCCTGTATGTTAATTTATGGTTAATGTTTGTTGAAGTATGAGATGTAATATGTCTCGGATCGGCCATCCGCGGACTGACAACAGCCCGTAACACAATTTTTTGCCCCCACCCACTTGAAACTTTTGTCCCCCTGCCACCACCTCCAGGCTATAATCCCCCCTATTGGCGGAGCTCCCAAGAGATTTTTTTCGTGGCTGTCAGTAGTGTGTATGACTAGAACGGTCTTTGCGCCGCACGTAAAATTTTTATCTTTTTCATCAGTTCTCATGGACGTGCAATCCCGAGTCCCAGGAAAAAAATTTTAAAACTTAAGGTTAGCCATTTGGTGTATTTCTACTCAACATAATTATAACCACCATGGATAAATCCAAGATCAAGTCCATCTTACCCAAGCCCTCACCCTCTGCCAGTCAGAGTCCCACGGGGCTCCAATCCCAACGAGGTCTCAACTCCCAGAATCCCGCGTTGTCAGGAATAAACGGGCCAAGTTCTCGTCTGTCGTTACCTCCTATTAAACGGTCTTCTTCCAGTGCCAACGACATCAAAAAATCAAAAATTAAGAAGGAATCCCACTCGAGTTCCAAACCCACCGGCCACAGACCCGTCACCTCTTGTACTTTCTGCAGGCAGCACAAGATCAAATGTAACGCTTCTGAAAACTATCCCAACCCGTGTCAACGATGTGAACGTATGGGTTTGAGCTGTGAAATCGATCCTCAATTTAGACCCAAGAAGGGAAGTCAGATCCAGTCGTTGAAGAGTGATGTCGACGACTTGAAGGCCAAAATCGAGATGTTAACCCGCAATGAAACCCTTTTAACCCAGGCCTTGACTCACCAAAACAATTACAACATGCCATCGATGGCAGCACAAAGCCCGGCCATCGCTACGTATCACCTGGAGTATACGCCCTCCGGTGATGTCACCCCCTATTCAAACCCCCCCCATGTCGCCCAGAATGAGCGATATAAGTTTAAACCATCACTTGGGTATCCATGTTAAGGATAACTCGGATAACTCTCCCTCACAAGCATCTCCACAAAACCATGCCGAAACCTCCCCGGCCATCGAAGAGTTCATCTTGGGGGATGTACACTTGCCCTTGGAGAAGGCTAATGAATTGCACGACAGATTTATTATCAAGTACTTGCCGTTCTTACCCATTATCAATTCCAATAGCGCAACCGAATTGTACTACAAATCCCAATTGTTGTTCTGGTCGGTGATTTTAACCGCGTGCTTAAGTGAGCCTGAGCCTTCCTTGTACATGAGTTTGAGTTCTTTGATCAGACAGTTGGCAATTGAAACCTGTTGGATCAGAACCCCCAGATCGACGCACGTGATTCAAGCCTTGATTATTCTTTCCATATGGCCTTTACCCAATGAGAAAGTCTTGGACGATGCGTCTTATCGGTTTATTGGCTTGGCTAAAAACTTGTCTTTGCAGCTTGGTTTACATCGTGGGGGTGAATTCATTAAGGAATTCTCGAGGACTCAGGTGAGCTTGGGCCCAGACTCTGAGAAGTGGAGGACTAGAAGTTGGTTGGCAGTATTCTTCTGTGAACAGTTCTGGTCGTCATCTTTAGGGTTACCTCCTGCTATCAATACCACCGATTATTTATTGGAAAACGCCAGAATTGACTCAAGACTTCCAAAAAGCTTCAGGTGTCTTATTTCTTTGTCGATCTTCCAATGTAAATTGGTCAATGTGATGGGAATCTCCGTCACCAGACCTGATGGGTTATTGGAACCATCCAATAGAGCTGGCTCGTTGAATATTTTGGACAGGGAATTGGACAGACTCAAATTTAAATTGAATATCGATGACGATGCCACTGAGATTTATTACTTATATTTAAAGTTGATGATCTGTGGGTTTGCGTTTTTGCCTGGTACTCCAATTGAAGATCAAGTCAAATATGTCAGTTCTGCTTACTTGTCATCAACTAGAATCATCACCATGGTGTCACAAATGGTCAACAGTAATCAGTTCTTGTTGATCGAATTACCGATTTATGTCAGACAAGCCTTAAGTTATTCGGTGTTTTTGTTGTTCAAGTTACATTTATCACGCTACTTAATCGATAAATACGTCGATAGGTCAAGGCAGTCGATTGTCACGGTTCATCGGTTATTAAGAAACACTTTATCTTCTTGGAAAGACTTACAGAATGATATCTCCAGAACTGCCAAAGTATTGGAGAACTTGAACATTGTATTGTATACTTACCCCGATGTATTCAACAATGATGATGAAACTTCCATAATCAGCAAGATGAGAAGCCATTTGACTGCTTCGTTGTTCTATGATTTAGTATGGTGTGTCCATGAAGCAAGAAGACGTACTCTTCAAGATAAGCAAAACCCAGATCAAGCACAAAACGGGAAGATTCCCAAGAAGCTCACCGATGGAGATAGAAGAATCGCACCATTGCCATTCTACAACCAAATCACCAAAGATGATTTTAAAACCATTATCACCACCACTCCTAATGGAACTACGGTTACCACCTTGGTTCCTACAGATCTGGCCATGAACCAAGCCAAAGAGAAAGCCAAATCAAGTAAGAATAAAAAGATCGAAATCAATGGAATCCCCTTGTCTATGCTTGAAGCTACTGGGTCTATTAACGATAAGAATAAAGACTCTGATGGTATTACAGTACTTTCAAGTGCTCAATCACCTCTTCCTCTAATGTCACCCGATATTCCAAAGCCCCAGATGTCCCTGCAACTGAACGAAATAAGATCAAACATAGTTCCTGTGTCGAACTCTATGAATTTATTGGAACCTACTAATAATGATGGTATTTTTACTCAGAATAGTCTTCTAGTCGACAATGGTGAAACTACCCCATTCGTTAATGACCAGTTAGATACCTTTTTCCAGCAACAATCAGACGGCTGGATCAATAATGACAATTATCAAGATGACGACTTTTTGGGCTGGTTTGGTGCCAGCATGATGCCTGAAAACTAATGTTTGTATTGTATATATTAATTAAAGTGACTTGAATGAACGATGAGAAATGTATGGTGGGTGTGCGTGTGGAACCCAAAGTGAAAAATCGATCTTCTCATTCGAGCCCCGTTCACGTGAGATGTAGCAATCATCTACTTAATAACCGACCAACTTGCCACAAACTCCAGTAAAATTCAACCTATTCATTCTTCTTACTTACCAAAATGTTTAGACAATTGCTTAAAACCTCTCCCAGATCCTTCAGACCTGCTGTCCAATTGCAAACCCTTCAACTCAGAAATATCACTTTTGATTTGTCCAAACAACCAAGAATCAGAATTGGATCTGAAGCACCAAACTTCGAAGTCGACACCACCAAAGGAAAAATTGACTTCCACAAGTTCATTGGTGACAACTGGGTTGTGTTCTTCTCCCACCCCGCCGATTTCACCCCTGTGTGTACTACTGAATTGGGTGCTTTTGCCCAATTAGAACCAGAGTTTTCCAAAAAAGGTACCAAGTTGATTGGTTTGTCGACCGAACCAGTTGAAAGCCACAAGGCTTGGATCAAGGACATTGAATCTTACAAAAACACTTCCGTCAACTTCCCCATCATCGCTGATGACACCAAAGAAATTGCTTTCAAGTACGACATGTTGTCCGAAGAACAGTTGCAAAACATCAACAGCGGATTGGTGCCAACCATTAGATCCGTTTTCATCATCGACCCAGCTAAGAAGATCAGAGCCATCATCTCATACCCACCATCTTTGGGAAGAAACTCTGCTGAAGTGTTAAGAGCTGTTGATGCTTTACAAACTGCTGACAAGAATGGAGTAGTTACTCCAATTGATTGGACTCAAGGCCAGGATGTTATCATTCCTCCAACGGTGAGTGATGAAGCTGCCAAGGCCAAATTTGGTGAATTCACCAAGCACTTCAACTACTTGAGAACCACTAGCTTAAAGTAACTAAGTATCACCAATATAAAGACGGTTCGTGCCTATACCGCTGTTGCCAGTAATTATGCCAGTTTGGGAAAATTAATTGCTTACGCGTCTGGCATCTGGCATCCGCGATTTTCTCTTTCGTATACCCTCTGGTTTTATTCATCAGTTCTTTTCCCATAAGATTCTAAGCACCATGTCAACGTTTGTTTCGTCTCCGAATAGACTTCCAAGTGACTCTGCAGGCCTCTTTTCGTCACAGCCTCCCTCTTCAATTGGAAGATCGGGTACTTTCACGCCTTCCAGGTCCAATAACTTGTACAGCGAGCACAATCAAGATTCCCAATTACCCCCAACATCCAGTATTGTCTCCGGTAGAAGAAGGCAGATACAAGTTCCCAAGGTGGTTGATGTGACTGCTGAAAAAGTCAGAGAAAGCTTCGAATTATTCTTGGATGAATTCACAACTACTAGTGATTCCAATGAAGTCGAACGATTTTACGTGAACCAAATTGACGACATGAAAAACTATGAGCTTTCGACTTTATATGTTGATTTCCAACACTTGATGGATCGTGAGAATGGAGTTTTGGCTAATGCTATTTTGGAACAATACTACCGATTCCACCCATTTTTGGTCAAAGGTATCAAGAATTTGATCAAAAAGTATGCTCCCAACTTATTATATGTTTCTATGATTGGTACCAACGCAGAAGAAAACGAATCCAACGAGAGTGGAAGCACTACCTCATCCCAGCTGAATGAACGAGTTTTCCAGCTTTCTTTCTACAACTTGCCTACTTTGAATAGAATCAGAGATATCAAGACCGAAAAAATCGGTTCGTTAATGGCTATCAGTGGAACCATCACCAGAACTTCCGAAGTCAGACCAGAATTATACAAGGCTAGTTTCACTTGTGATATGTGTTCGGCTATTGTTGAAAATGTGGAACAAATCTTTAAGTACACTGAACCCACTTCGTGTCCTTCCTGTGAAAATCAGAGTTACTGGACATTAAACATTGGAAAGTCCCAGTTTGTTGATTGGCAAAAAGTTAGAATCCAGGAAAACTCTAGTGAAATTCCAACTGGTTCCATGCCCAGAACTTTGGATGTCATCTTGAGAGGTGAAACCGTTGAAAAAGCTAAACCTGGTGACAAATGCAAATTCACTGGTACTGAAATTGTTATTCCAGATATCTCGCAATTGGGGTTCCCCGGTGTTAAGCCTCAGAGTATCAAGGAAAACAGAAACCAAAGTAGTGAGTTGAATACTGGTATCACTGGGTTGAGATCATTGGGTGTGAGAGACTTAACTTATAAATTAGCTTTCTTTGCCTGTCACGTCAGTTCTATGTCTAACAAGGATGAAGAAAATGAATCTCACACTAGTGAAGATGTTGATGATCAAGAAGCCTTCTTAACTTCTTTAACTGATGCTGAAGTCAACCAATTGAAAGTTATGGTAAAGGACAACTATATTTACGATAAATTGGTCCAGTCTGTTGCTCCAGCAGTTTTTGGACATGAAGTTGTCAAAAAGGGGATCTTATTACAATTATTGGGAGGTGTTCATAAGAAAACTATTGATGGAATCAACTTGAGAGGTGATATAAACATTTGTGTGGTTGGTGACCCATCCACTTCCAAGTCCCAATTCTTGAAATATGTTTGTGCATTCTCTCCTAGATCTGTCTATACTTCTGGTAAAGCCTCTAGTGCAGCCGGTTTGACAGCTGCGGTTGTTAAGGATGAAGAGAGTAATGAATTTACTATTGAAGCGGGTGCATTAATGTTGGCTGATAATGGTATTTGTTGTATTGATGAATTTGATAAGATGGATTTGTCCGATCAAGTGGCAATTCACGAAGCTATGGAACAACAAACCATTTCCATTGCTAAAGCTGGTATACACGCCACCTTAAATGCCAGAACCTCTATTTTGGCAGCTGCCAATCCAATTGGTGGTAGATACAACAGAAAAATGGGTTTAAGAGCCAATTTGAATATGACAGCACCTATTATGTCTAGATTTGATTTGTTTTTTGTCATTTTGGATGATTGTAACGAAAGAATTGATACTCAATTGGCTTCTCACATCGTTGACCTTCACATGTTACGTGATGGTGCTATCGATCCACCATATTCGGCTGAGGAATTATCAAGATATATCAAGTATGCTAAGACTTTTAAGCCAAAGTTGACCAAGGATGCTAGGAATTTTTTGGTTGAAAAGTACAAGGAATTAAGAAACGACGATGCCCAAGGGTTAGGAAGATCTTCTTATAGAATTACTGTGAGACAGTTAGAAAGTATGGTTAGGTTAAGTGAAGCTATTGCTAAAGCAAACTGTACTGCGGAAATCACACCTAGTTTTGTTGCTGAAGCTTACGATTTATTGAGACAAAGTATTATCAGAGTGGAAATGGATGATGTGCACATTGATGATGATGATGAGGAGGATCAAAATGCAGACGATGGCAACAATGATGATGACAATAATGATAACAACAACGACAACTACAACGCTGGTGATAATGTTGATGATGCAGACAGAGTTCAAAAATCAGTTACAATCACTTATGACAAGTATGTATCGATTATGAACTTGATTGTGAAACGGGTAATTGAGGATGACAATCTGGAGGGTGATGGTTTGACGGGAGACGAATTGGCTGAATGGTATTTGACCCAAAAGGAAGACGAAATCAACAGCGAATTAGAATACTATCAGGAAAGAGCTTTATGCTATAAGGTTTTGAAGAGATTAGTCAAAGACAAGATTTTGATGTATATAACTCAGAATGATGAGTTAAGCGAAGACCCTGAAAGCAGCAAGTCAGTGTATGTTTTACATCCCAATTGCCAAATTTTGGATTTCTTTGATCAGAATCCTGCTTCTGTTGATGAAGCTGATGATACTGAGTGATCGTGTTAAATTGTATAGTATTATTTTTGTTTTGTATAGGTGTCTAAGTATATTACATTATTTGTTTGGGCGACCCGAACTTTCAAAGTCGTTAATAACTGACGACAACGTTATAAGGTTTGAATTTGGATCAAATATCACCGATGACTCTCTTAAATAGGACAACTCAGATTCGGAGGGTTGGCCCAATTGGGAACCTACTTGAGAATCCGAGTGTGGAGGTGCATGTTGTTGCATCGGCTGGTGCTGAGGATGTTGCTGATGCTGAGGTGGGTGTTGTGGTTGTTGAAGGTGCAGGACATGTGGTTGATTCTGGGATGATGGTGACATCTGCCGTATTTGACTCCATTTACTTGGTCCCAACTGCTCAGCACATTCGGAACAATGTTCAATAAACACTTTTGAGTTTGGGAACATTCTCTGGCAAGAACGACACCAGCCTGAATCATCCTTGGAGATGCTGGGACCCAATTGCTTGTCTCTTATATAATGGACCAATCTCAAGTGTCTTTTAAGGACATCAAGTCGAGTGAAGGAACCTCCATTTCTATGACAAGTCTGATCATTTTCCCAGTATGGACAATGATACAGAGGAGCAGCGTGGGATTTGGTGTGTCTTCTAAGGTCACTTTGCCTGGCAAAAGACCACTCACAATTGGGATACGAGCAATTGTAGGGTTTGAACTTGGAGTCGTCGTCATTAACTTTTGCTTTGGGTTTTCGGTTTACTTCCATTGAGTTGGATTCCAATCTAAAGTTCAACTGGTAAGTCTTTTGTTCTTGTGGTTGAGGGGCTCCTGAGTAGGGCTGTTGTTGCATAGCAGGTAGGGAAGGCGATCGAGATCCCATTTGACTTCCAACGGGGGATACATGAGGTGAATTAAACGACGATCTTGCCCGGGGTTCTTGCATTTGCATCAATGGTATATGGGAAGGCGTTTGAGCATTCAGGATCTGGTTTGTTGAGGTTGGTGCATTCGGGTACGAAAGTGGAAGTGGAAGAAACGAATTATTGATATTGATACTTGTTTTGGCAGTTGCAAACGTTGGAGGATTAATACTGGACTGGGTTTGAGGATGTCCTGTTCCTGTTCTTCCAAAGGGTAAGAATACTGTTTGTATGCCATTATTGACATGTACATCTCTAAAATTGTCTTGAGGTGCTAGCTTATTGGCATCAACTGATTTGAACTTGAACTGTGACGAGGAAATGGAAGGATTCATGGTCTGTTGGATCATATTGTTGACTGAAGGGACTTGTTGGATTCCCGTACTCGAAGAGGAGGTAAATCCGCTGTTGGATCGAGTAATTTCTCCTGAAAAAGACAGAGTCTGGCTGTAGTCAAATTTTTCATTGCCATTTTGAAATGGGCGTCTGTCGGCATTTGAATCAATATTTAATGATTCAGGCGGCCCAACAACACCCTGGAGGCTTTTCAGGAGAGATGGGAGAGGACTTCGAGAAGCCTTAGTTGAACCTTCTTGGTGGCTTCTGCGTTGGATGTGTTCTTTGGGGTTAATTGTGTGTCTTTCTTTGTGAGAGCTTAATCGTGAAACCAGACTTATAGTATGTGATTTCAGTCTCTCTGCGCCAATCGAGCCATTTTCACTATTCGAATGTGAACCGTTGGCATTCTTTATGTTGCTCTTGTTGGTGTCTACTTCTTTTTTAATAATGTTACTTGCTTCGACGTCTTCTTTCAAGGTAGAAGACGTATGGTCTTCGGGAGTTGAGTCTTCTTGGGAACTTAGTTTGAGGTCAGACACGTCATTTGGAGCGTGTGCTGGAAGGGTATACATCTGGTTGCTTGCCTGTGCCACCGTCGAATCAGACATAATGATTTTGTAGATGAGGTTAAGTTTGAGAAGATTTTGATGCAATGGAGTAATTTTCGAGCCGCTTCTAGTGAGGATTGAGATGAGATGAGATTCACAAACTAAAACTTGATATACATCATTTCCACGTAACAAAGGTAGTTATTAACAGGTATTTCTATGTTATGTGTATATACTTCATAAGAACCCTATTTTTGTGGGTTTTTTGGGGTCTCCCAGCGTTCAGAAATCACAAGTTCTTAAATATTTGGTCCATGGGGGGAAACCGCACACGACCTCTAGAAGTTCATATCTAATAAAATCGTATGAGCCGAATATTCCTCAATAAAGGAGGGATATGAGGTTCTAATGATACGAGTATAGCCTTTCCGGGGAGAAATTACTACTTCTTATGAATTTATTGGTCTAGATTTTTTTATTGGTAAAACTTGCAAATTTCACAATTTTTAGTAAAACAATTATGTCAGAATTCCCCAAAAAACTCCAAAAACTCTATGCTTGCGCTTCAAATACCTACAGTAGACCTATATCCCCAACTCACATGATACAAGCACCCCGGCATCGTAGATCATTTTAATTACATCCAAAATATCTAGTTGCCCGTTAAAGCTTAAATGAATGATTGCTTCTCACCCATTAATAATATCTTACAAAATCCTCCGCTTCCTGCAACAACAAAATTACAAATTACAAATTAGTGCCACACAAATTGCTCAGCACAAATAAGTATAAAGGTTTTCAAATCGGCGACAATTGAACACACCACAAACAATGTCCAAGATTTCAGCTCCTTCAATGGGAGGATTCAAGCTCCCACTCAGTGATAAAGGTTCCTTCATGAGAAAAGCTTCTGTGTTCAGAAGCTTTGTCAGTGCCGACGACCCAGTTTTCAAACCTGAAGCCGGAAGGTACCACTTATACGTATCTTTGGCTTGTCCATGGGCTCACAGAGCATTGATTGTTCGGGACTTGTTGAAGCTTCAAGATGTTATTGGGTTATCGATTGTGCACCACAACATGGATTCCAAGGGCTGGAGATTCATCACCAAGGAGCCCAAAGATCCAAAAGACTTATCCGAAGGAACTATTGATCATGTTTATGGGTTTGAAAGATTGAGTCAGCTTTACTACAAGGCCAATGAAGGCTACGAGGGAAGATATACAGTTCCCGTATTATGGGATAAAAAGACCGAAACCATTGTCAACAATGAAAGTTCCGAGATCATCAGAATGTTGCATGAGTTCAAGAGCGTGACCGGGTTTGACGAGGACTATTACCCAGAGACCCACCAAAAACAGATTGATGAAATCAACGAGTGGATTTACCCCTACATCAACAATGGGGTCTACAAATCAGGGTTTGCGGGAACTCAAGAAGCGTATGAAGAAGCGGTGCTTGCTTTGTTCGAGCACTTGGATAAGGTGGAAAAAATTTTGGAGGATAAGTACAGTAGCAACAAGGACTCCAAATTCTACTACTTGATTGGAGACCAATTGACCGAAGCAGATATCCGGTTGTTCACCACCATTGTTCGGTTTGACCCTGTTTATCATCAACATTTCAAAACCAACATTCGTATGATCAGACATGACTATCCATTTTTGAACAAGTGGTTGCAAAAGTTGTATTGGCAGAAGGATTCTTTCAAATCCACTACCGACTTCGACCACATCAAAAAACACTATACCCAGTCCCACAGCCACATTAATCCCTTGGGAATCGTGCCAGTTGGACCAGTTCCCCATATTTTACCTTTGTAATTATGTAGTTGCAAAGTGAAAAGAATTCCTCATATCTTAACCCGTACCTTAGAAGCGGCTTCACATCAGCCTCTCGGTACGAGCAATTGGAACGGGAAAACACTCTAACATAAACCCCAGCCGAACGTATATAAAGGAGTAAACACACACACAGGCAAAAACATTAACCTAAATATGAATCGAGTTGAGTACAATGTAGGTAGAGAGCTCGTCTAAACCGCTGGACGACACGTCAAGACGAAAAATGCGAGATCATAAAAAACAACAGATTTGTCATAGTCAACGACAACCATGAGAGGTAAGTGGATTACTTTAGACCCTTAATGTTGGCAGTGGACCAGACACACAGTATACTAACTCGACAATAGATTACAAGATCGTGGTATTGGGTGCGGGTGGTGTAGGTAAATCCTCCATCACCGTACAGTTTGTACAAGGAGTTTACGTTGAAAGTTACGATCCAACCATCGAGGACTCATATCGGAAACAGATCGAAATCGACGGCCGGGCCTGCGATTTAGAGATCTTGGACACGGCTGGAGTGGCTCAATTCACTGCTATGAGAGAATTGTACATCAAAAGTGGAAAAGGGTTTTTGTTGGTATACTCAGTCACAGACGAGAACTCATTAAAAGAACTACTTGCATTAAGAGAACAGGTTTTGAGAATCAAGGACTCTGACAATGTTCCCATGGTGTTGATCGGAAACAAGAGTGATTTAGAATCCGACCGAGTGGTTAGTATTGAAGATGGGGTAAAAGTTAGTCAGGAATGGGGGTTGGTGCCATTTTACGAAACGAGTGCCATGTACAAAACCAACGTTGATGAGGCGTTTATCGACGTGGTGAGGCAGATAATGCGCAAAGAGGCAGCTGTGTCGGCCGAGAAAAAGCAACAGAAGGAAGCTGCTAAGCAGACAACCATTGCTAATGATAAAGAAATAGACACTGAGCCAGTATCTGGGGCCCAAAAAGAAGCGAAGGCGAGCCGGTTGAAGCAAAGCTTGAGTGGTGACACATCCACCGCCGATAAGAGCAGGAGCAGATGCTGTGTGATTATGTAAAACTCTGAACAGACACTTGAACTTTTGCTTAGAAATTAAAAATGTCGTAAGAATAATGGTGGAGCGAATATTTCTCTAACTGGAAACTGCGATACGCGAGTTTTCGCAGTTAAAAAAATAAGTTGAAAGGAATTGCTGGTATTTGGATAATGATACCCGCGAGATTCGAACTCGCGCCTCCGAAGAGACCAGGACCTTACCCTGGCGCCTTAGACCGCTCGGCCAGAGTACCCAATTCCTGAGAGATTGTATTCTACCTGGAACTAAATTATGCTTGATAAAAAGTGGCACTTCATGTTACTGTTCCTATATGACTAGTAATAGACAATCATATATTATATTTTCAATTTCTGTTTACCCAGTATCAAGAAGAAAAGTAGTTAAAATCAAAATATTCGCAGGTGGGCGGTCAAAATCCACTGGCGAAGACGGGGCAGCTGGACCAGGCGCGGCCCAATTCCTAAAACCCGCTCCCGCAGCGAAAAAAAAATTCACCCCACGAGGCATGTCTGTAGCCAAAAAAAAACTATCCATCACAAGATCATTACCAGCAATTATAATCAGATTTGTTTCTGATCCTTCTACTTAACTATGCTTCAAAGACACTTCATGGCCAGCTGGGTGCCTGTGTTCATGAACCATATCAATGTCCAGCTAGAACATCAAGCCGAACCGTTCTTAACCTTCCAGTTGAGTACCATCGGTATTGACGGGTTCCCTCAAAACAGAACCGTTGTATATCGGGGATTCTTATTCGACGAAGTTTCGACAAACATCATCACTTTTACCACCGACAAGCGGATGCCTAAATACTCTGAGTTGGCTAAAGATGACCGTTTTGAAGCGGTGTTCTACTTACCAGGGGCTAGAAAACAGTTTAGATTTAAGGGCCACGCTCGTGTAATCGACGCAGACCACCATCCAATTGTCAAATTGGACAACTATAAACCACGAGACGTGGGAGACATCGACAGTGATGACGAAGATGAGGCCAAAGAATCCTCAGTACCGGAGCCTTCACCCAATGCATTTGCCCCATCACCAACAACATCCATACCTAAATCAGAGGATACCAGCTTCTGGAACCACCCAATAGAGTTCCACCTTGTTTCTCCCAAGTTGATTAACCAACTTCACAAAGACCACAACGCCTCGTACTCCAACTTTAACGATATTCACGTCCCTCATGAACTTACACTAAAACCCCCAACTGATGAGGAGTACGCACAAGAATTATCTCGTCAATGGGATACTTTGTCCAAAGCTTTAAAAAAGAGCTTCAGAAAACCAGATCCCGGCTCAAGGATGACACCCGAAAAGTCCAAGTTGATCGATTCGATTAAACGGGGTGTTGACGGTAAGAAAGATATCGATGGATACAAGAATTTCGCTGTAGTAGCGATGTTCATCGATACGGTTGACTTCTACGATAGCGAAAGTGATAGAAGAGTGAGGTTTGAGAAGGATAAGTTCGATATGTGGAGTGAATATGAAATATGCCCTTGATTGTAAATAGTCTCCATTGACATTAATATAACATCGATAATTTGAAGTGTACCAGTCCAAAAATGTGGACTACGTTGCCAAAAAAAAACACAATTTGCAGCTTTTTGCAGTCTGCGATTGCAAGACGTTTGTACATTAAAATTGCCAACCACAACCGCCAGTGAATTAATGCCACTTACTTCTACCTGATATCTGGAGTAATTCAAGAGTATCTGCCTGTCCTACGCTAATCTATCACTGAACCCTGTGACTGCTGTTATCGGGAAACTTACAGGCGCGATTTTTGCAATAAAAATAAACAAATAATTTAAAGAACCTCCTTTTTTAACTCAGTTTAAACCAAGCTATTCTTATCAATTATGCCTCCTAAATCTAAAGCAAGCACTGCTTCTGCCACCAAGTTGTCTTATAAAGGTATGTGTACTGGGATCACTAAAATTCACCCCAATTGTCCCGGATTCTTTTCGGATGTCAAGTGTTGAATGACCTCAAAACAAACAACTAAATACTAACTGTCTATTCAGACATGATTAAATCCGGTATCGTTACCTTGAAGGAAAGAAACGGTTCTAGGTATGTACAACTCCTTTAGGCCCATGTGTCACTTATAATCGTCCTTGTACCGAGATGGTGCAACATACTAACGAACACTAGTCGTCAAGCTATTAAAAAATATGTCCAAGCAAATTTTGGAATCAAGGCCGCTAATTTTGATGCCTTGTTCAACGCTGCCTTGAGAAAGGGTGTTGAAGTTGGAGACTTATCTCAACCAAAGGGTCCTTCTGGTCCTGTCAAGTTAGGAAAAATTGACAAGATTTCAAAACCTGTCGCTAAAAAGGTTGCCAAACCAGCACCAAAAAAGGCGGTTTCTAAAAAAGTGGCTCCAAAAAAAGTGATCCCCAAGAAGGCTGTTATCAAGAAGGCTGCCCCAAAGAAGGCCGTTACTACTATTAAGAAGAAGCCCGTTGCTAAGAAGCCTGTTGCTAAGAAGGCTGCTCCAAAGAAGCCTGTTGCTAAGAAGGTCGCTGCAAAGAAGGCTGCTCCAAAGAAAGTGACCAAACCAGCTGCTAAGAAAGTCGCTCCAAAGAAAGTGGTTGCCAAGAAAGTTGCTCCCAAGAAGGCTGCTCCTAAAAAGAAGGTAGCCAAGAAGTAAAGATGCTTTACGTTATTAGCTGGTTCATGTTTTACGGATGTTGATTTTACCTTTTCTCTTTGCCTCTATTTGTATCTGTTGTAATTTTAGCGTGTTTTTGTAATATATGAGAGAAATGAAAACAATTCAAAAATCGCGCTTTCAGACCTATTAATTATTCATGAAGTCGATAACACCGGTAGTGGCTGCGTTGATGCCCAATCTAGGCATTGGTTATAAGGGCAAGTTGCCTTGGAGACTAAGTAAGGAGATTATCAACTTCAAGAACATCACTTGCAAAGCTGCTGATAATAAGAGAAACGCAGTGATCATGGGTCGCAAGACATGGGAATCCATACCTAAGAAGTTTAAACCCTTACCCGACAGGTTAAACATCGTGCTAACAAGAACCATCACAGAAGAACATACGAACACTGATGATCTAATTTATTTGAATGATTTTAACAAAATCTCCAGTGTAATTGATGATTCAATTGATAAAGTGTTTTTAATTGGAGGGTCTGAATTATATAACCACCTTTTTAAGTCCAACGTGATTGATTCAATTATCTTAACGGAGTTGCACACAGAAAATTCAGTCGAGATAGATACATTTCTCGATTGGGATTTAACTGACTGGGTGCAAAAAAGCCATGAAGATTTATTAGCGTTTGCTGGAATTGACCTTGAACCGGAATATAACGAAAAGGGATACACATATAAATACTCCTTGTATCAGAGACAATAGCTCATCTACCAATTAATATATATTTAGTAAACGGTAATCACTCTATATAATTTCTATTCAATTTGAATATCTCGTTGCATAAGTGGTACCAGGTGTATGATCTGGATCTACCTTTGAGGCTATTCAAGTAGTTCTCATACAAGTACAAATCGTAGAAGATTCTCAAGTTGGGCTGGATGATAATGTTAAATCTGTTGATCCGGGTTATCATGTAACTCTCTATAAGTGATAGTTTTTGGAATCTCATCAAACTTGCAATCACCAAAGATGCCAGGCGAGATACTCCAATCTGACAATGATAAAACGTCTTCATCGACTGGTCGGGGTTCAGCAAGTATTTTAGTTGTATATGGTCCGGCACCTCGATCAACAACGGAAGAATCTCATCTTTACCATCATCTTTAAGATTGTCAATGTACAATGCTGACGTCAAGTATGGTAAACCCTCATCATGGATCTTGATATCATATATGCTGATTATCTCGTCTTGTTTATTCTTGTATTGAAATACTGGCTTGTGGCCATCAATATCAAGCCATTGAGGTTTGGATCCCACAGACACAATCTTGTTGAACTTCATACAATTCAAGACGGTTTTAGAGTTGGCATGGTTCACTGATCCCAAGTAGATGTTCTTATGTATGTTGCAAGGAAAGTTGTTATCCTTGTTGTAATTAAACCAATCCAAATCACCACGAACCTTTGGCGTCTCGAGTTCGTTGTAGTTGATGAACTTGATCATTCCCACTTGTCTTTTGCTATAGTTGATGAACTTTTCCATTTTTTTCAAGAATATCAAATCCGATTTGAAGTAATAGAACTTCAAGTTCTTAGTGGAATATAAATCCATTATGACTTCTTCAAGACTCATGTCCGACAACATCATACCGATAGCCAAGGTCAACGTAGTTAATCCTGTGAACCCGTCAAAGGAAAAAACAAAAACCTGTTTATTTCTGTCGTGGAGTGCCTTGATAGTCTTGAGCAAGTTCAAAAAGTTAATTATATCTGCCAAGTTCATGTGTTCAAAGTGCAAATAACCAGAACTGGGGAATTCCGAATATTCACCAATTGACTTTGGTATTTTGCAATATTCATTACAATTGATGATCATCTCGAAGTTGTGGTCGATGTTGGCCAAGTAATTGTAGTCTATCAAGTTTCCAATGCAAACGTTTCTGTTGAACCATTTCATGGAGTTGAACTTCCACAAGAGATTTTGCTCCCATTTGAGTAACTGACAATTGAATACTTGATTATTGATGGAATTGATTGGGAGTTGGTGAATCAGTTCAAAGTTCGACTCATTAGTGAAGTGTTCCGGAATTATATTCCAGAGACGGTTGTTGAAGTTGACAATGTAGATGTTATTGCTTGTGTTCAATTCCAACGCTTTGTTTAGGTTCACATTCAAGTTGTTGGTGTTATTGTAGAGCACCAAATGGCACATCTTACTATAGACATGAAGTTGGTTCTTATAGTTGCGGTTATTCAATTCTCCACAAACTTCATTATTCATGTCTTCGATGTAGGCATTTGAGCAATCCACAAACTCCTCATATGACACCGAATTATTCAATTGAAAGTCTCCACACTCCTCCTGGGTGTTTAAAAACATCATATGTAACTGGCTGATAGCTGGAAAATGTTCCACATCGAGGTGAGGAAAGTCTTCGACTGCAAACTGGTCACCATTTGAGTTTTTGAACCCCGAGTTGAAAAAGATTCTCAGTCTGGAGTCCTTCAAACCATGCAAGTAAGGAAAGAGACCATCGTCCAAAGGGTTCTGTGGCCCATAGTAAAAGGTCATTAAATCTATCAAGTTATCAACGTTTAACATGTAGATTCTATCGCTAAGACATTTCAATTTGGAGTTGAACAGCTCTATGAATGGGTGCATAAAGTTCTCGACAGGGGTTTCACCAGATGGAGTTCTAACAATGCCTGCATTGTTAGGGGCATCACTAATCGAGTACTTGTCGAAGGCGGCTGCTAAACAAGAGTCGGTAATAATATTATCGATGTTTTTTTCAAGAATGCTCAAGTTGTCTTTGCTGTCGCTGACGGTGATATCACTGGTTGCGCTATCTCTTCTTTCCAGGCCTTCAAGACTATCGATACTTTCAATAGACAAGTTTAAGTTGGAGTATTTCTCAAGTAAGTTGGAAGACATGTTGGTTGCAGTTGCTGGTTTGATTAAATTGGACAGGATATTATCATTGCTAATGGAATGTGTGGATTTGGATTTCAACAGGAACATTGAAAGGGTTTAAAGAAAAGAAATTAAGGGAAAAGAATTGAAGTGAAGGATAAGAAAATAAGGGGGATTATATCAGATGAAAAAAACTCCTTCATAAATATTAGCGCAAGGACGAGGTATTTATGTATTGAAAAAGTCCACATTATCATTGCCGAAATGTGTGGAAAATCTCTCAAACCTTGTTAAGACCTACATGCTTGACAATGCATAAATTCAATGACAAAACAATCAAGAAAGATTTAAATGTGCATTGAAGGTTAGCAAGAAAATAATTTCTGCAGGAGTTGCATAATAGACAGTGATCAACAATTTCTACAGGATTATCCAGAATTGGGCCAATTATTAACCATTGCTGGATAAAGGACCCTTCTTAAGGCGAGAAAGTTTCTTTTGTTTCAATTAATTGTTCCTTTGTTGGCAGCAGAGGGCTATTGTTTACAGTAAATGGTTGGTCCACACCACCGCTTTGTTCCCGGGTGCAGTTGCGATTTGCGCGTTTTTTTTGCAGCTTTGATAACAGACGAGTTCACAAACAGAACCATTATGAAGTTCCCCATATGTAGGTGGTGTCTTATAGTTGCTGGTTTACCAGTAATTGCTATTGCAGACCACACCATTTATATCACCAAAACCATATATGCGAACACCACCCACCAGGATTCAATTTCCTCTCCTCCTACGGTTCCCCCTGCCACAATCGCAATTCCCTCGTCAATTTTAACCTTTGTACCACCAGGATTACCTACCCCTGATCAGCCAGATTGGGAATTTGACTCCAGTTCTACTGTTTCTGGATTTTCAATTAAGGCTTCATTCCGCCCATCTTTTACTGGATATGCCAACTCGACCCTTGTTTTTAAGGATGCATCTAACAATATCGCCACATCTGCTTATTTTCCTGCCTCCAGCAATGTTGCCCCAGAATTAGACGACAAAAAGGAGAACAATTGGTGGACTCGCGGGCCACAGGAAGAAAGCCATTTCGTGTTAGGCGAGCTTGAGCCACCTGAGCCTGCAGTCGAGACCGATATAGACCCCGACACCGACCTGGATACAAACTCAGGCGGCGAGGAAGATGATGACAGCGAAGTCGGCTTTATTGAAGAAGTGGATACTTGTTCAAACTTTGAAAATGACCTGCCTTATCGTACAGCTAATACACCAGACAATGGCTCGCATAATTCCGATGGCCAGCACAATGGAGGTTATAAGATTGGCAGTACTTTTCGAACAACTACGGGTGGCACATTGACATCGTGGTCCAAAAATGGAACTACAGTTATCGCTGATGAAGGGGTGATGACGACACTGGCAGGTTCTGCAATAATGCAAAATCCGATTGCTCACCATTCCCCCTTCAGCACCGACCATTTACAGAATTTACCCGCCAATGAAAAACAGACCTGGGGTCATGATGATTATCCAAGCCCATATGTTGGTCAACCTACTGATACTGATATCGACCAAGCTTGTGATACTAATGCCAGTCAAACCAGCTGGTTTTATGATACAATGAATCCTGAACCAGGACAAAAAGACGCCAGCACCAGCAATGGTAGTGCGACAATCACATCAATTTCCTGTCACAGTCCGGCGGCAAGCAGCGAGGCGCCCGCGAGCAGTTCGAGCCGTGGTATTATCCGACTCGTGGCGAGTGGAATTACCAATCTCCCCCAAAGCCAGAGCCAGAGCCAGAGCCAGAGCCAGAGCCAGAGCCAGAGCCAGAGCCAGAGCCAGAGCCAGAGCCAGGAACAAAGCCAGAGCCAGGAACAAAGCCAGAGCCAGAGTCAGAGCCAGAGCCAGGAACAAAGCCAGAGTCAGGAACAAAGCCAGAGCCAGGAGCCGAACTCCATTCAAGTTTCTATCCACGAACCGAGCTTCATTCGAGTCATTGGCTATTCCAGCAGACATGCTACAATTGTTACAAGCAAACCAGACACACCTACAAAAACTTACATCGGCTCTGCCCCACGCTCCCGAACTAGCACTGAAATCATAAACGCAATCCGTACAATATCGACTCAAAAATCAAATCATTCACAGAAAGCACACAAGCCCATCTCATCCAAGCGGGCTTTCTCTGAACCTTCCAAGTCGCTTAAGGCACCAAAGTCATCTAGAGCTCTTAGGTTACCTAAATCCCTTGTGCCCACTAGCCACAAGACCACTACGGTCGGTTTCCCAACCAGAATCGCTACGTTTCAGTCGTTTGACTTCACCCGTTCGTTCAGTCTCGTGGCCCACAACAACACCTTCCTCCACCAACAGCTTTCGGGAAGTATTCTCATCCATACTTCCCCACTCGCATTGCTATTTATCTTAATGATTTTATGATCTCCCAAACACAAGCAGTGAAGGTCTCTGGAATAACACCGAACATCACATATGCTATATATACCTCAATAAAGGATTTGACTGGGTTCAGCCTTTGTATATGTTCAAACTCTGTATATACTGAACACCGCTCAAGACTTAGGCCCGAAATCTGCGCGCTTGAGAACGAAAAGTTCCCTGAAAACAACCTCAACTGAATAATTGAAGAAATGGCAGAAGTATGTATCCATAAATCCGACAACCTAATCCGTTAACCATGTGCCTACTACAAGCGTGGCAATTAGGACCAGGGTCACTTGTTTGTAAACTCATTGACTAACTATTTGTTTGTGTAGGTAAAAAGAACCATCCGAGTCACCACTGAACAACATATCTTGAAGGACTTACCTCCTGTGGAAAACTTCCCCATGAGACAGTGGTCCACTACTATTTCCATGTTGAACCAAGAGGGACAAGAGATCCCCGCCAATATATTGGATAAAGTGACGTACACCTTACATCCAACCTTTGTCAACCCTATTAGAACCATAAAGACCCAACCTTTCAAGGTAGAAGAACAAGGATGGGGTGAATTTGACATCCCCATTGCCGTCCATTTGGTGGGATTGAATGGTAAGTTGGGAGAAAGAAAATTCAACCATGACTTGAATTTCTTACAAGAAAAGTACATTGTGGATCATGTTGTTAGTATTCCAACCAATAAGTCATCCATTTTAAATAAGTTGTTGTTGGAATCCGGTCCAGTGCCAACTGCTGAAGACTCCAGCAAGAGAAGAAATGATGACTTGAATAACTCCGCCAATAACAAGCTGAAGAAGTTGAAAAACGGCTCTAGTATCGCCGTCAAAGGTTCCATTGATTTGGAAAAGTTGGCGAACGGATTAACCAAGTTGAATGAGGATGACTTGATTGTAATAGTCCAGATGGTTACCGACAACAAAACAAACGAAATGAACATCAGAAATGACGTTGACAATGGAGAATTCACAATGGATTTGTATACGTTACCTGAATCTTTATTGAAGAGTTTATGGGATTACGTTAAAAAGCAAACCGGTGAGGCTTAGAGTGTCAAAAGATTCGTTTGTCCAAAAAAAATTCAAGATAAAACCAAAGATAAAACTGTATAACTATTAATATATGTATATTTGAAGTAACCGCTTGGTGTTCCAATACTGTCATGTCTATAAATCATGGTGCCCATACTTTGATGGTATAATCCCAGCTGACGGTGCAGATGCCGATTCCATCGGGACTGACACTTACTTGATTAATCCTATTTTGGTGTCCACCACCAATTGTTCCCACCACCTCCAGTTTTAGAGTGTCCCATATTAAGCACCCAAAATCCGAATAGCAGCTGTAGATTAACCTGCCACTCTTACTGAAATCCACTGAGAGAACATTAACTGAGTCAATCGACAGAATCGACTTGCGTTTATTATCATCAAGTTGGTTCAGAAGCGAGTATTTGGAGAGTTCACAGTCGCTTCTGAGATCGAACAATTTGATGATCCCATTGTCCAGGCCGGTAATGAATGAATGTCCTTGGGGAAACACTCTGACGGTATTAATGTCATAATTGGATATAAATAAGCTTTGGACAGCGGATTTGCTCCGTAAGTCCCAGATCTTACAGTAGCCATCGCAGCTGCCACTGATAAATAAACTGGAGGATCCAGATGGCAAGGTATCCAAGCATAGCACATCACCTGTATGCTCGTTGAAGTTTCTGATTTTGTCTCCCTTATTCAAGTCCCACATAATGCATTCCATATCTCCACTACCAGTGATCACCTGCTGGTTATTTATGAACTCACAGTCACTGATATATGCTCGGTGTGATTTGAAGACGTGCTGGACCTTGGAATTGAAATAGGTTTGTTGAACCGTATCATTGACCTTGTAAATGGACAAGTTGTTATCCAACCCTCCACTGGCAATGAACTCACTGTTGGGCGATAGTGCACATGTCAAAACCCACTGATTTTCTAACTCAATGGCCTTTTTCTTCAACCCTGTCACCGGATCCCACATTATCATATACCCATCCTGACTGGCACTTAATACCTGATCACTAGATGAACTCCATTGGACGTTACTGATTTTATTTTGATGGCCTTCTAATGTGTGGTAAAGTTTGGGGTTGATCGAGTGGTTGGGAATGGGCTTGAGTTTCACACTTTGTTCAAGTAGAGTGGAATCCCTCATTCTCGCTTTAACGTTTTCCACTTCAGTGTATAATGTTCGAGCTTCATTTCGGGCATCGTTTATTTTGGCTTGTATTATTTGATCAAAATCAGTTAATTGTTGTGGTGTTGATTTCACAGGGTATTCCATGTTCGATGAAGTGGAATGGACAAAACCTGGTAATTTGATTGTCTCAACTGACGTCCCACAAAGGTTGTAAAATCTTGAGCCGCAAGCTTTTTGACGCATCTGCACTATGGCCTATAGTTTTATCTGATTGATAACTGTTACTTTTAGAATTCCTCGGCATTAGTTAGAAAGAGTATGGTACTTGCTACGGGGTCAGGGGGCTTTCAGGTTGTTCTGCGTATGTATCACGGTTTAAATTATAGATTATTTTTATGATTATGCGGATAAGAACAACTTCAAGAGGTAAGTGCCGAATATATTTTCAGATCGTTGGAGTTTAGTGACAGGAAATCTTGAATCAAGGAGCAGATATAGGACCCTTTGGATCCACATTAGTCGCATTTTATCTTTGGTTACGGATTTCGGTTATGTTGTTTCACCTGGTATCAGATGTCTCAGCCCAATTTTGCAGCCACATGAAAAATTTAGTGTTTCTTATTCTACAACACTAAAGGTTGTAGACAGACCCAGAGGGGTGATTTAGAAGGTTTGAAACTAAAAGTTTCAGAGTAGTTGATGTTGGTGGTCGGTGTACAGAGACAAGGGGTTTATGTTTAAGGTCCAGATGCCCATATTGACAATTTCTCTTGGTCCCTCTATGTAGATGTTAGTCCGAGCCAGCTACGAAGACACCTGCAAAACCAAAGTAAACGTCTAATGTAGAAGGGGTCTACATCCACCTCAGATGTTTTCGGATACAATTTACCATGGTATTTCCTTGAAAATAGACCCAGATAAAAAACTGCGAATAGTATGGTATCCGTTATGCACAAGGGGGGGCTAAGAAGTCTATTGCTTATCGAAAATATGCACTTTGAAGGGGCAATATCTATTTTTCCTCAAGAACCCTTTAACTGTATGAATGAAGGTAAAAAGAAGAATTTTGGAACACGTGACATAACATTGTGTTCACATGAATAGCTCGATTTTGATGTAAATTCGCCGGTCTAGTATAGTGGTCAGTACGTCTCTTTGTGGCAGAGATGACCCAGGTTCGATTCCTGGGACCGGCATCCTCTTTTTATAACTCTATTATCCCCCATAAGAACAACTTTTTACCATATTTCCACTCTACGGTATCCACCGGTACATTTTATATTGAGTCTGACTAAATATACTAAGCCTTTTGACTAACAGCACCATTTTTTGAATCGATCTGGTTGATATTCGATTGTCTGTTAGTGTTGGCATTTTCCTTCAAGGCAATCAACTGCTTGGATCTGAAGTTCTCATAATGGATCAAACTGCTCGTTTCAATCAAATCTTGTAAATGAGTTCTGGTGAGGAAATCTCTCAAAAACACAAACTCACACTGGCTCACATCTTCAATATTGATGGTTCCCCATTTGGTCTTTCTTCCCTTAAAAGACTCACCATTGACAATGATTTCATTATTTGAACCAACAACCGCAAAAGGAATCAAAGATTTGATATCCTCATTCAATTGTCTTTCGTCGTCAAATAAATCTTCGTTATCATATGGGTACAAGTTGAAGTTGTACTTGGCAAAGTCCTGTTGCAAGGACTTCTTCAAGGCAGATCTCTCATCCAAGGTCAACGAGTCAGACTTGGCGATGATTGGTATAACATTAGCAATTTCCAGTAACTTCTTGATGGCTTGGACATCCAAAGGCTTCAATTTGCTGTGGTGGGGAGGAATAAAGTATAACACACAATGAACTCTGGTGTCAATAATGTATCTTTCTCTCTGGGCAGTCAATTCCTTTCTCAAATACTGAGAGTGTTGCTCCTTGATGTATTTGACCAAAGGTTCCCAGCATTTTTCGTTATTAATTTGATCTGCAAACCCGGGAGTATCAATAACGTTAACATTCAACTTTACGTTATTCTCTACCAACTTGTGGGAAGTGACTTTGACCTCCACAGTCTTCTCAATGGGTTCTTCGGCCTGAAGTCTTCCATTTGAAGTGGCCAAGTTAGACGAGAACAAGCTGTTCACCAACGTAGACTTACCCAATCCACTTCTACCAACCATCATGATATTGAATTGGAACCCTCTCTTTAAGAGTCTGTTCTCTATCTGGGTGGTGATGGTATCGAATCCCACATACTTATGGGGTTGTAACAAGGTTTCTTCTGCCATTTGACTTTTGTTTATATCAGTCTCGGTTACTTTGTGAACGCGTTTACAAAGTTGAGATTTGAGAAATGTTCACCTCACCGGCGGGAAAGGGAGCGTGCACCCACCCGTCTTTCGTGCGACTCAAGGCTTGAGAATTTTTTCATCTCAACTGTGCTTTACCAGAATGAACAGTATAAGACTTTTTCAAACGACGGGAGTCGGGAGAAACAACATGCTTTCCAGTATATTTACTAGCATAGTTAAACCTTCGTTCAGCGTGGGATCTTTGCATAACGGTGGTGCTTTTGGTTTCTTGTACCCTCGCTTGCATCAGGCTCCAAAGTTCACCATCACTTTACCAGAATTCATTGGTGAATGGATATTGAAGGCTGTGCCTAAGAAGAAACCCTCATATAGAAGAACCAGACAAAAGTTATATGCTCCCGGTAATAAGAAGATCCAGCCGTTAAACAATATTGTTAGATGTCCAGCTTGTGGATCAGTCAAAAGATCTCATTTCATGTGTATGAACTGTTTCATGGAAATCAAACAGTTTTTAAAGACCTTAAAACCAAAGAGTTCCGAACCAGTGCAAGCAGATCTTGATGAAATTGACACAAATATCTTGTACCCCCAGAAAAGGTTATCTGCTTATGGGAGAAGGATGAAGAAGAGAGATTGGATTCCTCAGAGAGAGAAGCCGTTGATGTTCGATTCACAACAAGTCAAACACAGAAAATGATGCCATACATATAATCCAATTTGTACATAGACGATAATTAGTGCATGAAGTGCATACTTTCAAATGTCTCTCGTAGCGGTGTGCTAGACTGAAAAAGTCGGCTGAGAAAAAATGAGATGAGGTTTTAAACGATGATAAAGAAGACCAGAGATCCAAGACTGATATACACAAGGTCGGTGATGTCCAAACATCCTTTCGGAGTCAAACCCCAAGGTAATGCGCTACTTGAAGATCCCAGGATGACGTATGCTTTGAGAAAGCAAAGTCTAGGTGATCTATCTGTGTTATCGGACGATTGTCTTATGTACTTGCTTGATTTCATTGATGATATTGAATCGTTGAAACAACTTATGGCCACTTCAAAGTACTTGTTTGTGTTTACCAATGACGAAGACTTATGGAAGAAGAGATACACCAGTCAAAATAAGAAGGAACAATTGAAATGGAGAGGAAGTTGGAAGAGGTCGGTGTTGGGATGGAATAACGATATAATAGTCAATGTTGATTTGAATTCAGAGGTGATCTATAGACCTTTCCAAGTGGCAAATATCGTCTACGAAAGTCTCTTCCACAACTTAGTTGAAGCTGAAATGAACAACAAGAAGTTATCTATCAATGAAGAAGGACGTATCCCAAGGTTTGCCAAAATATCCCAGAAACAATTCGACGATATCGAAACCCCCTTTATCCTCACTGACCACAAATGGCCGCAATGGACACTTGAGGAGCTCAACTCCAAGTATGGAAGTATCAAATTTCAACAAGAAGCGGTCAAGTGGCCATTGTCCACATTTATTGAATATTTGCAGTCAAATAAGGATGAGAATCCACTTTACCTTTTTGACTGCCGGAGTGAAGCAATGACAGAACTTCGCAAACAGTACCAAGCTGAAATACCTCAAGTGTTTCAGGAAGACTATTTCAAGCTTTTGGGTAACCACAGACCTGATCACTCGTGGTTGATAGTGGGAAGTAAGAGAAGTGGTTCTACCTTCCACAAAGACCCCAATAACACTAGCGCATGGAATGCCTGTATCACCGGGAAGAAGCTTTGGGTGATGCTTCCACCACACATAACACCTCCGGGTGTATCTGTTAGTGAAGACCAAAGTGAAATTACTTCACCAGTGGGAATTGGTGAGTGGGTGCTTTCTGGATTCTACAACGATGCCATCAAAATCCCCGAAGCTTTGGTGGGAATCACATTTCCAGGAGAGTGTATGTATGTACCATCCAACTGGTGGCACTTGGTGATAAATCTAGACAACTCAATTGCCATTACAGAGAACTTTGTTCCAGAAAAGGATCTTCAGAATGTCTTGACCTTCTTTCAAACAAGACCCGAGCAGATCAGTGGGTTCAAGCTCAATGATATTAAGGGACTCATTAACATTCTTTCGTGCAAGAATCAGAGGATTTCCGAGTTTATCCAACTTCTCGAAGACTCTTCCATTGACTTGTTCGAAGACTGTGGAGAATTGGAAAACTTGCCCCAAGTGCCAATTTTCGACATCTTCAAGCAGTTACTTATGGACAATGGAAAGGAAGCAGTTTTGAGCCAAATTCTCGAGCGAATGAAACCCAAAAGACCCCAGAAAAGAGTCTGGTCGTGTATAAGTGAGTCTTCTACAGACGCATCACCAGTTCCGTTCTCATTTAATTTTTCAGTCGACTGAGAAAAGTAGCCTGATAAGAACATAATCATGAATTTAGACGAAAAGATAATATACGCCCCTGAAACGTATCAGTACACAAAGGGAGAGCTTCATGAAAACTCTATAAACAAGGACCCGTTTGAGCAATTCCATGCTTGGTTTGCCGACGCCAAGACCTCTGAAGACATTCCCGAGTCTACCATCTTTTCCACCGCCAGATTACCCTCAGGAAGAGTTTCTTCTCGGGTGGTGTTGTTGAAGGAGCTCGACCACGAAGGGTTCGTTGTTTACTCCAACTGGCAGACATCCAAGAAGCTGAAGGACTTTGAAACCAACAACTATGCGTCCTTGACGTTTTTCTGGAAGAACAGCCAGAGGCAAGTGAGAGTAGAAGGAATCATGAAGAAAGTCGATTACGAACAAGCAAATCGATATTTTCAGACGCGGCCTCGTGGGTCCCAGATCGGAGCGTGGTCGTCACCACAAAGTTCGGTGATCCAGGGTAGAGAAGAGTTGGAACAGAAGGTTCGGGAGAATACTGAAAAATTTGGGCAGGGCGAAATCGAGTGTCCTGAGTTCTGGGGAGGTGTGAAGATCATTCCGGTTGAAATTGAATTTTGGCAGGGAAGAAATAGCCGGTTGCACGACAGATTGACGTTCACCAGAGATCACGAAGCCGGTCCGTGGACATTGCGCAGAATTGCACCATAGGTTCATTTAAAGTACATTTAAAATACATTTTTGTCATTTAAAAAGTTTTATATTCTCGTAGCAAATACTTAAGCCAACTTCTTGGCAACGGCGTAGAAGTTCTTACCTTGGACTTGGTGAATCTTCTTTTCCAAGTCACTTGGTTGTCTAGAACCATCAGCTCCAGCAAAAGTTCCAGCACCCCATGGAGAACCACCGTGGACCTCATCCAAGTTGGTCAATAATGGGAAGGCTTCACCATAACCCAATGGCACGTAAACCATACCGTGGTGGATAAATGAAGACAAAGCATTCATGAAAGTGGATTCTTGTCCTCCACCTGGAGTTCCTGTAGACACAAACAAACCAAATGGCTTACCGTACAAAGCACCAGAAGCCCATAAGCCACCGGTTTGATCCCAGAAAACCTTCCATTGGGCTGGGAAATTACCGAATCTGGTTGGGATACCAAACACAAACGCGTCGTATTCCTTCAAGGTGTCGACAGTAGCTTCTGGGACATCGGCCTTTGGAGCTGCGTACAAAGTAGTCAAAACTTCGTCTGACAAGGTTTCCTTGACTTGAAAGATGTCGGCTTCACCACCTGCTTCCTTGATTCCCTTCTGGATTTCCAAGGAGGATTGGTACACGTGAGACCAAGTTGAGTAGTAAATAATTGCAATTTTTGGGGCCATTGTAATTGATAGGTATTTTGCAAAACCTGGGATTTCCTCCAGTTTATATATTACCAGTTAATAATAAATTAGTAAATTCGCGGGGCGCCACACGACCGAATTACGGCTAAGGTTGAGATTACTAAGGCATTAGGCATAGGAATTTAGGAGTAACTTGAGGACACAATTGGCTCAGTAATATCATACACCCGTGACCCTGTGGCATAGTACACGGGGTCAATACCTCATTGGCGTATTCTAGTTCTCGGTGCGTTTCTACAATCGTCGATAAAACAAACTGTGGATTACTATATCGGTGCTCGCGAATACTGAACATTCCACCCAATGGTAGTTTCCTCTAAATACTGGTCTATTTCTTCAATGCTTCCAAAGTCTTATAGAAGTTCTTACCCTGAATTTGGTGAATTTGCTTCTCCAACTCGGTGGGTTGTCTGGAGCCATCAGCTCCAGCAAAAGTCCCAGCACCCCATGGGGAACCACCGTGGACCTCATCCAAGTTGGTCAATAATGGGAAGGCTTCACCATAACCCAATGGCACGTAAACCATACCGTGGTGGATAAATGAAGACAAAGCATTCATGAAAGTGGATTCTTGTCCTCCACCTGGAGTTCCTGTAGAAACAAATAAACCAAATGGCTTACCGTGTAATTTGCTCTGGGCCCATAAGCTACCAGTTTGGTCCCAAAACGATTTCCACTGAGCTGGGAAGTTACCGTATCTTGTTGGAATACCAAACACAAAAGCGTCATACTCAGTGAGATCACTGACTTTGGCTTCTGGGATTTCAGAATACGATGGCTTTTCAGGGGCATGCATCAACTGCAAGACATTGGGTGGTAAAGTCTCAGGGATTTGTAACACCTGGGCAGATCCACCGGCAGATTCAATGCCCTTTTGGATTTCCAAGGCATTCTTGTACACATGTTTGTACAACGAGTAGTAGATGATAGCGATTTTAGGAGGAGCCATTGTGTAATTGAAGTTATTAATATTTTTGGGGCCAAAATAAAGTCTGCGATACGGCCCTTATATAATAGTTGCCCGCCAGCCAAATTGGTCGATTTCTAATCGCGATTGCTAATTTATCGAGTACATTAATAAAATATTTATAAGTTATTACTGAAGAACTAAAGTATAACAAATCTGGGGTATTTTATGTTTCAGCTGAACATAATCCTTTTTGTGTTAAGACATGAGAAAGAGGTTGGAAAACATGAGCACAACTGGCTTGGTATAATGAGTAGACAAAATGCTTAATATGCCATTCTCTTGACTCTGTACAAGGTAGTGGCACCTGCAGTGGCGTACTTAGAAAGGAAGCTCAAATCAGTGGTAGTAGCAGTCACAGCCGCAGTGGTGGTAACGGCAGCAGCAGCAGTAGCGGTGGTAGCAGTAGCGGTGGTGGATGCACTGTTGATTTCAGAAGATGACACAGATCCAGAGTCAAGAGCTTCGGCCAAAAATTTACCCAATTCAGCGACAATTCCACTGCTGCTTCCCTCTAACCACAGGAGAGCGTCGGCCAAAAGACCATTGTCCTTGGCCCAACTGTAGACATCTTTAAGAAGAACCACACCTTCCTTCAATGCAGTACTCAAGAAACTAATGAAAGCTTCTGGGTCAGCAGTGATCTTATTAATCAAGGTGGTGACGAGGCCAGAGTTTTCAACAACCAGAATCACACTACTAACGATGCTTGAGAGATCTCTAGTGCTCAAAATGTCATCATCGTCTTCGGTCTCTCTTTTGGCAGCAGCAGTGGCAGTAGAAGTGGCAGTAGTGGTGGCAGTAGTGGCGGCCGCAGTAGTAGTTCCAGAACTTTTACCGAGGTAAGCAGAAAGTAAAGATTCAGCAGTACCGAATAATGATTTACCAGCGGCCAACAAAGCGCTTCTCAAGTCACTATCGTCTAAAATTGTGCTGAAAGTGTCCTGGATCAAACCAGAGTTCCAAATACCCTTGAGTAAGGTTGGACCTTGAACAACAGCTTCTTGGATAGCTGACTTAACAATAGCAACAATAGAAGTTTTGAGTTCAGAGTTGGAAGTCAAATCTGAGATCACTTTTGAAATGAGACCCGAAGAAGCCAAGGCTTCAATCAAGTTGGATAAAACATCATCAGCTCTTCTTTCTAATTCCATGAGACTAGCTTCATCTTGAATAACGTCTCTCTTACTTTTGAGCAGCTCTAACTCAGACAAGATATCTAAAATCTGGTTGGCGTCTCCTCTTCTAACCATAAGAGTGGTGGATTCACCAGCATTGACAGTAGCAGGGGCAGCACTAACGAGAGCAGAGGTAGCCAAGATGGCCAACAAGGTGGACTGGGCAAATTTCATTCTTATGAAGGTGGTGTTGTAAATTGATACAGTCAGAAAAAAGGAATCCGGTAGCTATTTATATTGAACCCAGTTTCATGAGTTTCCTTTGAAACTTTTGTTTGTTATCCGTTATAGGAAAGTATCTAGCCTATTATTCTCCTCTTGTGTGTGCAAGAATACTGGACAAAAACCTGTACGTTTTAAGTAGTTTTTACCTGGTGTTTATGATTTATAACATAATAATTTCCTGTTGGGGAAATGTTATTAAAGCCACCATGTAATCACATTACCTAAAAAGGAAATTTCTCAAAGTTTGGCTGCAATTTTTCTTTGCACGAACCCATGAGAAAAATGTTCACTATGTGGATGAATCCCTTTGAAATTTCCTCTTCAGGAAGTTCTCCTTATGACCTTCACAGACTTTGACCAACCAAATGCCCAGTAATGAGTCTGCTTCAGTTGGAGGGAAAGATTATTATCTAATTATAGTATTTGGTATGCTGAAATGCCTCGAAAGGTGCCCAGGCTTTAGTAGAATATCCTGTAAACACCAGGAGTAACTCGGCCTGTGAGCCAAATATAGTGCTCAATAAAACCAGGAAACTAGCATAGCATATGAAGTGTGTAATGGTCAACTTTCCTGTTTTGGATTTTACCTTCATAATACACTTCATATTTCAACCACAATAGCCCCACAATACATTGATTCATTATTCCATATGTTGAAGTATGTGGCATGTTCCACCACAGAATTTTCTTCATAATAGATATCATGAAGACATGCAGAAAAAATCGAATCTGGACCAGTTCCATGGTTGTGTTTCCTGGAAAGCGTTGATTGCCTGATTTGTCTATATCATGAATAATTCTAAATTATTTCGTACGAGAAGCCATCCAGTTAAGATCTAGGTTTGGTTCACATCAATGCCGAGTCCCCGTGACTCCAAAAACCTTTACTGCAATTTCAAAGCGCTAGTGGTTATTGTGTTACACACACAACGCGTTGACCGAATATCGTAATCTCGAGACCGCCACCACGCAAGCTGGACCAATTTATTGTGCGACTCGAAAATTTTGCGAATCGCATCGACCTTGAATAGCATAGCATCAACTATACATCATGGCAACTGTCGAAGTAACAACCAGTTCTGTGGACTACAAGTCCAGTAGCAAGACTACTGGCTTGAAAACCGGTACCAAAGGGTTGGTAACACTCGATACCTATGGAAAAGAATTCAAGGTGCCAGATTACACCATCAAAGACATTTTGTCGGCAATTCCCAAACACTGTTACGAAAGATCTTTGGTCAGATCATTGGGATATGTTGTTCGTGATATTGTTATGATGTGTGTTATATCTTATTTGGGTCACAGATTCATTCCCCAGGTGCAGTTGGAAGGATATGAAACTGCTTTCAAGTACATCCGAGGTGGATTATGGTGTTTTCAATCATATTTGATGGGGTTGTTTGGCTTCGGTTTGTGGATTTTAGCCCATGAATGTGGCCATGGAGCTTTCTCTGACTACCAGAATGTCAATGATTTTGTTGGATGGGTGATTCACAGTTATTTGGTGGTTCCATACTTCTCATGGAAATTCAGTCACTCTAAGCACCACAAAGCTACTGGTCACTTGACCAGAGACATGGTGTTCGTTCCATACACCAAAGAGGAGTATGTGGAAGCACATCAAGCCAATAAGATCTCTGAGATCATGGAGGAATCACCTATCTACACGTTCTTGGTGTTGGTATTCCAGCAGTTGGGTGGTCTTCAATTATACTTGACCACCAACGCTACTGGACAGTCGATCCCTGGCTACTCCAAGATTGCCAAGTCCCACTACGCTCCAAAATCTCCAATCTTCGAACCCAACCAATTTTGGTACATTGTCTTATCAGATATTGGAATCATTTCCACCTTCTTAGTTGTCTACCAATGGTATCTTTCGTTCGGGATATTCCACATGGCGGTCAACTGGTTCATGCCATGGTTATGGGTTAACCACTGGTTGGTGTTTGTGACTTTCTTACAGCACACCGATCCAACAATGCCTCATTACAAGGATAGCGAATGGACATTTGCCCGAGGAGCAGCAGCCACCATCGACCGTGATTTCGGATTCATTGGCCAACACATTTTCCACGATATCATCGAAACCCATGTTTTGCACCACTATGTTTCAAGAATTCCATTCTATAATGCCAGAGATGCCACTAAAGCCATCAGAGAAGTTATGGGTGATCACTACAGATATGACGGCACTTCCATGTGGATTGCCTTGTGGTCATGCATTAGGGCTTGTCAGTTTGTTGATGATGATAACGAAAACGCCAAAGGTGTCATGATGTTTAGAAACGTCAACAACATTGGTGTGAAGCCAAAGGACTAAAGGTTCATTGGTGCAACGCCAAGCCGATACTTTGGCTCTTATTTATATTGTATTTACAGCTCATATCAGAAAAGGTTACCACAGCCAACTTTAGATCATATAGAATTTTAAATAGATGCTTATGTCAATTGTTAGTATTATGATGGTTCCGGTTGGTTAAAAATGAACCATCTGCGAAAGTGAAAAATTATTCGAGTGAAAATTATCAATAGGTGAATAGGTGTATCGCAAAATGTTGGTTCGAAACTTGTTGAACGCCTCCAAAGCGTTTCTGAAGCCAGTTTCCAGGGTTTCTATACAGCAAAGTATGATGAGACCCTTCAGCTACACCTCAAGAGTGTTGAGCGAAGTACAACCAAAAACTTACGAAGAAGAGAAAGTGATTATTGATGAGATCAACAACAAATTGACCGACAAAGATATTAACAGCTCGAAGAAGTTGAGAAATATTGGGATCTCAGCTCATATTGACTCGGGAAAGACTACTTTCACCGAAAGAGTGTTGTTTTATACTGGTAGAATCAAGTCCATTCACGAAGTCAGAGGTAATGATGCTGTTGGTGCAAAGATGGATCATATGGATTTGGAAAGAGAAAAGGGTATCACCATCCAGTCGGCTGCCACCTATTGTTCATGGGACAAGGATAACCAGAGTTATCACTTCAACTTGATCGATACCCCTGGGCACATTGATTTTACTATTGAAGTGGAAAGAGCTTTGAGAGTTTTAGATGGGGCAGTTTTGGTGGTGTGTGCAGTTTCGGGTGTCCAATCCCAAACTGTAACCGTTGACCGTCAAATGCGTAGATACAACGTTCCAAGGATCACCTTCATCAATAAGATGGATAGAATGGGTGCTAACCCATTCAAGGCTATTGAACAAATTAACTTGAAGTTGAAAACTCCGGCTGCTGCTATTCAAGTTCCAATTGGGGCCGAGTCTGAATTGAAAGGTGTTGTGAACATTATTGACAGAGTGGCTCTTTATAATGAAGGTCCACAAGGTGAAGTAATTAGAACAGACTCGATTCCAGAGGATTTGAAAGATTTGGTGGAAGAAAAGAGAGCTTTATTGATTGAAACTTTGGCTGATGTAGACGATGAAATGGCTGACATTTACTTGGAAGGTGAAGAGCCAACTGTTGAGCAGATTAAGAGTGCTATTAGAAGAGCCACCATCGGCAGAAAATTCACCCCTGTGTTGATGGGTTCAGCCTTAGCCAATAAAGGTGTCCAACCTGTCTTAGATGCGGTTGTCGATTACTTACCTCAACCAAATGAAATTTTGAACAGAGGTTTAGATGTCACCACGGCCGAAGAAAAACCTGTTAACTTGGTACCTTCAAGCAGTGAACCATTTGTTGGATTGGCCTTCAAATTGGAGGAAGGTAGATTTGGTCAATTAACGTACATCAGAGTTTACCAAGGTAAGTTGAAGAAGGGTGCTTACATTAATCACCTCAAGTCCGGAAAGAAACTCAAGGTTTCTCGGTTAGCCAGAATGCATTCAAATGATATGGAGGATGTTGAAGAGGTTGGAGCCGGTGAGATTTGTGCTACTTTCGGTATAGACTGTGCTTCTGGTGATACTTTTGTGGGAGCTAATTCCGAGCAGAAAATCGCCATGAGCTCCATGTTCGTCCCAGATGCCGTCATTTCATTATCGATTCACCCAAAGTCCAAGGATAATGGAAGTTTTTCCAGAGCCATCAATAGATTCCAAAAGGAAGATCCAACTTTCAGAGTGAGATTTGATGCTGAGTCCAAGCAAACCATCATTTCAGGTATGGGAGAATTACACTTGGAAATCTACGTGGAAAGAATGAAACGTGAATACGGGGTCGAGTGTATTACTGGTAAACCGCAAGTGGCGTATCGTGAAGCCATTACTGCTCCAACCACTTTTGACTATACCCACAAGAAACAGAGTGGAGGTGCTGGTCAATATGGTAGAGTTATTGGAGAATTGAAGCCTTTGGTGGGAGAAAACAAGTTCTCTGAACTGATTGTGGGAGGTAAGATTCCCGAAAAGTTCTTGTTTGGTTGTCAGAAAGGGTTTGACGACTCTTTGGACAAAGGTCCATTGATTGGCCATAAGGTGTTGGGAGTCCACATGCACCTTAATGATGGTCAATCACATATGGTTGATTCTTCTGAGTTTTCTTTCAGAACCGCCACTCAAGGAGCTTTTAAGCAAGCGTTTTTGAACGCCCAGCCAGTCATTTTGGAACCCATTATGACGGTGGAGGTAAATGCACCCAATGAATACCAAGGAAGTGTGGTGGGATTGGTTAACAAATTAGGAGGATTAATTTTGGAAACCGTTAATAACCAAGAAGAGTTCACCGTTACTGCCGAGTGTTCATTAAACTCAATGTTTGGATTTTCCACCTCTTTAAGAGCTTCTACTCAAGGTAAAGGTGAATTTTCATTGGAATTTCTCAAATACTCTGAATGTCCTCCACAGTTGCAAAGAGAATTGGTGGCTGAATACCAAAAGAGTTTGCAGGCTAAAAGGTAAATAAATAAAACCATAGATTTTGTACATAGTTGAATCTGAAATAGTTTTCTAAAACAGTTTGATACGATGATATTATTTTATCTATTGAAGGTGGTGATTTTTTTGTACATAATTATTTGAACGTAAACATTAAGAAAAAAAAAGCCCTAATCATGATGTCTCAAAACTAGAAATACAGTTTATTAGAAGTTATCTTTCGGAAATCTTTTCTTTCAATATTTAGGCTTTAGCAACAGCTTTCTTAACGGCAAATCTGTTTTGCTTCTTCAACACCAACACTTGGAATCTTTCAAAGTCAGATAATCCAGCTCTCTTTTGCTTAGCAGCCAACTTCTTGGCCCATGAGGAAGCAGCCCACTTAGACTCAATGTCAGCAGAGGCCCACTTCTTAGCAACAGTACCAGATCTGGCACCTCTTGGCAAGTTAGACAAAATGAGTGGGGTCAAGACAACTCTTCCCAAAGAGATGGCTTGTCTTTGGAAGTTTGGTCCATCAACCAAAACCTAGAATATTTGTTAGTATTTAAGCAGGGAAAGTCACAAATGAACGCAATATCTTGAATGTGAATGTTTTAGGAACGTTGCTTAGTATCTTGGAGTAGATACTCGAATTTTTGTGAATGGTCAAAATTTTTCATTTGGGTATAAACTCGACAGATCCCACCACTCAGTTGACTGGACCTGGGGAAAATCAAGGGATAAGAAATGAGGGACTCACACGAGGCTTGGGTGCACTTGTATTGGGGATGAGATGATCATTCAAAGTGATATTTTGTTCATGAGGCGTTAGATAGTAAAATTACATACTCTTCTTTGGTCGATGATTTCAACAATGGTGGCTAAGTCCTTGTTGTTAACCAAGACAACACGGCCTAATTCCACGTATCTCCAGTTGGCAGCTTTAACAGTTGAATAAGAAGACATTTTATGATAACTGATAACTTGGTTAGATGTACCTTTGAATAAAAAATTTCTAAGGTGTAGAAGCGAGCAAGATGAAAAAATGAAAAGAGCAGGTCGTGTAAGAATCCTAAAACACCGCACACGGTCACAGATGAAGCCTTAAGACCACGAGGGCATAAGCCCTCAAACCATGCCCACCACATTTCGCTCTCGTTTGTTTGGATCTCTCTTCACAAAGTTTATCCAGCTATTCAAATACGTATGTAGAATCACCACAAGTTTACATGATGATTAATAATTTGCGTTCTAGAGTGGGTCTCCTGAAGCATGCCTAGCTTCATCACGGGGGAGTCATGTCATGCGACCAACCTTTTGTCTGAAACAATTCTTGGTACACACAAAGCCTTTTACTAACCCATGATATAGTAGACCTACTTATAGTTGCAACCCGGTAACAGTGTCACAATTCCATCTATGTAGTCACAGTGCGCTCAGAAATCACTTGTCACCAGGTATTCGTTCTCTTACCCACATTACTTTATGCTTTCCTTTATTCTCTTCCCTTCTCTGTTATACGGTGTCGCTGCGAAATAATAAGACTCATAAAAAATTCCTCAGGCTTATGGTTTATGTTTAGATATCTTCACCTTAAAACACTAATTCGGATGTCATCAAGTACTGTCAAGAAATCTGCCACCCAGCCAAAGTGGCACCAACCGGAGGCCAATAATCTCCCGCCTGTTTTGAAGTTGTACAACTCATTAACACGTAACAAAGATGAGTTCATACCAAACTCTCCAAACCAAATAACTTGGTACTGTTGTGGTCCAACAGTGTATGACCATTCGCACATGGGTCATGCAAGAAACTATGTGTCCACTGATATCAACAGAAGAATCTTGCAAGACTATTTCGGCTACAATGTCAAATTTGTGCAAAACGTTACCGATATTGACGATAAGATTATTATAGCTGCTCGTCAACAATACTTATTCGAAGAGAAGTTTGCCAACGTCTACAAGCAGTTGAATGCTGACCTCACCAAAGAAACGAAGTTGGCGTTCGAGTTTTATTTGCAAAAGAATTTGCCAGCATTCACCGGTAATATCCTGGAGTTTGGATCTTGGGCTCAGTCCGTCAATGTTCAAGAAGTGGCCGTTGTAAACCCAAAGTTCCCCATGTACATCAAAGCAGCAGTCAAGGCATATAATGCTATTCACAGCGAATCCTCTGACTTGCCGAACTTCATGTCCAGTGTTCAAGAAGTCGTCATGCCATACTTGGACAAACAGTTGGGATCTACCGTCAACGACCCATTGATTTTCAAGAAATTGCCTTCTTTCTGGGAAAACAAGTTCGATGAAGATATGGGTAAGTTGAATGTTTTGCCTCCTGACGTTACCACGAGGGTTTCCGAGTACATTCCTGAAATCATTGAGTTTGTAGAAACCATCATTAAAAACGGGTTTGCGTATCCTACCAGCGATGGGTCCGTATACTTTGACACTGTCAAGTTTGACAATGACTCAAACCATGTGTATGCCAAATTACAACCTTGGAACAAGGGTGACTTATCGTTAATTAATGATGGAGAAGGCTCTTTGACCACCGGACAAGATTCTAAGAAGAATGCTGCCGATTTTGCTCTTTGGAAGGCGTCAAAGCCTGGTGAACCTTCTTGGTCTTCAGCGTGGGGCGAAGGAAGACCCGGATGGCATATCGAGTGTTCAGTCATGGCATCTGATATCCTTGGGTCCAATATAGATATCCACTCAGGAGGGGTTGATTTATGTTTTCCTCATCACGATAACGAATTGGCTCAGTCCGAGGCATGTTTCGATAATAAGCAATGGATCAACTACTTTTTGCATAGTGGCCACTTGCACATACAAGGTCAAAAAATGAGTAAATCTTTGAAGAACTTTATCACTATTGAAGAGGCTTTGAAGGACTACAGTAGTAGACAATTGAGATTGGTGTTTGCCATGAGCTCATGGGAAAGACCTCTTGACTTCAAAGAAAGTTTGTTGAAGGAAGTCAAGGCTTTTGAGTCCACTTTATCTAAATTCTTCACTATTGTACGAGCATTGAACAATGATTACAAGCATGAGATTGCTGGAGGAAGATACCCAGTAAAGAAATTGACGCTTGCTGATAAGACTTTATCTGGAGACTTAGTGGTGGCCCAAAACGAAGCGCACGAAGCATTCTGTGACAACTTGTCTACTCCTCAAGTGTTGAGGATAGTGCAAGAATTGATCTCCAAGTCTAACAACTATATCCAAGTTTGTTCCTCTGGAGAAAACGAATTGAGAATCGAAATAATATTATCAGTCACCAAGTGGATTGTCAAAATCCTTGATATCTTGGGATTTGAAGCCAGAGCCGATAGATTGGGCTGGTTAGACTCGTCCGAGGAAGGTACAAGCTCATTTAACAAAGAAGATACATTGATGCCATATATCAAGGCATTATCTCAGTTCAGAGATTCTGTGCGGAACTCGGCCATCAATAAAGAAGATATCTCCAAGGTCTTGTCAGCTTCTGACAAGATAAGATCAGAATTAATCGATTTGGGTGTTTCTTTGGATGATAGACCAAATGGATCGGCTTTAATAAAGTTTTTAAATGCTCAAGAATTAGCCGATTTGAAGGAACAACAAAGACTCAAAGAGGCACAGCTCAAAGAAAAGGAAGAAAAGAAGAAACAACAAGCATTAGCCAATGCCAAGAAAGAGGAAGAAAGGCTAGCTAAGATGAAGCTTGACCCCAAGGATCTCTTTCAAGATAAGTCCTTATATTCTGAATGGGACGAGTCTGGAATCCCTACCAAGGATGCTAAGGGTGAAGAAGTAACCAAAAGCATGAAGAAAAAGTTGGTGAAGCAATATCAACAACAAGAGAAGCTTTACCAACAATACTTGGAGTTACAGAAATAGATTATATACCACATAAAACTATAATAATCACTCGGGAGTTTTCGCAGTCGGTTTTCCCGATTAGGGAGCGGTACCTGATGCGGCCCTATTCAACAAAGGACCGTGTATTGTCATCCCCTTTACACTAATCCACAACCTTTCAGGTTATTCACAAGCAAGTCCGTAGAACATTGATGGACCACATCAAGTATATCTACTAATATACTCATCCCCATGTTACCATAGTTATGTCCCCCAATCCTATTCAACAATCTGGTCTCAACCCCAAGGAAGAGCTTGACTTTTCAAACATAGACTCCGTTATTACTTCTCCTAAAAGACATGCCAGCACCGTTCCTTCGAGCCCCTCCCATTTGAACGTTCGGTTTGACAAAGATCAGGACAAGGTGCGAGACGCCCAAAAACTAAACAAGATAAAGTCCCTTGGAAAGATCGACATCAGATCTCCTATTATCAATCATGTGTTCACATCCAATCTGGATCTACTTCAACCAAACGATGACATGTCCTTATATACGCCAGGAACACATACCAGTGTGGCCTCAAGGATTCTCAGTTATGTCCCTGAAACATTGTACTCGATCCGGAACTACTATAATGACTTTACCACTATCGACTGGGCTGATGCTTTCATAAAAACAAACAGAATCCAGTACGAGCTTCACCATAAACATTGGATCACCGAGGGGTCACTGGATCAAGAACTCTCCAAGAACAAGATCCCCTTATACTACCGGGCTTATCATATGATGGGGAGATGGGTTCTTATTGTTCTTATCGCGTTTGTGTTCTCGCTTGTTGCCTATGCCATTGACAAATTTGAAATCCTCTTTGTGGGGATCAAACACGGCTACTGTAGCACAAACTGGTTGGCCAGTCAGGTGGCGTGCTGCTCTGAACCTCACTCACCAACTAAAGGTTTCCTCAGGAGGAATGTGTTTCAATCTGGATTTGTGATGAAAAGTGATGTTCAGGAACAGTGTCCTCTGTGGATATCATGGTCCACATATTTCCTGTACACCTCTTGGGGACACTATATAAGGTTTGATTACTTTATTTACGTGATATTATCGGTATTGCTTGCGGTAATTGCGTGCTTCATCACGTTAACCACGGAAATAGCTAATCGAATTCCAGCTGCTTCCACCGAAGCAGATGACGAAGAGGATGGGGACCAAGACAATAGAAGGATGAAGTACACGACTGGTAAAAAAATGTACACGGCTGCTGGCTCAGGTGTTCCCGAAGTGAAAACAATATTATCAGGGTTTGTTATCAGAAGATTTTTGGGAACTTATACATTTTTAGCCAAAACAACTGCATTGGTTTTTGCAATTGCCTCAGGAATGGCATTAGGAAAAGAGGGTCCGTACGTTCATTTGGCAACAGCAGTAGGAAATATCTTGAGTAGACTTTTCCCTTTTGTTTCCAATAATGAACTCATTCAAAAGCAGATCTTATCGGCAGCTGCTCTGAGTGGCGTGGCATTAGCATTTGGCTCTCCTCTTGGAGGTGTACTTTTCATCTTGGAAGAAATAAACCACTCACTTCCTTCTTTCCAGCTATTCCAAATTTTCTTTTGTGCCATCATATCAACATTATTTTTGAAGTTCTTAGATCCTTATGGGACAGGAAATACTGTCTTATTTGAATTGAACTACACTTCTGATTGGAATGCGATTGAGTTGATATTTTTCATTATTATTGGTTTGGCTGGTGGCGTTTTTGGGGCTTTATTCGTGAAGTTTGTAGCTTGGTGGCCCAAAGTCTTTAGGCTGAAAAAATTGATCCAAGAACATCCCATGCTCGAAGTTGTTCTAATAGCTGCAATCACAGGTATTATAACTTTCTGGAATCCCTATACGAAACAAGCAACCACAGAATTAGTTTTAGACTTGGCTACTCCATGTTCTGGTGAAAAGGATCGTACCTTGTGCCCAACTAAAGGGGAGGAGTTTATTTGGGAACTGGGGTCCCTATTATTTGCATTGATTATTAAGATAGTTTTGACGTTTATAACGTTTGGCTTGAGGCTCCCCATGGGTGTATATGTTCCTTCTATGGTTATTGGAGCCTTGTTTGGTAGATTGTTTGGAACAATTCTTGAGTGGATCAACTATACTTACCTGTTACTGTTGATTGAAGCACCTATCGGAGCCGGAGCAGTTAACCTAATTTGCCAGAAAGGTCAAAATTGTATTGACTTGGGAATCTATTCCATGATAGGAGCTGGGGCATTTATGGCCGGAGTTACCAGAATGAACATTACTTTAGTAACCATCCTTTTTGAAATCACCAGTTCATACACTTATGTCTTGCCCATTTCGATCTCAATAGCTGTGGCGAACTGGATGGGTAATCTAATTGAGCAGAACTCCTTATATGAGTCCTTACTCATTGCTTACGATTATCCATTTATGTCTCCAGAAACAGAACCAATTGATCCTTTAAGAACCGCTGGAGATATCATTGAAACGTCTGTGAAATACAACGATATTGATAGTGAGCCCAATATTCAAAGAATCAGACCTATTTCGGGTATTGCAAGGCCCATGGTCCCTACACTTCTGACTGCAAACTTAGAAGCCGCGATGGATCAAGATTCGTCCACCAAGATGTATATTGATATCACCTCCTCACCCTACGTTTTAACCAGTATATTGAAGCAGAAGCTACTTTTGCTAGCCAGCAAGTCGCTACTTGATGGGTGCATTGCTTTGATAAAAAGCAAGGTTTGTGTTGGAATTATTTTCTTTCCCGAACTCGAGATTTGTATCGATAAGATTGACCAATTTTGCATGGAATATGAAATCAACGAAGACTTATACTGTATCGTGGGAGATGAAGAAAAATACTATTTTGGGAACCCTGCTATAGATACTCTTCGAGACCCCATCAAGTTCAACTTAAATGTCTTAAAAAGTAGCCCAGCTTGCCAGTCTAATGACATGGACTATTTCATCTACCATTCCGTCGATCAGGATACTGATAACAACAAACTTTTGACCGTATACAGCCTGTTGATGTCTTTGATAGACTTCACCAAACACATCAACTACAGCCCCATTTTCTTGAACTACAACAGTGAGTTGAGTCTTGCTCATTTGGTATTTGATAAGATTGGGAACAGAGTGATTGTTCTTCTCAAAGACGGTCAATACTATGGAGTTTTACACAAAAAAACCCTTATAGATTTCATTAGAAGAGATAACTATAATCATTAAATATAATAAACATCCCTCCTATGATATGCAGTTGTTTTCTCTAGCTCTGCTATTGCAAAACAAGAAAACCCTAAATTTGTCCAAAATCCCACAGTTAAGTAGGAAATGTCGCTTATCAATCCTCTGGACTTTATTCCTATGTGTAGTTTTAGTTCGATGACTTTCAATGTTTAAAGAAAGAAGGAATTCTTGGTATATTGTCGTTGTTTGAAACTCTCCTGAAATATCACCATTTTCAATCAGATATTTAGCATTATAGAGGAAGTGATACACCGCCATAAACTCCTCTGTATATACGTCAATCCTTCCATCCAAGCAGAAAGTCAAGTTCAGGAACACTTCAAGCAATCTACTGTTGAAATTAGACTTTTGAAAGAAAAAGTAGCCAAAATAGTTGAGCCAGAGTTTCATGCCAAATGTACTGATATCAAGTACAAGGTTACAAATCAAACCACGTTCCAAAGCAAACAACTGGTCTGCCATTATGTCAAATAAGAGGGCTTCATATTTTTTGCTGTCACCAGGCATTTTGAACACACCACTATCTTGAGGTTGACGAGCGGTAGGATTATAGGGAGTGCAGAAAAAGCGTCGAAGAACCTCCTCGTTATTGCTGTCAACCAAAGCTCCCAAGAGCACAAGGTCGGTTTTAGAACCTGGAAAATAGTAATAGTCAAAATAATCAAACAAACTTTTGGGGATACCTCCATAGTTTATGCAATTGAAGTTTCGGAAAAAACTCAGTAATACCAGCAACACACCATTGTCAATCCGTTCGCCTGTTATTTGAATTATTTTTATTACCCTGACCAATTCTTTGCAGAGTTTAGTTCTAAGTTCTGGAGGTGCTTTGATAATCATATCAAATCCACGTTTAATCTCTATTTCTTTGCAGCTACTACTTTTGCTTGAAGTAATGACCGATTCTGTGGTTCTAACAAATAGCTGAGTGAATTTTTCCATATCAAACAACGATTCGGCCACGCTGGAAACCTCGAAGAGTTTGAACAATAACAACACCAACTCGAAGTTGTATCTGATTACCATTAACTGTTCTGCCACAGTACCCAATAGGAAACCGTCAAAAGAATTTAAATCAATATATCCGCTGAGTGAATATTGGGGTAGCTTTAAAGCTTTCAATTGGTCTTTCAAATTTGAAGTCCCCATCACCGAGAGAGTATTGTACCAGTCTTGGATCAAATCAGGAGCAGCAAGGAAAAAGCTGAAGATGTCTTTTGCCAAAGTAATTGCAGGAGCCATTATGGCAGGCTTGAAGAAGCTCACCCTTATGTGTTCTAATAATAAGAATGCCCCGTTGATGAACTTATATTTCTTAAAGGAGGTAAAAAGTGGAGACTTCTTTATTGCCTCTAGAACTCTCACCGAGTAAAGCTCTTGAAGAAAAGACACCTGAGTCCAGTACAACTCATAGTACGAGTGGTACAAGCCATATGTTGAAAGTGACAGCAACAAACCGTATTCCATGAGAACCAGTAATGTTTGTGGTAGTGCCGGACCAGTAGACGATTTGAGAATATTCAAACAAGCTTTGTAGTTGGGAATTAAAGCAATCTGTGTTCTTCTATTACTGGGATCGGCTTGGTGCAAATCATTCAACCGTTTGGATAAAATAGAGAATATCCGGGGAATCAGAGGATCGATCCTATTAATACCACTGGCATTTGTTGGTTGCATGTGAGTGAGTTTGAGGTTTATTCCACAAGAAAATAAAAACTTTCGCAGCCATTTGTGTAATTCCCTTGAAGGTCCCTGCATATATCAAGAGAAATACGAGATGTGGGATGTTATAGATCCGATTGCCAAAGGAAATAAAAACTACAAGTATCCTTTATTCTCTCTTAAACTTACCACACACACACAAACAAATGAACGTCAAACTCGAAAACGATTACTCCAACCACTATATCCATAGTGGGATAGTCCCTAACACCTACATCAGTAACATTGATAACCCACTTGAAGGATATCCAAAGTTACAGAAATTGAAGGAGTTGAAACAGAAACAAATTGAAAAGCACCAAATACCTCCTTTTGGATGTAAAGTGAAGCCCAAGGATATGCCTGCGGTTATAACAAACTGGTGTACCGAAAAGAACTTACAGTTCGATGTGGTAATGATTGGGGCCTTAAGTACGGAATCGGTTTTACCAGTATTGAATCAATTGCCATTAGCGAAGTTGTGTGCTAAACCGGGCTTTTTGTTTATTTGGACCACCGAGAAACACATTCTCGAGTTGAGTGTCTTCTTGAATACGAAACTCAACAAGAAGTTTAGAAGATCGGAGGAGCTCATTTTCATTCCTGTTAATAAGAATTCCAATGTGTTCCCGGAGCAGACTTCAGATGCAGTATTTCAAAATCAGCAATGGCACTGTTGGATGTGTATTACTGGAACGGTTCGAAGATCCAGTGATCTGCACTTGATACATTGTAATGTGGATACCGATTTACAGTTTGAAACATCAAATAGCCCTGTTACTAGCCATATCCCTGATACCATTTACAAAGTAGCTGAGAATTTCTCCAACTCCAATAGGAGACTACACATCATTCCATACTCGATGGGCTACAATCTCTTCGTTAGAAGCAGACCTGGGTGGGTGATCATGAGTCCCGATGTACTTCTTGACAACTTTGATCCAATAAAGTACGAGTCTAGTTTATACTCCAAATCATTGATAAACAACAAAGGTAACCACGTCCAGTACTTGGTGAGTCAGACTCAAGAGATTGAAGAGTTGAGGCCTAAAAGTCCTAATAATTCAAATAGATGAAGTAAGGCTAATTCAATGAGTTAGTAAAGTCATGGGTTAATTGGGAGTATCAAGTAAATCAGAATTTTGATGAATGTTGGATAGGATTGTTATCAGCATCGTTTTCACTCAGAGTGAGCTGAGTTAGGTTTTCATCATATACTTGATATTAAAAGTAGAACATACTGTTATATTAAGCACTAATATTATGAAAAATTTTCTCTCTCCCTCAAATACGTTTTATATCGGTATATCTGGTATATACACGCATACACTATTAGCTGCAATATCTAACTATAGTCGTTACCATCGAACTTGTACTCAGAAAATTGTCTAGAAGGAAGTCCCATATTGAACATGATATCTAATTCTTCGTAGGTCCGGTTTTTGGTCTCAGGTAACCGGAAGAATGCCCACACTATAGCTGGAAGCGAAATAAAACTCCACACAAACCCCGTATATCCTTTCAAGTTGGCACTTCTGGGGTTGATTAAAAACGGCTGCATTATGCCGGCCATCAACTGCAATGAATGATAGAAAGCCCTGGCTACAGATAGAGTTTGAGACTTTACTCTTGTTGCTGGAATCTCAGCCGCAATTGTATACGCCAAAGGACCAACCGACAAAGAATATACCGCCACCCAAACCATTGTGAACCCACACTGGACCCACTTCACATCAGGATTTCTATCAGCAGCCAATTGCAAAACTCCTTCCATAAACAAACATACCAAAAGAATTGATGATCCAGTAATGTAAATGGGCCTTCTACCAAATTTGGTCATTAGCATCCACGAGCATCCACACCCTACAAGAGCTATGCCGGTGATACAAACATTTAACTGGTAGGCGTATTCGGCACTCAAGCCTGCTTGACGCCAGAAATACAGTGGCAGGTACATGAACTGTGATCCACAAGTGACTTGCATTGCAAACGTTAAACATGTAATCTCCGTCCGGCGGACATTCGTGACAGTAAAACACTTCTTAACGGATTCCCATATACCGTTGGACGTTGAATGCTTGGTCCGTGAAAGCTCAAGCCTATTTGTGTGGATTATCATGGCCACTACTTGACAGGCTTCCTGGTGAACCAGATCTGCACTTAATCTCTTCACCGCCACCAAAGCATCAGCTTCTCGCCCTTTCCTAACAAGCCACCAAGGAGAATCAGGTGCCAAATACACGCATATAAACAAAGGAATTGGCCATACCCATTGTACAGCAAAAGGAACCCTATAACCCCAATCAGTTTTGTTCTCAACCATTGACTTCAACACACCTGCTGCAATCAACTGGCCAATTGCCCAGCACATGTTGATATAGGCTGTCAAGTATCCTCTTAACACCATTGGGCATACTTCAGATGAGTAGGTAGGACCCATGGTAGAAAGACAACCCATCACAAGACCGAAAAACCACTCTCCAAGTAAAAGCACATAGATAGTTGGAGCAAACACCGTGAAGAATACAAACCCCATAACAAGAATTAAGGCACCCATAATCACTTTTCTGTGGCCCCATTTCTCTGCCAAATACCCATTAGCCATTACCCCAATAAACATACCTATATTTGCAGCACACCCAAGGGCAGACATCCACCGACTCTCAAGTTCATAGTTGCCATCTCCAGTGGGTATTCCATACTTTCTTTGGAATGACGGGTACCCGTAGAACGAAGCAATGAGGCTTTGATCATATCCTTCCATAATGCTAAAACACAGTCAGTATATACACTAGTTTGGCACAAATTTGTGTGAATAGTCCTTGGACAGACATTACGTACATTGTAGCAGAAATCAAAATTGACCAGACAACGGCTCTCTTGTGCAAATGCAACGCTTCTTTAATGGACATCAGATGTTCTCTGGCAGTAGCCTTCTGTGCGTCTCTCTCAATCTCATCATCGTAAGTATCAGTGGAAGTCAGCCCGTAGAGGGGATTGAAGCTGTCGATAGGTTTGACGAGAAGAGTGCTACTCAGCCGACTTCGCAGTATGATTTTAGAGTTGGACATTGGGTGTATCTAATAATTGATAAACTAATTTTCCCCAGCTTTTCAGCTTATCTCAAAAATGCTCATAATGGATGTGTACCACGTACCTCTACAATTATACAATATTAAAATTACAATTACAGATTATGAAATTGTCATGGGTGTATTGTTTAACCCTACAAGCGTGGTTCTCATCATATTTATGGGATGCGTGTAACTCTATGTAATTTGGCGTCACCATCACTTCGTTAAACTTCATTAGTTGCAATTTCTTGTCCTTTTCAATTTCAATTCAAGTTGCTGACTTCGAAAAGAAAATCCAGGAAATTGATTGTAGCTACACCAGACAAGTCCTTATCGTACTTTTTGAAAATGTCTGTGAGCTTACGCAAATAAACCAAAAGTTCAATGAACTTATCGAATTTCAACTTACCCACAGATGATCCATCCGTATCATCATAGTCCTTATATGAGAATTTTTGAAACAAGTGCAATACAAGATCGATGTTTAATTTGTAACCGATTTGCTCCAATACTTTTTGGAATTCCCCGAATGAAATATCTCCGGAGTTGTTGGTGTCAGCTTGTACAAAAAGCTTCTTATAAGCCGACAAGTACTTCCACAAAGAGACGAATTGATCGAAGTTCAAATGTTTGGATGCACTACTTGGATTACTGAACAAGTTTATCATGAGCACAACCGTAGATTCTTGAAACTTTGTATGATCAAAGTTCAATAACGCATTCGATAACTCGGATTTTGATATTCTTCCGGATCTGCTGGTGTCTACCTTATCAAACACGGATCTCAATTCCAGTTCAAGCTTCTGTTTGGAAGATTGCTTAGGTGGTGTTGGTTCAGGTAACGATTCTCTTGAGCCAGTGTATCCATTATTTGGGTTAGATGGTTTTCTGTTCCCATTGGAACCATATCTTTGCTGCTGAGGTTGAGGAACAGGTGGGGCATTAGTACTTTGGTACTGTTGATGAGGAGAATGAGAATGGTGAGTCTGGCCTGGTGCTGGTGGCGGTGGCTGCTGATAATGTTGTTGTACAGGGGCAGGAGGTGCAGAAGCCAGCGTGTTCGATTGTTGATAGTACGCTTGTTGTGGAGCAGGGGCCAAAGGCAATGAATTGGGTTGATTATAATAATTAGGTTGCACAAGCGGTTGCGAATACGCCTGTGGCTGTTGCTGTTGCTGTTGCTGTTGCTGATAGTATTGATTTGAAGGAGCTGGTTGTTGCTGGGGAAAGTGCACCTGTTGGACGGGTTGCGGCCTCAGTTGGTGCAGCTGTGGTGGTACCAGTTGGTATGGTTGAGGGCTCGAAGAGTATTGAGGTTGTGACAGGGTTGGTGGTCGATACATCACGTTCTGTTGAGAGTGACCTGATTTTTTTCTGGAGCCAGGAGTAGTACTATTGCCATTGGAGCCTGGGACCACATAGGCCGCTTGCCTGGGGGTGGGATACAGCGGTAATTCGTTCATAACACGGGGGATTGGTGGAGAGATCACAAAGTAAGTAGACAATATAAAAGGAGAAGGTGACTTTTTTTGTTATTAATGGAGGGCGCGAAGAATTATTTTTTGGTGTAGGGAAAGGATATCGAGCGAGTTGACGAAAAATGGTGAGAAGCACAGGCTAATTAAGCACTGCCAACTTTTATATAAGGAGACATTACATTGCTATATTAAGCAGACCTGGAGTTACCTAATGTTTCGTTTATTAGAAAACATGAAATAAAGTATACATAAATTATAATGATGAAATTTATAAGTATTCAATGTATTCTAATAACAACTTCCCTTTTTATTAAGAATTTTTTTGGATTAAATTACAGTGAATCTGGATAAAAGAAGGATACAGTATGGAGGGGACTGGAGTTCTTTAATCTCTTCTCTTGAAGTTACCTCTTCTTTGTTGGAATCCACCTCTTTGAGGTCTTTCAGCTGGGGCACCTTGCAATCTAGTCAAAGGTAAGATACCTTCTGGGATGTTCAACTCTTGTCTTAAGTACTCAACACCTTCGTCAGTCAAGGTGTAGTAGTAGTATTGCCATGAGAATTGGGTTTGGACGTAACCTTTAGAGGTCAAGGATTGTAAAGCCTTAATGACGAATAAGTTCTTGGTGTTGATTTCATCGTGCTTGGCTTGTTCAAAGTCCTTCTTAGCGACGACAACACCTTCTTGAAAGAGGTATTGGTGGATCAACTTTCTGTCTTCTTTTGGAATCAACATGTTTACAGGTTACAAACGTGAACTTTGGAGATAGGTTTGAAAAATTATTCCAATCTTTTTTTCACACTAAGAGTGAGGTAGGGAAAAATTTTTTGGACCGCGAGAGTGGTATGCACACGAAAGGGAATACTTTGGCTGTCACGCGAATCACGTGTTAACACTTAGGGCTATTGACTGGTCCGTCTAATGAATGCAGAAAGTATTCTTGAAACTGTTTTTAAATTCATTGCCAAAGAAATATAAAGATTTGGGGGATACCAGAAGCAGAATTTCTCTGATCCTCAAGGTATCCTCCAGGAAGTAATCACAAGCTGAAACAATAAGAGAGCAGTTTCCCCATTCTCTCATGGAAAAGAAGTAATGCTTCTGAGATCCCATAACTCCTCACAGTTACTGAGTTACCATTACCCTAGGAGTTGGCCGCAATGGCGCTATTAAAACTTTGTTTCTGTTGGTATATGTTCTACGTAGCTCTTTAAGATAAAAAAGATTGCGAAAAGCCTTCGCCTTGAAGCTGCAAAATTCACAAATACTTGAACTACACAACTGAGAATGAAGGACTTGTCTAGTTTCATAGCTGCAACACATAGCTATGCAAATAGTACCAATCCCCATGTCCTTTAGGTCAACATTACAGCTGCTGTCATGAGCAAGGACTTAGGGCCTTTCAGCCCCTATATATTGATAGAAAGCAGAGATTAAGTATACCGGAAAAGGTATTGCAGCTATTGTTCATCACTTTTCCATCACTTTCGGTCTAAGATAGAGATAGACTTAGGAGCACTAAATTACTTTAACTTATAACTTGCAGAAGTGCCTTTGTGTGTATGCACCTTACCACCACTTGCAGCTTGACATATTTCTATACAACCCACCGGTTCAAACTTTCTCAATGAATTCATGTACTTATCACGATACTGTCACTTACTTGTTCTAGCTAACAATTACCTTCTTCCGACCCCTGAATTCGTGGAGGCAATCAAAAATAAAATCTAAATCAGAGGGTAGATAATTCGTGTTTTAACTCAAACTCCTAGATTAGCCTCGCGATAAAATCACACTTGATCTAAAGTGGTGAGATGAAGTCATTCATCAAATCTCACAAACGTAACGAGTCGCTCCAGTCATACACCTCATCGTCGACCACCAAGAGTCCTCAGGCATCGCCGCTATTAAACCAATCATCTTCTGCGCCCAGCAGTCCCAAAAAACTCCTCAATCCCATTAAGAACTTGTTCCACAAGAGACAACCGCTGGCAGACTTAGACGATATTTTTGTCTCCAGGCCCAATTTTTACAAGAGTCGGGACGTTAAGGTCATTTCTGAGCCCCTTGATATTGTAAGAAACTCAACGAAGAAGTCATCAAAACGATTGAAGTCCAAGCTGTCGGCAAGCACAAATCCTGATGCTCCAGAAGAAGGTGACGTGGATTATGCTGATTCCTCTTCGGAGGGCTCCGACGACTCCAATTTCTCGTTTGTTAAAGATGTAATAGGTGGCCGGAATACCTCCATCAAGTACTACAAGACAAAGTCCACCCAAGTACCCGAACATAATCGGCCCATTTACTTTGATAACGACCAAGACCATGATATTGATGTTGATGATTATGACTTTGAAAATAACGGACTTGATGGTTATGATGGTGTTGATGACTACAATGATATAGAAGAGGACATAAACTATATTGATGACTTTGATGATGATGTCGACAAGATTGACCGACCTCAACCTGGAAGTTGCATCAGTGACGATGCAGTATTTAACCCAGAAGAGTATTCCAACCACTTTGCTGATACCGAAGATGAAGGAGGCTATTATGGAAACATGAAGATATACTCGTTGCATAATAAGAAGCCATTCAACCAATCCTACCACCTTTCTATCAATGGAAGCAAGCATGGCTCAGATAAAAGTGGTGACGATCATGTCGATCTTCTTGATAGCTACTTGGATGTGGATCCTGACGAAATTGGGTTTACTACAGATACCCCTAAATTTGAATCTATTGACGATTTACAACTCTATGACTTGAATTCACCCTTAATTAATGGAATTAACATGGGTGGTAACACTTCCAGCAGGTTCAACAATATCAGTCCAGCTGTGAATACAAACCTCCACCCGAATGTTAAGAGTTTCCATTTGTCAATTGACGAGATTCAATTGTATAAAGGTGAAGAAGATATTGGTATTGGCTCCAAGTCGGAAACTAAAAATCTAGCTTTCGGAGCGGTGCTAGCAGACTCGGCACTTGATGACGATGAGATCACCAACATAGAAAGTTATAATGACTACCAGTTCCAAGACAGCTCTGATGAATTGACTAAATCACCTTCAGATACCCAAGGGTATTCGGAGGCTCAAGCAGAAATTGACATGACCTTGAAAAACTTAGAGTCATCAGCAGAACCTAAACTGGATGCTCCAAAAAGTGTTCCTCCGAGAATTAACAGACGTTCTATAAATGAACTCATGAACCTACTAGAAAATCTTCAAGTAGACAATGGAATTACACAGCAGAGTAAACGTGACTCCATTGAAAACATGATGCATTTTTTGAAGAATATCCAGAAAACTCAAGTAAGCAGCTCAACAGATGGTGGTATTTTACCCAATCGTCATACGGTTACTTCAAATGCAATAAAGCCTGTTAAAGAGACGAGAGCTATCAAAGAACAGGAAGACGAAGATGAAGGGCCTAATTTCTTGGATACCGACTTGAACGATTTGGAGAAGGATTTACTAGATGAAATCAACCAATTACCGGAAGATTATGATTTTGATGCTAGAGAAGAGCTTTTAAACCAATTGGATTACATTAACAGCAGTATGCGATCACTGCCATTTATGAGGTCAAGTTCATTTAACAAAAAACCCAAGAAGCTATCCCATTCTTCTAGTTTGAAGAATCCCAGCAAGATCGAAACTTCAAACAAAACTGTGACCTACTACAACAAGTCCCAACCAGGAAGTTTCAAGAGCAAGAGCCACAGTCCCATTGATGACTTAATGACAATTAGAGAAAAAAACTAGATTGGTAATAGTTTAACTTTTGCATTAAAATAGACAATTTTTATGAATCTTTATCATGTAAAATTAGTTGACAAGATCTTGGTTTTTTTGGTGAATGAATGTGCTGAAGTCATAATAACTAGATGATTTTGTATAGTCAAAGTATTTTTCTTCTTCTGGCCGCTTTTGTTGCCCTTCCGGAATTGACTGATTAGCTTCTTTAGTAATTTGGCTGATTTGTTTAGGCATTTTAATTCTTCTCGAATTGTATTTGCTGCTGGTATTCGAGTTCATCGATCCATTAGTTCTTTCCATCATTCTTTGGGTCACAATAGTTCCGATCTGAGGTTCCCTTCTACTAATTTGCTTGAGTCTTAATTGGCTGTCACTAGCCATGGAATTATATGAGAAAGTACTCGAAGAACTAGAAGCATCAGACCTTGTTGAAGAACTTCTTCCTAACCAGTTCCTTCCATACTTGGAATAGATACTTTCCAAATCCACTTCATCATCTTCTTCAACCAACACAACTTCTACTTCCTTTCCTCTATGCAACTCGGTGACAGATTTATAGGAGAGGGTAGAATCCTGCCTTTGTATCATACAAACATCATATTTTTCATCCGCCGTCAAGTCAATCACCACACTTTCAACGTCTGAGATGTCTGTTGAGGCACTAAGCTTAGCGGACCTGCTGGACTGATAACTTGAATCTGTTACCGAAGAAGTGGCCTTTCCAGATTTAATCTTTCTCAATTCATTCATAGTTGGTGTATAGGTTCTGTTCAAGTCGTTTTCTTTTCCGGTTGAATCTTTGAAGTCCACTTGGTAACTAATTGGCTGAGGTGGTTCTGCCACCTGAATGTTCAATTCTTCGTTGGCGGTAGGTTTTTCTGTGGCTTCAGAAGTTTCAGGACTCTTGGGGCTCTCTTCTGTCTCTGGTTTCTTCATCAAATCAGCCAAATTAAAGTCAATATGGCCCATAGATTTATGACGGCTATGACGACTGTAGTTACGGGAGTGATTGACTCTCATAGGCGTTTGAGTCTGTCTTTGAACATCTGAAGGTAATGGAGGCAATTCTGAGTTCTTTTTGGCATTCAAATTAGAAGTCGATTTGGACTTAACAGTATTATAAGCTGAAAAGTTCGTCGAGCTTGCATCGCTTTCGGAATCAGAACTGTCATACAAGTGCTTAAACTGCTCAGTAACTATTCTTCTACCTCTTTGACTAGGAATTCCTATGGGTTCCAAAGTTTCATTCTCAGTTTCGTCGTCAGTTATTAAATCATTGAATGTAGTTCCATTAATAGACAAGATGGACTTTCTCATTGATGTAGCATCACTGAAAGAAGCTTCACTCAAGTCGGGAATTTCAATCTGTCCATCCATGGTCGAATAGAAGCTGATTCTGGATTTGCTGGATTTGTAAGTTTCAGTCGAGATGACTCTCTTTTTGGTGATTTCATCATTAGTAATGTTGTGAAGGTTATTAGGGAAGTTGAACTTCTTTCCAGCACCCTTATTATCGTCTTCTTTATGAGGTGTAACAGTAGATTTGAACTCAATTGTATCCTGGGACTGGTTTGTGACCTCTTCCTCTTCGTCATCAACTTGAGAAGCTTCTGAAACTATTTGTTGTATTGTTTCGGGGACCACTGGAGCCACTTCTTCTACAGCCTCTGCAATTTCTTGCTCTTTGTCTTCAAGTGTCAAGTTACTGTAATATGCAACAAGCTCACTCTCATTGGCTTCTTTGAAAGATTCGTTCGGTTGACTCACTTCTGGGGTATAAGACTTTTCTGACGAAATGGTGGTTTCATATTCATCGTCATCATCTTCATCCACCGAAGAAGCAGTGTCTTCACCTCTGTTCAAGTCAATGCTTTTCTGCAATGATTCCCAAGAGGCATTCGAGCCTTGTGAAATAGTGGACTCACTTTCATGATCAGAACTCTGTGACTCAACAGTAGACATCGACAGACCACTAACATCTCTTTGAACAATTGGCTCGGCACCGTACATATTTGTTCTGCGACTGGCAAAGCTGAGTACATCTCCAACGGAAGAGAACGAACTAACGGAAGAAACATGGGATTCGTCACTGAAGCTTCTCTTGTGGATCTGGAGGTATTGGGCACTATTAGATGCCGAGATCTTGGTGGCATTGAGGACGTTTTCAGAAGAAAACCGGGGGAGTTGGACTTGAGTAGCTTCTTCGGGAGACATTATTGGCTCCATTGGAGCCGCCAGTGCAGGTGAAGACATCATTCTAACGTTGGACCTCACTTGTTCTGGGGCTGGAGATAATATTTCAGATGTTTCCTCCTCAAGTGATTCTGGAGGTGGCGGTAATGATTTCTCGTCATCTTTGCGTCCTCTTATGCTTGAGCTCCGTGAACTTGCGCCACTATTTGACTGCTCTTCAATAATGCTCAATTCGTCAGCCTTCATTTGTCTCTGGTGCAGTACACGTTTAACCGATTTACGCCTGTTACTTTTAACGGGTGGAGGTCCTTGTCTTGACCTGGCAGATGCTATTGGTGGAGGTAGCCGGCTCGATGGTGAGGAGGAAAGATTGCGTGGGGGTGTGCCCCATTTTATCGTGTCCAAAGAAGTATCAAAATCTGAGGGCTCATCGTCTTCAGATGACAGAGTGTCTATTTTCTCGTAGCCTGAGCCGGTAAACACTAGCCGCGACTTGGGTTTAGGCTCCGGAGACTTGGAAGGGGACTTGGACCTTGTTGGAGAGGGAGAACGTGACCTGGACTTGGCTTTGGCTTTGTTTTTGGGACTTAACTTGGGTGGTAATGTGATGGTGAAAGGAATGGGAATGACGTGGCCAGCATCCCCAGCAGTATTAATATGCAATCTTTTGGAAAGTGGGGAGTTGGATAACTTCTTGAGCAGGTCTATGGACACACTTGAAGACCCGGAATTACCAGATGATGATAGTGATGATAGTGATCTCAAATCATCCAGCGTGGCGTATGGTAAAGAAGGAAGTTTCATGTCGAAGAAATTGGGGGGTAGCGACCGCCTGTCTTTGACGGGCGACAGTGACCTTGCTCTCCTCTCGGGGCTCGGACTGCGTTTCGAGCTAACTAGATGTAGATCATCCTTTGTCATGGCGGGAATATCAGGTCTCATCGGTGAAGGTTGGAAAAAATGAGGCAGAGCGAAGTGACAAGTTTAAATAATTTGGGATGATGAACTGTGGGTGATTTTCAATGATCGTCAAATACTCACACTTTCGAGATGAGTGTATATTGCTCCGTTAGGTTAGTTTTAGTAGACAGATAAATCCCTGGTGTGTTTAGGTTTGACAAGAAAACCTCTTGGTATAAGTGAGGTTGAGTTGGAAGATAAAGGCAGTGTTAATACAATCCGGAAAGCTAATTGAGCCAGCAACAAGGATATGAGGCTCTTAACAATGTTGATATTTAGGCAAACAATCGCCCAGGTTTCATTGAAAGTTTTCTATGTTGGGAGCTCCTCTGTTTTGGTTTATTCTCAATTCGGCAGTTAATTTTGCGACCATTAGATTTTGCGCTACGGTGGAGGAATTTGGGGTGGTTTAATAATACACTTGCATTGTCCAAACCGGCAATTAGAACCTTTTGGAGGTTTCCTAAACAATCCTGCCCGTCCAGCACACAGGTTTGATTACGGATCTAGATCAATCGCCTGAGGGTCCATCATGCTGCTCATTACCTGGAGCCTATATTATTGAAGGTGACACGACTTTGTTTGGTTGGCCGCAAAAAAACTAGTTTTGGGATCGTCTTTGTATTCTACCTTTTGTGGTTTACAAATCAGCAATGAATGAAGTAACAGAACTTGAATTTGTTAAGATGAATCTCAACAAGGAAAGGGGAGGAGGCTCCGGTAGCAACGCTGGAGGCCGTGTCTCTCTGCAAGTTGAGTATTTGGGGGCAATTGCTGCCGTTCAGAAACTGGTTCCTCTTGTTAGACCAAAGTCGTTTGAGGTATTACCATTGGAAGCAAGTTTGGAAAAGCTTATGTTAGATCCTAAGCATGAATATGAGAAAGAAATAAATGTTTTTACACTGTATCATGATTCCGAAAGGTCAGTTAACCAGGTAACAAATGCTGCAGAAGTTGGTCTTTCGCTTTTGCCCACTCAAATCGAGAGACATTCCCAAAGGAAGGGGGGTCATTTCAACTTGATGGTTGCTGGAACTGTTGGAACTGGTAAGTCTTCCTTCATAAACACTTTGTTTGCTTCTGAGCTTGTTCCTGACAAGTCTGGCTTCTCTTCTACGTATCTTGATAAAGGTGAATATCAGTTAGTGGAACAGGGGTTTCCATTAAGCTTGAGGATTATTGAAACTTCAGGGATGGGTCAGAACATCGATAATAATGGCTGTTGGATTCCCATTTCCAACTACATTGATGAGCAGTTCAGTACCTACTTGTTCAAAGACCAACAACCAGACAGATCCAAGAAAATTGATACCCGGATCCATTGCTGCTTATACTTTCTTCCCCCAAGTTTGAGAAGTATTTCTCCTTTGGATATTGAGACAATGAAAGCATTGTGTTCCAGAGTCAACTTAGTACCTATAATTGGTAAGTCTGATTGCTTGAGTGTTGAGGAATTGGCCCGGTATAAGTCAGGATCGAAAAACTTGTTTCAAGTCCACAATATTAGAATCTGTGATTTTTTTACAGATGAGGAAGCCACTAGTATCATCCAGGAAACTATGCCTTTCAGTTCAATCAGTTCGAAAGACATATTGGAAAAAGATGGGGGAAACTGGGCTAGAGGAAGATCATATCCTTGGGGTTACTTTGCTGAGATCGAAGACAGCAGTCACTGTGATTTCAGCTGCATTCGAAAAATGTTGATGAGTGACTTCATGCTTGAATTTATTGACTCCACCGAGAAGCATTATGAGCAATACAGAAATCAGTTCTTGACAACTAATCTCGCTGTCAAAGATGAAACCTTGTTGTCTGCTGACGGGTTTAACCAGTTGAAAGCCTACCTGAAACTCAAATATGCTGATTATGATAATACCCAGAGGGCAGATTCAGTCTTCAAATACAGGGAATCGGTTCTAAAAAACAAATTCAATGTTGAAATCGAAAATCAAGAGAAAAGGTTCAGAATTTGGAAAAAGGCTCTTGTTGAAAAACAGGTCGAACTCAACAAAGATATTGAAGACATGCATAGCCAGTTACTTTATCTTCAGGAAACGATCACAATTCATGAGGAGGGTGTCGATTCAAACTCTATTGCCAAGCATTTCAGCTGGGAAATCGATACTTTTGATTTTCTTTCTTGATGTGATCAGTTGAACTAAAACAGAGCTCTCTTGATTAAAAAATGTGAAATTTGCAGCCATGAGATAAACCCATAAAAGTTCTTTTCTAAATACACAGTAAAAGATTCAAAAACATTATTTAGGACGTAAAGTTATGGATTGGCTACAGAGCATAGATAGGAGCTACTATAGCCAGACTTTTTTGCAAATAAAGTGTATCTTGAATATGAAGCAGAATTAACCGTACACGACGACTTACAACTTGATGAGCGAGAAGTATTTGAACTATGAAAAATTTTTTAATAGTACTTATACTTTGAAGTGTTTACCATTAAAAAGGTATGTTTCTACGAAATCCAAGTTCTCTTGGATTGCAATGGAAAGTGATGATTACTTTTATAATACGAATGTTTTTTCTGGCATCTCTAATATTAGGACTTCGGTTCCTTGATTCCAACTTTTGACTATAATCTGATATCCATTGCAATATATGCAATTCAAAAAATACTAACAATTAAATGATAGATAGTCATTCCACCATATAAGTAGAAGTCTGCATGGTCATGCAAACACATGAGCATACATACCAGCTTAGTCAAGGTTACTTTTAGAAGAAATGTGTTTGTTATTGTACTTTGCATGGTTATTCTCTTTTTATAAGAGCTGGAATCTCTTCCCATTCGCTCAGTTTCGTTCTTGGAGCCATGTCGAACCTCTCTCTGTTCTTTGCTTGTGCTTGAGTAAAAGCAGGATCAGTCTTATTCTGGTGCTGATAGATTTATCAGAATATTTGTAGGGGTCCAACGAAAAGAACCATCAAAGCAGCGTCCAAAGCTCCATAAGAGTGGCGTCCAAAGCTGTTAAAAAGACTCGTGTATTGAACAAACGAGGAAGTAGTCTCTCCTCTAACCTTTGCCATTAACCGTAAAATTTGCTACCGTCTGATCCAAATACTTCGCACTAAACATAGTTCGAACTTCTATATTATAATCCTTACAGCAAAATATTGATATGTCAGCCCTAAACAATGATGACCCTGGTTCACTTCACCATGTTGACGAGCTTGTTGGCCCAACCACCCAGAGCCTACATTCAAAAGACGATCCTCAACCTACCACGAAAAGAATCAATCTTATTCTTGATCCATCAGCGTTTACCAAAGGAATAGGAAACATAAAGCGGTGGTACAAAGATGAGTACATCCAATCTCGAAGTGAACATATCAAAGATACTAAAGTAATATTGAATCTATATATACCATCCTATACGTTGCACGAGTTTGACTATTTACAGAGAGGTACATCAATGACAGCATTTTTCGCTAGGAAATCTATTCGTTTCATAGATGAGCTATACGAAAACAATCAAACTTCCCAAGACATAACTCCCAAATTCCAGGTGAACTTATCAATTGAAGCACCCTTTGAAAGAGGGCCTCGGTGGAAGGACTGTCAGGAATATCAAGTCATAAGACCCAAGGTGAAAGATTTTCCCAACTTCAAGACCAAGTTTGACTCGAGTCTTGCAAGAAGAAAAGCTGAAGATTTTGGGGACTTAACGAATGATATTAACACCAAACTATCAACCTCAGCCTCCAGTAAAGTAAATGACATTCAGTACGAAAACTCAGAATCTTTCCTGCAAGCAGCAGCGACTTCGGAAGACTACGCCCAAATTCCTGCCAAATTAAGGTACTTGGTATCATCATGTATTTTCAAGAAGTTCATACAACCCAACGACTTTACAAACGTCATGGAAGAATGGAAAGTTGTGTCAGAAGATGCAATTACTCAGGTGTGGATGAGAAGTTTTGGAGTTGATGCCATGAATGTGAATGAAGCTGAGCTTCTTATTTTCAAATCCTACGATGTTAACCGATTATTCAACCCACATAAAGACTTCACCTTGGAAGACAACGTCAAACCTAATAGCATATTTCAAGAGATTATTGATACTTCTGAGTATAGAAACAAGGAGCTCGGAGATCCCTTCAGAGGTCACAGATCATTTAGAAAAAGGTCCACCAAAAAAGACCAGCCAAATCAGATTGAAAAGCCAATAAGCGTGGATGCGTGTGAAGACCCTGTGACTCAACAGAGCTTCGATTATATCAGCTATGCACCAAGAAAAGTAGAGGGTGAGCTCTGGAAAGCTCCAAATGATACCAGTAGTAGAAGCAGAAGCAGAAGCAAAAGGCGATAACTTGTATAGTTTTGTGTAATAACATCTTGGCAACTTCCGGTATCCGCACACAACACACTTCGCACTATCGTTTCAAAATTTTGTAGATATATTTCCAGCAGGTAAACAGATTGAAAAGCGTGTACATACTGCTAATCCATCTACCAGGTCGAGTTATTTTTCAAATTGGTTGACCAAAATGAATAGGCAGATTCTGAGAGAAGAGATTCAGAAGATCTTACATCGGCTTGCCCAATTGAAAGCCCAGCATGGCGACAGAGCCATAAATGACCCTGAGTATGTCGAGTTGGCCAAAATCATTAGACATATCCAAAGTCAGGCACAGTTGCAACGGCAACAACAACAACAACAGCAGCAGCAACAACAACAGATGCCCGTGTCGCAAAACCAGCTATCCATGCCCGCTACTGGAAATCCCCACAACAATTTTTCACAACCTGCTAACAGCAATGCGTACATGAAAATGGGGGGAGTAAACAACGGTATGAATAATGGCATTAACTACGGTATGAATAACGGTAATAGAAATATGATGCAAAATGGTCCCATGTTCAATAACAGCCCCATGATGAACTCCGCTGAACCTCCTGTCAATAACCAGAACATGGGTGCAATGAACCCCATGCAATCACAAATACCTCCACAACAGCAGCAACCACCTCCAATACCTCCCCAATCGCAAGCTCAGGCCACATTCAACAATAACCTGGAAATTGGGGAGAATAATTCGCAAGCTGTTGGAGGCTCTGCTTTTACATCCCAACAGTTTCAAGTCGTCAAAGGTGAATATCAAGCATTACGGTTATTATTGAAGAATCCTGGTCCCAATAGTGTTCCTATTCCTCAGAGCTTGGCAGATTTTGTGACCAACGAGAGACTTGCATTTGCCCATGGAAACTATCTTCCTCTGAACTATAACGGTAGTGCAAATACTGCGGTATCCACTTCACAAGCACCTACACAGGTGCCAACACCAGGAGCCCTCCAACCCCAATCCCAGAATATCAATGCTACTATGGGAGCTCAGCAGATCCCTCCACAAATAACTCAGTCGAAACCACCATCTAGGTCCACACAGAGTCCATACATGCAATCAGCCCCAGCCTCAGACTTAAAAGTCAACCAAGTGCAAAACATGAAGATGCGTCAACCTTCTGGTCCACAACAACAGGCCGTTGCTAGGCCCCCTGGGTTTATTCCTGTTTCTCATGAACCCCACCCACCTGTGTTATTGGGAGAGTTCATAGATGATCTGGCCAAGAAGGAAATGAAGATAATTCCGGTTGTACAGCCAAATGTCCAAGTCGACTGTTTCGAAGTCCCTCACCTTGTGGGTGACGAGATACAAGACGTACAATTCCAACATCTTTATAGCAATCAAACCAGATTTCAACATCCTAGTTTGTACCCCGAAGGTATTGACATGAAAGAGATAAAGAAGAACAGAGAAGCTTTAATCATATTACAGATAGAACAACGGCTAGAGTTCTTAAAGAATGAGTTGAAAAGTGAATCGGATGAAGTCAGAAAGGACAATATCGAATTTGCAATAACTCAGCTTGAGCTTTTACCATACCAAAAACAAGTAAAGGGTACTCTTCTATCACATATTTGGTTCAGCAAGTCATTGTTACCTAATTCACACCCCAACTTCCTTGCCAAGTATAAGCCATTATCCCTTACGAATGTTATTGAGAGTCACCAATTGTACAAGAAACAAGTGTACTCTTTGCTCCAGGCTCAAAACAAGAAACACCAAAACGAAATGTCAGAGATATTCCGCATCATCAATACGAGAAAGAATGTGACCCAGCTAAAACGTGATAAAGCAGAAAGGTTCATCAATAGGATCAATAGTTTCCACAGCCTGGTTGCAAGAGAAGAACAGAAGAAGTTAGAAAGGATGGCCAAACAGCGTTTGCAAGCGTTGAAGCTGAATGATGAAGAAGCTTATCTTAAGTTGTTAGACCACACCAAGGACACCAGGCTTCATCAATTGTTGAGTCAGACTGATAGTTTCTTGGACACATTAGCCCAAGCTGTGGTTACCCAGCAGAAGGAAGCTGGTGGTGAGATTTTAGGTATGTCAGAAGAAGAAAGGCGGGAAAAACTTGATTATTATGAAGTAGCCCATCGTGTTAAGGAAGAAGTAAAAAGACAACCGACCATTCTTGTTGGAGGTACATTGAAAGAATACCAAGTGAAGGGGTTAGAATGGATGATTTCTTTATACAATAACCATTTGAATGGTATTTTAGCAGATGAAATGGGTTTGGGTAAAACCATTCAAACCATCTCCTTGATCACTTATTTGGTTGAGACAAAACGTGTACCAGGTCCGTTCTTGGTCATTGTACCTTTATCGACCTTGACGAATTGGAATATTGAATTCGATAAATGGGCCCCAACTATTAAGAAGATTACTTACAAAGGTACTCCAATTCAACGTAAGAGTTTACAATACGAGGTGAAGACCGGAAATTTCCAAATATTATTGACAACTTTTGAATACATCATCAAGGATAGAAACTTGTTGTCCAAGATTAAATGGATCCATATGATTATCGATGAAGGTCACCGTATGAAAAATGCTAATTCCAAATTATCTGAAACCTTGACCCATCATTATCACAGTGATCATAGATTAATTTTAACTGGTACTCCATTACAAAACAACTTACCAGAATTATGGGCATTGTTGAACTTTGTTTTACCCAAGATCTTTAATTCGGTCAAGTCCTTCGACGAATGGTTCAATACCCCATTCGCAAACACCGGTGGTCAAGATAAAATAGAATTGAACGAAGAAGAGACCTTATTGATCATCAGAAGATTGCATAAGGTTTTAAGACCATTTTTGTTGAGAAGATTGAAGAAAGATGTTGAGAAAGACTTACCTAATAAAGTGGAGAAGGTTGTTAAATGTAAGATGTCTTCCATCCAGTCGAAGTTGTATCAACAAATGTTGAAGCACAATATTTTGTATACCAGTGATGAAAACGGGGAACCTGTCATCATTAAGAATGCAAACAATCAAATCATGCAATTGAGAAAGATCTGTAACCATCCTTTTGTGTATGAGGAAGTCGAGAATATGCTTAACCCTAGATCGGAAACAAATGATGATATCTGGAGAGTGGCAGGTAAATTCGAGTTATTGGATCGTATTTTACCTAAATTTAAAGCTACTGGACACAGAGTTTTAATTTTCTTCCAAATGACCCAAATCATGGACATCATGGAGGATTTCTTGAGATTAAGAAACTTACAGTATATGAGATTGGATGGTGGAACAAAAGCTGACGACAGAACTCAGCTATTGAAACGCTTCAACGCTCCTAATTCTGAGTATTTCTGTTTCTTATTATCCACTAGAGCGGGTGGTTTGGGTTTGAATTTGCAAACTGCCGATACTGTTATCATTTTTGATACCGATTGGAACCCTCATCAAGATTTACAGGCTCAGGATAGAGCCCATAGAATTGGTCAAAAGAATGAGGTAAGAATCTTAAGATTAATCACCGAAGACTCTGTCGAAGAAATGATCTTAGAGAGAGCACACGCTAAATTGGAAATTGATGGAAAGGTTATTCAAGCTGGTAAGTTCGATAATAAGTCCACTGCAGAAGAACAAGAGGCCTTGTTAAGAGCATTGATTGAAAAGGAAGAAGAAAGAAAACTTAACCTGGAAGATAGTGATGAGAATCTCGATGATGATGAGTTGAATCAGGTTATTGCCAGAAATGTTGGAGAGCTTGATGTCTTCAAGCGCCTTGATGACCAAAGAATCAGTACAACCAGGGAAGCGTTGTATCCTAGTAGATTATTAAGTGAGCAAGAGTTGCCTGCTCTTTTCCAAAGAGACCCAGAATCGGTTCTTAAGAAAGATGAGATCAGACCCGATGAATACGGAAGAGGTAATAGAGAGAGAAAGGTTGCTAATTATGACGACCACTTGACTGAAGAGCAGTGGTTAAAACAAATTGATGGAGTTGCTTCGGAAAGTGATGGTGAAGACTCTAGACCCAAGCGTTCGAAAAGTAGACCAAAAGCAAAACCTAGGCGTACTACTCAAGATCTTGACGACTTCGTTGTGGATTATGATTCTGATAATGATGATCTGTTGAAGCGTGCCAACTCTAACGATTCAAGTGCAGTTGACAGTAAGAAACAAAGGTCAGCTACTCCTTTATCAGCCAGGTCGAGAGCAAGACCTCCCAGAATCCGGAATAGAGCTAAGGGAGGTCGTAGCAGACCTGCAACTTTGATTCGTCAAACCCCTACCTTGGATCCTCTTGCAGAGAAGGAAAGAGAAGTTCTTCAAAATCAAGCAGATTTGATTTATGAAGTGGTCCTCAACTATAAGGATGATTCAGGAAGAAACTTGAGTGAATTGTTTTTGGTCAAGCCATCCAGAAAGTTATACCCAGACTATTACGTTTTGATTAAGAACCCACTCGCGTTTGATACTGTCAAGAAGAGAATCACTTCAAGAACCTATACCAGTATTCGTGAACTTCTCGAGGACCTTCATTTGATATTCAGCAATGCCAGGAAATTTAACGAAGAAGGATCGATTGTTTATGAAGATGCCAACTTATTGGAGTCTGTGGCATTTGAAAAATATAAGGAGTTATCTGATGAAAGCGAAGAACAAGTTTCCAAGATCCTTAATTTTGATGATTTCGAAGAGCAGTATGGATTAAGAGTTCCTAATTTAAGTAAAGTGGGGATGTTGAAGAAGGAAGAAGCTGAGCCAGCGCTGGAACAATCTTCTGAACCAGAGCCAGAACCACAACCGCAGCAACAACCACCATCACCATCAAGGCTAGAAGTAGAGGTTGATGATCTGATAGGGAAACATATAGAGGAAGATGATCTTGGGCTTCCTGATATTCCTGGTCTAGATGATGACGATGACTTGATGTCCAGCCATCTAAACGATTTAGATCTCCCTCATGATATTGATTTTGAACACTAGTTATAATCAATTCTATTAAGATAACGGAAGCTAATAAATGTAACATTATGTAACCCGAAGACACTATAGAATTACAGAACCAACTGGTTCAAAATAAGACCAAGACCAAGACCAGCCCAGTCAGCGACTGTTTTCGACTAGTAGTACCAAACAAAAAGCCATAGGCTCATATCTAAGTTCATATTTCAGAATATGATGGGAGCTGGTCATCTATTTGAGTGTTATTGACAGCGTCGTTCAATATAGAGTTGAAAACTTCGACGAATTGGAAAAGACCCCCATCATTAAACTTAACTTGACCCTTAAAATATTCATTTTTAGGAAAACCATCACTTGCAATAGAAGGAGTCGGAGTACTGAAAAAGATGAATTCCCAGTAATTAGGTCCAAACCATGGAGACTTGAGTTCATGGCTGAACTGTAATCTTGGACTTAGAGTAAGATCCACCAGAAATGTGCTAACATCTCCCTGAGAAGCTGTGATGTATATGAACCTCTTTGTCGTTAAGTAGATGAATCCATCTTTAGTATTAATGTGCACGGAGTTATCGCTTTGTTTCAGTACAATGGATAAACTCTGTCTTGGGCTTGAAGAAGAGAACCTGATAACTTCAGATCCATCAGAAGCCAACACAAAAGGCAACTCGCTAGTGCCTAATAGCTTCAGATAATTGTCTTTAAGGACAACGTTATTTATGGACATTTGTAGTATCAATGACGCTTCCGAATTTGAAAGACTGCGAAGATACTACTAAAAAAAATCGTTACATCAAGATCCGATGCCACGGTTTTGTCGTTCGTTCAACCCGTTGCTCGAGTCAGTACAGTTCTTTCCGAGTTCCAGATCGAGTCTCAAGTCCATAATTAACCCACAAGCATGTCAGCAAATCATCGATAAGCTTGACTTGAAAAAAAAATACCCCAAGTCTAACTCATTGAACATTGTAGATATTTTCCCAGGGTTTGGATTGTTTTCCACCATGATAAATCAAGAGTTAAGGCCTAAAAAGCATATTCTTATGGAAGAAACAAAGGTGTGTATACCTCATTATGAGGGTTTATTCGAACTTTTGCAGAAAGACAAGAAGTATAATGATAGTTTTGTACTTTACCCCAAGAACGGCTACAAATGGGAGTCATATGAGACGATGGTAAATGAAGACAAATTGCTCGAGATCAACACACAATCCGAGGATAATATCCACGATGAACTATTAATTGTTGCCAACATGCTTACCCTTACCTATGGAGAAGCAGTGTTTGCTCAATGGCTAGCATGCTCAGCACATAAAAACTGGTTACAGAAATATGGTAGAGTTAGAATGATTTGTGTTTTGCCAGAAGTGACGGCTCAAAAGTTCTTATCGGGTCCATCATTCTTCAGAAGAAACAGAAGTTCTATCAAACGGGATTTATTTACGGATACCAAGCTAATTGCCATCAATGAGATGGAAGGTGATAACTATGCACCAGATGGGTATGGTTACGACCCAAATTTATTGGTAAAGGACCAGCCTGTGATTGTTCCTTTGACAACCATATACCCGGCTCCAACCAGAATGGCAGTTGTTGAGGTGAATCCAAAACAAACAGTGGATATCAACACAGATTATTTGGACTATATAGCCCAGATTTTGATGTACAGAAGAACCCATCCCCTCCAAGAAGCATTGAAATACCTAAGTCCTGGAGCAGAAGAAGATTTGGGCCCCAAGCTCAAGCACCTCTTGGAAAAGACCCCTAGAGATTTAACAAGTGAAGACTTTCATGAACTTGTTAAGGCATTCGAGAGTTGGCCATTCAAGCCTTCTTTGGAAGAACGGTTGAGTCTCAATCCTTCACCAGATGACGACTAAGGACTAAAAGAAGTAAGTTAACATACTGTATATTATTACCCTGTATTTAGAAATCCTTAAGCTTACATATCTTCTTTATGAGAGTTAGCCAGAACTCTTCTTAGTTTCAAATCTTCATTGTTTTTGTCTGAATCAACTGGATCTGGGCTAGAGGTGCCATTCTCAGAAACAATTGGGTCAATGTGAATATCATGTTCACCATTTGAGCCAACACTTGAGAACTTAGCCTTGGCTGAGGGAATAAATGAGGACTTTTCGTAAAGGCCACTTTTAAGTTGTTCAAATCCTGTGCTGTCTGATTCAGCTGGAGATTTAAGCAAAGGAGCAGTGTAACTTCTTTGGTGAGTTAAATTGGATGTTTTAGGTGACCTTGTCTTTGGAACTTGAATTGAACCTGAGTACACTCTTCCTCCATTTCCACTTTCTTCAGGAGAAGAGTCACTGGGATAATAGCTCGATGTCTCAGAATTTGGATATTGTGGATTCAGTCTCAGTGAAACTTCGTTAACAGAGTTGGAAAAGTCCACCAGGTGAAGAACAAAACGGGAGATGAGAATAGATAAGCAGATACTATTAAGAAATCCACAAATTACCATTATCAAGGATAATGTTAATTTCTTGTTAGGAAACTTCAGGTTCATCAATATTAATGTCACCAAATTCAAAATTTGGAAGCCAAACAGTGTAATAAAACCACAAAACAAACCCGAGGCACACATTCTCACTAGCAAGCCTCTAGGAGTATGATAGCATATATCAATTATGATCAAGATAAACATGATAACAGTAGATGAAAACAATACACCCATGTTGGACAAGTGGATCAAAAGCCTGAACTTATCGAATTCTTCGAACCCTTTTAAATACCTAGTTCCCTCATAGAAAGGAAGAAGGTGAGCACGGATAAATTGAGTCAAGTTTTGGTTTCTGAAAACGAACATATTGCTGTCATCAAGAGTTTTCAGGAATACGTTGTGGAACATACTACTTTCATCTCTGATAACCGTATTGGTGGTAAAGTTAAAATGTCCTTCTGATAAATGGATGTTGATATAGTTTTTGCTGATCGTAATGGAGGGAGAAAAGATTATGGTTGAAGTCTCGTAGTTACTAGCATAGAAGTCTTGGTTTCTCAGATAACTATCCTGAATGATACCAGGAAGTCTGAAATCAACTTCATCAATCACCGTCTTGTTTGAGGTGCTCAAATAATGAATAATATCAACCGTGTTCAAATCGGCCTGGTAAGAGGTGAAAACCTCAAAATTCATAAAGGAAACCACGAAGAGAGAGACCAAGGTGGTGACCAAGAACTTAAGATGAATATTTTTGGTAGAGTTCTTGAACCACTTGCCAGTCTTTGAGGTCATAGTGATTATCTCTTTGGGCTCCATGGATAGTAGTTGCAGTCGCAGACTTTATTTTGCATCCACAAACGCACTAGTAAAAAAGCCCCGAATATCGGTGTGGAGACGCCCCAAACGCGGCAGATTATTACATTTCCTAAAGAGGTATCAGATTCAATACTTGACTAAGACGGCATGTGATCAAGTTTGGAAAACTCATTGGAGGTATTACCTACAAAAAAAAGCAAACCAACTCAGTACAATATACTTGTTTCTACACACCAAACACCAACACTATGAGTCTTCCAATTGAAGATCCTGTATTTGGTGGGGTAAACTACACCGCTTCAGCATATATGATGGAGTTACTCTATGCGTTAGGCGATGGCAGAGACCCTGGAACTGGGATTAAACCGTTTTCAAGATGGAGCAAGAACCTCATGGGACCAAAGCTCCCAGAAGCTCTTTTAAACTACAACGTGGGAATGCAAGTGAACCTTCTTGGTGGGTACCCAATAAGTAAAGACATAGTACCACTGGCAATATTTACAGCAGTGTTTGTCATTTTTACATTAACCCATTTGGCTATTTTTGTCGTCAATTGTGGCAGAAATCACTACTTCTACCTCAGTTTGTACTGGGTCGGGTATGGGATTCTTCGGCTGCTTGGGTTTGGCTTGCGGATACTTTGGGCCCACGATATTACCTTGGTAGACATGGCTATTGCAGACGAATGTATGCTAGTGCTTGGAAATGTGGCATTGGTAGCTTCAAACTTGGTATTGGCCCAGAGGTTGTTTAGTTGGAGACATCCGGTAGGAGGTGCAAGGAGGTTGTTTCGGTACACTATGTACGGGATGTATCTTGTGGTGGCTGGAGTTATTGCCATGACGGTGACTGCATCTGCGGTGCCATACCTTTACTATTTGAGTTCCAAGGTGTTTTGGCATTACAAGATTTGTGTGATGGTTTCATCAATATTAATCATCTTATACTCGCTTACGGCCATTCTGCTCTTGGGATTGTCATATTTCTTCAAGCCCACTCGCAAGGATGAAAACTTATACACCTACCAGCCGTGGTGGATTGAATCATTCCTGCCATTTTACTTTGTGAAAAAAGGTGCAAAATTAGAAGCGGAAGAGACGTTTATGAAGAGAAATCACAACCACCGGCATGCAGTCCGAGTGATCGCTGCAACCCATCACCACTATAATATGGTGGAAGGATTGACTAATCAAAGAGGGGATTTAACGCATAATACCTCAATTTTGATTATTTTTATCTCCACTACTTTTCTCTTTTTAGCATCTGTTGTTCGGTGTATTGCAGTGTTCCAGGCCAATGCTGCCTTTAGAGGAGGACGAGTTTGTGAACCAGTTTTGATGTATATTGTTTGGGGATTGCTTGAGGTGGTCATCAATATACTTTTCTTGGTGGGTAGAGTCGACTTACGATTCTACAGACCCGATAAATTACCCAAGAAAGTTAGAGCTATCATCACTGCTGAGCAGTCGGTGATGGTGTCAGCCAACCAAAGTGACTTGGAATATTCAGATGATGAGGAATTCGACATCATGACCGTCGAAGACAAGTACTCATTCCAGGGTAATCCACGCCCTCCTACCTACCACTTACAACTAAAACATAGTGATGACTCTGATACAGACAAGAAAACGTCGAGTAATGAAGGTCACTCTTATACCCAGGACGACAATGCATCAGAGTTCAATTTTTAGAAATAGACCAAAGATAATGTATACTGGTTTAGGTGAATCTGCCCTGCTGCAAAATTGCATATGTACAGAAAAAGCGGGACATAATGCACTTCTCCTCAATGGTCGCAGCCTTTTGAGTTTGTTTTCTGGGGGAAGATGTGGAGAAGCAGATTTGTTGTTTGGCCCTGTGCGGGAAAAAAGTGTATATAAATAATAATGGTTCCTAAAATTATTGGGCAGATAATGCCATGACCAAAACACGAGAGTATTCGGCTTCAGATGGGATCCTCAACATGTTATATGCGTTGCAAAACGGAGCGGACACCGGTAGCGGTATTAGACCCATGAGAGACTATGGGAAGAATTTGCTAGGGTCCAAGCTCCCACCTGCCTTTATACAAAGAGCGGTTTCCAACTTGAATAATCTTTTTGGTAATTATCCGGTGACGTCAGACTATGCTCCATCTGTGTTGTTCACCGTGATCTTCATTGTGTTGGGAACAGCCCACTTTACGTTGTTTACAGTCAATGTATCTAGAGGCCATTTGTTTTATATTTCCTTCGCCTGGGGTTTAATAGCTTGGCTTAAAGGTGTTGGATTTGCTTTGAGATCCCAGTGGGCGCTAGACATTTTGCAGGTCAATATCGGGTTGGCCAGTGAGGTTATTCTTATTGTGCTGGGGGTGTTTTTGCTGACAGTAAATTTGGTGTTGGCTCAGAGACTATTCACTTGGAGACATCCAGTGGGAGGAGACAGAAAATTGTTTAAAAACATCATGTATGGTATGTACGTAATGGTTGTGGCTGTGATAGTTGGTACGGTGTTTGCACAGGCGTCTCCTTATGTGAACTTTGTGGGACCTGTTGCGTTCCAGCGATATGGTAAAGCGGTCAAGGGTACCTCGATTTTGATCATCTCGTATTCGCTTACAGCCATTTCGCTTGTATTGATGTCATATTTTTTCAAGCCCACCAGGAAGGATGAAAATTTGTACACCTATCAGCCATGGTGGGTCGAGTCGTTTCACCCATTTTATTTTGTTAAGAAGAATGCTTCCAGAGAAGCGGAAGAAACGTTCATGAAGAGAAACCATAATCACAGACATGCAGTGAGAGTTATTGCAGCCACCCACCACCACTTTAACATGGTTGAAGGCTTGTCAAATGAAAGAGGTGACTTGACCCATAATTATTCGATTATTATTGTTACCATTACCACTGCTTTCACTTTTGTGGAGAGTATTTTGAGATGTATAACCTGTTTTCAAATGCAGCCATCCTGGAACAATAGTCCTTTATGTAAACCCATAGTGGCATATATATGCTGGGGTGTCTTGGAGACGTTGGCTCACATCTTTTACTTGGTTGGAAGAGTGGATTTGAGATTTTATAAACCTGATATTTTACCGGTTAAAATCAGGAGTATTATCACTGCAGAGCAGAGTTTTTTTGCATCCAGAAACATTTCTCAAAATGTCTCAGATGAAGAGGAATCGGAAGCGGAAGACATGGATGACTTCAGCTACACAGAACTGCCTCCAAGTCGAACAGCTGCTCCCCCAGGATACGAATTTAAGAACGACAAGCTTGAGGAATCGACTTCTAATGATAACGAATCTGATTTCAACTTTTAGAATTAAACAGAGAATAATGAATTAGCCTGAAAAGGTAAAGAGTTAGAAAATTTAAATCATGTAGAACTAAAAAGCGGCGTGTAAATTATTGGGTGAATCAAATGGTGAAACCGTTATAAAAAATGGAATGGTTAAAAATGCAGGGGAGAGATATTATATGAAAAAAAGCAAAATTAGCCAATATTAACGCACTACTGCAAAATGCAGCATACCTATATTAACTAGTACACTTAGATCGCACCACTTTTGCTGCTACACACTTTAACTCAGCACTGAACGACCAGAGCAAACTGGGGGGGGGGAAACTACTCAATTTGGAGGCGGATATTTTCCAAAAATATACTTTTCGCCTTATCAGTACCAGTTTTCCGAAATATGAAGACTCAAAAAATCCTTGCAAAAAAGAGGATAACCAGCCAGGTAAAATGATTGGCCAAGAAATTAGTGGTAAGATGAGTAATAAAATCAACCTATTATTAACTTAAGACGTACTTACCCTGACGTGGCGTGAAACAAGCTTCAAGCATCCCAAGGCTAAAGGTTCAATATCCGGCGCAAGCACATTCCCAAATTGGTAACAAGCGACAACCTACCTAATCGGGAAGGTGAATACCTCTCGCGCCCCAACTTATCGACCGACATGTATACAGGAGGCATCGATCGCCAGTCTCACCCACTATAAAGGAGTTGGATTCGCCGGATAATCGAAAAATTATTAAAGAAAATTATTACTGCTATCATGGCTGCTCCTAAGGTTCACCCATTCGAGTCCGTCACTGACTACGAAATTAGAGCTGCTTCTAAGTTGGTTAAGGATGCTTATCCAGCCTCTGCTAATGTGCACTTTGTTCAAATCGACAGAGTCGATCCTCCAAAGAAAGATATGATCAAATATTTGGAAGCTGAAAAACACGGTGCCGATTTACCCTTCATCCCAAGAGTGTTGTACTGTTACTACTACACCAATGAATTGGAATTCAACAAGGCATTGGTTAACGTTACCATTGGTCATGTCATTACCAAGACCCAATTACCAAAGGGTACTGTTGGTCCTTTCTTGCCTGAAGATATGATTGAGTGGGAAGAACACTGTAACAACCATCCACTTGTTCTCGCCGAAATCGAGAAGTTGAAGTTGCCAAAGGGTTATTCTGTCAGAAACGACCCATGGATTTACGCCACTGATGATGCTAACGAAAGAAGACCTTTGGTGCAATTCTTTATGTACGTATTGGCTGGTAACGGGCACTCGGAATCCAACCACTACTCTTTACCTTTGAAGTTTTCTCCCGTGTTTGAAGCCTATTCCAAGAAGTTCGTAAGAATCGACTACTTGCCAGGTGGATATGATGAGACTACCACCCCAACTATGCCATGGCAGGAAGTTCCTTGTGTTCAATATCATCCCGATTTGAACGGAGAGACCAAGATGAGAGATGTCAAGCCATTATTAATTTCGCAGCCAGAAGGTCCATCTTTCACTTTCGAGAAGGGAAAGGTCACCTGGCAAGGATGGGAATTCAGAGTTTCTACCTCCGCTAGAGAAGGTGTTGTTATATACGATGCCAAGTTTAAGGGTAGACAAACTTTCTACAGAATTTCCTTGTCGGAAATGACTGTTCCATATGGTGATCCAAGAGCTCCTTACCACAGAAAACAAGCATTTGATTTGGGTGACTGTGGTTTCGGCGTCAACGGTAACAAGTTGGGCTTGGGATGTGACTGTCTTGGTGTTATCAAGTACCTTGATGGTCATGGAATCAAAGCCACTGGTGAACCATTCACCATTCCAAGCACCGTTTGTATGCACGAACAAGATAATGGTCTTTTGTACAAACATGTCAACTACAGAACCGACAATGCCGTTGTTGCCAGAAGAAGAGAATTCGTTGTTCAAACCATTGCTACAGTTGCCAACTACGAATATATTCTCAATCTTAAATTCGTAACTGACGGTTCCATTGATATTGAGGTGAGAGCCACCGGTATCTTATCCACTATGCCAATTGATGAAAACGTTACGGTTCCTTGGGGTACCATTGTTGGTCCAAACGTAATGGCTGCTTACCATCAACACATTTTGTCTTTCAGAATTGATCCAGCTATTGATGGCCACAAAAATACCGTGGTTTACGACGATGTGGAAAAGATGCCAATATCTAAGTTGAACCCATACGGTGTTGGCTTTATCACTAAAAGAAACTACATTGAGAAGGCTGGTAGTATCGACCAATCTCCTTTCACCAACAGAAGTTACAAGGTTATCAATGAACATGTCGTTAACCCAATTTCTAAGACTCCAGTTGGTTACAAGATTAACATGCCAGCCCGTCAAATGGTTTTGGCTGATGCCAACTCTTTCAACGTCAAGAGAGCCAAGTTCTCTACCGAACAGGTATGGGTCACCAAGTACAACGATCACCAATTGTTTGCTGCCGGTGAATTTACTAATCAATCTCACGAGGATACTGGTTTAGGAGTTTGGGCCAATGGAGTTGACCCAGTTAGAGATGAAGACTTGGTTGTTTGGGCCACCATGGGATTCACCCACATTCCAAGAGTTGAAGATTTCCCAGTTATGCCCGTTGAAATCCACAATATTCACTTAAGTCCTTTCAATTTCTTTGACAGAAACCCAGCTTTGGATCTTCCTCAAGCCAATAACACTTTCAACAAATCTGTCTTGGCTCCAAGCTCCACCAGTGCTGAAAAGTCCTGTTGCAAGACTAACTTGTAAGTGTGAACCACTGTGTAAGATATTAGTGATAGATTTTAATATAAATGATGTGCCGAAGAAAATACCATTGTCGTAAATTGCAGTTGTGGTAGGTTTGGTAGTTCCTTTGGTAGTGTAATCCAAGCGATGCTCATCTCAAATAGATCCCGCATCTTGCGAAATTCTTTTGAATAAAAAAAATTTTATCAGCAGAGATTGGTTTTATCTTTGGTTGTATTCTTTAAAAATTGGAAATAGTGCTTTGAACGGGAGTACTTTGGGTTTATATTATTAAAAGGGATATAACGGCATCATTATACATCTTCAAAAGACTATTTTACATTTGCATATACATAATTAACCATGAGAATTTATCAGTGTCACTTTTGCTCATCTCCAGTGTATCCTCTTCACGGGATAATGTTTGTGAGAAATGACTCCAAGGAGTTCAGATTCTGTCGCTCCAAGTGCCACAAGAACTTCAAGCAGCGTCGTAACCCTCGTAAGTTGAGATGGACCAAGGCATTCAGAAAAGCTGCTGGTAAAGAGTTGGTGGTGGATTCCACCTTAACTTTTGCCTCTAGAAGAAACGTTCCTGTCAGATATAACAGAGACTTGGTTGCTACTACTTTGACAGCCATGGCCAGAGTTGAAGAAATCAGACAGAAGAGAGAAAGAGCCTTCTACAAGAATAGAATGAGAGGCAATAAGGAAAGACAACTTGCTCTTGACAAGAAATTGATTGAAGGCCACCCAGAATTACTCAAGATCAGAGAAGTCGAGTTAAGAAGAAAGGCAGAAAGAAGAGCCGCCAAGGAAAGTGCTATGGAGGAAGACGAAGATCTCGATGTTTCTGAGTCTGAAGATGAAAATGAAGACATGATGAGCATGGAAAGTGAATCTGAGTCTGACGAAGAATCCACCAAGGTCAAACAAAAGGTGTTGTTGAAGAACAAGAGAAAAGTCAAACGTTAAGGTTGAATCAATTTATGAATGGTACTGTAAATTAACACACTAAACTATATCTAATATACACTGTAGTAGTCGGATTTTAGGTCTTTCTATCTTGCTCGGGTGATCACTGGCCAGTATGGTGATTGTTTATATGAACTCTGGCGCTCATCTGTGTCAAATGCTTCCTCTTCTTGCTGTGTTGGTTCCAGCATTCCAGGTTTCTTCCGGGAGAGCTCTCGCTGTGCGTTCATCATCATTTCAATAGTATATACATGTGTTTCCGTGTGGATTTTGTTGTGTTGCCAGCGTTTGGTATCATCATCCTCATTGTCATCACGGCCTCGCTTTCGTATGGGAGAAGAGCTTGGAGGTGTGAGAGCCAGCATGCTTATCTGATGGTTTGTTGAAATAAAAATGCAGTCGCGTCATTTGCAATCACGTAGAGCGAGTGGAGGACGTCAGTAGTTTTTAGGTGCTTGCATTGAAAAATTCGTATTTATGGACAAACTACATATTACTTCATGCGTACAGAATCAATTTACCCAGTTATGGTCGTCACTACCTAGTTGTACAAATTCGATATGTACCTTATTGTATTCACCCAACGGAAGGAAGGAGCGAAGTGATCGCAGAAACCTTTAATAGGTAGCAACAACGGCAGGATTTTTGTAGTCCAGTAACTTAGCTAGTACAAGAGATAGTGTCTTCTAACGATACCCTTTTCGAACCTCCAATCCAAGAGATCTTGAAGGAATTGACGAAGCACACCAAATTTCGCAGCCACATCGAATTGCAGAAAATATTGATACTTTCTTGTTCGATCAAAGGTGTGGTGTTCAGCATAGTTCAACCACATAGGGTTTAGTAGCTAAGCCCTATACTTTATAGAGCTAAGGGTGGGGTTATGGGTATTTTTCTCACACCTAGGTAAACCTCAGCATGCGAGCGAACAATTTCGCACGCCCGATTTAGCTGCTAACGATCACCAGAGCGAAAATTTTTCAAGTAACAATTCTTCAAAAAGAACTACTAACAAACACATTTTATAATGGTATGTTCCACCAGATAAACTAAGGCTCTGGACCTCCTGCATGATCTATGATCTATTCTACATTGTATGACAGATAAACAGATTGTGCATCAAGGGAGTGATCCATGATGTTTTCTCAAGATGTTGAGTGAATATGTATATCACTCTCTTTGATGCATAGGCTGAGTATCGACAGATACTGTAGAGTAAGACTAGATAAAGACAAAGATCTTTATACTAACTACTCAATGACACAGCCTCCAAAGAAAGTTGCCCCAGCGCCTTTAGCTACTAGATCCGCCAAGCCAGTTAAGGCTTCAAAGAACCCATTGGTTGAATCTTCGCCAAAGAACTTTGGAATTGGTCAAGCCATCCAACCAAAGAGAAACTTGTCCAGATTCGTCAAATGGCCTGAATACGTCAGATTGCAAAGACAAAAGAAGATTTTATCTTTGAGATTGAAGGTTCCTCCAGCAATTGCCCAATTCTCCAACACCTTGGACAAGAACACCGCTACTCAAACCTTTAAATTGTTCAACAAGTATCAACCAGAAACTAAGGCTGAAAAGAAGGAAAGATTGACCAAGGAAGCTGCTGCTATTGCTGAAGGTAAATCTGCTAAAGATGCTTCCCCAAAGCCTCTTAACGTGAAGTACGGTTTGAACCACGTTGTTTCGTTGGTAGAAAACAAGAAGGCCAAGTTGGTTTTGATTGCCAACGATGTTGACCCTATTGAATTGGTTATCTTCTTGCCAGCTTTGTGCAGAAAGATGGGTGTTCCATATGCCATTGTTAAGGGTAAGGCTAGATTGGGAACTTTGGTTCACAAGAAGACATCCTCCGTCGCTGCTTTGACCGAAGTGTCCGCTGCCGATGAGGCTGAGTTGGCCAAGTTGGTTTCTACCATCAACAACAACTTCCTTGAGAAATACGAAGAAAACAGAAAACACTGGGGTGGTGGTATCTTGGGTGCTAAGGCTGAAGCCAAGAGAATCAAGAAGGCAAAGAACTCCGACGTTCCAATCCCAGCTCCAGTGGCTGCTTCTGAGTAAGTCAACGAATATCTGTATTTTATAGTCAATGGACAAACTAGGCACTTAACTTTGAATCACTGGAGTAAGGTTATATGTCTGTAGTGGTCCAAGGGCTACAGCCCCAGGACTGTGTTTGGGCGCGCAGTAGTGTGCTCGGACTGAAAATTTTTGTCTCTAGTGATTCCTAAAAGCGCTGAATTTTATTTTGTCTTTTACTTCCTCATAGTTAACCACATTTAAAGGTATGTTTAAACACCATAAATAAATAAGATTCTTGCTGAACATAGATGTTGAGCTTGCTGCATATTATCCCTGGTCACCTGAATCGACCCGCTAAGGCCAGATAATGCATGAAATGATTGTATTCAACCAGGTCTAAATTCATCACTTGTTCACCCCAAATATACCAATTCCAACAACACAATATCTAGCGAAGGATACCTGGACAACAATAATATCAAGTTCAATATTTGTTCCGATTACCAGAGTACATTGACATCAGAATTTCATATTCGATGAATATTTTCCTGACTAGCCAAATCAAGTTGAATCTTAAATCTCTTCCAACTGAAATACTAACATTCCATTTAGATGTCTAAATCCAAGAACCATACCGCCCACAACCAAAGTAAGAAGGCTCACAGAAACGGTATCAAGAAGCCAAAGACCAACAGATACCCATCTTTGAAGGGTGTTGACGCCAAGTTCCGTAGAAACCACAGATACGCTTTACACGGAACTGCTAAGACTTTGGCTAAGGCTCGTGCTGAAAAATCCGCTTAAATTTAATGGAGTTTACTTGTACAATGTCATATAATTTATGTTAATATTTAGATTTACGGGTTTTTTACGTTCGAATAAAACTTTCACATCATCCTTGGACTGTGTACTTCGAGCATACATTGTTCTAACTGTAGAGTATTGTAGATATTAATTGTGAGATCTAATTGATAGCGAGTGTTCTTCTATTAATGTCCAAATCTATCTCAGCGCTTCACCTCAAAAACTCTGACTCGCTTTGAGACTGCGAAACAACCAGAGCTTTAAATATATAAAAGGCATTTTCAAAAGCACCAATCCTTAACGGATCAAACTGTACACGAAAGACAATCACCATGTCGGCATTCGGCGGCAAATCCTTTGTACCGAATAATGGGTCGATGGTGAACCAGAAACCGTTTGGATTTACTGATAATCGTGACAAGCGAAGGGAGAATACCCAAGGTAATAATAACAGTGGGAACCGTCCCACCAGGCAAAAGAATACTAAGAAGACTAATCAGAACCAGAAGGATAAACAAAGTCAAGGTGCCAACGGACATCGTCCTAATAGAAGAAAACAGAACGATTCGATTAAAGACAATAATAATCACGAATCTGAATACGAGGACGTGCTACCAGAAGCTAAAGTAATACCGAGAATGAACATGAAGCTTCAAAACTACACCGAGGATGAGGTCAGAGAGACCGGTTCATTGGTGCCGAATGCAGATGCATTAGGATTTCCACCCAAGACCATTGTACCTCGTGAATTGCCCAAATATCTTCAGACTCAGACAAGAATTATTGAACCCCTTTTCTTCCAACAAGATCCATGGGATAAAAACAACCAGGAGATCATGAAGCAAATGGAAGCCAACAATAAGGGCTCTGATTTCCAAGGATTGTACGAAGAATTCCAAAAAATGAGAGAGACAGAGAGGAAGAAAATGGAGGATTTGGGGTTAGTTGATGCTGAAAATATCCGGAAGGATCTTAACGATGCTATTGTATTCCAGGGGACGTGTTTGGATATGTGTCCAACTTTTGAAAGAGTTAGAAGGCAGTTGGAAAATAACGTGAAAAGATTAGAAAAGGATCCGGCCACAGACAAGATATCAACCGACAAGGCCGTCAAGGCTTTTTCACGTCCTGCTGCTGGTCAACCGCCTCCTTTGCCATCTGAAGTTCGTCCTCCTTTTGTATTGATGAAAACACTTGATTATTTGATAACTAATATTGTTCCCAAACTACCTGATGCTCATTCTTTTGTGTGGGACAGGACCAGATCAATTAGACAAGACTTCACTTATCAAAACTATTATGGACCAGAGGCAATCGACTGTAATGAACGAATCGTCAGAATTCACTTGATTTCTTTACATATCATGGCAGGGAATGAAGTAGAATATTCACAACAACAAGAACTAGAACAATTTAACAAGGCATTACAAACATTGATGGAGATATACCAGGATGTTAGAAATAGAGGGGGACTTTGTCCAAATGAACCAGAATTCCGGGCTTACTATTTATTGAGTCACTTGAGAGAAAGTGAAGTTGAACGGGAGATTCAAAACCTACCTGATTACATATTATACAATGATTTGGTGCAACTTGCTATCAAATTTAGATCGTTATCTTCACAAAATAACATAGTTGAGAGAGGATTCAAAAATGGCGTTGGAAGTTTGAATTTATTTGTGGAATTCTTCAGGTTAGTGTACAAGGAAACCACTCCATTCTTAATGGCTTGTTTGCTTGAAACACAATTTAACGAAATCAGATTTTATGCGTTAAAGTCTATGACAAGAGGTTACCATACAAAAGGTAAAGCTTACGACGGAGACACATTGAGGGCGATGTTGGGGTTCGACACAGTGGAACAGATGATAAAATTTATCGAATACTATGATATTGATGTTATAAATGACCATGATGTTATACTAATTGACTTGGTCAATAAAGAAAAACTAGAAAAAAAATACAAAATAAATTCGTTGAGTGAAAAGCCCAAGCTTTCACAAGCATTTTCAAAACAGATTGATAAAAAGATCAATAGAAATCTAGCAGAATTCATTAACTGTGGAAAGTCTAATGAAAATTTGGACTTGAAGTATACTAAAACGGCGAATATCTTACCTTCAAATAAAAAGATATTTTCAAAACCAAGAACTAACAGTGAGGATGTTAAAGCCGGATCATTTGCCGATTTTATGAATAAACCATCCAATGGTGGATTTGGAGCTCAGCTGCCTGCAATATCAGGGTTCGCTAGCTCGGCCAGCGTTTTTGAAGAGAAGCAACCTGCTGCAATTCACGTCACGATGCCTACTAACAATTACCAGGGACAACCTCCATCATTTGGAGGGCAAGCGAAGACTTCAATGGAACTCAACAAAGTAGATTCAACCAAAGTTTCAGCACCAAATACCTTCCAATTCAATATATCCGAACCTCCTAAACGAGATTCAAAGGTTCCTCTTGTCGATGAAAAACCCAAAGTGTCATTCAACTTCGGACAACAAAACCAGGAATCAAAAGCTAGTGTTACCAGAAAACCCGATCAAGAACCTCTGATCTCAAAGCTGTTCAGTTTAGAGCCCCCTACTGAGACTGGAAGCCAATTTCTGAATACTCAAGTAGCTGCACCGGTAAAAAATCCACCCACACCAGCTGCTGTACAAGTCCACAACAAACTTAGAGATAGTGCAAAATTCGATGAAGCTACCAAACATATTATGAATCTGATAGTCTCACAGACTGTAACTGAAGAATTGAACAAATATCTTCCTAAACTCATTAGACACCAAAATCAGCAACGAGAGAGGTCGAGAGTCATTAACTCGTTAAGTAAGGAGCTTTACGAAGCATTTTTGAATGAAATTGTCTTCAAAATGGCAACCGAAGTCAAAGCAGAAGCATTCTTTATTAAGAACATCAAGATTACCTATATAAAGAAGTTAAAAGAGGTCGGAAACAGACTAAGAGTGAAACAAATGATAATACAAAAGAGGCGGAATGAGTTGAACGGGATCAAGTTTGGCAGTCGCTCCCAAGATAATTTGAAAAGACAGTTATCCAATTCCTCCATCGCATCAAGTGCCAAGAGAAGACAAGTGTGGAATGAAACTACCATTGACGAAATTGTTGACAAGAGGAATGAAATTGAAAAGTTATGGGAACCAGTTAACTTCAAGAAGTTTATTGAACGGTTAAGTGCCAACTTGAAAATCAAGATTGAAGTAGACCATATTGACTTGAAGTTCTTGATAGTTGTTGAAAATTTCAAGATCAATTATTCCAAGTGGTTGGTTAACAAATTAAGTTTAAAAGCGAATCGGCAAAAAGCCATTTATGAAAACCACATCAAGAACGACAAAATAAATCTAGTTTTGGAGAGTTTACCCAGGAAGGAACACTTGAACAAAGAGTTTTTCCAAAACACGTCCTTCATTCTTTTCGAGTGTGGATTGTTGCAGGAGTCTGATAAATTCTTGAATGTCGAAGAAAAGTTGAGTCGAGATGGTCTCATATTGAAAAAGATTTTGGATCTCGTCAACAAGTATGGTGAATACAAAGTACAAGTGTTGATCATGTACTGGGACATCAGCCACTCTGAATTGAACAAGGAAACCATACAGTTTCACCTAGGTATGGAAAAGCTCAAGTACAGCGTTGTTTCGAACGTCATTGTTTGTGACATGAGTGAAACGAATATCAATGAAATTTTGACGGAAGGAATCGACAATATCGCTAACAACTTCAATGGAGAATTCAGTAAGAGAGGAGAAAGAAAGAGAAATGTTCCAGAGTTCAAGAACCCTGGAAAGGATATCCACGTCAACAATGACAAATTCAAGATGAGTGAAATCAAGATGATTAATAAGGCCAAGTTGGACAAGAAATACGCTTATTTAAACAAGCATTCAATTATCAATCAACTGTTGATCAATCGGTCCATTAATACCAACCAACTGTTGATCAACCGGTCCATTAACAATCAGCTGTTTTCAGCAGCGTCCAATATTCTAGATACAAGCAATATAACCCAAGTTGGAAACCATTCAAACATGTCAATTCTCGGTGGGTTCGGCCAGGAAATTATCGAAGAGAGCACGCCTTTTGGTACTCCTAAGAAGTTCGTCAGACCACACGGAAAGGTTTTACCAAAGAACCTACAACAATTGATCGACTTGACAACTAAAGTCAAGTCCAAGTACAAAGCATAGAACCATACGCATACAATAATGTATTTGCAGCAGCTATATAATATATAATTTTTTTCATAAGAAATCAATAGCAAGCATCTTTAAGGCATGAAATTGAAATGAAGGACTTTTGAGTCATGATATGCTGATGCTAAAGGGTACGTTTGGGTCATAATGCAAGAAAGTGAAATCGAACGTTTCAATGAACAGCTGCTGAATTGATTAACCATTTATAGTAATTCGACTTGATGTAGTTGGAGTCCATGTTGGACGACACTTCTATATCTTTTAAGGTGTCAAGAATAATGTTGTTATTTAGATGCAAGTTGTAATGAACACATGCGGTGGTTGACTGACAGACCGGACATTCATACATCAAAGAGTATTGTGCTGGTCTTTCAGGTTGAGCATCTTCTGGTTCGCTATCAGATTCAAAGTGGAAATTTTCTTCCCAGTCTTGAATTCGGCATTCCTCACTGCAGTAGATGGAGCCAGGTATGCACTGTTTACCATGAGATGAGCAGTAGTCTTCAAACATAGTTGTAAGGTGAAAGTAAAAAAATGTATAGAAAAAAAAGTTGGGGAGGAGTAGCCGCCTTTATACCTATTTGTAGAGAATTGTGGGTGAGATCAGTAAGTCCTAAAAAAGGAGGGGTGATGAGGTGTGTATCACGTAACACACGGCGGGTGAAATACCAGGGTTATATCGGACACAGTTATTTTGTACCTCGTGTTGTGATGGGTCTTAACTACTATTCACCTTTAGTGGTTATGGTAGTATCCCAATCGAACAACTAAAGTGGTTACTGCCTTGTCTTCGAAATTTCCACAGTTTTTCGCAAAAAGATAATTTCTGCTAATCGGTTATTCTGCGTGTGGTCAAAAATACCCAACCCGAGTTATCCAGGGTTGCTCATCGTGGTTCGGAAATGGTTATTCGTGTCCAATATCAGACAATTGTTTTTGTGGGGTAGAAAATTTTTCATTTTGAGCTTTGCGCGTTGCTCCGGTACCGGATCATGGTCGTGCCCGTGCCCGTTCCCGTACCCACCCTGTGCGCACCAAAGATTTGGTTGATGGTATACCATCAGAAAACCAACTTGTCAGTTGTGATATTGCAGATACGTAGCAGGAAAATCAATTCATTGAATCTCGTTAGCCTGATAATAAATACCAGTCAACCCCTGAGTACCTACAAAAACGCCGCTCAATTCACCCACTTTACCATGCTTTACTCGTTCTACATCTTTGATAGACACTGCAACTGTATTTACCATCGTCGGTTTTCCCTTGTGGATGATGGGGCCACAAATACGGATAATGAATCGGATGTGGCAAAGCTCCTCTTTGGGGTTTTGTACTCGTTGAAAAACATCTCTTCGAAGCTTGGTGACCAGTCAACTAATGCGGGTGGCTTCAACTATTTGAAGTCTTTTTCCACCTCAAGTTTTCGAATTCACTTTTTAGAGACCTTGTCCAACTTGAAGTTCGTGTTGATAACTGACAACTTGATTGACAACGTGCGAAGCGTGTTATGGGAGTTGTATTCCACATATTATTTGAATAATATCGCTTTAAACCCATTAAGCCCGGTGGACTTTAAAGGGGATGAGAAGATCACCAACCCCAATTTCATCAGCCAAACTGATCAGTTTCTTAGGTCATTACCGGTGTACGGAGGCCAGTGATTGCTTAGGAAACCGGGATAGCGGCAGCAATCAGACAAGTCCGCATCATCACGGTCGCGTTCCCCAAAACACCGGCATCCCGGCCTTAACTATGGGTGTTAGGGTGCGAAATTCCGGCCCATAGATTTTTCCAGTGCATCAGGTTTTGTGAAGTCTATGGTTATACTCTATAAAAGGAAATTAAGTTCCCCAAGGAATGTAACTTCCATAATTAAATCAAGTATGTCAGAAACAGAATTCAAATTCAAGTCAATACACCATGAAATAAGTTTGGTAACTATTATAGCCATGGCTCAGATTCTCTGTCAAGGTAGTATAACCATGTCAATGAGTATCATGGATGTCGTGTTGAAATCGTTTCCTGGAGAATACCAGTCTTCTATTAAAGTATGGTTTATGGGTTCTTTTGCCTTGACGCTTGGAACCTTCATCTTAATCTCAGGAAAACTTGGTGACATATATGGCCTCAAATGTATATTTGCCATTGGGTGGGTTTGGACTTGTCTTAGTGCTTTGCTCACGGGTTTATCTGTGTACACTCACTCAGTGGTATTTTATATTATCTGCAGAGCCTTGCAAGGTATTGGCTTTGCTTTATTATTACCTTGTGGTATGGGTATCATTGGTAACCTTTACCCAGTAGGTTTCAGAAAGAACTTTGTGTTTTCTATTGTGGGGGCTGCCGGACCTTTTGGTGCTGCGCTAGGTGCATTAATGGCTGCTGTCATCGCCCAACTTTCGTGGTGGCCTTTATGTTTTTTCATAATAAGTATCATTGGTGCTGCTTTTGCTGGTTTAACCATCTGGTTGATTCCAAACTCAATTAACGCAGCCTCCAAAGATTTTAAAGAATTTGACCTTATTGGTTCTTTAATTGGAACAACTGGTTTGATCTTGTTGAATATCGTTCTTAATCAAGGACCTTTAGCCGGTTGGAATAAGCCTTATATAATTGCCTTGTTGGTAATTTCTGTTTTTTTGATCGGAGGGTTTTTCATCTATGAACTCAAATTTGCTGAGTATCCCCTTTTACCAATGTCTATTTTCAACTACAAAATAGGAATGGTATTGATATGCATTGCCCTCGGATGGGGTTCGTTCGGGATCTGGCAATACTACTATTGGATTATCATGTTGGAGTTACGAAATTATACTCCTATTGCTGTTGGTGCCAGTTATATTCCTGTCTTAGTTTTGGGAATAGTGGCAGCCATGCTGGTAGCTTTTATTATTCACAGAACCAGACCCTCATATATCTTGTTTGCTGCAAGTCTTGGGTTCCATGTTGGATGTATCATGTTGGCGGTTACCCCTGTAAAGCAATCATACTGGGGATTGACTTTTGGCCAGTTGTTTATTTTGACTTGGGGAATGGACCTAAGTTTTGCAGCTGGTTCAATCATTTTATCAGATTTCTTACCAAAAGAACACCAAGGTATGGCTGGTTCACTAGTATCTACTGTTGTGAACTACTCGGTCTCCTTATTTTTAAGTCTTGCTAGTAACATTGAAGTTGAAACTTACAAGAAGGTACACAGTTCAATTAAAAGTTATAGAAATGCCATCTACTTTGGGATTGGTATTTCTGGTTTGGGAGTTCTACTCGCATTTGCATTCATACTTTTCCAGATATTTCTTCATGATAAGAACGACACGTTGGACAAAGAGTCAAACTTCGACTTACAATCAGAAACAACACAAGTTCCATCAGACGACGAATTGGAAAAGTAATATTTGGGTAATCTAGTTAGTTTATAGAGTTAATGCATAGAAAACAAAAACAGCGCGAAGTGCGACCGAATTTTTCATTATTGGTGCAAGCGGAATACAACAGTCGTCGGTATTGCTAGAGTTCACGAGGACTTATATAGCCAATCAATCGTTTACCACAATCGTCATAGATTGGATCATCCGCAAGTAATTACCTACACTGGTGATCTGACCAACAGAATCATGTCAACAACTTCTACGACGAATGCTAGTGGCATATCCAAGAAGAGTGGGTTTGGTAGTATAAATGCCAATTCCTCAATAAATCAAGGAGTAAATGGTAATATCAGTGCAGGCAACAATGGAGCACTTGCTGCAACATCAGGGGCCGGGAAAAGAAATCATTTAGAGCAATTAATCAGAGAGCTACAGAATAAATTGGGGCCAAACTGGGATAAGTATCACGAAAACTTGAGTTTGTTCTTGATCGGTAAACTTAGTCGTCAAGAATTGGTCAACAATATTGTCCCCATTTTGAAGAATGGATTGATAAAGTATCATAATCAACTATTGTTGTTGAATTTTGCTAATTCCTTCAAGAATATCCCCATAGATTTCCAAAATGAGTTTGCCAGCTTTTGGAACAAAAAGTCAAAAAACAAGTCTGTAAAATCATCACAGTATGAGAAATTCAAACAGAATATCATGGGATTACCTATCAAGGAAAGAAGAAGAATAAGAGCCATAACAAGAGAAGCTGGTAAAAAGAATAAAATAAATGCTGGTATCACTTTAACAAGACACGCGTTGTTACCCAAGATCCCTTCTATTCAGGATAAAGAACAACAACAGTTGCAAGTCAACAACTTGGTCGGATGGCAACAAGATGTGTTAAACGGCATAAATACTCCAATTTCGACGGATACCTATGAGTTGCCAGACAATGACGATCTCTCGAAGAGAATAATAATGGTGATGAGAGAAGCTGGTCTCACAGGTGGGATAAATCCTCAGGTCTTGGAAGTTATGATGTTGGGATTGGAATCTTACTTAAAGAATATTGTTGAAAGCACTATAGATGTGGCAAGATACAGGGCTAACAAGTATAATAATAGTGATTTCATATCAACGGCCATTCAAACCGTGAACGAATCTATCAATGATAGAAAAGATTCCTCAAAAGCCAATGGTGAATCCAAAGATGAGGATTCTGATTCAGAGGATGAGAGGGATCCTAAAAGGAGAAAAGTTACTTTGAACATCCATGATATGTTTGACTCCTTGGAGATGTTCCCATATTTAATTGAACCAACTGGAACCCAGACAAGATTAAATAGTGTGATGCTAAAGAATGATGATGAGTATGAAGGAATAGATTATGAGTTACCACCCAAGATTGAAGAAGAGCAACCCAAGTTGAATGGAACTGCAAAAGAACCACCTTTCATAGACAAGAAGCTAAAGGACGATTCCAAGAATTCAATCACCGAAATTGATATCTCCAGAGAAAAGCCTTCCGATAGTGCGATTGTTTCTCAAAGTTCAAGTACTCCAACAAAACCTAAGGTGCAGAGCCATATTGGAAGTATCGATGAATTAAAGTGGGTTTTGCATGATTTGTACTCACAAATGTAAAATAATGATGTATTGAAGATAATATAACTGTAATATACGAACCATCTAGCGAAGTTTCTCTAACTGTTTTAGAAGTTCAAGAGACCCTTCAAGGGTATCCAAACTACAAAAGTTGAAGCTCTTGACACTGAAGCAATAAGATAATACTCCATGGAGAATATTTGGCTCGTTGAATAAATATTCAGCTTGCGATTCTCTTGAAAGATTAGTAACGTCGAATACACACACGTTCATGACGAGTTCATCATTTTGCATGTTGCTGACCCTGAAATTGTAGAAACTGGATCCATGAAAAGAGTTCGACAATTTACTTAATATGGTTGCAAAGTTTGAAGGATCATCCAATATCATGATTTGACTAGATATCAGAGATGGCTCGAAACTGCTGACTGAAATTGGCTTCAGAGAATCAAACATGTCATAAATGTGCCCATTCTCAAATCCTATAGCTTTGCATGAATAAGAAAAGCTATTGGAAATATTAGAGTTCAATGCAATCTTGTAAATACTTTGTAGTAATTCTTGCAATAAGTTTGGGGTTTTGTCACCGGTGAGTACAACAGAAAAGTCTTGAGTCTTATTAAAGCTTGTGAAGAAGAAGACTTTGAATTCTTTTAGTATTTGTGAGGTTTGGTTCATTGATAAAAGTTTATGGAACTTGAACGTAGTTCCATCAATCTCGAGATGGGTGTTCGTAGTCAAATCAGTTCGCTGAGGAACATTAATGTAAACTCTGTTCGAAGATTCAAAGTCTAGTATGGAGTTTTCAAGGAGGAGCTTGGTATTTTCATGGGCATCAAGCATTGCTTTTACATTGCCATAAATACCGTTAGTTTTGTTTAGTTTTCCAGCATAGTCGGCATCCAATTGTACTAATTTCTCGTGTTTCAATTCCAATGCTGTTAATTTTGACATTAAGTCATTTTTGGTGGTGAAAACTTTGTTCGAACTGTCTTGCAAGAGATTGATGGTTTTCTCTAGTTGTTCATTCTCTTTTTCGGACTGCAAGACTTCTTCTTTGAAGGTTTCAAGCTTCTGTTTCATCATGGCTAGTTCTCGAACCTTTGTTTCGTATTGGATGGTTAATTCTTTGGACTCTTTTACCTTTTCTTGTAAACTATTGTTTAACTCTTCATCAATTCGGTTAATTTCCTGCTCTATTTTGATATTATTTTCTTTCTCTAGAGCATCTAGGCTTTGTTTCAACTCGGTCTCTTCCCCTGAAAGTCTGCTGATTACCGAAAGTATATCCTCGTCTTCGAACTCTTTTGCCAAATCGATCTGATTCTTCAATTCGAACTTGAATTCATCGAACAGTGATTTCATTTTTTGTTCATACTCTTTGATCTTGAAATTGATCAATTCTTCTTTATTCATGACATTTTTGGTTATGGAAACTTCCAAATTATCGTATCGTCTTTGGTTTATTATTATCAAATTCTTCATTTCGGAGATCTTGTTATTCAATTTGTTATTATTCCGTTTCAAAAACCTCAAGTCCTCTTCTAGAAGGTCCAACTTGGTGGTCAACTCTTTGTACTCGTTATTCAAAAGATCAAGTCTTTCATTCTGTTGGCGTATTTCGTTATCAGCACCATTATCATGCTTTGAGTTGGGCTCGTCAAATTGTAATGATTGGACTGAACGGGACTTTTGTATATTGAGCTGCTCATTCATTCCAATTAGACGGCTTATATGCTGTAAGTTTATAGGAGCAGGTATTGTTTCTGGTACTGTTTTTAATGTGGACTTTTTGAATATTGGGATCTTAGAGTCTGAAGGTTTCAAATCCCCTGCCGAAATTCTTCTCTTTTGCCCTCGATGAGACTCTACCACATTTTCTATAGGCTCCAATGGTGTTTTGAAGGAGGATAATTCATTAGTCGATGTGGGGGACTGATCCATTATTCAGATATTCACGTCTTGAACCGATCTGAAAAGTAAACAAGATGTCTGTATGCGCAGACCGAAGCCTTTGGTAGATACACATACACCAGTAATATTGTGTTGATAAACCCTTTGTATATGCCCAAAGTCACTAGCTAGAGCACAAGCAGGTACAACTACTGTGAAGGTGATACAATATATTAAAGTTATGGGTGTTGTTAAGTATTGGTAATTTCTATTGATGTTCCATTCTGGAACCACCCAAGCTTTCGCTTTTGCAGCCAACACAGAGTCTTCTGATATATCAGCCAGTGCTGTACCAGACTGAGCTTAGTTAAAAAGCAAGAGAAGTAGCAGAAGAGCTTTCCGAGGCACACCAAAAACCAACTATTGATCTTGTATTTTATGGGGTGGTTGTTATTTAGGTTTCAAATGAAGGTCTTTCGGTACCTGGAAAGGGTTGTTAATAACCTTTGATATAACCCGGATTTGGCTCTTTTGGGAGCTTCTTAACACAAAATCAGAAGCTGGTAAAGTGTTCCAATAATGTTGTTTAGCGAAGCCTACAAAATAAATCATAGTTTGACCTTTATTAGATCACTTATTTACAAGTATATATACACTGTAAGGGGGTGAATGATGTCACATGTAGCACTGAACGAAGCTCTTCTGACAGCTGTAACCATACCAATTTTGACACCATTTCGTGTTTAGACGTCCGATTTTCCAGGGCCCTCATTATTATGACAAAAATTAGGAATGAACATAGTTCATAATATTTTGTAGAGAAGTCCCACTGAGGTAGAACATCTCAGTTGAAGTCCTTGATTTGCAAATTACGGGTCATCGCCGGTAAGGCGATTCGGACGCCGTCCAACTCTGGAGTCATATGAATTTGACAACCCAATCTTGACGTCTCTGTTAATCCGAAGGCCAAATCCAACATATCGTTTTCGTCATCACTAGGTTCCGGAATATCATCGTAGAATTCGGGATCAACAATCATATGACAGGTGGAACAAGCACAAGAACCTCCACAAGCACCTTCAACGTCTAATCCATGGGCCTGGGCGATATCCATTAGGTTATCACCAGCCGCCGCTTCAACCTCGATCTGCTTCCCGTCCTTTGTTATGAAAGTAACATGTAACTCTTCACCGGGTTTAGCTTTGTGGACATGTCCATGTAATTTGGGTATCGAAGTATGGAAGCCTCTGATGGAAGAGCTTGAACCGTGGCCAACAGATGTCCAGTAATTATGGGATAAACCAGCTCTGGCAATATCCATGCGAAGCCTAAATATCGGCAATAGACCGGAGGACACAGTATGCTTCAATCTCAACATCGGTGGTGAGTTAACCGTGAATAAAAAGAGCGATGCTTTGAGATGAATAATTAAAATAATGTGATTAGTCGGTCCGCAATTCGGTTGTCACCAAAAAAAATGCTAAAAGTTCTGACTCTATTTGCGTGAGCGGCTATCACAACAGATTCCTTATATTCATTATAAAACTATTTCATAAGCTTGGGCGAGATTTGACGTAGAGCGGTTTACCAGAATTTGCTGGCAAGAACCAAGAAAATCAAGATGATTAATACGGCAATAATAGCATAACTGATGAATTTATTTGCAGTCAATCGTCTACTCATGGACTTCAAAGTTTGAATGGACTTATCAACATACCCCTCGGCCGTCAACAATGTGTTTCTGGCTCCACTGATTTGCTCCCTTTGGGCCCTCAAATCGTTCAAGATATTTCCTCCAATGGACTCGGTCTCAAGGGCAATTCTCTGACTGTCTCTTAACCGTTCACTACTTCTTTCCAACGACGCATTGTTCGACAATAACAGCTTTCTTTGGTCATCGTGTATGTCGTCCCCATCGCCTGAATCAGTATACCTGTTTCCAAACAATTCGTACTTATCCTGGTCGTCTAATAATTGTTTTAACTTGGTTTTACACTCATTCACCTGGGTTTTGTACAGACGTACCTTTGTGTTGTACTGAGACTTTTGGTTGGATGGTAGATTCTGTACTTCCAAGTTCATTTGATCCAATAACTCCAAACATTCATCGGTAGCGTGTTCTATTGACTTTAAAGCCAGCCTCCTTTGTCCTACATGACTCTGTTAGTACTGTGCAATTGTCGACAACGGGTGAACTTTACATACCTGCTTCTGATACAGCTGAAACAGATGATAACTTTGACTTAGCGTCCTGAATGGCGAGTTGGAAATCGCTTTCATAGGATGAAAATAAATCAGACATCAGCGTCTCTCCGTTTTCTGTTTAATAGTTAACTGGTTTTAAGTTCGCGAATTTTTTTGTAATATATAGAAATATTTAGTGTCTGGCTTCAAATTCATCAGCATCATAATCGTCGCCACGGTTTTGATACTGGTGGTAGGCAGACTTGATACTATTGAGATAATTGTCGTCAATGGCAGAATTTGGAATAGAGCTGCCAGACTGGGCAGAAGCTGCAGAACGTGTGGGAGTCAATGAGGACATTTCATTTTGCACCATTTCGTTGTAATTCAAGATTGACTTGGTTCTAAGTAATCTGGCCTTGGTCTTTTCTTCATCTTCATCCAAGTCCAAAGAGTGCATTGTCAAGTTTAATAAAGACTTTCCGGACCTTCTTCTCAACAATTTACCAGGGAAAGGACCAGACTTGGGGAAGTACTGTTCGATATTATTCGAATCCAAATCGTCCATGGTCCTTGGGGGTTCATGTTTTTCGGATTTGTTTTCGTTGTCCAAATTGTCACAAGCCATCTCATTATAAATAGACTGTCTTCTTGGGGTACCAACTGATCTTGGAGTTCTTGGAGTTTTATACCCAGTTCCGTTATCATGAATCCATTTGGCAATCAATGCAGTCCATCCACATTGGTGTGAAGCTCCTAAACCTCTACCCGTATCTCCATCAAAGTATTCAAAAAATGGCACACAGTCCTTGAATAATGGATCCTTGTTCAACAAATCACAGTCTCCGTTACATGGTCTATTACCATCTTGATCGGGCATGAATAAGTTAATCATCCGGAACTGAATCTCTTGGGCACATTGAGCTAAATTTAAGTAGTCACCAGATCCCTTTGGGCATTCAACCTTCAAATCTGGTCCGTAGTACAAGTAAAATCTTTGCAAGGCTTCAACCAATAAGAAATTGACAGGGAACCAAATAGGGCCTCTCCAGTTGGAGTTTCCTCCAAACATTCCACTGTCACTTTCACCGGATAAGTATTCAACCTTGTAGACTTCTCCATTGACATTCATTTCAAATGGATGCTTTTCGTGATACTTAGACAATGATCTAATTCCAAAATTCGAAAGGAACTCGTCTTCATCCAACATCCTTTCTAAGATGTTTACTAATCTTTCTTTATCTACCAAGGCTAAAAGTAATCTTTCTCCAACACCTCTAGTCTCCATTGAAGCTATGTTTCTTTCTGCCACTTTCTTTCTATGATTAATAAACCAATTTAACCGTTTCTTGAAACTTGGAAACTTGTCCAATAGTTCGGGTTCTAAAGTTAACGAGGCATACAAGGGAATTAATCCAACTAATGATCTCACGGGTAACAACTGAGAGTTAGATCCTCCATACGTGATAGCATCGTAATAAAACTTGTCTTCGTCGTGCCACAAGGAAACCTCTTCATCATCAGCCCGATAAGTCATGGCATCTGCAATCAAAATGAAGTGCTCAAAGAATTTAGAAGCAATATTTTCATAGATGGGTTTGGTTTTAGCTAATTCCAATGCAATATTCAACATTTGCAAGGAAAAAAAAGCCATCCAACCAGTGGAATCAGCTTGTTCCAAGTTACCTCCCGTAGGCAAAGGTTCAGATCTATTGAAAATACCGATATTATCCAATCCCAAGAATCCTCCTTCAAAAACGTTATTCCCATCCTTATCCTTTCTATTAACCCACCAAGTGAAGTTGATCAACAATTTTTGGAAAAGGGTTTCTAAAAAATCAACATCTTCACGTCCATACATCTTTCTTTCAATCTTGTAAATTCTAAAAGCTGCCCAGGCATGAACTGGTGGATTAACATCACTGAAATTCCATTCATAAGCAGGGATTTGACCATTAGGATGCATATACCACTCTCTGGTCAATAAATCCAATTGCTTCTTAGCAAAGTCTGGATCAATCATTGCAAAAGGGATACAGTGGAAAGCAGTATCCCAAGCAGCGAAGAATGGATACTCCCATTTGTCAGGCAACGAAAGAATGTCGTTAATGTACAAATGCCTCCAGTCCTTGTTTCTCCCGTTGGCTCTGTTTGGAGGAGGCTTGGGAGTCGTAGGATCACCTCTTGACCAGTAATCGTGAACAAAATGGTAAAACTGTTTAGTCCACAACAATCCAGCAAAAGCTTGTCTTTGAACTTGTCTCAATTCATCAGACATTGGTAAAGGACTGATCTTCCAGTAAAATGCATCAGCTTCGTCCTGTCTCTTACTGAAAACGTTGTCAAATTCAAACTCATCAATGTCTTCTAATTTCTTGCTCAATTTGTACCTTAAAGTAACATAGTCACCAGCAGGCACCGAGTTAAACTTGAACCAAGCACAAGCCTTAGTACCCTTATTTTCTGGATTGACTACTCCTTCCTTGTCATCAACCACTAATTCATGAAAAGCATCCTTAACGTACTTGGCAGTATTGGGTTGATCGTATAACGCTTTCATGTTTGTTTCGTTCTCCGTGAAAAGGAGAACTGGTTCTATATCTTCTTCATTTTCAGAAAATCCGGGTGATGGGGCAAATGAAAGGAATCTTTTACCAAAATCGTGGTGATCAACTTCAATGGTAAAGTCGTCGATTTGCCTCAAACTAGGCTTTGCTTTCTCTGTGTTCCCCCAAGACCAAGTGTTTCTCAAAGTCAAATGGGGCAAAATATGTAATGGGGCAGCTTTATCGCTTCTATTATAGGCAGTAACTCTAACCAAAATTTCATCACCGTCGGGATCATCATCCTTAGCCAGTTCAATCACCACGTCAAAATACTCGTTGTTGTCGAAGACACCAGTATCAGAAAGTTCAAATTCTCTCTCTAATCTTGATCTCTTCCCATTCTCTTCAACTAATTGCTTGTAAGGAAATTCATTCTGGGGATACTTGTACAAGTATTTCATGTAAGAATGAGATGGAGTATTATCCAAATAAAAATAAGACTCCTTAACATCTTCACCATGATTTCCCTGAGAGTTGGTGACACCGTACAATTTCTCCTTCAAAAAAGGATCTTTACCATTCCACAAAGCCATTGTGATGTTGATCAATTGATATGAGTCACTGATACCTGCAATTCCGTCTTCTCCCCATCTATAGGTCCTTGACTTGGAATGCTCAAAGGAAAAATCAGACCAAGCATCTCCATCCACTGAGTAGTCCTCTCTGACAGTCGACCATTGTCTTTCAGCAGTGAAACATCCCCAATTTCTATACTTTGGATTCTGCAATCTCTTTTCTTCGGCGGTCAAAGGGGTCAGCATTGGAGAGGGCAATTAAATAAAGTGAGATTTTTCAGGGTTTTTAAGGGTTTTGCGATTTGAAATCGCCTGGAAATTTGGGGCCTCCAATAGCAATGCATGGTGAAACTTTATCAAATGATTAAGCTTCTTTACCTTCAGGGAACGGCGGATGAATATTAAACCTATGTACTAGGCTTTAAATACAGCTATATAATTGGCCATATCTGAACTCCAGGAGTGATAAACTCATAGATTGCTACTATCTAGGCAAACGATATACCGGGAAAAAACAGTTTATTAGTACCGGGTATTGAAGTTTGTAGTCAATGGAGAGCTGGGCTATATTTCTGGTTACTGAATTATGTCTACAACACTAGCCTCGCCAACATTTGCTCCATGTATTGTATTTCATTATTGGTGCTTCAAATGGCTGCGAAAGTATCGCTAGCCATTGTTCTTTTCAAAAGAACCCTTTGGTACAAGGAATGGGTTCTCCATTTGTTGGTGTTGGTGGAACTTAAATTATATGGCATGCCTTGTTTTTGGAAGACGCTGTCAACGAACTTTTGTGGAGTGGCCACAACGCCCGGAGAATTCCGCATCTGAGCTTCTTCAAAGGTGATTTATCCATGATCTGTTTAGTACACAAGAAAGCATTACTTAGATGATAATAGGCATCCCCTGAGACAGTACACTTATTGTAGAAAAGTTACTTTGTTAAGGATTATCGATCCCTATAACCATGCTTTATAACTTTATTTTAGGTTAGTCGAACCCATTGTCCCTCTCACAATCTACAGCTTTCTCTAACAAGATATATATTATTGACAAATCAATGTCACAGTGGTTCAGATGCGGAAGAATTTTTTCAAAGCTCTGAAGGTACTTCTTAAATGCTGGGAATTTATTCAACAAGCTTGGGAAGACTGCTAACCACTTTGGTATTCACGTCGTAGATGTGAAATTCAAACAACTTGATGATTATATATTGAAGCTTGGGACAGTTCAACGTTTTCATGAGACTATTGAATCCGGTGACCGACAATTGGGTTATATCTAGATCAATCAAACAGTTTTTAAACTTGAAATAGTCAATCAAGTTTAACTGAAGAGCGTCGAGACAAGGTAAATCGAACGTTAAATCACCCAAATTAGCTGAGAATATCGGAAACTTTAAGGTGGACAAATTCTTGAACAGATTAAGAAGTTCGAGAATCTCTTTTTGATCTGTGTGATTCAAGAAGTTGATTTTGTTGTGGGATCTTATGGTAAAAGTAATTTCCAAATGCTTGAGACAAACAGGATTCAATTGTGAAATCAAGGTGGTCAATTGTTTAATTAAGTTTTCGGAGATATTCAAGTTGATCTTGACGCTGGCTAATTGTCTATGGGATGTAAGGAACTTGTAGACTTGTTCATTATTGAGCTCGTTATTCCAAATATCCAACTCAAGATATTGGAGCGAAGCACCACTTTCATTGATGCTCGTTAGAAGGCTGTTTTGGCCATTTAAAAGCTCGTAACAGTTGATTAACTTCAAGGTCTTCAATCCACTAAAACTAATTTTATCAACGAGTAGCTCAATGTCTCTTTTGGTAAGAAAAAGGTTTTCGAGGCATAATGCAAAAAGATCTAAGCAACTGGTGTTTGTAAACAAATTATCCAAATTATCTTCATAAAGGATCAAATTCTTTTTGGATATCTTCAAAAACTTCAAGTTTATGAAGGTTGAAAGGTTAATAGAAACGTTGGAGAAATCTTTGAATCCTGATAAACTCAAAGACTCCAAATTGCGGAAGTCGTAATTGAAATTATTGAAGTTTTTGAAGTTCCCATTCAACTTTGACAATTTGATGTTGGGAAGGAGGTTGACGATTGTTAGGTCCAAATTATAGGTCGAGTACCATTTGAACTCTGCCAAGTTGACGAGACGTGGGAATATGTGGAAAAAATAATTTATCAAGAAGTCTTCGGGTAAGTCAGGTAGCTGCTTAAATATGAGCTTTTGAATCAAGTGGCAATTGGTTTCGTTCGACACCAAGTTTTTCATAAGAACCTTGAGGTTGTATATGGACGTGACTTGGACCGCATGGAAACGGACCGCTTCTGGCTTTTCGGATAGAATTCGTTTTTGAGAGTTGACTTCGATGGATTTAAATAAATGCGGTTTGACCAAACGGTTGAAACGGCTATTGGTAGCAGCCAAATTCACGAGAGCATTTTGGCACAGTGATTGTAGCACAAGTTCTACCACTTCAGAGGGAAAGTCTTCTATCATTGCCCCGATATCACAAATGTGAAAAAAATGCAGGCCGGGTACCATAAAAATATTTATACCCCAGATTCCGAATCACGGATTTGCAATAACCAATAGCCAAAACTTCCGAAGCGATGAAAATTATTTAGCATCAACGGCAGCGGAACGCGAAATTGTGGCATAAATGCGACTAGAGGTCTGCAAAGGCGAACAAAAGCGTATCTTTATCCGGAGGAGTATGTGACAGTGTATGGGTGTGCTGTGCTGGTGTGTGGTGACTTAGCAGTAAACAGAAGTGAATATCATTCAAGGCATTTCAAGCAACCAAAACCAGGAATGCTACTCCTGTGTTAGCTGTTTTTCTAAAGAAGACATATTATAGTGTACACAGTGCCTGATTTTCCACCCTGGGGTTTAGGACTAAGTTAACCGTGACTATGAAATGGTAATTGTAGAGTAACGGTTTATCTCAAAAGCTGCGAAAACCACGAATTGACAGATATCTTATATTTGTGTCGCACGGCTGTTGTCGGTTGAATACCAACACATACACATTTTCAATTAAGACCAAGACCCATTCGAGCCAACCACCGTGCCCCAGGAAAGCATTACTACAAGAATCGACAAATCCAGGAGTCTAAACTCCCTGGAAAAGAGATAATCTGCAACTTTGGTCTCTGGAAGCTCTGAGAACACGCAAAAAAACCCCCACCTACATAACCCATGCCGCTCAGAACACACACCTTCTCTCCAGCTCGTGAATTGCTCCCAGACTCTACCCTTAACATATTGGCCATCACCCCTATCTGGGAACGCAACCGCAGATGCGTTCGTTCCGAAAAGTTTCTTTTTCACCGGCGATGAGATTCAGCGATCGCCGGTCCTGGCCACACGACCGGTCCAAGCCGCCAGCTTAATCAACCCTACAGCTGCATGCTTGCAGTAAGCCATGAATTTGCAGTCACAGCACCACGAGCTTCTCTGGTACTGTCGAAGCACAAAACTGCCACCACTTCTGTCATAACGGGCCGCCGACCGAGTGGATACAGAAGCCCATCCCAACCACCCAATAACATGGCCAGAGCTTGTAAATTACACAAACACCAATTTCAACCGCAACCGTGGGTAATAGGTGATTTTGAAGGGAATTTCACCCAAGGTTCCAAGGGACTTCGGACATATACTAAAAGCGTTACAGCAGATGATCCGAGTGTGTATAGTGTAGGTTATATGTTTTGGTGACCGGATAATTGTAGGCTTTTGTGGTTCTCATTTCGGCAGGAGTCCATAAATCAGCGGATTCTAAAATAATTTAGAGCAGAATCTGGATTAATATACGACGAGATTTGAAATTGAATATGCCTTCCACCGGCCATGAGCCAGGGTGACACTTCCAAAACAACTGTTTACCACCAACATCCGGGTGTTAGCAGGATGAACCTTCCCAAGTGATGGGATCTATCGAATACGACAGTTCAGGGGGGCGTGCCCTTTCCAAAGCCTGCCGCTTGCCATTCGCATCCAGTTTTGTGTCAGCAGCCTGTGCCATAAAATCCTCCTTAAATCCTTTTCTCAATAACTTTCAACCCAAGGGCAGTAATAGGACCAATATATATCCTTATCCTCCGCCCTTAATTTCTAGATAGAGTAGGTGTTTAACAAGCTTATACACCGTGACCGTAACCCCCCCCCCCTTTTGAAAATCTCGGTATCAACTTCCTCCGTGCATTCCTCAATTAATCCAAGACGATTGAAATTTGTCAGATTTTAACCTTCCTTCAAATAGCGCCTACAAGATTGTGAACCACAATTCAATCTGTGAATCCTTAACTAACAGCATGTTTAATACCAAGATCTTTGAAACCAGTTCAGGGACTGGCGGAACCCCGACTCCGTCCATAAACATTCCTAATAACAATGGTAACCCGGTGCACCAACCGTCGGACGATAATACTCAACCCATCGACATCACCTACCAACGGCTGTCCATCTTCAACAACTCCCGGTTCCGCAGAGAGAGCTTGGCCCACTCACAGGGAATGGGAGGTGTCAGTTGGGGATCGATCACTATCGGATCCTGGTTGAAAGATGAAGTGATGATGTTGAATCATCAGAGTGCCAACGGCGGCGCCCAGATCAGCTTCGGGCACAACGGTGCTGGCAGTGCTGCTGCCATGGGTACTAGTTCCAGTAACCATTTGAATATCATGAACCCCAGAAGAGGTCTGTTCAGATTTGCTCAAGCTGGTGGCGCAAACTCCGGAGGATTCCATAGTGCTTCCATGGCGATGTCACCCCCTCAAACATCGTACTTGCCTAACCTTGAGGCCGACTATTGTAAAGACTATAGCTGCTGTGGTCAACTATTGCCAACGTTGCATGACTTATTACGACACTATGAAGAGGCACATATTAACATGAGCCCTCCGTCAGACAACAATGCTTATATCAACTCCAACCGGAACCGGAACATGAACAATATCCACAACATCTTGGAAACCGTTTCTACCACGGATGTGTTTTTGAACAACAATCCTCATTTGCAACAAGTGCAACAAGCTGCTCACCAGCAAGCAATTCAACAACAGCAACAACAACAAACGCTTCAACAACAGCAGCACGCAGCCCAAATCTCACATCAGCAAAACCAGCACATGCAAGCCCAAGGCCAACATCACCCAAATCAAATACCGACACAATCGCATTCTCAACCTCAGCATCCGCAAGCCCAAGTGCTTACACCACATACGCCCCAGAACTACTCACAGTCTCCTTCCGACAATGGTGCTGGTGGCAGTGGATCCCCCATGGATGAAGATGACCTAATGTATATTGATGATCCTGCCAGACATTTGTATGTGGTTGAAAATAATGAAGACAAACCATTCAAATGTCCGGTGATTGGGTGTGATAAGAACTATAAAAACCAGAACGGGTTGAAGTATCACCGGTTACATGGCCACCAGAATCAAACCTTGAAAGAGAATCCCGACGGATCCATCTCGGTTATTGACCCCGAGTCCAATACCCCATACCTAGATGGTGCTGCATTGGAGAAAGATAAGCCTTATCGGTGTGAAGTGTGTGGAAAGCGGTATAAGAACTTGAATGGTTTGAAATATCACAGAGGCCATACAACCCACTGAACTAATTTAACCAAGTATATAAATACGCTGGTTTGATAAAGGAAACCACATTAATTGAAGTGACATGAGTTTTAAACATAAGATGGGTATTTTTGTATTATATTTATTATTATTCTTTCCATGATAATGACTACCAAAAGCACCGCTTTGATGGTAGAATTATGATCATGTTTTATGCATATTGGGGTTGATTTATATAGCTATATAGTAGAATTGAAGATGTTGTTTTTGCTGGTAGCCAGACATTACTCTCCACAGTATTTTTTAAGGTGTGGACCGGCGTGCGCCGTGGCACAATTATGTCGCATTTTATTCTACTTTTTCGTGTTGAACTACTATAGACTTACGTTGTATAGCTTTTACAGTTATTGATATCATGGCTGGCAATCCGGAGCATATGTCGACCGTGTCCAATTTATCAGCAGGTTTGAAAAATGTCAACATTTCAGAACAGCAACTTAGAGATACTACCATCTTACAACAGCATTTAACCAACGAAGTCAATGACCAAACCCAGATATCCAGAATATCTGCCTTCTTCCAGAATCAACCAACAGAAGGGTTCACCTTGTTCAGCCACCGGTCAGCTCCTAATGGTTTCAAGGTCGCCATCATCTTAAGCGAACTCAACTTGAACTATAATACGATTTTTTTGGATTTTAACTCAGGTGAACAAAGGGCTCCTGAATTTGTAGCTATCAATCCAAATGCCAGAGTTCCAGCCTTGATAGACCATTACAACGATAACACCTCCATCTGGGAGAGTGGTGCCATCGTATTGTACTTGGTATCCAAGTACTTGAATGAACAGGGAGAGTGCAAATTATGGTCCAACAACTTGGTCGAACAATCACAAATTAGTTCCTGGGTATTCTTTCAAACCAGTGGACATGCCCCAATGATTGGCCAAGCGTTACATTTCAGATATTTCCATTCGACTCCAGTTCCTTCTGCAGTTGAGAGATACACTGATGAGGTTAGAAGAGTTTATGGAGTGATAGAAATGGCCTTGGCAGAAAGAAGAGAGGCATTAATCATGGATTTGGATGTGGACAATGCCGCTGCCTATTCAGCCGGCACCACCCCTTTGTCCCAGTCCCGGTACTTTGACTACCCCGTGTGGTTGGTGGGAGATAGAGCCACCATTGCAGATTTATCATTTGTGCCATGGAACAATGTGGTGGATCGAGTGGGTATAAATTTAAAGTCTGAATTCCCTGAAGTGTACAAATGGACCAAATATATGATGAGGAGACCTGCGGTCATAAGAGCTTTGAGAGGCGAATAAAGCCTCCTCGTGTGGTGACATGGGTATTGTAATAACGATCATGAAATTAGTATTAATAGTATAATTCTTTTAACGTTTAAGCTAACTAGTAAAACTTATAAATCATTAGACAAAGTAACAGAATCGGAAGAATGAGCTTATGGAGCCAGTATAACTTGTACTTCTTCGGCACATGCGTTACCGGGTAAGGTAGTGAGTCATTATTATCGTCTCCTTTTTCATTGTAACAAATAGGATTACCTTCCGGCTTGTAAGGAGGTGGGGGGCACAATGTTTGATCCTTTTCAGATTGACTTATTCCTATACAAATGATATTTCGTACACTATCAGTTGCCACCAATCCACGTGGTGAGCTTGGATCTTTAGCCCCTTTTGGAATTACCATGCACATGTTGGCCGGTGTTGGATTAACTGGCTAGATTTTCGCGCCGCAAAATACAGTGGTTGCAATCAGCGAGATAACCAGGTGGACAAATGATCTATACATGTTTATTTAGTTTAGGAGACTTCTTTAACTACCATTAACCCTAAGTATGAATCAATGACTTGAGTGGCTGCCAACTGAGTGATCTCACTGTTACTGTCAAATGGAGGACTCACTTCAACAACATCAGCACCCACCAAGTTGATACCTTCAAGTCCATCAAGAACACTGAGAAGTTCCCTTGAAGACCATCCTCCAACTTCCATTGTACCTGTAGCAGGAGCAAATGCTGGATCTAAAACATCTATATCCACGGTGATATACACTGGGGCAACTTTACCAACATGTTCCAAAAGCTTATCGACAATTCCATAGATACCAAGATGGTCTATGTCTCGAGCGGTAATTGATTTGAATCCACAATCACGATCGTGATTCTCGTCGTATCCAGCATCAATATAAGGGGCCCGCAAGCCCACGTGGAAACAACCTGAAGTGTTCAAATAACCTTGTTCAGCAGCATAATGAAGAAACGTTCCATGATTTAAGCTCATGTAGTGAGAGATCCCACCTCCTAGAACTTTGGGGTTCCATGTATCAATATGACTATCAAAATGGATAACGTTGAGCTTTCCGTATTGCTCGTAGGCAGATTTAAGTGCCATTAAAGTGATAGTGTGGTCACCTCCCATAGTGATAATCTTGGGTTTGTTTTGGTTGTTTTTGCTTGGATGCTTATGTATAGCTCTTTCACCTCTGTACAACTGGTTCAAAGCAATACGGTTGTCAAAAGGAGTTAAAGGTACATCTCCACAGTCCACTATCGACAAATTGTGAGACCGTTTGTCATATGGATTAATCTTGGTTAAATTGGTATTAGAATGACCATTGGAGCGTACAATTGTGGCCCCTCCAAGTCTTCGAGCCCCCAGACGTATTCCTTCTGGGCCGAACCTAGCTCCAGGGCGAAAAGAAACTGCTGTGTCAAATGGTGCACCAACTATAGCAATATCGACTGGGCTATTCAAATCATCCTCTCGTTTACTGAAACAATTCAAGTGTGGTAACCCACCGAATGTCATAATACCTCCGAAGAGGGTACGCACTCCATCAATGTCTTCAGTGTCATCATCTGGTGGTAGTTTTATCGCTGATTGATATTTGAGATAAGACTCATGGGTTTTCTGAGCAAACTGGTGTTTGGCTGCATTTTCAATTTCGGCCTGCTTGGAGACAAACTCTCCCAATTCCATGTGCTCCAAATCAAATTCAACTATTTTAGGGTCTTCAAATGTAATTTCACCAGCAGCCATCATACTCATCTTGTATTCATTGGATTGTGGGGAATGAACGAGTTGTCCATATAAGCTATCTATGAACGATTGAGGATTTGTGATTTCATTCTGAGATTCAGACGTGTCATATGTATAGACAGTTAGGGCAGCAGCCGTTGAAATAGCTCCAAATATACTCTTATAATGAACCATCAAAATAATTGAGAAGAGAGCGATAGCACTATCTTTTATACGTGCGACCCTAATGCGGTAAGTGGTTGCGGCAACAAAGGTTGCGAAATTTCATTACTCCAACTAACTATAGACATCACCAATAATGATGGACTTGACCACCGTGTAGTCGTCGACTCCATACAATGAACCTTCTCTTCCAAATCCAGATTCTTTAACACCTCCAAAAGGTACGGCAGCTTCAGTGAATACACCAACATTGACAGCAACCATTCCCACCTCTAATGCCTCAGAGAACGTCCAACAAGTGTTAATGTTTTCCGAGAACACATAAGCAGCCAATCCGAATTCAGAGTCGTTACAGTAGCCGATGGCTTCCTTTTCAGTGTCGAATTTGATAATTGCTGCCAATGGACCGAACGTTTCTTCTTTGGCCACCTTCATATCTTGAGTAACACCAGTTAACACAGTAGGAGAATAATAATGAGGACCAAGATGTGGTAATTCACCACCTTCAAGGGCATATTTGGCCCCTTTAGAAATGGCATCTTCGACGTGACCTTTGACTTTGGCCACAGATCTTTCGTTGATCAAACAAGTGTGAGTTACTTCCTCATCAAACCCATGCCCGATTTTGAAAGCCTTTACCTTCTCGACAAACTTCTTTACGAATTCGTCATAGACGCCCGACTGGACATATATTCTGTTGGCACAAACACACGTCTGGCCCAAAGATCTGAATTTAGAACCAATTGCTTGGGTGACGGCTTTATCCAACTTAGCATCATCAAACACAATGATTGGAGCATTTCCACCCAATTCAAAAGATAACTTCTTCAACGTGGAAGCAGATTGCTTCATCAAAAGTTTTCCAACAGCCGTGGATCCGGTAAAAGAAATCTTCTTGATCAATGGGGATTCACATAACTGCAAACCAGAAACTGGAGTACTTTGAGCAGATGATAATATAACGTTGAAAGCTCCTGGTGGGAAACCAGCTTGGTCTGCCAAATAAGCCAAAGCCAAACATGAAAGTGGGACTTGATAATCAGGCTTAGAAATGGTGGTACAGCCTACAGCTAAAGCGGGGGCAGCTTTTCTGCTGATCATAGCACTTGGAAAGTTGAAGGGAGTCATCAATGCTACAGGACCAATAGGCTGCTTCAACGTCACGATTTTGTTACCTTGGTTAGCTGGTTGGATAGTGTGTCCATATATTCTTTTTGCTTCTTCAGCAAACCATTCAAAGTATGAAGCGGCGTACTTAATCTCACCAAGAGCTTCAGCCAATGGCTTACCGTTTTCCCAAGTTAAGATCTTGGCTAAATCGTCGATATTTTCCATCATCAAATTGTACAAGTTTCTCAACCATTTCGATCTGTCATAAGGATTGGTCTTCTTGTAGAGCTCATAAGATTCATGGGTGATTTTGATGGCATACTCGATTTCTTCAGGCAATAAATCGGTGAGCTCGGCAATGAATTCACCTGATGCTGGATCATGGATCTTGAAGGTTTTAGTGGATTTGGACTCAAACCATTCTCCGTTTATGAACGACTTTTTTTGCAAAAGATTGGGGTTTTTGAGGTGTGGAGCCATCTTCTATTATGTTGAAGTAAATCTGGAGAGAAGATTTTGCACTATTTAAACTTCAAAGAATAATGTCGCAATCTGATCCGCGCGGGTATTGCCAATTAGAGCAATGTCGGGATATTTTCGTATGAGAGATTATAGTAGCTCTTGCAGTAAAAGTGCCCATAAGGGGGCTAGCTACCATAACAGGTCCATTAGAGACTGTTAATATGTCTACAGGCTTCTACATTTGCAATAAGTCTCTGATCACGTGATACATATCTTTTTATCCGAAGCGAAGCGACAGTTTCTCAGTGCGAACTTTGTAACTTGATACAACCGGTAATATCTAAAAGTATGTCGGATGGAAAGCTATTTGTGAAGTCCAAGTCTTCGGAGATCAAGGCCGAGCTTGACCAAGCATACAAACGGGGAAAACCACATGCTAAGATCAAGTTAATCTTGAAGAAAGTTACAGCCAACATAATCTTGAATAATAACGAGATCTCCAAGTTACTACCCGATATGATAAACCTTCTTCGCTTTGATGATTTGGAGATCAGACGCGTGTGTTTAGACTTTCTATGCTTCTACTCCCATTACGACCCCAAGACAGCCCTCAATGCGGTACCATTCTTAAAGCGATTTAGAGAAGACTCCGATTCAATTCTTAGAGCTTTAACCATCAAGACTCTCACATCTATTGAACTTCCAGAATTCACAGACCTTTCCTTTTCGGTGATCAAATTATACCTCAAAGACCCCAATGTCTATGTGAGAATTGCTGCTGCATATTCGACTGCCAGACTTTTTAAGTTTAGTACTTCCAGAGTAATCAACGAGAACTTGATCGATAGCCTCAATGATCTCCTATATGATGAAGACGATACCGTCATATCAGTGGCCTTATCCGCCTTGGACTCAATAATAGAACATGATAAAACTTTGGACTTAAAGTTGACTGTTAATCCTAGCCATTCAATCAAGCTTTTGAAAACGTTGCATAGAACCACAGAATGGAGTCAAGTCTATATTTTGAATTCGTTGCTATCATTTGTTCCTCAACACACAAACACAGCATTGGACCTTATAGAGTTGGTGATTCCTTTTTTACAGCATGAAAATTCGTCCATCGTACTCAATGCTGTAAAAGTTATTGTGTATTTAAGCAATTATGTTAAAGATCCAGAGCTTATTCTCCCATCTTTACCTAAAAGACTAGGCTCTTCACTTGTTTCATTACTTTCGAAGCCTCCGGAGTTGCAGTTTTTGGTTCTAAGGAATATCATATTACTTCTTTTGGGAAGAAAGTACTTGGTACAGTTTGACGTTGAAATGCTCTTTTGCAAATATGATGATACCATATACGTGAAAGATACCAAGCTTGAGATTATCTACTTATTAGCCAATGAGCATAATTTCTCCACGGTAACAAGGGAATTGGAAGAGTATGCCACAGATGTAGATGTGGCAATGGCTAGAAAAGCTATTCGAGCATTCGGAAATTTGGCCATCAAAATTACTAGTGCTGCTTCGTTGTGTGTGGAAATTATTATTGACTTGATATCGAATAAAGTTTCCTATATAGTTCAAGAAGCAGTGGTGGTGATAAAGAACATTGTTCGAAGATATCCAGGTGACTTCGACTATGCCATTACCGAGATGGCTAAATACTATAAGTTAATGGAGGAAAGTGATGCAAAAGCTGCTATGATTTGGATGTATGGCCAGTATCATCATCTTATTGAAGATATTGAAGAGGGTTATACGACTTTGATCCAGTCGTATAAGGATGAACCTCTTGAAGTTCAACTCGCAACATTAACTGCTACCACAAAATTATATTTGCATTACCCAGAAAAGTTTGAACGTTCGGTATTAGCAGTGCTTAAGTGGGCAACAGAAGAAGTCAACAATCCTGACATCCGAGAAAGAGGATTCTTTTACTGGAGATTAATATCTTCTGAGTCTGGAAGTGATGTAAATGGTGGTTTCCAACTGGTGGCCAAGCAAGTTGTTTTCAATGAAAATCCACGTATCGATTCAGAAAATGAAAATATCAATCCAGCTGTTTTGGAAGAATTAGAGTTGAATATTGGTACCTTAGCTTCTATTTATCTTAAGCCAATTGCTCTTGTTTTCAGGCTCTCAAAATCAAGGACTCTACCACATTCTCAAGCATTGCAACCAAGAAGGCCTTCAAAAAATTCAGCAGACAATTCAGCCCGCTCTTCACGTGCCACTTCTACCGATAACTTGGCCCTTCCCGAAGAAGGAAAAATATATTCCTCTAGAAAGTTTAATGTTTCAGCTGATGCCATATCTCGGAAGAAGTCTATTATTAGACAAAGCTCTTTCGATTCCACTCCTTCAGGGCTCTCTGATGATTCAAAGAAAAATGGATTAGCTAGACGATTAAGCAAAAGGGCCTCAATTCTAACAGGGAGGAGAAGTTCAAAGTAAAAAATAGTAGGTATATAATCTATGATTGTATGATAGCTATAACAAAACATCTGTTTATTCTTTTTTGATCGGTTTTAAGGGCTTGGTGGCTCGTTTTATCTCTACTATCTCCACATCTTTAGCCATCTTCACAACACTACTAGCTGGTTGAACAGTTTCAACCAGAATTTCTGGCATGTTTAGTTCGGGCCCATCTGGGACTTCTTGGACCAATTCACTCAACTCTCTACCTACCAAACTTCCTAATATGATATAAGCTGCTGGCTTAGACATCACAGTCATTCCTTCTTTGCAGAAGCTGGCAGTGACACATTTGGGGCACCCCCATTCACAGTCACAATCCTTGACTCTATCATAAGCTGCCAATAGAATCTCGTCGATGTACTCAAAAGCTTTGGCAGAAACACCAGAACCAGAAGGACCTCCTTTTGAATCGTAGAATATCAACCTGGCAGGCCTCTTTCTCTTTGTTTGCCTCCTAGCAAACTCTTTTTCCGGTGCCTTACATTCTGTCAACAACTCGGCTTCTCCAGCATTAGAAGTGAACCTCAGATTTGGATTGGTACTAGCGGATCCACTAATATAAAGAGGGAGAATATTCATGAGACAATGTTGAGCAGCGTGGATCCCACCCGCTGGTGATAGAGATTTCTCCACAATAGCATCGAGAACTGGCTTTGGTATATCCAACCAAAACCCTTTTGATTTGTACCTGACAGGAGGGTTTTTAACTTCAACTGCTTCTATTATTTCGTTTTTCTTGTTCACTTTGAAAAACCCAAACACAATAGTTGTGATTTCTATAGTACCAAAATAGGCAGGAATGTCTGAAACTTCTCTCATAGGACTTTTGAGACATCTTATGTATTCGATTATATGTGGATCAACATCCGTAAAATCCCTTTGAGAGGTGACCCAGTCAACTGTTACTCTTTGTACTTTGGCATACTTCTTGTCAGAGTTGAAGTCTTTTACTAAATAGGGTAACCCTTGATGTAAGAAAATACCACCCTCATAGAGTGTAAACGAAGTCCTGGATTCTTCAACTTCTTCTATGACTATGTTCCTTCCATTAGTTATATCCACCACGGCATAGGCGGGCAGTTCTACTGCTCTGATAGCTACCTTAGAAGCTGGCCATGGTAGATAGTCAGGACTAGTTCTGTACCTGTGAAGCTTATCTTGGTTTAACTTCTCTGCACAAGCAGTCCTAAAAATCTGCACCTTCTTGGGAGTACTTTCATAGTTGCAAAACCATTTTGCATCCTGATCGATATCGATCGGTAGTTCAAACGCTGCACATTGTAAATGATTCTCCATGATGAGCTTATGCATTCCTACTCCAATCAATGATTCAACACACAAGTCTTCATATGTGGATTTGTCTAGTAGTTCTTCAGGGTGCTTAACGTAATACAGGTCTACCGGTATTGCCCCAGCAACAAATATGGCCAAACTCCCTTTGGCATTTCTACCTCTTCCAGCTCTACCAAATTGCTGATGCATATTCAGTTTCAGCACCGGAAAAGAGCATGTTATGACCACATCGAGATCAGATAAATCAACACCTAACTCTAAAGCATTAGTAGCCACTAAAGCTCGTACTTCACCATTGAACATTTTCTGCTCAATATTTCGCCTGTCAGTCTTGGAGTATCCTCCTCTATAAGCCATTATATCACCTTCCTTGATTCCCAAGTCTGCATATTCAGATGTAATAAGTAGACTTCTAATCTGCTTCATGAGAAGTTCACAAACTTGTCGTATGGGACAGAAAACAATTACTTTGATAAATTTGGATCCTCCTAACAACAGAAGCAACACTCTAGCCAGCTCTGTGATGTTGTTTACTCTAGGCACCATGTGTGACTGGGGAGTTCCTAAAAGCCGATCTATTGATCCAGGATGAACTTCACCTCTTTTGTTCATTAGAGGAGGTGGATTCCATATCAAAAACTTTTTTTCACAACAGGCACTTCCATCATTAGATATATGAACAACATTGTCTTCTGGTGAAATTGCACAAACAACTCGAAAATGTGATTCAGGGTTCAATACTGTTGCTGATGAAGAGATGAATTTCACCTGGTGTGATGATGAGGAGTGGCTTAGAACTCTTAGGAGACGAGCCATAACAAAACTTACATTTATTCCAAAGGTCCCTTTGTAAACATGGATCTCATCAACCACAATAAACTTAAGGGCATGTAAGAAGTACTGCCATCCCCCACTAGAGTCAGAGTAACTCATTCCTTCGTGGTTTGGTAGAATGGATGCATGTATTGTATCTGGATTTGTAAAGATTATATTTGCAAACCTCCTAATAGTTCCTTTAGTCTTTGTATCTGTATCTCCATCGTAGGTGTCTACACGGATACTGCCATTTTTCGGCATGGGTATGTGTTTGATCAAGTCCTCAAGATGTTTTTTTTGGTCTTGGGCCAAAGCCTTGGTGGGAAATATGAATATTGCCGTGCTTGCCCTATGGTTCGTATTACCATTTTCCATGTCCCACAATATGCTGTTCAAAATTGGTATTTGGTATATCAAAGATTTCCCTGAACTTGTAGATGTGCTGGTAATGACATGAGTCTTGGTATAATCCAATATATGTTCCAAAGCCTCGGTCTGGTGGCTATAGAGCATGGTTTCCATATCAATTCCCTTATATTTTTTCACTCCATATGCTAAAGCCGGATGGATATCATACATTTCTAGGTCAAATGGTTTGAAGGTGGCTGGTCTAGCTTCTGTGAATGTAGCCTCAAATTCAATTTGATCTTTGTAAATAGAGCTGTTTTTCAAGATATCCACCATTCCTTGTGAATCGAGCAGTTCAGATACGCTCGTGTTCTCTAGCCGTTGTCTCTTCGTCATCTTTTGAACAGGGTCTTCTAAATCTGGTTCTGAAGGTACAAACAGGACCACGTCAGCATTAAGCTTGTCAAGGACGAGAAGCTCCTCTGTATTGGTTCCAACTTCTTGCACGAAATGGCTTACGCCAGCTTGGAACTTGGCGTTTCTAGTATTTATTATTCCAGATAATTGGGGCTGGGTGAGTTTCTGAGTGATGAGATCTCTATGATTGAAAAAAGAATTAGATTCAGTGTTAGTTCTTTTCCACGGTGCCCGTCTGGAGTTTGAAAGAGCTCCTATATTATCGACTTTCATGTCATCGAATGTAAAAAGTAGTATTTGGCTGGACCCATTTTCATTTGCATTCTTAATATCCTCGTATAGCTTATCTATGGTATCTGGTTGTTTCATATTGTACCCCTGTTCTTTTGTATATCCGACTTTTTCATTTGCCAAAAGATCCTCTTTGTCCACATAGTCAAAAAACACGTCTCCCGGTGGTAAGAAGTATTTAATAGAAGCTAGATCAAATATTGTAAGGTCCGGTACAAGCTTCTGAAAATATTCATATGTTGGAATTGTTGACCGGGAATGCGATAGTATAAACGTCAAGTTGGCATTTATCTGGGAGAATATCCTTCCTAACCTTTTCAAGGGGTCTGGCCATTTACTGAAAGGGATTTCCTGGTCACGTGTTTCCATCTGGCATTACTTGCTGTGAGGTTGTATTTGCAATTTTAAAATGATGCGAATCTCAGATCAGTAGCAGCAACCCAAGCAGTATCGATATAAATTGAGTTGTCATCAGCCATTTAAATTCTTAACCTTATAATTTCGTTTAACCTCAATAGTTATTTGAGTAAGAAGATATGTTTGATAATTTGAAGGTCAAGTCCAAAGGATCCAAAATTGAACCAGCTGATCCTCCGGTCAGCCCAGGTGCAAAACCAACTAAGAAACAGATTTACCAAGCCCGTCAAAACTACGGAGTTAATTTAGGTGCTTGCTTTGTATTGGAGAAGTGGATTTATCACGGGTTATTCATTGACGATACAGCTGTCGAATTGGAAGCTACTAAGAAGTCTGTGAAGAAGTTAGGTAAAGATGATACCAGAAAGAAGTTTGAAGACCATTGGAACAGCTTTATGAGTGATTCTGACTGGGATTGGTTGGAATCCCACCAAGTGACATCTGTCAGAATTCCTTTGGGATACTGGGAAGTTGATGGTGGAAAGTATACCAAAAATACAAAGTTTGAAAAGTATGCCAAAGACGTCTATAAAAATGCCTGGTCAATATTCAAGGAAAAGTTCATCGAAAAGGCGGGCACCAAAGGAATTGCTGTTCTTGTTGATATTCACGGACTACCAGGAGGTGCTAACGGAGATTCTCACAGTGGAGAAAAGGAAGGAGGTGATGCTGAATTTTGGAGTTCACAGGGTTTGCAACTTCAAGTCTGTGATATGCTCAAATTTATTGCTTCTGATTTGAAAAAGTACGACAATATCGCCGGAATCCAAGTAGTTAATGAATCTGTGTTCAGCAATGATACAAAGAGACAACGTTACTACTACGGAGCTGCGATTAATCTGATCAGAGAAGCAGACAAGGCAATCCCCGTAGTCATTTCTGATGGATGGTGGCCAGATCAATGGGTGAAATGGGTGCAAGAAAAGCAGCTGTCAGGAAATATCGGTGTTGTGCTTGACCATCACTGCTATCGGTGCGCTTCTGACGACGACAAGAAGAAGTCGCCTTCTCAGATCATCGATGGGTTGAATAATGATCTTTTAACAAACCTTAGTGATAACTCCAAAGGTGTTGACATTATGATTGGTGAGTACTCGTGTGTGTTAGATGGTCAATCTTGGGACAAGGACAACAGTAGCTCAAAGAGAGATCAGTTTGTCAAAAACTTTGCTAAAAGACAAATTGAACTCTTTAATGAAAGAGCCAATGCTGGTTCATACTTTTGGACGTTCAAGTTTGAGGCTGGATCGGGTGGTGAATGGGACTTCAAGACCATGTCGGATAATGGGGTTATACAAAGTCCAATTGGGTTTAAGGGGAAGTCTGTTCCCGATGACAGAAAAAGAGATGAGATTCTCGATCATGAATTCAACAATCACAAATCATACTGGGACAATTCCAACAAAAATGAAAAATATGAACATGACAGATTTAAAGATGGGTTCCTTACTGCGTGGTCTGACTCCAAAGCTTTTGCTGAGTTCAATGGTTCTGTCATTGGCAGAAGAGAGGCTTGGAAAGACGCAAGACTTGATGAGCACATTAAACAAAAGGGGAAGGGAAAGCACGTATGGGAATGGGAACATGGTTTTGACTCTGGCTTGAAGAGTTTTAAGAATTCATTATAGGCTATTTACGTATCTGTATAGACTTTAATGCTGTATGAAAAATGACTGCAAAATGCGACCTTATTCTTGTGTGACCCTCAAAGCGACCCGCGAACTTCGTAAGAACTAAATTATCAAATCTACAGATCCGTTTCGAGATAACAACTGATTTAAAACAGGATTTCAAAGTGTCGTCACACCACAGCATATTATAATGATAAAGGAAGATGTGGGATTTCTTCCAATCTCAAAACTAGAAGCGATCGCTGACTCCCTACTGACAGAGTTGCTAAAGAGCTCTAAGAAGCCTGCTACTCATGTTAATTATCAAATCGAGTTACTAGAAGTGTTCAACTATGAGATCAAGCGACACGATAAGATTGGATATTGTGACTTTGAGTTGGCATATGTGTGTTACAGTGTGACATTACGTCTATTGAAAGAGTGCAAAAAGCATGAGTCTAAGGAGATTCAAGACTTCATCAAGATAATTGACCTGACGGTTTCCAAGAAAAAGGGTAAATCAGAAATGGTTGAATCGCATATCAGTCAACATCCTATCACAGTGAGTAAGGGTACATATTCAAATGTTTTGGATGCAGATCCGTTACTTTCAAGGTTCAACAAACTCAGTGCCACTCAAGAGGATTTGAGTCTTCCTCTGACCACTTCCGAGTCTTTGGAAACTTATAAGTACACTGAGACAATTTCGGCTCCCCAATTGCGAAAGCTTCTCGAAGATTACAAGAGCAATGTGTCTGTGCTTCTAATTGACTTCAGAACTAAGAAAGAATATGATTATAATCATATTAACTATCCTCATACAGTGAACATAGAACCTGCCATCGTAAATGGGCTTCTAGGGCCTGGGAATCAGAATGAAGCTGACAAAGTGACTGACCAAGATCTAGAAGAACGGTTAAGAATGCTTCTACCAAAAGAACAGTATCAAATATTTCTGAACCGTCACAAGTACGATTTAATTGTCTTGTACAACTTGAGGTTTGGGGTTGCTGAAAAACTAATAAACCGATTTGACGCTTTGGTTAGCTCTTTGATCAATGAGAGCAATAATGGTAATCCATGCAAGAGCCCGTTCTTAAAGTTGGTCGAGTTGCTAACGTACCGGAATAAATATATCAGCTCAAAGTTGAAGAGAGCACCTTGTTATTTGTCTGGTGGAGTGTCATTTTGGTACAGCTTATATGGAGAATCTTCCATTGCTAAAACCGATACAATTCCTATTTTAGCTATGCCAGAAGCATCTATTTCGAGAGATGGCAGTAGCTCACCCTCCAGTTCTAGACGAAACAGCTATATGACTACAAACGCATCAACGAAATCCTCAGAGTCACTTTCATCTGCAAAAAATGGGTCCCCATACCTCAAAAACTTTGGAGATTATTTAGGCACAGCTAAGAGTACGGGAAGTACTCCAATATCGAATCTGTTTGCTGGGAAACATTCAAGTGATCCCAGCAAGATAGGATATTACGCTCAAAGTGCTCCTTTAAAGCCAGATACATCCAATTTCGGAGCCACTTCCAATGGGATTCACACATATAACATACCGCCTCCACAGCAAATTCCTGCCAGAAAGTCTTCGTTAAGCAAAACTTCAAGCTTCTCAAGCGATGGATATAATACTTCTTCTCCAGCACCACCAGAGAAAAAGACTTCTGTTAGTCCAACAAAATTCCTCGAGCAGTATACTACGGGGCTTACAAATCTCGGGAATTCATGTTACATGAACTGTATTATCCAGTGTCTTGGGGCCACTCCACAATTAACGAAATTCTTCTTTCCAACTTTGCCTTCTTCATCTTCTTCGGCTTCTACTGTTCAGTCTTACAGGCAGCACATAAACATAAACAATAAGTTGGGGACCAAAGGTATATTAACTACAAGTTTTGTTACCTTATTGGTTGATATGTTTGGCAATGCTGGAGGAAATTTGTCTCCGCTGCAATTCAAGAAGGTTATTGGGTCATTGTCACCTGGTGGTCAGTTTGCAAACTTTGACCAGCAAGATTGTATTGAATTCTTGGACTTTGTTCTTGATTCATTACATGAAGACTTGAACCAAATGGTGATTTCTAACCCCAAAGAGAAACAAGCCATTCAAGAATTGACACCTGAGCAAGAGCGTACGAGGGAGTATTTGCCCGTGAGGTTGGCATCGACAATTGAATGGGAAAGATATTTAAAATTGAATTTTTCTGTGATTGTTGATTATTTCCAAGGGCAATATTTGTCACAATTGAGATGTTTAGAATGTGGAACAACATCTACCACCTACAATGCGTTCCAAATCTTGAGTTTGCCTATTCCTGAAAGACTCAATAAGGGAAAGGACTTAACACTTGATGATTGTCTACAGGAGTTTGTCCAATTAGAGTTATTGGATGATGAAAATAAATGGCATTGTCCCAACTGCAAGAAATTTACCAGGCTGACAAAGAAAATCTCCATCACAAGGCTTCCTCAAGTTTTAATTATTCATTTCAAGAGGTTCAAGCTTTCTCCAACTGGGTATTTCAGTAAAATGGATGACTTCATTAAATATCCAGTGAATGATGTTCTAGACCTTACTTCATATTGGCCACATCCAGGAACTGTCGTGAACCCAAACCTTAGCTCATCTGATGTCATGGCGAAAGACAAGGAAGTACAAATTCTTGCAACCTTGCCTACGCGTAATCAAGTCCCTCCATTCAGATATAAATTGTATGGAGTAGCCAATCATTACGGTAATTTAACTACCGGTCACTACACTGCATATGTCCATAAAGAAAGTGACAAAAAAAAGACTAGAGAATGGTGCTATTTTGATGACTCGAAGGTCTCTTTCAACCAGAAGCAAAACCAGGTTCTCAACAAAAATGCATATTGTCTATTCTATCAACGTATTTAGTTAGGTAGATCATAAATCTTTACATAAAGACAGTCAGATTGTCATATATCCAGCTGGTGGATCTTAATCATAGGATGATTGCTTACCACACCATTACTCATCCCATTCCATAACCAACTCACTTTATCTGAACTATCGACTTGTATATCGCCTCGAAATCCTTCCACAAAATTTCTATCGTTCAAGGTTATGTTGGTGGTATAATTAATAAATTCATTGAATATAGTCAATGATGTCCAGAATTGTAGCTTCCTTAAACATGCTACTATTAAACTTGTGACTTGGCCTCCATTAACGCAGTGAACATAGATTGGAGAATGCAGGGTATGAATAATTAGATCTAAGGCCTCAAGCACAGTCGAATATCCTAATGGTACTCCACGTTTCTTTCCTTTACCCAGTTGCTCACACTCAAGGTGCACAAGGGTGATTTTGTTTCTGGTAGCGAAGTCATATAGTTTTGGATCAGTCTCTGGTGTCACTGGCAGTGGAGTTAAAGAAACAATGGTTTTTAGACTCAAGCTTTCGAGAAATGGGAAATTGATTTCTCTTGGATATGCACCTCTGTAGAATCCCTCCTGGACTGTGCTGAACTTCAAAGGAGGGATAAACATGTATGATGAACTGTAATCCATAGTCATAAACCTGAAATGTAGTAAAAGTGCGACATATATGTGCATCTAACTTTTTCGTACAAATATTTATATTAACATGGCTATGGTATTAAAGTTATTAAATATTAGGAGTAAACTTCATGAGAATGGAAGTTGAGTAGAATAGTTTTTGCTTATTCCTTATGAGAACGAGACTATCGGGTAATTTGAACAAGGGAGGAAATGGATCTGTCTATGCTTTTACGAGACCGAAATTAGGCTGTTTGCACATTTCAACATTTCCAGCTAAAGCTTCTTGGATGTTCATTTTCTTTGTCTGGCCGGGTATTCCACTACCAAACTTCAAGTAAATCAAGTCACCAATCTCACTGAATTTTTCCAACACATAGTCCAAATCTTCTTTGGTTAAAGCTGAGCTCAAACATAATCTGACTCTACCACTAACAATTGGGGTGGCAGGATAAGCGGCGATAACCAATGCAATACCCATATCGTAAAGCTTTCGTGATACGGCAGGCATCTTTGCAGGTAAAAATACTAACAATGGAATGACAGGAGAATCGTCAGCTCCGTAAATTATGAATCCGAGTTTCTTGAGTCCTGATCTGAAATAACGAGAATTGAACGCTAATCTCTGTAATCTCAATGCTCCTTCACCTGGGTTCAAATCTCCCTTGATGATACTCATAGAAGAAATGATTTGGGCTAATACTGGAGGAGGGACTGACTCACCATGAACGTTTGTGGCATAGTCTACTCTAACCCTGTCCATGAGTTTTTGAGAGCCAGAAATGTAGCCTCCAGTAGCACCAAAGGATTTAGTTAATGTACCCATCAAAACATCGATTTTTTTGGGATCGACACCGAAATAATCAGAAATACCTCTTCCATTTGGACCCAAAGCACCGATAGAATGGGCTTCATCGACAAACAAATAACATTTATACTTTTCCTTCAAACGAATAATCTCAACCAAATTACACATGTCACCTTCCATAGAGTATAAACCTTCAACTGCGATGATGATTTTACTCCAGGGACGATGAGATTTAGGTTGACCTTGGGCAATGGCATTTCTTATAACCTTCTCTAAGCTTTTCATATCGTTATGTTCAAACACTTTAACAGAAGCACCTGAAACTCTAACCCCAAATCTAGTAGAAGCGTGGTTTAAAGCATCACTAAGCACTAACGTTTTAGAATCAGCAATACATTCAAAAATAAAGGCATTGGTACCGTAACCTTGACTGACCAAGATAGCATCATCTTGACCAACAAAATCAGCAATAAGTCTCTCACACTGTTGATGTAAATCTGTGGTTCCAACAATATCTCTTGGTGAACATCCAGATGTACCATACAGATCAACGATTTCACTGGCGGCTTCGGTACACGTTCCCTTGGACTGACCAAACCCCAAATAATTATATGAGGATAAATTGAGACATTCATCCGAGCCTCCGGTGTATTGGTATTTGTTTATGCCCATTTTGATACGTTGATAACACTTGATATATCTACCTGGGGCACCATGGATGGGTCTAGCAAAACAGTCGTCGATTCTTTCCTTCAAACGACGTTCGTAGAAACTTTCAAACCCGTCGGACCACGGGGCGTAACCATCTTTCTCCACTAAATGCTCGTAGGCCTCAGGTCTAAAGATTTTTCCGAAGAAATCTCTAATGTGGCCAATTATGATCAAGATAAGATAACTCAAGTAGGTTACAATATAAATGAAAATTGGAGGATCATCTTCAACAGGGTTTGGGTATGGTTGACCGGCAGGGTGTTGGGAAACATACAAATAATCCGTCGAGGTCAATTTTCCAAACTCTAACTCTGCCACTTCTTCAGGTGGTCTATCCTCCGCAGGAGCGTCGGGCATTTTGAGAAGCATGGTGGTAGATAGATTGGATTGATAAGGAATGGACGAGTAATAAAAGGAGGTGAAACAATGAAAGATTGACAAGGGTCTGAGAAAATAAACAGACTCGAATTTGGTATAAGATATTGATCTACAAAAGCACACAAGATATGATATGGCTTAAACTGGTGATGTTGATGTACTGAGTACTTTTATTGTTAAGTGGTTCGTGAAAATATCTTAGTATGTGCCTTTGACTTTTGATATGGTGAAAGTACTTAGTAAGTTTACATTCAAAAATTTTTCCCAAGCGCGTATGTTTCGGGAAGCCAATACAGCGTCGTGTGTTGGCAGTATATTTAAGACAAGCTTTACACTTTAAGTTGCTCCTGAAATTGGTCATCTAAATAGAATCACTACAAGCATGCTATAATTAGGTACGTACAGTGTATTCATAGATTTCTATGCTTACTTTTAGGGGTTAAAAATGTATTCCTAATCAATTCCAAATTTGGGGCTAAAGCACCTCAATAGGGGTAAAGATATGCAGCAGCGCAGTTTGAAAATTCAAGCTAAAACTAGTCTTTTGCGACTGCTTTGAACAATTGATAAGACCTGTTATCGTCGCCTACCAACTTGATCACATAGTCGTAGTCGGGAAGCTCCCATTCAATATGACCAATACTTAAGATCGTTGAATCTGGAAACTCATCTCTGAGCACCCCATGGCAAGCTTTCAACAAGTCTACATTATCCATGCACGAGAACGCTTCATCAAGAATGATAAGTTCGGGATCCTTGATAAGAGCTCTCAAAAACAAAGTTACTTTCTGTAATGTGATGCTTAAGGAATGAAAGGGAGTGTTTCCATGTTGCTCTAACACGTCTACAACAAAAGGTTTTTGGAATAATGCCTCGATCTTGTTGTTTGGAAGCTCATATCTCTCACCGCTGAACTGGAAGTTTGAGTTTCCAATGTCTTTTACTAGTCCATTTTTAATGATTTCATTCATGGTCTTTGTTGATGGAACTAAAGAGTGGAGCTCAGGAGAAGAAATGCCAATCTTATTGTTCACGTCAAAAAATGTTACTCCACTTCCGGTTTTTCTCAAGACACCTTCAACAGACAAAACTGACCTCCATGACTGCGGATGGTCAGCAGTGATCAACGATAAAATTGTAGTCTTCCCAGTTCCATTTTCTCCGAGGATTCTCCAACTTGTTCCTCTAGGGATTTGCCAGTTAAAATTGGCCAAAACAGGTACATCTTTATAGATTACTGATGCATTATTAAACTCAACGTGTGGTGTGTCATTATCTGATAAGTCGCTATTGCTTATTTTGAGCAAATTAAGTTTTCTATCCTGAGGAATTTCAGTTTCTTTAATATTCTTTGAAACTTTCAAAGCAACTTCTTCCCTGGGACCATTGAACAATACACCCAGTTCATCAACTTCGGTGAGATGACCGATCCATTCTGGTACTTTATCTTGGAATCTGAGTCCCAATACAATCGCCATATTGAACTCATCAACTACATCGTTCAACGAGTTAGAGACTAACTGTGTTTGAACAGGGTCGAGGCCCAAGAATGGATCATCTATGATCAAAAGCTTGGGCTTGTGTAAAACAGACTTGGCGATTCTCGCTCTTCTTAATTGCCCGTTACTTAAAGAATTGACCCATTTGTCTCTCAAATGACTTAAATTGAAAAGATCGATCACCCTGTTAACTTCAGCCTCTGACACTGAACTTTGGTTACTATTGTAATTATTACTACCGACAATGTAATTCTTGACTGAATTAACGTCATCAGACATTTCTAACTTTCCTTTGTAAGCATATGATTCATATCTCGCAGAGAGATATACTTTATCTAAGCCAGAAGACTCTTTGAAGTTGAGGTACTGAATTTGGTCATACTCTTTGAGTTCGGCCATCAATGGATATGTTCTTGATAAAGGTGGAACAGCAATGTATTTCATGGCAAGAGCGTTCAAGAATTCGGTTTTACGATGTCCTATCACACCTATTTTGCAGGGTAGGTCTTGGGTATTCGATTGATAGATTTCTAAGTCTGTTATGGGGTTCTTGAATATGAAGGAAGTACTTTTGAGATTGTCTTTAAGAACACAATCTTTGAATCTCACCAAGCACTTAGCTTGTGACCATAATATCATACTGTAATTCATGTTGTGAATGATTCAAGTTCCGTTCGTCAGTGAAAAGTGCGATCTTCCGAATCCGATTTCTCGCAGCCATTTCTATTCAAGTAGCCAATTGGGTATAAAAGAGAGATCCCGCTTGAAATATTGTGATTCAGTTCACATCAAGCTATCTTCATCTTTTATATCATTCAGAGAATCTTTATGATTTTGGAAAGTTTTACTATTGTGTTTCAAGTATGCCTCAACTTTTTCAATTGATTTGTTAGATTTGCGATTTTTACTAAAGTCTCCAAAATAATGGGAAATGTAGAGATGTAATGAGATAGAAAACAGATTCTCAACAATATACTAGATATCATTGTGAAAGAATAGTATTAGAATTAATGGCATACCAGAACTTGACCATTTTCTCTTTTTGAAGAGCAATGGATCTTGACTCTACACTTTTTCTCGTGAAGGGTTATCACGAGTTCACACCGCGCCAATGCGCAAAAAAACGAACTCAGGAGACCACCTCTATAAATAATGGAATTCGTTGACCCAGTGGTAGCACAAGAGGAAGTACCCCAAGTAGAAGTATCCCATGACGAGGGTAAGACTGAAAAGGCGGTGCATCAATTGGAAGATGAGATTGATAAGGCCTATGGAGTAGTCGAAAAGAAGTTTGCAGATTTGTGGACTTCAGCCGCTAAGAACGCCGGTGATTTGCAAGAAAAGTACAAGTTGGAAGAACGCAGAAACGATATATTGAAACAATTGAATGCAGCCAAGGATAACATTGATGATAGGGCCAAAGTTTCTGAGCATTTGGCTCAAGTCGAATCACAATTCAAGTCTTTGGGAGAGCATGTTAAGGATGTTAACCTACCAGAATTCCATATTCCAGATATTGATTTGAAAGGATTGTCTAACCAGGCAAATGTTTATCTCGACACTTTAGACAATACCCTTGAGCAAGTTGAAAAACAAGCGGGCCAGTACGTCAAGAGATTTGGATCATTCTTGACGGGATTTGTGTCTGTCAGTAATGACGATGCTAACACCGAGCTGACTTTCCAAGGGGAAAAGGAGACTTTGTTTGCCAGTCCTTTGAGTTCCAATTCAGCCTACGGAGCTTCAAGGTACGACAGTGATCTCTTTAAATTGCATACTACTCCAGAGTCATTCTTAAATGCCAAAGATGATGACAGATTGAAGACATTTAAAGTGGACGACAAAACCAAGGAGATCTCAGAACTCTTGGAAAAGTACGATTCAACTTTACAGGTGTTGATGAATAAGTTGGTTCCAGTACAAATTCCCTACAATACATTCTGGTACAGATACTTCATATTACAAGACGAATTGAAGGAACAAGACGAGGCTAGAAAGAAGTTGCTTCAAGCCAAAGGGAAGAGCCAAGAAGAGGGAGCAGACGATGATGAAGAAGATTTTACATGGGATGATGATGACGAAGAAGAAGAAGCTGTAGATGTTGCGTCTGAATTGAAGAAGAGTAAGGAAAAAGCCAAGAAAACTGCCAAAGTCAGCGAAAATGATGGAGATGATGACTGGGAGTAAATCAAGAAACATCCTCGTTGAGTGTTTTTGATTTCCCCTGTTTGCTTAATGTTTATAGTGCCAATACACTTTTTTTAATGAATCTGTGCGATTACCCAAAACCAACGCTGCGACAACGCCAGCTAGAAACAAGGGAAAAAAAACTAGCGGTTGCCTTTGTACCTTATTGAAGAAATCAGCCCCTTAATCTATTTTTGTATTAGTTCATTAATAGAGACCAAAGATCATTTATTTTGCAATTGCACATATACAATCAATATCATTGTTATCCTGTCGTTCCGATCGTGAATCCATTTAATTTGGTACTCTTTTTCCCACTCAGGCTCACCAATAATACCTGAGAAATGGATATCAATAAATCACCCAGCCCCCAACTGCTCCACAAGCTCTTGAATACAGTCAAGCAAGAAAGCCCTAGTGTTTCAATTTCTACTAGCAAAAATACGAAACCAAATTTGAAGTTGAATATGGGGAAGAATCATTCTCAGACTCCTCGAAGTTTAGCTTCTATTTCCGGTTCTATCCCTAATTTCACCAATTCAGGACCCTTTTCCCCCGGGATTTTCACATCCAAAAGGGTATGGGTTAGGCGAACAAATAGTACAGCTACTACGGTTATGGTGAATCAGAATGATATAGTTGATGATTTGAAAACCCATATAGTCAACAAGTTTCCTAACGCACTAGGAAAGCATTTTGATTCAGCGGAACTTGTGATAAAAATCGACTTGCATTCCAGAAAGCAAGCAGTTCCCGGAGTATCCACCACAAATGCCAATGTTCCCACTCCTCCTCACAAGAAAATGAATGTATGGGCGTCAGGACCTGAGGCTTCAAAATCTTCATCTTCGCCGGTGACTTCCACCTTTGATAAATCGACTTCATTTCCCATGCAACTGCAGAAACATCAGCAGTCGCAACAACATCAGCACAACGCATCTTTCAGTTTAATGACACTAGAACCTGATCAGAACGTCTGGAATCTACTTGATCTTTATTTTCCTGGTGGAATGAATATGAGTGACGCATTCATAATAGAAACTCCAGATGCAAATGAGCCTTACGAGTTGTATAGCTCTATTGATGTCCCAGAACCCCAGAGACGTCCAGTCCATGAGATGACTACCAATTACTTCTCTGGCAGCCAGACAAACTTGTCAAACTTTTACAGAGGGTCAACGTCTCCAGTTAACCAACATCTTTATGCTCCAGGTCACTATTCTAACCATCAAATCATTCAACATACTCCACAAGCTAAAGATCAAAATACTTACAGATCTGTATCCCCAAACTCTGCAAATTCTAGTCAGGGTTACTTTCACCCCAAACCACAATACTTATTGGGACATAATCATATCTATCATGATAGATCGGTATCTCCATCAAATAATCAAAAAGCTCTGCCATTGCCAAGTGGAGTCAATTTGCATAGAAGATCACACTCGAATCCTCCACAATCCCCCGTGTCTTCAAACAATCTCAACTCATCACATCCTAACCAAAAGGCTCATGCTTCAGGAACCAACCAAGCAGTGCTATTATTACCAAAGAACTTTTCTCTATCAAATTCAGCTTCTGGAGTCACCGACAAGAAACGGTTGAGTTTGGATGAGAACTTTGTTAAGAAGAACAGAGACTCTGCAATATCGCCTATAAATAAGAACTTGACTAACCTTAAGAGCCCAGGAGGAATATTGGAGGAAGACACAGAGCCTTTTCCCCTGATGAAACCAAATTTACCCAAACTCGATGTCACCACAGTGAAAAATGAATCTAGCTTGGAGAGTCCCAATACTCCGACAGATGCAATACTTGTAGCTGACACTGAAAACAGGCTCTCTTTGAATTCGGTTACTCAGTTGAAGAAACTGGGAGAAGAACAATTGAAAAATTTGGGTCCTGGTCCGAACAATTTAGCCAACAATGCTTCGTCCACAAAGACATCCCCACCATCAAACACAACCTCAAGTACATCGAATGGCACTCATGAAAAATCTGCAAAGGTCTCTAGAACCCTGTCAGGTTCGAAGAAGAACATATTGGGAACTTCTGCTACTGAAACTGTGTTACCTTCGATTTCTGTATTGGTGGTTGAAGATAACGCCATTAATCAAGCCATTTTAGGTGCGTTTTTGAGGAAACACAAGATCCACTACGAGATCGCTAAAAATGGAGCTGAGGCCATAACGAAATGGAGAAAAGGAGGGTTCCATTTAGTGTTGATGGATATTCAATTGCCAGTTAAGTCTGGTATTGAAGCTACCAAAGAGATTAGACACTTGGAGAGAATTAATAGAATTGGTGTGTTTGCAGAAAATGAAGTAAATGGGTCCTTGTATCCGAATGAGTTGACTGACAGCGAAAAGTTAGATATGGACCTTTTCAGATCCCCAGTGATTATTGTTGCGTTGACGGCTTCATCAAACGCTTCGCTGGATAGAAGCAATGCACTTAGAGCCGGATGTAATGATTATTTAACGAAACCAGTAAATTTGGTTTGGTTACAAAACAAAATCACTGAATGGGGTTGCATGCAAGCTTTAATTGACTTTGATGGCTGGCGTATCAAGAGATCAAACTTCAATGGAAGTTCTGCCAAAATACTTGCAGCACAAAAGTCGAAAACAAGGTCAAGGTCAAGCTCTTACAACAAGGCCCATTAATGATCTTTTAGTTAGAAACAATATTTATATAGCATGAAAATATTTTGGAGCGTTTCCGCACTTTGAAATTGAGAAGGTTAAAAAAGTTTTTGATATAACCAGAAAAATGGCCGAAGTTGCAACCAATCCCTCAGTCGACGTCACTGGAAAGCAAGAAGAAGTGACGATCTCAACGGTTTTACCACTCGAGATTATAGATAAGTCTATCGGAAAAGTTGTCACCGTCTTGTTGACCACAGACAAAGAATTCACAGGAAAGCTTGTTGGTTTCGATGATTTCGTCAACGTTGTGTTGGAAGATGTCACTGAAACTGACAGCGAAGGGAACACGGATGGCCCAGTTAAGATCATGTTGTTGAACGGAGGCCAAATTGCCATGATTTCTTCCACTGAAGATTAAGTGTGATTTCGAAGATTCTTCGTTTACTGATACATATTTTGAAGAGTTCAAGTTCACAACTGTAGGCGAGTCATTCTGACATCCAGTCGACATAAAAGTGATATCATAGAATCTTTACCCATTCTTCAATCAACTATTTACGACTTTGTATAATATAATATAATTAAGTATACTGCTAGAACCGTGAACAAAATGTAAGTCACTCGAATTCTTTTAAAAAAACAGGATTTATAGGTAGGGAATGGAAGACACAATGCCTTAGCTTTTCTTATAGTAGACTTGCATACTGATTGGAAGAATCTGGTTGGAGGAGGAAGGAAGTTCTAGTGTTTACAGTTGTGTCTTTCAATTTCTAGGAGCAAATAAGACCAATGGAGATATCATGAACAATACCTAAGCCACCAGTGCTATGGTATTTTGCTCTAGACCATACCAATTAAACTACTTCCTAGAACAGCATGACATTATAAAGGTAATCGATGGCAAAAAACCGATTACGTTAATTTTGCCACAAAATCTCACATCAGAAATATAAATACACAGGCATTTGCCATTCCCAAATATTTTAAACACATCAATGAAGTTAACAATCTCCAATGAAACAGACAGACTGGTATTGTCGGTAGAGATATCCGAGGCCATGTCGTTTGAAGACTTCAAAGTATACCTTGAAGCTGAAACCGATATTGCAACATCAGATCAAATTGTTATCTTGAACACAAGGTCTTTACAAGGAGATTCGAAATCTTTGGAAGAACTTGGCTTGAAGGACAACGACTTAATTACCTTGAACAAGAGAGGCCGAGCAAATCCACCAAGTACCGTGTCTGATGTCTCTACTGCTTCTGCCACAACAAGTGGAATGGATGGGCAGATAGAGATTATGAGACAGCAGTTACTCAACAACTCCCAGGCCAGAAATCAGATGTTGCAAAGCAATCCTCAAATGGAAAGAGCATTGGAAGACCCTGAAGCATTCAAAAGTTTGATGAAAGAATCATTGCTGCACTTTCAAAACGAAGGAGGGTATCACGGTGGGTCGGGAGAATTACTGGCAAAACAACAAGAAGAGATGAGGAGATTGGAACAAGACCCCGATAACCCTGATAACCAGGCTAAGATCTTAGAACTCATTAGGCAAGAGCAGATTGAAACCAACATGAGATTAGCATACGATATCTCACCAGAGTCATTTATTCCTGTGAGCATGTTATACATAAAGATAAAGGTAAATGGTAATCCGGTCCAAGCGTTTGTTGATTCTGGAGCCCAGCAAACGATCATTTCTCCCAGGTTGGCTGAAAAGGTTGGAATCGACCGGTTGATAGATAGGAGATTTGTGGGTGAGGCTAGGGGAGTGGGTTCTACTCAGATCTTAGGTAAGATCCATAGTGTTCCCATTAGAATTGGAGACTCCAACATTGACATTCCTTGTTCGTTTTCAGTTATAGATACTGCTGTTGACTTGTTATTTGGGCTTGATATGTTAAAGGCACACAAGTGTTTGATTGACTTGGTGAACAATAAACTTGTGGTAGGATCTAATATCGAGACACCATTTTTGGCTGATAACGAGATTGAAAACAACGACCTATTAGGTAGCACTGTTGGGAACAAGGGCAACCAATTAGGAGGAAATATTTTCAGTGATGCTCCAGTAACCAACGGTTTCAGCCCCCCAGCTAAGAAGGCCCCAGCCTCTAACGCAGCAGCAGCTGCGGCTGCCAAGAGACAAAATACCGGTAAAGCATCTTCATCTTCTTCATCTCAGAGTCCCAAGTATAAGGATCAAGATATACAACAGTTGATCGGCTTGGGATTCAGTCGGCCGCAAGTTCTTCAAGCTTTAGAAGCTTGCGAAGGTAATGTCGAATTAGCTGCGTCTTTCTTGTTTCAGTAATCCATAGACACACATTAATGATAATACATATTGATTAACTTATAAACTATATTAGAGAACAAAAGTGAACCCTCTAAATTGGAATTCATCCTCAACAGAATCGATTTCTTTAACGTCGTCTTCAGTTAAAGAAAAGTCGTAGACTTCCAATGATTGCTCAATTCTCTTTTCGTTACTGGAAGTAGTCACCGGCAAGACATTCTTTTGCAACACCCATCTCAATAAGATTTGCGAGTCGGTTTTTCCGTACTTTTCCAGTAATCGAGGTAAAATTTTGGCAAGAGGATGGTCTTTCTCTTCAACTCTTATAAGAGGGGTCAATGGCCCATAAGCTTCTATCAAAATGCTATTCTTTTGGCAAAAGTCGTACAAACCGGGGAATTGGTTCTTCAAATATGGATGGAATTCAATCTGGTTAAACTGTGGAAGGTACTCGTCTCCGTACTCTTTACTTATGGCGATAACTGCCTCTAAAGCTGGGACATCAAAATTGGACACGCCAATGTAACGAGCCAATCCTTGCTTTTTGGTTTCAATTACTTCTTTCCAAGCTGATTCCAAGTTATAGCCATTCTTGCCATCCCATTTATTAGCGTGAATCAAGTATAGATCAACGTAGTCGACACCGATTTCCTCAAAACCGGCTTTCAAAGCAGCCACAGGACCGAACTTTGAAAAAGGTGAATACTTGGTGGTAACCCAAAGATCCTCACGGTTGACGTCAATCTCCTTAAGAGCCTTTCCGACTTCAGGTTGGGTACCATATATCTCTGCTGTGTCTAAATGATAGTAGCCTTTGTGGACGGATAATTTAAGTTGGTCCACCAAGATCTTGGAGTTAGAAGCGTCTGCCCTTACTAAATCCTTCCACTTGGTACCAGTACCAGTACCCAACAAGAGGGGTTTGCCTGAGACGGTTTTAAACGATGGGGATAATTCAATCTTAGTCATAGTTGTGTAATGGAAAAAAAGCGTTCTACTGAATCGATGAGTAATGTAACTGAGGAAATGGAGCCCTTTAAATAAATGCGTTTTTTTCAGACGTTGAGGTGTGGCAGATAAGGCGCGAGATAAGACGATTTACTGCCCGGTAGACCACTTGAATTGAACTAGAGGCACAGAGCAAGAGATGACAAGGTAGGTCAATGGCATGATATACTTGTTTCTGAGATCCGACCGGGGCCACTGCTGAGATAATTGGCACGGTTGGTGAAAAATGTCAAAGGTATGTCAAAAAAGTGCCACAGCGAATTTTGTGCCGTACACCACAACCAGTATATGACTTCAATGTGGCGGTTGCAAAAAATGCTTATTGATATATATATATTCAATCATGGAAGACTCAAACAGTATTTAGAGGGATTTAAAGACCATTTAAGGCATCGTCCTCTTCCTGGTCAGATGGTCTTTTCTTCAAGACCAATGGCTTACCGGTAACTCTAAAGTATAAATCTTTAACATCATCAGTCATAGATTCAAAATGTGAAGTAGAGTCATAACTCTTCGAAATGAAGATTCCACTGGAAGTACCATCATCCTGGGGCTCATACAATTCGGCAATACCCATTAAAGTATCAACTCGGGAACCCAATAATTTGAAAGCTGGCTCCAACTCAACATGAGGAGTTTCGGTTTCAATAATAGTGGAAACTATGGCCAAGTAGTACCCTTTTGGCACTACACAGTGAACATCCGACACCACAGCTACGTAGATATCATGCTTTCTGCCAACTTGATTTTGGGGAATAATCAATTGCAACGAGTCCAAGTCAGAGGTGTTGGCGACGGGGTGATCCAAAATGCACATAGCTCTAATGACTTTTTGGCCTGTCTTCTTGACTCTTTCAGGAAAATAAGTAGGGTCGGCGATGACAATTGGGGCCTTGGCTTTACCTTCTTTGGTGATAACCCCAGCGAAGTTCTTCTTTTCGTCGTACAAGATTTCATCGATTGGAGTTCCCAACATATAGGTACCACCATATATGGCAGACAACCTCGCAAAACCTTGAGGTAATTCACCCAATCCATACAATGGGTAAATATAAGGCGACTTTCCATACTTGGCCACCGACTGGACGTACAAAATGATTCGTTCATAGGTTGGCTTAGCAGGTTCATTCAAGTAATCATCATTGGGCCATAAGGCCATAGCGTGGCCGATGAAATCTTTCGTCCCGTTCTCTAATCTGAAATAATTATAGACTTCATTCATGGTGTTGTTATCCAAATCCAATCCTTGATGAGTGGATTTATCGTCCTCATCATATTTGGCAATAAACTCCAAGAAACCCTTCATTCTTCTCTTTTCGAAAATTCCCATCAACGATGACCTGACTGCTTCCATTTCATTGGCCGGGACCTTGGCGATTCTGCCATTTCTGTACACATAACTTCCACCAATTTGTTTGAACTCGATATATCTAGTGACATCGGTGTGAACCAAAATATTGGTCAATTCTCCATTGGACATTAAGAACTTAGGAATTAAGTCAATACACCAGTCTCTATCTCTACCGGCCAATTCAGGCTTTTGACCTGAAGGTCTGAATTTAGAGTATACCTGAGATAAGTTCAATGATGCTGATTCTCCCCCATAAAAATCTTGTTTGTCAATGTGTAAGACCTTTTTGCCTTCAACAGACAATAATCCTGACAAGATACATTCGGTCAATCCAGTACCCAAGACAATTACGTCAAATTCTTCATCCATTCTTGATATTGATTGATGGTTATTCTCACACGGGCGTTAACTTTGCTATAAAAATCAACCCTGAGAATCCGCATTTGTGGTTTGTGGCGAGCAAGAGAAAGGCTTTCGCAACCAAGCATTGATCCATTCCAGCTTTTACTGTTATGATATATATTGGCACTAATAAAGATAAAATGTACTTATACGACGTTGTGGAAACCAGAGGATCCTTTGGCCAAACCGGCCTTTACTATCTTGGAGATTTCAGCTGGGTCAGAGGTGATTTTGGTGAAGTTTTCAAATCCATCGTCCGTGATTAACAAATCATCTTCAATTCTCACTCCTCCGATGTACCAGTACTTGTCCAAAACCTCTTTGTCAATGAACTTCATCTTCTCAGGGGTCTCCAAAACGTCTTTCAATAAAAAGGGGGAAAAGTAAACACCAGGTTCGTCGGTAATAACCATACCCTTTTGCAATGGTCTACGCAATCTCAAGTATTGCAACAACACATTCTCATCTTGGTAGTTGGCATATCCTCCCACATCATGGGTATCCATTCCAAGCAAGTGGCCCAAACCATGAGGGAAAAACCGAACACTGACTTTCGAGTCGTAGATGTCTTCAGCCGTGTACTCAGATTTGAAGATTCCCAACTTCAAGAACTCAGAAATCATCACCTTATGAGCCGTCAAGTGACACTCATCCCACGAGGCACCAGGTTTGATCATGTCCATGGTGGCCTTTTGCATCTTGAGAACAATGTTGTAGATTTCCAAGTGTTCCTTAGTCCATTCACCATTAATTGGGAAACACCTGGTGACATCCGACGCATAGAGCGACCACTCACAACCAGCATCGATCAAGACCGATCTCTTCTGGGCCATTTCATCATCGTTCTTCACATAGTGAAGAGTTGAACAGTTGGGTCCACTACAGCATATAGGATCATAAGATTGGTACTTGGACCCTTGCCTTAACGCATGGTACATGAATTCAGCATGTATATGTCCTTCGTTATTCTCGATGGGAAGAGCAGACATGACTGCAAAGTGGCAGTTATCAGTCATTTTCGAGGCGTGTTTCATCAACTCGATTTCGTACTCATCCTTGATTAATCGAGACTCATCGAGAGCATAGAACAAGTCCGGGTCTCCAGCCGTCAAAGCATGACTGAAGGCTTTGTTACTGTCGTTGATATCGGTAGTGAAGATTTGGTTACTGCTTAAAGCAGCCACGTCCTTCTCCAATTCGCTGGCGTATTTAACCGTGTCGACATCAAATTTGGCGTATGCTTCATCGATAGATAATGGCATTCCTGACCACATCACATCATCGTAGTCGATTTCTGGTAAATATAACGTCAACGAATCGGAACCACAATTATATATGACATGAGCTCCTGGGATATCACAACCACTCAAGTAAAAAAAGTATCTGTTCTGTCTAAAAGGCTTGGCTTGATCAGAATACTGGTACAACACTTCTCTTTCACCACTAACGAAGAAATAGTGGCCAGCCGACTTGGCATTTGGTTTCTTGGTGGTGAAATGTGAGCACACATTTCTACAATGTTGCTTTGCAGGGTACTTCTTGCCCTTCAATGCTTCAATTTCTTGTTCAACCATGGTTTTGTGTTGGGATAGGGAAAAGTTTTAAATTTTTGCTGCCCTCGTAAGGCTCTTTTAGTGTGAGTTGCAATGCGAAATGGGAACACAAAAAGAGATAATACCAACTAACTGGATTCGATAAAACAACAACATCAATACATAGATGACGTAATTGAATCAAACCACCCAGTTTTGTAATAGTCTTACACAATACAAGTGCATTGATTCCAAGAGGAGTTTCATCACGTGACACTATAGGCTCGCTGATTGTTCGCGCGACTTCGATCAAATCTAACTTGCCACCAAAAGTCATATACAAATTTAACTAACATGGAGAACTTACAGAGATTGTTAGGAGCTGCCGGTGGATTTGGCCGTGCGCCCGTCGCTGCCTCTGATGGACCCGCTATAGACAATGCTGAAACCGTCTACATATCGTCATTGGCATTGTTGAAGATGTTGAAGCATGGTAGAGCCGGTGTGCCAATGGAAGTGATGGGGTTGATGTTGGGAGAATTCGTCGACGAGTTCACTATTCAAGTGATTGATGTGTTTGCCATGCCCCAGTCTGGTACCGGTGTTTCTGTGGAAGCGGTTGACGATGTTTTCCAAACCAAAATGATGGATATGTTGAGACAAACTGGACGGGACCAAATGGTTGTTGGATGGTATCACTCACATCCAGGGTTTGGGTGTTGGTTATCATCAGTGGATGTGAACACCCAACAGTCATTTGAACAATTGAACAAAAGGGCCGTGGCTGTGGTGATAGATCCTATTCAGTCGGTTAAGGGTAAAGTTGTTATAGACGCATTCAGAACTATCGATACCTCCACTTTAATGATGGGCCAGGAACCAAGACAGACCACTTCTAACGTCGGTCACTTGAATAAGCCCTCGATTCAGGCATTAATTCATGGGTTGAACCGTCATTATTACTCATTGAATATTGACTACCACAAAACTTCTTACGAAACAAATATGTTATTGAACTTGCATAAGAATACTTGGCAATCAGGTTTAAAAATGAGCAACTTCGACCACCAAGACCACAAAAATTTGGAAAATACCGAAAAGATGGTCAAAGTAGCAGAGTTGTATAATCAAAGAGTACAAGAAGAGAAGGAATTGCTGGAAGAGCAATTAAAAACTAGATATGTGGGTAAACAAGACCCCAAAAAGCACTTGAGTGATACTGCAGAAATTGCTATCGAGGAGAATGTCACGTCCTTGTTGACCAGTAACATAAATAGTTTAGCCATTCAGTAGCTTCAAGAGTTAATAATCACAAGATTTTAGATGCTTCGCGTTTCAAATTGATCAGGGATAATTAAATATAGCATTATCACCACAATATTAAATTTCGTATCATGGGAGTATGTAACAGATAAGCACATCCGAAATCTTTGTGTCTCTATAAACCCCAATCAATGAGTACTAACCGGTTCCAGCTTGGAAAATTGATTCACTATTCAGCAGACTTGGTGTTGTTCTCCATCATTTTAGCTGGAATTCACAGAAACACTGGCTTAGTGTTTGATGCCTCCAACTTATCATCTGTTGATTTCCGCAGATGGTTTGCCAAGTATTTGAACTTTGGAGAAACTTGTTACGATAAACTTGTTTCGTTATTGAAGATGTCTGGCTACTTCAAGCAAAACAATTTGATATCTGACTACTTGACAAGAGAGACAAAGAAATTTGTCGATGAGCAAGCCAAAAGAGATTGAAACTTGGCAGTTGTGGTTCTTTTGTTCTTCCTATATATAGTTTTTAAATTCCTTGTATCTATTTAATGTACCCTATAAACAGTAACCTCACACTCGCAAATTTACATCTCAAAAGCAGAGCGGTATGTTAAAGATCCCACTATTATCCTGATGATTCTAGAGAATGAGCTGTATCAATGAGATAAAAAACTCCTTAGTATGCCTAGGTGCATAGGAGTTGGAGTTATGTCAAGCTTGAGCCCATGAAAACGGGAGTAAATAATCCATGTCAACTACTAACTCATACTCAGATAAATGACAACTACTTTTGAGGAAAGATTCAAAAATGCTATTGAGTTGGAACAGAAAATCGATCTTGACCAAACAAATGTGTATCTTGAAGCATACAGTTCCAAGAAGCTAGCCAAATTGGGTCTTGCAATTGTCAATTTGGTTATTGATAATATTCGAACTGGCTTGGGAGGGAAGACCATCATAGATTTGGTGATAGATCCAGCTTTGGGGAGCGATAAGGAAATCGAACTTGGAAGCATAAGGGTTGGTGATATAGTTAAATTGGATAAAATGGCAGGACTGGGGACGAAGGAAGAGCTGAATGAAGACAATGGCAAAGATGATGAGTTAAGCGGAGTTATTACTAGAATCAATTCCAAATCTGTGTGCATGTCAGTTGACGAAGATACCAACGATGACAAAGTTTTGAACATGTATAACAATACAGCAAGTGATAACAATAAAATGTGGATTGTCAAGTTAACCAATTCGATAACGTACAAGAGAATGATAATATCGATGAATAAACTACGTGATTTGGAGTCTAAACCTGATCTCATCCAACTTTTACTAGGTGAAACTCCATACTACTCTTATAATAATCAAAAAAAATTGAATGAGAAGGACTTTTTCAACCAAAGCCTCAACCAATCCCAGAAAGAAGCTATTGAGTTCTCCATCAACAGTCCTGTCACTATCATTCATGGTCCTCCAGGGACAGGAAAAACATTCACCATCATTGAGATAGTTCAACAGCTTGTGACCAACCACAATGAACGGGTCCTTGTTTGTGGACCTTCCAATATATCTGTCGACACGATACTTGAAAGGTTGGCCCCAACTTTCACAGAATCTTCGACTAAACGTAAAAAAAAGTCAAAAGAAGCATCAGGCCAGGTCATCCGAATTGGACACCCTGCCCGACTTCTTGGTGCCAACTTACAGCATTCCTTGGACATATTGAGTAAGGGTACCTCAAATGACATTCTTGCTGATATTGAAGGCGATATCAAAGAAACATTGACTAAAATCAAAAAGTGTAAAAGAAGAGTTGAGAGAAAAGCTCTTTACCAAGAATTGAAACAATTTAAGAAGGAATTAAGAGGACGGGAAAAGAAAATCATCAAAGATCTTCTTGTTGCATCCAAAGTGATTACTAGTACCCTTCATGGAGCTGGATCTCGAGAACTCCTTTCCGTATATGATGACAAGGTGTTTAATAAGGAGAACCCATTTTTCCACACCATAATAATCGATGAGGTATCACAATCGTTAGAGCCCCAATGTTGGATCCCTCTTATAAACCATCTTGGAATCAAAAGGCTTATCATTGCTGGGGATAATATGCAACTTCCTCCTACCATCAAAACCCTCGACTCGGCCGTCAAAATCGATAAGAAAACCACTGCAAATCTAGAAGTCACCTTGTTTGACCGGCTTGTGAAATACGTCGAGGGCAACAAGTACAAGAAGTTGCTTGACATTCAGTACCGTATGAATGAAGAAATAATGCAGTTCCCATCTCAGGAACTATATGAAGGGAAGCTTCAAGCGTTCAAAGACAATGCTTCCATCTCACTTGTAGACCTACCCAACGTGGAAAGGGATGACGACACTGAGCTTAAGTGCATTTGGATGGACACTCAAGGAGGCGACTTCCAAGAGCAAATGAACGAAGACGAGAACAATTCCAAGTTTAACGAATATGAAGCGGCATTGGTGAATCAGCATCTCAAAAAGCTTACTCTGTTGCAGGTAGCACCCCAAGATATAGGGGTGATATCTCCGTATAATGCCCAAGTGTCTCTACTTAAGCGGATCATAAACAACCCTGCTGTTGAAATTAGTACGGTGGATGGATTCCAAGGAAGAGAGAAAGAAGTGATTATTATATCTTTGGTGAGGTCGAACTCGTCAAATGAGATTGGATTTCTCAAGGAGAGAAGAAGAATGAACGTGGCAATGACTCGGCCCAAACGGCAACTTTATGTGGTGGGAGATCTAGAATTGCTCTCGGGGTCTACCGAGTATTTGAAGCATTGGTGCCAAACGGTCGAGGCCCACTATGACATTCGATATCCCGAGATCGAATATTAATAGGCAGCCGGATGAGGCCAATTATTTCACCGAATTGGAAACCCGGGAGGTTATATATCTGTTCCTATTTGAGACCTAATGGAACCTTGAACCGAAAGTTTTCTGGGCTGTGTTCTGGTGAAGCTTTTAGCGCTCGTGTTAAAAAAGTTACGATACTATTTACAAATGTATCAAAATGAACCCGAGACATGACTGGGAATGAGACGAGCATTTTTTATCAGGTGCATTCTTTCCTCTAGCGCCTACACGAATTAATAATATGTACCTTAAAAGTAAAGCGCGCCAAATGGGCCGTTATGAACTTCTCCACGAACGCGAAATAACTTCTCGTGTAGCTCCTTCTTTTTGAATAGTAGGCGATGCATCAATTGTGCAGGGAGAATTATGTGAATGAATGTAACCTAAACATTTGTATTGTACATAGAGTTAAGGTTAACCTCAAGAGGTAATGGCCAAGGATTATGAACATGTCGGCAAAGGTTAAGGTGTGTATGGGGCGATTCCAACAAGCCCATGTAGTTTAACCAAAGAAGCTACGTGCCTCTAAAAACGGCGCTTATTTTGTATATTTATACCTCAAATTCCTTGGTGGATGTGAATTTCCTTTCAAAACATTTGTATCTGTTATTCAAGTTCTTTATTAATACCCCCTCCCCGGTGCTATCGTTCTTTTTCTGTTGTGTTCTGCTATTATCCCAAAGTAACAACATCAAGCTTCTAGCAATACTTCATTCTTTAGTATTGTCACCATCGCTCCCTACACACGTATATCCCATCCCATTCATTGATCTTGTTAGAACATCATGCAATTGTTTAACTTAGCCACCTGTTTGTCCATATTAGCCGTCATTGAAGCTGCGACACTCGTTGTGACCCAAACCGAAATAGCTACTGTCATTTTAGAAAACGGTGTTTTGTCGACCATTCTTCCCTCGTCTTCGGCCAATTCATCTTCGACTTTGAACTCGACCTCCCAATCATCCACCATCATTAATACCCCAAGTTTAGATGCCGAAATCAAGCCTGCTACTGTTTCGCCAATCACTTACACTGCTCCATCCCAAGCTCCAACCACTCTTTTGACCGTGAGCTCTTACGTTGCACCAGTGACAGTCCCAACTTCAACCACCCCAGCTGCTGTCACCACCCAAGCTGCTACCACTGAAGCCGCTGCTACAACCAGCTCTAGTTCCAATATTGGTGGCAGTGTAGACCAAGATTTTGCTTCGTCCATCTTGAATGCCCACAATGAAAAGAGAGCTGCTCACGGTGTTGGCTCCTTGACATGGGACGACAACCTTTACCAATATGCTGCTGCTTATGCTAGTAAATATGACTGTTCTGGTACTTTGACCCACTCTGGTGGTCAATATGGTGAAAACTTGGCAGTTGGATACTCTGATGGGGTCAGTGCCTTGGAAGCTTGGTACGATGAAGGTTCCAACTACGACTATTCCAGTGCATCTTCTTTTGACCACTTTACCCAAGTGATCTGGAAGTCTACCACCAAGTTGGGTTGTGCCAAGAAGGACTGTACTGCTGAAAACTGGGGCCAATATGTCATTTGCTCTTACGACCCAGCCGGTAATTACATTGGCGAAGGAAAAGAAAACTTGTTTTCTTAAAACGGTGTTACGGTGTTGGAAATGATTCATTAAAATTAGTTTGCTTTATACATGTTTGAAATATGGGTCAGTTTGCAGCCATTGCAATAATACGTAGAAAGTGTAGTTTTTTTTTTGTGGCTTTACTCTTGTTGTTGGTATCAAGATAGGTTCAACTATCCTAGCTTAGTTCAACTTCTACCATCTAGGGTTTACCATTACGATAACTTTAGCCTATTCGGGTCCTGTGATCCTGGTCCTGTGATCAGATTGTCGCGAAATTTGTTCCTTGTACAACGTCGGTAAGGAGTTACAATCAAGTCCGAATAATTAACGCATCCGTGGAGATACACAGCCCATCGGGATAGACAAAAGTAAATTGATACCAGTTAGTTGTATCTAATAGTGACACATATTCAATGGTCTCCCAAAAGCCTGGAATAAATGATGAGATGCTCAACCAAAGTCCAGTCGAAGTTGATATGATTGCGGAAGAAATCGCAGGAGATTCAGAAAGAGGTGAAACAGATAAGAATGGCAAGCAGAAGAAACGAACAAACATGGCGTGTATTCGATGTAGAACACGGCATGTACGGTGTCCTGGTGGTGACCCCTGTAAAAAGTGTCAGTTAGCCAAGACCAAGTGTGAGTACGTGGAAGCAGATAAAAAGATTGTTGTTTCGATGAAATACCTCTCGAAGCTTCACGACGACATTGCCCGCCTAAAGAAAGAGAATGCTACTTTGAGGACAAATCTTAAGAATGAGGAGTTAAGGCGAACGGGTGAAAATGGTTCGAGAATAGGTAACTCATTTGAGTATCATACAAAAACCCCACACAACCAGCTTTTATTCAATGAAGTCACCAGTTCAGCGTTTAATACCGGTGAGATCATTCAGCCGTCACTTGATAAGTATGGACGGCTTATTCAATCCCGTACTGGAGAAAGAATCTATGTGGGGTCTTCTTCCATGACATTGTTTGGATTGGAAATCCAGAATATGGTACCCGCTGCTTACAGTCCTTCTAATAACGGAAATGCAGCCAATAGTCCATTATCGACCATGTCAGAATCAGGAGCGGGTGCTGACAAAAGAGAAGCTGAAGTTATGGAAAAGGAAGGAAACGCCTACAAAATTACATTGGCCAAAACTAACACTCGACCTGGACTTTCAATCAACTTCACTTTACCTTCTTATTCATATGCCATGTTACTTGTGGACAATTTCATCAATTATAACGATGGATGCTTTTACTTTTTCAATGAAGGTCTAGTCAAAAGGTTTCTAATGAACTTATACTCTGGTAATACTGAAGAAAACAAAAAGATCATGCGGAGAAACCTTAATCTTACCAAAAGATACGATGCTGATGAGAACTCAATCAAGAACGATAGAGATGATGATACGATCCTCGAAACCATGTGGTTTTGTAAGATTTTATTGATATTTGCAACTGGGGAGATGTACTTGGGTACTGAATCTGATGTTCATATCAAAACAGCTAAGCACCAGTATAAGGCCGAAAACAAGAAACAGAAGAAAGAAGCAAATACAAATCGAACTTTTCCGAAGAATACTTTACCAGGTTCAGGTTATTTCTACCAAGCTTCTGAACTCTTTACTGGTTTATTTGCTTCTGGAGCTATCGACAACATTACTAAAGATGGAGGTATAGAAGTCATGTTGTTATATGCTTTCTTTCTTCAGGTTGCAGATTGCACAATTGCATCATATTTTTACTTTGGGTTGGCTTTAAGGTCAGCTTTGATCTTAGGCTGGCATGTTGACTCAGAACAAAATACGCTAGACCGGTTTGAGTTGGAACATAGAAGAAGACTTTGGTGGACAGTCTATATGTATGAAAGGATGTTGTCATCAAAAGCAGGGCTTCCCCTTAGCTTTTCAGATGATAGTGTTTCCACTGAACTCCCCAAAGATATTGATATGTCATTGGTTGATTTTCCTGCTGATGACAGCGATGTCAGAGGGTACTACATATTCCCTTCAGCTGAGTACATCAACAACTGTGTCACAATTACTCAGATCAACGCAATAATCTTATCATGCCTATATACCAAGCAACCAACTATTAATATTCTCCCAGTTGTGTCTGATTTGGTACACAGACTTATGAATTGGAAGAACAGTTTGCCCGAATTCTTGAAGATTGATTTCCAAAGTGAGGATCTAAAGATATCCCGTTTAATAGTCAATTTGATGACTGAATACTTCCAGGGTATCAACTTGGCTGTGAGGCCGTTACTTTTCCATTTTGCTTCGAAAAAATTGAAAGAATTACAAACCCAAAACAACGTTAACAAATATGTGGATTTGTCAAGGTACTCCAAAAACGTTATAACTTTGTTAAATGCTTCCTTTCAAGCTTCTATAAATACAGTAAGATCGATTTGGGCATTACTACCGGATAATATGGTGGCGTTATTTGGGTGGATGGACAGAGAGTATTTATTCACTTCAGCCTTAACATTGATCTTGTTTAACTCGTCATTTGGATTACACGATGCCACCAAAGAACATTTGGATCATGCCTTGACAGTATTCACCAAGATGAAAAAACTAGGAAACTATCCTGCAGCTGTAAGGAGAGCACAACTATTGAAGTTGATTAGCATTTTAGACTTCAACAGAGTCATGAGGGACTTATTGACTAAACATGATGACGAAGGACTATTTTCAACCAGTGTTAGCCCTAATGATCCTGAAATGCCTGTTGAGCCACCGACCTTGAACATGACTAACCATGAGAAAACTGACCAACACCAGAGTAATGATTCAATCGGACAAAATGAGCTCAACATCAACAACGAGCTTGAACCTTTGATCAGTATTAAGTTTGACGCATACGATATGAACGAGCTTGAAACTCTATATCCGAAGAATGAAGCTGAAGGTATCGAAGGATTCACCGAGTTTAATGAAGAGCAAAAATTATGGCACGAAATTACCAATGATGCGGTTTGGTTGCAACATGCGCCTAACAAACCAGCTTCTTCTGCAACTCCAGGAAATGAGTTCAATGAATCATCTGATGACGGTGAAGAGATGACTGAAGTTCTTGAAGCCTTTGACAGCAAAGTCACACAAGATACGCCAGGCTATGGTGATATGTTAAATCACGAGTTCCATGATCTTATGCATGGCTAAGGGCGCATAGTTTATATATATATGTATTTAATAGACGGCAGTGCAGGCGGAGTACCTAATGAAAACTTGTGGTATTGTACATATCAGTATACAAACTTCCGATGGGTGAAAAATAAAGTACATAATTTGGCTTCGACTCTCAATTGAAAAACTCCAGTAATCCGGGTGACCCATCATTCATCTGCTGGTATAACAGTTGAGGTGCCACCGCTTGGTTCAATTGTTGTTGTTGTTGTTGATGTTGTTGTTGTTGATGTTGTTGTTGCTGGTGCTGGTGCTGATTACCAGTCATATTGTTCATCGGCATACCATTATTAGCAAATTGCTTTTGGGGTTGGTATTGGTGTATGGGTGGCTGGTTCTGGGGCTGCTGGGGCTTTTGGACCATTTGATGTCGTTGCTGGGCCATGTGGTTAGGCATCATGTTGTTGAGCATGGGTGAATTTACGTTACTCATGGGATTACTGGCCATTGTATTTACACCATTAGGCAGCATTCCTGGCAGCATCCCGTTCTGTAAGTTTTGCATAGGAGGCTGTTGTATGTTGTTAGGAATATTGTTCATTATATTTCCAGAAACGTTACTCGGCATTCGATTCTGCATGGAATTATTAGGAATACTGTTGGGCATGGTATTGGTTACGTTAGGAGTTGAGGAATTGGTCAGCAGCTTTCCCATTTGTTCTTCTTTCATTTGCTGCATCTTCAATCTTAAAAATTGCAAAGCTTCAGGATATAATTCAGTGAGTTTAGTGTATAAACTATTCAATTCTGGCATGTCAGGAGGTGCTTGGATGATGAATGGAAATGGGGTTCTGCTGGTTTGATGAGACGGATCATCCAAATGGTACTTCTCGTGAATGAAGGTGAGAACCTGTAAGTTGCAATGGATACGTCTAGTATAACCTTGATATTGTTCAACCACTCTTTGTCTCTCCTGCGGTTGTAATCGACTTAAAGCCTGCAGATTTATCAACACATTATTATATATATTGATAGCTTTCTTCAATATCTGTGAGTTGATTAGGAGAAGGCAAGAGACTCTGTCTCTATCCACCGTGAGTGGAGTTCTATCATTCATGGATCCATTCATTAGAGTGTAAGAAAAAAAACACTTTGTTTAGATGTCGCGATAGCAGAAAAAAGCCGCTCTGAAAGCTTGAAAACATACGAAGAGTAGTTGCAAAAATTCATTCTGAGATACAACTATCTGTAAATGTGTATTAAATTCGTACGTACTCTGTCGAGAAATTTTAAGCGGAGGGGATCAATATAAACTTGAAACTAAAGTTACTTACAACTTTTCAGTTAATTCGGGGATAATTTGGTTCAAATCTCCTACTAAGCCAATGTCGGCAACATTGAAAATGGCAGATTCAGGGTCTTTATTGATGGCAACGATGGTCTGGGAATCTTTCATACCCGCCAAATGTTGAATGGCCCCAGAAATACCCACCGCAATGTACAATTCGGGTGCAACAATCTTACCAGTTTGTCCAACTTGTAAAGAGTTGTCACAGAAACCAGAGTCCACAGCAGCTCTGGAAGCTCCAATAGCGGCATTTAGTTTGGTAGCCAAAGGCTCGAGTAGTTCATCAAAGGTTTCTTTGTTTTTTAAACCACGGCCTCCAGAAACAATCCTGGTAGCAGAACCTAATTCAGGCCTTTCTGAGGTGAGCAATTCTTCGGAAACAAATTCAGTTCTGCTTCCAGACTCAGCTGACGAACTAAATTCTTCAATGGCCGCAGATCCCCCGGTGGCATCAACTGGTGTAAATGCAGAAGCTCTCACAGAAGCTAAAATGACACTTTCATTGCTTTTCACTGTAGCCAATGCATTACCAGCATAAATAGGTCTGACAAACGTTGAATCGTCAACAACCTTAAGAATGTCACTAACGGGTTGAGAGTCTATCAATGCACCGAGTCTTGGTAAAACGGATTTTCCAACCGCTGATGCACTAGTTAAGAAGTGAGTGTAGCTAGAAGATTGGATGATTTCTTTAAGGGTGGGAGCTAGTTCTTCTGCCAAGTAATGTTCGTACTTGTCCCCTTTAACTTGTATGACTTTTTGGATGGTTGGGATTTTGGAAACGTCAGCAGCAATGGATTCACCACCTGGACCGAATACCACCGCTGTTACTGGCTTGCCTATTTGGTTGGCAGCATTGAGTGACGATAATGAACTGGGAGAAATCTTGCCACCAGCAGACTCCACAAATGCGAGTGTGTCAAGCTTGTATACTGTGGAAGCAAATCCTCTTTTGAACACACTGAACATTATTTTGAATTGAACTGGTGAACTGAGTCAGATTGGTTTATGAAAAATTTGGACGGTCGCGAAAAAGGTCCGGTTTCGGCCATGATTGCAAAATCTTCAGTTAACTGGTGTTGTGTATGCCGAGAAAAGCTGCAAGCAATGTATGTACATGTTGGAAGGCATATTATAGCTCTAAGAATATCAAACGTCAACTACAAGAAAAGGAAGTTTTGTGCTGATGGAGCGTTTTTTTCTTTTGAGGGAAATCAGCCCACTTCAAGTGATTGGGGCCTACATAAAGCGATTGCGTACAAGAGGACTATAGTGACCACGATCACACATTCTTGGGTACATTTCACTTGTTCTATTACTAGTCTCCTTATCCATGATAATCAACATAGTGTGGCTAAAAGTACGTCTAGTATTTTATACTCACAACAATAAAGGTTGCTAACACTGGATTACCTTCGATTCACTGGTTGTCCTCCTTAAACTTATACAGCCTGGATATATGTGTGACAGCTGAACTCCGAATAACCAAACAATATCAGGGTTTAATATGAGATTGTGAACTAACGATGAACTCCGCATTGAAGAGTTGCAAAATCTCATACTTCCTTCAAATTCCTACCACACATATAATAACTCACGTCTCCAAAAACAGTTCAGTTCATGGCCCTATATGCGCATCTATCATCCATAACTTCCAATTCCTTAGAAACCTATACTTATTCACATGTCTGTTAGGTTTTCTTTTGGTAGCCACATATTTTAAAGTCGCACTGATTTTAGCATGCATTACCCCATGTGTGTCAAAATTTGAGTGATGACGAATAGAAATCGAAGAAGCATGAGCCAAGACTCACGGCCGGGGACTTCAAGTACAGATGGCAGTGAGAATAGACTTGTCAGCCCCAGTCCGAGCATCAGGAAGATCTCCCACCAAAGAGTGAACCCTCACGAAAGTAGTCGACTTTTACCAAGCAGAGGCATCGAATATCGTTCAGTTTACGAGGGAGAAAACCAACCACTTAATATAGGAAAAAGCTCTGAAATGCAAAACTCCGGCTCTATCCAATATTATGAAGGCTCTTTCCATTTTGGTGACGAAGAGGAACCTGACCAGGAACACTCTGGTGAAGATCAGACTCTGTTTTCCAAAATTCCAGGTGGAATGGGGATTTCCGGACCTAGTCAACATCCGTCTGAGTATCGACCAGTGACTGATGAAGACTCGGACTCGATGTCATGGGGAGAGTTATTGCCATACTATCTACCAATCTTGTCTTGGGTCAATCACTACTCATTACCATTCTTTTTGGGTGACTTATTAGGAGGTTTGTCATTAGTATTTTTCCAACTTCCTTTATCTATATCTTATGCGACATCGTTAGCGCATGTACCAGTAATATGTGGGTTGATGTCATTGGGAGTGGCACCTTTGATATACTTGATTTTTGGAAGTGTGCCACAGATGATTACGGGACCCGAATCAGCAATCTCATTAATAGTAGGACAAGCCGTGGAACCTATTTTGCACCACAACAAAACGGACATTAACCCTGTTGATCTTGTCGTAGCAATGACTTTCATCAGTGGTGCTACATTGTTGGGGTTTGGTTTGGGGCGGTTTGGGTTCCTTGATAATGTGTTGAGTGGTTCATTGTTAAAGGGCTTTATAAGTGGTGTGGGTATAGTCATGGCTATCAACAGTCTAGTACTGATGCTTGGGTTGACCAAGTTAATGAATCTAATATCTAATGACCCTACCGATATGGATATCCACTCTCCCTTTGATAAGTTTATGTTTTTGATCCACCACTATGATAGATATGAACCATTAACCTTCAAAATTAGCTTTGCCTCATTTACATTTTTAATGAGTGTATCGATTTTCAAATCCTATTGCAGCAAAAGAAATTTCAGGTTCCTGGACAAGTTGATTTACATTCCTGAAATCTTAATCATGGTAATAATCACAAGTTGTCTATGCTACAAATTTGACTGGCATGCCAACGGAATCGAGGTGGTTGGTTCGGTTAGCCAAGAAGGTGGAACTTTTCTGATCTACAATCCGCTCTCAATAAATCAATTTAGATTGATGAAGAAGGTTGGTACTTCAGGATTCTTATGTGCCATGTTAGGGTTTTTTGAAAGTACTACCGCTCTGAAATCATTGGGAACTACCTTCAATTTGCCTATTTCCTCGAACAGAGAATTAGTTGCATTGGGATTCATCAATGTAGTGGGTTCTATGTTTGGTGCACTTCCAGCTTTTGGTGGATATGGTAGAAGTAAGATCAATGCCATTTCGGCTAAGACGACATTCTCAGGTGCTTTGATGGGAATATTCACTATTTTTACCATAGCTTTCCTATCCGAAGGGCTTTATTACATTCCAAAGTGTATTTTGAGTGTGATAACTGCAAAAATTGGATTACTGTTAATGGATGAGGCGCCTTATGAATTAATGTTCCACTGGCGAAGCAGAGGATATAACGAATTAATTACGTTCTTTGTGACGGTGGTGACCACCATTTTCTTTTCTATGGAAGCAGGAATAGCGGTTGGACTCGTTTATCTGTTGATTCGAGTAATAAAGAATTCTACTTTATCAAGAATTCAGATTCTTGGAAGAATTCCTGGCACAAATACATTTGTGGATGCAGATATCAACGACAGATTATTGAAAATGGGTGAACATACAGAAGAATCTCACAATGGTAATATGCGAGATAGGAAATTAGGAAAGCTGCAGTTGAATCTTTTTACTGATGATTATTTCACCAGTGTCAACATGAATGTTTTGGAAGAAATAGAAGGGTGTTTGATAGTCAAGATCCCTGAACCCTTAACATTCACAAACACTAATGATTTAAGAACCCGTTTGAAGCGAGTAGAATTATATGGGTCAACCAAAGCTCATCCAGCTATGAAAAGAAGCAGGGACGAGTCTATGACCAAGTATGTGATATTTGACTTGAGAGGAATGTCCGAACTTGATTCTTCAGCTGCACAAATTCTCAAAGAGTTGATAATCAATTACCAAAATAGAAAGATCATATCACTTTTTGTAAGAGTTGCCAAAAACTTGCAGGTAAGAGAAAGACTATTCCGAACTGGGATTATTTCCCTCCTTATTGAAAATTTAGATGCACTTGGGTACTATAAGGCGAAACAGGAAGTGTTGCAAAAGAAGCCAAAAGATAACAGTTCGGATTTCCTATTCGAACAAGAGACTGCTAGCGGAATCGCTAACTTGGTTGAGGCTAAGGATGTTCCTTTTTTTGAACATATAAGTGACGCTCTAAAAGTGATTGACTATTATGAATCTTCGAACCAAGTAGGAGAATACCTGGTCGTATAACTTACTATCCCGCTTTTGCACCAATTATGTTTCAAACGATATATTCCATCCATTAACTTTGCAACCCTCACTCAAATTTTTCCCCCCTCTTTGGCTGCAAATCAATCTTCGCATTGAAGTCCTCCTCCTTACTTTTACCAACTTAAACAACGTAAACCTTCCATGAATATATATTATACTCACTCTATTAAGATCGAAGCCCTTAATATTTTCCTCGAGCTCTTCGTTTCTCAAATAACACTAGTTAACTAGGTCCTTACTCAATAAGTTAACATACATAATTTATTGTTTACGCATTGTGGGCTGGATCTGGGCCGGATCTGGGCCATACATCATGGATAGAATTAACCAATTCATAATTACCTTGATCAATTTTTCATAATGATTTTCATTAAACATAGGTTGTTCACGTTATCTTGATGGTCGTGTATGGCCTTTGTTTTCCTTCACCTACACAATTAGAACACAAAAGACGCGCACCAATCTGAAAAACTTGTGAACCCACAACCCAACCGGAACCATGTCCAACGAGGAAACTGCAAACCTTCAAGAAGAACTTGATGCCGAGAACACTATCAAGGAGGAATACAAGTTATGGAGAGAGAATTGCAGATTTATGTACGAATTTGTGAGTGAGACAGCTTTAAAATGGCCCTCTATCACTGTTCAATGGTTACCTGGCCACCATAAAGACGATTCGAATGGATTGTACGAATCCAGTCTTTTACTTGGAACACATACTTCTGGGGAAGACATTAACTTCCTCAAGGTAGCGTCTACCCAGTTGCCAATAACGAAGACTGAGGATAGTAAGGTGAACTCTAGAATAAAAATCACCAAGAAGTTCAAAAACAATTCAGAAATTAACAGAGCTAGATACATGTCACAAGACCCAAACACCGTGGCGACCATCAATGGTATGGGTGAAGTGGATATCTACAAGCTTGACTCTCCGACAAAGGAAAGTGTCCACCACTTGACTCATCACACAGATAATGGATACGGATTATCTTGGAACACCTTCAAGAGAGGCTATCTCGCTACTGGAGCTGATGACAAAAAAGTACAGGTAATTGAAATAGCAGGCGAAAGAGTAACCACAATCATCAAGCTTGAAGATCACAATGATATCGTCAATGATGTCAAATGGCACCCATTCAATGAGAATTTACTTGGATCGGTTTCGGATGACAAACACTTCAAGATTTTTGATATAAGAACATCCAGCAAACCCGTATTAGAGTTTTATGGAGATGAACTGAAAGGTATCAATACATTGTCTTTCTCTCCATTTTCGTCCAACCTTATCAGTATAGGCAATGCCAGTTCTACCATAAATCTATTAGATTTCCGTCAATTGTCTAGCGAAAAGGGTCAGTCATCAGGTTTATTGCACACGATGATGGGCCATTCCGATGCCATTACTTCTATAGAATTTTCTCCTCACGTTGATGGTATAATTGCTTCAGGGTCCCAAGACCGAAGAGTCATGATTTGGGATTTATCAAAAAATTGGAGAAGAACAAGTTCAAGAGGATGCTGAAGATGGGTGTCCTGAGTTGTTCATGATGCATGCGGGTCATACAGGAGGTGTTACAGATTTGAATTGGTGCCCATACAAAGATTGGACTCTTGCTTCAGTTGCAGATGACAATATAGTCCATGTCTGGGAAATCTCAAAAACATTACTCATCTCGGAAGCCACTGAGGAGGTGGAAAGTAACGAGCTTGAGTAATGCCTTGAAGGGTTTCCTCATTTGTACAGTAAAAATGCAATAAACAACTTTAGAAGTTAACCGGTCTCAAAATGTATTCTTGTGAGGCAAGTCGCGGTCAATTCGCAAAGTTTTTTTGACCATCAAAAAAGTTACACCTTCAAAGAGCGGTTAGACCTGAATCACAAGATGTCTGATTTCCCTCCAAATTTATCTATCCGGCCCTTAACCATCGAAGATGTCGACCAATGTATTGCTTTAGAGGCCAAAGGCTTCAGTAAAAACGAAAGAGCCACACTTCAAAAGCTTAAGTACAGATTGACGGTATGCCCTGAATTGTGCTCTGGGTTATTTATTCGAGACTACAAGTACAAGTACAACGCAATTAATCTACCCTCCGTGGCTGAATCATTAGAGAAGAAACATGAAGTTGTGAAAAGACTGGGTCAAACAACTCCTGAACTTGAAGATGGAGTGGACTCCGATGCTCTCGATAAAGGTGACGATGATGATTTGGAAGATTTGCCAATGCTGTCCTCAGTTATAAAGGAGACTTTGGTCGGCCATATAATCGGGACCAAAATGTCTTCTGCCAGAGTGACCAACGAAGCTATGGATTTACCCACTGACAATGATGATACTACCGGACACATCGAAGGATCTAGATATATTGGTATACACTCATTGGTAATTGACCCAGAGTGGCAAGGAAAGAACTTGGGGACGTTGATCATGCACGATTACATCCAAAAGTTGAGTAACCAAGACTTAGGTGACAAAGTATCTTTGTTGTGTAAAGACAAATTAGTACCCTTCTACGAAAAGATCGGATTCAATAACTTGGGACAAAGTGAATGTAAGTTTGGAGGTGTACTGTGGATTGACATGTCTATGGATTTGATTCCTGAAGATGATGATTAGACTACCAAACGTAATTAGGGGAGTTATTTCTGTTATGTAATATCTATGACGATTACGGATGATCAGTCATGTAGACTAATGCGTAAGTATTAATATATTATTGTACACATAGACGAAACAGTCTCAAAGCTTCTAAGATGTCAGAGTTGGTTTCCTGGTATCTATAACCTCATTATTATTTATGGGACTTTCAAGTGATGCGAAAATTTTGTGTTACTTCTAATGGTGCAGGTTCCTACAGTTCTTAAGAAAGTGTTTGAGACTTTCCCCGTGGTGGAATATCCTTCACTTCCAAACTCTACACCCATAATACAACAATCTATTGAGCGAAATAGGTTCTATTTCCAAAGGTCCCCTCCATCCGAAAAAGGTGCTTTTACTTTGGGCGTGTTTAATTTATTCAAGTACCAAGACAATTACATCCCAACCGATCCTCTCTCATTGGCGGTCACATTACACCTATGTTCTAAGCATGGCTTGAAATTACCAAATTGCCAAGGTGATTCTGGTGATTCCGGTCACTCAATCATGAAAATGTCTTATTTTGGCTCCCCCAACAGCTTCCTTCCAATATTGATAGAAGACGGTACTTCTCGAGAAATACACCTAGCTTCGGCACTCATCAGTGGCATATGCAAACTGGATGATGTGAAAGAAACTCTTTTGAGTGATTTACTCGATGTGGAGTTATACGATTTGTGGCTTCTTTCTGTCTGGTTTGAGTATGAGAAACTCGATTTAACTGCTTTATTTGGTATTGAAATAGTCTCATTGACCAAATATGAATTGTTTGAAAGTATCCTTACATGGAGAGATTTTAAGGTGAGGTATCCAATACTTAACAGATCCATATATGATGCTAAACTCTCCCATGTTGAAGAACTATTGAGTCTTTTATCAGAGGATTTAAACAACCTAAGCAGAGGTCATTTGATAAAGGTGTACGCATATGTTATTATCGTGGAGAATTTGATGAAATCAACCGAAGCACGGAAAGTAATCCCGTCTAAGCTCTCTTTGAATGCTTCTAACTATATGAATGGCATGTAAATAGGTCTATAATTATCATTATAATTTAAGTCTCTTTGAGACATTAACTAAATCATAATTAGACCATTCTAAAGTACGTTTTGATGCACTAATTTCTAATTTTTGGGCAATTTCTTGTAAATTTAACTTCAAGTTCGTGTGTCCACTGCTGATTTGTTCCAAATAACTTAAGATTCCATTCCTTGTAATTAAGGAAAGAGACCCGTAATTGATATCAGGCAACATGAAAATGGTTTTAAGAATGGTTTTATGAAGACTTTCAACCTTTCCAGGAGTATTCAATAATGTCAAGATCCATTCAAAGAACTGGTTGGTGTTCAAAAGTTGCAAATCATCAGTAGTGATGGTCATGCCAGATATGTACCATTCAATAGTCTTAAGAGACTCACTCTTGATTTTAAAGAACAATGGCATATCTTTGGGGCCAATCCTGGGATGAGAAGTGACGTACTTAAACACCAACTCATAGAGGAAATGGCCTGGGTTGGATAAAATTGGAATCAAGTTGGCATAAAGTGTAAGTTGAACTCCTGTCAATTGAGAACAATTGAACAAATTGGACAAATAGATCTTGAATAAAGTAATGTCCTTGAAACCCTTGTCGTTATCAATATTCTTTATTATGTTACCCACAATGACCTTGCACAATGGACTGTTGAAATTCTTCACCAATATTTCCAATATACTATATTCAATCAAGTTTTTCATATTCACTTGCAAGGTTTCATCTTGAGACTTGAAGAATTCTTCATTGTTGATAGTCAAGAGTAGAAGAAACTCGTAATCATATACAGTTTCCGAATACTCATAATTGACCTTGAAGTAGTTCTTGTTAACGAAATCAACAATTTCTTTGTATTGGCTTGGAACATCCAACGGTTGATAGTTTTTCGAGCAGTTGCTAATAAAGTTCTTATTTAATGAGATCAAATCATTGGAAAACAAAGGTTGTTTACCCACCAAGTCGAAATCACTTTCTTTAAAATCATTGATTTCCCAGTTCCATCTATCAGTCATCCAACTCTTCTGTTGCACGGACTCCATTTTCACAAGAATTTTCTTAATGATCAAATCTTCAAATGCTATGGAACCATTGTACCAGTATATTAAGTTGTTGAGAACACTGTGACTGGCACCCAAATTGAATAAGTTGTAAACAACTAAACTAGACTCAATTCTGGTAAACTGTTTGGATGGGTGTGAGAACTCATTCAAGCAGTTGTTCGGATTGTTCATGAACAATGTTAACATTTTGTCGAAATCAATTCTGGGCTCTGACAAAATGACGCTGTTCATGTAACTGAGAAACTTGGAATTGATATACTTTGAACTCAACAACACTTCCAATTGGGAATTGATGACATTGACAGGTACGCTCACTGGCAAAAGTTTGATATATTGTTCTAGGAAGTCGTAGAACTCATCTGATAATTCGTCTCTTTCCGCAAACTGCTTGGTGATATAAATCATTGAATTTGAAAGCCATTCTTTGTTGTGCACTTTCAATTCATTTAAGACGTTGACAAAGGCAGGACAAAAGGTATCCGAATAATTAGATGCCTTTTGAAGTAAAGAAACCACGATATCTGAGTCAAAGCTCCTGAACGGTAAAGATTTCCATACCAATTGAAGGAATTGGTAGAAGGACAAACCTGTTTCCGACACATTTATGTTTTTGTAGAAGTCAGCTAAACTTTCTGTTGGTAAAAGGGCAGCCCCAATTTTGCACAATTCAATATTAGATAAATCCAACTGGTTCAAGTACTGAATCAGAGAACAATCTAGTTCAATTTCATTCAATAATTCAAGTTTACCTGATACAATGATCTTACCAATGTGTTTTGACACGTTATCAGGTGTCAACAAGAACTTGATTATATCATACTTCTTGTCGTTATTGAACCGAAAAAGCTTTTCAATCTCGATGTTTGGTTTCTGATTTCTTGAAATCAAAAGTTCAAAGTTGACCAACTGAATATCTTCGTTGAATCCTTGGTAATTTAATTGCTCTTCATTAAGAATCCAGCTCAAGGCTGAAAAGCTACTTGTGGACTTCAATTTCTCAAACACATAACTTTTAATCTCTGAGTTGAAGTCAATTTCCAATGGCTTTATCAACTGATTGAAGCACTGCAACTTGAAGTCATCCTCAAAAGCTAGAAGCTTGAAAAAAGATAAGTTGGAGAAGTTCAGAACAAATTCTGAGTTCGATACAGTGTAGTTTTGTAACCTCCCAAATGCATCCACAATATAGTTTTCACTGGTGGATAATTTGATGTTATAAATCACTGACAAAAGTTCAAAATCATTCTTTATGATGCTGGGATCTTCAATGTTTTGGAGAGTTGGGTTACACTTGATACCAAAATGATCAAGTAACATCTTTAATTGATTGAAATCCTCACCTATAATGCAAAGATTGGTAAGAAACTTTTCAAACCATTCTAGACCACTATTGTTGTTCTTCTTGAAGTAAATGGAGAATTGTTCTACCAAAATCTTGACAAAGACATTTGTTTCAATGGGTAAGTCATAATACAGATATGGGTTATTGAGTCTTGTTAACAGCTCATTCAAAGAAGGCAATAATTCTTCTGGGACTTGACTGTAAAGCAATGAGTACATAGGGTTCAATAATGTCACTTTAGGAATCTCAACAAGCTTGTTGATCATATCATGAAAGAATGATGCATTCTTGTCAATGATTGAGAACTTGACTAGTTTCAATATCAAGCTATTTTGCTTGAGGTCAAACTTATTAGATAAGTTTAACTGGATGGATATTATGAAGTTCAATTTGATTAAGTTTAACTTAGTGAAGTTCTCCGTGGCCTCACTTAAAATGGTACTAACGTACTTGTTCAATGAGGTGTTCAAGGAGTTTTGATACTTGGAATATATTTCAAGGATTTTCAACACCATCAAGTTGACGGTTTGAACGTTACTGCTGATGATTAAATCACTCAATTCTGGTAGATTCTTGAATACGCTGTTGATCACCAATTGGTCTTCAATATGATCTAGTTTCTTCAACATCAAATAAATAATCTGCAAGTTAAGCTGGATAATAAGATTTGATTTTGATTTGATACCTTTGGTCAAACTGGCTTTGGACAATGGTTTTAATAAGACGTTTTGTAAATCATATGTGGGTAACTGGAGGATTTTTGTATACAACAAAGTATGACTAAGGTACCAGCTAGTCAAATTAGGATCATGATAACCTCCATTGATCAATAAGCGGTTCATGTATGGATCAATGAGTTTGTAATCTTTGGATAAAATCAAGTGCACCAAATTGACTTTACTGATAGAGTCCAACTTCACAAATGTCAAAAGATTATATAAAACTTTGTTATTGATTCTGAAAGTTTTGTTATTCACAGTCGCCGTGGTATTGGGTGCATCCAAAAATAAGATTCCCGTTTTAGGGTCAACTATTTTCTTGAATAAAGGGAATAATTTAAACTTGTCCATATTGGCTTGTAAGTTAAATAAGCAAGTCTCATTGAAAAGTTTGAGTTTAGTTGATCGCCTAAACGCTGGTTCGTTAAGTATCTTTGCTTCAAGGAATTGCACAAGCAAAGCCACTATTTCGGGAGGATCATTGGCCATATACTTGAAGATATTAATCCATACTTTCAACCCCAAGTAGTTCATTCTGTCAAAATAGTTCATGTGTGTGTTCAAATGAAGCCAGAAACGAATAAAGTTCGACCTTATTGAGTCCTCCTTCAACAATAATCCAGGAAGAATATTGGTGGATATATCAAAGCCATTCAAAAGATCATTCACCAACCTATAGGAAACCATGTCTTGAAGAATCGATAGTGTTGGGATCGTGATGCTGTTTTTCTTTTGATTCAAGCATCTGTAAACCATCTTTATATTGGTAGGATCCACAAACTCAAGGTAGAATTGCTTGATCTGATCATTGTGAATTGATTCAGATGAGATTTTGTTGGTGATGGACCTTAAGTATCCGAGGAAAGTAACCACTTGCGAATGGCTGTTCGTTTTACATGCATGATACCATTGTCCTAGAAGCTTTTTCAAGTCACCTGACTCCGTGAATTTCACAAAAGTCTCTGTGTTCAAGAGAATACTCGGCTCAAATACAGACACACTCATTAATGAAGATGAAAAATAATCGCGATGAGATATCAATTTGAATCAGTTGGTAGCTGAGACAAGAAGATGTTTGTGAGATGCGTGCTTGAATTTGAGGCTAGAGCCTCCTGCATTATTACAACACTACTATAGAGATAAATTGTATGGTAAAAGGAACAGATGGTCGACTATCTAGTAAATAAAGTGCACAAAAATGTCCTTTCTTTCCCTAAAACTGGGCCCACCAACCGCTGGACTAGCCTGGGACCTGCTCTCTACCGTGTACAATCCTACCTGATCAAAAACTCAAATCCATTTCTTCCCTTCTTACATATCAGAACCACGAGGCAGGCTCTTCTTCACGTTCATATCTTTACTATATCATTAGCTTGGTGAAACTGTACATAAGTATTAGTTTAACTTATCGAGATTGCCAATACATTTTGTTTTCTCCAGATAGGAAACATCATAACACAGGATATTCTTATTGACACCTGATTGTACTACCCCGCTCACACAAACGATTCCATTGATACTAGATGATATCGCTAGACGCGGCACTTTGAAAATGCCAAAAGGTTGGCAGAAACCAGTAACCGGTTCGGAAATGATCAAAGAGGGTTAGGTGCTTCTTGTCGAATACAGCAATCTTATGAGTGGATAAGTGGTAGCTCCGGATTTCTCTCCACTAGCAAAAAAAGCACTGGGTTCTTAGAAAGCAGTGCTCATGTTTCCAAGCTGTAACCAAGTGGCCTAGCGTACGCGCAGTCCTAGCATCCTGGGCTGAATTTAGACCGGCGTCTACCACCACCCCGTAGCTGTAGGAAGCCCTGCTAAAGGTCAAGATAAAACCTTACTCTATTCTGCATATACGTCGGGTCTCCGCTTCCCAAGTTGGAGCATGACGTAAACGCGCTTTTCTCGACCCCTCAGGGGGCCGCCTCGACCGACCCTGGCGCTATCAGTGCCCCGGCCGCTCGCCCCACACTCACACTATTTTTGATAAAATGTTAACAAAATGGTGCTTAGCAAAAAAACTCAAGGCTCAAACAGGAAACATAGTGAGACTTCTAAAAATTGTATTAAAAGAATTTGAAAACACACAAGGAGAATTTTTTCCTAGTGAAGTTCAAAATTGACTTACCACCTACGAACTTTGTGAAGCATAGACCTTATAGATCTTTCTGCTATTTCCCATACACGTACCAACCAATAATATTCCATTTTCCATCGTCACTGACATTGTCGTCTTGTTTCAAAGGCTCTATTATAAATACCGCTTGTTGCTACCATGGGGCTTTTACTGTTTAAGAAGAAGAAAGAGTCCCTATTCGATCTCAGTCCCTTTCCCAATTTACCCAAGAACTATAAGCTTTTGAATATGATCGGAGAAGGAGCGTTTTCCACTGTTTATAAGGCTAAGAACCTTACGAATGGTAATCTGTATGCCATAAAGATCATCAATAAATCGAACTTGAATGAAAAGCAACTCGAAAATGTCACCAATGAGATAGATATCATGAGGAATTTGAATCATAAGAACCTTTTGAAATTAATCGAGTTTTACAACTATCACGACTTTTGCTACCTAATCTTGGAGTACTGTAACGGAGGAGAAATTTTTAACAAAATCATTGAATACACCTATTTCAGTGAGGACCTATCCCGGCATGTATTCATCCAATTATTAAAGGCCGTTAATTACTTGCATCAGAACAATGTGGTTCATCGAGATATAAAGCCTGAGAACCTTTTCTTCAATAGAATTAAGCTTTTTAGAAGGTCATCAGAGGAGTACAAAGCCACTTTGCGATCTAGTGACGACGAAACGAAATTAGATGAGGGTGCGTTTATGAAGGGATTGGGTGCCGGTACTATCGGTGTTGTTAAATTAGGGGACTTTGGTCTTGCAAAAAAATTGACCCCATTAATAAGTCAAACTACTCCTACCACCAACACAAGATATATCAACAATTTGAAGACTCCTTGTGGCACTGCTGGGTACACTGCCCCCGAAGTTATTACGGCCAACCAAGATATAGACAAGCAGAACTACTACTCCAAGGCCGTGGATATCTGGTCTTTGGGTTGCTTGTTGTACACAATATTATGTGGCTTCCCTCCATTTTATGACGACGATTCGAGCAAATTGACATTAAAGATTCTAAACGGTGACTACACCTTTTTAAGTCCTTGGTGGGATGAAATCAGTGATGAGGTTAAAGACCTTATTGCTAAAATGTTGGTTATCAACCCCAACAATAGAATCACCATCGATGAAATCTTTAATCATCCCTGGATAAAGGATGAGATTTTTTCACAGGATTACTTTAATATCAATTCCAAGTTTGAAAATAATGACCTTACGGTTTCAAAGACCCCAATAGATAGGGTGGAACACATCGAGCATAGATCAGGTAGTAGCAACTCCGACACGGTGGGTACGTTAGTTTTGGATCCAGATGATCCTCTTTCTGAACAGCCATCCCCTTACAATTTGCCAACTTCAGCTGTGGATATTCCTAAGCCAATTCCTATACCAGCTGCTAGTGGCCATAGCACCAACCCATTATTAAGTCCCAGAGCAACTGCAATTAAATCGGTTTTTAATAATCCGGCAATGAATGAGTTCTCAGGGTTAAAATTCAATAATAAGGCCATATTCAACATTGAAGAAGAACAAAAGGATATTCTCACCAACCTCCACAAACTCATCATCAAGTCTTCCATTCCCAACACCATTTCATCATCGAACTCGGACTCAGATGATGAAGACTACCAAACTCGCCAAAGCTCCATTATCAGCGGAGACCGTTCCAATGAAAAATTCCAGCTTAATATGAATGATCTGAATCTAATTCTGAGAAGAAGATCCACCAAGACATCTCACTAACACTTACTCCTATTGCACGATCATGGTCACTGGCTGATTTGATCTTTCATGTATTATAGAGACTCAATACACAAGGTTTTCGGGTATTAGAACATGAATGTGATTATAAATATATACATAATAAATTTCACCTAACCCCTTTCGGCAGGTTTGATGTCCAACTCACCGTCATCTTCTTCAGGCACTAAGCAATCGGTCTTCTCCAACAATTCGGCCAATTCGCCACTTTGTGCCATACTCATGATAATATCACATCCTCCAATAAACTCCTTGTCCACATATAATTGGGGGATTGTTGGCCAAGAACTAAATTCTTTAATTCCATCTCTTAACTCAGAGTCCTCCAACACGTTATAGGCAGCGAACTTGTTGGGGTCTACCCCTTGTTGACCCAAAATTTGGATTGTTGCTCTGGAGAATCCACACTGCGGGAATTCGGGAGTACCTTTCATGAACAAAACAACCTTGGAGCTGTCGATGGCTTTTTGAATGGCATCCTTGATCTCGTTAGACATAAATCTAGTGTTCACGAACCCATAAGCTCTAGGGGGCGTAGCTATTCTGGAGGTTAAAAGCCTAAACATGACAATGTTAGTAAGCAGCGGTTTTTATTTGATGGAAGTTTTTCGAGTGAGCATCGTGCGATTCAGCCGTTGGCTGCACAAGTTAGACACAACTACAAGGAACATGAAGCTCTGGTTGTTCCTCAAGTTTGATTCCGTCCTAGTAGAGCACTCATAGTTTGAGGCCCTTGGAAGGTTTTGGATAGGTAGCCTGTATTTGCAGCCACTTATTTTTTGGAGGTGGCCGCTTGGTGGCCGCTTGGTGGGCCTACCACGACTGTCGCGCCAGCTGCCGCCCAAAGTGTCCGAGAAACACATATGCCTAAACCGGATACCCCGAGGGCCCGTCACGAGATTGACCTGACTCCGCATTTTTAGTGTAGAGTACATCGGAGGATTTTCGCTGTCTAAAATCCTGTCAACCCTATGGTTTAGCTTCCCCTATAAACCCCCAAAGCACTTGAACATGACCACCACTACGTATATTTATGTGGTATACTGAGAGCTTTATTCCCAGCACCTTCTCGGCGTCTCCCCGCTAAAAAGGAGATGTCCGGCATCCTCTCTTCGCCGGTATACTCTGTGTTGTAACCAATTTAATGGTCGCAAACTGCCGGTGCACGCCTCAGCAATATCAAAAGCTTTACCGGTTCAGGTCACTGTTTAAGCCCAATATACAAATTAGTAGATTACACATGATACATAAGAAATAAGTACCAACGTATGTTGGTACTAAAGACCGTCTTCTCCACTTCGGACTTCTCGTAGTATTTTCCTAGTGCGGGATTGACACTTATCTATTTTAAAGAACGCCGTTACCGCTGGTGCGGATTTAACAATAATGACTCCTTTAGCGGGCCTGTACGATTTTCTTTTGCATGAAAACTCCATATAAGAACAATTTCGACGTCCTTTCATTTGTAAGAGATTTATACACCTAAACCTTGTCGTTCATGAGCCTAGAACAAGAATTTAAAGAGGCACCTTTAGCGGCCGAGGATGAAACCAAAAGCAATAACGATGTGAATTCCAACTCATCAGGTTCTGTCACTAAGCCAGCAGATGAAAAATCAAAAGAACAACTTGTACAAGAGCTTGCAGATGAATACGGTATCAACCAAAAGAAGTTGATGTGGAAAGTCGACGTTTGTGTGGTCCCAGGGTTTTGTCTTTTGTACTTCCTCTCATTTTTGGATAGAGTGAATATCTCCAATGCCAGACTTTATGGATTAGAGGAAGATTTGAATATGACAGGAGATCAGTTCAACATCGCTTTGGCTTTGTTTTATGTGCCGTACGTGGCGTTTGAGTTGGTTTCCAACTACTCCCTTAAATTCATCAGACCCCACATATGGTTATCTTCCTGTATCTTTTTGTTTGGTTGTGTGACTATTGGTATGGGCTTTGCCAAAACTTTTGGACAATTAGTGGCTTGCAGAGTATTGATCGGAATGACAGAAGCTGCGACTTTCCCTGGTCTTTTCTATATATTATCGTCGTTTTACGCCAATTTTGAAGCCCAAAGGCGGTTCTCGATATTCTTCTCCTGTACTTGTTTAGCTGGTGGTGCTTCTGGAGCTATTGCTTACAAAATCAATGACTTGAATGGAGTCCATGGTTTGGTCTCTTGGAGATGGATCTTCATAGTCGAAGGAGCTTTCACAGCTGGTCTTGCTTTTGTGTTGTTCCTCATTGTGGCAGACTTCCCAGAAGATGCTAGATTCTTAAAAGCTAATGAAAAGACCTTCCTCAAGAAGAAATTGGCTATCTATTCGGGTGCTGAATCTGGTTACGAAATTACCAACAAAGTCAGCGATGTGGTGAAGTGTTTCAAAGACTACTTGATTTGGTTACCAGCCTTGGCATACTTTGGTTTCATTATTCCATCTTATGGTTACGCTTATTTCAGTGCCACCATTATTAAAGAAATGGGTTACACCGCTGTCTCTGCGAATCAGCATTCCGTATATCCATGGCTTGCTGCTTTTGGATTTTCTGTAATCATTGCTTTCACTTCTGATCACTTGAGAATTAGACTTCCCTTTGTCATCCTATGTCTTGTTGTTGCTATTACTGGTTTGGCAATGGTCTTGGGTGCCACGGATTACCCAAAAGTAAGGTACGGAGGATGTTTCTTGATCGCTAGTGGATTGTATTCTGGTATGCCAGTCTTGGTGTGCTGGAACTCTGTAAATTTCGGAGGACATTTAAGAAAATCTGTGGGTACCGCATGGCAGATTGGATTTGGAAACATCGGTGGTATTATTGCTACATTTATCTTCTTGACCAAGGATGCCCCTGTCTACAGATCTGGTATGGCTGTGTGCATATCATCCGCATGCTTTGCAATTATCTGCTCTACCGCATACTTTTTTGCTGTCAGAAGATTGAACTCAATCAAACAAACAGACACTTACGTCGAAAAGTTTAATGCCTTGAGTGAGAGAGATCAGATTTTGGCCGGAGACAAGAACCCAAACTTTAGGTACTTGTACTAAAAATAATGTTTATGTATGAACAATTAATCTGTAATAAAATAATCTTGTACGTGCGCATTTTGTGAAATTTTAAAATTTAGGAGTAATCTGAGTAGTTGATTCTACTTGCTCTACATCCATGAAAACCAGTGATCCTGTTGACAAAGACCTACGTAATAGGTCCAATTCCTCATTGACTACGAGGCTTCGAAATCGATCTCGATCAAATTCCTTAAAGCCTTCGTATGATGAATCCGGTAGACCCATTCTTACGGAGCTTTCGCTTCCCGTACAAACCCATACCAAAAATTCTATTCATAAAGACACACGTCCAAATAGTCAACAATTCTTGTCTGTGAAAGTTGATTGGCCACATCTGCCCACAGATAACACTGCAGAGTCAATCATAGATCAGGAAATCAAACCTATTAATTCTAATAGGAGTAAGTCACCAGAAGATTCAGGGCTTTTCTCGTCGATATTGAATATTGCCCACAACACCGCAAACCTCATCACCCACAAAGATAAACTGCGGAGCACTGAAATGCACTCTCATGTGAGCCCGGTCCAAGCAAGTGGTGAAGAGACTGACAACTTTTCGTCCTTTAGTAAGAAGTTGGATGCCTTGATCAATGACCAGGAAGATAGTATAGAAGAGTCCAAAAGCATTAACAATATGACCGTTTCCGTGAACGTAAATGGTACCGACCATAGTACAACTCCAGGACTTGCTTCTCAATTATCACCTAATAGTATCCATTTTGCTTCCATAAGAGAAAGTCCGTTAAGCACGTTGGGTAACGGCAACTTATCTTTGAATGATTTCAAGAACTCCAAAAAGGACACCTTGGTTAATACCGTTTCACGTGTAAGTGATAAGGACAAGACTAAGGATAGGGATTTCAAAGGAAGACGTACAAGTGCTACAGTGGCTAGTGATACAGAATCGTTCTCTGCTATTCATGATAATGAAAAGCTTAAAAGAGCCAGTAAAAAACGGAATAAGGAGTTTCATCAAATCTTCAATAAGCTTCCCAAATCGGATAGGTTGATTGATGACTTTTCATGTGCTTTATCGAGAGATATCTTGGTTCAAGGAAGAATGTATTTGAGTGAGCATTACATTTGTTTCAAATCCAACATTTTTAGGATGGGTTACTAATCTATTAATTCCACTTCAAGAGGTAATACAAATTGAGAAACGTTCTACCGCTGTGTTGTTCCCCAATGGTATGATCATTAAGACTTTGCATCAAAAATACACTTTTGCAACTTTCCTTTCCAGAGATACTTCGTTTGATCTTTTGACCCGCGTATGGCACCGAGTGTTGTTAGATAAAGAAGAAGGTAAGGTCATCAACAATGATTACACCAGTAGTGTCGAAAGTGATGTGAGTGATTTCAGTGAGGGTGATGATTCAGAAGATGATGTGGATCGCAGCAACCTTGAACTGGACAATGATGAAGTGGCTCGAAGGGGTTCTCTTTCACGAAAGGGTTCCCTTTCACAAAATGGCAATGTTACAGTGGAACCTCTGCTTGGCGAAGATAGTGAAGACGATACCATATCAAGTGGGGAACACTTGGAAAGTCTGACCAATTATAGTGAAGAAGAAGAAAATGCAGAAAATGACACTCCTAATGAGTCTTCTGGAAAGACTTTCAAAGGATTACCTCTAGTTGGGCCTTCAACTCATAGTCCAACTAGTAATGAGTATGTAAAAGGGGGAGGTGATACTTTCATTATTGAGGACGAATTCAAAGCACCTTTGGGGTTGTTTTTAATTTGTTATTTGGAAAAGATAGCTCTTACTATATTCAGGTATTGAAAAACCAGAATAATATTGATATCCAAGATGATAAGATCACAGGACTTTCCAAGCAAGGTGACGCTAGAGACTATAAGTATGTCAAACCTTTAAAAGGGGCAATTGGACCCAAACAAACAACATGTCTTATCACTGATAAGATTCTCGAGTATAATCTAGAAAAGTTTATTTTGGTTGAACAGGCCACTTCAACTCCCGATGTGCCAAGTGGAAATGCCTTCAAAATCCGTACCAGAATCTACTTAAATTGGGGCGCAAATAATAGCACCAAGATATATGTCATCACCAACATTGAATGGACAGGTAAGTCATGGATCAAGGGCCCAATTGAAAAAGGTAGTATAGACGGACAGAAAGAGTCAATGAAGATATTGGTAGACTCTGTCAATAGCTTCATCAAGAATGGCGGCAGTGGTGGCAAAGAAAGCCCTTCGAAGAAGAGATCCAGGAAGAAATCATTGCAGGCAGAAACCAAAGAACTCAACCAAGAGTCAGCACCAGCTCCAAAAAATACCACATTCTCAGAAAAGTTTACTGATTTGGTGGAAATAGTGGGGTCAGCCGTTCCAATTCCAGGGTTGCCATCTCTCATAACTGGATACATTATCCTATTTTGCACAATGTTCTTATTCATCCAGGTTTACAACAAGATTCTTATGCCTAAACCCCTCCATATTGTTGAAAACTCTATCCTATTCAACAACGAGAAATTCTACCTCATTCCAAGTGTAGACAATCAGTTGAATAATGAAGCCGCCATTAAAAATAGCGAAGTCAATCTCTGGAAGTGGATATATGAAAAGAGTGGTCAAAAGGTTGACAATGTCGTACAACATCAACAAGATACCATTCGGGCATACAAACGTCAAGAGCTACAGGAAATTGTTTCGTTGGCTCAAATGAATATAGATGAACTTACCAATTTACTAAACGAATAAATATTCAAGCACTCGTGGAATAATTTTCAGTAGATAAAAGTCAAAGGTACTTTGCAACCGCACCTGCATTATTTTGAACTCTGAAACAAATTTGCAAAAGCTACGATTTTTAGAATTTCGGTTATCCTTTAAGTTTGCTTTATCATAATATCTTTTTCTACTTTCACTATCACCTTTGGTTGATACCTATCTTGATCATTCCCAGGTGACCTCGTTACTCCTATCAGCAACAACAATCCTTTCGCGTATACTGATTGCTTATTGCAATTGGTCAATTCGACAGTATGTTTAACGCAGCAGCTAATCCACCACAATGCCTGGCTGAAGCTGTTAATATTCGGCAGAAGGGTCCCGTTCTGATGCTCTCCAAAGATCACCGGGATCTATTGAATCACCATGATGATGATGCAGTCCTCCTTAAAGAGCAGAAGCTAGAGGATATCAAAAATCAATGTTCTCAGTTAATTAGTGAATTGGACACAGACAAAGACCCCAAAGCCATCATCAGAAAACATATCACCAAGCTAAAAGACTATAACGATCTTCAAGACATCGCATTGAGTCTTGTAACAATGATTGCAGACCACCATCACCTTAGGACAATCGATATTCTCCAGGAAATGAATAGTGAGTCAACCGGGGAAATGAATAGGGAACCAACCGGTGATTAAGGATTGAGTTTCTGAGGGGGGGGGGAAGCGAAAGATCATTAAGTTCAATATGTATTATATCTACGGCACAGTAAACAATCGTTCATTTTTATCTTAAATACGCTTGAAGTTACCACATTCTTTTAGCCAAATATTTCTGCGCAAGGTAATAAAATGCATTTGAAAGGGATAATCACCCACAGAAAAGGAAAACTAAAACCTCGCATCTCTTGAAAAATTTTAGTCAACTTGACATTCAGGGTACTGTCAGACGTTTCTTCTCTCCGAGTGGTTATTGTTGGGTTAGGTCATAATTAGCGTCAATCTGGGATAGATAGGCGCTTAAGTTATACTTTCAAGGAAATTTATTGGATATTGTTTACTTCATCCCCCTTTTTACCGTTTTCATCTTTAAAGGTTTTTGTTTTTCGGGCGTTCTTCCTACAGGTTCATTGCAGGTCAATTTACTTTAACTATCAATTAAATGGGTAGTAGAACAACATGAATCCGTGGATAGCATTGTTAATACTCAACTTCTGGGGTCTACTATGCGTGGTAAACGCTAAACCAAGCTACACAAAGAGTTATGACCCTCGTATCGTAACCGATCACGAATATGAAGCAAATATATTTCCAATAGATTTAAGATCCCTAAGGGATTACAGTCTTTCAGATTATTTACTCATCAGTGACATAGATGGCAACTTGCATAACATAGATAGGAATACCGGTAACCTTCTATGGACCCTTCCATTTGATGAACCCTTGATCAAAATTGAAACTAATGGTTCTCATTCTAATGCCGACACCAATATTCTATGGTTCGTAGAGCCATATAATGACGGGTCACTCTATTATTTTACTCCTGAATATGGACTCAACAAATTACCGGCAAGCATCAAAGAGTTGGTACTCCAAAGTCCGTTCTTCTTATCGGGTGATGATAAGATTTATACGGGTACCCGAAAAACATCTCTTTATACCATCAATGTCCACACGGGCGAATTAATGGGTCAATATGGAGACAGTGAAGATAGCGGACCAAAGCCAACCACCGCCTACGAATATGGTCAAGACGACGTCGATTGCATTATGATAGGAAAAACCGTCTATGAGCTCACTATCCATTCTCAGTCTAATTCAAATGTAGTATGGTATGTCACATACACACAATGGGGGCCAAATAATATCGACAATGACTTGATCCTACAGAACCAGAAATCAATGGACAAGTTATATTTCACTCCATTCCATGATAGGTCACTTTTGGCCATAAACCAGGATTTAGGAACCCCAATATGGATAAGCAAACTTCCGCTGTTGACCGTCAATGTCTTTGATATATTCAACAATCCCAAGTCCAAGAACGATTTCGTCACTCTTCCTCATCCATTGAAAGTGTTGAACAATTTGCAGGTGAACCATGATGATACTATCAACGACGATTTGTGCTTCATCAACAGGACTGCAAACTCCAAACAGTGGTTTGCCATGAGCTTTGAAAACTACCCAACCTTGATAAAGTCTGCACCCATTGCACACTATCAAATGTCCTTGTTCAAAGCGGACAATGACATTCGTGACTTGCAAGATTTATACCATTTGAGGTATCTTGATGTGAGTGACAACGCTAATGACCAATTTATCAATGGAATTCACAAATTTCATCACTTGAATGCTGACACAATGTACCAGCCAGTTTCTAAGTTCAAGGATATTTTGGTTGATTATGGTATTGATGATGGGACCACTATCTACGGTTTACCTGAGACTGACACGCAAGGATTGGTAGTTCACAGGACTACTACAAATCTTCCATTTGCCAACATCATAGAGGGAATTAGGTTTCATACTGCCTCGAAAGTGGATGGTAAGCTGTTTCCAACTTCTCATAAAGAACAGAACATGTTTGCCATAGATCAGCCTGAACAGTTGGAGTATTTGCCTGGTCCAAATTCTGAAGAGTACCATCCATATAAGGTTCAACACACACGACCTTCACTTTTCAGGAGAATAATTGAAGACATAGCTGTACTCCTTTCACTACTTGCAGTATTCGTTTTGGGTGTCAGGATAATGCGTAGAGTATTCAGCAATTGGAAAATTGAATTTGTTGTCAATATTGATAATATCAATGGATTGGCTGGGAATGCAACCGAAGAAGGAGAATTGGATCCAAAACTCCCACCTTCGGGAGAAAAAGTCACTGACAATCTTAACGAGGGCAAAAAGGATGGCATCGTTCTGAAGGAGAACGGAGTTACTGATTCGGGTTCTGCAGATTCTTCTGAAATGCAGAGGTTGACTCTAGTTGATCCAATAAAAGCTGAGGATATTGAAGAATTAGCAAAGAAGAGACAACGGAAGAGAGGAAGTCGTGGTGGAAAGAGAGGGAACAAGTCGAAGAAACCCGAGGACAATGATGAGCTTGACGAACTTGTGTTTTCTGAAACTGAAGAAGTAATAAGTACGAAGAGTTTGGTCAAAATGGGCAATTTGATTAACAAAGCCACTAATAAAAAGCTTCAAATTGAAAATGATTTAATCATTTCAGACAAAATTCTTGGTTACGGGTCTCATGGTACGGTGGTGTTTCAAGGTACGTTTGAGAATAGACCAGTGGCTGTAAAGAGAATGCTATTGGATTTCTATGATGTTGCCAACCACGAAGTTTCTTTGCTACAGCAAAGTGATGACCATCCCAATGTTATCAGATACTTTTGTTCTCAGAGTTCTGTCAGTGAAAAGTTTCTTTATATTGCCTTAGAGCTCTGTCGAGGATCATTAGATGACTTAATCGAAAGACCCAAAATAAGTGCAAACTTTACTCATTTGAAAAACTTGACTTTGAACTACTCTGATTTGTTGTATCAATTAACCAATGGCTTAAACTACTTGCACAACTTGAAAATTGTTCACAGAGATCTCAAACCCCAAAATATTTTGATAGGGGAGGTCAAAAACAAGAATAATGGTAAGGAGCAAGACAACTCAGATTCCAATTTCAGACTATTGATTTCAGACTTCGGGTTGTGTAAGAGACTTGACAACGACCAGAGCTCGTTTAGGGCCACTACTCAAAATGCTGCTTCAGGTACGTCTGGCTGGAGAGCTCCAGAGTTACTCTTGAATCATGATTTATTGGAAATATCACCTGATACTATTTCTTCTATTGGGTCAAACAGCCCTTCCAACAACAACAATAGTAACTCCACAGGAGGTATTAAACGATTAACGAAAGCAATCGACATTTTTTCGTTGGGTTGTATTTTTTTCTATATCATGACGAAAGGAAACCATCCTTTTGGTGACCGGTATATGAGGGATGGTAACATCGTTAAAGGGATTTATAGTCTCTCATTGTTGGATGACTGTAAGGACAGGTACGAACTGAAACATTTGATAGCTTCCATGATTGACCAAAACCCTGACAAAAGACCCAATACGCGTGATATTATGAAGCACCCATTCTTCTGGTCTAAGGGTAAGAAGTTAGAATTTCTCTTGAAAGTCAGCGACAGATTTGAGATAGAGAAAAGAGACCCGCCTAGTCCATTATTACTCGAATTGGAGAAAGCCTCTCGTAGGATTACTGGCGGTAATTGGCATGTTAAGTTCAATGACGAATTTATGAGCAACCTTGGAAAGTATAGGAAGTACCAACCCGAGAAGCTAATGGATCTTTTAAGAGCCCTTAGAAACAAATATCATCATTTCAACGATATGCCCTTGACTTTGCAGAAGAAGATGAGTCCTTTACCAAATGGATTCTATGATTATTTCAATTCTAGATTCCCGAACTTGGTAATGGAGGTTTACTTCGTTGTGGAAAGAAACTTGAAGAAAGAACATATTTTTGAAGAATACTACTAAGTATATACTACCCCCTTTATTAATGATGCACATGAATATATAACGTATAAACTTTTTCCTATTCACTCAGTCAGTAAACTTTTTATGAGTGTTCTTGAAGCTATTAGAGCTTATAGCAGGGCCACTCATGCTTTGTGTTATCGTGTTCCCTGTGACTGATTTATTCCCCAATGTTTGCTGCAAATATTCTTTGGTCTCATCTAAGTTTTTCTGTTGGCTGGTGTTTTGCAGACTTACTAAGTCTTTGTATCTCTTCATGTACAGTTTAACACGGTCTAACTCCTTCATTACAGGATGGCCAGCGGTATCAACTCCCTTGGACCGTAAATAAGCAACAACTATTGATATCAAAACGTATGAATAGCTGTTGTAAATCTCAATTTTTTCAATGGGGGAATCAACATTAGACACCACTTCATCAAGAGACTTGGTTATTATGGGTTGTAATTTCGTATGCAAGTCATCTATGGAACCATCTAACAGGTCTAAGAATTTCTGGATTTTTATTACTTGATCATCCATGTTGCTTTGATATTAGAATGTGTTTTAAGACAAGTGTAAAGATAAAATGTGGAAAAGAAAAATTGCAATATGCTATTAAATGTTTTGTGAGATGCGATGCTCATCTTGCATCACCAATTTTTTTTGAGCGAAGACATTTCCTAACTTTATCAAATATGTCAGGTAGAAGGTCAAATAGAGAAATTCTTACCGGGGGTAAGAAGTATATTCAGAAGCAGGGCAAGAAGTTTGGTGTGGATGAAGTTGTTTTCGATAAAGATTCTCGTCAAGATTATTTGACAGGTTTCCATAAACGAAAAGTCCAGAGACAGAAGAAAGCACAAGTATACATTAAAGAACAGGAAAGATTAGCCAGAATAGAAGAGAGAAAGAGAATACGGGATGAAAGAAAGCAAGATTTACAAGAACAGTTAACGAAGTTTAATGAAACCGTGAAGGAAATTACTCACTATATGGAATCTGGTGATGAAGAAGAGGATGACAGCTGGGATGGATTTAAGGATGATCTACTGGTAAACAAAGACAGTGAAAACGGACCAGAAGATAGTGGTGTGGATGATAAAGGCATTGCAAAGGCCAAACCGGTTCCCCGTGGGATACTAAGACATGAAGAAGTGTATAAGATTGAAGATCCTACGCTGTTTGCCGAAACCGATGCTGTCATAGACGAAGACACTACCGTGACAGTTGAGTCAATGGATAATCCGATGATGGCCAGCATTCAGCAGATCAGTTTGGAAGCCAAAGCTAAAGCTAACTTTGTTGATTTAAGTAAAGCTGATGAAATCCTAGACCAATCGATAAAGAGAGCCCAAAATTACGCTGTGATCACTGGGGCTGCCAAACCATCACACAAGGATAAGGTGAAACGGAAGAAGTTCAGGTATTTGACTAAAACAGAAAGAAGAGACAACAACTCCAAGCAAAAGTTGAAGAAGCTCAAATCCAGAAAAAGAGCTTTGGATTAATACACCTAGAAATCTAAACTTACTTTCATAATATACAATTGCATAACTACTAAGTATCGCAAGCTTCTCCCGTAGAACTTAGTCCTCTTTGAGGTTATGACTGCTTTCTAGGGTATCTATTGGTGCTGAAAAACCCAAAGACGTGTCTAATCCAAAACCACATCTCAGTAGCATATAAGTGGGCCTGGGAAAAATTTTCAAATTATCAACTAGCTATCATTCTGGTAATGAGTATGTATACGTTTTAAATTGCTCGATATGGATGTTTACGTGATGACAAGCTGTCGCCCCAGACGGAGGATCCTTTTCAGGACTATGACCGATTCGATTTATTAGCCAAACACTGAAAATTCTGAACTTTACAACCAATATCAGCAATACCAAGGTTGATTTTTAAGACGACAATATTAACAATTGCTTTCTAGATGCTTGTTGACCTCATAATCGCTATCGTGTGTAGTTAATATATGACGTTACGATAACAAGATTTCCGTCATTGGTTTCTCCAACAACACATGTTTAATGTCCCTGTTCACCTCTTAAATGGCTAATGATGTTTCCATGCTAATCATGAATACTTCTGATTACAACATACCGTGATCTAATCACAACTGAAGCCTTCAACAAATGTAGCTTTTTCAGTTTAGCTTACAAACTGTGACGAACTCAATATATGTGTCGTCCATGTATTCTCTCAGTCATACGTTTCTGGATATCTCTGGAACGACCACTAGAGCATAACCACTCTAAATTCAGTCTCGGTTACCACTTTTGGGGAGGTCACTATGTGTTGTCCCATTGTGTACCTGAAAGGCTATGCAGACAATTGTTTTAGACATCGCGGTCGGACCCAAACAAATTATTGACGGGTTCTTACAACTAAATAGATGAATTAAAAAACCAGTATGGAAGACCAGCTAGATGCAATTATATTTGACACAATCGTGCCGTTGCCATACAGGATCCTTTTTCTCATTCAATTGGGCCATCTACTATGGTATTTGATAGTTTATGGATGCTACAATATAAATGGCATAAACGTACTTCAGTTGATAAATTTATCATATTCCTCACATAATTACCCTCAGCTAGGAGAATCCCCTGCAGTAGGAGAGCAGGCTACTATATCAGTGGCTGACCCTAAAGAAAACAGCTTATTACTCAAGGGAATTTGGTTCAATCTTAGAGTTATTTCTATCAATACAATGGTGTCTTTCATAATTTTCAAGATTATACAAATACTTTTCAGCGATGAAACTCATCATGTCACATTGGTTTTGATCTATCACCTAATACCTTTGGTCACAATGTTGATAATAAGCTACAAAATCTTTAGCAAACCCAGTGATAAGTCGGTAGGTAAATTAAGACTATCCACCACAATGAAGAGGATTTTGTCTGGCAATATCAACTCCAAACTGATGAGAACAAACGATATATTGATCAGTGATAGTTTGGTATCATATTCTAAGGTCTTAAATGATATTGGAATCTTTATTTGGCACTATTTTGTCTCCGACGAATTGCCTTATAATAGTTTTCTAGAGCTCTTTGTGCTCTGTTTACCTGCTTTGATAAGAATAAGACAATGTTGGCAAGAGTTCCTTTTGACAAGACAAAGATCTCATATGTTGAATTTGATGAAATACACTACAGGAATTGCTCCTATCTTTATCAACTTTTTGATCAAGTTTAACGTACAAGAGTATGGAGAAGACAATGATGCGGGTAAAGAAATGCATCTCCATCTTTTGAAAATATTGAATGTTTGGTGGTATTTGTGTTCGTTCATAAACTCTACATACTCATTTATTTGGGATGTAAGAATGGACTGGGGATTTGAAACCTTTGACTACTTCTTAAAGAAATCAAGTTTCACACTTCGCTCTCCAGACAAGCTCATTTACAGAAAGCCCATAATTTATTACCTGGGAATAACAGTGGATTTTCTCTTGAGATATATCTGGGTGTTGAAGTTTTACACCCAAAGAGAAGCTGAAGATAAACCCATAATTACTAGAGTTGGATTATTTTTGTTTGGATACGATGCATTCTCATTTGGGTATTCTTTAATAGAGGTGTTAGAAATTTTCAGACGGTTCATGTGGTGCTTCTTCAAGCTAGAAAATGACTGGTTCAAGTTGGACCCCCAGTATACCACTTTGACAAATAATGTTGAGTTGATGAAAATGGGATAGACATATAGGTTTCCATTATTACAGTTAGCATTAGCATTTGCTTACCTCTTGAGCTTTTCTAAAAAGTGATCGTGTGTATTTAAATGTACATAAAACATGTAATATTCTTCATGCAATTAGTGGAAACTGAACCAATATGGAACTTTATAGGGCCTGCTTAAAGGTTGTTGTCTATCCATTTTTGAGAGGCATTCCTCCAGGCCAAGTCAGCTTTAGGACTCATTCTATCTTCACTAATAAATCTGTATTTTAAGGGAGACTTGATCAAAGTATAAATCACAAACACAGAAGACATGGCTCCTATAGCCCATCCATTCAACTTGGGTGCGTGGTGTCCACTCATGATGTTTGAATGAAAATGCTAGTTGTATTTAAATCAGTTTTGGTTGGCTGAGCGAGCGCAGTGATGAAGAGAAAATCTGCTGGACACGACCAGGTTTACTTAAATTGTTGTAGAGGTTGTGTGGTGTAGCTTGAAGGGATACTAGACAAAAGTTAAATGAGGCAGCGATCTAGCAGAGTTTTACTCTTGTACTTGAGAAAATTCAAACTAGTCTTTGCTAAGGTAGCTTGGTACTTGGTGCCATATGAGCCTATGACTAGAGACTTCTGCTTATTTCTTGAACGCCAAAAATTAACAAAATTGGGCATTATCATTGTGTACACAGGTAACAAAGGTATGTACCATTAAGCTACTAATCATGACGCCGTAGCGCTCAAATGGAAATATCCTTTAAAACTACAACTTACCATCAAGTGTCGTGAGATCTGCTGGTGCGAGAAAAAAAAATCTGAAAAATCCATCAACAACCCGGTGAAAAATTCTAACTAGACGTCGCTTGTCATACAATAACCTTGCAAGAGTATTAGTATGTTGTCAAGATCGTTTAACATATTGAGAGGTAAACCTTGGGGGTTCAGTCTAGTGCCCGTAAGAACTTACCAGGTTTCCAGAAACGACGAATCTTTAAAAACTGAATATGATGATATAACCAATTACGGAAGCTACAAAAACACCATTTTCACACACAGATTGCCCGAGTCTACGGCCCAACAATCTCCACCACTAGTAGCATTGCATTTCAGATTGAACTTGCCTAAGACTTATCAATTTTCCACATTATCCCAAGCGTTGAACATGATAAAATATGAGGGATTAGCCAATAACTATGGCTTAAACACATTAGGGAAGACCTTATTATCGTATTACGTATCGGAATACTTGTTGGTGCGGTACCCAAGATTACCTATGCCAATCCACAATGCTGCTGTTGACTCTTTAATGGGGGTTGAAAGTTTGTATGAGTTGGGTAAAGCTTGGGGTATTCAAGTCGATACTACGTCAAAATTGGACAAGAAGTTGTCCCTAGAATCTGAGTTCTTACAGTACGGAAGGTTACGGTTCTTGTCAGATCAAGATAAGAATCAATTCACTGAAGAAGGTATAATAGAGTTGAACTTACAAGAGGCTCGTACCCTCAATCCAAACACAAACCACTTTATTTCTAGAGAACATGATGCCTATGCCTCCGCAGTAAGATCAATCATCGGTGGCTTGTATACCCATTGCGGTGAAACCGTGACCAAAAAGTTCATTGATGATCACATCTTATCCAGAAAATTGCTCTTGGAAAACATGTTTCAATTCTCTCAACCTACTCGAGAATTGGCCAGATTGTGTGAAAAGTTGAACTTCAAGGAACCCCTTCAAATCAGATTAATGGCGGAAACTGGTAGATTATCGAGCCATGCTATTTACGTGGCAGGTGTGTTTGTGGGAACTGAAAAGCTTGGTGAGGGAGTAGGATCATCTCTTAATGAAGCTAAAACTAGAGCCGTTGTTAATTCTTTGATGTCGTACTACTTATACACTCCAATTAATGAAGAAGGTAACCCCGTGAAATTGCCCAGTGATACAGATTACAAGCTTGAGGGGATTATTGGCGATGGAGATGTGGCCATCTGATTCATTATTCTGTAAATATTGTATATAGCCAAAACTAGACAGATACTGAATTCAAGACATTGCAAAATCAAGCAGTTGACAGCCGCACAGCTGGAGTCAAAGAATTTATTGCCCTAATAAACTTGGGTGAGAAAAAAAAAACTGAGAAGAGCTAACCAAAGTTATTCTTTAAACTTAAACGACTTTATCCCCACTAAACTTCTCATGTCTAGCACACAGTTGAACATTCTTGTGATCGGTAACGGTGCCAGAGAACACGCAATTGTCTGGAAGTTGGCACAGTCCAAGTCCGTGAGTAAAATCTATGTTGCACCTGGAAATGGTGGTACTCAAGTATCTGACAAGGTTGTTAATGTTCCTGAATTGTCCGGTTCTCCTAAATGCTTTGAAGCGTTGGCGAAGTTTTCTCTTGAGCACCAAATAAACTTGGCTATTCCTGGACCAGAACAACCTTTGGTTGATGGAATTTCAACTGTGTTCACCAAGATTGGGGTACCAGTGTTTGGACCCTCTGAAAAAGCTGCTGTGATGGAGGGATCCAAAGCATTTTCGAAAGTATTTATGGATAAACACAACATTCCTACTGCTAGATTCAAGAACTTCACTTCCGTTGAGGATGCTAAGAAGCACATCCAAGAGATCGATTACAACATTGTCTTGAAAGCTGATGGACTTGCTGCTGGAAAAGGTGTATTGATTCCAGAAACTAAACAAGAGGCCTTGCAAGGATTAGACGAGATTATGGTGGCTAAAAACTTTGGAAGTGCAGGAGATGAGATCGTTATTGAAGAATACTTAGAAGGTGATGAATTATCTATTTTAACCATCACTGATGGTTACTCTTTTTTCAACTTACCAGCTGCTCAGGACCACAAAAGAATTGGCGATGGTGATAAGGGCTTGAACACCGGAGGAATGGGTGCCTATGCACCTGCTCCAATCGCCACTCCAGAAGTTTTGGCCAAGATCGACAGCAAAATCATCAAACCAACCATTGACGGAATGAGACAAGATGGTTACCCAATGTGTGGTGTTTTGTTCACTGGTATTATGTTGTCGCCCACCAAAGAACCCAAAGTATTGGAGTACAACGTGCGTTTTGGAGACCCTGAAACCCAAACTGTTTTGCCATTGTTAACTGAAGACACTGATTTGGCTCAGGTGTTCTTGGCTTGTGCTGAACACAGATTGGACTCTGCCAAGATCGAGCTTAAACCTAACACATTTTCTACAACTATCGTGATGTCTGCTGCTGGATATCCTGAATCATATCCTAAAGGTGACGAGATTACCGTTAAGACCCCTCTACCAGCTGACACTTATGTTTTCCATGCTGGTACTGCTGAAAAAAACGGTAAAATAGTTACTGCTGGTGGCCGTGTAATTGGTTCAACTGCAACTGGTAGTACCGTAAAAGAAGCTGTTGAAAAGGCTTACGCAGGTGTGGAATATGTTAAGTTTGAAGGTAAGTACAACAGAACAGATATTGCACACAGAGCCTTCAGAGATGCTGAGGTGGCTTCCAAGAAGGCTGGTGTCACATATGAAGAATCTGGTGTTTCTGTTGACAAAGGTAACTTATTGGTAGAGAAAATCAAGGCCAAGGTGAAGTCGACTGCCAGACCTGGTGCCGATTCTGATATCGGTGGATTCGGTGGATTGTTTGACTTAGCTCAAGCTGGATATAAAACTGCCGACACATTATTGGTGGGTGCCACCGATGGAGTTGGTACTAAATTAAGAGTTGCACAAATCATGGACATTCATGACACTGTCGGTATCGACTTAGTGGCAATGAACGTCAATGATTTAGTAGTACAGGGTGCTGAACCATTGATGTTCTTGGACTACTTTGCAACTGCCAAGTTAGATATCAAAGTGGCTGCAGATTTTGTTTCAGGAGTGGCTGATGGATGTATCCAAGCTGGGTGTGCCTTGGTCGGAGGAGAAACCAGTGAAATGCCTGGTATGTACGCCCCGGCCATTATGATACCAACGGTACTGCTGTTGGGGCTGTCCAGAAAGACAAGGTTTTGCCCTTTGTTGAAAAAATGCAGGCCGGTAACGTGATTATTGGATTGAAGGCTAACGGATTACATTCCAACGGTTACAGTTTGATCAGACATTTGATTGAGTCTTCTACAGACTATGACTACACTTCTCCTGCACCATTCTCCACAACTGGAAAAACTCTCGGTGAAGAGATTTTAACCCCTACGAAAATCTATGTCAAGCAAGTGCTTGCAGTGATCAAAGAAGATTTGACCTTGGGATTGGCTAACATTACTGGTGGAGGTTTAGTGGAAAATATTCCAAGATGTTTGCCTAAGCATTTACAAGCTGTGTTGGATATCAACACTTGGGAAGTTCCGGAAATATTCAAATGGTTTGGTCAACTAGGAAATATTCCATATGCCGATATCTTGAAGACTCTTAACTTGGGTATTGGTATTGTGTTGGTGGTGGAAAAGCATAATGTTGAAGAGGCTAAGCGCATTTTAGTGCAACAAGGCGAAGAGCCAATTGAAATCGGTGTTTTGGTGGAAAAATCCAATGCTGATGATGCTGGATGTATTGTTAACAACATTGACGGGTTATACTAAGCAACCCGTAGAAACGTTATTTTTTGTATTGTAATAGAGATGTCCCATTATTTAAGTTTCGGAGCGATGATTCCTAAGCTACCATCGGACTATCAATAGTTTTTCCCGATTGGGAACCCGACTGAGACTATTAGTAAGCTGACTGCAACGGCTTCAATTAGGGTTATACATTTATACCTGTCGTTTTGCTCCTCGAAAACCGTTACGGATATTTGAGCCTCAGCGTTCCGCTAGCTTGTATTACTAAGTAGTTTGGCTCTTGGTTAAGGATAGGCTGCCCAAACTATATCAAATCTTACTAAGCATCCAACGGCGATCGCGAGAGCATTAGCAACAGAATTCCTACCTGAATCAGATTAATAGTAATCTATATTCCCAATTCAATACAGCTGTAACGGACCTAAATTAAGCTCAGGTGATCCTAGTAGCCAGACAGCCACAGTAACCTTCTTCGCAAAAATTGTCCTATTTGGTTTGTGGCAAGAAATTGAGCAGAGGTGAAAAAAAAACTTTAGCACCTAATCTTGGCTGTGGAATATACAATTTCCTACCTCCACAAATCGTGCCAACCCTCATAACTGCTATGGGATTATTGTCGTTGGGAACGCCTCTCGATTGGTACGAATCTAGAAAGCATAATGAACACGTGAGAGATAATGGAATATCCCAATTGATCAATATCTTTGCCCAGCATCAGAACAGAGATAATGATAAATTCTATTGGGGAGACGAAGTGGAATACATGCTAGTGGAACTTGACGATAATAAGAAAACCGTCAAGTTGAACATCGACTACGATCACATCATTGACGACTTGAATAATAGTGCATTAGAAGTGGGTCAGAAAGCGGTGCAAAATAATGTTGCTTTCCACCCAGAATACGGTAGATACATGGTAGAGGCAACTCCATTGGCTCCTTTTGATGGTAATATCCTAGGCCATTACTTGGAGGTAGAGAGTAATATGCGGATGAGACGATTTTTAAGTCAGACTCAGTTGCCTGCTAATATCCGACTCTTGACATTGACTTCGTTTCCAAGAATGGGATGCCCCGGATTCACCAGTCCCCAGGCCAAGCCTATTGGACCTGCGTCTCAGTCATTGTTTCTTCCTGATGAAATAATCAACCGGCATGCTAGATTTCCTACTTTAACTGCTAATATTAGAAAGAGGAGAGGTTGTAAAGTTGCAATCAACTTACCAATGTACCCTGACAAAAACACGAAATTACTTGATGACAGTATTCCAGACAGGGAATTATTCGATAGTGATGCCGAGTATAGGTGGGCATCTAAGCCAGGTCATGTTTACATGGATTCCATGGGCTTTGGAATGGGTCTGTCATGTTTACAAATGACAATGCAAGCTAAGAACATTGACGAAGCTCGGTATTTGTACGATGCCTTGGCTCCTGTCACCCCATTATTCTTGGCCTTAAGTGCAGCTGCACCTATTTTTAAGGGCTTTTTGGTCAACCAGGACGTACGGTGGAATGTCATTAGTGGTGCTGTCGATGATCGTACTTTTGTGGAGAGAGACTTAGACCCTTTCCCAGGTTACGATTATTTTGGAGGACTAGATATCGATAAAAGTGTCAAAAGTCACCTTCAAAAAATGGGTGGGGGCCGTGGAATAAATGGTGACAGAGTGTTTAACGTTTACGGTGATACTAAATTGGCTACCAATGATGGTAAACTGGTCCAAAAGATCCCCAAGAGCCGGTATGCTTCAATAGATAATTACTTGGTTAATGAGTCTGAGATTGACAAGAATTTCAACGATATTTATTCACCAATTAACCAACCCGTGCTCCAAAAGTTGCTCAAGGCTGGTTTTGATCCTATTATGGCCAAACATTTTGCACATTTATTTATTAGGGATCCTTTAGTGTTGTTCAGTGAAAGAGTTGATCAAGATAACACTCTTGAAAATGATCATTTTGAAAATATCCAGTCCACCAACTGGCAAACTTTGCGGTTTAAGCCTCCATCATTGTATAGTACAGCTGACGTGGGAGATTTGAAGAATAAACCAGGATGGAGAGTTGAGTTTAGACCAACAGAAATTCAGTTGACCGACTTTGAAAATGCTGCTTATACTTCATTCATCATCTTGCTTTCCAAAGCTATTTTACGGTTCAGACCTGATTTCTACATTGGAATTCTGAAGATCGATGAAAACATGGACACTGCTCATAAGGTTGATGCCGTAACAGATGACAAGTTTTGGTATAAGAGCTTCAATCACTGGAGATTGGATGCAAATGAATTCCACGGCTATGATTTGTCCTGGTTTGACCGGTTCATCAATGAAGGAAATGACTTGGAAGCCTACAAACAAGGATATTACAATGAACCAGTCCACAACGCAGAGTTGACTCCTGACTGCATCAAGCACATTCCATGCGTCAACAATGCTTGCAAGTATACAATGAATGAACTTATCAACGGTAATGACTCACACCCTGGGTTGTTGCGGTTAATTATAAAGTTAATTGCTATTGATTTGGTACCCAATACCTTGAAGCATTGTGACTCTAAGATATTGGCCTTGAAGCTTGAAAGAATCAAACACTATTTAATGTTCGTGTCTAAAAGAGCATCAGGAAAGGTTCCTACCATTGCTCATTTCTTAAGATCCAAGGTGTTGAATTCTCCCCATTACCACAAGGATTCTAAGGTACTGGATGCTCTTAATTATGACCTCATCAAGCTTTGTGATGGGATAACTAAACTCGACTTCGAGAATTACCATGACGAACTTTATGAGTATTTCGGAACAGCGGTAGCCTCGTACGTTGAAACTAATAGAGAGGTTTCGTTTGAGACTGTCTAGTAATTAAATACAAATGTGTAGTACGATAAGTATATAAAGTAGTAGACAATGCGCATTTGGGTTTTGTGTCAGTTATTTTTTACTTCAAATCGCTGCGCATCACGCTTTGAAATTTGTTGACAGTTTATACCCACAAGCAGCTTAATTTAGAAGGTTTTATTTGTTTATACTACCCGTTTCATTATCTGTTAGACTACTCGTTACAAGAATTTTCAATGGGTATTTTTGATAACGTCAAAGCTTTTGTGCACTCCATCACCACCGATGATCACTACGCGTCTTATGACTCTCCTTATAGAGACTCCGTCATAAACAACAATTCCAACTTGGTTGGTGGAAACAATTTGAATTCTTCCCAAACTAGATTGAATGAGCTTAACAATGGATCGTCTGCTTCTTTGGTTCCTGGTGCTGAAGGTGGCTCTGAAGCTGGTAAACAAGCTCCATTTGTCACTTATAGACCAGGATTGCGGTCTTCCAACACAAACTTGAACGGTTCAGATTTGCAGTTGCAGAGCTTGAACCGTAATGGACAACCTCCTTTACCATCCATCGACTCTTTATGGGAGCGCTTGGCGAAATGGTTAGATGAAGAATATCCAGAATTATATGATAGCCTTAATGACGGTGTGACAACAGCTGATTTGAATGAATTTGAAAAAGACTTGGGATGCGGGGCGCTTCCAGTGGAACTTAGACAATTATACAAGAAATGTGATGGTCAATTTAGTGGTGGAAAACCGACTGGTTTATTTATGGGTTTGGTGTTTTTAGATCTCGAAAGCATCATTGAAGAACACACTATTTGGACCAAAGTAGCTGAAAAATTAGAAAGACAACAGTATTACATTCAAAAACAACAGAAGCAACAACTCAAAGTCGATGATTCACCACTCATGGCTGATTCTACCGACGTCGGTTCATCGGTTGAAGGAATCAAGGCCAAATTGGTCGGTTTGGATATCAACAACAACTTCATTGCCAATCAAAGGTCTATACCTCCAAACTCTATTCAACCATACTATTCCCACAAAGGTTGGGTCCCTATATGCAGGGACTACTTTGGTAACCAGATTGCTGTTGATTTGGCTCCAGGTGCTACTGGTTCTTGGGGTCAGGTGATTGTCTTCGGTAGAGATTTCGACACCAAATTAGTGATTGCTTCCAACTTGCAAGAATTCTTGTTCATTTTCGTATCTGATTTGGAAAACGGAAATTACAAGATTGACCAGTCGGAAATCGATGCTTCTTTTGGCTACTTAGAAGCATCTAGAAATGATGATGACTTTATTGGAGATGAAGATGAAGGTGAAGGAGAATTACTCTTCTATGATAAAGATAATGAGTTTGGAAAATCTGGTAATCCTTTAACGTATTTGGATGTGTTGAAGAGGAGAACGTTGAAAAAACATGGCATCACCAATGTAAATCATTTTGTCACATCGTTTGTGCCTCAACCAACCAAAAGGCAAGAAAGACCCACTGAATCGCATTCTGCTGGTGCCTCCAATACTGATTTATCAAATACTCCCAGCCCTATAATCAATTTGGAAAGCACAAGTAAGGTTAATTTACCAAAGGAAACTATTATCGACGATAAGTCCAACATTACGGAAGAAGCTAATGAAGAGACCAAACCAGAAGAAGCTGAAGTGACTGAAACTAAAACACCTGAAGTCAATGAAACCGAAGAAACTAAAGATGAACCTACTGCCGATGCTTCTGAAGAGTTGAAGACAGTTGACTTATAAAACATGATAGTCCCATAGTTTGTATGCTTGTATAATACTCAAATCAAATATCTTAAATCGAAATCGCGCGGCCTTCAACTTATTGTTAATCCACTATACTTAAATGAATAGCTCCGGAAGGTGGGATAGAAGCCCTCCATTCCCTGAACCTACAACTGATATCTCTGATGTCAACCATGTGTACAATTCTGCTAATGGGTCGGGAATCCACTCAGTAGATGTGTCGTACAATCCAAATCAAACTCCTCAACATGAGTTGCAAACACAAGATGCCATACCCGAATCTGAGTTGATTGATTCCATCACCAGCGCTAATGTTTCTGAACGACAGAACCCATTTTTGGACGACCAAGATAACTACCATAGTGTCGAAGTCAACGACGAAGAGTCTACAAATAAATCGGATATTCTTGAAGAGCCTACCATGGAACAAATCCAACAAGTGTATTACGCTAGAGGCTTAAAAGAGATCGAATCATTAGACTTGCATGACTTATCCCCATTGGCAAATTGGAAGTTGTCTTCTCTCAAACAGGGCTTTGGCTTGGCACAACTCCGAGATGATACTCCTAATATGTATTGGCAAAGTGATGGGAGTAATGGAACAAATAATTCGAACTCCAGCAATAACGGTGCAATCACCAATAATCAACTTAGTAATCCCCACTCGATCACCATTCAGTTCTCCAAAAGGGTATCTTTGGAACGAATCTCGTTGTTCACAAATTATAATTTAGATGAATCTTATACTCCATCTAAAATTAAGGTTTTAGCAGGTAGCTCAGATGGCTGGGATTTGAGTGAAGTTTGTACAGTGAATTTCAGTAAACCAGTGGGATGGTCTCATATTATATTCAGTGGCATTCGTAATGATCGGGTGTTGAAGTGTTTTATGGTGAAGTTGGTGATCTTGGCTAACCACCAGGATGGGAAAGATACCCACATCAGAGCCTTAAAGTGCTATGGTAAGAAATCGTCTCTTAACAATAAGTATATGAGTGATAATGGGAATCATAATTTGACTGACGAAGAGGTCTTGAAAGATTTGAGCTTAAATAGTGCTGGAATGAGCAATTCGGGCCTTCTGTTGAATAACCAATTGTCTTTGAGTTACGAAAATAGACTCAGATACTTTATGCATAGTAACAGTAACATTGATGTTAATAATACCAACGATGATACTGATCAAGAAGATGACGTCGATGATCCAAACTTACCTATTGACCAAGAAACTTCCAGGATCTTGGGAAACGCATCTGATGTGATAGGATTTAATACTGGTTTTCTGAGTGTATCTTTGAAGAGTGTTTCGTCCATCAGATAATTCATATTTGCACTTGTTCTTAGCTCTGTATAGATTATGAAAATATGTAAATAAATTTAACCAGGTTACGCCTGAATCTTTAAAGAAAAGTCAATAATTCCACAACCCTGATGGATAGAAGAAGTTGAGTAAATGTCAATGTCATTGCACAAGTAGGAACCCAAGTTTTGTAAGGTCAAGCCACCAGAGCACTCCAACAAGAAAGACTTATTTTGACCTTGGTATTTCCTTTTCAAGCTCTGCGCTGCAACTTGTAGAGCGGGACCAGTGAAATTGTCCAACATTATAACATCAGCACCAGCATCAATGGCTTCACAGGCATCCTCTTCAGTGCTAACTTCAACCTCGATTTTGACTGCAAACCCACAAACAGATCTTGCACTTTGAACAGCCTTTGTGATACTTCCAGTTGAAGTAACATGATTGTCTTTCAACATCACCATAGAACTCAAATCATACCGGTGAGTATCCACACCTCCAACTAACATTGAGTACTTTTCAAGAACCCTTAAGCCTGGTGTGGTCTTTCTAGTTCCAGCAATAAGCCCTTTGTATCCGACTTCATCTGCTAATTGCTTGGTTATATAGGATTGAGTAGCAATTCCTGAAGATCTAGCTAATAAGTTCAAGGCTGTTCTTTCAGCTAATAAAATGTGATTGGCAGGTCCGGTGACGATGGCCACCACAATTTTGCCCTTATTCTCGGCTAACTCCTCTGAAGTAATGTACTGGGCTTCCTCGTAATGCCATTGTACCGAGAGGTTACACTGCTTAAAAACCTCGGCGGCGAAAGGTATACCTGAAATCAACCCACTTTGTTTCATATACAAGTATGCTGTCTCTTGTTTAGTTCCCACCACAAACCCACCAAAGTCGAACGAAGGAACATCTTCCAGTAAAAAGTCTGTGATCTGTTGCTTCCATTTTCCGTTAGCAGGAAGCAAATTGGCGTATGGAGAAGACATGGTTCGGTAGTATTGTCCAATTTTTTTCCTCGCGCTGGATACTCCATTTATCTGGGGAAGCCCGAAGATTAAGCATCATGAAGTTCAAGAAATCGACAATAAAACCCAAGAACCCCAAGGCTAAAGTCCAAGGTTCTTTAGGGTTTAAGAGTGGCGAATCCCATTTGAACCAGACGAAAACATGCCCGGAGTGTGGGATGACGTTCTATAAGCTAGTTAAGAAGGATCAAGAAATCCACCAACAGTACCATAAGACTTTTGTCAACGGCGTCACGTGGCAATGGAATATTGATCCCAAGAAAATATTGGGTGAATATACGATACAAACGGCAACTGGTTTGAAAAAGAAGAATGCAAAGGTTAAGGTGATAAGTGTTGATAAGCAGCTGGATCTGCAAATACGACGCGTAGACGATACGCTAAAAATGGTAAACCTCGAACTCAATGCTCCCAGTGGTTCTGACGCCTGGAAGACCAGTAAATCTTCTTTGGTGACCCCGAAGGCTTTTATAGCGGTGCTTGATTCCCATATAATTGGAATATGTACCACTGAGGCCATTGAAGATCCTGAGAAGCAGTCTAGGTGGATGATACTTCGAACCCAAACTATAGTCCCCAAACAATGCAACCGAAGCGCTAAGCTTGGGGTCTCACGAATATGGGTGGCTCCTTTGTGGAGACGCTATGGTATTGCCAGTAGATTATTGGAAATAGTACTAACCAACTCAGTATATGGAGTTAAGCTCACGAGAAGTCAAGTTGCATTTAGTCAACCCAGTACAAATGGAGGATTACTAGTGCAGAAGTTCAATGGCATCGTGCACAAGAGCGGTGAAATGATTTTGCCCGTGTATTTAGAATAAATATTAGTCGTTACTGAATACAGTCTTGCTACTAGCTGTACTGATTAGCTGTTCAAAATAGGCATAGAATGATGCACTTATACTTCCAGCAACGGCTACCTTGATACCTCTGGGGAAGTATCCTTTGTACAACCCCGAGAATCCGTGTTCAAGAACAATTTTGTATGCTGTGCTTAATGAATCCTTATAAGCAGTGTGACTATTCTTCAGCTGCATATAAGACTTCACCACATCGATTGGTTGAGTAGTGACGATCACCACAGCCGCTGCTACCAATTGCAACCCTAAATATTGATAAAGGGTGTACTGTTCAGAAAACCAACCTTCACCAGACTTATGATGGGGCAAAAATACTTGCTTGGTAGTATTGTAACTGGATAACCAAATGGATGAAATCATAGTCTGTCTGACAATGGTGATTAGACTTCCATACATGAATCCTTTTGGTCCTTTGATCGAATATATTTCTCGTACCGTTCCCCAAAATGTCAAAGAAGGATTCTTATTGTACTTGTGTTTCAAAGCATCCATCTTTGTGTGTTTCACTAGATGAGTCGATGAGAACTTCGATGGGTTCACTCCCCTGAAGCTGGCTAGCACTTCAGACGTAAAGTACGCGTGTGGCGATATGTACTGCTTGTTGAAGATGTTCTGCGGTGGTTTATGGTGCTTCCCCGGAATAGAGTATCCTGTGACATCCACATTAGAACCGATTTCTTTGACCTTGGTAATTTCGTTGTATAGCAGCATGTTTTGAATCATTGTAATCTTAATATTCTCAAATGGTATGATACATATAGTTTCAATGAACCCACTCATGATCCCAGCAATCACGATTCGAGGAGCAGTTGTCTTTTTGATATGATTGCCATGGGAATCCGTAGTTTCAAGCGACATAAAGTTGGACAGCCAATGATACAGAAATATTCTGGCTGAATTCTTCACCATGCTTCCGATCACAAAGGCACTGCATCCTTTGAACAAATGGGATAAAGAAGTTGGAGAATTGGATGGGATTTTGTATTTGGCCGCAACCTTAGCATTGTTCAATTGAGTTTGGGTTTTGATGAAATCTAAAGGGTACAAAAGTGATCCTGTCAAAGCTGCAGTTGAAGTGCCCGATACAAGAGCCGTCAATAAGCTATCATCAAGTGAGCTATCGTGTTGAGACTCTGCAAGGCGATTCATGATAAAGATAATATGAAGTAGAATAAGTCGCGCTCTCCATACTTTTTATGTTTTGGTGTTGATGAGTTCTGATAAACACCCCTACATTCACAGCAACACGGAACCATCGACGCCGTTGCGGTACCGTCGACCTCAGAACCCAATTGGTGGATTAGCAGCTCCGCAATCGACCTCTCGGGTCGATGAAATCCATCTCCCTCCTACAGAGCTAACAACTGTATATAACTCCATAAAGAGAAGACGAATACTGCTAGGAAACCTGAGACCTAATGGAGAATTGGGAATCAGATCACAACCACGAATACGAATCAGTACTCCATTACGAGATATTCACCGACTCAGAACCAAATTACAAAGTCCGTTGTCCGCCAAACGTAGAAGGTCCTCAATTATATTGCAGACAGATGGATCAGTGACATTCAATCCTTCGTACACAGGCCCAGTGACTCTTGACTATCTTCGATTCTTTTGCAAGGTAACCTTGGAAGAGCAATCGAAAGAGGAGACCTCAAGTAAATCTCAGAATAAGGAGACTGGTGTCCACCCAAACTTGACAACAGATCTTAAAATCCCAACCACAGTGACAACACAAGAACTGTCGTCCGACAATGAACATACTACAAACCAAAGTTTTATACTAGCGGGTAATACCGATGTTCTCTTTGGGTCTCCTGAATCTGTGGTTGCTTCTGACAATTTCATCCAAGATAATCCATTTATTGAGCCACTAAAAGAAGCTAATCAACCTACAAGATCTTTTTCTTATTTGGAAAGAATTTTAGCTTCTCAAGCAACAAGGAACAGTCTGGCAGTGACTCAGATCGTGAACGATAAATTACTCGCTAATGCTAGCCTACCGGATAAATTTAAATCACTGAACCATGGTGATACAAAAGTGTCGTTTATATCTCCTGAAAAAGGCCTAGAGTCCACCCAACGGTCTCCATCAGTCTCAACAGCCATTAATGATGAGATTCCTATGGAGGAATTGGCTGTGTTGCTGAATAACGAAGAAGAGTCACAATCCGGTTCACCTTCAGTGTTTGTACCCCAAGAAGACGATATATCAGATCATCTGGAGATGATCCAGATCAATTCACCTACATTTTCACCTACACAACCTGAGAGTTTTGAAGATGATATACCCGTTGAAGGAGACAATCATTCAGCTGGTTTTCCTGGTGATTCATCCGATGATCACGATATGTTTGGCTACACTCCCCTTGACCAGGTGCATAAATTCGACAATGATATATTACCCAGAATTGATGATACTTCAATTATAGATAAACCCTATTTGGTTAGTAGAGTTTCTGGGAAGACAAATAGTGAAAATTCAAACGGATTGGACTCAGATTATGGTCTTTCCCGTAAAACCATTAAGAGTTTGCTTGGCTCCTTAACTTTGGAAAATAATAAGAAGCGTAAACGTCTCAAATCAACCTCGGAAGCTTTGGGTTTGGTGCAACAGCAGTCAGAAACGTTTCTTACAAATTTGACATCTGATTTAGAAGTTTACGCTAGACACAGGGGTGGAACAGAGATCACCATACGAGATGTGATGCTCTTCATACGCCGATTGAAGTACCCAACAGTAAACGGTGCTAGAGCTAATAATGTGAACTATTTTTCAGAGCTTGCTGGTAAACACTTGCCACTTGAGCTGTTGATGGAGTTAAATAATTGCCTCAAAAACACGTATTACACCAACATGGTGGAAGTTGATGACCAAGACCTTGACGATTCCGACATTAATGAAGACCCCTCTATAGAAAATTTCACTGACGATTCTAGCTAGAATCTATACTCGTATAATAGTGTATATATATTTACAGATAGAATTTCATCTCACGTTATTTGTTGAATATTGAATATCAAGCAATTCCTCTTTGAGAGGCCAATATTGATTGTTTGCCCTTTACCAACTGGAATAATTCAAAAATTGCCGCTGGTGTTACCCCTTGTATTCTTCTTGCTTGTCCAATTGTCTCAGGTTGAATAGTATTAAGTAAATGGCACACTTCATATGAAATTTTCAAGTTCCCTTCATTAGTGTAATTGTAATTTAAGGGTAAAAGAAGATTTTCATCTGCCTCATATGCTTTGAGATGGGCTTCCTCTTTCTTCATCCAAGGATCATAGGAGCTTTCAATATTGATTCTCTGAAGTAAACGAGAGTTTATCTGTTGGTAGAATTGAGGTACAGTGCCATCAACGAAGGACTCAAGGTGAGGAAGAAAGTCTTCTAAGCCGATTCCCTTGTATGATAGAAGTTTCCAACCATCAACATATGCTGTTCTCTTAACGTCAGAAATCAATCCTTTCAACACTGGCGACCATCTTGCTCCTGAAAGCTTGAGATTTTGCATGTGCTCCTTGATTTGTTCGAACTGCTTGATTTCACTCTTAAACTTCAAATACCTTTCTTCACTAACAACCCCAGCGTTATAGCCTTTCTCGGTCAATCTCTTATCTGCGTTATCTGCTCTTATAGAAATTCTGAATTCAGACCGAGAAGTGAACATTCTGTATGGCTCTTCTACTCCTTTAGTAATCAAGTCGTCCACTAATACACCAATATATCCATCTGATCTGAGTATCTTCAAAGGATCTTTTCCAAGATGTGCCAAACCAGCATTTATACCCGCCAAGCAACCTTGTGATGCTGCTTCTTCATAACCAGTAGTACCATTGATTTGACCAGCTAAGAATAAACCTTCAACTAATTTAGTCTTCAATGTCACATCGAGTTCACGAGGGTCCACATAGTCATATTCGACTCCATACCCGGGCTGAACCATAGTTACATTCTCACAGCCAGGAATCATTCTTACCATTTGCTCTTGAATCTCTTCAGGCATGGTACAAGAGATCCCATTTGGATACACTAGGTCAGTGTCTAAACCTTCGGGCTCAAGCCAAACCATATGAGAAGACTTTTGTGGGAACTTGATGATCTTGGATTCGATCGAAGGACAGTATCTGGGTCCTTTGACAGTTTCTCGAATGTGAATTGACTTATCGAGATTGCTTGCAATGAGTTTATGCATTTCTGGAGTGGTGGAAGTGATGTGACAATCAACTAGGTTTTCTTGTAGATCAACCCTATCGCTCAAAAATGACATTGGTTGTGGTGGATAGTCTGAAGGTTGAACTTCTAGATTCGTATAGTCGATAGATTTTGATGACAATCTTGGAGGTGTGCCAGTTTTCAAACGTCCCAACCTGAAGCCAGCATCTTTTAGAGTCTTGGATAACCCAAAAGTTGCAGCCTCGCCTATTCTTCCAGAGGGGTATGCCTTCAAACCAATATGAATCTCTCCTCCCAAAAACGTTCCCGTAGTAATAACTACCTTGTCACATCTTAAGACTTGTCCATCACCTAATACCACTCCTTCGACGTTTCCAAATAACCTTCCTTCTGTATCCACTGACTTATCCTTAACCGGACCTATGATAATATCTTCAACTTGAGCTTCAAGTACATTTAACCCCTTGTAGTTCAAGATCTCTTTTTGCATCTCCTCGAGGTATATCTTCCGGTCGATTTGGGCTCTGGGTCCATGCACTGCTGGTCCCTTAGAAGCATTCAATATCTTGAAGTGAATTCCTGCCTTATCGGTGATCCTTGAAGCTACTCCATCTAAAGCATCAATTTCTCGGAGTAAAGTCCCCTTTCCTACTCCTCCCATCGAGGGGTTACATGACGCAGTTCCAATTTTATTGATATGGGGGGTCACTAGTGTAGTGGGAGTTCCGGTTCTAGCTGATCCAGTGGCCGCTTCGCACCCAGCATGCCCTCCACCAACTACTATAACCGGATGAAAAGGTGCCTTCTCAAGTTGACGCTGTAAGTCAGCACTGAGTGAAATTCTCCTAGAACCAATACTTAAGCAGTTTCTGAAAATACCAGAGGCTTTGTGAGGTTTATAAAATCCATGCTGTAGCATTGTGCTAGTTATATTATCAACCAGGTTTTGGTCTTCGCGCATTTTGGTTTTTCTCACCTCATCACACCGACCTTCGACAACATGACAAAGGAAGATTACGCCGGTGACGACCTTAACGATGGCCTTGAATACGAAATAGACTTATCCGATGCTCCAGAACAAGGTGGAATCCCACATGGAGCCCTTGAAAGTGAAGATGAAATTGCTGAGGCTCTGGAAATCGAAGACAACGAGGTTGCAAAATTATCCACAGAAGCCAAGGCTGGAAAGAAGAGAAAAGCCACTGATTCAAAGTTAAAGGAAAAGAAGAAGATGAAGATGGAGATTGATTTAGAACAGAAGAAACTGATCTCTAAAGAATCTTCCACTGAAGTTATTGCTGATTACATTAACAAAACAGTAGCTCAGAAGAACAAGAAATTGTCAAGTTTGGAGTTGAGTGACTTGTATATCTCCAAGAATGATATCAGATCAACTTCTGAGATTGAAGGGCCAAGAAATCTTGAAGGACTTGCTTCCTATTTGAATACCAGATTCAAGAACATGCTTCCAGCTGGTAAGAAAGGTAAACGTAGTGGTAACGATGATGAAAGAAAGTTCATTGTCATTATCTCCATGTCTGCCATCCGTGCTTGCGACGTTTATCGGTCTACCAAAAACTTGAATGGTTCATCGATAAAGTTGATCAACAAGAATAAGATAGCTGCTGATATCAAACTTCTCCAGGTATCCAAATCGAGAGTATTTTGCTGTACTCCTACAAGATTGAAAAAAGTATGCGAGCACGAAGAGAATGTGTTGAACAAAAAAGAAGTCAAGATTGTGATTCTTGATAACTCCTATCTTGATCAAAAGGGTCAAAACATATGGGATATCCCAGAAACCATACAGGTGTTAAAAGAATTGACTGATAACGGAGCAAAGGTTTATTTATATTAGGCTATGCATTTAATGGATAATAAGAATTTTTGGAAGCCGTGTAGAACTCTAATATGCTTTTAGAAATCTCTTTGAAGTCGATATCATTGATCTCAAAATCGGCAATGCTCTTGATTTCATCAAGAGGTACATTGGGGGTATTGCTTGTGAAACATGCAAGATACACGATGTTGGAGTAGATAAGATGTGCCAATGCTTTGCTGAGTTTAATATCTTTACCTAATATAACTTCATACGCTTTTGGAATCAAAATATTGTTAATGAATTCGTTCTTCTTGTTGGCAAAAATGTTATTGTTGTTATCAATGAATAGAATCCCATTCTGATAATCTTTCTCATATGATGAACTGTTTGGATTCATGAACTGAGTTGATAGATGGAACATTAAGGCACTCAACTTCAACGAAGGAGTGGATGGAAAATTTTCAATTGCACTCTCTTCTGTGTTTAAAATCGATTCAAAAACTGCTTCAAACTGATCAAAGAATGAAATTGAAGATTCATCAACAAGAGTAGGAATAGTCTCAACGATGTAGTTGGAGCATTGTTCTATTCCTGCATTGATCTTATCAACTCTTTCATTTACTGTCACCTTGTCATCTGTCAGTAACAAAATATTTTGTTTCAACATTATTAAACACTTTGTAATTGCATAAATGTTTGCTATGTTTTTACCTTCGATATTTTCGGACGCTAAAGTGCTGATTCTACAGATGAATTCGTCTATGTTCGTCCAAAACATCTTTTCAAGTGATGCTGTCAAACCACTAAATTCGTCCATCATCCTTTTTCTGCTGAACTTACCCCATTGCACTTCTACACCAGTCTCGTCTAGCGGCTTAGCTAGGTAGCTGGTCAATTCAACCAAGTCGAACTTGAATTTTGGCTCTTCTTTAGTCTCTAGCAACAATAAAAATTTGGTGTTGTTCTCAAACCAGCCTTCTATCAGTTTTGTTACATCCTCTTCGGGCCCTCTGAAGGAAAACGTTGGGTTTCTTGAAGCTTCTGTTATCAAGTCAGAATATTGAGTCAAATTACTGCTTATCAAGTCAACAAACTCAGTGGTAAAAAGACTCATTTCTTTGGTACTTGATTGGGGTAGTGTACGTGAAAGCCCTCTTGTTAGAATTCCATATAAACTAATGTCCTTCTTATCCGATATTAAGGAAAGATGGTTCTTGTACAGTTCTTCCACATTCGAAATAATCATCAGTAATATTTTGACTAGTATATTTTCATCATCTTCAGCAATCAATCTAGTGATTTGAGACTTAAACCCGAGCTCACTACATTGAATATCAATTCGCTTAACACTTATAAGTAAATTTTTGAAGAATACCAAATTGTGGATTGACGCCTTAACTTCAACTGTTTTATCGACAGGTAACTCTTTGAAGAATGATACAATAAGGTCCACGAATTTTCTCTTGACGTCTTTCAAGTCCTTTAAAGAGCTTGGGGGTAATTTTACAGTAATAGGATCAATATTGAACCTTTGTGATGTCTTTGAATTATGATATTGGTCAAATCCAAGACTCCAATTTCTCGTTACCTTCGTTAGTTGTTTGACCAATCCGTTTTTGAAATCTTGGTTTTCGAAGTAGTTTGCAGCATACCCAAAAGTGTTTTCAATGAACACGAATATATTCAAGAAGTTCACTCTATCATAATTCGTTGAGTCAACATGCATAGAGGTCAAAATAGACAGCAAATAATCGAACCTGAATTGCAAAAATTCAAACAAAACTGATGACCTTGAAACTGACAGGCCTTCAGTATTAAGAATAATGTATGATACCAAGTAGTTGATAATAGGCAAAGTATTTGAATCATAAGTCTCTGTCAATTCGCCAACGTAGTCCACAGGATTATCATTAGACTCACCTACCGATTCGTCCAATTCAAATTCTTCATTCTCATCCATTAGATTCAACGAAGTCTTTGAAAAGATGTTGTTAATGTCGAAGGATTGATTGGCTTCAAACTTGTCTGAATCTTGGATGAAGGAATTAGATGATTTATTGAAACAAGATATCTGTTCTTTCAAGAAATCATTGAAGTTCTGTTTCATACTGTGGAAACACAGGTTCAATAAGGAATTGGACTTGATTTCATTCTTGAAATTCGACTCTAAAGTGAAATAGACTTTGGAGTAGTATATGAGCTTAGAAGTGTGAACCACCGGTGATTGGTGAAATTTACGCTTCTGCAATTTCAAGTCGAAACCGAGTAAAACATCATATATCATGTCATTTAACACTGTTAGTTTCTGAGCGGTTTTCAATTGTTGGTGTTCTTCGGAAATCATTGAGTAGCTCAATTTCGAGTAAGAATCAGAGTTGAATTTGACAAAATTAGCAGGTTTGAATGCAAAATTCGACAAGCTTAATTCTAATCTTTGACACTTCTCATCAATTCCATCACTGATCGAAATCAAATCTCGATACTTCTCGCTGACTAGGTTTTGGAGTTGATGCTTTGCTGTCAACGCATCTTGTTTATAACGTTGATTCACACCTTGGATGTCTTTAATGGAGAATTTCTGGAAAAGTTCCTCAACTGAGTAGGCCGAGTAATCTTCCATGAATGGGCCTTTGTCTCCAGCAGATGAGATACTGGAACTTCGCCCATTGACTATTGACATGCTTAGCGACAAGTGAACAGAAACTACTTTTCGAGTTGGGTTCGCGTTGCGTGTAAATGGCCAAGAGAAGTGATCACAGATAACTTTTCGCCTCCGTAGAATATATGTTATTCTTTTTAGATCACGTAGTAAACGTTGTACAGGAAGTTGTAGCTTGGTACTGGTTGCACAATCAGTATTTTAAGCTGAACTATTTCCTGAAGGAGGGTGAAGAGATATCATTGTGCACCGGCGTTGAGTCTATGTTTTCAGTTACCATAGTGTTTTGATTGCAATTTGACCTGCATCTTCTGATCATCATCTGATTTGACTTCTACCCAGCAGCGGATTCATTCGGAGTAACTCTCACTCTCATAATGTTAATGGGACAGTTATATTGAATATGGCTAGTATGAATGCGAAATAAATTGTTTACGCTAAATGAAAATCAATATTATCTAATTCTGTGATTTCTGCAAATACTATAACAGCTGAACTATATTTAGGCTGTCAGGAATATCCAAGGTCCTTAAACATATTATCTAGAGTTTATGTATGAGTAACTCATCTTTGACCTTTGAATCGCGCTCAAAAGCTCTATACTACCAAAATTTTGCCAAATTCATTTCTCTCTCTATCAATGCTTTCATTTGGTTGCAAGCGCGCTTAATTTTCCTGTTACCAGATTGGGTATTACTCATAGGAGACGAATTTATAATTTTTTTCACCAAACAGATAAGACTCAATCCACTGAAAATTCGACAACTAATGTCAGGATTCGACATGCGCCCGAGACGGTTAGAAAATGAGCTACGAGGTGAACCAGAGCCTCGGAAATCTCGGCACAGATCCAGTACTGGATGCCTAACTTGCCGAAGAAAAAAAAAGAAGTGTGATGAAAAGCTGTATCCCACATGCCAAAGTTGCCAGCATAAAAACTTGCGGTGTGAATGGCCACTGAAAGTCAACAAACTCCACCAGCAGCTTGGCCACGTACGCTACTATGGCGATGAAGAGAAAGGCATTAAAACGAAGGTCCACAAATCCCAAGCGCATCAGAAAGCCATACTGGTTACACAGTTTTTGGACAGTATTCCTGTGTCTTTTGATGTGAAAGGACTTTTTGATGAGTATGAATATACCCAAGATACTCTTTATAAGCCCTTGAACGATGACAAAAACTCCACTTCAGCTATAGTGGCTGAGTCGGCCAAATCTGAGCCCGAAAGCGATTTCATAGCTGAAACCTCAGAAAGCAGAAGGAACAACTTCTTACAGCGTATTGCATTGCAGCAGGACTGCGTGGATGACCTCTAGAAAACGTCCTACAGACGGGGGAATCCTTCTAAACATCATACGAGAAAGAATGAATCTGTCATTGTTGTGAACAGATTAGAACATATAAGAGCATAAACCTTTCTTAAAATAAGTTTGACCTGTATTTTTCATGGAAAAAGGTTGATTATATTCGTTTATAAGCTCAAAGAGAATATATGTATACGATCTAGCTGAGAATCTGAGTTAGTACCAGATTAGCGAAGGCTGGAACGAGCAGGTGCGAAAATCAGCGACAGCCCCATGTTTGCAGCGCGCTTAATCCGAAATTCGGATGAATCTCACTCAAAAAATTTTTCCTTTCCCTTATTACCAGTATAATTATTTTCCTACACCCAATCACCCACCTACCCAGTGACGACGAATTCTTAAGGACCATAAGATTGTCATAGACTTCAAGTGTAACGTTTTTGTTTTCTTGCAAAATCCCTCCTCATCCTCCATCTATTTTGTGCAATTCACAAGTATATATTTGTTATTACCCTTGTGTCAGGTAACTAAAACATACACCAATGACGTCTTTACACAATAGCGTACCTGAGGGCAATTACTATAATGAGCCAGTAGGATTGCCATACTACAATTCCCATAATCAAAATGGCCAGCCTCCGTTTTACCAAGGAGATCAATCTGCTAATCCTGGCACTTACGAACAGAATGAACCTTCTTCTCAATTCTATGGAGCCAACGGTGCGGCACCCGGTCCCAACAGTGCTGCAGTCGCATCATCTGGTTCTGGTCCCCACCGTACTTCACAACATGGTACTCCAACTTTTGGTCACGATCCAAATAGCGTTCTGGCAAATGTTAACCCATCCCCACAAGGTTCCACCTCATCCTCGTCCCACCAGGAGATTCCGGACGGAGGATCAATGGGCATGGGAATAAACATGGCGATGAATATTCCAATCGAACAACAAGATGAAGCACCCTCAGAGCAACCTTTTTATGTGAATGCTAAGCAGTATCATCGAATTTTGAAAAGGCGTATAGCCAGAGCCAAATTGGAAGAAACTTTGAAGATTGCCAGAACCCGTAAACCATACCTACACGAATCACGCCATAAACATGCAATGAGACGGCCAAGAGGTCAAGGTGGCCGGTTCTTAACGGCAGCTGAAATAGCTGAGAAGGCTCGTTTAGATAAATCAAAGGAGTTGGAAGAAAAGAATAAAGAGGGATTATCTGATAGTAGCAGCAATGAAAACGAGAAAACGAACGATGTTAACGTTAAAAAAGAGAATCTTTTAGGTCTCATTAACGAGGATTCTGGTTAGACATTTTATTAGACCATCTTTGTCTTTTTACTTTGTAATTATATTTGTATTTTAAGTAGGTTCTGTTAAATTTAGGTTTACTTTTTAATATCTTGTTTGGGTCCACACTATAAGAGGACTTGTAAAGCATTCTGGGATTCAAGGGAAATCTGGCTAACAATACTACCATCTACCAATTTGACCCCATTGCTCACAATCTGTTTAATATGATTTAAGTCATTATTCTTTATTTCACTGAGAGGGTCAAATGGTTCTACTTGTATGGTCACAAGTTTCGAAAAATTGGATCCAAAAGAACCCACATCCAAGTCCAATTCACTGAGTGCCACATTTTTCAAGTCGTCGGCATTGGCTATCACATCCTTGTTTAAACTCATCAAGCTTGTGGAGCTCTTAGCAATCTGTTCCAACAAAATGATCTTGAGGGTTGAGTTAATCAAATCGGAGTTGACTAACTGCAGTAATCCAATCAAATTGATCTTTTTATCACGTAAATTTTGGAAACTGGAAAGATTAGGCAATACAAGGTTGGATAAGATTTGTTCAAACACACCCGGTTGTGGTAGATTGATTAAAGTTATGATAAAATTGGCATTCAACCCGGGGTTCCTAATGTTCAATGACTTGTTCAAAGGAAGCGAACTAATGGAAAACACAAAAGTAATGAACCTCTTCAAGAACTTCTCTGTTCGGGAATTTTTTAATCTGGTCAATATCAATACAGCAATACTTTTCAAGAATTTTTCCAATACACGTAAAGGTATGTAAAGCAAAATGGTCTCCAACAACTCAAACCCATACACCTCATTAAGCTTCGATGCAATTAATTTCTGGAAGATTCCCAATAATGGTGTGACGGTTTCATGAGTGCTAAACACTTTATAGTCATATTTGATAATTGAAATCAATAATCTGGTGATACCAGGAATATTTCCTCTGAATTGCCATAAATTTGGGGACATGAGTGGTTTAATGAGCTGGGTGTATTCCAGGGGAAGATTCAGTGATTCATTTCCTGGCAATCTCTCTAACATATAAGCCAAAACTTGGAATGTATAAGGAACAAATTCTTGAACATCTTCGTTCAATATGTTCAACAAGTTTGGCAAAATCAACACTATCAACTCATTTACTTTATCATCAGATGAGAATTTGACCAATAACCCTAAACTTTCGAATATATAGTGAGAGAATTTTGGGTTAGCAGGATTCTTGGATATTTTAGCTAAAATATCCAACAATTGAGTGATGATAACCTTTTTGAAGTCAAAGGGGACAAGATCCTCAGAAGTGTTCAATACCCTCATGATTGACTTCACTAAAAATTCATTCTCGGAAAGCTTTTCTGGGGGTTTGTCATAACTTGAAGTGATTAATTTGAACAAATTCGATAAGATATCATTCAAATACGGTTGAAGATCGAATTTGTTTAAAATTACTTCATGAGCTTCTGCAAAGCTCGTCATAGACAATAACTTCTCCATAACGATAGCTGCATATGTATAAATAACCGGGTTTGGATTAGTTAAATGTGACACAAGCAATGGAAGGACAGACAACAACTGTTCTTTGGTCAATTGGTTTCTGAAGATTAAAATGTATTTGACGGAGTCAGTAATCAAGATTGGGTGAATACTTGCAGTATTAGCAGCAAGTAAATAGTTGGAGATGTTTTCAGAAAAGAACTTAACCACATCGACCAAAACATTTGTAGAAGTGACTCCAATATTTGTCACTGAGCCTTTTGCAGCCAATGAACTGAATAAGTAAATGGCCAAATCTTTGCTTTGCCAATTGGCTTTGTCGTTGGAGTTTTCCAAAAAGTTATTAACATATCTCATAACGATGTCTGTGAGTAATTCGTTATTGATTTCTTTCAATTCTCTCAAAAAATCGGTCGCCAGCTTTCTTCTGGAATCAAACTCGGATCCTTCAACATCGAAACGTACAAAATTAATTGGTTCATCTTCAAACATCTCTAAGTCCACCTCACGCAAGTAAATGTTTGGGAGAATGATTTTCTTCAATATTTCATTCAAGCTGTCTTCATTGTTGAAGATGTTTTGGTAATTTGACAATTTTATTATTAGGGTCAAGAACTGCAAGCATTTGACAATCAATAAGTCAAACTTTTGTTGCTTGGTAATAGAAGTAGTGATCAACTCCCAAACAATTTTAATGAAGTTCTCGATCAATGGTTCAAAGATTTCGGTGTATCTGGTGATGTATAAGTTTACCAATTCGATGACAGACGTCTTGATCTTTATAATTACATCTACTTCTTCATCATCATCAGCGTCAGTAATCAAGTCGGACAGAAAATTAAGGTATTTATGCATAATCTTCATTCCATTCATCATGTTATCTTCGAAAAATTCGGGGATGTCTTGACAGTTCAAATCATAGTATATCTGGATCAAAAGTAGCAAGTTATCAAGATAAATCTTCAAATTGGCCTGGTCTCTCTGGGCAAGACTAGTATCAATGAGTTCATCTATTTTGGTTAACAACATCAAGAAGGGTTCGGCAAAGTTGTCCAACACTAATTTAATCTCCATAAAAAGTTCATCACTTCTGAATAAAGGTCTCCATTTTTTGAAGATAGAGTGACTTACCAACAAGATAGACTTGTTCGTTTTGAAGTCTGAGGTGGAAAACCTCGAAATTAAGTCGTCAATCAAGCTACCCCAACGGTGAGGGAAGTCCAGCTCGGCAATGATGGCGATACATTCACCTATTTGCACTTGCAAGTTGTTTGGTAAATTGACCATCACATTCAACATCTCGGTTTTCAAATATTCGACATCCAGTACAGGAAGTAAGTGATCACCATTTTCATTGACCCATTTCCGTTTGATCAAATTCTTCAAGAAAATGACAGCAGATAATCTGATTGAATTATTTACTTGGGCAGCCGATATGATCTTCAATAAATTGACAGAGAATTCAGGTAACATTTCGATGTCTTTTAACTGTTGTTCAGCGATCCTCGCATACTGTGGCGAGAGAGACCTTTCTAAGCATGTTGCAATCGATTCCAAAGTGTTTTCCGCCATAGTGGTGCAATAAACAAAAAGCAAGCGTATATGATCGTAGATTTTTCAATTACTGCTTCATCGCGAACAACATTGATTTTGCCCAGTTGCACAAAAAATTGATCTATTAGTGTTATACAATTATATAGATGGAACCGTATACGATATATAGAGTTAATATGTTTAAAAGGAAGTTGCACATAGTAGAGAACCGTCCAACAACGCCTTTCAACGTAAAAAGTGAGGGAAGATAAAGATAAAGCTATTCCCCCAATTACTTGGGCAACTGTTGTGCAGTGTTTGACTTAGCTTGTTTTTGTTTAGCAACAGCGTATACTAAACCGGCAACAAATCCAAGGAAAATAGATGAAACTGAGAAGAAATTGACTGCAGCTTCAAAGAAAATCAAACCAGACAAGGCAATAGGCAACTTGTTCAAAGCACCAACCATGGAATAAGTTGTTGAAGACGTAACTCTGACACACCATGCAGAACAGTAAGAGATTCCAACGGAGGTGAGACCCGAAAAAAGCATGGCCATGACAGTAGCGGTTCTATTTTCAGCTGGGAAGTTTTTTGAAACATTCTCAGCGGACCAGTCTTCGAAAAGAAACGAACATACTAATAAAATTGGAATAGACAACAAGTTATTGTAGAAAGTGGTGTCAAAATCCTTGAAGTTAGTCAACTTTATTCTCTTTTTCATGATTAAAACAAAGGCAGCAGCAGCAAAACAGTTGACAAACATCCAGAAGTATCCCAAGTATAACTCGAAAAGGTCACCAGCAGGTACTCCTTTAGCATCACCATAGTAAGCAATGACAGAAGAAAGGACCATCAAGAAGAAAGAACCCAAGGTCATTGGAGTGACCTTTGCACCAAACCACAATACTTCACCATAAGCAATCAAAATAATGGTCAAATTCTTGAAGATGGTATAAACTGGAACACTCAAGTATTGAATGGCCTTAGATCCAGTATAGATCATGGCCACCAATAAAGCAGCAATAGGGAACCATTTTTTGGCTTCATCCTTGTTGAATTGCCTGTAAGTAATGATATTAAGGGATTTCAAAGTACTAATAGCCACAATACAAGTAACGGATTGAATGGCCAAGAGGAAAAAGTTCAAGTTGAAGTCTCCAGATAAGACAAACTTATTAGTCAAAGTCATCAAGATAGATGAAGCACAATAGGAGAAGATGGACACAGGTGCTGAGTTCACTATGGAACTTGGTCCGGAGTAAGAAGATTTTTCCATGCTAATAGTAGACGTGTTTTTTCTGTTGAGGGATCTGAATTTTTTCTGAAGGTAATAAACGGTATGAGTTAGTAAATATGCCAGCAATAATCCCATACAATGGTCAAAAGAGCAATAATATTATAACCTAAGAGTGAGGTTAAAGTTTGAAAAGAAAAATTAGACCAACTGTTTTTTTTCAACGGAGAAAAAATTGTATTTATCCACCAAAAAAGTACAGGATAACTATTTCGAAATCGATACTGCCCCTGGGTGAACACAATAGCGCGGTGACAAAACAAAGCAAAAAAATAAAAATCTTTGCGTAACAAAACAAAGGAAAACACGCTTATCTGGGTTGAGGCATCTTGGAATGCCTGCAATATGAACTACGACGTCCTAAAGAAGATCAAATTAGTGTATAGGCCGATAGATCAGCAGATTTCTATTTGGCTTCTTGCTCGGCACCAAGTGTGTTAGAATATTGAGTGAATGTGTACAAATGTGTACCTGTGTTTTGCGTGCTCATACACATATTGTTTTGTATATTGTTATACCAGCGCACATTACCTTGGATTTTGTGAGACTTTATTCTCGATAACATGCAGTATGTACATTGCTAAGTTTCAGTGAGGAACATCAGATGAAATGTCAAATTCACGGCTGGTTTTATATTGTTTTTAATGATAAAGCGAACAATCTGTTTTAGTATCTAGTTTGAAACGCTTATATATATTAGCTGCCCGGCTGGGATTCGAGTTTTTGTGCGACTTGATTGGGCAAAGGCCCGTGGCAGCGCGTACTATATTGTCAAACCACTCGTAATTTTCCCCTATTTCTGGTGCTGTATGTATTCCACTTGTATATATCTCTATTATGGAGCATAGTCACCACGGTTGTAAATACTGATGTCTACTTCGGCTTTGACATCAACCATGTCACTGGCATCAATACATGCATCTACGCTCATTCCCATGCCTTGTCTATCCTTTAACCGCTGGTTTTGAGCTCTAATCTTTTCCAACTCTTGCAAATAGTTGTCCTCAACTCCAGTAATGTAGTTACCAGTAAATACTCCGATCTCAAATTGCTTGATCTCTTCACTTTGACAACACGCCACCAAGTCTTCCAATTCTTGGTAGATCACCAAGTCGGCTCCAATAACCTTGCTGATTTCTTCCTCATCTCTGTTAAATCCGACTAAAGCCTTGGTATCAGCCAAGTCGATACCGTAGATATGGTTGAACCGTATAGGGGGAGAGCACAGGGCGAAATAAACCTTCCTGGCACCAGCTTCACGAGCCATTTGGACGATTTCTTTCGAGGTGGTTCCTCTCACAATCGAATCATCCACCAATAACACACTCTTACCTTTGAATTCAGACTCCATAGCGTTCAATTTCCGTCTCACTGAAGATCTTCTTTCCTGTTGATCAGGCATAATGAAGGTTCTGCCAATATATCTATTTTTGACGAACCCTTCACGGAAAGGTACATCCAATTTTACCGCACATTGAAGAGCAGAAGTTCTTGAAGTATCGGGTACAGGAATTACCACATCGATTTCCTCTCGAGTTAAGTATTGGGTGATTTTGTTAGCGAGCTTGTTACCCATTTCAATCCGGGATCTATACACGGACACTCCATCTAAAATAGAATCGGGTCTGGCAAAGTAAACGTATTCAAAGATATCAGGAGCAAAGATTTTTGGGGGTACTACTTGTCTGAATTCTGGTTGCTTGGTAGGGTCCTTTTGAATGATAACGGCCTCACCAGGACGAACATCTCTGAATTTGTTATATCCATGAGCTTTCAAAACCACCGATTCACTGGCCAACATGTAATCTTTAAGGCCAGTAACGGCGTTAACTCTTTCTCCAAACAATAAAGGTCTGATCCCGTTTGGATCACGGAATCCTATTATACCATAACCAGCCAACATGGCCACACAGGCGTAAGCTCCACGAATAGCTTCCATAGTACCCTTCAAAGCAGAGAAAAGATCCTGGTTGTTGACACGGGATTTGTTGAACTTATCCAACTCACTTGCAAAGTAGTTGATCAACAACTCGGAATCTGAGTCGGTGTTTATATGACGATGAACGGTTTCGTCCAAGTACTTCTTCAATTCAAGAGAGTTCACCAAATTACCGTTGTGACTCAATGTGATTCCGTATGGAGAATTAACGTAGAACGGTTGAGCCTCACTTCCGGCACTGGAACCAGCAGTAGGATATCTTAAATGAGTGATACCCATGTTTCCAACAAGGTTGTTCATTCTTTGTGGGGTGAAGACGTCTCTAGCCATCCCATTACCCTTACATTGATAAAACCGACCTTTAGATCCACAGGTGACAATTCCGGCAGCATCCTGACCTCTATGCTGTAAAAACATAGCGCCTTCGAATAATTCAGGCGCTACATTGGCAGTCTGGTCGCTTAATACCACACCTAAGATCCCACACATTGATATTTGCTAGTATTTAATAAGAAATTTTTTCTTTTGTCTCTGTAATTTATTAATTAGAAAAGAGTCAAGCGCGGCCTCATCGTCTCATCGCGATAACATACGCAGTTGAGAAACCTGATTTTAAAGTTGTAGTGCATTTGGGGAAAGCAACGCAGAATATCTACAGTAATATGATACGCTTATGAATATTTGTACCCATAGGCCAAATATACAGAATGATAGCTTACCTCTACGCTAAATTCCCTCGATTCGTATATTATACATCGAGAAAGGTGAAAATCAAAAGGCCAAGGTGGGTCACCTCAAACACTATAAAACACCTCTTCTATCATTAGAAAAGACAAAGTATAAAACAAAAAACAAGCTCATGGCAAACCTAACAGTCCAATCATGAAAAGGAATAAATCAAGTTTAGTCAAATAAAAAAAACACAGGAAGCGGGTTTCATAAAATCATTAGTCTTCGTAGAATCATTATTCCAAAGAGCATTGACTCCTTAGCATAGGTTTCATGGATTCATTTTTTTTGTTTTTATGGATTTTTCATTTGGTTAGGGGTTTCAATGCGTTCCACATTTAAATAATGTAATGCCTGAATCATTGTTTGGCAGTGGGGGATGATTGAGTCGAGGGTTGAGGTTGTGCCATTGGTTGCTGGTATTGGCCGTTGTAGGGTGGATATCCATATTGAGGATACTGAGGGTACCCATTAACTTGAGGAGCAACTCCATGAGGGGCGTAACCCTGAGGAGGATATCCTTGGGGCGGATAACCCTGAGGATAACCTTGAGGTGGGTAGCCTTGAGGTGGGTAGGCCTGCGGGGGATAACCTTGAGGTGGAGCACCATTTTGTGCTCCATTAGCAGCTTCAACAGGGGCCGCAGAATCGACTGAAGGTTTTGATGGGGCTATGGTAGCAGGGCCAGCAGGGACAACTGGAACTGAATGAGTAGGAGGAGCCTTAGCGGCCGCATTAGTTTGGAGATCTTCACCTGGTTGTCCGTTGTAGGTTCCTATGCCTTTATCATTTCCTCTTGGTAATTCACCAGTGGAGAAAGGCTTAGGGACGGATGATTCATTTTCAGCCACATATAAAGATTTGTCAATCACACTAGGGATTGGTTTGATTTCGGTTCCTAATTCTTGCTCAATTTTGTATAAGTTGTAACGATCATCCCAACTCAACAAGTTCACAGCTAAACCCAAGTGACCAAATCTACCGGATCTACCGATTCTGTGCAAATAAGTTTCGGCAGTTTTTGGGAAGTCGAAATTAATAACAACATTAACAGCTTGAATATCAATACCTCTTGTCAACAAATCAGAACATACCAAGTTTCTAACTTTTCCCATTCTGAATTCATGGAAAACTTTGTTTCTGGCTTGTTGAGGCATTCTAGCATGAGAATAGTAACAAGAGTATCCTAATTCAGTGATTTTCTTGGCTAATAATTCCACTCTATTGGTAGAGTTACAAAAGATAATAGATTGGTTGATTTGTAACTTACTGAACAAGGTGTTCAAGCAGTGCAACTTTTGCTTTTCATCAACAAAGGCATAGAATTGAGAAATACCTTTCAAAGTTAATTCATCCATTAAATTGATTTCATATGGCTTGTTCAAGTGTTCTTCCATGAACGACTTGACAGCCAATGGGAAAGTAGCACTAAACAATAATGATTGTCTGTTGCTTGGGAAAAGCTCTAAAATTCTTTCAATAGTCCTTTTGAACTCTCTAGATAACATTTTGTCTGCTTCGTCCATCACGAAAAGAGAACACTCAGACATATCAGCAATGTTTCTAGAAGCCAAGTCTAAAATTCTACCCGGAGTACCCACTAAAACATGAACAGGATCATTCAATCTTAAAATGTCATCCTTGACAGGGGTACCACCGGTTGATACCATACATTGGATTCCTAAGTGCTTACCTAAAGTTCTCACCACTTGAGAAGTTTGCAAGGCCAATTCTCTAGTTGGAACTAAGATTAACCCCTGAATTTTGTTTACCTTTGGCTTGATCATTTGTAAGGTAGGAATAACAAACGAAGCAGTCTTACCAGTACCATTTTTAGCTCTTGCTAAAATATCTCTACCGGTTAAAGCTATTGGAATTGACTCTTCTTGGATTGGAGAAGGCTTTTCGAAACCAGCTTCAAAAATTCCCATCAAAAGTTCTCTCTTTAACCCGAGATCTTCAAAACTCTTGCCCTTTGTGTTTAACACATCCTCTGTTTGGGGTCTTGTATCCTTTTCAGGAAGATTTAACGAACTTTTCCAATCAGTTTCAGACATGTGTAGAGAGTTGTATTTGGAGGTAGATGATAAGGTTGCAATAATACTGTTTCACGACTGGAATATCTCAATAAATTGTTTTGTATCAACTCAATGCGATGACTTTGTGCTATATTGCAACGGAATAAGTATTTTGAAATTGGGTAAGTAACAGGTAATATATCCTTATAGTAAAATTTTTGTTCAGGATTATTGGACGTTTGAGAGGTTTAGATTACGCACGACCGAGCTACCCTAGTTACCCGGAATCAGAGTCAATATTACCATTTGGAAAGGGTAAATGGAGGATGGAGTTAGGACTAAACGAATACTTTAGTGGATAAGAAACATATGGTAATGGTACCCAAGTTTGAAGGTTCTGGTACACGAATTGAATATATGCCATAGAAGTATTCTGAAAATGCAGTTAAAATGATCTCGAAAAAGGATATGATAAAAGAGATATTACCATGAGAGCTTCTTGATGTGGTCGGCATCTCAAGTCATCTGCAGACTCTGTGGTTATACTTTATTTAAAAACTAATGGTTGGCTCATCGCGCAGTTGGCGTTGAATTAAAATCGCATCCTCTATATTCATATTATCATGAAGTTACCGGTAGAAGTGATTAACAAGCTACAGCTGGACCCAGACTGCATTCGAAATATATGCATTCTAGCCCATGTTGATCACGGAAAGACTTCCTTGAGTGACTCGCTCCTAGCCACCAACGGGATTGTTTCTCAGCGTATGGCCGGGAAGACTAGGTTTTTGGATTCGAGAGAAGATGAGCAATTGAGAGGTATTACCATGGAAAGTTCTGCCATATCCTTGTACTTTAAGTCTTCTAAACGAAAGGAAGGAACAGAAGAAATAGAAATCAAAGAGCATTTAATTAATTTGATCGATTCTCCAGGCCATATTGATTTCTCATCAGAAGTGTCAACTGCTTCAAGACTTTGTGACGGAGCAATAGTCCTTGTGGACGTAGTAGAAGGGGTATGCTCGCAAACTGTGAACGTTCTAAGACAATGCTGGGTCGATAAATTGAAACCCATATTGGTATTGAATAAGATTGACAGATTAATTATCGAATGGCAGTTGACTCCATCGGAAGCATACCAGCACATGTCCAGAGTCATTGAACAGGTTAATTCAGTCATAGGGACATTCTATTCAGGAGAAAGAATGGAAGATGATATGATTTGGAAAGAAAAGGGACAAGTAGGTGATTTTGTTGAAAAGGATGACACTGACCTTTATTTTTCACCCGAATTAAATAATGTGATCTTTGCATCCGCCGTTGACGGGTGGGCATTTTCCATTAACATATTCGCCAGTTTCATGCTGAAAAAGTTGGGATTCTCTCAAGCGGTATTGTCCAAGACCTTGTGGGGAGACTTTTATTTGGATATGAAGAATAAGAAGATCATTCCAGGGAAGAAGCTAAAGTCGAGTCAATCGAACTTGAAGTTGTTGTTTGTGTCGCTTGTGTTGGAACAGATATGGTCTGTTTATGATGTGTGTGTGATGAACAGAGATGAAGACAAATTGACCAAGATAATCGAAAAGCTTGGAGCTAGAGTATCTCCTAGGGATTTGAGATCCAAAGACCACAAGAATTTGTTAAATGTCATTATGTCTCAGTGGATTCCTGTCAGTCATGCGATTCTAGGAATGGTTATTGACTATTTGCCCAGTCCTGTCAAGGCACAAAATGAGAAAATGTCTAAGCTTCTTGATGAATGTATTTATAATGTATTTTCTGACATCGAAGACAAGTCCCAGTTGATCGACCAAGAGTTTGAAAAGTCCATAAAGACATGTGATAGAGAAAGCCCCGAGAAAAATACTTTAGCATACGTATCGAAGATGATCTCAATCCCTAATGCAGAGCTTCCTAAAGATTTCGTGACTCCAGCGTTGTCTAAAGAAGAACTTAAGGAGAGAAGTCGAATTGTCAGACAATTGGCTAAAGAAGCATCTGAGGCTGCAGCAGCGGCCCAAGAGGCGGCAAGAGAGTCGACCACCGATGAGTTTTCCCTCCCGTTGGCTGTCAATGATCCGTTCGAATGGGAATATGAAGAGGATTACTTTGATGATGATGAAGTCGCTCCCGAGGAAACATTAATCGCCTTTACAAGGGTATTCTCTGGTTCATTATCACGTCATCAGAAAGTGACTGTAATTGGTCCCAAGTACGACCCATCTTTGCCAAAAGATAATCTTACCAACAAAACGCAAATATTTGAAAATATTGTCATTCAAGATTTGTACTTAATAATGGGCAGAGACTTGATACGAATGGAGACGGTTCCAGCAGGAAATATTGTCGGTGTTGTAGGGTTGGATAATATTGTACTCAAGAATGCTACGATAATATCTACAACTAGGACTGATGATTCCCATCCATACATCAACTTAGCATCTACCTCCACTTTGATACACAACAAACCAATTATGAAGATTGCCATAGAACCGACCAACTTACTTCATCTTGGGAAGATTGAAAGAGGCTTGGATATTTTGTCCAAAGCGGACCCAGTCTTTGAATGGTACATCGATGAGGATTCTGGCGAGCTTATTATGTGTGTTGCAGGAGAATTGCACTTGGAAAGATGCCTCAAGGATTTGAAAGACAGATTTGCTAAGGGATGTGAAGTAACCGTCAAAGAGCCAGTAATCCCTTTTAGAGAAGGATTGGATCCTTCTGGATCTTCTGCCTTCAAGTCAGAAGATACTCTCACAACTGAAGTTGAAGGTTTACGGTTGGAGTTCGAAACATATGCTTTAACTTCTGCGATTACCAAATTCCTTCTTAATTCAGAGTCAGAACTTGCTGCTGTTAGAGACCTCAAAGTCAGAAACACAGCTGCTGAGCATAGTTTCATCGACCAATTCGTGGACAAGTTTAAAAATGTTATTGAGGATGACGAGGAAGAGGACAGTTTGAAGTTTATCCAGAAACTAGGGTTTAACACTGCTCAATCATTCATTGATAATATTGTTGCATGTGGTCCCAAAAAGATTGGGCCTAATATTCTTGTAGAGTCCACCTTCAACCACAACAAATTCAGATATTTGTTAAGTAGTGGCAATCCTGTACTGCCACTTGATCTTGAACCTCATGTCATCAATGGGTTCCAATTGGCTACTAACGAAGGGCCTCTCGCTGGAGAACCTCTTCAAGGTGTCCTCGTTTTGATCAAGAGTTGCGAGGAACTCGAAAAAGAAGAAGACAATGAAGATACCTTTTTATTAGGACTGCAAGGAAGAGTTATAACCCACACTAGGGACCTAATCCACGAAAAGTTTTTGTTTAGCGGAGCCAGGTTGTTCTTGGCTATGTACACTTGTGAAATCCAGGCAGCCACCGAAGCTTTGGGTAAAGTTTATGCTGTTGTGCAAAAGAGAGGTGGTGCTATAATATCAGAAGAATTGAAAGAAGGAACTCCTTTCTTTACTGTAGTGGCAAGAGTGCCGGTTATCGAGGCATATGGGTTTGCAGAAGAAGTGAGAATGAGAACCTCAGGTGCTGCCACACCACAATTGGTGTTTGATGGATTTGATATCTTGTCTATCGACCCATACTGGGTACCTCATACTGAAGAAGAGCTTGAAGAACTCGGAGAGTTTGCTGAAAGAGAAAATGTGGGCAGACGGTACATGAACAACATCAGAAGACGGAAAGGTCTTTTTGTTGATGAAAAAGTTGTCAAGAATGCTGAAAAACAAAGAACCATGAAAAAAGATTAGTGTAGTTGGCTGCAATTGTATAAACCAAAAAAAAAACGTTCGCACTTTTGTGGACTCATCAGAAAATCAGTGTGTAAATCTCTTGTATACTTTCGAACGAGAAATCTTGTCAAAAACAGAATGCCAGTCGATCTGTTCTCTCTTAAGTCAATTCTGGTACCTGCAAATACAACTCCAGAATCGACTCGAGTGTTTGAATACTTTTCTAAGAACCACGACAGATGGCTGAAAATGTTACTCAAGCATAGCGAAAATACACTTACGTTGCAATCCAATGGTGACGTTACTATTACAAGTTCGTCAACAGCTGATGGTTCCAAACCATCTTCAAATACAGTACCGTCGTATAACCTACGTGATGTGATACAGAATACTACTAGGGATCATCCTCAAATGTTTCCAGTGCCACCTAAACTGGGAAGTGATGAACTAGTTTCACAATCCACATCTCACGAAGCCTTACAAGTGGTCAGTCCTCCCACAATAGATATTCACAATCCCAGAAAACTGATCCTACACAACAAGGATTTTAGTTACTTGCGTTCCAAAATGAAGAACTTGAAATTGAATGGTAAAGTGAAGGCTGAACAAACATCTGTATCCCCAGAGAAAATTGACAACGTTCCTACTGCTCAGAATAGTACAAGTAGGACGTCACAATACTCAATGGACCCCAATCCCAAATTCTTCAGCTTCATGGATCCACTCAAAAATGGAGGTGTCTCTACGAAAACTGAAGGATTGACCACAAGAGAAGATGGCTCGCTCCCCCCAGCATCAGAAGCTTCAAAAGAACCAAGTAAACTTAATGATCTGTTAAGCACCAAGTCCATACAAGGGCGAGTGAAAGCGGAGCCCAAGAAACCAAGCGTAGTGAGCACAAATACAGAGAAAACTTCTAAACTGTCAGTACCCGATACTTCCAATCCTAAATCGTCTCACAAATACATTCAGCTAACACTGGCTCCAAAACCCAAGAGGTCTGCTTCAGAAGAAGGATTTTCTTTGTACGGAACTAAAGACGAAGAAGGCCTTTGTACGTATGAGGGTGATGAGTATTCTGATGACTATCAAGACGATTATGACATAGAAGAAATTGATGATGATTTGTACGACGGCCCTAGAGAGCATCACATTGAATTAGAGCTTCAACCTGAATGTGATATACATGGTGTTGAAGGATGTGATTGTCCCATGTATGAAGATGGCTATGAACAAGAAGAGTCTTATGATTTTACATTTGAGTACAATAGTGAAGGAAAATTGGTACCTACAGAGGGCTCAGTCAAGGAATACTTTCGAGCTCAAGCTAATGGACTAAGAGCAGATGGCAGATTTCAGCCCAGTAATGGGAAAATTATGGAATTAGAAAAGAAGAAGAAGCAAAAGAAGAAGGCAAAGAAATCGAAAGAGAAAAGAAAGCCTGTTTTTGATGCCGATGCTACTGATTTCTGCTTACTTTGTGATTATGAGGCATTATATGGCAAACCACCAATCAACTTGATGAAATGGGTAGACCAAAAGCTTCAAGAAGAAGATGAGAAGAGAGAAAGGATAAAGAAGAAACTACAAGATGCCAAACTGCAAGCTATTAAGCGTCAACAAGAAATGAATGAGTGAGTACAATCGAGATGAAAAAGTCCTCGTACTAAAGCCCTATAACGAATAAATGATATATTAATGCACATATATAGTTAGTTTCTTGTAGAGGAAAATTGGAAAAGAATGTAGGTCGTTGCTCAGTAGCTCGGTCATAGCTGCAAATAAATATCGCAAACAAAAATGGTTGCGATTTTCCATGACAGAGCAGTGCATGTATCAACGAAGCCTCCTCATAAAGATCCCCTAAATATTCCCCGAAATTAATCATCCCAACAAATATAAAGAGTTTGTGGATTGTTTAATTTTGCTATTTTACAAAACAGCCATCAATGTTTGAACCTCTTAGTGAAATGCCCGAGTCATCCTCCAAACTGGAGTTTTCCGGAGAATACATCTGGGTAAATGAGTGGCACAAACTTCAAGATCCCCTGCTCCGCAAGATCATCCGTCACGGAACTCAGTTAAAAAGCTGGCACAAAGTCCCTAAAAACAACGATAGCCCATCCGGTTTGGACCTTGATGCAAATAGCGTGTTAGACTTGAAGAACTTGAAGTACTATGAAGAAGTTCCAATTGTCGACCACTCTAAAAAGAAGATTGATGAAATTGAGTCGAGGGAGCATGAGATGAATGGAGACTCAGATGTGAAAGTAGAGAAGCGTGAAATGGGGGATTTGGAATGATGGTTTTATGTCTATTGAGTGTGTAGGATGATATATGCTTAGTAATTTATGTTTTATGTCTATTGAGTGTGTAGAATGCTATATGCTTAGTAATTTATGTTTTAAGTGTCAGAAGGTTTGATGGTCACAAAGCCCACCGCTTCCCTGAGTTTATGGACTTCCTGCTTTATCAGGTCTCTGAGTACATCCAAATCTTTGTTGACGTTTTCTCCCATTCCTTGCTTGCCCATTAATACCCGTCTCTGCTGAAAGAGATTGTTGAGGGGAGAAGAATCTTGTCCATGACTGCCCAACACCATGAATACACTATTGGCAGGGAGTAGGGAGTATATTGTATTGAGCCTGTTATTAAGGTTCGTATAACTGTCTTCTAAGTCATGCTTGACTCGGCAGCAAGAACTCCATCCCAAAGAAGCTTCAAGTTCTTTCAAACCCAACACCAAGAAGTCTGCATCGTCAACTTCACGTGTAAAGTTATCAACCACTTCGTTATCATTGTCGACTTGGATCATTGTCCCCAGTCCAGTATCCACCGATTGGTAATCAATAGCCACATGTTTTAACTCAGGCTTCTCAACAGGTTTCTCTTCGTTTATATGGTCAATCACACCTTGTCTCAGACTGTCGACCCCAAATAAACGACCTTCTTGAATCTTGAGTTTTACAAGGTCCAAACATGCTCTGGCATCTTCCACGGAAGAATGTCCCTCTCCTGAAAGTTCTCCCATTTGAATATCTCGAGAAAGATGAGTTTTAGTCAACCACTTCAAACCAGGTCTGTACGGTGGACCACGAACATGATGATAACAGAAACAGGTGTCCACGATGTTTGGATGGCGTATTTTCAATATATTTAAGTCCGACAGGAGCGAATGCCCAATCAAGATGTCATCACTTGAAACAAGTTCAAGAAGGGTGTCTTGAATATCCTCTAACGTAGTGGTGACACCTTCAAGTAGCTGCTCAGTTATACCAGAGTACTTGGTTAAATAGTCAATAATCATTTCTTTGGGTTTCACGTATTCATCAAGAACAACATCGTTTTGGAAATTAATAACGGAGATTCTGGCCAATTCTTTGCCATTCAAGGTTTGACAGAACTCACAGTCAACGGAGAATATGTGCGATCCCTCGTGCTCAAATTTCTGGGTTTCCTTCCATCCTTGAGGTAGTATGCTAGATACAATCTCATTATGAACAGGGTATTCGCTTTTAGACAAGAACTCTTTCAGTAACAATAGATCGTTGATAGTTATTTTCTGATTTTTCAGCTCTTCTTCAAGCTTTTGCCTGTCTTTTGGCTTCAAGGAAATGTGGCACATCACGTCTATAGGAGATGAAATTGAATTCTTGGTTCCTGGACTGCTGAGTTTCAACGCATGTTTGAATGTGTTTGCAATGAAAGGAAATTTTTGTCTGGCAGATTCGTGAATGGGTGTAACAAACAGATCTTCGCTAGTATCAACAAAGTCAGCTCTTCGGAGTCCTCCCACAACACAAACCACAAATTTCACGACATTCTGTGGACTTTTGAAGGTAATAGCCGATGACTTCCCCGTGACTTTGTCCGTTAATGTTCCAATTATTGCCAGTTGTATAGTTTTCAAAGTGATGTTTTTATGTGTGGATGCATATTCAACTTCTGGATCTTTCATGGACTCCAACATTTTCTTCAACTTACGCTTATGTAACTTGGGGGCAGGATCATTTGATATGGATGATGACTTTCTGCTTCTTTTGACATGGAGTGGACGTTTAGAGTCTTCGAGTGCATCAAACGACACCGCAAACTCTTCAAAACCGGAGTCAACAGCAACGTTGACTAGCTTGTCGGAAATTGAAAGGCTTGATGCCGAGTCTGACAACAGCTGATTACCTTTATCGTTGGCGGCCTCTATAGACATAATGTGGGGGAAGTATGTGTGAAATAACTGATAAATCTCTGATACAGGTGGACGCATTTTACCATATCATCGCAGCCTTTGAAATATGGTAGTCGCACGTATTATTAGTTAAATGTGGGTTTCTGTTGGAGAAGGATGTTTGGGTCAGTAGACCATTCTTATTCTAGGTTGTTAGAATAGTGTAAGTTGATGAGATTTCAACATGCTGCAAACATAACGGTCAAAATCAGTGAACCGGGAAGGGATGCACAAGATTTTGCAGTCATCAAACGACCTTTAAATACGATCGATCATAACAGCCACCAAGTCTTCAAAACTAGATAGAACGTTCTCCTCGGGTAGAGATGGTGCGGATACACCATTCTTCGCCGGTTTAATGTTCCTCTTGAAAAGACTGCAAACGAGGGATACATCTGTGTCTTTATTTACATAGTTTGAGTACGCTGATATAACTGCATCTGGATTAGTATTCGCCGTTAAAAGGGTATAGGCAGATAATTCAGGATCAAACACAATAGACTTCGAAACCAATGTGATTTTGTTCCACGAGTCCCAGCCTCGAGGGACTAAAAGTGCTGTTGTCTTACTATCATTATCAAATTCAAGAATTGGAAACGGAGCGGGTGCCAGTTCTGGTGTTGAAGGATACCCACAATCGCGTATCACCTTACCTAACTCATTGTTATTCTTGTCACTCTCTAATGTGGTATTCAATTTGTGTACAATAGTAAATGACCCTCCATGTAAAAGTGATATCAACCGAAGAGCCTGCTGGGTCATCACATTGGCATCCAAGGTTGGATCATCTTCAAAAACACTGTGGTCTACTGCAATCACAAGACTCACTGACAAGGGCATGCTGCAGCTGATACGCTCTGGTACACTGGTATTGTTGTAGGACCTGTAATAGTCAAGATACTCCTCACTGATAATCTTCTGTTTGTGCTCTTGCTTAAACCCATGGAGAAACTGCATTATAGGGAGGAACAGCTCAAGTGAGGTGTAGACAGCCACAAAAATAGGAGGAACTGAGGACTTCTTTATAAGATAAGTAGCAGCTTGGGAATATAGATCAACACCATTGAATATGTAAATGCTATAATCTTCCGTGTAGTTATATTTAACAAACAGAGGAATCTGTGCGTTGTTGATGAACACTATGACCGTAGTTTTCTGAGAGGTTTGGGCCTCTCCAAATAGTTGTGACATCTAAGCAGTGGTTTCTCTTGTTAGGAAGCTCTTGGTTGCGCGCATTTGTTTTTATATAATTGTGAGTTTCTCCGACATTCAATTGCAGACTTGAAAATGGCCAACAAGGGTAAAAAGAAGTCAAAGACTAGCAGCGATGCAGATGGGATCGACTTGTTCAATGAATACCTTAGTGGAGAGAATGGTGAGGCCGCCAATGATGTTCCACAAGATCAAGTAATTCAAGAGATATTTCTGGCCAAAGAAACTGTTCATGCGGATGATGCTATCGATTACGAAGGAATCGATGAGTTGGCAGATGAAGAAGACTTGGATGATATATCTGGTGATGGTTTTCCTGTTGTTCTGTCTGAGCCAGATGCGACTGAACAGCAGGCCGAACAAGATTTTGATGATATCTTTGGAGGTGGAGATGATGATGACCAGATGGATTCTCAAAATAACAGACTCTTGGATGGTCATCTTGATAATGATCCATTGATGGGCGATGATGGGTTTGGAAATATAGGTATTGGAGACATCTACCAAGAAAACTTTGAAGATGAAGACAGTTCAAGAAAGCGCAGCATGGAAGAAGACCAAGACTATGAAGCCAAGCGAGCCAGACTAGAAAGAGCTGTCAAAAAGTTGGAAAGCAGGCAATCCAAAAGGAACTTGCGATATTACTACCCAACTTTCAAGGCTGGGAAAGTTTTCAACAACCATGAATTATTCATAACCGAACCTCAGTACTACTCGTTTTCAGTGCCTCCTATAATGACAAAACCTAAACCATTGGTTCCTACGAAAGTCAGTTTGCAGCCTGATTTCGATCAGCGTAAAGTATTCAGAACTGGAAAGTACCCCTACAATTACACAAGTCAACGACCTAATGTAACAGAGATAACTAGTAATGATATTCGGTTGCTTGAGAGCATCCAAGAAAATGGTGGACTTGATGCAAAGAAACTTGTTCCATTAAGTTACCTACAGCGTGATGGAACCAATGACGACAAGTTTCGTGAATTCAGTAAAGATTTGATTTTGGCTGTGACTGACTGGGACGACGAGGCAATTATTAATGGTGCAAGCAAAAGCACCGCCACCAAACCAAGTAACCAAAAGGGGTCTTCCATTAACTTAGACTTGACGGACGAAGTGGAAGAAGAAGAAGAGGATGAAAACATATTCAATGGCCATATTGATACTGAGCTAATTAAGTTGGACATGAACGATCCAAATCTTTTATTTGAGAACCTCAAACCTAACACAAAAATCAAAGAAAAGTTACGGCAGCTTGCGTCAATTCCCAGTTCCAACAAATTACTTAACTTGAAGTTCAACATATCTAACGATAAACAATATGAGATCTTCAAGTCTAACTATAATGTCAAAGTTAGAAGTCAGATTGGAAACTTGAATATCGAGCACTCTGTACCAGCTCTAAGATTACAGTCTCCATACTATAAGGTTAAGCTCACGAACGACGAAGCACGATCGTTCCATAGACCAAGGTTCACTGTGAGACCTGGAACTTTGATCAGTTTCCTGAAAGTAAAAGCCCGCAAAAGAAAAAAGGATAAGGGAAAGACCTCCAAAGAGCTCTTTGCAAAGAGTACGGATCTTACGGCCGGTGATAATACCACGATCATTTCTATGGAATATACCGAAGAGTATCCTATGATTCTTTCAAACTATGGTATGGGATCTAAGTTAATTAACTACTACAGAAGAGAAAAGCCAGATGACAACTCCAGACCTAAAGCACCATTGGGCGAGACCCATGTGTTGGGAGTGGAAGATAGGTCTCCATTCTGGAATTTTGGATATGTTGAAAAGGGAGACTTTGTTCCCACATTGTACAATAACATGATCAGAGCACCTATATTCAAGCATGAAACTAAATCCACAGACTTTGTGTTGGTAAGATCACAAGGAGGCGGCAATCACCAAAAATATTACTTAAAGAGTCTTGATCACATTTTTAGTGTTGGACATACGTTCCCAAGTGTTGAAGTTCCTGCTCCACATTCTAGAAAGGTGACAAACACATCCAAGAACAGATTGAAGATGATTGTCTTCAGGACCATGAATAAAAAGGGAAGAGCTAGAATCAACGTTAAAGATATCTCACACCATTTCCCCGACCAAAATGATATGCAAAACCGTCAAAGACTAAAGGAGTTCATGGAATATCAAAGACATGGAGAAGATCAATACTATTGGAAAATCAAAAATAGAGATACTGCTCCAGAAGAGGAAAGTATCAGAATGATGATCAGTCCTGAGGATGTTGCTTTGTTAGATAGTATGCAAGCTGGTCAACAATTGTTGGATGATTTGTCTATTTTCTTAAATGAGGAACAAGAAAAGGCCAAGGTGAACAAAGAGAAAATTCAACAACTTGAAGCCGATAAAGAGAATGAGGATGATTCCACCACCAAAGGAAAGGAGAAAGATAAGAAAAAGGAGCGCAAAGAAAAGAAAGAGGATGCCGAAGAAGGTATAGACGAACAACTTACCTCCTGGAATTTGACCAAGAACTTTGTATCTGCCAATCAAGCCAAGTCTATGCTTCAACTCAATGGGGAAGGTGATCCAACCGGTATTGGTATTGGGTACTCATTCTTGAAGACTTCCCAAAAGAGCTCATTTAGTCCTTTGTTTCCTCCTCCCAAGGAAAATGTTCCGAAGAGTAATCAAGCGGCATACCAAGCAAGGTTGTACGAGGAAGAGATTACCCGAATTTGGTATACCCAAAGAAAGTCTTTGACTGTTGATCGTGGGAAGTCATTGCAAAGTATTTATGAAGAGTACAAACCATTGGATCATGATCAATACCTTAAGAAGAAATACGAGGATGTCAACAGCGATTTGACTAAGGGAAACAAGACTTTAAAGATTAATAGAAGATCGAGAGACAAGAATGGAATCGTTCAAAGAAAAGTTGAAGTGATCAAAGATCCACGTATTATCAAAGCGTATCTTAAACGAAAGAAGCAGATTGAAGACGACTTAATTAAAAATACTGACTTGGAGGATATTCTTCCCACAAATGATAAAGAATTGAACAAGATCAGAAAAAAGGCCTTGGAAGAGAAATTGGCTAACTTGGAAAGAAGAGCCAAACACCATAAGGGTCGTAAATCTGCGACTGCTAAAGATCCATTGCAACTGGTACTTGCCGCAGGTGGAAAGGCCATTGATGCTAATACGGTTGTTCTACCTGATGGATCGTATGCTATACGGGGGAAAGGTATTGGAAAAGGAAAAAGTACTACGAGAAGATGTGCTGCATGTGGGGCATTTGGCCATATAAGAACCAAAAAATCATGTCCCTTGTACAACCAGACCCAAGGTGGAACAATCGACATAAAGCCACCTGAAGAATCAGGACAGCTTGAAATGTAAGGATATAATAATATTATTAATTTCCAAATACACACTAGAAACTAGCACCAAAATTTGTAAACTTTGATGTACCAAGGTTGTGCTGCCAATTCTGCTCTCTCGTTTGCCAAGTCTTGCTTCAAGTATTCAATATCAACTTCTCTCCTTCCCGTATCCAAGTCGATATCTTCCAATTTTACATAGAGGCGACCCCATGACTTCCTTACAGTTTTGTGTGAAGCCCAAAGAACAAGCATTAGAGGAACTGACAAACAGTACTGGAAAAACTGTTCTGCATTAGGATCACCTCCTACTGGGAATATAGCAACATAGAACTCTGCAACAATAATAAGACCAATTAATACCATTCCAATATATGATCCCCAAAGTCCAGTTCTAGATTCAAACACCAACTCGTCGGTGTATCTGCCTTGATGATATAATGCCCATCTAAATCTAACGTGAGTTAAGCATACATTGAACCAAGTGAAAAACGATGACAACGAGCAAATGGAGAAAAGCCATGTAAAGACAACTCCTTCGTTCTCACTAGCCACCAAGAATCCCAACAATCCAAATACGTTGGTGACCATAATCGCAACCAAAGGTCTTCCTTCCCTATCGATGTACCCAAAGATTTTAGGAATCAAGCTTTGGGCTGCCAAAGATGCAATTGTTCTTGAACATCCGTAAACAGAAGAACTTCCCACCGAAACTACTGCCAATAAAATCACAGCATTCATGATATGAGGAACAACCTTAATCCCACCATTGTTAATTGCTATCACAAATGGGGAAGCCCTGATATCTTCGTCGGACTGACCATTCAACAAACGAGGTTCACTATATGGCACTAAGCAGCCAATCACAATAGACGTCAAGAAGTAGAAGATGGTGATTCTCCAGAAAACTTGCTTTATAGCTTTAGGAATAGACTTTCTAACGTTTTCGGACTCAGCTGCAAGCAACGCTGACATCTCTACACCTCCGTAGGAGAAAGATGCCACAATAAATGTATTGCATAAACCTTTAAACCCATGGTTGAAGGATCCAGGATTATGCCAGTATTTACCACCAATATATCCTTGACTTCCTACTCCACAAATGATACAGATACCCAAGATAATAAAGCCAATTACTGCTATCACCTTAATGAGCGATAACACAAACTCGGCCTCACCGTAACCCTTTACACCAAAAAGATTAATACCACTAATAATGACATAGAACACGGCAATCCATACCGCAGGATTGATAGTATCATTCCAATATTGAATGGTCATAGCACAAGCAATCAATTCAGATGGAAAGGATATTAACCAGGAACAGGCGTAAAGTAAACCAAGAGTAAACCCAAAACTATCATCAATGAACCTCGTGAAATAAGCATTAAAAGCTCCTGAGACTGGGAATTGGGAGGCTAATTCTCCCAATGCGTTCATCACCAATAACATTGCAATACCCACAAGTGTATAACCTATCAATAAGGACCCTGGACCAAAGCTCAAAGCGTACCCGTTACCAACGAAGAGACCAGTGCCAATAGTTCCACCTATTGCAATCATCTGTATATGCCTGTTTTTCAACCTCCTGGCCAACGGATGTCTAGAAGTCCCATAAATGGCCTTTTCCAAGTCCGACATCTCAGAAGTATCGATACCATCATCTTCCAAGTCTATAGGTTTGAAAGAATCAATTATTCTTGAGAATAAAGGTTTACTACCATACGAGACGGTGGAAGCTGAAGAAGTCTCACCTACAACTGAGGCCCTGTCTGGGCCGGAAGAAGCACTTTTTTCCATAAGACAGTTGTACTTGAAAAGATTTAACGATTTTTGGCATCTCTACAATTATAAATGCCACAGTCAACACCAGAAAAAATAAATACATTGCAGATGATCGACTATTGTCCGGGACACAACCCATAGCAAAACAAGGTACAAAACCGGGTTGTGGATATAGGGTTGGGAGTCTTCTGAGGAAAACTTAAAACAACTACGGCCATCGCCACAGTGGCTTTTAAATCCCGGAAAAAGTATAAAACACTGGGGCAGATACATAGCGCTTCAGGTGTGAACGGGGTGCTCACGTGCATACATTCATACCTGATATAAACCTTGATATTTGGACTTTGAACAAATATATATTTTTTAGAGATGTGAATTTCATCGGCTGTAATGCATCTGTAACGGCAATAGTACGCGAAAACCATAGAAGCCGTTCATGCGAAGCCTTTTTCGCAATCACAGCTGATTCTGTGCCAGAATGTGGTAAACCCACAATAAAACGGAGTTATCCCTACGAACGGCTCCAATCTGTATTTCCCATATCTAAGGCCTTTAGTCGTATGTATTTTAACAAATAACCTGAAAAACAAGGCAAGTCTTACGGTATAATTGGTTATCAAGTCCGAATCTTGACCATATTTTCCGAGCGAAGGAGCAAGATGCAAGACTCGACCGAGGAAATAATCCGAGCTTAGAAATCTCACTTGACGATCAACCAGTAAGCTTTTACATGAGTGATATTGTAGTCCTACGAAGTTTACATAAGGAGTAGCGTGTATTCGTTAAAACAGATGTTTAGGCTGCTGGTTATATTCTCTCATCTCTTGGTTGCATCACCTTAATGGTTGCGAATGCTGGGTCTGAATGAACGTAGATGCTCCTCAACGTGGAGTTTCTGTAATAGTTATTGTACATGTAGTAAGCACCTGTTCCATAGCAAATGCCACCAACTAATAAGGCTTTTAATGGAGTGATTTTGAACATGTGGAATAAATAAGTGAAATTTGGATTAATGAAATTGATGTATAGGTAAAAAGGTGGAGACTTGAGGCCTCCTTTTATACCACTTGGTCAACAGATGGTACGAGAGAAGCAGGTGGCTCCTTCAACTAAAGTGGTGTTACTCTGTGAGGTGGCATGGCACAAATCAAAAATCACGAGATTTTTTTTCGGGCGTGCCAAATTGGCTGATTTGTGATTGTGAGAGACCATTATTTTTCATGCTCCATCAGTACATTCTAAAGTTTTCTGTTGGAGAAAGGATCGGTAAAAACTGGCCCAAGATTAACATGGGAATATCGAAGATATCTCTCTTGACGGTCCATACCGAGCAAAATTCCATATATTTATCATTCCCGGATATTGGCTGCGAAATCCCCAGTTTGGCCTGATCGGCGCCTTCAAGCTTAATGAGCTTACATTTGGTAAGGATAGAAGAATGCAAGTTCCCGACAGCCACTGATTTGAAAAGCTGGAAGTAGTTGATCACGGACTCATCATCATACATGAGTTCCATTATAAATGTTCTTTTGCTAAGAATGTTGTGGGTATTCCAATTGAGTAAACTAACCAACTCCTTTGATATCGACACGATTTCTCCCGTTCTTCTCCAGATGATGGTTGGTGAGCTGTTTAGTTGTGAAAGCTTTTCAAAGTCAATTAGCGACCTCTGGAAAGTCATTTCAAGAAATTGTAAGTCCCATGGCTTGTAAAGCGACTTGTGCGCAGAAATAAATGTAGGTCTGTAACTGGAGATGAGCTTGAGGATAATAAGCAAGTTGTTTCTCTTTGCTTGTTTTTGGTCTTCAGGCAAATTCTTACCCAGAAACCGGGTCTTGAGGAAGAATGTAAGTGAATGGTACAGCAGGGGATAGTCAAAATAAATAATATCATTTGAGTAAATGTCTTGAACTGCCTTGTAAACTTGATGCGTAGCCAATGGAGACATATAAGTATTCGAAGAAATATTCCCCTTCAAATGAGTAGTCAAGTCCACGTTTGTATCGTGGTTGGTGTTTCCCGATTGAAACTGTTTGTCTATTTGGTCCTGCTCTTCAATCGATTCCTCTGGAACCCCAAAAGAAATAAATGGCCGAGTATCTTTAAGCTTATCTTCATTGAACATGGCCGGACTTATGAAAGTAGGGGTTTTTGACCGAACAGATGTATTCATGGACCCTGACGGTGTGGGAGATGTTGGCTTCGAGTTGGTGATGATATCCCCCAACATCTTGTACTCTTGGTCCAAGTAGTTCGAATCAAACACATTATCGAGGTAATCGGAATGGCTAGGTTTCATCTCGACTGAGAAAAGCTTCGATAGTACTTCATCCGTGGTGTTAACAGACTCCACACGAGGAAAAACCAGGTTTTGAGTCTTGGTGGCGGCTGCTTCCAGAGTATTTGTGGTGGGATCGGATGGTGGTACCGAAACTGAAGACGAATCAAGGTTAAATTGCTCATTAAAGGTGTCTTCTTCTGGGCTACCTCGACTTTGGGAATCTGAAAATTCGCTTTGACGGAGGTACTTCGCTTTCTTCCGTTCAATATCCTGGCACTGGTGGGCGATATCCCGCTTGACACAATTTTTGCACGGACGTTCATTTGAACATTGGAGATGTTTTCGATGGCAGAATCTGCAGGCGCGGCTGGCTGGTCTTCTGTTGAGTTTCTCTTGAGTTGATAGTTTCCGTGTCATGCTGTGTGGATTTGCTGGTGATTCCGACTGCTAGCAGGAAGCGTGCTGAGTTTGTGTGGTGAAAATATTTACTTGGATTGGAGGAAAGTCTGGGGTATATGTTTAAAAAGGTGTACTCCCGGACATTTCAGGATTATCCGCGCCGGTTATTCCTACGGAGCCCGAGGAGGCTACCGGGCAGGAATTTTGCCGGAAAGATATGGGGAAAATCGTGTGGGTGAGGACGTGTGGATGTCGTGTGTATTCGGTCGTGTGTATGTAGTCCCGTGAGCACTCGCCTCGTGCCGTTTCCCAAAATGTCCACGATGCTTCAATCTGGCTGCCCTACCCGATTGAGAAGCTTCTTCCAATTATAGTGCACCAGAGCCGAAGACCTTATTCAATGTATCTAGTTTAGGAACTATGTTGCCTTGTTGTAGATAGTTTCTGTCCAATGGGAGAACGAGGCTTGCAACTCTCTATCTACCCGCATGATGTTACGTCCCATTTCGAACGCCTTTAGTCTGGGGGTTTCAGGTTAATGGATCTGATCTTCCATGACCCAACCGTCCTAATGTGCTGGACTTCTTATCTAAAAAAGAATAGATCTAAACCATGTTGGTTAGGCGTTTCAACTGTTTCTCATTCCCTCCTTCAACATGCTGGTAGTATCCCGTAACAATAGATGGTTTTTACCCGCATTCTATTGTTCGAGATTGTTTGCTATAACTCAACAATCGCACTACGCAAAGCACACAATAAGTCCCATGAAACAACCAAATGGCCGTTACGTTTGTATATAGGACCTTGCCTATACCCCCTAATTAAGTAGGTCAGGGCAAGGGCACCGATGCGTCGGTATAAAACTTTGCCAATCCCCCGCTACACTTATGATTAGTTAAAATCAATGAAGTTTTTCACGCTGCTTTTATCAGTGTTATCGCTCGCAGCTTGTAAGTCCATATTATTGTCCAACGACGACTCATGGGTGTCTTCAGAAATCCGTGCCTTGTATCGTGAGCTTGTGGCGGACGGTCATGATGTTATAATGGTAGCCCCAGCCTCTCAAATGTCTAGTCAAGGAGGTGCTTTCATTGTTCCCGACTCCAGTGATTTGGATCTGGATGGTAATTTCGGTTACGTTTCGGCGGGTGATCCTGCTTGGGGTCAGGACCCTGATGATCCTCATATCTGGTACTTCGGAGGTTCTCCTTCAGCTTGTATTTCGTTTGCCTTTGAGTATCTTTTGCCAAAACTGTACTCCAACGTGACAATTGACTTGGTTGTTTCTGGAGTTAACCAAGGTCCTAATATTAGTCCGGGTTACTACACTGCATCAGGAACGATCTCCGCTGCTTACTCGGGTATATATAGGGGATACCCTGCTATTTCATTTGGAGGATCCAACTTGAATAATTCCTTTTTCCAAGATAGTTCTGCTAACGACGAGTATGATCCTGCTAATATCTACGCTAAGAAAGCGGTTGAAATCATTGATCTTCTTGTAGACGCTGATTTACCGTCCACCGTTGGTATCAATGTCAATTTTCCTGAAGTTGGGTATCTTTTAGATAATGAAACCGAGTGCACTGATCCTGTGTGGAAATTTGGAACCATGATGAACGGTGGATACTTTGCACCAATAGTGAAATATGATAGCAGTTCTGATACGTTCTCGTCGTCATACAAGTTATTTAAGGATAGCACATGTAACGATGGTAGCGGATGCAACCTCCCATCTGAATACGACATTTTCTGGGCCAGAAACTGTACCACGTCGGTAACAGGATTCCAGGTGGACGTACTGTTGCCCGGCTCAATGGACACAACGGTGAAAGGCATTTTTGATGGCCTTTTTTAAACCAAAAGAACTGTATAATACTGTAGTATTCTTTTTGTATAACCAAGCCAGAATTATAGACATTTTTTGCGGCTAAATATTTCGCAACTCTTTCGGATCGCCAGTTGCGCCTAATTGTGTGCGGTGAAATTTGTAAATTAAAAAGCAAAGACTTGTTTTTTTTCTATTCACTTGAACGCTAAACATGTCAATTTCAAAATCTCTTAAGGAACTTGAGGCTGACTTTGTTGTTACCTACTCCAGCAAGAAGGTGGATGCTGACCTCAGTCAATTGCTTGATTTGTTGGAAGAAAAGGGCTTTTTTTGTCAAATCAGAGACCTTAATGAATCTTCACTCTTAATTTTTATCAAGTTGTCGGGGTATACTTATGCCGAATTGTACGAAAAAGACTTAATCAAGAATTATGAGTTCGGCATCACCTCGGCCATTGACAATAAAGCTGACAAGTTGCGGATTGTGTATGAGTATTTGTCGGGATCATCCCCTGATGATGTTAATTTGCTCGCTCACAAACACGTAGCAGATATCACTCCCATCACTGAATCAATTAGTTCCACCAATGGTCTTGAAGATATTAAGTCGCTTGTCACTCTTAGTAATGCTCCTTCCACTAGCTTTATTAAGGAGAACTTCGGAATCCATATTGCTCTTTACTTTGAATTTGTGAAGCACTTGCTTGTATGGTTGTCAGGTTTATCGGTGTTGGGACTTCTTAGCTACTTCAAGTCTAAACACTTGTTCTCCTTGACATACTGTCTGGTTAACTTGGTTTGGGGAACCTTTTTTTTGGCGTTCTGGAAGAAGAGAGAAAAGTATCTAGTCAGTTTCTGGGGTAGCGCAAACTATCACTTGATCCAGGAACACAAACTGGAATTGAACGATATCAACAAGTATTATGAAGAAAAGTCTAGCTATAAGCATAAGAACAACTATGAAGGACTCAAATTCTTGAAGCAGTTGTTGTTTATCCCTGTTGCCGTTGGGTTTGCAGCTGTGTTGGTAGCTTACCAATTGGGATGTTTCGTGTTGGAAATTTTCATTAACGAAATCTACGATGGTCCATTCAAAGGATTCATTGGCTTGGTGCCAACCATATTGATTACTGTGTTTGTGCCAATTTTGACCACCATTTTCAATCTTGTTTCTGACTTGTTGATCAAGTATGAGAAACACAACAATAATTACACCAAGCAGAACTCGGTATTGATCAAGCAGTTCATCTTGAACTTTTTGACTAGCTACATGCCTTTGATTATCACTGCCTTTATATATTTGCCATTTGCTCACTTGATCCAACCTAACTTGGTGCACATTAAGGACAGTATTTCCTATGGTGCTAACCCTAACGCCTTCTACTACAAGTATTTGACACATATCAAGAACCAAGAAGACTTCAAAATGAACCAAGAAAGATTGAACTTACAATTCAACTACTTCATTGTTACTAACCAAGTGATCCAATTGGTGTTGAAGTATGCCTTACCTCAAATCATATCCCTTGTTAAAAGTTTTATTTCAAAGCCCACCTACGAACCTGTGGACAAATCTAACGAAAAGGACTACTTGAACAATGTGAGAAAGTATGTTTCCTTGCCAAGTTATGATGTGAATGGTGACTTCAGATTTGTGACAATCGTTTACGGGTACCTTATTTTGTTTGGTCCGGTATGGTCGTTGGCACCCCTTGTCACTCTTGTATTCTTGTTTTTGACCTTCAAATTGGACTACTTGAAATTGCTGAATGGTAAGTACTTCAAGCCTCCAATTCCTCAAAAGATTGATTCTATCTACCCTTGGAACTATGCCTTGTTCATTTTAACTTGGTTAGGATCCATCATTTCTCCAGCTATCACTGCCTTCTACCATCATGGAGATAAGCCACCAAAGTCATTAGGTCAATTTGCTTTAGATAAGGCCAGTGTTAACACCAAATCTTCCACTTTGCTTATCATTTTATTGCTTAGTGAGCATGGTTTCTTGACTGTTTGGTTCTTATTGGCCAAGGTGTTTGATTTGTTCAAAACTGATGTTGAATGGAGTAACGACTTCACCGATAATGATATCAAATTGAGACATGACTACTACACCAGCCAAATCAAGGGCAACTCTGAGAAACGCTTCGAAGATGATGAATGGAGTTTCGCCAACTCAAAGCTGGCATTGACTGAAGCCAACCAAATCTTGGACAAGAAGTTTTCGGATAATGAAGACGTTGAAACCATCGAGCCAAAGGCCACTCTGACTGGTGTGAACTTGAACCAAGTAGCTGATTTAGAAGATATTAAGGATGAAACTGACAAGATTGTCAGAGTACCAACCGAAACTGCTGAGAAAGTTTTTGCAACTATCGATGATAATTCCCACGTTAAGCCTAATCATGAAACCGAATTCCAAAAGGATTACGAAGGAACATCTTCTCCTGAACCCCATCTCGATAATGAAAGCAGTGAAGGAACTTCAGGTGTTGATGAAGCTTCTACTTCTAGCAGAACCGATAAGTTATCCAAGAAGAGAAGTCCGCTTAAAAAGCTTTTGAAGAAGAGAAAGTAAGTGAATTCTAGATTTAATCGCTATGAACAATGTATATTCTATTTTACTTTTAGTTATCCGTCGCCTAGTTTTTGGGTGGCCTTGTGCCGAAGATTGAACTTCCAACCCTTACACTTGTACTTCCTTGTCTGATGGCATCCTGAAAGTCATTACTCATTCCCATACTAGTCTTCAACAGTAAACTGAATTTCTCGTCCAACTCTTTCTTCAAATCAACCAATTTCTTAAAATCATTATTTTGCTCCGACAGAGTCGATTCTAAAAACGAACCTATGGTCATCAATCCCTCAAAGCTCAAGAACTTACATTCCTCACTAACCAAAAAAGATACAGCTTCATAAAGATCTTTCTTTCCTCCCTCAGATAGCTTGAAACCAGACTTTTGATCCTCTCCTGATGTGTTAATCTGTAAGTATACATTAATTACGGCTCCATTGACTTCTTGTCTGTGTGTATTGAGTTTCTTGCACTTTTTCAACGAATCAATCGTTTCCACTGCATGCAAGTTTTCAATATTCTTAGCCAACACCTTGCATTTATCTGTTTGAAGACTACCAATAAAATGCCACTTGATATCCTTGGGCAATTCACTTGCTTTTGTGGTCAACTCTTGCACGTAGTTTTCGCCAAAGTGTCTGACTCCATGATTGTACAATGTCAAGATATCGCTGGAAGGCTTCAACTTCGACACAGCCACCAACTCAACTTGGGCACTAGCAGCCCTCAAGGCAACTTCTTTCACCTTGTTCAATATGATATCATAGTTGCTGATCAATTCTTTCTGTCTCACTAACGCTGGTAAAGTAACACTCATTGTGAATTCGGGTTTGACTGATTCCAGTTTAACTGATTCTAGCAAAATGCTATGACAGAAGTGCGACATTTGTGTCGTGTTGAGACCTAAAAAATCGATGAGCATCCAAGTGAAAAGTTGGACGTTACAACCTCAAGACCATAATGAGTGAAAAGATTTACCAAGGAGATGATTTTGACGCCAAAGTCACCAAGCAAGTGGAATTCTACTTTTCGGATAGTAATTTGCAGACTGACAGATTCTTGTGGAAAATTTATGAAGCTAACGATGGGTGGGTAGAATTAAAGACCATTTTGACCTTTGGTAGAATGAGACAATACAGACCTGAAGACAAGGTCGTTGAGGCTTTGAAAAAGTCCGATAAGTTGGTCTTAAGTGCCAACAACGAGCTGATTAGAAGGAAGGATCCTTTGAAGGAATTTAACGAGTTGAAGAACTCCAGAAAGAGAAACACTGTTCACATTGAAGGTTTCCCTAAGACTGCTACGCAAGAAGATTTGGAAGATTTTTTCAACACCAAGGTGGCTGGCAACTTGCCTGAAGAAAAGGTTATTAGTTCGATTCGTAGAATCAAAAACAAAAGTACTAAGGAATTCTTTGGTGTTGTTGATGTTGAATTCAAAAGTACTAAAGATGCAGAATTTGTCTTGAATGAAATGGAAATTGTCTACCCAACTGGATTGATTTCCAAGAATGATGAAGTTACCAAAAAAGATGTTTTAAAGAAGATGTCTCTCTTGACTTTCCAAGAAATGAGAGAAAATGGTAAAAGATTTGGAATCAACGATGTTACTAAGAGAAAGAACAGTTTCAACTCCAACAAAGATGTCAAAAAGTTCAAACATGACCAGAAAAAGGCCAAAAAGGAAACTACTGAAGAACTGGTTGTGGAAGAAGAAACCACCAAGCCTGCTGGATCAGCAGAGTCTGAATCTGCTGAGCCAGCTGAGACCTCTGCTTCTGCTCCAACATCAGATGAAACCCCTGCTGCAACCGAATCTGCCTAGTTCACATTTATTATGTACATTATTCCGACAGCTTTCCTCCTGTATTTATGGGCACTAATACACACTGGTATTTTGTAGAATCATACACCAAGGTTTTTCGCAGTAATTATATCAAAGCGCGTAGCGCGATGTTTTTTTTAAGTTGAACTCCAACTCGTGCTAACTCAACATGTCTGAAGTTACACCTGCTAGCAAAGAAGACATTCTCCTGACTTTCGGGCAACCGAACACACTCGACAATGGTGTAATATCCAAAATTCACACGTTAAAAAACATCTTCAACTTGTCAACGGAAGATATTTTTCTTCAATGGGAAACCTACAATGTTAGTGAAGTAAAAGAGAATTTAGAACTTTCTTTGATCGTGTTAGATGGGTTCCAAGAATATTTGCAAAGACACTTGGCAGATGCTTCCAACAAGACTCCCTCAGTCAAAAGACTAAGAGATTCAGTTGGATCTACCATTAAAAGAAGACCTTTGAAACCACTTAATTCCTCCAGTCCAATAGCAGAATCCAACTTCCATACTCCAAGCTTGAAAATGAGAAAAGTCAATGGGACCCCATTCAAGACTCCTGGGGCTGGACCGGATTCTTCTCCAAGTAACTTTGAAACTGCTAATAACACTTTCCGTAACTCTCCAGTACGTTCTTCTGAACTTTCTAATACCATTTTAGAGACTTTGAATGGGCATATTGATAGCGTGGAAAACGGCCAAACCAATGAGAAGGGAAAGATACAAATTGCAAGCAATTTCGATCCTCAGAAATACAAGTTCCGTTCCATGGCTATGAAGTTACTTGAAAGTGCTGACTTTTTGGACGACCAAATAGATAACTTTGCTCAACTCTTCCAAGACGCTCATAAAGGCGAAGATTTGAATTTTGGTAACCCATGCTTGAGTTCTCAGTTCGATATCTATTGCTGTGGTAGAATTGTACCAGATTCCCCCCTGTATGACTACCTGCAAAGTTTGAATGCTACCTCATTAAACTTGGAAACCTCCAGATTAGCGGGAATTGGCCAAAGGGTGCCTTTAGACTTGTCACAATTGAAGGAGTATTCTTTCTTTCCTGGACAAATTGTATGCTTGAAAGGTAGAAATCCTGCTGGTTCGCAGTTCGTTGTACAAGAAGTATTGGGCTTGCCTGAATTAGGAACTCCAATTACCCCAGAGTCCGAGTTGAAAGACTTTAAGGACATGGTTGGTGAGTCGTCAGGAATAAAATTCGTTATGGCTGCAGGGCCTTACTCGAATCAAAATGTCCTCAATTACAGCAAATTCAGTTCATTTGTCGACAGAATCAATAGTGAAATTCAACCTGATCTTGTGGTGTTGTTTGGTCCTTTTGTGGATTTGAACAACAAGTCGGTTTTAGAGGGCGATATTGAGTTCCCAGATAATGGAGAGGAACCTCAAAATCTTGATGAAGTGTTCAAAAAGTTGGTTACTCCAATTTTGAAGAGAATCAACTCCAACATCCAGGTGATTTTGCTTCCTTCCTTAAGAGATGCTACCGTAAAACATTGCTCTTTCCCACAAGATTCCTTTGATAGAAAGCTGTTGGGATTACCAAAGAACATCAGGGCATTTCCAAACCCATCTGGATTTGCTATCAATGAGATCTTATTTGGCTGTTCGAACTTGGATGTGTTCAAGGACTTGAAAGATGTGATAAAACTTGATTCTAGTGGAGATAACACCAACATATTCTCCAACCGGTTCGAAAGAATAACCAATCACATTTTCGAACAAAGGAGATACCACCCAGGATTCCCTGGTTCAGTGGCTAAGAAACAGATATCCAAGGAAGAAGTAAGCAAAACTGCACGTCAAACCGGTGGACTAATGGCGGAAGAAGTGGCAGAGACGAGAATCGGAGGATCGTGTTTAGAAGTATCATATATGGGTTTGGCAGAATTGGGAGATACCTTGCCAGATGTACTCATCATTCCATCTGAGTTGAAGTACTTTGCCAAGATTGTCAAGAATGTCGTTACGATAAATCCGGGGATGTTCATCAGACCCAATAAAGATGCCGAAAAAGAGGAAGGCACGTACGTGGTCATGCACACCAAGGCCCCCGATACCGAAGACTCAACGCCCAATGTTGAAAAGGTAAGTCCTGACCTGAACATGTACTATCATAATGTGTTTAAGAGATCTAAGGTAGATATATACCACTGCTGATTTGGAGACGCGATGTGATTTTTTCTATGTATTTGAAGCTACACAATTTATATTTATATGTACACATAAATGTCCAAATTCCTTAACCCCTATGGGCCCCGTCCCTGGTTTCATGTATCACGAATACGATACATTCTGTCTACATCATCGACTCCCATTAAGCTTCGAGACTACCAAATAAAAGCCATTGATGCAGTCAAACTGGCCATCCAACGAGGTGTGAGAAGACCAGCATTTGTGATGGCTACAGGTGGAGGAAAAACTATGGTATTCTCTCATTTAATCCCACAACTTCCACAAATGGATCCCCAAAGAGGCAATAAAGTCCTTGTTCTCGCCCACACAGAAGAATTGATCAAGCAGGCTGCTGAAACCATCGCTCGAATCAACCCAAGCTTAAAGATAGAAGTAGACATGAGACACATGAAACCCACGTTTGAGGGCGACATCATTGTCGGATCTGTGCCGACGTTGGTGAGGACTGTGAGGCTCAACAAGTACAATCCAAAGGACTTTAAAGCCATTGTTTTGGATGAGTGTCACCACGCATCTGCTTCTTCATGGTCCAAAATTCTCAAGTATTTCAACGCTGATACACCTCAGCTGGAAGTAATTGTGATCGGGTGCACAGCAACTTTGGAGAGAAGCGATGGAAAGTCGCTTGGAGAGGTGTTTGATGAGATTGTGTTTGAACGGAGTTTGTTGACAATGGTGAAGAATAAAGAGTTAGTCGATGTGAAATTCTCCAGCTTGAAAGTGGACATAGATTTGTCTTCTGTTCCAACCAAGAACTCTGATTACGAAACAGTGAGTCTTTCGAACCTTATTAACAGTACCGAAACCAATCTTTTGGTGGCCCTTTCCTATAGGAAATTGCGAGAAGAGTATGGGTTTCGCTCCACATTGATGTTTTGTGTGGACATTAACCATTGTAAGACCCTTTGTGGGGTGTTGCAAAGAAGTGGAATTAATGCTCAGTATGTCACTGGGGACACTGTCAAGCATGAAAGAAGGACTATTATTGAGGACTTCAAGAATGGTAAGATTGACGTTCTTTGCAATGTTCTTGTATTCACTGAAGGAACAGATATACCTAACATTGACTCATTATTTTTGGTTCGGCCCACAAAATCAAGGCCGTTACTTGTTCAAATGATTGGCAGAGGATTACGATTACATGGGAATAAGACCCATTGTCATGTGGTAGATATAGCTGGAACAAGAGGAACGGGAATTCAATCTGTACCAACTCTATTTTCGTTACCGTCAGATTTCAAGATTCATGGAAAATCATACCAGGAGCTACAGAAGGAAGGTGAAGAGTATACTCTTGCACAAAAAGAGTTAGAGAAACAAGAACAACTTGAAAATGAAAAACTAAGATTGTTGGATGAGCAGGCTACCTACAGCAAGATGGTCCAGCTCAATAATCTAGAAAACAAGTTAGATTTGGAGTTTCTAACAGTTGATGGATTTTTGGCGTTGGAGTCCAAAGACATGCAAGACTTTAAGGAATTCAAACAAATACATTCGACTCTTGCGTCTCATTCCCTCGATTGGATCAGACTCGAATACAATATCTGGGGCCACCAGATTGATGAGCACTTCTTCTTGTTGGAACGAATAAATTTGGAGCATGAGAACACTCTTTTCAAGTTATGGGCCACTGGGTTCACTAGCTTGCAACACAGAGTTGCCAGCAATTATAAATGTGGAAAATTCACCACCAAAACTGAAGTTATAAGTTCATATAACTTAGATACGGTTTTGGCAAAAGCCTCAGTTCTAAGGAATGAAATTCAGACCACCTTTGGACGTCTCCGTGATTCCAGTCCCTTGACTGCAAAACAAAGTAATTATTTGGAATCTAAACTTGGTATTAAACTTAAACAGTACTATGATAATTCCCCAGAATTACAAGGTAAACTTAAGGAAGAAATATCTAAGCTCACCAGACGGAAAGCTGCAAACCTCATATTTGCCCAGAAGTATTCGTCTAAAGCACTTTTTGTGGGATGGGAGCTTCAAAAGATGTTGGGCTCAAACAAACGCACAAGAAAAACTATTAAAAAGATAGTGAAAAGTGAAACTCTAGCCTCCAAACATCTTCCCAACATATCCAATATAACCCCCTTGCATATTTTCCAACACACATCGATATAACTAATCTATATAGCATTTCCAATTACACATACTACATAACGATTCAAACACGTACGGGTTTGCAACTCATTGCGCGAGTTTGCACCAAAAACATTACACGAAAACTAATTGATCGAGCACATCCACGAAGTTTAAAACCATCATGAGAGTATTCCACCGTCTCCTTGTGATGCTCGGGTTGTTTCTGTGTATTATAGGCTTGGATACTGATTTCATAGATGAAGAAAAAGCTCAAAAAGTCATCAGTGAATCGGGACATACCAACAATTGGGCGGTTTTGGTTTCCACATCAAGATTCTGGTTTAATTACAGACACATAGCTAATGTGTTGAGTCTTTACAGAACTGTGAAGAGGATGGGTATTCCTGACTCCCAAATCATATTGATGTTGGCCGACGACATTGCCTGTAATCCTCGGAATGCAGCTCCAGGTACTGTGTTCAATAATATGAACCAAGCAATCGACTTGTATGGGGACCTGATCGAGGTTGATTACCGAGGTTATGATGTGACCGTGGAGAACTTCATCCGTTTATTGACCGATCGGTGGGATAAAGATCATCCCAGAACCAAGAGGTTGTTGACAGACGAAAACTCCAATATCTTCATTTATATGACTGGGCATGGGGGCAATGAGTTTTTGAAGTTTCAGGATGCCGAAGAAATTGGCTCTTATGACATTGCCGATGCTTTTGCTCAGATGCATGAAATGAAGCGGTACAATGAAATATTCTTCATGATCGACACTTGTCAAGCGAACTCCATGTACGAAAGATTTTATTCGCCAAACATCTTGGCAGTTGGCTCATCCAAGATTGACCAGTCATCATACTCCCACCACTCCGACTTAGAAATCGGTGTGGCTGTTATCGACAGATTCACGTACTACACCTTGGACTTTTTGGAAAACATTGAACAAAGCTCGGATGCTACAATAGAGGACCTATTTGATATTTACACATTTGAGAATATCCACTCGGACCCAGGATTCAGAACAGACTTGTTCAAAAGAGATATCAGCACTGTCAAATTGACTGACTTTTTTGGTAATGTTCAGAAAGTTATCGTTGACAATGTGGAAAGTGACATTCTTTACTCAGCAAATCACGATAAAAGTGGAAATCGTATTGTGCTACCAGCCAAAGAACAACAGAAGAATAGCACAGAAAAACTCCTCAAAAGAGCTAATATTGACCAAATCAGCTACCTCAAAGAAACCAAGTCTACCCTAGTCGACCTCACTCCCATACAAGCGAGGCTTGTTGCAATTTCTGGATTTGTGGCTATTTTAGGTTTGTGGTTAATTGCAAAATAGTTATGGCATAATGAATGGACATTTTTATTATATAATATGCGATTTTCACCAATTGTAGGCGTGATATAATTTCTGTACTATTCGAATTTTCCAAGAATTAAGCATTTTTTCTGATTTTGTCTTTAAAGTTGCATTGATCACTTTATGACAATGCATCTAGCTATAGGTTAAGTACTATTAGTTATATGCGTCACATCCATGTTTTTTGCAGCCACCTTATTTCGAACCAAGGAATTCTGCAAGCCTACGACTTAAGAAGAGGGAACTAACAAAGCTCATCCCGAAATCTTGTCTTTCATGTCCAACAATAGACTTGCTAACCTTCAGTCTATCCAAAACGTCTCTCAATTGTGAATCTCAGCTTGTCTTCTCTCTGAACTACGATGAAATGAACGCGACGATGTTTGTTTATTTTCGCGCTTAAGCAAAATACTCATATTTAGCATCTGTATAAAGAATACATCCTTTATTTCCAACTCAAATGGCAGACAGACAAAGAAATGCATCTTCTTTGGAGCACTCTACGAGGTTCTTCCAAATGGTAGCATCATCTGATGTCAAAACTTCTGTCAAAATTGAGTATTTAAATGATCTCAGATTAAAAATCAGAGAATCGAAAGGAGATAAAAACTCACCCATTTTGAGTGTCAGAGCCATTACGAACTACATTCAAGGTTTACAGATCCTAGATGATATGGATAACATGGAACTTGCTAGAACAAGCTTCAGAACCTTGAGTGACCTCTTAAAGTACGCTGCCATAGGAGGAAAAATCACTAAGGAACATGCTAGATCTGTTTTCCCAATCCTTATAAGCCGACTTGGAGACCACGATAGCAAAATTCTGGCATCAGCCGAGAAAAGGCTTGATGATATCTGGCTCATCAACAATAAAGAAGTACAACATGGATTTGAACATATAGCATTTCCTCATCGCAACCCTGATGTGGTGATCAAATCTTTGTCTTGGTTATTGGAAAGAGCTAATGAGTACATTCAATTTAATTTGGAACGATTAATATTAAGCATTGTGAAAGCAATCAACGACAACTACCATCAGTCACGGATGAATGTTGTAAATGCATTTTTGGAATTCCTTGCCACATATTTCATGTCCCATAATGATCCAGCATCTCATAAACTTGCGGTCAAAGAGGTATATTCAACCAAAGTCGAAGATTACGTGAGAGACAGCATTTTGAACGCCATAAACAAAAATCCAAGCACTGTATCAAGAAGCAGAGCTCCAGTTTTAAAAGCCCTGGATGAAATGCAGTCTTATGGGTTCGAGTCGTCCAAAAAATCCCCGAAAAAGTCAACAGGAGACATTCAGAGCGAATTAAGGTCCCCTTTTGAAGTACAAAGCCATCACTCCATAGCCCCATCAGAAGACGCCAATGAAAGTATTTCAGAAGCCCTGGAGCTGGAATCTGACCTTCAAGCTTTTACAAGTAGATTGGATAGTTATGGCTTCGATGATTCTATTCACACCTCCGACACATATACTGTTGATGATTTACATCGTTTGTCACGCGATCTTCTTCCAGTATTCGAAGGTAATGAAACTGAGAACAATTGGCAGATAAGAGAAAGGAATATCATGAAGATTAGAATGGTTCTTCGAAGTAACGTTATAGGTGAATTCCCTGAGGAGTTTAAATCGCTTTTACAACGATTTAATGAAGCCATTCGTAAAGCTCTTTTGTCCTTGAGGACTACTTTATCCAGCAATGCTTGTCAGTTAATCAAAGAATCAGCCATGGTATTGAAAGAGTCGTTTGACTCTCTTGTCGACACATTCTTACCGGCATTGATACAAGTTTGCTCTTCAAACAAGACTATTTCCACCAAGAATTCTCATACTGCTATATGTGCTATAATTATGAGTTGTTCATACTCTGCAAGGTTTATCAGCAAAATCGATACTTGGGCAGCGGATAAGAACATTAATCTTCGTGCTTTCACATGTTCTTGGTTACACATTGTTTTCCTCAGATTCCACGATTTCCCTAACTTCTGCATCCAACCAGCATCTCAAAATCCCGCCAGAATAACCTCAGTGAGTAAGACTCTTGGAAAGTTATTGGCAGACTCTAATGGAACTGTCAGACAAGCTGCCAGAGAGGCATTCTGGTCATTTGTGAAATACACCCCTGATGTAGCTGAATCAATCTTTTCAAAATTGGACTCCAATGTCTCTAAAGGCATAGAGAGGGCTGCTCCTTCCAACATAGGCTCGTTGAGCGACATTTTTGAAACTTCAAAAGAAGTAAGAGGAACAAATAGATCTAAAGGGCAACCAGCTACAAAAATAAGCTCAAGGATATCTATGCCATCAAGACCAGCCTCAAAAAGTGTGTTCAGACAAGCAGCAAAGCCACTTCCAACTGTAGTGAAACTGATAATCAGTCGCCCGGCGACTCCAAACGTTATTTCAAACATTGTTCAATCTAGAGCTCCTTCAAGACTATCAGCGCAGACAAGCCTTCCCAAACGTCTAGGAGGGTCCCTAGTTAGTGACGAGAATTCAAAACGTGGGATAAGTAAACTTGAACGGTCCAACTCAAGAAATCAACCTAACCAAGTTTTCCATTCTCTGTCCAATGTCAAGGCTGATTATTCAAAACCGGAAAGGACTAGCAGTCTTAAAAAGGTTGATGCGCCAGTCAAATCCAAGAAGAACGCTGTCATCTCAACAAATGGGCCTTCGAGTGAACATTCTAATGCAGTTGTGAAGCCTATTTCTGCTTCTATTCCCACTAATACTCCTGCTTCGATCTCAATTTCGTCTAAAGAATCTCCTCATAAACAGGTCAACCCTGTTTCTACGTCAGTGTCAAGAGTCCTTGATGACAGGTTACCATCTTTGGAATTCCCATTGGTTTACCAGTTGGCTTCATCTGATATCACAGTCATAAGAACAGGAATCGATACTTTGAAGTATGCCCTCAAATTCAATGAGACTGCAGAAATACCAAAGAATATCAATATAATATTGTCCAAGCTATCTCGCTCACACAATGAAATGTTGAAACCCTTATTCAATTATGTTGCATTAAGCAAGATATTGCCTGTATTCAATTTGGATGATATGTTACGAGTTTATTTCACTCTTTTTGAAGACGTTTCAGAAAGCTTCGTTGACGAATTGAAAAGTAACTTCGATTCTGACAAGATTTACAAGGCAATTGACTTGGTACTAATCAATTGTTTGAATTGCAAAAAACTACTCCACAGTGATCCCCTATTTGGAGAGCAAGTGTCTATTTATAAACCAGTCATCATTAAGCTGATCATCAAATTTTTGAGTATAGATATAAATGAAGCTTCCAGCGACCTGAACTTCCCAATTATTTCAAACAGTGTTTTCCATCTTATCAATCACATTTCCTACGAGTCGTTTGATGATTATTTTGAATTATTGACCAAAGTTTATTCCCTTAACTCGCTGACATTCAAGATGACATTAAATTATTTTGAGTCTGACTATAAGTCTGATATTATCGAACTCATTCAGCGTATTGACAACAAGGAGGACGTCGAGATGAGTTCTGAAAATGACGATAGCGATGATATCAACCTTGATGATTTGATTGGACAAGGGGAAAACCATACACTGAGTGATAGTATGAATATGCATGAGGTAATTGCAATCAATGATCTCAACATCGGTACAAGAAATAATTCACAAGAACAGGAAGAAATCAGAGTCTCAGACAGTTCCAGCAGCGAGGGATCAGACAAACTTCAAGAAGAAGATGCTCATATAATGTCTGAAAGCAAGGGAATTCAACTTGACACGGAAGCTGTGGCCAATGCCCAGAATGCGTTCAGTCTTGGGTTGTCTACTGATGGCAAAAGTAAGGTAGTTTCTGTATCTGAAGAAGACAATGTGTTTCTAGACCGCCAGTCTTCAAGCAGAAATGAGATAGCTGAAGAGTTTTCTCAAATTGACATTCGTGATCGGTCATCGTTTGAAATAAAGGATCCATTTCAAACGCTAGTCGAAAAGGTTGATCCGTTAAAAGCTAGAGCTGAGAGGAACAAACAAATTAACATATACGAGGATTCAGTCCACGAGAGCAAAGAAAATAGGGCATCGTCTACTGACTGCTCCCCTCGAAAGCATGTCGATGAAGTGTATGACTATTCTGAGTTGAACTGGTTCAACTTCCAGCTAGCTCATAATTCGGAGAGATTTAAAAGTGATGTCAATAGAAGTGAGTTTGAAAATTTAACCACTCGTTTAGGTGATAAAATGATCAATAACGATGAAGTATTACGATTGATAAATTATCTTCAAAGTAGCATTGATTTTGATATGGAGTTTGCCAATTACTTTTACAAAGAAGGTAGCAAGAAATTGGAAGCCAACTTATGGAAGCTCTTTGAGAAGTTTAGCGTTTTGAACAAATCTCAGATTTCTAATGGTTTGATAATTGCCAAGCAGCTCTTGATCACTCGTATGAAGATTGACCTCAAGAAATTAATTCACACTTTAGTGAAACTAGGGGATATTGAAGATGAAAGCATTGTTGAGTTTGGATACGCCATAAGCGAAATCTTTGAAGAGGTGTTGAGGTGTAAGTATCCTTCGGAAGATATTCTCGATGTATTGATGGAAGCCACTGGACATTTGAATGTTGAACACCCCAAAAATAAGATCGTCATGGGGTTTGATCTTTTGTTGAAGTTCTTGATACACTACCCATTAATTGGCCAAAAAAGTGGTCAGAAAATGGCCATATTCTGTAATACCACCTTATATCCATTACTTAGCCATCAAGATATCGAGGTCAGGCGGATCACGGTACTCAATTACGGAAAGATCTTGAAAAGCTTGCAAGGCGCCAATCTTGACACCAAAATGATCCAAGAGAGCCTCAGTGGCTCCCAGAAAAAGCTCATCGAATATTACAGTAAAACTTAGCATAGCATAATCGTAAAATTTGAATAAATAAGATAAGAAAACACACACGATAGAAATAAAACGTAGAATTACAAAATGCAGATATAGTTACAGACTGGTGATCCGAATACTCTGGGAGTTTCTGCAAGCAGTTAGAGTTAGAGTTATACTCCCTTGTCTGGTGTCTCAACATCATCAAAAATGACATTTTTTTTAACTCGCTCAGTAGGAGGCTTTTTCATTACTGACTGAGGAGATGCAAATGGTTTGGTAACCATTCCCGGAGGTGCCTTCGATAACATTTGCCGTTTCTTCATCATCATATTTGCACTGATATTTTGCTGACGAGCAGAAGGAACAGGGAAATGAATAGCGTATGGCGAATGCGTGTGATGCTGGGGAAACGAGTGTTGGGAGTATGAGTGCTGAGGAAAATGGCCATAAGCAGGTGATTGACCAGGAAGCGGACTCAGTACAGCCATTGCAGGAACCGCCTGACTCAAAATAGTGCCAGGATGCGGAGGGTAGGAAACCATAAGATTAGTATGATAACTGGCAGGTTCATCAGGAATTATCATGTATCCTGAACTAGGGGCATACGCTTGATGTTCATGGTTTGGCCAGAATTCCTGTTCATGATAAGGGTCTTGTTGGGGTTGATAAAGATGAATGAAATGTGGTTGGTCTCCTGAAGAAGGAGGAGGTGGAGCGAAAGATTGTTGCAACTTGGCAGAGAGTGGAGGAAATGGGAAGAAATCTTCAGGTCGGGAGGAACGAGGCAATGGCACTGGTGTTTTCATAGGCAATGTCTGTTCAATGAGATATTCATCATTAAGGACCACCTGGTTGGCAGGTGAGATCATAGGTAAATGCAGTACAAAGTCAACGTTTCCTTCGTGATAGTTGGGCCAATTCACATAGTTGGAACTAGAGTCTACCAAAATATATTCGTTACTTTCTTGGACGTAGTCTAATGGGAATTCATCGTCATCATCGGACTGGTCTTTGTAGTGATCCGGGGTGTCTTGGGGCAAAAGAATAAACCCTTCTGCCTCTGCTCTCTTTTCTCTTTCTTCTTCGTCATGGGTTTCGTTGGATGAAAGAGTAGCATCCTTACTATCATCAGTGGTTGTGTCTTCCTTGTTTTGGCTCTTGTAATCAAGGAGGTGATTGTAAAGAATTTTTTCATCAGAATACTCGAATGAAAGAGCCGGTTCTCTATCTGCAATAGTGGTGGGGACCTGACCAGCATGCTCCTTCCGCAAATCTCGTTCCAAAGCATCTGCCATAAGCTTATCATGAGCAACGCTAAACCAGAAGAATACTTTTTGCTTCTTTTGTGTCCTTAGACAGTTGTTCTTATAAAGAAAGTCAAGGAATGCTGATTTGGGGTGTTCAAGAATAGCATCGGTGCCGGTTTTTAGGTTTCTAAGATCAGAGAAGATCCCTTCTTCAAACTTCTTTCGATCAATGATCTTACGACCAAATTGTTGAAATTTGTACACAATGCACCTGACAATATCGGTTCCGGTAATATAGTACAAATTATTCCAGAAAATGCAAGATACAAACCCCTCGTCTGGATTAAGATAGTACCGACGTATCACTTGATTCTGTTGCCAGTTGGCGGGAGCTGTAGCTAGGAAAAACTTGAGATCTTCTATTAGTCGTAAACTTTCCTTCACTTCATCACTCTGAATGGCTTTTTTTATCTTCAGTTGAAGATCTGAAGCAGAAGTCGAAGACGTTTCAGCCATTCTTGGTTAAAATGATGCCTGGACTGTTTTAGATTCACTGTGGAGCTGGCCAATAAGGGAATGGAATTGAGTTTTGAAACCTCTTCAAGTGTCAAGTTAAAACCGGGCAAATGGCTTTTTGTTGTGTGAGTAAAAGTGTTACCCCAGGCAATTGTAGCACGAAAATATTGATAGACTTTCCTTTTCCCACGCTTGAGATAGGTTCGGATCCAAAAGGCCAACAACAGTAAAAGGAATGGATGGAAAATAAATCAAAGTAGTTGAATCAACAAAAGGTGCCTGATTTTGGGTTCCAACAAATTCAAACGTGAAACCTCGTTTCTTATATATTTTTTTCGAGGGCGTTTCAGATGGCAATCCTGAAACAAATGTTCACAATTATATGGTCAATGCGACTAATTCTTGGAACTCCTGAAACAATTTACGAGCGCAATCAAATACAAACCTTGCCTATTTAGGTTGTGTTTTGCTGCGTGTCCTTCACTATTTTTTTAACGAGTAAAAGTCTAGATTCAATGACGATTAACCTTAGGTTTCAACTATATATATATACAAAACAGCAGTTAGTTAGTTCCAGCTTCTGTGCTATCATTATCACCAGCCCATATCGAACGGCGATATGGGAATTGGTCAATGGGAAAAAAATCCTTGTATGCTTATTGTGTGTTTTGCTTTTTCTCTCATTCATATTGCTAGTTATTATTTTTTACAACCACAATCGAACGGGTTTTCATTGTTTATTCAGGGGACTGAGCAGAGATAAAGGGTTCAGATTTGCAGAAACACGAATCCCTATATTGTGTTTGATTGTCTTCCAGAGGGGGACTTCAAGGTACTATTGATGACTCCCACGGCACTTTTTTGTGTTTTTGACAGCCAGCACTACAAGCTTAGCGAGCTAATTTTTCAGATAGAGTCGTCAATTCCTACATATCGGTCAATCCCAGTCGCCCTTGTACCAATCATTGGTATTAGAAACCGATGGGATCTGCTGAAGATTTAACTTCAAGTTACTGAAGTTGCCTTCCAAGTCCTCAAGATTATCATTTAAGTCACTGGCTTGTTTGGACTTTCTCTTTTCCTTATCTTTTCTCTCCATTGAGTGAGACCCTCTTCTAAAAGGAGGGACATACTTGCCATTCGAACTTGAAGATAATATGGCGGAAATGTCGTTGGTCATTGAGACCGGCCGACCAAGATATCCACCATTACTATGGTTACTATTCTGGGAAGTACCATAAATATCCATGGCCGAGTATCTTTTGACATCAGTGCTGGTACCAGCACCAGCACTGGTCGACATGGGCTGGGAGTAGGGGCCAGAGTTGCCATAATAGGGGAACTGGTGGTAGTTCTTATCGATTGGGGTGCTATAAGTGGGTAACTTGAGGCGCTTCTTATCCTTATCCTTATCCTTTTCGGAGCCTTTATCTTTAGGTGTTTCTGATAGTTCAAAATCATCTTCCAAGTGAAATACTTCATCGTAATCACTATTGTCGAGATGTTCATTCAATGGTTGTATGATGGGAGATTGTCTGTAGTTCGGTGACCTCATAAAGGGTGGAACATACTTTTCTGATCCTGGTAAGGCAGCTGAAGGTTGTAATCCTGAAGAACTTAAACCATTCATTTGACCAAACGATTGATAGGAAGTACCCAATTGGATATTTCCATTGGAATTCATGCTCGAAGCAATAACAGCACGGGACTTGGAACTAGAAAAGGAATTTGACTTCCTTCTTTGTTGCATTGGAGTGTTGAAGTTCGAGAAATCGCTTTTGTTTCTGGTATGGTTATTGTTGTTGCTGACATTCGAATGGTAGCTGTTGTTACCATTGGTCTTGTTCTTCTTAGGTCCACTCTTGTAAGAATTCCTATAGTTCTTTTTCCATGTCCTTGGCTTGTTATTAGTCTTCTTCCAGCTACTTAAGCGTTGACTGGTTTTGTCTCTTCCATTGCTGGATTTCTGTTCCTTGTTATCCCCATACTTATTCATGTAATGATTGAAAACAGACTTTGGGGTAAAGAAATCTTCACGATTAAACTTATTGGTATTCTTCTGGGTATTGAACCGGTTGTAGTAACTACTAGACTGGTTGTAGGAAGCCACACCAATAGGCTTACGGGTGTTTCTGAAAAACTTGGACCTCCGGTTGTCGAAGTCATCTATAGGTATTGGTTTCAAGCTTGTGCTGTTAGAAAGTAGCGCATCGGCTCTTTCATTGTAAGGAATCTCATATTTGTCGTCATCCTTAGGTGATTTAGAAATAAGAACTGGACGAGGATGGGGTTCTTGTTTACTGAGAGTGGCATCCGATTTGTCGGTCTCGCCGGTGTCTTCCATGTAGAAGGTAGAATCACCCTCATCGTCAATGTCTTCTTCTTCTTCAACTGCTTCTTCATGACTTGGAGCTTCAACACCAATCTTAATAGATGGTTGTTCAGAAAACTCGGTGTCACTGTCGATAACAGCTTCTGATCCTTGATAAAGAGCATCTTCGTCACTGTAATAGTCATCAAAATCGCTACTACCAAATTCATCATCAATTGTGAAGTAGTTCAAAATCTCCAATTCAGATTTAACAGATCCTAAATCTCTATTTTCTGGGTCAATGTTTAAGCAGTATCTCAACACAGAAAACATATCCCCAGACATAGTGGAGAAAATATCGAACAATGCTTCCCTGTTCCTTGAAAACTGAACAAACCGTTTGTCTGAGTAGTTTGCGACTTCGAAGGGGTTCTTGTGAAACACTAAAGTTAACAAGATAATACCTACAGACCACAAATCGATTTTAGAAGCGTCATATGAACTTAATTCCGGATCAAATAATTCAGGGGCCATGTATCTTTCAGAACCAATGTCAAATTCTGACTTGTCGGATATTATCAAATTGGTGGTTGCCAACCCCCAATCACATAATTTGATTGACCAGTCCTCACTAATTAAAATGTTTTCTGGTTTTAAGTCTCTATGGTAAACCAGGTGGGAATGGCAATAGTCCAAGGCATCAATAACTTGATTGAATACATCCTTCATATCCTTTGGAGTAGATGGACCTTGGCCGTTCTGAATAGCCTCGTATAAATCTCCTCTGCCACAGTATTCTAACACCAAATATGAATCAAAATGATCATATAAGCTAGCAATGTTCGGATGGGAACCCAAGACTTGGTGCACAGCAATCTCCTTAGCTGCTTCTTCATACAAGCCTCTCAAAATCTCCTTCGTGTCCTGACGCTTGGATTGAGGATTCTTATCATGGCGTAATTTTGCTGGTGAAGATGAGGCTCGAGAATGATTTCTCTTCTTGTAGTCCAAGGGATAGATATACTTGACAGCTACTAACCGACTATCCAACTTCGTATCCTTGGCCAAGGTAACAAGCCCGTAAGACCCTTCACTCAAATCGGCAATTTTGGAGTATCGATTCTTCAACAAATCGCCGTTGTTGTAGTGTTCATATTCTTCCATTGTTGAGGTGGTGACAAGAAAATACAAGACCTATGAGTGCAATTTGGATCAGGTTCTCAAGTACCGTGTATAATCCTGTTTCAGGCTGGCCACTTACGAGTAGCAGGAGCGTTGTCGTTTGTGGATGATGTCAAATAAAACCGTTGAACAACCTTGTTCCACAATTAGACTGAGCTGGGATACTTCCAATGAAACTCTGGAACCAACAAGAATTCTCAAACCGTAACTAAAAGATTTGAGTCCTAATTGAAGTCACTAGGACGCTTGAAGTTGTAGATCGACGAAATCAGGTGCCCGAGGTGATGACAACAGTAAAAACTGGTGCAATATGCAAACAAAAGAATGAGTGAACAAAAAACTTAGGCTAGAGCCAACAGGGGTTGTGCTCACAATTTGAACTATTTATGAATGGCACTTGATTGTATAGAAACACCGGAATAATAAGAAAATGCTGTAACTTCACTGAAGATATGACCTTGATCAGGGAACGAAATGGGATCTGGATGTTCGCAGTTTTTGAGCGGAAGCGCCAAATTCGTGCTTTGCCATTGTAATATATCCACAAGCAATTAACCCAATGGATGAATTAATCAGTTCTTTCCTTGATTTCACTGGAACTCTGGATATAGCAGTCGCCCAGCAGTTTTTAGAGGTAGCTGGGAATCAACTTGAGTTAGCCGTTCAGCTTTTTTTGGAATCAAATGCTGCTCCACCTAAACCAGCTGATGACGAAGAGTTGGCACAAAAGCTTCAGCAGGAAGCTTATGGCTCTGGAAGTGATATCGTCAGAGAAGCTGATGCTTCTGTACACCGTCATGAAACATTGGTTGATGGTTATTCTCCTCCGTATACTCAGGCTCCTAGAGCCACAGATATATTTGGTAATGGGAGAATAGGAATCTTCAACCAACGATTTGATGAAGACGAAAACGCTTACTACGAAAGCAGGTACGATGAAGAGGATGATGACTTTGATTTTGAAGAACCTGACTCTGGGAGTGAAGGTGATGAAGACCAAGTAGTGGAACTTGATAGTGATGGAGAAGTGGTGCAATCTAGCACTAGAGAGAGGGGTCCTCCAAGATCAAGGAGGAGAATTAATAGAGCAAACCGCATAAGTGAGTTGACCTCAACCCAAAGGCGATTGGCCAATCTTTTCCGTCCTCCGTTTGATATCATGGAGAAAGTAGATATCGATGCCGCAAAGATGTTAGGAAGGCAACAGAAGAAGTGGATACTTGTCAACATACAAGATGCGACCGAATTTCTGTGTCAAGTATTGAACAGAGACTTTTGGTCAGATCAAAGGGTTAAAAATAGAGTCAAGGAAAGCTTTGTATTCTTGCAATTCCAACACAACTCCCCCAATGGTGAACAATACGTAAATTTCTATCACGTGAATGGGTACCCTCATATTGCAATTTTGGATCCATTGACTGGAGAAAGAGTGCATCGGTTTGTGGAAGGAAATGTTCCTGATGTTGAGGAATGGCTTGAACAGGTGGATTCCTTTTTGAGTAGATTCTCCTTATTCGGTGATAGTAATCCAACAGTGGAACATGAAGTGAAGTTTGACCCCGACGCTTTAACAGAAGAACAACAAATTGAGTATGCTATGAAACAAAGTATGCAGGCCAATGGTGACCCTGATACTGAATCCCATGATAATGCAATTGTGATTGCAGATGAAGAAGAGGAACCCAAAGATTCATTCACTGAGATAACCCCTGTTGATCATAATGTAGACGACACAAGCGACCCAACTACAAGGATCCAGGTACGGTTTCCTAATGGTAAGAGACTTGTGCATAAGTTCAAGTTGGGTGACAAGGTATCGATTATTTACCAATGGTTGAAATTCGTGTTAACCAATGAAGATTGTGGTTTGACTGCAGATGATCGCTTTATCATCACCAACACATCTAATAGAGTAGTCAAATTGATTGAATCGTTGGACTTAACTATAGAAGATGCTGCTTTGAAAAACGCCAGTATTTTGTTAGAGAAGGAATAGACTCCGGTTTGTGTCTCTGCTGTACACTAAATATACATCCAAATTTGTAACTAGTTCTACATATTAAGAGGGAAGCACTCTATGGGAGGCAACAATGGCAATTCCACCTTCTGGTTATCTTCTTCAGTTCTCAAATTTAAGAGCCTGTCATATTCAGTTTGAAGTTCATCTGCCTTAGGCGTTAACGGGAAGTTACCATCGACGCTTGAATCCTTGTCATTAATCAAATCATAATCGTGCCCATCTGAGTCATCAACAATCACCTTGTTTTTGATCATAAATAGATCGTCATTGATTTCGTCGTCACCCAATCCCTGACAAACTGATAGTTTAACTCGCTTGTTGGGGTTGATATAGGGATTGTAATTATTTTGTGAACGGTCAAAACGGTGCTTGTTATTCAAGTTATTTAGCTTGATGTTCGTTAACTCCACACGATTCCTTTTCACAAACTTATTTGCAATATAGTTCCTGGTGTCGGAATTAATGCCTTTTGTGCTTGAAACCAAAGAGTTGTGATAATCATCCCACTGGCTGATTTTATGTTTGCTTGAATTCAATCCTTGTTCTTCCCTCTCTATATCGGCTAACTCTTCGAGACATTTATCAATCAAGTAATATTTGTAATTGATCAAGTTTGATCGGAATTGCTGCCATATTATGATTCGGCTATTTTCCATATGTGTCTTTATCAAGTCAGTTTGTAAACGATTTTCTTCCGATAAAGTGAACAAATCTCTTGCATACCCGGATATTAACTTAGTGAAACTCTCACTGAAAGGAAGAACCTGATCATTTGTTTTTGTCAAATATTTGTCGATATCCATAGGGCTTTGGGTGTTTTTTAATAACCCTTCAATCTCATCATTCAAAGCCTGGTACAGCTTTAAATTAGTCTTTTCGTTTAAACACACGTTTTCTTGACTATACTTAACTGATTCAATGGTCTCTGACTCAAACTGCACGACTTTTGTCCACGCCTTCTCGTTCTCTTTGAACTGCTTGATGTGGTCTCCAAAATTTCCTATCATATAGTTTATTCTGGAAAGACGACCCTTTAAGTAATCTCTGGTAATGTTTCGGAATTCCTTCTGAATCAGGTCTTCCAAGTCCTTCATTTCTCCGTTATTCATGGCAAGTAACTCGACAATTTGACTAGCGTCAAACTGTTCTGAATTCCTCCTCTTTGTAACCAGTTGCAGGTCACTGGAACCAATATTAGAGGGGTTACTTTCAGGTTTTTTTGGACTGCTCTCGAGATTTAGTTCTTGACTACTTCCTGTAGAGTTGTCATAGCTTTTGCTCTCTTGTGAACTCCCTCTGGCAGTGTGTCTTTCAGACATAACGGAGTCGGTGGTGGGTTTATTTTCGCTTTGGCAGCATTTTTTTGCGATATTGCAGAGGGTCGTGTGCGAGTCGGTATGCTGCAGCACAACAAGCTACCACTTCGAGGAATGGGACTCTATTAACCTAAATAATTTTCCTATTCAATATTAGAGTATATACTTGCACTGAAGGCATCAAGGCATTCTAGGTCATTTATATGGTTAATGTAATCGTTACCAGCCAATTCATTATCGTTAATATTCTCGTTACTGTTGGAGGTGGCGGTACTGTTGTTGCAGAGGATTTCACACTGAATTGATAATTGGGCCAACAAATTGGCCAACTTCAAGTTCATGTTACCACTTAATGGAGATAGATTGGAATTCAACGTTTGTAAGCAAGAGTGAACCATTTGAGACAAGTTATTGGCGAAAACATCACTGCTGGTAATAAGGTTGGTTTCGTTTATCAACTTCAAAAATTCGTCATTGTACTCATTGATTAATGATGGGGTTGTGTTGAGTAGCGTCAAGTTTAAATCATCAAAGTTAGGCCAGATCGTGCTTATGACCAATTCTTTATCAGCATTTATGGAGTCAACCGTATCAGCAAGTAAAACTGAAAAGTCGTTCAAGGACATCTCTGTTCTGGCATTGATCAGACGGAACTTGCTTTCAACTTTACTTTCGATTTCATAATTAAGAGCCACCCACCCCTTGTTCAAGAGCCACCAACTAAGACTCAAATAGCTCTGTTCAATCAAGTAAATCTCGTTATTGTCTACCGAATCTGGCTTGGATCCATTGGTCATCAAAATGGCACTTTGCAAGTAAGACTTTCTGGCCAAGATATTCAATTGTAAACGAGTTAAGAGCAACAATGAGGAAATGGAGTAAATTAATGTCAAGAATCTAGTAACAGTTTTGATCTTTAACAACCGCCATAATTCGGTCTTGGACTTATTCAAATACAAAGACAAATCGTTATCATTGGCATTGGAGTGTAAAATCAAATTGTCGGTGGTTAATAAGCTGTCACTGATTTCCTTGGGGATAGAGCTTGAGGAGGCGCTCAAGTTGGATTTCTTTAATTTCAACGCTTTGGTGATCATCTCAGTTGGCGAGTTATCGATGATTGGTGGAACCAATACCGGCAAGAGAGCGATCAACGTGTAGTAACAGTCATTTTGAGTTTGGATGAATCTTCTCTTAATCTGTTCTTTGATAAATAACTCTTGCCTGAGGGAATCCTGAAAGCTTCTGAGTTTCTTGACAACAAAATGATTAATCAAATAGTATAATGAGACAGAAAGTGTAGATGCGATTATTATCTTACGCTTGTTTCGATTGAAGAAGCCACTTAAGGACGAAAAAATTGCCATGACTTAAAGTTATTTAATCTGGGGTATAACTTTTTGACTTGAGTTTCGTTGGCGTTGATTGTTTCCGCGGCGCACGTCTTTTCATGTGCGCGCAGGCATGACACAAAGAGGGGCCGATCTTGCGGTATCGCTGGCGAGCATTTAGGGCGGCCAGCCGGGCAGCTGGCACCAATTTCGTTCTAGCTCCTTGGGAAAAGCATATCAACAGTATAAACTTGTAATTGAGCAAACAAGATGGTTTGCACGATATTGCTGATTTAAAGTAAAAAATTACTTATTTGTTAACAAGAAAAACCTTGACTTGTAAATTGTAACACCTTCTTCAACTTTTGCAAATTTTATAAAATTCATTAAATGAAAGTTAAGATCTCCTGTTCCAAGCTCTCACCATTCTGATATTCTCAACACAGCAGTGCATATAGGATTGAATAACTCAATTGACAACCTGTGTACCGGAGAGTGTTACCAAAAGAACTCAACGGTATCAGCCTCCTAAACAAGCAGAAGCCGTTTTGTGTCATAAAATTAACGATCCCCTTTCCCCGATATTCAGTACATTGCTTCGTTTATCAAGATCCAGTAACAATAGTCTTACTGGGTGTAAATGGTTCACTCGTATACTTTTCTTTAGGAAACGAGGCACATGTGCCAACTGGGTGAACGGGATTTGGACTTCGGCATAACTTCGGGTTGTTACGAGAACATATCCTTTGAACAATAGAAGTATAATAGGGGAGAACTATAACCCCCTTTACCCAATTAAGTAGAGGTATGGTCTAACGTGGTTAGGTGGATTTTTAGGCTTAGCCCATGTGGCCAGGCTAGGTACAGGTCTGGGATTTTTGAATTGATGAAAAAACTGTGTTTCAAAGCAATTGTAGAGTCCATCACTTCAATTCCCTTGGTCTATGAACCTTCAGTGCTTTGAACAACCCCAAATGGGTAGGTGTCACCGGTTTAAGCAAGTCATTCCAGCTGCCATGAGAAAAGATTTACGTTTTGACAGAACGGGGGAATATACAGGACCGTAATTCACTTTCAGATTGCAGCATTTCACCTCATAACTTTACCACGTTGGGCAGATGTCTCATCTCCGACACCTATTATTTCGAAATGGCAGAAACTATAAATATGCATCCATATCCCACATGATTGACACATTTATCAAAATCAAGAACAATGCATTTTACCACATTCTTCTTCTTGTTATCGGCAGTGTTCGCCAAGAATATCTTGATGTCTAACGATGATGGTTTCGCAGCAACAAATATTAGAGCCCTTTACAGAGACTTGAAAGCTGATGGTCACAATGTTATCATGGTAGCTCCAGTTTCCCAGAGATCCGGATGGGGTGGGAAGTTCGATGTTCCTTACACCAAGGACTTGTTGACCGATGGTGAATTTGGTTACAGAGTTAAGGGAGACCCTGCTTGGGGATACGAGCCCGATGACATGAACATCTGGTACTTCAACGGGACCCCAGCATCTTGCGTTTCTTTCGGGTTGGAATACGTGATTCCAAAGTACTTCAGCAACTTCACCGTTGACTTGGTTGTCAACGGTCCTAATGAAGGTTTGAACTTGGGTCCAGGTACTTACACTGGCTCTGGTACTATTGGTGCCACTTACAATTCGGTTTACCACGGTCTTCCAGCCATCGCAATTTCTGCTTCCAATAGCAACAACTCCTTCTATAAGGACTCTTTGGATGACGACCCAACCAACCCAGCCAACATCAATTCCAAGGTGTCGGTTAAGTTGATTGACGAACTCTTCAAAGCCCAAGGTGACAATTCCAGAGTGTTACCATTAGGCGTGGGTTTGAACGTTAACATTCCATTGGTTGGTTCTCAATCCGTCAACGGAAGCTGTACCTCTCCCAAATTTGTTTTCAGCAGAATTACTGGTTTGGACTCTGATGTCTCCAAGATTACCTACAACGAAACCACCGGTTTGGTTGGAACCACCTACGTCTATGAAGAAGCCTTAAGAACCTGTTACAATGGTGACTGTTCTTTGCCATCTGAAGCTGCTGTGTCGCAAGAATGGAACTGTTCCACTGCTGTATCTGTTTTCCAGATTGACTACGATGCTACTTTGGTGTTACAGAGCCAAGTCCAGGGATTGCTACACGAACTTTTCTAGATAGATACCCAAATTACCTAAAAGTTTCCTTTGTTTCCGTTAAACTTTCGAATATTGTAGTTTAATAAAATCTTATTGTCTATTAGTTCTATAAACCCTCACAATTTGGATTTGATGAATTTGATTTCCTCCAAGTTGTAATGAGGCCTTGGGAATCTACTCTTTGTATTAGCACCATTATCAAAAGATGGATTGGATCTCCACTTCCAGGTCTCAGACAAATCAGCAGGCAACGCACCGTTGACCTTTTGGGAAATATACTTTCCAATCGTTGGCAAAAACTTGAAAGCATGACTCGAATCACCAGTAGCTACGATAACGTCTTTGTAGTATGGGCACTCATCGATGAGAAAATAAGAGTCACACGAGTCTGCAATCCAACAAACTTTGGAATCCACTAATTCGTGGTCTGCGAGCTCAGGTACTACCAAATTCAAAAGCACTTTAATATCTTTCTCGTGTCCCAATGGAAATGTTTCGTTGGGGTGATCCACGGTGTATCTTGGAGCTCTTAATTTGTTTCCAGCTTCGAATGGGTGATCAATTTCAGCCCAAGCATCACATGTAGTAACTCCGATCTTGATCACATGATCAACCTTGTCAGGAGGGAAGAAATAACCATACTCGGCGCTGAAGAAAATAGGCATATCCTTGTATTTTTCATATTCAGCATCTGTTAACTTGATGTGGGTGACAAAGGTTCCAAATACTTTTGTCTGGTTGTCCAATGGAATAATCAAACCAGTGCTGGCACCGGCAGTAACAACTATTTTTTTAGCCGTGAAAATCTTACCAGATTTTACTCTTACCTCATTACTTTTGATGCTAACAGCTCTTCCATCGTCACCAAACACAAATTGAGCACCGGATGTGGTGGCTCGTTCATATACAGCTTTCAAAGCATCGGCGGACAACCCGGTTCCACAATCAGCATTATAAGTAGAGTTAAACTTAGCAGGAAGATTATTCTTCTTAAAGTGACTAATGGTATCAGCAACTTGTTTAGGAGTAGTAAGCTTTTCGAAGCTTTGCGTCACTCCAAGTTTGGCCAAAATTTCAAGACTTTTGTTTTCATATTGGCTTCTAATTGAGGTGCTATCACCAGGGGTTAATGTCAATCTGCCACTTTTCACGAAATAAGGTTTATATAGTTCATCATTTTCCCAGCATCTTAAAGCTTCAACCGCCAACTTGGCAGATAATTCATCAGGATATTCCACACGAATGATCTTATTGTAATCCTTAGCAGCCGATAATTCAGAAGGTACTGGATAAGCATCAAGTCCAAGCACTTTATGACCCTGCTTGGATAACTCCAAACAGGTCAGAAGGCCAAAGACTCCACATCCAACCACCAACACATCATAATCGTAATCGTCACTCATGGGTTATGTCCTACGTAATGCCAACCACAAGGTTATATAGGTGAAAAGATGGGTGCGTACACTAATTCAAGTCCAAAGTGGTGCAACCTGAAAGTTGCGATAAGATCTGTCGGGAACGCCGCATTCAAACGCGCGGTCGGGATGTCCGACAAAAACCTAATAATCCAGCGGAAATGGAAGTCGATAGTCGGAGTTCAGTAATTGGCTACTCCAGCTACGATTACCCTCAACGAGACCAAGGTTTCGGGCTTATCTTGGGCGCCTAAAAAATCTAATCAGTCTTATCTAGAGGAGTTCCAGATAGTGGTTTGAACAATGACGACGGAGAAGAGTTGTACTTCGTTGTGGAGTCAGGCATTTTTTCATACATCTGACACGCCTTAAAAGCCAGCTGCAAATTTAACGTCGTATTCCAAGTTTCTAGTTTTCGGGTACGCAGAAGAGGCAAGTATCACCTTATGATATATACATCGGTTCTTGGAATGCTGTAGGGGAACAATATTGATTCTGATCTGGTAATATCTCGGCTCTTACGTATTACATCCTTTTATATATCTTATCAGATCGTGTGCGCGGCCTGCATCTCTCTCCATTCGGTGACTTTTTTGGAGTGGGCATCATATAATTTACTTTCAAGAGTATTTCGCATACAATGGAACCTGAAGGGCAGACTAAAAAGCGTAGAGTGTTAGCTGCTTGTGTCAAGTGTAAACTGAGAAAGAAAAAAGTATGTGAATTTGCGGCTTGATGCATTATCATATCTCTATTTACTAACGGCTTATAGTGTGATGGGAAGCTTCCTTCCTGTTCGGTATGTCAGTCCTTGGGAATACCCTGTGTGTACTCGGAAACGAACCTCCAAGTATATCAAACTAGTATGATTCAGCAGATCGACAAGATAAATCAACTCGAGGACCTGATGAGAAGTTTGAACGAAGAGTTAGCGATGTTGAAATCAGGCATTTTGAACTCTCAAGTTAACGAGTCTACAAACTACCAGGAAAAGCTACAGGCACAAGCATTCGTGGATCCTTTGTTGGCTCTTGTAAAGCATCCTCCCAGCGAAAGCTTGTACATTGGGCCATCTGCTGTTATCTCTAAAGTTCATGCCATTCGGAAGATTCTCACCAATGACAAGGATATCATCAAGAATCCATTGTACCAAATCAAACACAAGCCCATTGAAGAGGTACGTGAATATCCCCCCGCAAAGGGCACAGAAGACTTATTTGTTGAATGTTATTTGACATTTTCTAGAAACAGATACCATTTCATTGAAAAATCAGATGTCACAAAGATATTCAGTAAGACACCCTTGACAAGAGACAAGTGGGAAACATTTGTGACCTATATTGTTTTGGCCAATGGGTGTAGGATGGCAGAATTGGCCAAATTAGCCATGCTGCCCTCTCCAAAATTCTATTTTGAAAAGGCGTTTGAGATGCTTGGTCAGCTACCAGTTTTGAATCCAATGCAACAGATCCAAGTTTGTATGTCCCTTGCGTTGTATCTACATTACAGCTATGATTATCTCAACCCATTTGTCATGAATGTATGGGAGCTTTCCGGGATGGCCATAAGAAAAATGGTTCAATTGGGTTATCATAAAGCCAGACCCATAGATTTGAAAACATGTATACAAGTGGAGCTTGAAAAGAGACTCTTTTGGTCTGTGTATGCGTTTGACCGACTTCTTACTCTTTCTTTGGGTCGTCCAGCTTCCCTTCCTGATTCAGAAATAGAAGTACCCTTCCCATTGAGTCTCGAGAGTGTGGATGAATTCTCAAATGAACTAATACTTCAATGGCAACAACAACAAGAATCGGAAGCTGACTTTAAGCTTCCTGTAACTTCTATAACATACCTCGTTGAAACATGCCGAGTCAGGGCCATTGAGAGCAGGATTAATAATTTTGCCTATGGGGAAAAATCACAGGATCAGGAAGATTTCAATACGATAAACAACTCATTGGAAGCGTGGATTTCCAACGTTCCATCTAGAAAGGAGTTTAGTGAAGGATTAAGAAACGAAGTGCCGTTTGACTACTTGCTTCTTCTATACCACAGAGCCAAGTTGTTCTTGCTATTACCCAAGATTACATCTTCGGTAAAGACTGATGTTGCAAACAGACACTCAATATTGTTGCAGACACTAACAGCTTCAGGAGGCATTTGTAAGGCATTCAAGAAGATTCAAAGGGACTCCATTTTTGGATTCAGTACGTTTTCTTTGCACACGATTTTCTTGGCCGGTGTGACATTAATATACTGTATTTGGGCAATGGAAAGACCTCCATACATTAAAGCTCACAACGATTTGAGGGCATGTTCCAATCTTCTCTATTCTTTCTCCGAAAGAGCCAGTGAAGCAGAAATATATCGGGTGTTGTTCGAAAACTTGGCTGAAAGCATCTTGTACAATGCTGATGTTGAAGAGCCAACACACGAAGAAGAACAGTTGAGCAACGATAACTTGGATATACAGCTTATAACAGAAGACTTGTTTGATGATAGTAGACTTGATCTCAACTTCACATTTGACGAGGATTTCTGGACGAAGTTAGATTCAAAACTCACTACTAAGCTAACGTGAATTATCTTGTTTTGTGTATTGAATATTTAATAGATACATATTGGAAAGTTGGCTACACACCAGGGAACTTGAGGTTGATTCACCTCTTGTACCCTATGAAGAATTGAAATCGCATGTTCTATCAAAGACAGGGACTAGATCTAATCACCAGGTGTATCTGAAATCTTTGTTTTCTCTATCAGTCATGTCAATAAAAGCTGAATTTTCAACCTTCTTGTAGGCGTCTCCCAAAGCATCTCTTTCACTATCTCTTTTTTTGTTGACGGAATAGTTGTAGTACCCAAGGATTGCAATAGTGAACATAGCACCAATGTAGAATCCCACTAAACAGTATTTAGCGGTTGGGTAGTTTGGAGCTTCAGATGCAAGGAATGTTTGTGGACCCACAGCAGAAGAGAAACAGAATCCAACCAAATAAATACCGTTACAAACGACTTTTTTGGTTCTTCCAGCGATATCAGCAGATAAACCAGTAAGAGCTGTGACCATGGAAATTGGCGAGAAACCAATGAGATAGAAACCGGCCAAAGCAGCGTACTTATTCTTGGAAAAACATAACATACACCCACCCATCAAGGCGAAGCAAAGACCGATTAAAGCAACAATTGTTGGGTGTTTAATCAACCTTTTGGAGTTGAGGATACCGATTAGAGACAATCCAAAGAGTTGAACCACCCCAGTTGGAGCTTTCATCAACAATGCCTTTTCAGTATCAAATTCAAATTCTGTATTCAACAAAATGGATCCATAAGCAGTGATACCCGAGTTAGGAAGTTCAATACAAATTGCAAGCATGGCAAACAAGTAAGCTCTTGGTTCCAAAAATGCTTCTTTAACCTGATGCCATTTAAAATCTTTGGTACCAAACCCTTGTTCATTATCTCTGATCCTTTCTACTGTCAACAACTTATCCTCTTCACTTAACCACCAGGCTTGTGTCGGAAGATCTGGAACAACCAAAACCATTGCCACTGCCAACACCATAGTGACTACTCCAAGAATCAAAAAAAGAGATCTCCATGAGGTCAAAACCCAGTTGGTAGCATCCTTTTCAATTCCATAAGCTACCACCGACCCGAGAATGTTACCAAAACCAGTTCCAGCGTAGATAAATGCCATCCTCTTGAACTGTTCATCCTTACGGTAGAAGTTGTTACCCATCAAAGACAATCCGGTAAGAAGGGGAGCTTCAAAGATACCGAGAAAAAGACGACATACCATAATGGCTGGGTATGTGAACACTGCAGCATGCATAGCCAATACAAATCCCCAAAGGAAAATATAGGCACATAATGTCTTCACCAATGGGAATTTTTGCAAGGTCCAAGAACCAGGGAAAGCCCAAGCTAAATAAGCAATGTAGAAACCAGTGGTAAGCCAACTGTACATGGTACCTACCATGGGACCAATATCTTTAACACCCATAATAGCCGAATAACCAAGGGTACTACGATCCATAAACTGAACCCCATACATAACTGTCATAAATGGCAAGACAATCATGTCAACTTTTCTAAGAATACGTTTTTCAGCTTCAGGCGTCAATACCATATCCTTGGTAATATCAGCATATTTCATGGCGAAATCGACCTTTTTGAGGTTAACAGCCTCTTGCTCTTCTAAAGAAAAGGCTTCCACAGTAACACCTCCATTTTTTTCATTCGAATCTGATACTCCCATGTTGGTAGAACTAGAGTCAGAAGTTGCAACTACAGAGGAAATAATTTTGTCACTCATAATGGGGAGATGTAGTTTACCAGCCAGAACTATTATAAATATTTATCCATATGGAAAATCTGCTTCTTAAATGTTTCTACTTTGTGCCGGCATCAACCGTTTTTCGCGATCGCCTTCAGGCACTTATCTGACTTCTGCTAATTTAGGCAGGATGCAGATCTGCCATCTTTTGTCGGAGAAAGCGCTTTCGCAGTTCCCGACCTTATCTAGAAACTTTCCTGTTTGGTCAGTCGGAGATTCCGTAGGTATGAGGTATTCGATAAATGGCTTCTAAGGTGATTGAATCATATATAGCTTTTAAAACCTCTTACCTAATAACTCAAGAATTCTACCATGACAGTGGGTAACATTAAAATTGCTATTGATCGTGGTGGAACGTTCACCGACGTGTTGGCCATCATTCCAGGTCAGCCTGATTTCATGTTCAAGTTACTTTCAGTAGATCCAAGCAACTACAAGGATGCTAATATCGAAGGTATCAGAAGGGTTTTAGAACACATCCAGAACAGAAAAATAAGCAAGGGAGAACTATTGGACACTAGTTGCATTTCTTCCATCCGATTGGGAACAACGGTTGCAACCAATGCATTGTTAGAAAGAAAAGGGGAAAGAATGGCATTTCTTGTCACCAAAGGTTTCAAGGACTTGTTGAAAATTGGTGACCAGACCAGACCAGATTTGTTTGCTTTGAGGATTATCAAGCCTGAGCCATTGTATGAAGAGGTGGTTGAAATCGACGAAAAAGTCACGATTCCAGGAGCTACTGAAGATCCTGAAAGAGTGAACTTTTCATCCAAAGTGGATGGTAAGGAATACATCCTCGGGGCCAGTAGGGATGTATTTAAGGTATTGAAAGATCTTGATGAAAGTGATTCAAGACTTAAATTGGAACAATTAAGGGCTAAAGGTATCAAGTCAGTTGCCATTTGTTTAGTCCATGGATACAGTTTTCAAGATCACGAAAGAAAGTTGAAGCAGATTGCTGAGGAAGTAGGATTCGAACATATTTCTGTTTCACATGAGCTTATACCTATGATCAGTGCCATCCCTAGAGCCCAATCAACTGTTTGTGACGGTTACCTTACACCGGTAGTGAAAGAGTATATTCAAAATCTTCTCGCAGGTTTTGCAAAGGGAACAGAGAACACTACCAGAATTGAATTCATGCAATCTGATGGTGGTTTATGTTCTTGGAAGGGGTTCACTGGGTTAAAGGCTTTACTCTCTGGACCTGCTGGTGGTGTTGTCGGTGAAGCCGAAACATGTTACGATGAAGACGAAGGAACCCCAATCGTGGGTTTTGATATGGGTGGAACTTCAACAGATGTCTCCAGGTACGCTGGGAACTACGAATTAGTATTCAAGAGCACCACTGCGGGTGTTCAAATTGCTGCTCCTCAATTAGATATCAACACGGTTGCGGCTGGTGGTGGATCCATTTTGACTTATAGACACGGGGTGTTCAAAGTTGGACCTGAATCAGCTGGTGCCCATCCAGGTCCTGCTTGTTATCGAAAAGGTGGCCCATTAACCATCACCGATGCCAACTTGATAACCGGGAGAATCTTGCCCCAGTTTTTCCCCAAGATCTTTGGTCCTACTGAAGACCAGCCTTTGGACTTTGATATTGTCGAGGAAAAGTTTAAACAGTTGACCAAACAGATCAACCAAGAAAACCCCGATAAACAATTAACTCCTTACGAAGTTGCGTTGGGGTTCTTGAAAGTGGCTAACTTTTCCATGGCCAAACCGATAAGAGTCTTAACTGATTCCAGAGGGTTTGATGTTTCCAGTCATAACCTTGCTTCTTTTGGAGGTGCTGGAGGTCAGCATGCTGTGTCTATTGCCCAAATCTTGAAAATGAAGAGAGTAGTCATCCACAGATATTCCTCCGTTTTGTCTGCTTATGGTATTGCTTTGGCCGATGTTGTGCAAGAGAATCAAAAACCTTGTCACGAAAAGTACACGGAACAGAGTAGAGACCAGCTTTTGATCGATTGCGAGAACTTAGTTACCACTGTCAAAGCTAAGTTGATAGAACAGTCGATCGAGGAGAATAGCATTGACGTGGAGATCTTCTTCAATATGGGATACGCTGGTTCTGATACATTTTTGATGATTTCGCAGCCAAAGGATGGCAATTTCTACAAATCATTTACTGAAGTGCATGAACGGGAATTCTCTTTTGTGGACCGGGAAAGAGATGTGATTGTCCATGATATTCGTGTTAGAGCCTCTGGTAGCTTGTCCAAAATTAAGGAAATTTCCCCATACAAGGATTTGGCATCTTTAGAGGCTTCTGGTAGAATCACTGCCATTGAACGGGGGATCGAAGTTGCAACCACTAAAATCCACTTTGATGAAGGTGTTTTAGACACCGAGATATTTCAATTGAGTGATATCCCAGTGGGTTCTCTTGTAGCTGGACCAGCATTGATTTTAGATACAACCCAAACCATCTTGGTAACTCCAGCTTCCAAGGCCACTATTTTGAATCGACACATTCTTGTGGACTTGGAAGAGGGTGGGCATTCCCAATTTTCCACAGACTACGTTGACCCAATTCTTTTGTCAGTTTTTGCCAATAGATTCACCTCAATTGCCGAAGACATGGGGAGAACCTTACAAAAGATCAGCATCAGTGCCAATATCAAAGAAAGACTCGACTTTTCTTGTGCACTTTTTGATGAAGAAGGTGATTTAGTAGCTAACGCTCCTCATGTACCTGTTCACTTGGGATCTATGTCTAATAGTATTAGATATGCTAAAAAGTACTGGGCAGAGAACATTCATCCCGGTGATATCTTAGCTACTAACCACCCTATTGCTGGTGGAACTCATTTGCCAGATATCACGTTGATTTCTCCCGTTTTCATTAATGGTAAGATTGTATTCTTTACAGCTTCTAGGGCCCATCATGCTGAGATTGGTGGTTCAGTTCCAGGTTCATGTGCTGCTGATGCTACTTCTCTTTACGAAGAAGGTGCCCAGTTCGTTGCATGGAAGATTGTTAGTAATGGGAAGTTCGATTATGATGGTGTACAAAAACACTTTATTGACGAACCCGCTCAATACCCAGGCTGCTCTGGGAGTAGAAAAATCGAAGATAACATTTCAGACTTGAAGGCACAAATTGCTTCCAACCAAAGAGGGGTCAACTTGTTGCTTGAGCTCTTCAAAGAGTATGGTACTGAAACGGTTTTATTCTACATGAAGGGTGTTGAAAACACTGCTGAAAATGCCGTAAGAAGTTTCTTGAGGAGAGTTGCTATTGAAAAGAAGGGCTTGCTTCCGTTGAAGGCAGAAGAGATCTTGGATGATGGTTCTAAGATTACTGTTAGTATCGATATCAAGGAAGATGGTTCTGCAGTCTACGATTTCACTGGAACTAGTGAAGAAGCTTTCAACTGTGGTAACGCTCCAATTGCAATTACTTATGCTTGTATTATTTACTGCTTGCGTTTGATGGTGAACTCGGACATTCCATTGAACGAGGGATGTCTTAAGCCCATCACTCCAATCATTCCAGAAGGAAGTCTTTTGAATCCTTCACCATACGCAGCAGTTTCGGCTGCGAACTCTGCAACTGCCCAAAGATTAACTGATACTATCTTAAAAGCATATGAGATATCTGGAGCTTGTTCTGGTTCGAACAACACCTTGGCCTTTGGTAAAGGTGGAATTGAAGCTGGTGTCATGAAACAAGGATTTGCTATGGTCGAAACCATTGGTGGCGGTATTGGTGCTATTGATGGGTACGACGGATTTTCCGGTGTTCAATGTCATATGACCAATACCAAGATTACTGATCCTGAAGTGTTGGAATTGAGATACCCGGTTGTACTTCACGAGTTTAGTATTAGAGAGAATTCGGGTGGCGATGGTAAGTACAAAGGAGGTGATGGCTTGGAAAGACTTTATGAGTTTACTTCTCCCTTGTCATGCACCATGAGAACCCAAAGAAGGGTGAACGCTCCTTACGGTATGAAAGGTGGAAAAGAAGCTCTTAGAGGTGAAAACAGATTGGGAAGAAGGAGAGACAACAAAGTACAATGGATCTTACTTCCTTCATTTGCTCAGTTTAAAGTTGAAGCAGGTGACTTTGTCAGAATTAGAACACCTGGTGGAGGTGGGTTTGGTGCTCCAGAAGAAGTATCTCTGGTTACGACTTCAAAAGGTCCAACTCCTAAGGTCCATATTCCTCTAGCTGGAGGAACCATTACCCAATTGACTAATCTCAGCAACAGTTCTCAATAGATAATTCAAATATATATCATCATTTATGAATGGTACTAGAACAAGTATCCTTTTAAGTTATAAATTCTTGTTACTGCCGTACCTAGGAGAAAAAGCTCTTTTCTGTTGGACAAATAGTAGTTAAACTGAAACTAGTAGCGCAAATTTGCAACAAACACAGATTAAATCTTACGAAATCTTCATTATGGTGTCTATACATATACTTTTAGTACGTCCTTATTCTATCCACGACCTTCCAGCGGGAAAGTTCTCTACCTTAAGATCTGCTCTCTTGACCACAGAGTTGGAATTTTCAAGACCTTGTCTTTTCTTTTGCGATCTCAAGGCACTATTGAAGTTTCCACCATTACCAATGACAGAATTCAATACCGAGTCAACTGGCATAGGTCTTAACTTTTGGTCATTAGCATCCTGTTTAATTACCAAAGACTGGTTCACCCTTTTCCCTTCGTTGAACAAACCAGTCTTATCAATAATATGAATAGTGTAGCTTAATCCTTCATGGGTGTACTGGTCTACGAAAAGATCCAACCTGTCCCCATCAAATATCTGGATCTTATTCCCCTTACCAATCTTTCCACCATTGAGAAAGCAAGAATTGGTGCTAAAATCAAGAAGCCATATATCTTCAAGACAATGAGCGGGACTTTCATAAATGCTGAGCTCCATCACCGGATGCCTTCTTCTATTTAACAAACAGTGTATTTTCGACATTCTGTCATCGTTGATGTAAGTGTCACAGGTTTCATTTCTGCCTATTGCGTATGGGTTGATACCTTGTCGTATGACAATAGGCTTATCAAGCATCAGGTCTTTAGTAGGTTCTAGCATGATAAATGTATCAAGAGGCAAGTTTGTGAATTTTTTCTGGGGGCCCTCCATGGGTTGTCCACTTACTGCTTGAGTAGTTGATTGTTTGATAAAACCATTGACTTTCGTGAAATCATCGTTATCTCGCTTGACTGGCTGACTTTGTGGTAAAGGAACCACTCTTTTGGGAACCTTGAATTCTTCTTTCTTTAATGGCCTCATCATCATATCTTGGTCTTGATCATCGATTTGATTGTTGGAGGTGATTGAAATGCCGTTGTCAATCTTTCGTAGTTGCTGAGATTGTGATTGTGATAAACTGAGTCTTTGGGACTGCGAGCCTCCATTGGCGGGAAACTCAAGGTCATCTCCCATGCCATCATCAATAGACTTAATCCATTCGTGGTTCAATGCTTGTTCAGTGGTGAATCTATCTTCTGGTTTTACAATAAGGCAGTTTTTGATGAAGTCAAGTCCGAGCTCACTAACTTTGTACATGTTCAAAGGACTAGTATGGTACTGTCCAGATTTGATTTTAGAAAACATTTGGTTTTGTGTTTTGCCATTAAATGGTAAGTGAGATGTTAACAAAACATAAACCAAACAGCCCAATGACCATATGTCCACCGAATTGTCGTACAATGTATTTGGGGATTGTGATTGGGTCTGTGTCTGCGTGGGTTGTGAGGCTCCATATTTCCCCGTGATTATCTCGGGTGCAACATAGGCTAAAGTACCACAAAATGTTTTCATGAAGGTTGAATTATCACTGATCTTGGCCAAACCAAAATCACTGATTTTCACCACAATTGGATCATCACTCATGATGAGGATGTTGTCAGGTTTCAAGTCCCGGTGACTTATTCCTTTACTATGCACATAATGAATCCCTTTCAATATTTGCTTGGTTATAACTCTGGTGGCCTCTTCACCGATAGCCCCATTTGCTGCCACAAAATCCATGAGGTCTCCACCGGGAACAAACTCCATCACAAGATAGTAGTTATCCAAATCCTCATAAAAGGACTTAAGTTTGACGATATTGGGATGATTCAACTTGCGTAAAATGCTCAACTCTCTCTCTACTTCAACCATACCTCCGCCTGTATTCAAAGCCTTCCGCTTGTTGATAATCTTGACAGCATACGCATCGCCGGTAGCCCTCTCTATAACTTTTTTTACGGTAGCAAACGCTCCCTGACCGATGGTTTCATTATGAACAATAAAATCCTTATATATGCCTTCGTCTTTGATGGTTGAATTGTGGTTACTGGGATTGAACAAGTCAGAGAATAACACCACGAACTTCAATTCATCTTTTCTGACACCATTCCCCACTGATACCTCATCACCTTGGTTGAGCATATAATTAGACCCCTTCACTAGTCGATTATTGTTCAAATAAGTACCATTTGTAGACGTGTCTTGAACCCACAACGTCTTACCGTCGATGTTGAACCAGAACTTGAAGTGTTTGTTCAGATATCGCGTGCTGTTATTTAGTATAAAATCGTTTTCCTGGTTTCTTCCAAAGCTCCAACTCTTCTTGCCGCCGCTTATATTAAAGTCAAAAAAAGTGTATTGCCCAGTGGTACAGATTAGACGGCACAAATGATTAGGATCCGTCGAGGGAGCCTGAGTGCTAGGTGACTGCTGTGTAGGCTGGGTGGCCTGGGTCGGCTCCATCGTTTGTGAGGGTTGAGTTCTCATGCAGTTACAGCCTTTGACTAAGCTTTAGAGGAATCGATTTTCTCTGAACGCGTCTTACAATGTGCGACTCAACTTTTTTTTGGATACGTTTACTTGTACAGATATTCTATATGACATAAAGAGCTTCATACGTTTCTTAATGAATGGGAAATGGAAGCCACAGGGATCAAGTCTTCGGATGGATCTTTGTCGTAGTCTAATTGATTTAATTCTTCTTCTTTATCATTGTAGTGGTGGAAGATAAGCCAAAACAAACATCCAGCAATAAAACAGGCAACGGCTAACCCAGTATAAGACCACACAAATTTAGGGTTTTTAGATGTTGGTGACAAGGCAATTCCAATGGCAGAACCAAAGGCATTGGTCAACAAGTATAAGGAAGTGATAAACGATTTCATTGATACTGGGGCTTTAGTATAAGCATATTCCAATCCAGTGATGTTAGCAAAGATTTCAGATAATCCAATTAATACATAAGCTGGAGTTTGGAGAGCAATATGAATGTGGTTTGGAGTGTTAGCATACTTGGAATTACAGGCCTTTGGCATGTCATAACATGGACCGGCTTTGTAAACGTAGTATTGTAAGACGGCTGCGTATACCATGGCACCAGTTGCCCACATGAATCCAAAGAAGATTCTGGTGATCGATTTGAAAGGAGTGAACTTTCTGATTAATGGGTAGAACACTCTGTCACAAAGTGGCACAAACACAATAATAGCAAGGGAGTTGATGACACTCAAAATATCGTTTGGTAAACCATGCAATTCCATCATACCAGCTTGGGACACAAAATTGTTGGTCATTTGGCCGTAAACAAGCCAGTAAATTGGATAGAAACAAAACAATTTGCAAGCAAAGAAAGCTCTTCTGACTTCGTCCACAAAGTGGTCACTCCAAGGGTAGTTGGCTTCTGGTTTCACAGAAGGTTTAACAGTTTCAAAGTTGAGCCTGTTCTTCAAGGCAATGAAGAGAATCCTGAAACATTTGGCGATGATTTTGTCACCTACAGGAACTTTCACATATTGGTTTCTTCCGAGTACCAAGGCGATGACGGCAAGAAAGAAGAAGCAGAATGGTAACAAATAAGCAGCCCAAAATCCCACATGTTTTTCCAATTGCGTAGTAGCCACAACCGACAAGGAGCCGATGTTGATCATGAAATAAAAAATCATAAACACATTTTGAATGGTTAAAGCTGGGTCAACTACCACTCTTTCTCCCGACTCCATAATCTTGATGTAAGGTTTCTCTTTTGGAACTTGATCAGCAATCAAAGGAGAGACATTAGACTTGACACCACCGGTTGCAATGCCGATGATGATAATTGCAGTGACAAATCCACCCAATGAGGTATTTTTATCAGCCACAGAAGGTATGGAGGTGATGAATAAGATGAAAATACCCACAATGTAGATACCACAAAACACACTAATAGATTTGAACTTTCCCAAGTAGGTGTCGGCAATCCAAGCCCCAAAAATTGGTGTAACGTAACACCAAAACTGGAAAAAGTATGATAAAGCAGTGGCAGAAGAGTTACCTAAGCTCAATACACCAGCCGGAGAATCAGAAGGAGTGTTTTGCATATAGTTTTGGAATGGTGTAGACAATCCATAATAACTGAATCTCTCAGCCAATTCCACTATTGCTACTAACCAGCACCTTATGGGGATTGAGCCAGATATATGTCTTAAAGTCTTCAACTCTTCAGTGGTAGCCTCAACCTTTTCCTCAGTTGACAGTGACTGTGAATCTTCATCAGCCAAAGCCTTCAAGGAACCTGATGAAGCATATTTCTTTTCTTCTTTAAGAGCCGTTTCGTTGACTCTGGGTTCGACAATTTTAGATTCGGACACAGCAGACATTTGAACGAGGAACAAAAATTAAAATTGGTCAAGCTCTGGGGATTATAAATAATTGTGAATTCCGGCACAAGAGCTTGAATATGTCTAATCTGTATCCAATGTGGCAGACTGGGAACCGGAAAAAAGAAAGTACAGTGGCACCTTACTGAAGAAAAACCGCTCTAACGTGAGCTTCCACGTTCCGGGCACATACCGTGACTAAGTAATTGCCGTAATAAAAGGTTGCAATTTCTTACATGTCATGCAATATCTCCGTTTAGGGTTCTATGGGTTTACACGGTATGTCCACAAATAAGCTTTGTCTTCCCCGTCTTTTCGAGGGGTTTTATTATACTCTTGCTTGGTTACGGGTGTGCCATCCAAGTCGCGGCATGAATAACAGCTTCCTCCAAAAAAATGTATGCTCTAAAATGCTTGTAAGTAGTATTAGGTGTGCGCAATTTCTAGCCTGTATAAACGCATAGCGTGCATGCGATGCGATGAGACGGCTGCTTCAACAAGCGCATCAAGGAAACCAATGACGAGTGGGAGGCATCTTCCCACCACAAAATATAGCATCCTACCCTACCACAACTGCCACCTAGCTGACAGGAAATCACAAATTGCCATCAGGATCTTCGGATCTCCGGTCGAGTTGTGGTCGGGCTGAATTAAGGGGTATACTTTGTAGCACAATATGCTATACCGGTACATTGCACACGGCGAAAATGGACCGCCATAGTGCCGTAGGAATGTATGGCATAACTTGAATAGCGTTAGCGTTTTCGCCAATGCCAAAACTCAAACCTAGCAGGTAGGGAAATTCTTAACCTTCTAATTCACTCTGGGCTTTGTTGTTGATCCACTACTAACCAATACCCAGGAATATTATTACGGTGGTGTTAGAAACTTGGCGTGTTTGCCATTAAACTTAGTATGTTTCAAGGCACTCCACAAATTAGGCTTTCGGGCTCATAAGTTCTCAAACCGGGTATGTAATATACAACCAGTGGCATGTTGCGATTGTGGGTAAGTGTTACCCTTGGGCTTGTGATCCCACGATGTAACTGAAAGAATCTGAATCTTTGAAAATTTGGAAATTGTGTCAATTGTGTCGGATGCAGCTCCATTTATATTCGCCATATTTTTGGTGCCGCAATTGATGCTTATCAGAATCGGGGCAAAATTTCACGATTACCGGATAAGAGTCAATGCATGCCACTGAAGCTGGGTAAGGCGGGACCACACTTGGGGCTTTCTGAATAGGGACATCGTAATTTTGTGCATGTTGGTTTACGTTTTACTCTGATTTTCGGTGAATGTAGAGACAACCGTTTGAATGTCTTTTTCGGTGGGTGTTTGAATGCCTTTTTCGGTGGGTTTTTGAATATCTTTTTCTGTGGGTGTATGGGTCAGAAATGCTGCTACATTTGTGTGCATGGGTTCAACCTGAACTTGTGTGTTTTCCATTTTGATATGTGTTCCCTCTTCTTGATGCCTGCGATGGACGGCTGCAATGTATTATGCTTCGTCACATGACCTGTGAACACCTCAAGACACAAACGCAGCAGCTTTTTAAGAGTACTCCGACCTCCATATAAAGCATAGTATGTGTTTTCTAGATCTTTGAACTTCTCTCTACATATCTTAATATATAAGTTGTCTACTGAATAGGCCAGTAGCCAGGAAACAAAAAGTGCATCTTCTCCAAAAGTTCCTTCTTCACGGCCTTAGGGTTTGTGCTAACAGAAAACTTCATTGATCCCTTCAAGTCTTCGCCAATTTCCAGTTTACCAGTTTCAAACTCCTTGGAAATCACTTCAATCAATTTCTCAGCCATTTTACAGGCATTGGCACTATTAGCCTTCAAGTTTCCAACCACAGTTTCTACAGTAACAGGATCTTCATCAACGTTCCAAGAATCATAGTCAGTAGACATGCAAACCATTTGGTACGCTATTTCAGCTTCCCTGGCCAATTTGGCTTCCGGTAAACATGACATATTGATGACCGAGCCTCCAAAAGATCTGTACATTTGAGACTCGGCTCTTGTACTAAACTGAGGACCTTCCATACAAATCAACGTCAAGTCTTCCTTGTCCTTGGTGTGGAATGTTGGTTCTAAGTTTTCCTTGTCAAAGCCTTCCAAGAAACCTTGAGCAGGAATAGCTTCCTTAATAAGCTTATAAAGCTTTAAATCGAAGGGTTCACCGAACATGGCGTGAGCCACGAAACCCTTCTCAAAGAATGTCGATGGACGAATTCCCTTGGTTCTGTCAATAACTTGAGTTGGCAATACGAAATCTCTGGGTTTGATTTCTTGTCTCAAAGATCCCACGGCAGAGAAAGCGACTATAGCCTTAACACCAAGTGACTTTAAGGCAGCCATGTTAGCCCGGCTGGGAACGTCTGTAGGCAAAAGATCATGATGTTGGCCGTGTCTAGCCAAGAAGGCCACGGGGAAGCCATCAGCCATTTCACTAATGGTGATGGGAGAAGAAGGGAAGCCCCAAGGCGTAGAAACGGTCAACCTGGCCACTGGCTTTAAGTTGGGCAAATCATACAAGCCCGTACCACCAATAATAGCCAACTCAACTGGTTTGGAGTATGAGTGAGGTAATTGGGATAATTCAGACATAAGTTTAGGGAATACTTTCTTGACCATTTGAATTCAAGAATCAATTTTTCATTTGTAATAAACATGCGCACGAGTCGTGCTAACCGTTCGCGAAAAAGCGTCCACAGTTTTTCTTCCTTCACTCAAAGGTCATAGGAACAACCTCAAATACACTACGCATAATGTATAAGAGTGGCGTCAAAGCGTTGGTGCGCAATGCCTCCAAGAGAAGACCAGGATTGTCCCAGCTTCGAGCCCAAAGAGATACTTTCAAACCCCCACAGCTGGTGGCTTCTTCTTCCACATCCTCGCCTCCGTTAAAATACGTATCAGTTAAGGAGTTCCCTAAAGCCCCTTCCCATGTGACGTCTATGGATACCAAGGACTTATTTGAAAGTGTCAACATAAGCATAGAGCCGGAAAAAGAAGATCTTTCGGTGAATTTTGAAATTCCTAGAAAGTTCAGCAAGCAGTACCAGTCATCCATATTAAATCAGAGAGACTTGGCTATGATGAAGCAGCTCGACGTGATGATGAACACAGACGACGACAAGGTTATTATGGAAAGCCAAATCATTTTGGGAAACCTCTATAGCGATAGAGACTCATTCTCCAGTTATATCCCCGAGCATCCACTCAAAAAGTCCTTGAGTGGCATGATAAACTTAAACCCTCATTTGAACGATATTGATGACGAATACTTGTGGGATTTGATTCCTCCAGATAAATTCTTTGGGTCTAAATTTTACGAGAAAGAGGGCACATTCAAAGAATGGGAGAAGGAAGTAATGGAGGAAAAGAACAAACTTATTGACCACTTGAAAGTGCACGAAGCCGAAATATCTGATTTTTTACAAAAATACGGGAAGAACAAAAGCTTCTTGGAGAAGAGAAATGGGAGGCTCAGACTCAACAAGTCTTTGATCAAAGCTTACAAGCTTCTCAAATCCAAAAACTTGCACGTAAAGAAAATGGATGGAAATGATGGTGAAGACCTTGAGTTTGAATTTGTTATTGATGATTTTGACATCAAGGATAACAAAAACTAGACCCATACTGTAGCATGATTTAATGACACCACTAACCTCACATACTGTAAATAGCAATTTCGGTATTTTCAGTGTATACACATACTTACCTATATAGTACTAAATGCATAATAATGCCATAATTGTTAATTTATTCTACAATGTTCAACACGACATTTTCGTAGCCAAACTTGCACTTGTTTTCCTCAAAGACCCGCTTCAACTCATCCACATACAATTTGTGGTAGTGATCCAATAGTTCTTGCGGTACTTTGGATCTCTTGAATGACTTCTTCTTGCCGAATAAGTTTTGAAATGATTGCAGTCGTTTCATATGATTTTCTGTTCGTTCTTTTTCACGTTCTGGTTCATACTCCAGCTCGAATTCAGGATGGTCTCTTTTATAATCTTGCACCAAGTTCGGTGGTACATATATAGGCCTTCCGATACACACATTTATAGGATTTCTGTAAGGCAAGAATCCAAAATCGTATATGAAGATGCCTCGGGCACTGAAGAATGGAAGTGTGAAGGAAAAGTTCTTTTTGAGCCACTTCTGGAACGTGTCACCAATGGTTCCCGGTTTCGGCTGTATAATGTTGTAAATATCTGCCTCTCCAAACCCGAAAATTGGTACAAGACTGATGTTTCCAAGCTCAATAGCCAACTTCACAAATCCTTTCCTTTTGTTTAGCACCAATTTGATTTCTTTCGACACATTGCGTTCATTATTCTCCTTAATTATTTCGTCCTCCTGACTTTGTTTTTCTGCTAGTTTCTTGTATCCTATCCCAACGGTCGGATGGTTAGTCACTCCAGAGTTCAATAACGATTCCTGCGCTCCACCAACCACAATACAAACTGAGTTGTCACCATTGTTGATCAAGCTTTTGATGTTTACGGCTGATGCACTTGTCAACCCCAAACTCAACAAGTAATCTCTGTAGAATGGCAAAGTGAATTGGGTATTCAAGGTTAACGGGAAGATATTCCCAATGTTAGGGAGTAATGGTTTGTGCTTTGAAGGATCGTAGAACAAGAACCGAAGAAACCGTGCAGGAGGTTCAAACGCCTCATTACGGAGGATGTTCGTGGCAAACAATCCCATAACTCCCATAGATATAACTCCATGCGGATGGTACCCAAACACGTATCTAGGACCATTGGAAACCGTTCTATACTTGACATTATCGACTTTGTTCAAGCGCTTACCGAGCCCTAAGGACTGGAATACCTTGTCCACTATGGTGGTGGAGTTTTCGTTGATCAAATCCTCTTCGTCGTCATCATCCAAATTGTCTTCGTCCTCAACCACCTCCGAGAAGGTGGGTTCAAATTCACAGGACTTGTGCACACGGATGGGAAAGTAATTAACAAACCATTCCCAAACTATTAGGTTCTTCACCCAGTTTCGGACTCTGTAATTGGCCTTTCCATTTGTAGGGGTATGTAAATCAAATCCGTACCACCAGATAAAATAAGGAAGTATGATTAGCAACCATGAGACCCACCCAAGATACACTAGAAACAAACACAAGGTGAAGAAAAACGGAATGGAAACAGTATGCCAAATGATTCCTATAGTCTCCAAACGTCTGCTCATGGGAATGTTCAATGGGGCGATATTCAAATATCTTTTACTTTTTCTGTTCCTGTTGAAATATAACTCTGATTTGCTTTTGGTCTCAGATGATTCTGTGGAGGAGCTAGAAATGGGTGTGGATGGTAGTGAGATAGGGGTGGCGGACAGGGTTGATTTCTCTCCCAGAGGCACATTCCGTTGCCGCAAAGACATTAGTTCTGATGGTGGATATCAAAATTTCAAATGTTCAAGGAGGAACCCCAATTTTTTGGTATGTGGGATTGATGAGGCAAATCTTACTAGATTGGGAAGTTTTTTTTGTATGTGTTTGCGCACACGCGGGACCAGTCTCGCACTAGCCTACCACCAATATATCATGAAGCGACGGTTGGATGATTTGGATCCTAATCACCAGAAAGCCTTCTACTTTCTTGAGCCCAAGGACTGTAGTATAAATGGCGATGTTCCGTTCTGTCGGCTCAACGCTGGTCTGGAAACGGTACTGGAAGTCGATACTCGATTTGCACTTTTCAAGACCCAGATGGATAACGTATCGAGAGTAATAGAAAACATCCTCCAAAACACCAATAACGAATTGTTCGAAGACTTGCTTCGGTTCGTACGAACTCCGCCCTTACTTCCCACTGCATCCAACTTGTTGATCAAACCCATGCATAAATTGCCAGTTGGGTTTTTACCATTGACTACGAACGCGAGCAGAATATTGCACGATTTCTATGGAATGACTAAAAATGAACCTGTGAAGTTGGTAATTTTGAACAATAAGCTGGGATTTACCAGTATCAAAATGTTTCTTCGGATCCTTGTTAAACAATTAGAAGAGGAAGAAGAAGAAGAAAAACAAAGTGATGAAGACGACAACAATGAGGAAGACGAAAATAACCAAGAAGAAAACAATCAAGAAGATGAGCAGAACGATGAAGAAGATGTGGAGGATATGCCACAAAACAAACTCAACTACAATTTGGATGTCCTCGAGGAGTGGGTCTCTCAGGACAAAAACAAAAACGTGACATTGGTTATTGTCATTGAACAAGGTGACACTATAGATCCACAAATATTTAATCAGTTCATCCAGAACATTTATAACTACGGCAAGAAAGTGCCTATAAAAATACTCATAGGTACTGGAACAAATAACATCCAGCAGTGGGTTTCGAGTAACATAACTACCGAGTTCCGTTTGTTGCTTGACACTTATAAGTTTAGAACTGTCACCAACGAACAGCTATTCAGAGACATATTGTATGCAGTGGTGATTCGGGGTAAGCTAGTGTTGGATGATCAGCTTATGACCATTATATTGGCTAGATTTCATACCGGTAATAATTCGATCCACGCATTGATAAATGCGTTTAAGATGAGTGTAATGGCCCATTTCTATCAGAATCCCTTTTCAAGACTTGCAGTAGATACAGTACAGGAGAAAGATGTGAAGATGCTCAGGCATTTACCGTCTTTCAAGAAGTACATTGAATTGCTTCTCCAAAAGCATAAGCAGGGACTCTGCGAGAAGTCCGAGATCAAGATGTTATTAACCGATGACCATTACTTGATGAAAACATTCAATAATGTCAAGGACCAGTTTGTGCTGTTCCAATCACTGATAGGAGCTACAATCGAAGAAATCCAACATTTGAGCCCGAATACTGATAAGTTTGAATTATACAATCTTATTCTCCTGGACCGGTTCCATAATTCCAAATTGAGCAAGGCCAATAAATACAAGATCAGCAATAATTTTACAACCAACACTGTTTTCAACGAAGTGTTTATCATTTCGTTCCATCAGTGTGGCCAGCTTCCTAAATTGGAAGAAAACTATGATAACTTGGTGCTTCAGCTATTAAGACCAAATATGAGGAGAATTTTAGAACAGAACATGACTGATTCAGCTCCATATTTGGATAATGAGCTCACACGATGTTCAGGATCTGGAAATTCGGAGCTAGTAATGCCGAAACTTTTCAATTTACTAGTAGAAGCTCCATCTACCGTCAACCACTATGAATTCTTCATGGCTTTCAAGCAATCACTCAACAAAGACAAGGTGATCAAGGAATTGAAGGAAAGTATCGGTAAGGAAGCTTCTTCTCGGCTCACACAAATCCTAGATAACTGCGCTGAGGATGATAAAGAGTGGGAAAAGTTGATCTACTCTTGGTTCTTGCTGACTTGCAATGAGCTCATTATGGTCGGGTTGTTCAGAGAAAAGCCCAGAGGCGACCATTTCGAGAAGAACATCTGGAAGGGTTTATAACCCCAAATACGCATATAGTGTGTACATTACTTAAATACACGTCGAAAACTTGCCCAGCAAGGTGTAGCTAGGGAATCTGACTTTCCTAATCCTTTTCCTTTTCACCAATCAAAGCATTCATTTCTTCATTCAACTGTTTGGCAGCACCTTCACCATCACCAGGATGGAGTTTCTCTTGCACTTGGTCGGGAATTTGTGCCTCAGTTTCCAAGACATCTTCAGGCTTGCCAACATTGTCTTTGATATCACTGTAGTAGCTCTTTAACTTTTCATTTGTTTGCTTGAATAACTCAGTATTCTTCAAATGCTCGTGGGACGACACAGATAAAATGACTAAAAACACAATCAAAACAGCAAGAATGCCGGCAGTGATGAGCTTCTGCGTCCGGAAGAGTTTCTTGCTTATGTTTGTGGAGTTTGCAACCATGGTTGAGAAAGGTTAATTAGGAACGGGTTGAAGCGGAACAGTGAGAATCCGACAGGTGATGAGAAATGCGACTGCGATAAACCTCCGGCGTGTCTGAACAGATATATAGCCTTGCCTACTAAAATTGGCGCCAAGGCCACCACTTTGGTAGTTCACGGGCCCTTGGTGCTGTCAATGCAAGGCGCGTCTATTAGAATCAGTTAAATCCGGTCGACCTGATACTATGAGAGATTGAAACTACTAAGCCAGTGTCCGTTGAATTTGGTACACTCATAGCACCACTCATATTCATGACCAAAGCCCTCAAGCAATCTAACAGCTACTCCAAGTGACAATTAAGGGACTTGTATATATTATTTTCCCAGGTGTGAGCGGAAATGTGGTTATCTCTGAGTGATGATCTCGACTGCATGCCTAGAATGATTTATCCTGGCACAGGAATCGTTGTATGCTTCATTCTTGATGACTTCGGTACTGAAACATTTGCACAGAGACAACGAAGAAAGGAGAGAAGGGGAAGGGGAGGGGAAGTTGAGAAATGAGAAGAACGGAAGAAAGAAGAAGAGCGGAAGAAAGAAGAAGAACGGAAGAAAGAAGAAGAACGGAAGAAAGAAGAAGAACGGAAGAAAGAAGAAGAACGGAAGAAAGAAGAAGGAAACGAAAGAAGCTTTAAGGAATAATCATGTGACTACGGTCTAACAGGATATTTTTGCTAAATGTGGCAATAAGCACCCGAGGGCTCTATTTTTCACCATTCATATCTGAACTAAACCCAATCGAAAAGCTCTAATTACAATTCAACAGTAGAGAGATATTAAGCTCTAGGCGGCAATTCAACTCCTGTAGTCAATGTATAAAATAGTCTTAACTATTCCGCCAATCCTTAATTTGCCAATTAAGACAACCTCTAATTTAACAGTGGTGTAAAGTTATTTACCGTACATCTCTGGTAGGATCGGATTTGGTCCTGCTTTGGGGATATGAGCGCACGGCGCTTACCACTCCCCATTCCACAAACTAGACGGAGAAACGAGGAAGGAAAACGCCGAACGATTGCTTGACATGTATGCAGTTGTGAGCCCTGTAAGAGGTACTTGAATTGAACCAAGCCTTACTCATCCCACCATGTATGACAGGTGGGTAAGACCTGCCTAATTGAACTAAAGGTACATAGGCACTTGCTTTTATTTTAACAATTATTGGCTGAATAAGTTTTTCCATTGAAACGAAAATGCAATAAGAATTAGAAACTAAAATTCCCCAGTACTTCCCCATGTAGAAAACCTCGTTTCCTATCAACGTTGCTACACCAATCAACGTTCTCGCAGTCTAACTTGTAAGTCGATCGGTGCGCATGCAGAAAATTGAAGCCAAGGAGTGAAATTTGATAGGGTGATGGTGGGAGCACCAGTATGGTTAACGAGATGCTGCGGCAAATAGTACGATGCATAGGCTATTGTTGGATATAAATGACCGGGGTACCGGAGCCTAACACGGTATGTTTATTAGCACACGTTTTATTACGCACGGCAAAAAGCCCTATGCTACAGGAAATGATTGTCCTAATTGAGGCATGAGGCGGACGTGCCATACCCAAAAGACGTGGCTAAATGTTCCTGATAGCGATAAAGCTTGAATGCCCCAACCTACAAATTGATGCCAGTTCCCCATTCTGACCAAAACTGTAACTGAAATTTTCTCTTTAACATGGCGACTAGAGATCTTCCAAAATCGTTTAAACAGTTATCGACTGGCTGGATCCAACACTTGGATAACGAGATTACCTTCAATAGGAAGACACCATCCCAAATAAAAGAGGAAGAAGATCCCAATTATGTGCGTAAGGTTAAGATGAAAAATTTATGGCCAGCCTTTTGTGCTGGTGCCGGTTTATTCTCTGAAGGTTATGTGAATAATTCCATTTCCACCGTGTCTACCATTTTGTCCAGAATTTATGGAACAGCCTATTCTGAGTCCAATGCTATTTCTAACGTCTCGTCCATTGCCTTTGTGGGTATCGTTCTCGGACAATTAGGTTTTGGGTATGTTTCTGATCATATCCACAGAAAAGGAGGTATGTTAGTTGCCAACGTCATGTTGATTTTCTTCACCTTGTTGACAGCCGTTGGTACTTGGGGAGCTCATGGGTCTCCTGGTGGTCTTTTTGCCGCATTGACCACTTTCAGATTTTTCTTAGGTATTGCTATTGGTGCTGAATACCCCACGTCTTCTGTGATCGCTTCTGAGTTTGCCAACCAATTGCCTTCTGGTCATAGAAACAGATACTTTGTGTGGTTCACCGATTTCATGATTGATTTTGGATTTGTGGTTTCTGCTTTTGTACCTTTGGTGTTGTTATGGATCTTTTCAACTCGTCACTTGACAGCAGTCTGGAGATTGACCTTGGGTTTGGGGGTCTTCCCTCCTCTTGCTTTGTTTTTTATGAGATTGAAAGTAGCAGACTCCGATGCGTTCAAGAAAATGAACATTAAACGGGTCAAGAAAGTTCCATTCCTCTTGATTGCCAAATTCTACTGGTTCAGATTGTTCATTGTTTCCTTTATCTGGTTCTTGTACAACTTCTCTGTCTACTCATTTGGTACCTATTCCAGTTATATTTTTGCTCAAATCATCCCTACTGACGCTGATGGGAATGCTGACTTGTACAAGACGTTTGGTTGGAACGTTGTATTTAACTTATTCTACATCCCAGGTTCATTTTTGGGTGGTTTGATGGCTGATTACTTTGGTCCCAGGTTGACATTGGCTATCGGAGTGGGATTACAAGCTGTTGTCGGGTTCATCATGGCTGGTTGTTATGATTCTTTAGCCAAGCATATTGCTGCCTTTATTGTGGTTTTCGGAATTTTCTCTGCTTTGGGAGAAGTTGGTCCTGGTGATAACATTGGTTTATTGGCATCCAAAACTTCAGCCACTGCCATTAGAGGAGAGTATTATGGGATTGCTGCTGCTTGGGGTAAAATCGGTGCTTTCGTTGGTACCTGGGTGTTCCCTGTTATCATTTCCCACACTGACGGTGTTAAGACCCCAATTTTCATTTCTTCTGGTTTCTGTGTCATTTCTTGTATTTTGGCGCTTTTCTTTGTCCCACCTGTTGGTCAGGATGCCATTAACAAGGAAGATGATGACTTCCTCAACTACTTGGTTGACAACGGTTTCGATGTTTCTCAATTGGGAGAAAGCGTTGAAATCGATGAGCAAGCTCAAAAAGAATCCGAAGGCGACAGTGATGTACAAACAGTCAACGAGATTCTTGATACCAAAAAGCAGTAACTGTTCAGCAATCATTTCTAATATTATCATATGTACAGGTATAAACTTAATTCAATTCAACTGTGTCTATATATTTCTCTCAAACGTTATACCTCTTGCAGTGGGGTTAAATCGAAGTTAAAAAGATCATTTGGAGCTTCTCCTTCGTGTTTTACGTATTCTTCGTCATAATACATGTCAATGAGGGTCCTCGCTATCCAAAGTTTATCGTACTTGATGAAAACAGCCAATTTCAGATCACTGTCACAATCACAATCGGACTTGAGTATGTCAGATACTGTAAATACATCCAAATTAGCTAAATAGTCAGCTTCATGCATGACTTCTGGAGGTTGGAAACTACTCATCATTCGTTCTACATCGGCTAAACATAGTTTGAGCCGGCAACGCTTGGCCTTCTCCGAATCCACTGGGAGAGTCTTCCCTACTCCCAATGTCAGGTTCAAATTTTTCAATGTAATCTTTACCAACATGTTGGCCATAGCATATTCCTTACTGAAACTGATCAAGCTTTTGACTCTTTTAAGCATTACCACCTTAATCATTCTGAACCACTGCTTCATTCGAAGGTACAATATATCATTGTCTTTTCCATGTTCCTCCATTGTTAACATACTATACTTGATTCTGATGAGTAAGCTTAATGAAATGCAAATGATCATATAAAGCAATTTGATAATCCAGGGATTGTAGACCAGGGTGAACATTTCAAGGTAGAGAGCACTTTTGGGTTTGAAAGAGTCACCATCTACTTTACCTAGTTCGTCGAACGTTGTAAAAACACAGCCTATTAAAGACTCTTTAGACTCTTCAAGGCTACCTTCTTCTTCAAGTTTGAGGTAAGCACTGAACTGGAGTAGAGCAGTAAGCATCCTGCCTAGTATGAAGGATCTGACTTTTAAAAAGGTAAAGCTCCCAGACACGTCGGAATCATGAATAGATTCGTAAGATCCCAGGTAATTCCAAAAGAAAATCTTCAACAGATTGGCGTATTCATACAAGGTTACACCTCTGAATTCAGAGTTCACCCGTTGAGCAGGTTTAAGCAGTTCATTAACTACTTTTGTGATTATTTTGGCATACCCCATCCCATCAATACCTTTCTTCTCATTAGTGGCATTTCTGACATTCATGCAGTCAGCTTTGAACCTGGGGAACTTTGTGTCATAGTCGTAGATCAAAGGTTTCAGTACTCTCCAGTACATCATAGAATCGCATGCAATTGAATAATATGTAAAAAACCATATTTTTCTACGCAAATGAACGGTTTTTGCATCCATATGCTCCATCGTATAAACCTCTGGGTCTCTGTTCAAGCCTAAAGTGTAACATAATTCCAAAATTTGGTTCTTGAGGGTTTGATCTACCAAAAAGGAATCTTGTATCTCAGGTGATATGTCCCTACAGAAATGATAAAGAAGAAGTGCTTGAAGCAATGGTAGTGATGGTCGTTTAATAATGCCGTGAAGATTGAAACATTCTTCAACAACTTCCATTATCTCCACGCACACATGCTCATCAAGATCTGGATCAAAATGCTTGCAGATTATTGAATCAAGGTAGGTGTATCGAAGCATTAAAAGTGACAGGGCAATAACTGCGTAATCTGTTTTTGATGTTATGGTCACCTCCACAATCTTATTCTTGGTGGCATTCTCTAAATTGAAGATTCTTTTAGTAGCCTCTTCAAGACTGACCTCATCAAAAATAGGTATTAGAATATGAGTCTTAGCGAAGAATATGCTTTGGTACTTCATCAATTGTGCCTGAGAAGGTACCACTTTTTTCAATCGTTCAAGGAAACTATATGTTCTCAATAGCGGATCCGGGTGATATGTTACGCCTCTTTGCAACGCCTGTGGATGCACTTTTTGCTTTGTTTCATAAATGCTTATTAAGCCAGATTCCACCTCGCAGTAATCAAGACTGTTATTCATGTTGTAATTCATTTCCAAGTGTTTTCGGGAAAGTGAGTTGAGTCCTATAAAAGACAGTGAAATCAAGGTTTGGTTAAATTTCTCTATACCAAATTTGTAAGCCCAGTACTGGCTTATTATTGTGGCAGTGGGGTCTTTGGGATCAAGTATTTGAAATGGGTAAAGATTGGACAGAACCAAAACTGAAGCCAATGCTGTCGGCTCAGGGACAGGATCTTGCTTGAGGTAGATAGTACCGTAGAAGACTTCGGGATTCAGAGAAATAGAAAACTCATCCACGACATAGGAACAACTATCATGTAATCCTAGTTTAATACATGAAGTGCACGGCCTCCTTCTATCGCATTTATTTTTCCGTTTCCGACAACTTAAACAAACAACAACTTTTCTGTTTCTTTTCCTAGCCGGCTGACTCATGTGAACAGTGATGTGTATAGTGATTCTATGCGTGCCTTATCTGCGTGAGGAATTTCTCGCGATCAAAATTTCCCTGTCAGAACTCCGATGGGTGTATGGGTCAGAACTTTTTGCAGCTAAGTTCAAGTGTAGAATTAAGCCTATACGTATTGAAGAAGATGAGAACAAGATATTTAATTCAAGAAATTCCTATAGACCAAAAGACCAGAAACAAAAAGATGTTTTGGTCTTATGTGAAGTCTCTTAGCTTGACAAGAGGATGTGTAGAAATGGATTTCAAGTCCGCATCGGTGTCACCTGACGTACTGTCAGATGGTGCAGCTGTCTCGATGATATTGCTGAGCACCAAGTTGTTCACTAGCTCTCGGCGCACGGTATCCAATTCTCGAATATCGATATACTGACCAGAAGTGGAGTTTTCAATCAATAAGTCTACAAATTCCGCCAACCACTCCACTTCTTCGGTTCCAGCAACAGCGTCAGAAAAGGAGAAATACTTCACAATAATTCTGTGCAACGACGTGCGAAGAAGTGTCAATATGTCTTTGCACTCTTTTCTTTTGGCATCCAACTGGAGTCTCACTTTGTCTTTTATATCACTTTCTTGATGTAGTGACTGCTGCTGTAGCAGTAAGAGTTCCGTCTTCTTTGTAGATATCACTTCGTCTATGCGTTCTAGTAGCTCGCGGTAGGATCTTTCTTGGGCTTGCAATTGTCCTATCGCTTCCGTTTGGTATTTATTCTCGTTCACGAGCGCGTTATGACTTCTGATTTGATCTGTTACCAACTCATCCAAAATCGTATTGGTGGCACTCTCGTTGATGATATCGGACTTATCACTGAAGAACAACACTTTATTGTAGGTTCTATAACGTGCAATAACCTCTCGTTTTCGTTCGTATTCAGCAAACTCAATGTGGTACGGTTGGGTGGACACTAGTGATTTCTGAAGCTTTTCGATCTGCTCAGTGGCCTGTTCTTGGAATCTGTCTATAATGTCCATACTGTCTTCAACTCGTCGTTGGTAGGTGTCATTGACTATGGGATCAAAGTGATCCACATCTTTGAACAATTCTCGTAGCTTTTCTAGTTTCATGGAGTGAGATGTATTTTTCGCATTCACAAAGACGTGAATAATAAATATTATGCTATTATGCTATGTATAACTGGCCAAGGTGAACACAAAAGCTAAAAGCCGAGACCTCCCGCTTCTATAAAGTTATGCTTCTGGTTGTGCTTTAAGAGACACTCTAGATTATCTCCAACTCACAGTTCAACTCTCTAGATATCTCACCCAACTTCTCCATTTGCTTCGATACGTTTGTCTCTGAGCGACGCAGCAATACTGACCACGCTGCAAGAAGGTCGAACCTGTACTCAAAAACAAGTTGTTTTGCCTCTGTCTCTGCCTCATCAAATGCACTTAGAATGGTGTATTGTAACTCTAGAACCTTCTGTACTGTCAATGGGCTTGTCTCTAGTAAATATGGACTTGTGATCATCTGATTGAGTATGAAGTTGAGCCTATTCAATCCCACGAGTATTTGAGGCCCAAGTATGTTTGTGAGCTCAAAGAGCATTTGTAGTACGACCTTTAAGTGATGAGATTCGCCATTTCTATTGAACTTTTTATCCAAAGAGAGCACCATTGTCCCTAGGAGATCGACCAAGCCGTCAAACTCCAGCTTTAAGGATAAAAATAATGCAAACGAGATTCTTATTAATTGGTCGACTTCTTCTCCCTCATTGTTAACAAGTGATAGATATATCTTCAAATTATCCATGAAAAGTTCAGTTAACCCTGTAGACTTAAAGTCTATTCCTTTATCTACCGCCTTTTGAAGTAACTCGCATGCCATAACCTTGACAGCCACCAAATGGTGGTCCATTAAATTGAGAATCTGAGCAGTTATTATACTCCAGTTGCGATGATGAGGATACATCTCGATCAATGTGTACACCACCGATATGACTCTCAAGTCGGTGTGTTCCTCCTCCATACCCACCTTCACATTCAATCCTCCTATCAGGTTCTTCTCTATGGGCTTTAAGTGCCTAATTAATTCTGAAACATACTCTGGATGGGCCTGGATTAACGGCAAGAGTGATTTGCTGATTTGTAAAGAAGACCATGGTGTATGGGGATTTAAGTGATAGCTGGCAACAGCAAACAGGTTAAAGGTGGGATTTGTTTTGAGAATAGTTCTTGTATCTTCAAGCGCCCCAAATATCTCTGAACTATTCTGTGGTTCAATGGTATATCGTATATTCACCATAGTTATTCTTGCAGAAAATATTCGCATTCTGAAGTTGATTAGATTCAACTAAACTGATGATGAAAACCATTCACCACCAGAAACTAGCTCACATTACGACTAGAGCATTGTCAAAGACTCCCAGCAGTTCGCTTCCTTTGATTGTATCCGAAGAAGTACAACAGGCCTTGGCTCAAAACAAGCCGGTGGTATCTCTAGAATCAACCATTCTCACTCATGGGTTCCCCTACCCAGAAAACCTTTCATTAGGCGAACAGTTTGAGAAGGCCGTACGCCAAGAAGGAGGGGTGCCGGCAACCATTGCATTTTTGAAAGGGGTGCCGCACGTTGGACTTAGTTCTCTGCAATTGATAGAATTAACAGAGAATTCCAAAACGGCTGTTAAAGTTTCTCGCCGTGATATAGGCCATGTTATGGCCAAAAAATTATATGGTGCTACCACAATTGCTTCAACAAGCATTTTGTCATGTATGGCTGGGATCAGTGTTTTTGGTACTGGTGGTCTTGGAGGAGTTCACAAAGAAGGTCAATTCACCATGGATGTTTCCAACGATTTGGTAGAGTTGGGAAGAAACCCAATCACAGTAGTATGTGCCGGGCCAAAGTCTATCTTGGATATTGGACTCACTATGGAGTACTTAGAAACTCAAGGGGTGTACGTCACTACTTATAACGAGTTTAAGGATCCAATTGACACCGTTGAAATTCCTGGGTTCTACGCTCGTAAATCAGGAATAAAGTCACCTAATGCATTTGAGTCATTTGGTGAGATAGCTGATATCATTCGCCATCAGAGGCTAATGAACTTGGAGTCTGGAAACTTGGTGTGTATTCCACCCCCTCTGGATTTTGCCATGGACTCTGGAGTCATAGGCAAGATCATTGAGGATGCCTACGAAGAAGCAAAACACTTGGGTATCAAGGGGAAAGAGATTACACCATTCTTGTTGTTGAAGATCGGAGAAATGACTAAAGGAAAGTCCCTTGACTCGAACAAGCACTTTGTGTTGAATAATATCAAGTGTGCTACTAAAATCGCTCTGGAGTTGACTAACGTAAGTACCAATTGAAATTTTGTTTATGAATTTATACTGATGTTTCCACAGCTAAAAGATGATTATATGTCAGCTCACCAGCCAGCTCCTCCGGTGGATTTTCAAAAGCCTGTCAAAAAAGTGTTGCATTCCCGTGTGGATACTATTGTAGTCGGATCTGTTGCTGTAGACACAATCTCAAAACTTGAACCAAACCACCATCTTGAAGATTCAAATCCGGGGGACACTATGACTTCAATTGGGGGAGTTGGACACAACGTGGCTCTCGCGAGTTATTATTCTGGAGGTAGAACTCTACTTGTTCTGTCTGTTGGAAATGACCAGATGGGAAAAATGGTTCAGAATGATATGCAAATTGATACTTCAGGACTACGCGTGGAAGTTGATAATAGAACTGCTAGCTATACATCTGTTCATTCTCTGGATGGTGAACTAATAATTGCTTGCAGTGATATGACAATTGTGGAAGAAGACCTCACAGACCATGCCCTCAAACATATAGAGGCATTCAAGCCTAGTACAGTAGTTTTGGACTGCAATCTATCGTTGAAGACTATTAATAACGTATTGGCACACGTCCAAATATCCAGTGGTCGAATCATAATAGAGCCAACCTCTTTGGTCAAATCAAGAAAAATTGGAAGCTTGAACCATCCTGTTGACTTGATTACCCCCACAGTCAATGAAATGAACGCTATTTATGAGTCAATTGACCAAAACGGCAGGTTTAACGACGATTGGTTTGAAGTTATAGACACTTTGAAACTCGATGATATCCAAAGATTCATTCTAAAAGGTAAGCTTTTAGAGCTCTACAATGAAGGTATAATACAAAAATGCTTCAGAATCCTTCCATTTGCAAGAAATATCCTATTGAAGCTCGGAAAGCATGGCGTTTTGACACTTGGCCAAACAAAAGAGAGTATATTTATGGCTGCAAGAAAATCGCAAATTCAAACCGCAAACTTCTACATTGACTACTATCCAGTTCCTCCAGAGAATGAAAACTTAGAAATCGTCAACATGACAGGTGCGGGAGATTCAATGCTTGGATACCTCATCAGCCACTACCGGACTTTGGATAAAGAAAAGCTTATGAGGAACTGCCAGCTTGCCAGTGGTCTCTCCATTTCGCACGCTGAAGCCATCAATCCTCACCTTAAAAATATCCAATGAACAAGCACCACTGAAGTGGAATAACGTGTAGCATATAATAGAAAGAAACAGGGAATGGTTCAATTCTTGCAAAGCTTAAAATAAAGTGAAAACTCTTTTCGGTGCGACAAATAGGAACTGGCGATTTGATAATCATGTTCAAGGCATTCAGAAGCTTCAATACGAATGTCAAGGTCTTTACTGGCGTTGCCGGTGCTTTGGTGGGTGTACAGGCCCTTAGTGTATACAATCCTATATACTTAGAAAACTTAAAGTCCGTTTTGGTTGATAACAGTATCGATCCGTTTCCTACGAAGCTCTCCAATTATCTGATGTTAGGCCACGGTGTGAGATCAGTTACATTCATCGGCTTCAAAGTGTATGGTGCTGCTATTTACGTCAAGGACTCGGACAAATCAAAGGTCAAAAGTATTGTCAGTGAAAGAGGTTTTGAAAAATTAGAAGATGTTGAAGAGTCAACCGAATTGATCTCAAAAATATGTGACAGTGTTGACTTCAAAGTACGTATTTGTCCTGTCAGAAACACTGATTTCAACCACTTGAGAGACGGATTTGTTAAGCTGATTTTGTCGAACCCATTATCGAAGAATAATGCTGCTGTTGGAGCTGGTTTAGACGAGTTGAGAACTCTTTTCAAAGGATTCAAAGGATCTGTACCTAAAAATCACATTTTGTTGTTACAAACAGATAAAGGCAAGTTAACCTTCACTTACGAAAATACCAAGACTGGAGAGATCAAGGTCTTGGGAACGGTCAACGAGCCATTGGTGAGTAAATTGTTACTCATTAGTTATCTTTCCAGTAGAAAGCCTCTTAGTGAACCTTTGAGAAAGAGTTGTGTGGAAGGAATCAAGAATTTGTAAATAGTAACTTAAACCGTTCATCCAAAATGTATTTATTGTAAAAAGCTAATGTACGGAAAAAAATGTATGTGGAATGTCAAGGGTTTACATAATAATGGCCTCCTTTTCAACGTTAGAACTAATAGACTTGTGAGGCAAGACCTTGGCACCGTTGACATAGATTCCTTCTTTCACTTCAACGTCATCACCCAAGACAGTAACACCTTCAGTTCTGGCCCATTTACCGATTCTGGAGTTCCATCCAACAATGGTGGACTTAACCCAAGCATGGCCATGGACAACTGAGTTAGCCAATAATACGGATCTTTGAATTCTGGCACCCTCACCAACAACTACATTTGGCCCAATAGTGACATTAGGACCGATTAAAGCAGATGGGTGGATCTTGGCAGTTGGGTCAATCAAAACATTTCCTCCGTAGACAAACTTCTCGTTAGATAACTTTTCTGGTTGTCTCTTAGACAACGAGTTCAAGTAGAGACAAGTACCGGACAAAAAGTCCTTTGGTTGACCGACATCCATCCAGTAACCTTCCAAATCGAAAGAGTATAATTGTTTCTCTTCAACCAAGATTGGGAAAGTTTCCTTTTCGATAGAAGTTGGCTTCAAGTCAATCAAATCGATGACTTCTGGGTTCAAGATGTACAAACCAGCATTAATTCTGTTACCAACAAATTCGACTGGCTTTTCAACAAATCTGTCAATCAAGTTAGGAGTATCTCTGTCATGAACAATAACCCCGTATTTAGAAGGTTCATCGACTTTGGTAGCGACAATAGTACCTTTACCACCGTGGTTTTTGTGGAATTCAGCCAACTCCTTAAATGGGTAGTCACAAATGACGTCAGAGTTCAACACAAAGAATGGAGAATCATCTTTCTTCAAAGTCTTTTCAGCCAACTTCAATGGACCAGCAGTACCCATTGGTTCTTCTTCAAGAGAAAATTCAATGGTGACACCGTATTCTTTCTCATATTTCTTTAAAGTACCAACCATAACTTCAGGCTTGTAGTTAACAGCCAAAACGATATCAGTGACACCAGCAGCGGCCAAAGCTTCAATTTGGTGCAAGATCATGGGTCTGTTGGCAAATTCAACCAAAGGTTTTGGGGTGGTCAAGGTTAAAGGTCTCAAACGAGTACCATATCCACCGACTAAAATTAATCCTTTCATTATTATATGTGGGTATCAAAAAAAATTAGTGTAAACTAAAGTCAAAGAGATTGAAAACAAAAGGGCGAAGTCAACGACTATTTATATTTACAGCAAAGCGAAAAATGCGTTGGCGAACGGACGCCAATTTGAAAATTTTTGAGGTTGTAGAAAATCCCTAATGCGTTGGGGAAGGCTGGCTGCTACTTAAGCGAGCTGTTAGAAGCTGGGGACCTGTCAAAGATATTTCAATCAACTAGATATAGCCACAACTATAAAAGCAGTTCAGCCCGTTCACTCACCAATGACTTCCTCGAGTATTTACCTCAACTACCTGGTCTGCTATAAACGCAAACACGGGATTCAAAAATAGGAACCACAACACCTAATTTAGCTGGCCGCGCACGTTTGTACTGCTACGTGGTATTTTGGCCCAGGTTGTCCCATCCCCAGTACCAACGTCTCGTCAAGGACGCGCCAAAAAATTGTTCCCATCCACTCCACCCTGTATGAACGCTGGAGCCGCTGGTACCTAACCCGCTACGTGTTCAGAATCTGATACACAAACTAGTTGAAATATCCCGTTAGTAAGTACAATAATACGCCATTTGAAAGTAGAGTTTTACTGGTTGTGATTGGAATAGGGCTACCATTATGGTGAGGCATCTATGATGCTGATTACCACGTCAGAGTGGTGTTTGGCACTTGAATAACCTCATCTAGGCGAAGCTGTGGTTGGAACGTGTGTGCAGTCTGTTCGACTATGGTCAAAGATAAGTGGACATGGCTCCTGTGCAGCGGTTTCGGAATAACTCAATACGCGGTGTATCTATTACGAGGGACGGGTGTACCCCTTTATTCATGCAGCTGACTGGTGTGTTAGTATTGTGGTTGGAGAAACGCGTCCAGATGTGCGGAGCCTAGTTTTCCTGTGGTGATAATGATGAAGAAGATGTAAGTCTTTTTTGCGGCAGTCGGACCATATGTGGCTAAGAACCGGGTGAAATTCTGGTTTGAATCAAATGAAATCCATCGGTTTACGTTGTTGTGAAATACACGACCCTATCGACGGTGGATTTAAAGCTGGTCGAGCTGTACGTGCGTGGCACATATGGTACTCAACGTTGTAGATTTTTAGAATTTGGGGTTTGAGGTATTTTTGGGCTTAGTCTGACACGCTCAAATGTGTGAATCTTCAAACGCCATCACTATTTGGCAAAATGTGACCCAGTCATAGTTTTAACCAATTGGTGACTTTGGCACGAAAATAGGCACTACGTCTTTATGCATGTTACCCTGTCAGCATGCTCTTTCCTGTGATCAGGACTGACCCCCCTATATTTTGTAGTGATCGTCAGTTTTGTATGCGGAGTCTCACTGAACTTAATTCATTGAGGACCAATGGTTGATCACCATGCTTGTGCAGGCCCAAAGGGTCTCGTAAATTAATTTTATAAAAAGCCTCATCGACCCCAGATGCTCGTCAACTAACAACTAACAATGTCTGGACTTTTTCAAGGAAATGACTTTTCTCTGATGATTAATGCTTTTTCCAGCGAAATGCATAAGATTGGTGCCTCTTCAGCTTTGGTATCTGAATACTCAGATATTCTAAAGTTCTATACTTTGCTTCCTGAAAGCTTGGCCACGGTGGACTCAGAGTATTGGACCAACTATGAGGAAATCACCACTGAGGCCTGGTTCAAGTCCTTTACCAAAGTATACACCAATACGGCATTCTTGGCATTCGCCACAGAGTATCCTGCAGCTTTGGCATCTGCCGTTTCTGATGGTAAGTTTGGAACTTACGCTGAGGCGCTTGGTACTGTTTTGGACCAAGGCTTGAGTATAACTGATTCTGTGTCTGACATAGCTATTAGTACTTCTGTTGAAGCCTCGTCCATTGGTAGTGCAGCTGCTGTGACCAGCAGCGATGCTTCCTCTGAGGAAACCGAAGCATCGTCCAAAGCCGTTACTGCGAAGAAGTCTTCTACCTCCACCGCTTCTACTACCACTGATGAGTCCAGCTCCGAGTCAGGATCTGATTCTGCCAGTAGTGGTAACTTGGCCGCTATGCTTACCCCTCCTTTGGGTGCGGTGGGTCTTTTGTTACTCTCGTTGATCTAAAATATATGTGTTTCCTCTGGAATCGGTAGCATCATATTTTTGCAACTCTTGTGCGCGCAAGTCTTGACTCACAAATATATGTTTCTGGAGAACTGACCCTTTGCACAAATGATAAATAGGGTGTCAATAAAAATCCGGAACACTGCCGAGAAATATGTGTCTGGGGGAGTGGTAAAACAGATCTCTTTTGGGATCTCCCTTTTATCATGTTTACTCCTTGGCTCCGTGTTAATCTTCTCTTTGGTGGCGGAGAACTTAATCCTTGAGTTGGACTTTAAAATCTTCCACGTTAACTTGATAAGCTCCTTTACCGTTATTGGCATGTACTTATGTTTACCGATCTTAGGGTATCTCTCTGATGTTTATGGGAACAACTTACTTTCATTCATCGCCATTTTCACGTTGGTACCAAGCTATATTCTCAACTACTTTGCTGTATTTCAGTTTTCCAATAAACTTGCCTGGTTTTGCTTCACATACTGCTTGATTGGTCTTGGAACTTCTTCCTTGTACTTCCTGAGTTTGCTCACATGTTCCAAGATTTACCCTGAAAAAAAAGGATTGTCAATATCGTTACCCGTGACCAGTTACGGGGTTTCAGCATTAATATCCACTCAGATCTTGAAACTTTCATATTTTCAACAAAATCACCACCTTGACTTACTTCGTGTCTTTAAGTTTTTTGCCATTCTCTACTTGGTAATGGGTGTGCTAAACTTTATGGCCACATCTATAATCATCGAACGTACACATAAGATTGATGAAAATACTGAATTAATTCCGATAAGCTCAATTGAACCACCCAGTCACAAAGCCAAGTTTATTAGGTTTCTCAAGAGTCCGCTGATGTACATTTTGTTGGGGTCATTGTTTTTGAATCTTGGTCCTTTGGAAACATATCAGAATAACTTGAACTCTATTGCATGGGAAATAAATAGGAAAGGATCAGGGTCGATTGATTTAAACTCCCAAATTATACTACTTTCCATATTCTCAACCATTACCCGACTTGTTGTGGGAGTTATGTCCGATCACATGAATAAAAGAGATATCTTGATCGGACTTTTGGCACTTGGCCTGATTAACCAAGCCATTTCCTGGATGAAGTTAACTCCTGATACAATGAATTTCATTACCGTGATAGACGGTATTACGTATGGGGGGGTGTTTACAATATACCCTACAATTATTGCCGAGATATGGGGTATCGAGATGTTAGGGTCGACATGGGGACTATTCATGATAGCACCGGCTATTTCTACTAGTTTGTTTTCGTTGGTCTATGGGTCGCTTCTCGATAACTTCGGTGATTTAGTGGTCTACTTTAAAATCTGCTTCTTCAGCTTTGTTACCAGCACGGCATTGGTGGTGTGTATTCGGAACGTCAAGCCCGTTGGACACCATATAGCACTTTAGTCTTGTCTAAATACACGATTTTTCATAGTTAGCTAATAACCATTATTTTTGTACGACCGACGGATTATAAGAGAGGTTATAGTTGTCATCTACACTTCTCCATGTTCATAAGGGCTATTTCATCTTTTGCATATTTCATCTTTTGCACAAAATAAATCCTCAAGATCTTGTTATTGATTCACTTTTTGTGAATTTCGCATTATGTATTATTTGGCTATTGGAAGATTTGCAACCATTATCAGTCGCCCACTCTTTATATGCGCTGACTATTTGATATTCGAGTGAACATCGCCCAGTCGAGTATGATCACCTGTATCTTTCAGTTCTCTCACTATATTACCAAAACTAGCTTCGCCCCATGTGAGGCCATCACTGGAAATCTTACACGACATGCGCTGGGCTACAGTGCAGCAAGCAATCTCGGAGAATTTGAAAAACCTTTAAATAGCCTCAGCCTCCTCACGACGACTGATGCCACCCTAAATAAAGTTTACGCTTCGATGCAGGTTGCCCCACATTGTGTCAAACAAACAAATTTATTCAAAACATACTTTTACAAGCACCTTTACAACAAAGCAAGAGCAATAACTGCCAATGAGCCAAACACTGGAGCTTGAACCGTAGCACCAAAACCCCCACTGGTTTCAGAACCCGATGTAGAACTACCAGAAGAAGACTTGGACTTGGATCCAGCAGTCTTTGAAGAGGCACTGTCAGAAACTTCGAGACTGGTCTCGGCAACAGCACTTCCAGAACCGAGGTCACTGGCATCTTCACTCAAAGAAGCTAAGGCTTTACTGGCAGCCTTACTGGCACTGCTAAAATCATCTGTGATGGATCCACCTTTGCTGATACTGTCTATCAAAGATTCAACATCAGAAGAAGCCTCTGCGCCAACAGAACTGACATGGGCAGAAGCATGAGAACCAGCATGAAGCGAGCTACCAAAGTTGCTGGTGGCACCGGCGACAGAGCTAGCTCCATCAGCAATTGAACTGTATAAACTTAAAGCATCAGACATTATTAAAGTATTTGTTCTCGTTGAGATGTGAATAAATTTGTGGAAGTTTGGCAGGTCTTATATAGACAATCTTGGAGGAAGGAAAACAAGTAACACCATTGCTTAGTTCCGGTCTAAGCCTCTCAATTCAGGCATATTGCAGAGAATAGCAATTCGTTGTTGAGCAAGAACCTTATTGTGGTGGGCACAACCGTCGTGTAATCGTGGCTGTAAGCAGATGATAATGGCTGCAACATGCGCATTTTGAAATTTGTTGTGGTTTGCTGCTTCACGTGTATCACTTAGCTGAATTCGGGAAACAATTTTTTGAATTGGTGCTTCAAGCTGATTTTGAATTTAGTGATGATATCACTGTCATTGACTTCAAGGTTATTAATATTGTTGAACTTGGAAATTAAGGTTTTGATATTCCCAAGGGAATTCATATCATTCACGTCCGATAGGTCCACAAGCCGAAGATTATCCTCCGACCTGAGAATATACAAGAACTTCAATAGGAACAACCCTGCAAAGTAGAAGCAGAACTGGAGCTGGTCCGATAAATGGGCAAAATATGAATCATTGTTGATGAGATTGATAAATGTCATAATGTTGTTGGAATACTCAAACATCTTAACTTTGTCATGTGGAGAACTAATATTCATGATGAATTTGAGATTATCTTCGTTGAACATATCGGAGGTCGCATTAAGATTTCTGAGGTTGTTTAAGATCAAATGCTTTTGATAATTGTAGGTGTAGTAGATCAAAAGATTACAGAAGTTGTAGCATACTTCCACAAATTGTAAGGCCGGTTGCTGTAATAAATATTCCCATTGATCGTACCAAGCTTGTATTTCTCGAATTGTTGCACCCAAGTTGAGGTTCAACTCTTCCAAAGACATGATTCCCATATTGGTATTGAGCTGAATAAAGTTGTACGTTATCAATAAAATGCTGATTTCCAGTACCATTCTCCCGTCGAAGTTGGTAGACGATGGCAAGCCCAAGGTCATGTTACAGTTATTAAGTCTGATCTCATCCACAATGCACATTCTGCCACTGAAGACACAATTTATAATGTGTACCAACACTAGGTGATTGTAAATACGCATGAGGGTAAGAATCTGATACTCATTGGAGTCCAACTCTTCATCGTATAAAATAGTGAAGGGAGAGTTGAGGGAAGCATTCAAGTCTATGTTTTCCTTCGGGATCAAGCTACCAAAGGTCACCTTTGATACGAACAAATTCAAGCCCAATCCACTTAGAAACCACGGATCAAGATTGAAATCATTTAAACTCAAATTGAATTCCTTCAAGTTCATACTGCTGTTATTTCCCGAGGCTTTCACCAACGCTTGACAATTCGACAGAATAATTGACGTCAACGATGAAGAGTAAATTGCTAAAATCACCAAACTTTGCAACAATTCTATATCTCCCGACACACCCTTGAAACAGTTTACCCTCATCAAGTTCAAGTTCATTTCTTTGGCTAACTGTTTCACCAACGAATTGAACACCAATCGCTTACGTACCAAATTGTTAATGTCTCCAGGATTAATGTTGTTGAACAGATATCTCAACGAGAGAACACAACAAGTGGTGAGTAATAAAGGAGACTTGTTGGTCAATCTCTCGATGAGAATCTCGGTGGGTAAGTTTGAAGGGAAAGAAATCCACCGGCCATAGTTTCTCCTAAAATCGTTCATCAAGTGGATGACCTCGTTAAATGGTATGAGATTAAGTGAAATAATATTCCCAGTTCCAGGTGGTGTAGGATTCTGTTTGAATGATGAAAGAGACAAAAGATTCTCGATATTCTTGGGAACATGCTCCGGCTTGAGTTGGTTATTGACAATTTGGAACGGAGCTATTTCAAGTGAATTGGTTGGAGATTGGAATGTCGACTGGTTCTCCAAATCAATAGGGTTGGTAACCATCTTTTCATGATCAGGCTCTTCGCCATTGTTTCCTGGAGGTATAGAAGTATCCTTCATAGTATTGGCGGCCTCAAGAAGAAGCCTGGCATCATTGTCATTAACAACTCCAGGGCCCTTACTTTTGATTAGTCTAAGGATCTCGTTGACTCCGCTGTAAATCAAGTCCAATTTTTTAGTGTCGCTAGCACCCGATATTCCAGGATCACCATCAAGCCTGAACCCGCCAGCGGTTATGGCAAAAGAACACGGTTTATTTAAAAAGGAACATCTCAAGCATGAGTTTGAGTTTTCGTCAACCCGAAAACATCTTGTCTTTTGTTTTCTACAAAGATCACAGGCACGCAAAGTTCGAGTGGCCTGAGCATTTCTTCTGGTTTTATTCACCTTCTTGGCGATAGGAGGCGTCTTCTTTCTCTTAGTAACGTTAGGGTCTTCCATCGGTGTTTTCCAGAGGATTTGTGAAATGTTTTAGAGGTTTTGTAGTTTTGTATGTATTGGAGAAAACCGCGGAGACCCGCGGCCCCACAGCGCCGAGCACGTGACCGGCATCTATCTCATATCACCTTATATTCGATTTCCTGATTATTTTTGTGGAGAACCAACAGTACGTTCCGGAACTTGATGTCGTTGTTCTCAACAATCCCATCCACCTTGACTTTACCCACATGCGTATCCTCGAACACGTCATACTCTCCTACAAACAGATATGAGATATCCGTAAATTGTAAAGTAGGTTGGTTGAGTAAGAAAAACCGGAGATTGATGAGTTTTATGGCCCAGTTGGTGGTGACTTCCAACTCAGTGATGCTGCAGTTGTCAATGGGTTTAGTGGCCACAAACTTGAGACCTGAGATGCTGGGGCAGTTAACCTGGAATCGATAACTTGTGTTGTGATTGACGAGCTCGACATTGGCCCAATGTAAAAGATGTCTAAATGCAATAGTCTTGTTGTTGACGAGCAAATTTAGGATTTTGAATTTGATTCGCTTATTAACTGACTGAGTGTCAAACGAAAAGTTCTCTATATCCAAGTACTTGAGGTTGGACTCGCTGTAGGAGCTTTTGAAGAAATAGTTGAAGTTAATCCAGAGAGGGAGGAAGATGCTTCTGGAGGTCTCGTCGGAGAGGAAAAAATCTCCGAGCTGGTAGGCCAGATAGTAGCCCATAGTGAAGGTTGATGAAAACACGATAAGACCAAAGATTGTCGGGAGTTGAAGGGGTTTAGGCCTCAAGTTAATCCGGGGATTTGGTGGTAGGGGATGTGGACCATTTGATGAGAGCCACCTGGTTAGAAACCTGGGACGATACGTTCTGAACATATTCATTCGACTAAACATCTTGTGATGGTGATCACAGTGGTGGTGTGCGAAAGGTAGTCAGCTACTAATGTCGCAGATTGCGTGTCGCGTTTGTGTCTTGGCCCATTAGTTGTCGCCTGATTCCCAGACCCTTATAACGGCGTGCGACATTTACGGCGGCTCCAATGTCGTGTCTACCGCACAATCTGATACGACCTTTATCAGAGCCGATGATAGGAGTACAGGGTGTTCGACTAATTAAAGTGAAACAATTATCTTCAACTGTCTTTCATTGAAATTCTATAGTGTCAAAAATCTAATTGATGATTTATTTGACACGCTTTTTGCCCATCTCCGACTCGATATACGTATTCAAACCTTACTTGTCTCATCGTGCCAGCACCAAAAAAAGTTTTTTTATCAAATGAGAAAAATCTCACAGGATTAAAAATTTTTCCAGTTGATAAAAGATATATCTGATTAAATAAGAACAAGTGATTACTTATCGCTAGTTGTTTAGGAAACTTGAATTATCCCGATCGTATCAAAAAGTCACTAACTTAAGTATCGACGTTTCTACACCCTTTGTGATCTACAATCCACTTTGTTTGTCTGACTGTTCCCCATAAATACCGAGTACCCTTATCGTACCCGTCCTATCAACAATTGACATTCGTAAAACTTTGTTACTTGTGATTCCTCCATATTTATATCACGATTCATCAACATCACCAAGTACATCCATTTGCTTGATCTTTGAATCTTGAGTTACATTCACTTTGTGTGCTGGTCTGTTATCTATTTTACACCCATCAACTAATTCCAAATATGAGTGAGATCCAACGGTTACCTCCCACCGCTGCCCACTTGAACACATCTGCACCAGGGGAGCCTGGTAATGTTCCACAAGCAGGTAGCGGTCCAGCCCCATCCTTATCGGCCGCTCCTGTTGATAGCAAAACAGCTTCAGCTACTTCCACTTCTTTAAGTAATTCAGTTACTTCGACAAGTAGCATAGCTTCCAGCAACAACGCTAGCCCAGCCCCTGGTCAGCATACGATTCAACCCGCTGGAGCTGGTACCAACTTGATTCCAGTTCATCCTAATGCCAAGACCACTACCCAGGTGAATAATGGTACCACTACCACAAAGACAAATATTTCATCTCCTGTGTGTCATAACTGTAAGACGCAGACAACTCCGTTGTGGAGAAGGGATGAAACTGGTCAGGTGTTGTGTAATGCCTGTGGGTTATTTCTTAAGCTTCATGGAAGACCACGTCCTAGTTCTTTAAAGACCGATACGATCAAATCGAGGAACAGAGTGAAACAATCGGGCAGCAACTCCACCAAGTCATCGGCTCCTAACACCCCTAAGTTGGAGTCTAAAGATCATGGAACCACTCCAAAGCCTTCTATCAAGAAATCTCCTAAACTTTCTAAGAAGATGGACGCTTCTCAAACTCATGCTTCGGGAACCCCTCAAGTATACACCCACCAGTTCAATAGTCCAACATTGCACTTGCAAAATCACCATTTGTCTCACACAGTGCAACCGTTACATTATCCATCTTCAACTCCTACGAACTTTGCTCCGGGTTTACAGAGAATTACTTCTCCGTTGTTGCTTTCCAATACTTCTTCGATCTCCAACACCAGAAACAGTAACGCTGCTAGTGCCGCAAACAACTCTATTCACCAAGCCGCAGGTGCTTTGGAAAACATGTCCAACGAATTGGGTCCAAGTGCTACTTTCCAGATGAACAAAGTGTCGACTCCAATATCCTTGATTAATAATAATAAGGCCCAAATAAAGAGAGAACAAAGTCCAGTTTTTTCCACACCTTCACTGGCTCTTAATTACCTGAAGCCTTTGACGCCAACCACAGAAAGAACGACGATAAACTCTCCTAGCTTTGGTCCTCAGTATCATTTATCACAGACCAACCCAAGTCATCTTTCAATGGGGGCATCCAGTACACCGGAAACTTTACCTCCTATCCAACAAGTGGCTTCTTTAGGTAAACCCAGCTTGCCACACATTTCTAACCTAGCACCACATCAACCTCCGGTTCAAGGAAGTAATAATGGTGGACATAACAACGGTAACAACAACAACAATAATAATCACAACCAAAGCAACAATGAGAATAGCGACAGCTCAGGAAACCGAGATGGAGGCAATGACGGCGAAAGGAAGAAGGACGAGGAAATCACGATTTTGAAGACGAGAATCAGTGAGTTGGAACTTGTAAATGATTTATACAGAACCAGAATAATGGAGCTTGAAGCCATGGAGCAAGCTGCAAGACTCAGAGAAAACTCTATGAGAAGAAGATTAGATGAGATTGTGAGTTTGCAAGAAGGAGGAGATGCAAAGAGAGCAAAGTATGATGTGTGAATAGACGACATTTAGATGATTTTCTTGACGTATATATATTTAAGTAGACAATTTAATGATTTGATTTTAACGCTCGAAGGTTTGACTAGGTTTTAACATCAGGTTCTTCCCTACCAATGAATTGTTTGAACTTCAACAACTCAATGATATATTTGACGTCTTCAGCCAAGTATTCATCGACTTTTTGACTCTTCTTTGATCTATCATCACTATATTTCTCAAAGTACAATCTTATGGTTGCACCTGAAGAGCCGGTACCAGATAATCTCAAGACAACTCTCAACCCGCTGATGAACTTGATGAATAAACCTTGGTTAGAAGATACAGAACCATCTAAATCGGTGTAGCTAAAGTTGCCCGATTCTTTGATTTCGTAACCAGGCAAGCTTGACTTGGTTTCAATAATTTTTGTCAATATGTTTATGATGCTGTTGGCTCCGTCAGAATCCACATTTTCGTAGTCATACCTTGTGAAAAAGGTTCTACCATACTTTTCCCAAAACTTGTCTTGCACCGACTTGATACTTGGTTCCTCATCAGGGTATAACTTGTTAAATCCTGCCAAAACGTTCAACCAAGCAATAATGGCCCATAAACCATCCTTTTCTCTGATATGGTTAGAACCGGTACCAAAACTTTCTTCACCACAGATACTCAACTTCTTAGAGTCGAATAAGGAGCAGAAAAACTTCCAGCCTGTAGGGACCTCGTAGCAGTTCAAGCCCTTGGCTTTGGCAACCAAGTCAATAGCTGCTGAAGTCGGCATTGATCTTGCCAATCCATAAATACCCTGTTCCTTGAAGTAAGGAATGAAATCGGCATACTCCGAGATAATTGCTACAGAGTCTCCAGGAGAAACAAAGGTCTTGGCCCCATAAATCATGTTTCTATCACCGTCACCATCAGAAGCAGCACCGAAAGAAATGTCATCACTATCAACTTTCGACACTAATGTCTTTGCATAAGTCAAGTTAGGATCTGGATGTAAACCACCAAAATCAGGCAAAGGTACGAAGTTCTGAATCGAAGACTCAGGCAATCCCAACTCTTTGACAAAAATTTCGTATCCGTAAGGGCCAGTGACACCGTTCAAAGCATCAAATAAAACGGTGAACTTTGGGTTGGCAGAGATGAACAGTTTGATCAAGGAGAAATCGAAAATTGCCTTTAACATGTCCACATAGTCTCTGGTAGAATCAATGATTTCCACTTCCAAGCTACCTGCCTTGAATACCCCAATTTTGGAGAGATCTAATTCCTCCACCTCGTCGATTTTAATCTCCGAGATCTTCTTGGACACTTCGAAGATTTTGTTGGTCACCAGTTCGGGAGCGGGTCCCCCATTCTCCAAGTTGTACTTTATTCCCAAGTCATTCGTGGGCCCACCCGGATTATGTGAAGCCGTCAAGATTATTCCTCCAGTGGCCCCTTTAATACGTATAACATGGGAGGTAGCAGGAGTAGATAAGATACCGTTTTGACCGACAATTAACTTTCTAACACCGTTGGCAGACCCGATCCTGATGATGAGCTGGATGATATGGTCGTTGTAGTAGCGGCCATCGCCACCAATCACCAAAGTAGCATCCTGAGCACCTTGTGGAATCGCATCCAAGATGGCTTGAATGAAGTTTTCACTATAGTGCTTTTGTTTGAAAACAGTGACTTTCTTTCTTAAGCCTGATGTTCCAGGCTTCTGGTCCAAGTATGGACTGGTTTGGACGATCATAGCAATTGAGTAAACAAAATCTTTGAAATTGGTTTACTTTTAAGAAGAAAGTTGTGTGACGGGTTTGAGAATCCAAAATAGTGGAGTGTAATGATGTTGATCGCGGTGTGCGCCGACAAAGTTTGTTGGGCAACCCCGTGACGCCAGTGGGGTATGAGATATGAGATGATTACAAGATTAAAAAGAGAACAGTGATTATAGTAATTATGGGGTCATAAAGAGTATTTCGCTTTTTTGTACCCCGAACTGTAATAAGACATTCGTAGAGTTAGAGGGATCTTTCACTGTTTGGTTACTGAAACTTCATTGCAGATCGCATTGAGATTCAAATTTTGTGCCTACGCCAGCTTAGCGAGGAAGATCTGAGATAAGGCAGCGATAAAAGGCCAGTAGCGTCACCCTACAAGATACTAATAGCTCATATATTATATTTTTTGAACCCCCAGAAACTCGGATTAACCTCTAATGACTTTGTTCATAGCATCTGCCAAGTAGTCGACATTGGCATCATTGACACCAGAGATAGAGAATCTTCCGTCTTCCGTAGCATAAACAGAGTATTCTTCCCTCAACTTGATAACTTGTTCCTTGCTCAAACCAGTGTAGATAAACATACCTCTTTGCTGATTCAAGTGGTCCCAGTTATAGATCAGCTTGTCCAATTTCTCGTACAATTTAGTTCTGACGGCATTCAATCTTCCCACCACATCATTCAAGTCACTCAACCAGTCTTGCAACAATTCTGGGTTTGACATGATTGTTTCTACAATCTTGGAACCGTGGATTGGAGGAGAAGAGTACATTGGTCTGATCAACTTCTTCAATTGGGACTCAACTGACTTTGAGTGTTCCTGAGATTCAGTGATAATGGAAATAGAGCCGGTTCTTTCACCGTACAATCCCATGTTCTTGGCAAATGATTGACACAAAGAGTAGGATTTGATCTTACCCTCAACCACCAACTTGTTCAACTTTCTAATCAGCTCAATGTCCTTGAATGGGTCACCCGAAGCGAATCCTTGGTAGGCCATGTCGACCATTGGGAACAAATTCTTTTTGACCACCAATTCCAACACTTGATCCCACTGTTCAGGAGTTAAGTCCATACCGGTGGGGTTGTGACAACAAGCGTGTAACAAAATGACAGACTCATCTTCAGCCTTAGAGATCGAGTCCAACAAGTTGTCAAAGTCCAAGCCATTGACTTCGGTGTTGTAATAAGCGTAGAAGCTTGGGTTCAAGCCAGCATCGGCCAAGACTGCCACATGGTTGGCCCAGGTTGGCTTTGGCACAATAACGTTTTTGCTGGAGTAGAATCTGTTCAAGAAATCAGCAATGACTCTCAACGAACCGGTTCCACTAATGGTTTGGGCAGTGACGATTCTGCCCGAACTGATCAATTCTTCTCCGGCGGCATCTTTTCCACTGTTGTTGAAAATGAAGTTCTTGACAAGTGACTGGTAATTCTTGTTACCAGTAATACCGGTGTACTCTTTTTCGGTTTCAGTTTCTAACAACACCAATTCAGCCTTCTTGACTGATGGGAAAATAATTGGCTTACCGCTGTTGTTTCTGTAGGCACCAACTCCCAAGTTAATTTTGTTAGAGTTTGAATCTTTCACGTAAGCTTCACTGATCCCCAAGATTTTGTCTGGGGGAGCCAAAGGAATATCATTCCATTTGTGAAAAGAAGCAGATAAGCTAAAGGCTCTGACAGGTCTGACGGTGGCAATTCTGGAACTTCTCAACATGTTTAAAGCGGTGGATATATAGAAACCTTAAAAAAGTCTGTTGGGTTAGAAGAAAGAAAAAAATCAATTGGTGGAGATTGACCGGTTTATATGGGTCGAGGGCCGTTGACGGACAATGCGCGGTGAAAAAAAAATGATTTTCACCTGGAGGAAAGGAAGAAAGGAAATATGAATTTTCCGACATAATTAGCGGCCTTTAGAGCCTTGACCGAGGAGTGGCACGTGATGTCCTTGTGGGGGTGGTACGCTTTTCGGTACTAGAGTTCGTCTTGTAGATGCAACGCTATTGAAGGTGGGATTGTGATTTATTTACAATTTTACGACGTTTCCTCTATATAGGACAACCCCCGGTATTGAAATCACTATGACTCAGATGACTCACGCCTTTGATAGTATTAGACAGTAGAAGCTGGTGGCAGCTTCCGAAACGTATCAGTAGTGGGTTAGGTGTGTAACGGCAAGTTCGGCATTAAACTCACATACAGTTTATGAACCATGGCTCCGGCTCCAGTGGACGCATACATGAGGGGTAACGGATTGGCACAAGCTGAGAAGACTAAACGGCTAGGACCGGAGCGCGCATTGAGCTGCTAAATTTGAGCAACTGGCACGATCGTAGGCCGCCCGTGAGCGCACGCGAACGGCACCTGGCACCGCCCTAGGTCCAGTACTAGCTGCGACATCGCATCGTGGGAAAGTTTGCAGCCAAATTTGATGGCTTGTCGACATGCAATTGAATTGACACTTGAAATGATGAATCCGGGGATATTTCGAATATCTTCAATCCACAGACATTTACCGATGACGGTTTTGGAACCACGACGAATATCAGCCACATATTCGAGAAGATCTTGTTCCAAGCTTGTTTTTCCACTCACAGCTGCTGCTATTTGGCAGACATTCCCATGGGGGTCGAACTGTACGAAAGGGCGTAGATACTCTGCGTGGGATGAAACTTCATGTTTTTCTGATGGAGTCAAGTTCAACGGAATGTTGCATGCAACTAGAGTACTGCTAGTTAATAGCTGGTGCTGAAGTGCTTCAAGTCGAATACGCTCATCTGCTGCGTGTTGATCCACCATTGCCAATACAGAGCCCGTTCGTACGAGTATGAATTTTTTCTCGATTTGCGAGATAACATGTATGCTGTGGAGGTCTGCTCGTGTTAGACTTTGAGGGTAGTTGAAGCAAGTTTTAATTGATAAAGATTTCTTGGTAGGTGACAACTTATTATTGGTTACGCTCAGTGATGCTTTCCTGGGACTCTTGACGGGTGAACGCTTCATGGGTGATGATGTTGGAATGCGTACCACTTGCTCACCAAAATACTCGAGAAACATCTTCTGCAAGATAGCCACCACATTACCCTCATGACAACTTGTATATATAGCCTTCGAAGGATCCTGAACCAACTCTGACTCTGAGACAGCGCACGAGAATCGAAGTACAAATACCGGCAGCTTTTTATACTGTAGTTTCAAATTGTACAAGCGATTGTTAAGGAGAATAAACTGATACCCCTTTCTGCATTGGTGAGATAGCAAGCCTGTTACAGTGTATGCTCCCGAGCGGCATCTTATGCGATCAAACCAACAACTAATCCCAAGAACGCTATTCACAGTTGTAGGACCTCTATCAGTGACGATTCGAACCTCTCCATCTACTAACACCTTCAATTTAGGAAGATCAAGCACCACCAACCGACGCCGAAGAGCTGCCATAAATTTTTCCACTCCATCTTCAAGTATGTTTCTTCGCCTCACTGGAATGTTGGCAAACATGTCGTACGCCAACACCATACAACCATGTTCAAACAGTGGAATATAAAACATATTATGGTTTGGGGGGTTGGCAAGCTCATTATCTTGGTCAAATGAACTAACCTTGCAACAATTGCCATTGATATCACTGTAGACATACCAGGGCAGCTTATCGTTCCGGCACCGCAGTACTATTACCATTTTGTTGCTGATTTGCCGGAGGCTCGCGAGAGCTTCTCCTCGAAATCCATAGGTCTTGCAATTCACCAAATCTTCCCAGGTACTCAACTTCAGCGTCATGTGTGGTCCCAAAGCGGCCAAGGACTCACGCGACATCCCGTTTCCATTATCCATTACTGCCGTGCTGAGGGTTTTCCAGTCAACTTTCACAGTGATAGAGTTGGCTCCCGCATCAATGCTATTTTGAACCAACTCTGCAACCGCTTGATCCATCGAGGCTACTGCGGTTGCTGAACTAATCCTTTCGACCACGCTGGAACTGAGTTTCTTGATCATTGGATTACAAATACATGCACTCACTAGTTGGTTGATGTGAAAGAGTGTAAACTATAAGATCAATATTTGCAACAGTGCGACAAGTCTTACCCGGCCCTCATCTCTAGGTATAAAAGGGCATCGAAAAACTTTGCGAACAAGTTTAACGCAAATTCACAGTTCTGCTTGCAGTGATAGGAAAGTTTCTCTTTGAGGTTAGATGAGAATCGGACCCATGACCTTGAGATATTTCGTTGCCCTAATGGTTATTGAAGGCGAACTGGAGAATAAATCGGTCGATCTTGGGTGCAGCGTTCCTTGGTCTTTATTGACCTAGAGACTGCCTTCGTGCGTTTCGTCTGGGGAATGGTGCAAGGATTGACTGGACATATTTGGAACATGAAGTTTTGTTTCATTGGGGTTACTTTTTTGTATGGTGTTGCGGTGCTTTGTGTGCTCAACGAATGGTAATTCTTTTCTCTACGTATTTGTCTCTGACTCTTTGAGGGGATACTATTGACCTTGTCATTAGGAGCGATCAGTCGTATACACTTCCAGGTGGTAATTGAACCAGACTTTAAAGGTCTGTTGCAATAAATACCGTGTTCGAGTCATGCTGAAAACTGTTGCAAAATTTTATCACGAAGCAAATGCCTTTAGTGCTAACATTCTCTGGTTTTTTTGTCGCGATCATCTGCTATCGTTCCTACTATGACACCACACTTACTTACACTTATGGTGCTATTTGCAGCTCCTCTGACCACTTTGGGGGCTCTAATATCACAAATGGGGTCTGAGGTACAAAACTGTAGCCTTATTGAGTACATTGGCACTCTCAATGGCCAACAACAGTGTCTGCTTGTTAAACTGTGCACGGACGATATAGTGCTAGGACACATCAACTTCCTCCTGCTTTACTACTGCCGCTGGCTCGGATCCTTAAGTCTCGTGATGGCATTGATTCTCCTTGTGCTATTGTTCTTTTTGTTGGGACTCACGGCGTCGGATTGTTTGACTCCTAACTTACACTTCATCTCAAAGTTTCTCAATCTACTGGATAGCTTGGCAGGTTTGACACTTGTGGCAATGGGCAACAGCAGTCCCGACATATTAAGTAACTACAAGGCCATGTCTTTGGGTCACGCTGACTTAGCCGTGTCAGAGCTCATTGGGGCATGTTTTTTCGTGACTTCTGTGGTGATTGGCACCATTTCAATTTTGCGTCCGTTCAGACTCCCCAAAACCTTGTTTACTAGAGATCTGTCATTCTTGATATTGGTTATAGTGGTGATAGTTCTGGCCTTACTATCAGGTTCTCTCACGGTATTTACGTGTATCTTGTTGATTGGATGTTATTTGGTATATGTGGGATATGTGGTGATAACTCACTCTATTGCCAAGAAAAGAATATTGGCAAGAGCCAGAGACCTCCGTATACGAAGTGCGTACTTGCCCGACTCGCATATTGCTGTCCGTACTGAGGATGAAGATGAAGAAGAAGAAGCGTATGGAGTAGAACCTACCCTTATGCACCTACCAAGCATTGAGGAATTGAACTTGTCTAACATAGATGACGAAATTTACCAAACAGAGTTATCTAACGAGATAGACCAGGTACGTTTCAATCTTGCTGACGATGTGGACTTATCTGGATCTTATGGAATGAAACAATTGATACACGAATTACTTCATCACCGCAAACACCAAGCACCCATTCAACTACAAATTGATCGTGGTCTTGGTATCACCATGACCGATAATAGTGCCATCTCAGGTGAACGGTCAGTGGATAACCAGTACTTGTTCAGCGATTTTCTTTCTCCTGAACAGCTGTTTCTTCTGAAACTCGTGGATTTGTCTGAAGTACCTACAAGCATGCTCGGGAAAATTCAATTCTTTACGACATTTCCTTTCAGGGCTGTCATTAACCTCACAACCCCTGTGGCGATACTCGACGACATTGATATAATTGAACCTGACTTTTTCAGAATTGCATGCATCTTGGTGTTTGTCAATATGAACTTGTGGCCCTCCGCATTAAGCGGCGGGCTCTTTGTAAACCTTCCATTTACCTTGATCATAGTCTCGGCTTTGGTACGTTTCAAGCTCAAAATAATATATGCAGTTGTTGGGTTCTTGTCGTCGGTAATGTGGGTTTCAATTTTTGCAACCGAAATTATCAACATTCTCAAGACATTCTCAATTGTGTACCAGGTTAGTGATGTGATTTTAGGATTTACAGCATTTGCTCTTGGAAACTCCATTGGTGATTTCATCTCCAATTTCGTGATTGCCAAGCTAGGTATGCCTTTAATGGCATTTTCAGCCTGTTTTGGTAGTCCCATATTGTCTCTCACATCTATGGGAATTAGTGGGCTCGTTATTATTGGTGCTAGCGATTCTAGTTCTAAAAGTTTTATCCAAAAGGGAGCGTATATCATCAATTCGTCTCGAAGTTTGGTGGTTTTGGCATTAGGTTTGATCAATAACATGATGTTGATCTTTTTTCTCAGCAGAAAATTCAACGGGTATATGAACGAGAAGGTTGGTATGGCGTTGATAGTTAACTGGCTGGCTATCAGCACTATTTGTGTGATACTAGAAAGTATTTAAGTGTATCTATATGCATTTGTATAGTGTTTGGCTGCAAACAAAACAGGTGCACAAACATGAACACTCTCCACGCACCAGTACTGTATTCCTAGTGCTTAAATGAAGATAATTTGGAACATTCCTGGTTCCGGTCCGAGACCGGTGCCGCTATATGTGCCGGTGCTGGGCCTGGGTCATGACAGATCCTTCATGGCGATCGGCATGCCAGTCAACGGGTTTTGCACATCTTTTGTGGCTTTTGCTATGTTGTGCACAGCAATGATAGAGTAAATGAGGTGATTCTTTTTTGGTATTGAAAAGGTAGGGTATAGGGCGGATAAACCTTTGTATAGGCTGAGTGCCCATCGAAAATAAATGGCCAAGAGTCATTTATGCATGAAAACGGCCATTCTTGTATGGTGGGCAAAGTGATTAAATGTTACTTTTGTGCTTCTGGTGAAGTTTGGTAAGACTAACATAATATTCGGCGTCGCTTGATTATTTATGAGGAGAAGACTATTCTACTATTACTAAAGTGGCCAATCATCTTATAAGAAGCTGATTGGAAAATTGCACATGGTAATTCTAAATTGACAATACAATAAAAAGCATCATACAGACGATACATAATCTAAACACTATGACCACACTTGTAACTGCTCGTAAAACTCGATCCGCTTCTCCTCCGAGAGGTTGTGACTCACAACATACCGTAAGTGGTCCACCATTTCAGGGTGTCCACAAGTCACAAACCCAATGGAACCGTTACTCTCATCAATCTCATGCTTGACAAAGTCTTCCACATCTGGTCTCCCGTGCCTGAACTCCACGTGACACAAATCTTCAGCAGCTTTAAAGCTCGATTCATCAGAGTCTTCCGTCTTTTTCTTTTCCTGGTCCGAGTCTGCAGCTTGGTTTATAGGTCTTGTCACATAAACAATAGTCTCGATGTTCTTACCTTTCAAAAACTGTAATTCCTCATAAAACCAGTCCAATGACTTGTATTCTCTAACGATCCACACTAGCTTGACCTTCTGTTTAGAGTCCCTACGTGCCAAGTCGTAGGCCTCACTGTAAATACCGGGGATTCCATTACCCCCTGCCACGAACACCGCAGTGTCGCAGTATTTTGCAGCCGTCGGTTCTCCGTATGGACCTTCAATTCCTACCCTCATTTTAACTGTCTGGCCCGGCTGAGACGCTATGTGCTTGTAAAGACCATGTGTGACTCCTCCTTTGATTTTACAATAGAGGACTATCTTGTCGTTTGTTTCGACAGCCTCAGTAAATGTGAATGGATGTGATTGCCAGAAGCACGAAGGTCTGATGAAGTGAATAAATGC